TTCTGCTGGCAGGTAGTGCAGCCTTCAACATACCTCCAGACGAAAGCAGCGAGTCTGGGCCACCAAAACTCAGAAGAGACAAGTTGTCAGGTTTTCAAGGCCCCAGGGTGTCCTGCAGAAGGATGAGTGTGGTGATTAGACATGATGGTTTGACAGAGGAGGGGATCATCCAGGATGTACACCTGGTCTTTGTAAAGCAGTACTCCACTGTCAAATCTCCAATCAGAGAGATGGGACTTGAACAGGAGTGGCATGTCAACATTTTCTATGGTGCAGAGTGCTGTTTGAACCACAGGGTCCTTTATGGAGGAGGATGTGACCTTCTTGGTAAGGTTTGCATCAATAAGACTAACAAACAATGTTTGTAGAAGGAGGGTTACTCCTTTGTTGTCTTCATCATCATTGGGAACATGATCAGATCATTGGGAGAGTGCATCGGGTGCAGCTAGGTCCTTGCTGGGATGTGTTCAAGCTGCAGATCAAAGTCTGAGGATTGAGGAGCCAACAGGCCTGGCAATGATTTAGATTCTGGGGTGCTTTGAAGTAGGTCAGGTTCTTGTGGTCAGTGAACACTTTGACCAGGAATGGGGACCCATGGAGATAATGTCTCCAAGACTTTAGTCTGTGAATAACCCCTAGCAGTTCCCTATTGTAGATGTCATAGTTTTGTTCTGCAGGATTAAATGACTGGGAGATGAAGGCACAGGGTTGCCACTGGCCATTGGAATCATCTTGGAGGAGAACACCTCCAGTTGCATATTTGGATGCATCAGTTGTTATTGCAAATGGTCAAGAGGTGTTGGGCATTCAAAGGGTCAGTTGTGCCATGAAGATCCTTTTTAGGAGATCAAAGGCAGTTTTGCATTTCCTCAACCATTCCCAAGCAGTCATTTTCTTGGTGAGGTCAATCAGGGGTTGAGCAATATCAGAATAATGGGGAATGAATCTCCTATAAAAGTTTGCAAATCCTAAAAAAGATCACACATCTTTGACCTTCTTTGGGATGGGCCATTCTGTGATACCTTGGACTTTAACAGGGTCTATGGTGACAGTGTTTTCCTTGATAATCATTCCAAGGTACTCAACCTCCATCAGATTGAAATGGCACTTTTCTAACTTAAGAGGAAGTGACAATTCTCTCATTCATTCCAGAACATGATGAGTTCTTCATTGATGTTCTTCCAGGTCAGTGGAGAAAATAAGGAGGTCATCCATGTGGATGACTAACCATCCTTCAGTGATCAAATCTTGGAATGAGTCATTCATGAATTGCTGGAAGGTAGTGGGGGAGTTGCACAACCCAAAGAACATGACAGTTGGCTCGAAGAGTCCTTTATGTGTGGTAAACACTGCCTTCCATTGGTCTCCTTCCTTAATGCAGACATTATTGTAGCCTGACCAGACATCCATCTTTGTGAAGATAGATGCTCCCTTGAGTTTATTGACAAGATCTGATATGAGGGAAAGGGGGTATGCATCCTTCACCATGTGTCTGTTCAGATATCAGTAATCTTGGCATGGGCAGAGGGAGCCATCTTTCTTTCCCACAAAGAAGAAGGGTGCAGCCTGAGGGGACTTCGAAGGACAGATTTTTCCCTCTCAAAGATTTTCTTCAATGAATTTCTCTGCACACTCTTTCTGTTATGCCGACAACTCATAACGCAGCATGAATCGAGTGCATGAAGGCACAAGCACATGACTGCATGAGAGGTGATGCATAATTTAACTTCACTAGCAACGGGACACTAGTCTTGGCCAACTGAAGTTGTACTGGGGAGTCCTTGTTGGTACAGGCCCAGAGCTAAGGGTGGTTGCAAAGTAGATTTCGAATGGGGGACTGGTATGATACATGTGGGTTTATATACATATGTACAGTACTGGACATCAAACATTCAAATACACAGTTTAAACATGCAGAGTTCCCTGTAACAAGTCAGAAGTGGAGCGTTCAACCAAGGTTAAACACATCACATGACTGCATGGATCAGAGCCACCAGCAGATCACAGAGGGAAGGGGAAACAGGCACAGCCTGGCTATAGTACAATGCAGGGTAGACAGGGGTCTACCATAAAAGGAAACAGAAAAGGGGGAAACACACAGAACACAAGTCCAATGGCATAGGCAGCAGCTTGTGGGCAAGGGGACACCCCAGGGGGCAGGATAAGGTGCGAGCAGGTTACATAAGGGTCTGCAGAGGGAAACAATGTGAGCGCAGTGTAACACTTTCTGATGGGGAGAGTGGGTATGCTTTAGCCACCTTGGGGACAAAGTCCTCAACAAGGTTGATGGTGTGATCATAGGGTCATGATGGAGGTAGGGTTCCATCAGAGGGTTTTTCAAAAACCAAAGCAAAGTCCTTGTACTTTTCAGGGAGGACAGCTTTCAGTTTCTTCCTATGTTCTTCGTTAGCCAGCTCAGTGGCAGTAGTGATTTTCTGAAGAAAGTTATTGTTTGGGTTAACCTTCTTAGCTTCCTCCATGAGTACACCAAGTGACATCATGAAGTGTGCATGGATGGTCTTGTCTTCTGGTTCTTTGTAATCCATGAACTTGTTTATCCCCTTCTTTTCTACAGGGGATACCAGGTTCACAGAGGGTTCCTCAATTGCAACAGAAGAGAAGTTGCATTTTAACTCCTTGGACCTGTCAGTTGTTTCATCGATGGAGAGAGTACCTGTTCTCCAGTTGATTACAGGGTTATTTTCTTGGAGCCAAGGGAGTCCCAGAATGACGTTCTCTGTTCCACAATTGATAACATGGAAGAAGGACTGGTGAACCAGCCCTTTGACCTTGAAGTAGAGAGTGGCAGAGAACAGAATCTTTCCCTTGGAATTCTGTGTTCCATCTGCATTTTTGCTGAGGATGGGTTCAGTGAGCCATCAAGTAGGGATCCACTGCTTTTGCACAAATCCCCAATTGATGCAAGAAATTTCAGCACTGGAGTCCACCAGTGCAGTGGTGCTGACAACTTTCTTTGTTCCTTCTGATGCATATAGCATAACAGGGATTTGTATAGTATGATCTGGGGTGGAAGATACTAGTACAGGTGCAACAGAAGTAGAACTGTCCTTGGTATGGGGAACATCTGGCATCAATGCAGAGTTCCCTTCTAAAAATCCTTTCCAAGTTTCCTAGCAATGTTTACTAGGGCGATGGAAGGACCAGCGACTTTTTCCTCATTGTTGCTTTCTTCAACCTCCACAATCTTGCAGACTTTCTTTATCCTCTTTTGGGGGGTTTTCACTTTGTCTGGACATTCTCTAGAGAGGTGTCCTTTGTTTCCACAACCAAAACATCTTCCTTCCTTGATGTGTCAGTCTCTTTCTTCTTTGGAGAGTTTCACTCCATCCATGTCCATGGCATTCAGATCTTTTTCTTTGGCGAGATTGTTCTTGGGGTAGAATGCTCTCTTTGCCTTTCTTCCAGAGAACTCGTTTACCTTCCTCCATTTTGCATCAAATTCCTGTGCCTGTGCATACCACTCAGTGACCTTTGTGGGAGTGGTTTCCATGATATGAATTTGGTTTGCAATGAATGGCTTGAGTCCTTGTGAGAAGAACTTGATCAAGGCAATGTCTTCCATGATGGTAGAGTTGGCAGTGGCAGTTCAGAAGTTGGTAATATATTGTTCTACTGAATCTTTCTGTTTCATGGTATGCAATTTAGCAATTGCAGTACCAGCAGTGTCTGAGGAGGTGAAGGAATTTTTAAAATCCTTCATGAAATCAGCAAAAGAGCTGAAACTCAGGGGGTTCTTTTCCAGAGATGTCTTCTGGAAGGTAGCTGCCCAGGAATGAGCAACACCTTTCTTCATATACAACAGGGCATAGACAACCCTCTTTGTGTCAGTGTCATAAATTTCTTCATTAACTAAGAGATAGGTCTGTACTGAGTACAGCCAACTCATAGCAGTCTTTTGGTCACCATCAAAGTCAGATGGGACACCAATCTTCAATTTGGTGGCTTTGGTGGTGATAGCACTGACCATTGCCTTTGATGATGATCCAGACATTGTATTCAGAGGTGGGGGCAGAGGTGTGGGAAAGGTGGGGACAGGTACCAGTGGGATGGGGTACCAAGCAAGGTGAGAGACTGAGTGAAAAGGTTCGAGAGGATACCTGAAGTAAACCCTTGTCCAGTTGTTCAGGTTCATTGGAGGAGGTGTTGGTGACAGTGCTCTCCTGTTCTTCATCAGATGATGATTCTTTGCAAGTGGGTTGCAATGGCACCCAGTGTTGGTTGTTTCAAGGGTTTGTGGTGGTGCACTAAGCAGTGACCGATTTGGCCAAAGGCTGGTAGACTTGAGCTTTTGTTACACTTGACCAAAGTCAAGATGTAGGGAGAGCTCAAATGCAGACAATGGGTTTCTACTGAGCAATGGCAAAGGATTTGGTCAACACCTGTAAGAGTGGTCCAGGTTAGGGACACTGAGGGCAAAGTTCTGAGAATGATGTGTATGATTGAGCAGCTCAAGTCTGGATTTCCTAGACTTGACCTGGCAGTCCAAATACTGTACAAGAGACAGACCATGAGGTGTCTGCATGTAACAAGGTAACTACACTATTGGTTGAACAACAGTGACACATGTCCTAAGCATGTAACAGGGAAGTAACATGAGTGGTGGAAACAGTGAGCTGTTGGATCAGAGGGAAGACAGCTCAAAAAGGAAAGATAGTCCATTGGATCAACACAAAGTAAACATGTAAAGAAAAGAAGAGGGAGGGCTGAAACATAACACTTTCCACAGTGAGCATAGCAACATTCATAAGAAATAAATTCCCCTGCTGACCCCCAATGCCACTTCTGCATGGTTGCCCATTGAGGACATGCAACTGGCAAGTGATGACCCCAGGGCCTGAGATGCTTGTCAGTCCAGATATACTTTTCTACCTACAGCTTTTCTTCCTGTCAAACAATCAAAATGATGTTTGAGTGCCTCCCAAGTTTGGCACAGTCCCACAAAGCATCCTTCACTGCATTTCTGACATGAAAACCTTCTATCACAGTTTTGTCCAGGAGACTCTGGAGGTAGGGTGCCATTGTAGGGATTGGAGCCTTGGAGCATCAAAGAGGAGGATGGACCTTGGCTTGAAACTAGCAAGTGTCAGGGATGAGTCAGCATCAAAGGAGGAAACTTGCAGTTTGGCAGCCTGTTTTACCCCATTGAAGCTCTGTGCCTCTGTAACCACAGAACCACAGATATAGAACACCATGTCAGCTCCCTCTATAATCTCAGCAAGGGGGGTAAGAAGGAGTTGGAGAACCTGGATGGGGTTAACTGGGGGTGCCAAGGGGGGTGCATGGCACTCACCTGAAAGACTTGAGATGCATGGGGGTTGTTATCCTCATCATAACCAGCAAAGAGATCACTCCTGTCTTCATCACTGTAAGTGGTGAGGAAAAGGACCACCATTGGATAAGAGGAGAGGGAGGTGGCCAGGCTTGTTGCTGCCTTTTGGTATGTAGCCTGGGAATCTTGGGTAGCCAGGTTAAAAGGTAACTTGGAGAAGGAGTAGGCTTTGTTAGGAAAATAGGCATGGAGAAAGTCATTAAGCATGTTGACTTGGGCTTGGCCAACCTGTAGAGTCTCCAGGTGAAGATGCACCAGTGCTGTGGGGAGGGATGCCATCTGGGATGCAGTGGCATGCTCAAAGACACCTTTGGGGTGAGGGGGATTGGGAAGGGCAGGTTCCCCTTTGGAGTAAAAAGCCTTGACATGTTTCAGTTTAAGGATGAAGAGGGCTGGGGAGTTTGGACTTACAAGGTAGGGCTTTGGTTCACCTCTGGTTTGCTTCCAGTGACAACAGACACACTTGAATTTGACATGGTCTTGTTGCACCTTCTGCAAATCCTCTACAGGGGCTACTAAACACAGATCACAAACCACTCTGTAACATCCTCTCTCCTGACAAATCCACATCTTTCCACCATCCCTACACATAACACAGTGCTGGGGTAGATGTAAGATGGTGTATGGCAGATGGGAAAGCACTCACAGAATTTGTACCAGGCTGCAACTTGATCTTTTTGACAGGCCTCTTTGAAGCCACCTTTGCCTGTGCATTTTTCTTCTGGAGGGTGAAAAGGTTGAGCCTTGGGGCATGGCCCCCAGTTACCTTCTTGGCAGTCTGTTTGGTTCTGGCCATCAAGGACACCTATGAACTGGAGATGTTTGTGAGGTGATTATTGATGTTGACCAAGATGGCACAGCAGCAAGGAAACAGGTAATTTAAGAATATAAAAGAACAACAGCAACAGGGGTAAGTTCACAGTGGAAAGGACACAGGTAATTTAAGAATATAAAGGAACAAGGCATCAGGGAGTAAGTGCACAGTGGCAAGGACACAGGTAATTTAAGAATATAAAAGAACAACAGCAATGGGGGCAACTTACCAGATGTGTGGTCTTGACATTGTTGAAGTCCCTGTGAGTTATTGACAATGCAGGTAATGTGAGTATATAAAAAGAATGGGAGGATGGGGGGACTTACCTGATGTACTGTCATTGTTGTTGAGGACAAAGGGACACATGATGTCTTGATTTATCATGTTGGGTTTGGAGATGGATGGAGGTTAATGTGAAAAAACAAACATGGGGATGGGAAGGACTTACCTGATGTACTGTCATTGTTGTCAAGGAGAAAGGACATGTGGGGTCTTGATTTGTTGTGTTGGGTGTGGAGATGGAGGGAGGTTAGTGTGAAAGAAACAAACATGGCAATGGGGGGACTTACTTGATGTACTGTCATTGTTATCAAGGATGAAGGGATGCAGAGGATCTTGATTTATTGTGAACAAACATGGCAATGGGGGGGACTTACCCATTGTACTGTTGTTATTGTTGAGGACAAAGGGACATGCAGGGTCTTGATTTATGGTGTTGGGTGCAGAGATGGAAGTTGTTAGTGTGAAAGAAACAAACATGACAATGGTGGGGGACTTACCTGATGTACCATTGTTGTTGTTGAGGTTGAAGGGACATGTAGGGTCTTGATTTATCATGTTGGGTGCAGAGATGGAGGGAGGTTAGTGTGAAAGAAACAAATATGGCAATGGGGGAACTTACCTCATGGACTGTGGTCATGTTGTCGAGGATACAGGATGTGTGGTGACATGTAGAGACTGTTCTTACACTGAGTGGGGAGATGGAGGGCAGTTAGTGTAAAAGAAACAAATGTGGGAGTGGGGGGACTTACCTGGTGTGCTGTGGTCATGTTGAGGATGCAGGGATGCACAGGTGCTGGCCATGGAGATGGACAGAGGTTAGTGTAAAAGAAGAAAAGTGGCATGGGGGAGGGACTTACCTGGCAGTGTTGTTGAGGATGCAGGACATGTGGGGTATTGGTATGGATGTGGGTGTAGAGGTAGGGCCTGGGGAAGATTGAAAGTAGAAGGGATGTACTGTGTTGTGTGAGCTGTGGCTGGGGAAGAGCAAAAAAATGACAAGTCATGCACTGACAAAACAAGAAGCATGTGATCGGTGTGCACATGCTTGGGCCTAGGCACATTGAAAATTTTCCTACACATGTGATGAGCAAAACATTCCCAAACAGAGGGATTTATATACTGGAACTGGTTGTCATTTCTTTCTTCCACTTCTTCCTCATCATCAACCATGATTGCCTCCCTCCCTCCCTCATCATTGCCACACAATCTGTCTGTAGTGCACTCCCTCTGTCCCACTGTCTAGTCAATGTGCACCCACTCTGTCCCATGCTCATCATTGAGGTGGGATCTGTCCATGCCACCCTTGTCATTGGCATGCCCCCTGTCTCACTGTTGGTGTTGACACCCCATAGCACATCATCATCAATGCCCCAGGTAAGCCCCCCACTCTCCATCTTTTGTTTTATATAAATTAATTCTCATTTGCCTAGTGTCCTTTGTTGTGTCTGTTTGGGATGATGCCATGGTGACATGAATGGTAGGTAAGCCCATGCCATTGACATCTGTTGATTATATCCATTAATAATTTTAATTTTGCAGTCACCTTCATTTGAGGTGTCATCCCCCTCCACATCCTGATGCCATGGCAACATGAATTGTGGGTAAGCACCTGCAGTTGACCATCTATTGGTTGCATCCATTAATAATTTTAATTTTGCAGGTGCCTTCATTTGAGGTGTCATCCCCCTCTGCATCTTAATGCCATAGCAACATGAGTGGTAGGTAAGCCCATGCTGTTAACCTTCCATTCTTTATATACATTAATAATTTTAGTTTTGCAGTCACCTTCATTCAAGATGTCATCCCTCCTCTGTGTCTTGATGCCACAGTGACATGAATGGTAGGTAAGCCCACACCATTAACCAGCTATTGGTTATATCCATTAATAATTTTAATTTTGCAGTTGCCTTCATTTGAGATGTCATCCCCCTCCACATCTTGAGGCCATGGGAATATGAATGGTAGGTAAGCCCATGCTATTAACCCTCCATTCTTTATATACATTAATAATTTTAATTTTGCAGTTGCCTTTGTTTGAGATGTCATCCCCCCTCCATGTCTTGACACCATGGGAACATAAATGGTAGGTAAGCCTATGCCATTAACCCTCTATTCTTTATATACATTAATAATTGTAGTATATCAGCCTTTATCTGTGTCTACATAAGGTAAGTTGTCACTGACATTGCATTGCAGACCACCATCCCATGCATATGCAGACTGCAGCTGCTTACATGCTGGGGTGGTGCCCCCCCCATTCTCAGTGCACCTGGCCAGTGTGCTATTGTAATGGGAGGTTAAATTTTGTTTTTGAGTCTGTGTGGCACTGGGGGGTTCATCCATACCAGCTTTGCTGGTTGGCACATTTTCAAAGCCTGTCCTCTCACCAGGGCAGGCTAAGGGTACTGGGGGATGGCTTCTGCCATGTATAGTCTTTGCTTAAATGTTTAATGCTAAATCTTGGTAAGCATATGGTGTTGATTTGTGTCATGTTACTTATGCTAACACTTGGTAGTCTAGTCTTCAAGTGAGCCTGGTTGTAAGTTTTCGATTTTTTTTACCTTTTAGGTACTGATATATGCTTCAGTGGTGTAATAGTTAGAAATGGGGTACTGTTTGATTGTTGAGTTTTTTTTTTTCATGAGAACTTGCTGCCATTCTAGGGGAGGGCCCCCTCTGGATTGGTAGTAGGGTCTCAGTTCCTTTGGGAACTTTTTGTTGCAATTCTTAGTAGTACTTGTTATATGGGTGTAATGTGTGTAAATTTTACTTGAAAATGCAATGATTGTTGTTGAATTACCCTTGTTTTTTTGAGTGTTTACAGTCCTAACCCTAACCCTAAGCACAGCACTTCATTGAGCAATGAGTCCTTTCCCAGGCACCACATTGCCTTATACAGTCTAATTCTCAGCTTAAAATTTTACTCTCCCTACTTTGCCTGCTGTCACTCCATTTGACATCATCCCCCCCTGGTGGCTGCTTTGCCCCTTACTGATCCTGCCCTGTCTGCCCTTCTTGACCAGATTTTGACATCTGCTCTGGGGGGATCCAAACTCTCATCCAGCCTGGTGTTAGAGAGAGATGACCTCAGGAAGCCAAGGCAAGGTTTTGTGGACTCCCCATCCCCTGGTGGGGAAGGACTGATGGAGTCTCATAGACTTAGAGTACTGTCCAAATTGAACCATCTGGTAAAATCTATGTCAGGGGAAGATCTTCCCAAGACATCCATTTCTGACTTGGAACTCCAACTCTAATTCTCATGTTACATATGTAGTTCCTTTTTTATAGAAGATAATAATGCATGGGGTGAGTGTAAGCCAGGTGGAAGTGAACAACTTAAATTCAGATGAGGGAAAATGTGGCCCTTGTTTGGTTTAAACCTGCTTGATCACATACCTATGCAGCATGGCCTGTAGTATGCATATTGGCAATGTTAGGATATGCCCTACTACAAGCATTGTTTAACTTTTTGGGTAACATGAACAAGAAGAAGGAAATATTACACTGGGATTTGCTTGAAAACATGCATGATAAAATGGTTTCTCTTCCTTTAATCTATTTCAGCAAAGAAAATTGTAAAATGCTTGCAGTGAACCTCTAAGTTTAGCTAATATAGTCCAGTAGTCTACCAAACAACACATTATTTTTGTATGGTTGTGGCTATTCAAGAGATGGATTGGGTGACTTTTTTCGGAATGGTCATGGATTCAGCAAACAGGTGTGTGAAAGGCACACTACCTGATGCCTGTGCTTTAATGCTGCATAAATCTTTGAATGCAACAGAAAAGGCAAAATTGGCTGATTTGAGTGCAGCAAAGGAAGCTTTAATAATGCACACATCCCTATCTGAGAATGCTTGGAATTCTCTAAAGGCTGGCTTCTGAAAAAATCTACAAGCCACCTCAGTGTAGGGATCACTGGATGAACTTGACCTGGATTCCTCCTTTGTGTCCTTTGCAGCAGCAACAACCCTCTTATAGGCATCCAACACTCCCAGCACATGCATTTCAATATCCTCCAGGTTGGTGGAAAACACTGTGAGATTTGCTGCCCTGGCCTGATCAGCTTTAGCTCTAGCAGCTTTCCAGGGGCCAGCCAAGTCTTCATCAACCTCCTCATCCTGCTGGTAATCCCAATGCTGCTGATACTCCTTGAGATGTTTTTGTTTCAGAGCATGCCCATATTCAACCAAGGCATCCAAGATGAAAGGTGGTTTTTCTCTCTTGACCACACTTGACTCTCCCTTGTTTCCCCCCAAGGTGTGGACATACCATGGCTTGTCTGAACCCCAAGTTTTCCTGTCTCTAGAAAACACAGTCCCCTTGACTCTGAGACCTGTTTTGCTGGAATCAAGGCAAGTGGTGAACCTGGTTTCTCAATTAGTCTTGTTCCATAGATTAAATTCTCCACATACATAAATGCTAGTTTTATTGCCTCTTGACTGGCATACCCCTTTGTATAAACTGCCAGGTCATGGAATTTTGAGTACAAGCCAACTTTTGTTTCTGCCAGGCCCAAGAGGAGAACCTTCTGCAAGGCTTGCTGTGCCTCTTTGAGTGACAAGCCAGAAATCCTCTTGTCAAAATCTTTGACATGTTCTACCTCTCTTTCAAAAGCCTCCCTGACTCCCTTGGGCTCCTCACAGCGGGAAGAGGTCTTGAAATTATCCACAAGTTCTCTGCACCAAGTGAGCATGACTGTGTCTAAAGAGTGCCAGCTTAGTGTGCAGTTTTACTATACCCAGCATATTAAAACACACCTCCATCATAATCTAAACACTTCAATTAAACATCTGAGACCTTCCAAAAATACCATGAACTTACCTCCTCCCCCAAGGTAACTTGCAAGAGTGAACTTCCCTCTGACAGGGAATATGATGACATTAAAATACTTGCTCAGCTTTGGATGACTGATTGCAGTGACCTGAGGGGCTATGTTATTTCACAAGGTCATGTGTGCATAATCATTCATACCTTCTGAATATCTGATGGTAACCTTGTTGGATTTCTTGAGACCTATGGAATTTTTCAGTAAGGCAATGATTTTTACATGGTAAATTTACCAAAACAGGTCCAATTATAGTGTCTTGTTGAACACCAGTGACTGGATCAATAAATGGCTCTGAAGAACAAAAGTGAACTTCATTCTCATTCAAGACACCATATGGGTCTGTTATACCACCATCAGTACAAAAACCCATACAGTGAGAATGAAATATCTATACCTGGTACAACATATGCTTCAATTGACTCAGTCACTGGGATGTGAAACCTTTGCACATAGCTGTCAAGCAATTTTGTTAGGACTACCTCCAGTTTTCTGAACAACAGCTTCAGCTTCATTGGATGGAAACCAGCTTGGAGCAATTCCAGTGTTGTTTCATACAAGCCAAGTGGTTGGCCTGAAAAGGGTGTCCTCCCCACAAACTTTTGCATTGGAACCTTCCCCAATTCATAAACTTGCTCCTCATCCTCATCCATCTCCATCTTGTCCACCTCACCCTCATCTTCATCCTGCTGTTCCTGGTTGTCCCATGGCCTTAGCCTCCCTATACCCAGTGCACGTGCTTCCCCTGCAGTCCTTCTTTGAATACGACTGATAACAACATGCCCTGCTTTTTCCACTGCCCTCCAGACCCTAAGCATAGACTCAGGCCTCCCCCAATCAATCAGTTCTTTTACCTCCTCATGGAGGCCATGAGCCATGAGTTTCTTGATTACTTCATGGGGAACCTTGTTGTGAGTAAGATTGACCAGAGTCTGGGCTGATAATTGACATGGCCCAGTTACCCTTGAAGGAGCCAACAACTCAAACATTCTTTGGGACTCAGGGAGTGGTTTGGCAAGGGAGATCTTATTTTGTGACCTCCGAATCCAAATTTTACACCTTCCATCAGCAACCTGCTCCTCAGGGTCTGGATGAAGCATCCACATACCCTTTGCCCCTCCAATTCTACCCTGTACAGCAGTTGGTCTACTGCTATATCCCATCCTCCTCATGATCTGAGTCAGACCAGCCCCATTCATCCACCCACACCCATCAGTGTAAGTTTTCTCAGCTGGGGCTTTTCCACCACCCCAGTCAGCAGGAGTCACATCTTAAGACACCCAGCCTTATCAATTGAAGCTCAAGAACATTGCAGACAATGACTTACATTCATCATCAATAAAACATATGTTTTCCTCTTCAAAGGCAATTGTTGGGACGGAAGTGGACAAACCTAATGCCCAACGAGCAGACCATTTACTAATTGGCTGTGTTGAACATGAGCATACCACAAATGCGCAGAGCAGTTTACCATACCTGATGGCTATTCAGCTTGAAGGGGTTGTGCCAGTTTATGAAGTCCATGAAGGGCAACCTGTAATGGTCACCATCCTGGGGGTTGCACTGGTGCCCAAAACCTTGATTGTTCTCCACCATATAGACTCCACCCTCCTTCGCATGGAATGGAAGGAAAACTCGACCACAAAGGATGAATTTGTGACATCCAAAGAATCTCCGTACCTCATCCCCCTGTTGGTAAAGGAAGCTGTCAGGAACCCTGACCTGAAGGATTCGCCGTGATCCCAGATACCGTGCAAAGCGGTGGGAGCGCCTAATCTCGGGCCTTTCGAGCTGAATGTAGAAGGACCCTTTACTCCTTGCCTCCTTTAGCCTCGCTACCTGCTGTATTCTTCCCCCATACCATCCATCCTTCCCATGCCACGGACCCATCCCTCCCAGCCCGCGCCCCTTGTTCTCCAGGATGGCAGCTTGCTCACGATCGTACTCCACCCTAAGATGAACTGGTGAGATACGGTCTCTCAGCCAAAACACTCATACCCTACGTACCACACCTCCATGGCTTCCGCAGATGCATTTGTCCGCTTTCCAGTCATGACATTAGAGACCCGAGGTGCAGTTTCAGCATTAGTGCCGCACAACTGATCTACGCGCTCTTCGGTTACATCGGACCAAAGCCACGAACCATTTGTAACACCGCGAGCCAGCTCAAAAATAGTCCCCCACGGAACTCGCTTCTTGTCAAGTAGAGATTGTATATACTGGTCGTGGGCGATGATATAGGGGTCTAGGGTGTCAGCGTCTAAGGTCTGACTGGCCGGTGACGACCCTGCGCACGCGACCCCGGATCCCGTCCTCCGGACTTTGGTGGGATTGATCGAAAAGGACTCGGCGTGTGTAATAGGACGTTTCACGCCTACATTCCTCGCGTCAGACGGCCGAGAAGGGCGCTGGGGACTCTCGAGACGGAGGTTGTTCGCCATTTGAACGTCAATCGAGGAAGAGGTACTAGAGGATCTTGACGATCCGGGGGCTGATTGGGAGCCGTGATCTATCGTAGACAGAGGATAGTCAAGAAGAAATGGAGAGCAAACGTGAGGCATACCAGAGACTTGACTTGCCAGATAGATTTGAACAACGTCCTCTTCAGGGTATGCGTCGTCGTCGTCGTCGTCCTATCCCAAACGTCAGATGTATAAAAAAAAGTTGAGGTTTTTTCACGCACGAAACTGATAGGCATGTCGCTGACAAGTATTGTAATGGTGCGAGACTTTGGTTGATGCGTTTATCGATGGTAGTGGTTCAACGTTCAGCGTGGGCCCAGTCTCAAGATCAAACCGTCGCGCCTCGAGGCTAACGCCGGAAGTGACTGACACGCTCGAAGGTACAGTAGAAGCCGCCTTAGCACGTGCACTTCCTTTGGGTAGTCTCGCAGTCTCTCCTTACGATGCCAAAGGAAATCACACGTCTATGCTTTCCAGAAAAATGCTCAAAATATCGTTGCACAGCTGCCCAGGTATTGGTAACATAGTCCAGTGCGAAAAAAAAAAAATCATTAGCACATCATTACAAAAGATCTTACACTCCGCGTATACAATAATAAGGCGAACGCAGTGCACGTTCTACTTGCGGGCGAAGGTAATCTGCAATACTCTGTTAGGTGGTCCTCGTCCGGCTGACGTGCATTACATACCTTAATTTTGTTCTCTCCGTCCAGCTTGTAGTTGTGCAATGCATCTTTCGCGACACTTGCGCTTGCCTCGTCCACATATTCCACGAAAGCGATATCTTTCTTTGTTGGAATGAGCCGAACTTCGTACAAATTGGGATACCTTGGGATCCCACCAGTCAGTGCGCGAATCGAGCAAAACCAAGGCGGACGCACTGAGAAAATAATGCCATAAGTTGGTCCTTTGTAACGTTTTCGGGAAGGTTTTGCAGGAAAAGGATCTTGTTCGGTGGTAGGTATTCGTCTGGCATTTGGACGGCAGGACGCTTGGGCGCCGGAATTGCGGAGACACCAGCCACTTTGAAAGACAGTTAGGCTATGGACTTGGAACACAAAAACGACGTACGTCCTGCTGCTGCCAGTCTCTTGCTGCGCAGTTTTTGCTTCAGAGGGTTGGTATAGCGGGTAAGTTCTAGAGTGCGGGAAAAGATTTGAGTTGAAATGGCACAGAGTTGAATTGGACACATACTCTTATGCTCGCCTCTCCTGCTTTTATGCACTTCGAGATTCTGAGGGGCTAGGCGTTTGACAACAGCATCTGAGCGCGTTCTCGCAAACGAGATTTGCTGAGGCTAATCAACAACGTATCAATGCATAAAACAAGAAGACATACCATCGGTTTCGAATACAGAGGAAAACCACGGACTTCTTTCAAGGCTTTCGCTGCTACCTCGGGCGAAGCAAACGAGACGAATGCTTGGCCGCGCATCCGGAGGTTACCATGAGCAACGACATCGAGGACTTCACCATATGACTTGAAAAGACCTCGTAGCGACGCCTTCAGTACTACGCACCACAGGCTAGGTGGTCAGATCCAGTGCGAGAGCCAGCGATCAGCGGAGGACACGTACCATCGATTCCGACCTTTTCATTCAAGTTTTGAATATACAAAGTTTCGCAGGCAACCTCTGGTTGAGCTGGAGTGGAAACGCCACCCTGGCCTGGTACTGCAGGAGGGACATTTGGCACGGGTGTCCCTGTGATTGAGGTGGTCTGTGCGTCGGCCATGGCAGTCGAGACAAATCGTCGTTGTTTACGCTTGCTTGGTCCCCGCCGTCTTCATATATCCATGCACTTCCATTTCTGTCAACTAACTTATTGGACTGCAAGCTCCAGTGACTGGCTGGACTCTGCACTGGACTCTGATCATGGGGCGCTGGACGCAGTACGATGAGGTTTGTCTTCATATGGACTTCTTCCTTGTTGTTGACGGAAGCACGCAGGATAACTACAGACTACCTGAGGGAGTAGAGCGGATAGGATACGACAGCGACACTGGGCGGTATTATTTTCGTGATAACGACGGCCTTCTCTATAAAGGCCCTGAGGGATCTGAATTTGGTGAACTCGTCCAAGGTAGCGTCTTTCCAACTCTTTGACAACGACAAGGGCCAACGTATTGGAAAGTCTCCGAGTTGCCTGTCGCCGTTGCACCCCAAGTCGACGACGACCACGATGATCTCGAAGCAGCGCCTACCCAACGGAATGGCTATCGCCAACTTGCAATAGATGAGGTTGGTCAGCCATTGTTGTTGGAGTTGACGAGTTGGTGACACTAGTTCTCTAGCACGGTTCACGTCATACCCTCCGAGGCGGCTCTTACCGCACATTATTTCCCTTTTTCCTTGTCGTCTCGGTCGTGTTGCTCCTTGTGTGGCGTCTTGTTTTACTCCCTACCCGTGTTGCACCGGCTCCCTGCCCAAGTACAACAATATCGTATATCGTCCAATCCGGTGACACCTGTTACGACATCGCCCGCAGCCACAATACGACTTTGGACAAACTCCTTATTGTCAACCCGCAGATTGTTTGCAGCAAGTTAATGCCGGGGGATAGGGTCTGTGTGCCGGACGAAGGTTCATCCATTAGCAGGCGTTTCGGTGGACGCGTTTGAGTGTGACTTTGATGATATCTTGGACCCGAGCATTTGTATCACACTATCTGCATTTCCATTTTGCACCTATCTGGGACCTGTGTAACTCGGCTTTACGATTGCTGTCCACAAGAGTCCGCAGTGTGAAGTGATGACGTCAGACGGTAGCTTTGCACAGCCACAGTGGCATGTTCAAGTTGAGACAATTTACGACCCATGACTTTCCCTCCCATTCACCCTCCTGCACGACTTCTCACGACTCACGATAACCTGACATGGCCTTTGGCGATCATTTTCAGAGAGGATTCCCATGTAAGCTCTCCCCCTACTTCGCCATCCAGCAGGTGGCTGACAGCAGCACCACAGTCGTACTTGGGTTGATCATCTTCTTCAGTATTATTCAAGTGGGTCCCCTTCGTTGTCTCTGTCGATGACAGATGTGTTTATGGGTTCCCTCCAGCTTGCTATTTCCGCATGGCTTACATCCCGATTCAATGCACGCCATGACTACTTCAATATTTCTGAACGAGATCGTACTCGCTTCATTCTCTTCGCATCGATATGGACAACTGTTTTGTCTTCATGTTACCTCTTGCTCTTCTTTACATCCCAATCCAGCGTGTTGAGCAGTGTGTTGTCCCTTATGATCTTGTAAGTTCAGTCGTGTAGGTTCCCATGCAAATTAACTGGCTTGTCCATTTAGCTTGGTCCTCACGTGGATATTCTGGACTGCTGGAGCAGCCAGCATCACAGCCTCGCTTGGCGGGGGGCTTAACTGCAGGCGAGTTCTCGCAGTGCATGTCTTTACGTTAACTGCTAACTCTTGCGCAGCAACACCGTATTCGTATATTGTGGCCAGCTAAACGCAATGGAGGCGTTCGCCTGGATTCTATGGTGCGTTCATGCGACAGATTATCAAAACAATGCTAATATCTATCTTGACAGGATCCTTACTACATTCCTTCTCATCGTCGTGGCTATCCGTGGAATACTTTCCGCACGACGTGGTGATGGTTTCCGAGGACAACTTTTCGCTTAACGCGCTTGAATAGTGCACTACCTTTGTCACCTCTACTCTCCGTTTTTCTCCGTTCGCCTTTATTAATGCGACCCCCTTTACCTCTACAGACGAAACTGCGACGCCCCTCTTTGTATCCATCTATATTCGATGTATCGTGCACGATTTTAACATAGTACGATTCTTGACTTGTGCTCATGGACATACATATTCTTATCCCAGTCCCGTATGTACTTGGATATGCTGTTAGCTATACAGAGCAGCATGACGTACACTGTCAATAGCGCTCTATCACATTACTGGGAATAGGTAGGGCATTCCATGAACATGGTAAACATTCGTCTGGTTTGTTCGGGCTGGTTGAAATTAGGCTTGTGAAGTTACGTAATCACGGCAGGAAAACTCCTGAATTTCCCAATGCGAAAGTAGAATGTAGCGACATGAGGGAACGATCACCAGGATATGCAAGGTATTGGATTGAATGGTTTAAGACTGCCACTCCAGCATCTCTTTCCCAAGGATTCCCGTATTATGGTCTTCATAAATTCAACACTGCTCGGCCTGCTGCTGCCCCTACAATTCCAAGTATGAGCGTACTTACCAGACCCGATATGCTGCTGGCCCTGGCTGCAAAGTCACCAGGAACACCATTAAACAGAACGAGTGTAGGCATCGACTGATAAGTCTCAGAGGGATTACCACCTGTTAGATTTGCACCATTCGGCTTTACGTTTTATCGGCGCGTCATCAGTGACACTCAGAAAGGAACACGAATGAACATACTCCAATCGGAAGAGACTGATCTGTGTACTGACACGCGGTGGAAGTGCATAGACATTCTCCAGCAATGGGGTCCCAGAATGGTGTGGAACAGTTTGCGGGCACTTAATAACGAGAAGCACGTAGGGGAACAAAACTCGTCGACAAGAATTAGTCAGACGGGCAAAGAAAACTTACATCGAAATCTTGCCTGTTGTCCAGTTGCTACCTGTTGCGGAGGGTCTGGGTTCGAAGGGGATGGCTCTGATTGAGGACAGCCATACTGGACAAACATAATCGGCTAGTCAACGACGTTCTGTTTATTATCGGTAGGCACAAGCCACTCACACAAGTGAAGAAGGGGTAATCTGGGAATGAGCATTCCTGCAACAGCCCCGCTTCGTTCGTTGGTATGCCGTTACAGATCTGCACTGACGAGTCGACATCCGGAGTCTTGCATTTCAGCGCGTCCAAACTATCAAGTTCTGATATCGGTACAGGGTTCTGAACCCAGGCGAGAAGCTGTTCGTTTGAGACAATCCAGACATCTTGCTGCTCCTGTACCCAATCCAGGAACCCGTTGATCATATTGATAGTCGCAGTCGATGCATCAGATCCTGGGTAAGTAAGCTATATCGACATGCTTCGCTATGAGTATACCAGCAACCAAAAAGTATTTGCTAGAATGGGTGAGAATGCCAACGTACGGAAATATGAATGGGGTGGGTGTACAATCCGATGGGTTGCTTATCACCGTTGTAATGGGCCGTGAATGTGTTCTTCATGTACTCCAAGGTAGCAGTATTATTTACTGTCGAATCACCATTGGCGGCGTCCAACCATGGATCCATGAGGTGCGGACCATCCTCCCCAAGGTCGTCGAAGAACGCGTACATCGGGATTTCCCAAAACCCTGGTATCTGGGGCTGCCCCTTGCAGATGTTCGGAGTCGTCAAGCAGTCATTTGCAAGACCATAATCGAGCGTGTACGGCCAGTAGGCGTCAGTATCCGGGTCTGTAACTGGGATAGATGATGTTACGGAGGAGTCGTAGGTAAAGTTAGCATCCGCGAGGAGATGGAAAGTTGTATTGGTATAATTAAGATACGGGGCGCGGAAACCTTTGATGGCATTGAAGGGGATTCCAGCAAGCGTGTTGAGGGCAATCAGATTTCCATCGATCTCATTCGCAGGCGGTGACCCCACATGAGTCATCCTGCGGTAATGCACGACAAGTGAGTAGGAAGAAGGCAAGACACGTCGTAGAAAAGACTTGTTGCACCCACGTGTGATCAGCAATCTCATTTCCCGCAACGTACCAGTCTGTAACGAGCGTGTAGTTGGTATAGGAAATCGAAGTAAAGTATGTCATCTTGATGGGACATCCGTTCGGGTTCATCCGCTGTGCAAGAAGCTGGTTGATGGCATCTAGTGTGTAAGATTGGATAGCATCATCTGCAGTGAAGACAACGAATTGCGGAACCTCCGACTAAGAGAGGGCTTTGTAAGCTGGGTTGTAAAGTGGGTTGCGAAGACGGACAGACTTACGGGGTCAAGCCCACCAGGCGGACTTGCGCTCGCGCAATTACAACTGGGTAGCTTACACCTGTTGGGATCACATTGGTACCCAGAAGCAGCAGGGCTTGTCGTCGGACCACTTATCCCACCATCTTGGGCGGCAACTAAGTCCGAAAGTCCCACCAATAGCAAAAATAACAAGGTTGCAAAAAGAGCGAAGACGCCCATCCGCTCCGCAAGCAAGACGCAACGAGTTGGCCGAGAAGTAAAAAGAAGGTTACCAGAGAGACAAAAGAATAGTTTTGTCAGAGCGGCCTGGGTCCCCTCAGCCGTCGGGTAGCAAAATGCCATTAAAACCTTTTCATGACAATTAAGCGGCCCTCCTGAACGCTTACCGTAATTCGTTCTCGCTGAACCCGGCCATCAGAACTCCATATCGACCACGGGACATAACCAGCAATGGCGCAGATCAGCATGCCAGCCTGGCCGACATCATCGGGATCGGGTTTGAACACCATAACACAGGGGCTAATTCATAGATCACGTGCGCGTGGTCCAAAACCTTGTTCAGTCGAAAATTCGGTCACCGCTACTCACGCTGGTACCCTTGAAGTTGAAGCAATCAAGGATGATCAATCCATCAATATGACCGTCGTTGCCTGAGAGATTTGGCTGACGAGAGGAACCACGATGCACCTGAACTTATGATTCCTCGTCTATACTGTCACCATTAGGGGAATGCATGACAAGGTGAGTGCTCCACCGCTACAGTTGCCGTTTTCGGGACAGTTCTACTATCGTGCGGAGTTAGATGATCCAGCACGTCCTTGGATGGTTACAGTCCTAAGATGCGGCTGTGGTGTACCGGCGCAGGATCACTGCATTGCTGTAAGGGACGACGGAGCCAAGAACTCATGGCGCAGCAGGAGCCTTGTTTTCACCCACTATCTCGGCGGCCCCCAATGAATCGGCGGTGGTCTTCGTACCAAGACCAACGACCCAATTCCCCGTGATATGAATCGTTGAAACGATCGGAACAATCCATCAGAACATTATTGTATGCGCCGAGACACCGCTCATCTCCCTCTTGGCCAGGTCAGGTGTTCCTCTTCTCTCCCCCAGGCCTCACGTGCAATATCTGTATACGATGCGCCTCGTGCCGAAGTGTCCACAGGGGTAATACATATGCCAATTGTGGTCCTCTCACCTACTGTAGCCTTCTCTAGAACAAGGAGCGCTGCGCATCGGTCTATCGCTTTCCCATTGCCCTGAAACCGCACCATTCAACCTGGAATCATCTCCAATGCCAAGACGAAAGGAGTGAATAATAATAATCCCTCAACTAGTCCTTGGAGTTACACATACCCAAATGCTTCACCGCTCCGTCGCTCTGTCTACGTCATCAACCTTGGAGCCATGCAATTGCGCCCATTATGGTGTGGACACAGTGAGACTATGAGCATGTTCTTTAATTTAAGCTGAACCAGCTCCTTACCCCCATTTCAGTTAGGATCGCTTCCCAAAGGCTGTGGAGTCTTGATAGCCGGATATTTAGTGGCGCCGTACTTGGCATACACTTGTTCAGTGGAGCCCCTGACAAGGTGAACCGGCATGGACCTCCCCGAGCGCACGAAGACGTCCCCTCCACAACACTGGTATGTCAAAGCTTTCTAAAACGCATAAATACTGCCCCTCTTGTCATTCATCTACCCACTATCTTCACTTCATTACATCCTCCAGCTAGATCTTTACTATGACAACTACAAGCCACACGCAGAGTACAGCTCCTTACTACTATCCCATCGTCGGGCGCAAGTCTACAGGGGGTGTTTATGATCGCATCCCTATCGAGGACATGCAAAAGCATCATCCTAAGCAGTTCACACTTTTTGTTCTCAGCTACGCTGCCGTCCAGGGCGTGCCGAATCCGTCCGTCGGTACTGTCTTCCCGGGCGTTGAATTGCCCGCCACTTCGTACATGGAGATTGCTGGAATCCACGGGAAACCTTACCAAGAGTACGCTGGCGATCGGAAGACCCCAGACGAGAAGGCGTCGGACTATAACGCAAATGATCGCAAGGATACCCTACCCATCCCTTCACGGTTTGGTGGTAAATTTGTTACATAACTAAGGTTGGTGTGCATGCTGAGATTCGATTTTAGGTTACTGCAAGTAGGTGGCTTGCAGTGTGATATGGTATTTGCATGATAAACTTGTGTTAGTCATGGATCAGTCTCCTTTACCACTTGGCATCGCCCGTACATGTTGCTCATTGAGGTTCGAAAACCAAAGAGTTCCAATTACCTTTGTTGACTGGAGTGTTCATACAGCAAGCCGTTGGCGATGTCGCTGACCGCATTGCGGCGGAGATCGAGAGAACCAACATCGGAGAGCGCGGAAAATGGATCCGAGAGGCGAAGAAACTTCGTTTTCCGTACGCTTGATAAGTGACTACGATACCATGCCTCTGATAACGGCCGTTTGGCACAGGTATTGGGACTGGGCTGATCCAAGGGTCGCTCAGGAAGGGCTTCCGCCTGTGCTCTACGAAGATCAACTGGAGGTCACGGTTGCCGGAGGCAAAAAGACGACTGTCCAGAACCCCTTTTCGTACTACACCTATCAAGGAGGCATCCCTTCTGACTTCACTGACCTCGAGAATTCGACGGTAAGATCACGAGTGGGAGGCTACGATTAGGCTACTTAGCAGAACGTTTCTAGACACGTCAAACAGCATATTATTCGAAATGGACGCGAACCTACCGGCACCCTCCAAACACCCCAGAGGGTGGGAGCGATATCAATGCCCTGCAGCAGTTAGTAGCTTTCTCCGTTCATACGTCAGGACGTCAATTAACTGCGCTGAGATAGAGCCCTCAAGGCTCAGGCTGTGAACATTCGTACAAAAGTCGGGTTACTATTCACATTCTCGGACGGGGAAGATCCTGCCCTGGCGTACGTTTTATGTATCGTACCTGAATTTATGCTGACGGTCGTAGTTATGACGAATTTTCGAATTCGGTCAATGAATCGCGCAGGGAAACGGACTATCGCAACGTCGGCTCCCTCGAGGCTGTGCACGGAATTATTCATGGCACTATTGTAGGTGTTTGATTATCAGATGTTTCAACGTTACTAAAATGTTACAAAGGGCGGGAATGGGCACATGGTTAGCGCTTTCGCTCTATCACACTGAATAACTCACACCGACTGTTGTGCCTAGTCTGACCCAGACTATGTGAGTCACTACACTACAATCGAGCCCACCATCGTGACCGACACAACCCCATGTGCAGGCTGCCTTTGATCCCATCTTCTTTTGTGGGTCCTTCACCCTGTGCTGGCCAGCTGTTTATCTAATATTTCGCTAGTCCACCACAGCAATGTAGATAGGATCCGTAAGTATAAGAAAGGCATGATTGGAATTTACCTGCTGACCGTTCGCCACAGTCGCATTATGGGAGTGGTGCTACAGGGACTATTGGATGGGAGATGGATATGTAAAAGATGATGTAGCATATCCTTGGACCCAGGTTCGTACGACACTGTAAACCAGAAGGTGATGCTAACAGCTTTTTAGCAACGTGGGACTTACGCACAGGTGTACAACGAGCAAATCCTCCCAGCTGGTGCTCGCGGAGCCCTATACCCATTCAGAAACGAGAAAGGCGAGTACTGGACCTCGGAGCAAACCCGATTCCTAGACGCCGATTCCTACCCGAAATGTATGTCTCCTCCTCCCACTCCGTTGGGGTTGTCTCAACGTTGTCTCTGTAGACTATTCGTACCAAGAGTTTCTAGGCGTTAAGGTTGACCAGAAGGCCACTGACGATGAACGCCACGCAGCTCGCGCAAGGATTGCTAAGTTTTATGGCTTCGATCCTCAAACCTCTGTGAAAGGCAGAAACAAGGGCGATTGGAGCCATGTGACGGTTCCCAAAGCCAAAGACCGAGGACTTTCCGAGATCCTGAAGGAGATTCCTAACTTCCGCGTTTTCATCGTCCTCGTTCGTCTTCCAGAGCACGCGTTCAACAGGTCGTACAGCTTCGAATTGTATCACGACCGTGGCTCTGCACCTCAGCTAGTAGGTATAGCCACAGTTTTCGCCCGCCCAGACCATTCGCCTTGCAAGGCTTGTGCCCAGCGTCGGGAATCGGGATCAATTGTCCGGGGTATCATACCATTGCCTTTCTCCCTAGTGAACGACATCATCGTGAACAGTGGTATCGACAGAACAAAGGCGACGGTGGATACCACCGCGGCTGATATCACGAAGAACCTCTCTGGCAAGCTGTTGGATATGACAGGCAAGGTACTCGCCAGCGCTCAGGGCGGGTCGGAAGCCGCAGCCGTGCCAAAGGAAAAGAAGGCATCCTCTGATGTCGTCCCCGTGGAGGTGACTCTGTATACTTCGGCCGTCGCTGAGAAAGTGGACGATGAAGGACATCCCGTCTACTTGTTCGACTGGCGGCCCCACAACGCGTTATTCCCGGTGAGCAGAACTCCTACCATCATTTCCATGTCTGACTAACCGGCGGCGATTTTCCATATCCAGAACGGATGGAAAGCTGAAACTAAGGAAGCTCTCTAAACCAACTTCTTGCACAGACTCGGTTTATCACCAGTGTGAGTGTATAATATGATGATATGTATGAGAATCACTGTAAAAGAGATGATGAGTTCGTACGATGACACCACCTATAAATCCCTGATGAATACTCCGATCCGATGGTAGCTTCGGAGACTAGTGCTTATTCACATACTAACCTCTCCGCGAGGCTACACTTGTCTCACTCTTGCATTCTCACTGTATGAGGTTGAGTGATTCCAGGTAAGCTTCTGAACTTTTTGGTGGACAACTTCAGGTTGGCAGATGTTTGTTTAATTCCCTCACCACCATGTTCTCCACGGAAGTCTGACTGGTACAACAGGCTATGAGGAGCTTTCAAATCCTCGCAGGAGGAATTCAACCTTGCTTGAGGCAGTGGGAATACAATGTGGAAGTAAGCATCTTCTCCAAGGTACAGTAATAATCATGCTGCAGATTCCCCGACCCTCCACCTGAGTTGTGGGGTCACGTATTATATCATCTGTCCCATGCAGTAGTACTACTTCTGGGATGCATCTGAACTTGGCAGCACCGAGTGCGGAAATCCATTGAAGAGAAAGTTAAAGACTGTCAGGGATATTCATTCCTACACCTTGTAGCTGATCTTACATACAACATAAGTTAACATCAATAGCTTCTGCCATTTGGCATACTCTCAGTGCTTGCATTATTCAAGGCAGCTTGGTTGGTCAGTGCAGTGAGGAGTAACTGATATTTTGAAACACTATCTGCTGCATCATGCATCATCCTGGACCAGTTAATTTTCATTTTAAAAAATGTTTGGTAACTAAGCCCTTCAATGTCTGATGAGAACACACCTCTGGAGTGGATCCAGGCCATCATCCAATGTAGAGGAGGCTGCTTGTGAGAGAATGCATCCAATCTTCTGAACATCCTAGCAGAAGTGTCACTGACTTGGCTCCTCAACACAGAAAACAAGTTACATTCACTCGAGACTCTCCTAGGGGTGAGGTTATTACTTCATCACTCATGCTGAAGTAATCAGCAACCTGTCAATCAATGTCAGCCAGTATCAAAGAAGATGCAGGTTTCCATGCTTTTTCTAATACTCTTGCAATCTCCAAGGACATCCCATGCCAACATACTAGTAAGATCTAGTATAGTATGTAGGTGTTTCAGCTAGCAGACAACAAGGTTTGATAAAGTAGTTACCCTTCCTGTAATATCTTCTGCCAGTGCCTGCCTTTTGTCATCATCAATCTCAGTGAGCACTTCTTGGAGTTTCTTGATTTCTTGTATATCAGACAGAAGCTTCTGTCTAAAGAGTACATTTGATTAGCATGAGTTACCTCACTAAGAACAGGCTGTGGCACTTGTTGAACTTGGTGTCTTGATGGTGGGAACTAACATGCAATGAGCCATGATATTACTTGAAAGAATTGAGGTTTTCTTACCCAGGTTTCCAGTTTTCATAGACAGTAGCAATTACTTGAAGGAACTAACCACCATGTCACATGAATGAGAAAAATTTTAGCCAGCAAATAAGAATGGACCTGCCTCTGCAGCAAAGGGCCTCATTCTTGATTTCATTGCTTCCTCTCGCAACTTTGTCCAGGTAATGTCAATAGGTTTTGGGTCATCACAGAGTACTGCTGGGTCCCCAATGTGCATCAAGAACTTGACTAATGCCTCAATCCGATGCTGTTGCACTGTCTCAACTACTTTTCTGTCTTAATTCCCATGTTAGCAAGCTACAGCCTGAAGCACACATTGTGGACAATGGCATCCCAGTGCCCATACTCACCCTTTTTCATCTGTATGAAGGACCTACCACATATTTCTGCATTCATGGTTGAAGACAGTTCATGAAAGAATGTTATCTCCCCAACCTAAAGCTCATTCCAAAGCAAATCATACCATGAGGTTATATCACAAACACAAGCAGAGAAAAAATACATACAAGATTACTCAAGTTGGTGACACCAAACATATCCATGAAAAAATTGATGGCAGCTTCCTCAGTCACCACATCCTCCAGGACCTTTGACTGGTCCACCTCATCCACCTTGGAAGTCCATGGGTAGATTTGAAAGCAGCCCTATAAAAAAACTTACCCATCCAACAAGAATAGAGAAGTTGAGTCTACAATTTCAGAAATATGGTGCCAGCACTTCCAACAACTAATGAATGAATGAATGCAGCAGGTGCTCACCTAATTTTTCGGATATCTTCCAGTAATTCTGAGCACACATCATTTACTGGGGACCAAGACATGGGCATCATTATGGTGTGAAAAGGAGTAGGGGTGTCAAGCCTCATCCCTGCCTTTGGATCAGCAATCTCAGTAACATCACAGTAACACTCTGAGCACTCGATGACTGTTGTTACTATAAGTGCACCTGTGAGATGGAAAGAGGAGATTCTCAGTAGAGAAATAAGTGGTTGGGTGGCTGGCAGTGACCAGCCAATTGCTTTGTGGAGAGCTAGGTATCGGTTTGCCTTGAATCCCCTATATGGTGCAATCAAAACATCTTCTGCTGGTGATGTGAGAAATGGATGGCTAATGGCATTCTCAACGAGATCAAATTGTCCACTGATACCAAGTTGCGTAGCGAGCTCAAAGATATTGCCCTGCCGCTTGAAATTGTGACCGCTACGTGAAACCTGACCATAATCACCTGGCTACTGCAGTTAGGCATAGCAGTAAAACACATGTCAATCTCACCCTAATTTCTGACTTTGTTGGATAGAAGGATGTGGGAGAACCATCGACATGCCAAGTATATTTTACATTAGCAGTTGCCCCATCCCGCATAATACCAGGCAGTCGAGAAGCCTCACTCCAGCCCTGCAGAGATGTAAACTGGTAATACGGATGAGTGCACGGCATGAAAAAGTACACTAACCCATGGGTTCCAATCGCCAGCTTTCTGCGAAGAACAGCAACCAGGACATCGGACAACATCAATTGTCACCTTGCAGCCGACGCCACACGAATGCCTCGTGGTAACCACCCTTACGTGGTGGATAGATCGGCGAAGGTGGGCATGCTCCATCCGACGAATTTCGGGTTTCCATTCGTTGCCGAGCAGTCGCTCCAAGGAGCAAATGCGCAGAAGTTGTACCTCCTGCCACTCCAAAGGCTTAGAAGGACAGACAATGAACACGAGGTCTCGACCACAGCAGTAAACGAGGACTACTGAAAAGCAAGTCCGGCGCCATTTGTTCACGTAAGTAATGGCAGCAAAATCGTTATCCTTTGAGAGTGTGACCGAGCCATCTTCGACTTGTATACTCTTGGGGTTGACACCATACTGAAGAAAGTTATGAAGGGAAAGAGTCTGGCAATCTAATTCAAACGTGAAGCTGCTGGGATTCTGCCTAACGTCGTTATAAGGAAGAAAGTGCTGCTTGAATTCTATTGGCCCCGCTTTGGGTATTCGCCCGCCGAAAAAACGGAAGCAACCAGATTGAGAGAGCACCAGGTTCATGGTGATAGGGATATTAGAATAATAATTGCTCCGCTTGGGCTCGTAAGAACATGCCAGTTTGACCTCGGCAAGCTTCCCAAAAGTTTCCGTGGGTAGCCATATTTGTATGCCATCGTTAGTCGCAGCGAATGTGCGGAACCGTTCAGCAGGAATGTTATGGAGCGCCTCTTTAGCAATAGCATCTCTCTGGAGAGCGTCGATGAAGTCTTGGCGTGACAACGGGACAATATCAGAACAATCCCGGAAACAGCTCGGGTCTTCCGCCAAAAAGTTACCAGAACACCCAGCATTCTGTTTTTGACCCCACGCAAAGATACTTTGGTCATTGGACGAACGTATGATTTCCAGCTGCAAACGACGAAACGCATTCTTCCCCTCCCCATATAACATTGGCATGTGTACACCAAGTAATCCCAGTAGCGAATATGCTCGGTCTTCCTCGCGTGTCGTGGTCCGGTCAGCGGCCCAGGACATAATCTGGGCAACACCAGGTCGCCCGGAACCCAGGCCATCTTGCAGGACATACACTGGGATTCGTGTGACCCCGCCGAGATGAGATGCTAGTTGCTTCTTGTCACCTAAGCGATTCCACTTGGAATCAAAAAAGTGGACGGCCTCGGGAGCTATGAGCTCTTGAAGTGTCCAGCCTCGAGTGAACCACTTGGCTGACGAGTGGATAGTGCCGACTTCGTCTTTGTATAACCAGGAGTCCCAAGTAGCGTCGTGGATATAGGCATAACATTGCTTTGCGTTTGCGTACCACCGGTACATAGAATTGATGGCTTCTGACAGTTCCGAGCTGCTCTTCTTATCGATGCAGCAGGTGTCCACCCAGACCCACTCCAGACCATCCTTTTGGGCTTGCTTGCAGGTGTCGATTATCTTCTTGTATCCGGTGCGCCTCCTAATCTCATTCCTCTTCTCCTCATTCATAGTCGTGAGCTGTTCCATCTCCTGGAACGAAACCTCTTTCTCGCCATTCTCCGCTACACCCCAGCAATGCGACAGTATGGCATATCCTTTCTCCGCAAGAGCCAGGCCATAAAACTCTCCCGAAATCTCTTTTGAAAGGTCGATGCTTCTCTCCTCATAGATACTCGTCTCCAGGTCAAGTATAGCAGTGACGTGGATGAGTCGCATCTTGCACCATCGGTCTGTCAGTTGGTCTCGCCACTAATCGATTGATATTTGACACCCTTACTGTTACTACAAGGATGGGAGACGCACAAAGGCGACGTAGATCCAGTGACAGTACGGCAACAGTGGTGGCAAACAAACGTAACTGGACAAGGAAAGGTATCGAGCGATAGGAAGGTGAACGAGCACGGGCAAACAAGACAGTCAACGTGACGTGAATGTGTCTTTCAACAGAGGTGAATGCAGGTAAGGTAAGTTTAATACACGTGCTCGATGGCTATGGGCGCTAGTAGAATCTTGAACAGTATAACAATAATCTCACAAAAAGTGGTTCTGAAAACCCTATGCTAACCTGGCAAGGCACGAGCTCAGGATCCTGATCAGCCCAGTCCGCATGTAACAAGCATGGCACCTTTCGTAGGTCAGCGCAGGGCTCACCTCTGGCATTATTGCGGTCTGGTTTCTACTTCTGTTCGTAGACGGACAGGATGGGCCCGGGTTCAAGAGGTGACGGTAGGTAGTGACCAGTAAAAGGTGGAGACTGGAATGCAATGCCTTGCTATTCTACGGTGAACTCTCTGGGAAGCACACCAAGTTCGCCTCGAGGATGGTCTCTATTGATAGTTTCCGCTGTTTGCAATTCCCATTTCAACCAGAACGGTAAGAAAGATCAACAGAACTAAACAATACAGTATGATAGACATCAAAGGAACGAGTGGCGTAGCAGAAAGGACACATACAGGTATAAAGGTGACCAACCAGCTAAATGGTGTCACAAAATTTTCAAAACAACTTCCAAACCGACAAAAGAAAACAAAAGCCCACTTTGCACTGCCCCTCTACATATCTCTTCCGCACGTAATGCAACATCCGCCTAATATCTGACCACAAAAACGGGATGATGACGGTCATGACAGGTATTGCGGTTTCCCAGAATAATAAGTCGGTATGGAGATTAACGGACCACATCACTTCGAAATTTATGCCCTGTTGCAAGGTGTTGCATGTACCAGCGCGTGTATGGTAGGTGCTCAGGAGAGTGGACGCACGAAGTACCCGGTGAGGAGGGTCAGAGGGAGAAGGATGGTTATGGCCATTGTCAGACGACGCCTGGGGGATGGGAGCATTAGGAGCCCATGACATGTGTGCACACGAACAACAACCTACTTCGTCTCATTCATGTCGTATGATTTTAGCTATACACAAGGATAAGTACAGACACCATGAGTTGGAGGGAGACTGACACTAAAAGTTGAGAACACACTTGATGTGATCGTGTAGGCCCGCCTGTCTATGTCCAGTGTATACATGCAGACGCCGTCAGACAGTCACAAGAATGCAGAGGGACGAAACTACATACAAGATGTATCTTCGCCTTGTGACTCGTAAATCCCTGAGTTTTTGTCACGCAATCCCTGGCTTCGACGAGCGCGATTCATTGATCTTCGCCGTACTGTCTCAGATCATATATAACTGATTTGAGGAACTCCATCACTCGCCTGTGCAGAGCGAGGCCGCCCGAAGAGATGCGCACTAGATAACGAAGTATAAGTCAAAGAGGTTGTGGGCGTGATGACGGCAGGGAAATGCCTCGCGAGACGGTCTTGATATTAGCTTTAGCAAGAAGTCGGGTTCGAGCTGGAGAACCTTTCATGGAGCGCAATTGCAAACGTCCGCACACCCGTGTCTGGCTGGTGCAGTCGTGCCGTGCTGGGCCCTGCAAAATTGACAGGCTCGCGGGAGGATGGAGATGACGGCGCCTAGATTCGTGTATCAAGTTGGCCTTATATACCTACCACATTGTGATGGGATCCACACCATTTCTGATGAGAAAGATGGAGATGGGCTGTACTTTTACATATGCCCTTCCCTCTTTCTTAAGTTCCTCGAGTGTTAATCGTGCCTTTTCGTGTCTCTTCCGGTCCTAGCGCCGCGACTCAGTTCAGAACCAATCCGATTCACAAACCAACTTGGACCTACAGCAGATTCTCCATGTATAACGACCATCCCAGGCAAAAGTGTAAGTCCCTTTGGCTTGTCGGCGATACGACGCCGTCACCCTTTTCAGTGAAGAAAACGGGTCGGGCGATGATGATGATTCTCCGCGAATCTGTTCACCCAGCCCTCGGTTCGCCCCCAACTCTTCCACGTCTGATGAATCTGACGTAAGGTCTCCCAGTTCCTCATGTCCCTCTGGCGCGTCGGTCATACAGGTATGACTCAGGACCCGAATAAAGAGGTGTTTAAGGTAGTAATATGCTTTTGAGCGGTATTAACCGCATCGGTAGAGGACGTTTCCAGTAGGGAGAGGGTGCAAGTCTGAACATGTAAAATCTAGTTCATCAACGCGGACAAGCGACGCATGGGCCGTAATATAAATGCCAGTATACTTAGCACGTCCCAATTGACACCACAGGTGCTGATCTGCCGCACCTTGGCCATCTCACCGGCTCACCTATCAGTGGGCAGCGATACAAATTCCCTACTGGACATTCCATCGACGGGGGAGTGGACAGAAGAATAATCGATGAGGGTGATGATACAGTTCTGTCTGATGTGTCCGTAGTGTGGCTAGGCGGAGAAACGACGCGAGTCGATGCCTGGTTCTACACCAGCGCTGCCATGGAGAGCGAAGAGGATAGAGGTGCAGCGGAGGTGGATGACTTTCCTGACGCAGGCTCGGAAACAGTCTTTGAAGGGTAGTGGTTATGCCCGAACGAAATCGTTCTTGTCCTTAGAGGATTGATTCGCCTTGGACATCTTCGTTGAGTCTGAATCTGGAAGTTGTTTTCGCGAGGCATGGGAGAGCGAGGTCGAATCTTCCTACACAAGAGACGACGAAGACCATGTCATTAAACACGGGGTCCTACGTATGACAGCTCAAATGGAACCACGTAGGCGCTGGTATCCTGCCCTGGTCGAGGCGCCGGGCGGTGTAAAGCAAAGAGGCAGTTTGAAAGGTGGTCAGTCCACCAAACCCCCGACACCCCCCAGGAAACCCCTACTCCTTGCGTCCTCATCGTCCTCGTTCGCCTCCCGGAGCACACATTCGACAGGCCGTCCAGCTGCGAATTGTGTTACGACCGTGGCTCTGCACCTCAGCTCGCGGGATGGTCACACGAGTGATCGCCCCGCCTGGGTCATTCACCTTGCAAGGCTTGTGCCCAGCGTCGGGAATCGGGATCAATCGTCCGCAGGGTCATACCATTCATTGTTTTTCTCTCTAGTGAACGACATCATCGTGAACAGCGATATTGACTGTATCAAAGCAACAGTGGATACCACGCAGCTGATGTCTCCAAGAACCTCTTTGGCAAGCTGCCGGATATGACAGGCAAGGTACTCGCCAGCGGTCAGGGTAGGAAGGAAAAGAAAGTGTACTCCGATGACTCGTCCTCGTGGATGTGACTCTCCATGCTTTGGCCATCGCTGGGAAAGTGGACGATGAAAGACATCCCATGTGCTTGTTTGATTGGCAGCCCACAACACATTATCTCCGGTGAGTAGAACTCTCAACTACCATTTAGCGGTAATTTCCGCATCAAGAACGAATAACCCGGTAAGGAGGCTCTCTAAGTCAACTTCTCGCGCAACTTCAGTTTATCGAACTTAGTGCACAGGCTACTGCTTTCGAAGCCATGTCTGTCTCACTCTTGTTCCTGAATATATCTATCCCTACATAACACCGAGTGCGAAAATCCACCGGCACAACTTAGCATCAACAACTTCGGCCATTCAGCACATTCTTGGTCGCATTCGTTTTTTCTGATCGCCGAGCTAGTTCAGCGAGAATTAATTGATATTTCGAAACACCATCGGCCGCGTCGTCCATCATCCTGGACCAGAAAAACAAACTTGTTTGATTATCAAGTCATTATGATGTCTGGTGAGAACACGGACCGTTGGAGTGGATCCAGGCCGTCATCTGAGTTAGAGGAGGCTACTTGCAAGAGAATCCGTCCGATATTGAAAAGGCGCTAGTGGAAGTGTCACTAACTCAGCTTTCCGATGCAGAGAGGCGCAGAGAACGGCTTACATGTCTTCGGGACTGTACCAGGTCCGGAGTCATCGTGATTGCCTCATCATTCAGAAAGCGATCAGCAACCTGCCAATCAATATCAACCGCTACCAAAGAAGATGAGGGTCGTCGTACTTTGTCTAGCATGTGTGAAACCTCGGAGGAGATCCCGCGCCAGAATGTTAGTAAGATCTAGTATATGCATTTTTAGCCAGCGAACAACAAGGGTCACTAAAGCAGTCACCCTTCCCGCAACATCTTCCACCAGTGCCCGCCTTTTAGCATTATTGTTGTTGTTATTTCCGTTGTCATCATCAATTTCAGCAAGGGTTTCTTGGAGTTTCTTGATTTCTTGTAGGTTGGACAGAAGTTCCTGTCTAAATGAAGTGCTCCATGAGTGTGGGTTACCGTGGCAAGAAGAGGGTGTGCACTTGCTGAACTTAAGGCCTTGCGTTGAGTGGGAACTAACATGGAGTGAGCTATCGACTTAACTGAGACAGGTGATGCTTCCTTACTCAGACGGTTCATAGGCAGTACCGATTACTCGAAGGAGCTAACCACCATGTCAAATAAATGAGCGGCACCTCACCCTAAAGATAGGAATAGATCTACCTTGGCGGCAACTGGCTCCAGCCTCCATTTCATTGCCTCCTCCCACAATTTTGCTCGAGTGGGGTGGCTAAATCGTGGCTCGATGTCGAGCCACGAGTCCTTAATCTGCACCAAGTATTTTACTGACGCGTTGATGCGTTGCTCCTGCGCCACCTCAGTTACCTGTTCGTCTTCTGAAAGGTACATTCAATCTTAGTAGCTTGTGAATAAAGGAACCCAACTTTACCCTTTCTATCTTCCCCTGTGCAGAGTCTACCACTGACGTCTGATCCCATGATCAAAGTCAGTTCCTTAAAGAATGTTATCTCCCCGATCTAGTGTTTATTCCAAGACAGATAACATGAGGTCGGATCATAAACACAAATGGATGGTAAATACACACGAAATTGTGAAAGTTGCTGACGCCAAACATATCCATGAAGTATTTAGTGGCAGCTTCGACAGTCCCTACCACGTACGGAGCCTTTGATTGGTTCAGCTCCTTCGCCTCGGATGTTCATGGGCGGGGATTTGAATGCGACTTACCCATCCAACAAGCTCAGAGAATTTAAACCTGTGATGCGAAGTGCAGCATCGGCACTTCCAGCAACCGATGAACCAGTGCCGCAGATGCTCACCTAATGTTCCAGAGGTCTGCCATCAACTCCGAGCATACATTCACTGAATATAAAGACGTGGGTTTCATTGGTACACTGGGTAGCTGGGGAGCCTCCTGCAGAGATGTAAACTTTAGACAATAGCGCACATGGGCATCCGGATTGGAAAGCAGTACGCCGACCCACCGATTCCATTCGCGACGGACAGCAACCAGGACATCGGACAACTTCGATTGTAACCTTGCAGCCCAGGCGTGAGCGCTCCGTATAAATCGCCCTTACATGCCGGATAGATCGAGGAGCATGGGCATGCCCCACATGGCACCCTTCGTCTTTCCAGATTTTGAGGAATGCCTTCAAGACATGAAGACGCAGATATGGAATCCAGGACGAATTTCGGGAAGAGATGATAAACACACGGCCTCGGCCACGGAAGTAAATGGGAACCACTGCCAAGCATGTCTTATGTCGTTTATGCACATAAGTAACGGTAGCGAAATCGTTATCCTTCGAGAGGGTGACCGAGTCGCCTTTGGCTTGTACACTCTTGGGTTCGACACTATGTCCGACGAAGCCATGAACGGCAAGACTCTGGCAATCTAATTCGAAGGTAAAGCTGCTGGAATTCTGTGTCACGTCTTTGTAAGGAAGGAAATGTGGCTTGAATTCCATCGGCCCCGAGTTAGGTATTTTGCCGCCGAAAAATCTGAAGCAGCCAGATTCGAAGAACGCCAGGTTCATAGTAGTACAATTGGTGAGAGCATTCCTACTGGACTTCTGGCACGCCAACTGGACCTCAGCGTATGGCCCGAGAGTTACCGTGGGTAGCCATATCTGTATGCCATCATTTGTAACCGTGAATGTGCGAAGCCGTTCAGCAGGAATTTGGCTGAGCTCGTCTTCCGGGATGTGACGGTACTTGGTGAGAAAGCGAGTGAATTCATCGGGGGACAATGAAATGACATCAGAACAATCCCTGAAGTAGCTTGGGTCGTCTGCCAAGAAGCTGTTAGACCACCCGGCATCCTTTGTTTGGCCCCACGCGAAGATACTCTGGTCATTGGACGAGCGTATGATTTCCAGCTGCAAACGGCGAAACGCGTTCTTCCCCTCCCCATATAACATCGGTATGTGGACACCAAGCAGTCCCAGTAGCGAATATGCACGATCTTCCTCTCGTGTCGTAACCCGGTCAGCAGCCCAGGACATAATCTGGGCAATGCTGGGGCGTTCGGAATTCAGGCCATGTTTCAAAATGTTCTCCGGGATGCGTGTGATCCTACTAAGATTGGATGCAAATTGTTCCTTGTTTCCCAAGCGTTCCCACTTGGAATCAAAGAAGTGGACAACCTTGGGTGCGATGAGTTCTTGAAGAGTCCAACCTCGGGTGAACCACTTGGCAGAAGAGCGGATAGAGCCAGTGGAGTCGTGGAGGTAGACATAGCATTGGTTTGCGTTTGCGTACCACTGGCACATGGAGTTGACCGCTTCTGATAGTTCCGAACTGCTCTTCTTATCGATACAACAGGTATCGACCCACACCCACTCCAGACCATCCACTTTGGCCTGCTTGCAGGCGTCGATTACCTTCTTGTATCCGGTACGCCCCCTGATCTCATTCCTCGTCTTGTTGTACGTAGTCGCCAGCTGTTCCATCTCCTGGAATGACACTTCTTTCTCGCCGTTCTCTGCTACACCCCAGCAATGTGACAATATGGCATACTCTTTCGCTGCGAGAGCCGGACCGTAAAACTCTCTCAGGATTTCTGTTGAACGGTCAATGCCTCTCCCCTGATTGATACTCGTCTCAAAGTCGAGTATGGTAGTAACGTGGATGAGTCGCATCTCGTACCATCGGTCTGTGAGTTTGTCTCGCCGGTGATCGATTGAAGATGATATACTTACCGTTGCTACAAATTGGAGCTGCCGGCGACGATGAAGATTTAACGACAAGAGATGGCAACGGTGATAGTAAAATTCCAAGGTGACTGCGGGAGAAAAGACGCTGAGCAAGAAGCAAACGAGCACAGGTAAACACATCGACTTGGGGCAGTGCAGACCTGACAAGATACGGGGTGAATCCAATCAGCGCTGTCAACAAGTATGGGCGTGGTGCCCCTGGCGGGCCAGTGCAGGGGGCCCGCCCTGTGGCGTCTGCCTTGGCTCGTGGATGAACAGGATAAGCCCTGGTTCAAGAAGTGGGGGCAGGTATGAATAGAATTTGGCGGGATCGACAGTGGCTTCTCATATCGAACCGGAAACTGGAATGCGATGCCGAAGTTGTTCCAACCGATACTTAACATGTCCAGGAGGCACACCAAATTCGCCCCGAGGAAAACAGGGTGCTATCCATTTCAACCGAAATGGTAAGAGACCAACAGAATCAAACAATACACTACGGTAGACATCAAAGGAACGAGTACAGTAACAAAAAAGACATACATACGGGTATACAGGTGATCAGCAGCCCATTCGTCTCTATCAGTGCAACCTCTCAAAAAAAAACCCAAAATCGACATTCACGGCGATATTACGTGATCTTTCTCTTTACCAGCTAAATAGTGTAGTAAAATGGTCAACACAACCTCCAGAATGACAAAAGAAAACAAAAACCCACCGTGCGCTGCCTTCTTTCTACATATCTCTTCTGCACATAATGCAACATCCGCCTAATATCCGGCCACAAAAACGACGGGATGAGGACGATCATGACAGGTATCGCAATTTCCCAGAAAAACAAGTCGCTATGGAACTTAACAGACCACATGGCTTCGAAGTTCATGCCCTATTGCGAGTGTCGCGAGTGTCAGCGTGCGTATAGTAGGTGCTCAGGATAGGGGGGACATACAAAGTATCCGGTGAGAAGGGTCAAGGGGAGAAAGATGATTGTGGCCATTGTCAGACGACGCCTGCGCGACGGGGGGATTAGGAATCCATGCCGTGAGTACAATAAGCGATAACCTACATCGTCTCGTTCATCTCGTACGATTTTAGCTACGCACAAGGGTAAGCATGGACATCACGAGTTGAAGGAGAACTCTGACATTAAATGTATAGTTGATCAAATTCTCAGCTATACCGGCAAAAGTATCCATATTGGACAGGATATACTCGATATGATCGTGTACGTCCGCCTGTCCATGTTCAGCATGTAACCAATTCCAGAGAACGGGGAGGAACATAACTACGCACGAGATATATTTTCGCCTTGTGGCTCATGAATCCCTGGATTTTTGTCTGGTGATCCTCAGGTTCGATGAGCGCAGCACATCGATCTTCGTCGTACCGTCTCAGACCGTATATAAGTGTTTTGAGTGGCTCCATCGTCCGCCTGTGCAAAGTGAGATCGCCCGAAAGGATGTGCACTGGATGTCCAAATCAGAAAAATATATTATGGGCGTGACAACGGTAGGATGACATACGTCGCGAGACGGTCTTGATATTGGGCTTCAGCAAGACGTCGTGTTCGAGCTCGAGAACCTTTTCATGGAAAGCGTCGACGACCTCGAATGCAGAGTCCACCACTTGAATCTGTTATCAGACAAAGAGCCCGACAGAAAATGAAACGAAAGAACAACGAACCAAGGTCAAGGAGACTCTGTACTAGGAGGGATGCATCTGCAGACATCCGGAGACCTGTGTCCGGCTGGCGCAGTCGTGCCATGATGGGCTCTGCAAAACTGACGCAGTCTCGCGGGAGAATGGAGATGACGGTGCCTAAGGTTCGTTTATCAGGTTGGCATCAATATACGCGCGACATGGCTAGCGGACCCATACCATTTCTGAGGAGAAAGATGGAGATGGGCTGTACTTTTACATGTACTCTGCCCTCTTTTTTAAGTTCCTCGAGTGTCAGTTGTGCCTTTTCGCGTCTCTTCCGGGCCTAACGGTGCGACTCGGTTCAGAACAGGTTTGCTCCACAAACCAAGTGGTACGTACGACAGATTCCTTACGTGTGATGACCGACCCAGACAAAACTGGGTTTGGGTGACCAGGCTTGTCTTCCACGTCACCCGGCGCCAGCCGTCTCTTGGTGCTGCTTTTTCTCCTGAAGGTGCCTGTGGTACCAGCACGTGACCTAGTCGTTGGGGTGCTGTCATCCTTTTCGGTTAAGAAAACCGGTTCGGGGGAGTATTCTCTACGAATCTGTTCGCCTAGTAGACCTGGGTTCGGCGTCGAATCTTCTGCGTCTGATGAATCGACCGTGAGGTCTCCGAGTGCCTCGTATCCCTCTGGTGCGTCGGGGTCATACAGGGTATGGCTCAAGACCTGGATAAAGAGGTGTTTAGCGTAGTAGTCTGCTTTTGAGCGGGCGCGACCGCGTCGGTGGAGGACGTCTTCAATGGCGAGGGGGTGCAAGTCTTATATACGAACTTGTGAAGTTCGGTTCGTCGGCGTGGAGAAATGACACACGCACCGTAATGCAACGCCAGCGCACTTATCACGTCCCAGCTGACCCCACAAATGTTAATCCACCGTACCTTGACCCAGCCCTCCCTCTCACCGGCCCGTGTATCAGTGAGCAGCGACACAAACTCCCTATTGGACATTCTACCGACGGAGGACCGTATGGCCGAATAATCGACGAGGGTAATGATACAGTTCTCTCTGATGTGTCCGTAGTGTAGGTAGGCGGAGTCACGACGTGGATCGACGCCCGGTTCTGCGCCTGCGCTGCCATAGCGAGCAAAGAAGGTGGACGTGCGGTGGAGGTGGATGACTTTCTTGACGCAGGCTCGGAAGCGGTCTTTGGGTGTTAAGAAAGTAGTGGTGGTTGCGGTACCAGAGCGAATTCGTTGTGAGGGTGCTGTAGTCAGATTTCGATTTCGATCGTCGTTTTCAGCCTCTTTGTCGAGGTCTGGTGTGAGAGAACGACCGTCTGCATCTGAGAAGCTGTTTTCGCGGGGCATGTTGAGTATGGATGGATAGGTGGGGAGGAGTCGAGTTCTTCCTCAGGGACGCTTTTGAACCGAACGGCGAGGATCGTCCATTAAACGCGAGGCGATACTACATGACAGCTCGAATGGAAGCACACAGGCACTGGTATCCCGCCCTGGTGCAGGCATTGGACAGGGTAGAGCAGGTGGACAACATGAAAGGAGGTCAGTCGACGGCAGTTCATCCAAATCGTCGCTGGCACTCCTAACTCAATCACTGTAGTCTTCCAACTGGCCACATACGACCATCCGTCGAGGACACCCCGCGTCCGCTCGCACATCCTCCGCTCATTCGTGACGCCATCCAAACACCCCTCTCTGCCTCTTCTTGTCAGCACCACCGACATCCGCACACCCAAGGTCACTCAGGTCACCGATGCTAACGGCGTCGAAGCTGTGTTCTGGACAGAGCCAACATTGGAACAGTTCCGTATCTCGGGACGCATCTCTCTCGTCCCCTCGTCGTCGTATGCAGGATCCTATCCCGATATACCGTCACCGGGCCACAGTATCCTATTTGACGCTCTGAGACAGGAGAACCTTAATTGGGAGCAGACCCGTCTCTCCACGTTCAATCATCTCAATGGACGTATGCGCGCGTCGTGGTGTAGACCTGTACCTGGGACACCTCTGAAGGGCGGATACGATGATGCACTGGAGTGGCCCGAATCGCTGCCTGCCCTGGGGGAGGCCAAGGACGAGGAAGAGAAGAGGAATGTGGAGAAGGCGTTGGAGAATTTCGCATTGGTGATAATCGAACCGCTGGAGGTGGATTTTGTGGAGTTGGGGACGAGACCGGAGAAGAGGACGATGTACAGGAGGAACCTTCGAGAGATGGAGTTCACGGAGACGATCGTTGTCCCGTGAAAGAGGTGTGTATTGTAATTCTCAGTTGTATCACTATCGTCCCAGAAGTCATGGAAAAGAGTCTATTCGCGACAGGCTTTTTTGTATAAATAGATCTACGAACCACATACATACAGCAGGAGTACTTATCGATAACTCAGTGAGGAAGGAGAAAAAATAAGCAAAACAACGCGAATAACAAGTTCATAACCAACCGCACCGACCTGGATGGTAGCGTCGGGCCTATACCTTGACCTTCTTGGGGGCACTTTCTTCGTCCTCTTCATCATCCTCTTCCTCGTCGAACTGTGCACTGCGCTTGGTACCCGCATTGACTGGTTTCGAGTCGTTGTTGGACGGGAACTCGATGGGGTTCTCTTCCGTGCCAGCATCCTCGCCGTAGTACTCTTCCTCTTCATCGTCTTCATCGTCCTCGTCTTCGTCCACATCGTGGGGGACACCCTACCGTGGAAAATGAGTGGAGATGAACGATGAGATGAAGTGTACATACATTTCCGAGAAGGAGGGCGGTCAACTAAGAAGAGGCGGGTCGAAATGAGCACCAATGTAAAACGCTCTCGTCATGAGGAGCTACGCACATTTTTATTAGGTTGATCCACTTGGACCACGTCGTCCTCATCATATTCCCCATCTTCCTCCTCCTCTTCCTCCCCTTCGATTTCTCCCTCGTTCAGCTCATAGGAGTCTTCCTCCTACATGACGTCAGTCGACCTAGAAGACGCAGTGTGGCAGGGGGGACAGGCACCCCCCAAAAAAACTGCCTAGGAGCGCGAATTGGACTCACATCGATATCGTATTCGTCGCTTTCCTCGCCTTCCTCGAATTCCTCTTTCCGTTCCTCGGGGAGGGGGTGGGTGGGTTCGGTAGTGGGTTCAGCGGCCATGGTTGTAATTTAGAAGCGACGAGGGGGATAGTATGTTTTTGCGAGCCGAGAAGCAAATTTCTTTCCGCTGGCTGGTAACGGGTGTGACGTTGGCTAGATGGGACTCTGCCTGTTCACAGCAATAGATCTGTCCAGAAGAAGGGTCGATGAGCCCAGTCAAGCAAAGAGAAGAAAATAAAAAGTCAACATGGGCGTCTGTCAGTTTAGCGACGGGGTGGACTTCCGAGTAAGAATTGCAGCGAATGACGAGGGCAAACGTTCCACGCCGGGACACCCAGAGAGGGGTCATCTCTCTTTTGGACATGTCGGGGGGTCGAGGAGGGGTCAACATGGGGGGTCGACGGGAATTGCCGATGGTCAATGGCCAGGAGGTCGATGTGGGCTGTCCTGGCCATGATCATCGACTCATCGCGGCGATCTTATCAGTGAAACGAACGCGTAGCTCGCATTTGGAATCGCCTGCAACGTGGTAGGAACATCGATAACTTTCATTGACACGGAACACGTTGTAGTCCAACTGTAGTGCTCGTCTCAAGCTGGCATCGAGCCCGGAACAATCAGGAATTGGCAGGTCTTTCCGCGTCTGCCGCACGCCGATCAGAGACATGTGAATGGATGGATGATATCGCCCTATCTCCATGCATCCAGATAGTGACAAACATTACACCGGTAACCCCAAACTTATCATCGCACTCAACAAGCTCGCATGTTAGCATTGGTTCACGGGTGCCTCCGTACCAGAAAACGAGCCAGATTACACGAGGCCATTCACTCCGGTTCGAATCGACCAATCGGAGCGACATGAGTCAATTCGCCATCGGTAGGGCTGCGGTGGCTCAACGACCCTCCGTAGGTTTTTGCGGCCGATGTGCCAAAGGACCAATCCCGTCCAACGGTCCAACGTGGGTGTACACGAGGCATTGAAGGATCAACTCGAAGTGCGCTAGGGTGTCAAAGAGGATAGCGACTCAGAGTCCGGGTCCACGGTACCGAGGATGGATCATCTTGGAAATGACTTGGACCGCTTTGGACGTTGCCTTGTGCAGCGCGAGAAGTTGGACCTCTGTGCCGTGGTTTCTGGCTGTAGCGAGTCGTACAGGAAAGGGCGTCATGTGTGGTTTATGACAATCGCTTGGGGGTTCTCCTAGAGTACTACAGGAGGTGGCGAGTTTGGGCTTGCAAGGGTGGTGCAGCGGGTAAAATATCGCAGCAAGGTCGTTGTCCCTGACGACGTTTCCTTGTGTGGGGGATGTGGGTCTGGTCAGCAGGTCTGATAAGGACCTCCTGTTGAATTGACAATACGAATGAGTGGAATGGTAGTCGCTGTGTAGCTGTGCAACGGGCGGTCTGTCGAGGCCGTCCTGACTTAAATACATACCCCACCTCGAGGCAAACCCAGACTGTCTTTTTTTTCTTTTCTTTTCTTTGTTCTCTCCTCGTGGCCAGTGACTGCCCCTCCTCGCCGCAGACACGCCCCCCTTTGAATCTTTTTTTTTTCTATCTTTTTTCTTTCTAATTCATCGATCTTCCGACTCCCCTCTCGTCGCTCGTCGCATGCACGACGTCGCCCAACACGCACCGAAGACTTCCAACCTCAAATCAGTCCTCGGCTTCGGTGCGCTCTCCCTCAAAGACGCCGCTCCCTATCCGTAGTCGTGGTCGCTCCTCCGCAGACACCGTTCGACAGTCTAGTTCCACTACCACGAGAGCCAGCATCGACTGCACCACACCAACTACCTTCTATCCACGACACACATCCTCCAGAGTCGAACGTGCCAGCGTCACCAACCTCGCCGCCTTCTTCAAGGAATCACGCTCGAACTCGACTCAAACTCATCAACACGCGCCTCAGCTCGCCGATACCACCACCAACACCTCCGTCCGCAGTATGAACTCTTTAGACGCCGCCCCCCCCCGGGCCATCAGAAGACAGCCCATTCGCATCGATGCACAGGACGGGCCCTGGGCCATTAGCGTCGCAGAGACGCCGCATGATGCCCGCTCATACTCTATTTACATAAAGAGTGCGTCGTATTCATTTCCATCCATGCCTTTTTCCTCGCTCTCTTCTTGTCGACATCATTCTATCAATTCCCATACGCTACCGCGCCATGCATTACCATCATTTCAAAGCACAGGACTATCACAGCAACCTTTCTCAAATACCTGCGTCTTCCTTCGATCGCGGAGAGCTTGCGCTGTACCCAAACTTATATCCCCCCCTCTCTTTTAACCCTCCGTTTGTTCCACCCCTACCCTTTCGTAAATGCATCCTCTGACGTGCATCATCACTAACCACTCCCGTTCTTATCCAGCACCGACACATAATCTCACCCTCACCCGTACAGCCACTGAAATCGTCGAGTTACACGCCAAGCTCGCGGACTCAGATGGATCTGCCAAGCTACCCAAACTCCCTATCGACGTGTCGACACTGCCCTCCCCTCCAAAACGCAAGTCTACCTTTCTCAACACCCTCTCTCGCCTCACCTCGCCCTCGTCAAACAAAGTAGGGCGGCAAGCGTCTCTTAGAATTCCCAGCAGTCCCAATTTTGGAGCCTCCCCTGCAGGCTCACAAACACCGCTCGTGTCCCCTTCACAGGAGTCCGGAGATCCGTTCATGTCCCTTGGAGAGTCTGTGGGCGCGCTCTCGTCTTCGAACGGTAATAAACCACCCTCTGCTGCCGCGAGCACGCCCGCGGATAAAAACACCATGATGACCAGTCTCGCAGCATACCTGACCACGATCGCCAACGAACCAACGCTCCGCCAGACCCGTGCCTGGAAACGGTTCGTACGTGTGAAGACGGACGATCTCGAGAGTGTCAGAACGGAGAGGGCAATTAAGCGGGTGAGATCGGATTTGGCAGCACATGTTGGCAGCGGGAAAAATCCGAACCCTGAAGGGTCGTTGGCGGCGTCTGTCCATGCCAGCTCGAGGACGGTAAGCTCGAGTAACGTAAGCGAAGTCATGGATGGCATCGAGAGCGTGGAGGGTACCATGGACGGCGAGTCGAGAATGAATAATGATGGGAGCAAGAGCATCTTGCAAGAAGGCATCAAGGAAGAGGAAGAAGACACTGACGCCCTCGTCGAGTCCCCCCTCGGCGTTGGTACGGAAGAAGTGACTGAAGAGCGTACTACATCCACGCAACCTGTTGATGCTGAGATACCTGACGAAGAATCCGGCCCATCACCTGTTGACGAGCCGGTGCCCTCCATCGATGCGGATGCCGTTACCAGCGCTACCAATGAAGGAGAGGTTACTACACTGCCTACGCCTATCGCCGATGGTCCCACGTCACGGGTTCCCCGCTCTCACTCTGCCGACCCCAGCCGTGGTCCCCGCAGGCACAGTACTTCTGCGACGCAGATGGACGGCACATCCTCGGCGACAACCGGCGACGAGTCATCTATATCCACTACGGCTGGTCGGCGGGAGCGCAAGAAGCGGTCCCAGTCCTCCGACCCGAATCGCAAGAAGAAATCTCAGCGAAAGGTCGCCGTCGATGATTTCGAAATGATGCGTGTTCTAGGGCAAGGGCTGCGCTGGCAAGGTCCTTCTCGTGCGCCACAAGGACAGTTCAGAGCTTTACGCCCTCAAAGCAATCACGAAGCGGCATGTTCTCGCTCATCAAGAATTGCAGCATACACTCACGGAGCAAGCTGTGCTCATGCGGATGGCCAAGGAGGGCAAGGACCCCTTCGTCGTCAAGCTGTGGTGGAGCTTCCATGACAAGGAAAACCTCTTCCTAGTAATGGTATGCACCTCGTTCTCTCATTCATATTATATGCGTTCCATTCTTAAGTTCCTCTTATTCACCGAAACATGAAACTCATTTTTTGTTTCAGGACTTTCATCCAGGCGGTGACCTCGCGACGCAGCTTGCACGTTGGGGCAGGCTAGGCCGTGATCGAGCCCGTTTCTATGCTGCGGAGATTGTTGAAGGCGTAGAGGGTCTACATGCTGCCGGCGTTATTTACCGTGATTTGAAACCTGAGAACATCCTCATTGGCGCGGATGGCCATATCGTTTTGACTGATTTCGGCCTCTCCAAGGAATTCCCACGGAGAATGTCACCGATCACGGCTCCCCCGACGCCTTCCGGGACGAGAGGTGAGTTCTATGAGGCTACCACTCCTCCCTGGATGAAGGGGGAGAGAGATCTTGCGATGGGATGGCCAGGACAGACTATTGGACCTGCGGATACCACCACGACGTTTTGTGGAACTGCCGAATACCTGGCACCGGAAGTCATCCAGGGCTTGCCCTACAGTTATGAAGTTGATTGGTGGAGTTTTGGAACCATGCTCTATGAGATGTTAATGGGCATTGTGAGCGTTCTCTCTGCGGTTGTGTATGTGGCTTGCGCTCATGGTCGGTTGGGTGGTGGTTGAGTAGACCCCGTACTGGGCAAACAACCACTCTGACATGTACGTGAGAGTACTGCAAGATGAATTGCAATTTCCCGAGGATAGAGCGATGGATCAGGACACGAAGAGCCTGATTCGAGGGGTAAGTTTGTCGTTGATCGCGATGGACGATGTTCACGCCAGTTATGCAGTTGCTTCAACGGAACCCTGCACTTAGAATATGCGAGCCGCGGATCAAACGACACCCGTATTTCTCTATGATGTGAGTCCGAGGACTGCGGTTGAGCCGTCATTTGGGTGCTGATAGGTTTATCTCTCGCGTAGCGACTGGGGGCACGTGTACTACAAACGCTACATACGTGAGTCGGTTTCTCAATCGGAGGTATTTTGTGGCCTTTTTTCTGACCCACCTTTCTCCCTATGTGTTGCAGCCCCTCACTATTCCACCGATTGACCCATCAAATGCAAGCGATACGCAGAACTTCGATGAGACGTTCCTGGATATGGCACCAGTATTAGATGACCCGAACGAGAATGCTCAGACGGATACTGATCAAGAACGCGACCAAACAGATACTGAACGGACGGATGGTGAAGATGCCTACCCGACCCCGTCACATTCTCGCAGTCCTTCTGTGCACCCCAATGGTGATGATGACACCGTGGACGTGTTCGATGGATACTCGTTTAAGGGACGTCATTCGATGCTTATTGAGGAAGATGACGTAGATGAAGATGTTTCGGAGGAAAGTGGTGAGGTGGAGACGGATGAAGATCTGTCATCGGCTGTGACGGATGTGGTGGATATTTCGGCAGAACAGGCAGCAGAGATTTCGGAGTCGCCGGTGGGCATTGAGGAGCAGATATCTGAGTCTGAACCGAAGACACCTGAAGCGCGGCCACAACCATTGCAACCCGAGTCACAGCCCAATCTCGGCGTCCCGGCGCCTGATGAAAGACCTGCTTCTCTTGCACCTATTCCTTTGTCAGAAGGTCCGGCTACCCCCAGGACCAGCAAAGAAACACCCATCATTGCTATACCAGCGTCACCGAAAGAACCAGCTCCGCCTTTGCCGGCCAAGGACGGGAAAACGAAGACGGCGAGGATCGCTGCACCTGCGACGAAAGCCAATGCGCGCACCACGCGTGGACGCCGCGAGAAATCTGGCGTACCCGCTTTGGACCGTTTCCTATCAGATGGCGGGGACGAAGACGGGGAATCGACAGAAAAGGACGACGAAGATGATGACTGGGACTTCATTGAGGCAGGCGACGGTGAAGACCGTAACGGTTCCAAAGGCACGAGTTTGTTTGCACGGGGTGTCGTGGACCGGTATAAGCTTGCTGTGTTCCGAAAAGCATCAACACCGTCCCAGAGGCTTACCGGTCGCTCGTTCTCTGGTCTTTCAAAGGAATCTGACCTACATGCGGCTGATCCCGGGGACTCGCCTAGTCCTTCAGACAAACACCGCCGAGGGCGTACGCCAGGTCTGAAGTTCCGCCGAACGCCAAAGCAGTTCCTTACTGGGAAATCACCTTCATCCTCCTACCCGTCCAAGAATGGGAGCTCCTCGAAGACTCCTACGCATTCCACCACGAACACTACTACCCTTTCGTCGATGTCAAGTAATGGACTATTGACACCGTCTGCAACCTCTATGCCCATACCTCCTTCATTGAAGTCGAAAGAGTCGGCGGTGTCCGTTGGCGAACAGAGTGCGTCGTCGGATCAATCCAATGGGGAAGCTCCGCCACCAGATCTTTTTGCGTCCCCGGAAGTCGTCAAAGTTTCCTCGAGCGCACCCCAGTCACCTGGACAGTCGGCGGCTGAGGAGCCCGGACCCGAAAGGCATAGGAGCAAAAAGCTGAAGAAGTACAAGGAAAACGCGGAAAAAATGCTTTCGCTTTTCGCTTCTCCCCGTTGACCACCGTCCTTTTTCTTTTTTTTTTGTTGATCTTCTGTCCGCGCCACTGGGGGCCGGATCCTTGGCGTCGTCGACTCTTTAATTCCAAACATGCAAACAAACACGTCTCCCTATCTTGTGTAAGCTTCATATTTTCTGTCTCTCTCTCCAGTCTCATTATCATCATGCATTGTTTCTACACTACTTTAACAGTCTCACTTTCCTTTTTTTCTTTCTTTGCTTATTTCCGCGCTTTTTTAACACCTGCCGGTTCTCTTGTTGACTATTACTACCATCATGCCTCTTTTTTTTTATAAGAAAAAGAAAAATCAAGCAAAAAAAAAGCGGCTTCATCACCGAACCAACAGCCCTTTCCTCTCGGTCATAATTACTTGATGTCCTTTTTTCTCCTTGTCTGTCATTACCTGCATTGCTGTTGTCTTTAGTGTTTTTAGCCCTTTGCATCCCAAATGATAACGATCCTTTTAGACCCATCATCATCGCTACCATCGTCGCTCGTCCTAATTTTTCGGTTCTAGCAGTTCCATCATTATCACTTCTTCGCAGGTTTGGTTTTATTCTTTTGTTTGTTTGTTTTTTTTCTGCTTTTTTTCTTGCATATCGGAATGTGGATAATAATAGTGGCAGAAGAAATGTCCCCCATGTAGCGGACCTGATATGTTTGGAATCTGATATACTTGCAGAAAATCACTTTCTTCCAAAGTGCCAGAAACCATGGGCTGCACGATATCTCACTAGTTAATAGGTGAGGTGAGCCATGCAATAGGAATGTGCCCCCCCGAAAGTAAATACCAAATACAAACGAGTCCCGCCGACACCCAGCGAGAAACACCGAGAACTTGGACTAGTCCAAAGCATCCAAGTTCTCTCTGATAGCCTTAACCCGCTCCTCCACCGCATCCAGTGCTTGTCGGATACCTACAATCTCAGCCTTCCAATCTGTCGAAGGGCCCAGCTGCAACGCTGGCATGAAGCTCCCTGATGGTCGTGTCGACATCTCCTCCCAAATACTATGGACAACCTCCTTCACCCATTTTTCCCTTTCCTCTGCCTTCTTTGCTTCCTTTCGCCTCCCTGCTTCCTCCCTCTTCCCAACAAGAGAAAGCGTCCAAATATTACTGAATACCAAGGCCACAATGACGAACCACAAGATTGTCGTTGACGAGGACTGGTCCCATGCCTCCTTCACGAGTTCGATTGCGCCCATGGTCGACCGCTTCGCGACATTGTACGCCCCGTCCAAGGTGTCGTATGCCCATTGGAGACCCCGCCTGTTCCTATCACGCTCCCGAGCCTTCCACACCTCCTCGCCGGACACTCCGTCCAAAGCGAGTTCTGCTGCCTCTGCGATAGGCGTGATCGGCTCGACGGGTGCAACCGCACACGGGTCGAAACCTTCAGGGATAAACTCGGATTGGTGTTCCTGGATGTACATCCGCATCGCTTTATCGAGGTCGGAATGGTACTGTTTCTGACCCTCGATAGCGCTTTTCTCGATCAGACCTGTGAGATTACCACCATGTCAGATTCCTGCTAACACCCCAAGAGATCGACCAACTTTTAATGAAACTTCTCCCCGTCCATTCGACCTGCGTCGTGACGATCACTCTCGTCGAGACCGCGCTCGCCCACATTATACATGTGCGTGTCTTCACGGAGAACACGCCGCCGCTAGGTACGTCTGGCGTCTTGGTGGTTGTCATCATCACGACGTGGTCGTCGAAGTCGCAGTACACGCTTTCGTCGTGAAGTTCGCATTTGGTTTGTCTCGGCCCGACGCTGTTGTTCAGCGGCTTGATGTACGACATATTTCGAGATAGCAGTTTGGACCCTGGAGCGACGGGTGTCCAGTCGGATACCTGGATATCTGTTAAAGACAAAGTCAAGTCTGAAACTGCACGAACGAAGATGAACCGAGGAAGTGGTACCTGTCAACTTCTGGTCCACCCTCATGAAATGCTTGATAAACCCGCTCGCAAACATAAGGTTGTTTATCTTCTCCGGGGTGCCTGGTAATACCGTCTCGAGCGCCACCTCGTTCAAATGACCACCGCTCTTGGAACACGAGCAGTGGGTCACCTTATTTGCGCCCGCCACAGGTGCTGTCCCCTTAGCTGCCACGGCCTCCGAAACGCTTGGTGTAGACATAATATCCCGCGAAGAGTTTGTTCGGCTTCCGGGACCATCGGTGACGCTATACTCGGGGCGCGCGAGACGCCAAATGTTTGCGATAACATCGTACGTCGTATCACGTGATAGGAACGAGGCGAAAGTGTACTTTGCTTGTCGGGTGGTGATTTGAATTGCGTTCGGAATGACGAACGCGGTCATCTTCTTCTCCAGCCCTGTGATTTCGTATATAGGAATGGAGAGCTACACGGTAACGTGTTACTTGGGCTAACAGTTTGGGCATAAGAGCGGGCAAACATACGTCGGTGATCCAACCAAATATGTTTGCGTGGAAACATATATGGTTTTCTGATATGTAGATTCTGCCTTGTATTAGGATCTCCCTTTGCAGTGCGCAACCGTAGTCTGCGGTGACCGTCACTCTGAGGCTTTTAGGGGTCAAAGAGAACACTTTACCTTCGATGAGGTAATCACCCTCGGGGATGTTAGGGAAGAGCTCGTGGAAGTCTGCGTTGCGTTTACTGCTCGCGACTGCGAAACCAGTGACAGGGATGTTCTCTTCATTCAGGTCCAACTCGTCGTCCGACTCCGAACCACCAGTCGATTCAGATGAATCTGATTGATATTGTCTGTCCGAGTAATCACTCTTGCTCAGGGATATTTGCCTCGCGCTATTACCATCATTGATCGTTCCTGGCATAGAGTAAACGGAGGGGGAAGCTGCATTGTTGACTGACATGGTCCTTTCTCTGGATTTTGATCCGTTCCGGGCGTTGCCGTTCCTGGGCGTCTGAGGTAAAGGGGTAGTTGGGAGAGGGGGTACCTGCGATGTCGCATTCGCCATTGCTAGACCGGAGGCAGCGAGGGCACTAGCAATGCCTGTATTCTTACGTGTAGGGTTTCCCACAGAGGGCCGGCGCCAGCCCGATCCCGCTTGCTTTGTTTTCTTCGAAGTCGAGCTTGCCGCTGACCGAAGCGAAGTTGCATCAACGTCAGTACGTAGGTTGAGGAATTCACGAGACTCGGCCTTTTGCGAGGATGCCGCTGTGGGCGACTCGACTACGCCACTGGCACCACCCGAAAGCATAGCTTCGTTATTGCCGTCCTCATGGTGGCCGTTCTGACGGCTCCTCACATCATGCCATGCATTGGACTTGTTAATGTGATCGAGCTTCAACGGGACAGGGGGTTGCGTGCGGCTACGGATAGATTGCTTAGAAGGCTTCTTCTCTACATTCGGAACATCAGGTTCCGTGGCGCTGCGAGACGTATGTTTATCGATCAATCCTCTGAGGTTCCCTGTCGAAGATGCGGGACTAAGTTGACGCAGACTCTGTGCTGGAGAAGCTTCCAGTGTTGTGGGGCCCCTGACTTCAGGACGGTCTGGGTGGGGTGTAGATAAAACCTCTTCAGAGATGGCCCACTCTGGATTCACGTTCATCGTGTGTGCGGCGAGTGAAATCGCATGTCTGTCAGGTACTTGCCGGTCTTGTGAACGTGTGCGTCTGTGAGTAGAAAAAGGAACGTCGTGTATGTGTCCGGACTCCGTCGAAGGAAGGTCGGTGAAGCCAGACATGGGGCTGCCTGCGGGATGTGGCGAAGGAGGAATGACGCCTATCTTGAAGCTACCTCTGGAACTGGGCGAATGCGTGTCGGATGTCTCTTCACTGTATGGTCTCGGTGCAAGATGAGAGTATGGCTCGCCAGCGATAGAGGAGCGCCGAGAGCTGGAGCTGACGAGCCGCGGTTCGTCACTGGCAGGGGTATTTCCAGTTGGGACTGCGGAATTCTGGGCAGCCGACGGTCTGACAAGTTTTGTGAGGAAATTTGGCGCCATCTTCCTGCTACCCACTGCCAAGTATTTTCCCTAACCTGGAGGTCGTTCGATTTCTCAGTGGGCCGGGAAATTGATAAAATGGTAAACTTACATACCTCTACCAACCAGACGGGTTAATAAATGGGCGTCGTTGTGAACCGCGCCCAAGGAGATAGCAACGTCTAGCTGGTCTCAGGAGTGCTGACAGATAGCTCACGGCAGTTGGTCGACGCACACAGCCGGCTCAAATAAATGACCCTCGTCGAGCTATTGCCTGCATCAGTGTTGCCTTCCGTAAATGGCAGGTGGTCGATTCTCGGACCACTTTGACATCCGAGTCGGTGAATTATTCTCAGAGGCGTTGTATCGACTCACGAGCCGTCGACCGAACTGAGCGGAGAGTCTGAACTTGGCTATGCTCTGCAACCTCACAACAACACCGCCATTCTGATTCATGATCCAGGCCCAGGTACAGTGCTACTGTGTGCGAACCTACAAACTCTTCGACGGTTCCGGAGGTTTATCATTACTTGAGTCACACACCACCGTCGGACGAATGACGTCGTGTACATGACATCACTGCGCCATCACAGAATACAGAATATAACATGTCATACTGACGTTCACACTTGCATCGACGCAACCATCGTTAGAGGTTCGTGGTGTACTTTCTTGCGCCGTGAATAAGCATTTGGTGCTTACCGTCCCCAAAACTAAGAAGAGGTTTCTTTCGGGCTTGCCCCAACACATCGCGGCCTCATGGCATTCGCCTATCCGATACTGTGCTCTGGGGCGATAAAAGGCGTACCTCGTCACACTAATCTGCGGTTTGCGCGTCCCTGTTAGTCTTTTCCAATCTTCTATAGTGGTGCATCCTCCTCTCTTTGTTCCAAGAGCACTCCGATGGCTGCAAACTGTATCAAAAATGCCCAGGATTTCACGAGGATCGTAAGCTTGGCATGCTGGTATTGCGCTGAAGAAGACTCGACCTCTTTAATTCTAGATTAACAGCGGTCGAGTTGTGGTTATAGATTTCTATGTCGACGGAAGCGGTATGCTACAGTTCCCTGCCCAGCACTTCTCGATGCTTGAAGAGACCTGGAAACGCATTGGGGTGGACTTTTACTGGGTGAATGTCGATGAACTCGACGAGGTAGCCATGGAAATAGATATTAGAGTGGTGAGCATTGCTAATCCAATGCATGTCTGATTCGTCTTCACCTCACCGTGACGTGCACCGATAGGTTCCCACCTGCATTGTGTTCAAGGATGGAAAGAAGGTTGGATATGCAGGGGGCGTAGACGCAGGAAATATCCATGTCAGTGGTTCTTCTGGATCTGTGACTTCGACACTGACCATCACCGCAGAAGCTTATGGGATCGCACGTTGGTGGCTGGAACGACTCGGGCCCGAGTCCTGTTGCCAGAACCGACTCGATTATCGAATCTGCGTAGACCAAACATAGGGAAAGGAGGGCTCCTTCGCCGAGTCTTTGGTTTGCTTAGGGAAGACGGCAGTTCCATTCTGTCAATGGACGTTTTCCATAGAAAGGTTCTTAAACGTACTCACACCTGCCAGATACCGACGAGGACATTGAACACGAGGCTAATTAGGTTTACATTTCTACGTTACACTATATAGAGTTCCACGGTACAACTTCTAGATTTTGATCTAAGCAGTTCCTGCGGATGACGTGCCGTGTGTGTACTAGGGTAGCATGGAATCTGACCAACCACAGTGGGAGAATGGGTGACGGACGAGGAACGGGAAGCACTGCAAAACGTGTTGTAGTGACATCCTGGGAAGCGATCTGCCATATTCCGCAGGAGGCCAGGTCTTGTTGTGATGGAGACATGTGGGCTAGGCAGGTGTGGAGGCACAGACAGTGGACTCGATGATCTCTTACTACAGCTTCGAATTTTTGTGTCTCACGCAGCGGAATTGATAGGGGTGTTCTCATGCAGATCCTGAGGCCGTTGAACAAACAATTAGCCACATAGCGGGCCCGTCACCGGTCAGGTTCCCTATGATGATGATAGGGGGCATAGAAAACGTAGACTCGATTGCGTCATGGCACACGGTCGACGCCCAGCCGTCATTTGGCCCACCTGTGTCTGACCTTGCGCCACACTGCCGCACCGTTATCTCAGTGTTGTACAACCATGATTTAGATCACCCCAACCGCTCGCTGAAGGCAATCGTGCAATAGAATGGAATAACCAGACGCCCTGCTTGCCATACACGTTTTGATAGCCGCTTATCATCCCACTAGAAGTGCACTATAGCAACCTTACATTACCATATTTGGAGATATCGGAACAAAAAATATTTAATGTTACGAACGAGGACCTCATGGCATGGTCCTGCTGGACAACCTTCAGCTCTCCTTTCCTTTCTCTTACCTGGATCACGCTGACGGTCATTACTCCTAGACTCGGACCCTGCGCTTCATGCCATTGCTGGGTGGGTTTTTCAAACGTGACAAGCACGGCAGCAACTCGAGGAACAACCCGTCCTCGACCACCCCTGCAGCAACCGAATCGGTGGCATCCGTCGCGAGTACAGGAGGAGGAGAGTCCATCGAAGCTGAATATGTCTTCCCTGACGAATGCTTGCCCCGTCCGACTCCTGTATACTCAGGTCCCAGAGGTGCTTCTTCCAGCAAACTTAAGCTCCCTTTCCGTCGCAACAAGCATGTGCATCAGCCAGGCACACCGGATGCCTCTCAGCTAGCACCCGTGTCCTTGAACGACGCACCACCACGATCCTCTGTCGTCTCAGATCCAGGTCATGGTCTTCCCCCTCCTCCACCAAAGTCATCCATATTTGGGGTCTATAACGGCCGCAGTCCCCATTCCACACGTTCGAACCTTTGTACAGATACCCCCAGTACATCATCGTTAACGGATGTACTCAGTGATGCTCACTCGTCTGCCCCTTCGAATCTATCTAAAAAACCAGGCCTTTTCTCATGGGCGAGACAGCGCACAAAATCCAAAGTCTCGCAACCACCTTCGACCGTTTCTTCTCCCCCCGCTACTAAATCAGGAACCGAAGATTCGTCTTTCAATTTAAAGTCTTTTCGCCACATTCCAGCAGGTACCAACGCGTCTCCTCAGAAGGCACACAATACTTCAGTAGTGGCAGATATTTCTTTGCCCCCTCCCCGACCACGACCGCGGGATGAAAGTTTTGGGTCTGATTCGTCACAGCGGATATCTGTTGCCGCATTCCGTGAAGCGCAGGCTCGGAGAAGCCGCGCAGAGTCCCCTGTCCCTTCCTTCCGGCCTCCGTCAGCCACCGATACACTCCGTCTCGATGCTGTTGCCAGGAAGCGTGCGTCTACGGTTTCGGCTGTTTCAGGGTCAGAAATCTCTCAATCAAATCGTGCTTCCGTCCCCCCTTGGTCATCCTCTAGGCCAAACAGTTCTGCCGTACAAACCTCTTCTGATTCGGAAGATTCGAGTTCCGAAGAAGATGAAGACGTGGATAGTGGCGATGAACTAACCCAGAAGCGTGGTGGAGAGCGCACCATTACTTCTCGGCGTCTTGCTCAGTCCGAGATGGGACACGGTTCTTTACCTGAGCCGTCTCCATCAGCGTCAGATTTTGCGAGATGGTCTAGAGCAGATTCGCCGCGAGCGAGCCCGATGGAGTCGTCGTTTGCAACCCGGGCAAGAGCTTCCGCATCGACGAGTGCGATAATTCCTGACGCCGCAGCACGCCGTGCGTCACTCTTGGCAGGCACAAACTCTGCTCACGGGTTACCTGGTAAGGTCTTCAGCTGTTTTTGGGGCATCTAGCTCATAATCGTGGCAATTCCCCATACTTCACCGTGACGCACAATACATCAGAGCCCAAATCGGTGCCCCAGCGACGGAAGAATGACGACTCAGATACTTCATCTGATAATTCGGATAGTAGCAACTCAGAGGATAAGCCCTTATCGACTTTGGTTCCGCCTCGGAGACCCGGAAGCTCAACTTCGGTTTCTACGAATAAGTCTTCGCGTGCTCCCCCGAAACCTCTGATCGATATCAAGTCTCTCGTCGGAAGCCCTCCCGTTCTGACCCCTGTGTTGAGGCACGAGAACTCGATCAAGAAGCCCACAGGCAAGGATGAGCCCTTCTCCCCACCGCCAGCGATCAACATGTCGAACAGTTTCATGTCGAACTCTTCAAGTCCCTCACCGATGAGAGGGCAGAGCCCTGTGGTGGGAAGTAAACAGCAACCAACGACCCATCATCGGAGAATGAGCAGTGAAGCGACCACCGTCTCGACCGCTACAGTCAAAGGCCCTTCGGATTCCGAGGAGGAACTTGTAAATGCCATCCGACTTGTTAATTCGTTTGACTCGGAGAGAGACAAAGAGAAGTCACAGACCAACTCTAGCGCTTTCCCTCGGGTTCAGGAACCTGAGCAGAAATCTAACGATCGCATTATCCCAACCCCCATCCGCGAGCGACAACCTTTGTCTTCGTTTGCAGTAGTATCTAGACCGCCCCAACGCGCTAGCATGTCCGGGATCTCACAGACGTCGCCGTCCTCGCCGTCCCCACCTATCGCCGCCTCGCTTCCGGTGACTTCCTCACCGCCCATCAGGACAACAAGGTCTGCTGCTGGTGTGGGCGCCCGTCCGCGCTCCACTACTTTGATGAATCCCCCTTCATATTCGTCAACCGACAAGTCAGACTCCAAGTCTACTACCTCGTCATCTTCTCGCGCGTCTCGCGTTCCCCCTATCCCACTTATCCGTTCTATCCCCGACTCTCCATCTGTCAAAGCGGACAACAGGCAGTCTTCCCAGAGTACTATGAAGCTACGTGCAACCTCTGCCGGCCCTCCAGAGACCCGCTCGCGTCCGCAGTCGCACACGTTGGCATCTCTGATGTCTTCGCCGCCTTCTTTGTCCTCGTCTGGCCGCAACAGCAGCTTCTTATCATACGGGTCGCAGTTGATGCCGCAGCGCCCCTTCGTGGGCAATAGTTCCGCACGTGGTGACAGTCCTGCCCCCAGCTCGACTGGCGAGTCTAGCAGTGGCGGTCCTCCGTTCACTCCGCGCGATGGGAGTGAGATTGGTGTTAGACTGCCTGAGAGTGGGAGCGATGTCGGGTCTACATTGAAGGCACGTGCCCACATAAGGAAGTCAAGCGTTACCTTCGAGGATATACCTGAAAAAGGTAGGGAGCGCGGGAGAGAGAGGGCGAAGAGCGAAGCTGCAGAGGAGGAGAGGAGGCGCGAGAGGAGAAGGAGCGAAGCAAAGGCTGCTATCGAGGTATGCCGACTTTGTTTTCTCTTGTGAAAGGGCGAGATATCGATATCTGATTTCCCTTTGCTAGTTTGGCAAGCTCGTCAATAGCCGTGGTCCACTGGTACACGATGGATGGGATGACGAGCTGTCACATCGTTCCGGGAATGGACGAATGAGAATGAGCATGAACCCGATGATGGGAATGGGTATGGAGGGCAATATGCCGGGCATGATGACACCGAGTGGATGGGTATCTTGGCAACAACCGATGGCTACGGGTATGAGTGGCGTGGTTCCTCAACTTCAGTTCAACAACGACCCTGCTTTCCTTGCTGCCCATCAGCGCGCCATGATGATGGCAAAGCAGGCGTACCAGATGGCAGTCGCCCAACACGCTATTGCTGTCGCCGGCGAAGAATGGGAGAGGAGTTCTAACGCTGGGTTTGGGAGCGGCGGATCTGTGTACGGAGGTGGTAGCGCGGCGAGTGTGTATGGTGGGGCGGGACCCAGACCTGGAGCGGGCATGATGGGTATGCCAAATACGGGTATGCTCGTGCCGCCAGGACCGTGGCATGGTGCTCCTACGATGTTCCCGGGCACAGCCTTGATGTATGGTGGTGGAATCAACAGTACGCAAAGCGAGTTCGGCGGCGCGGCTGGATGGGCGTCAAAGAGTGCATATGGGGAATCATTTGGACCGTCGTCGAGATCGAGCTATTTGCAAGCGGGTCGTGGCGTCCCTGCTAGTTCTGCAAGTGCATATGATGGGCCCGCTCCGAGACCTCGTGCGAAGACAGGCGCAGCTCCGCCTTCCTCACCCAGGAGTCCGGGACGGAGTCGGGTTCCTCCGCCGTCAAGTTGGAAGGTCGCAAAGTGACCTGCCTCATTTCGTTTATAAACAACTGTTTTCCATGGTCAAGAGGTATACAGTAACGATTTTTTGATGCGGTGAACCTTTCGTTTTTCGTTTTCTGCGGCAGCCGGTTCGTTCCCTTTTATCTCTATGAATTCGAACGTTCGTTTTCCTTCCGGGCCCGAGTCCGCATCAGACATTCATTAGCAATTTCCTTGGTAATCTTGCATTCTTTCTTTCTTTCTGAGGCTGTCCGATATTATCGACAGCTCTTGGGGATCCTTCTGCACCTTCTATTATTACAACTTGACATACATTTTGCATGTTTGCGCACTGAGTATTATTGCGGAAAGACGCTCTAGGTAGCTTACTATTATCTTCACGGTAAACCAAACAATCCGCATTCGCAAGCGCTCCGACGTGTTACGAGTTGGTCATCATCTCTTGCGACATGTGTACGGATCAAGACGCAACTAGGGATCATCCGGGACATAAAGCTACCGTCTGAGAACTTCCATATCCTCTACATGTTTCAACTTCAGAAATGATGATCAATGGACCCCTATAACCCTAGTCGCATCATTTCGGCCACTTCGCGAAGAGGGAAGAGTGTGCCAGAAGTTTTTCTTATTGCTCACAAATCCATTACATTTGCAGGTACCGGCAGTGTTCCAAGTATTCCCGTCAACGCTATGCACTTCCTCCGCACGTGACCTGGCCACGTGCCTGGGCTCGGCTTACTATGATGGTAATCGCTTCCTGCCTGGTTTTGTCAGTAGTGCTGGTTGAGTGATGGCGTTGTGAATAAGCCTATCACGTGACTCTGATCGCGTCATGGGTTGAGATAAGGGTATAAATTCACTCATCCTAATCCTGTGCGTTATCATTTACCGTTCCGCAATCGTTCTCTTCTTAACGACCCATCAATCGAAATAACGCATAACTATGGTTGAGAAAATCGAATCAATCCAGCAGTTCCGAGAGCTTGTATGTCAAAATGCCGCTGATTGCAATGTAATGTCTGGCTAACTTATACATCGCAGATCAACGGCGATGTACCTGTCGTCATCGATTGCTATGCGGATTGGTGTGGGCCATGCAGAATCATTTCCCCTAGATTTGCAGAGTTGTCGGGTCAATATACGCAAGTGAAATTCTACAAGCTCAATGTTGACGAACAACAAGACATCAGCAGCGAACTTCAAATCCGATCGGTCAGCGTATTGCACCATTAGTGATCTGTATTAAGATGCTAAGACCCCTGTATTCTTCAGATTCCAGCGTTCTTTGTCTTCCGTAATGGAAACAAAACTGAGGAACTTGTCGGGGCTAACCCCAGCGCACTGAATGTTCGTACCTGTAGGTCTTTGGCTGGTGGTCCTAGCTAACTAGTTGTGCAGGCTCTCGTGGCGACCGCTTCCTCTTTAGTTGCATAGTTTTGCTTTGGGTCTGTCGTCGTAGAGCTCTTGACTGCTCGTCACTTATTAGCTTGTGTATGTAAGATAAACAATATCCGTAGGAAACCCCAGTCCAGAAAAGAATCTGAAGTTTGTACTCGTCATTTGGGAACGAGTGTAGAGATGGACAGGCCCAATGGTGATGTCATCATGGAGTAAAGTTAGAACATGTTTATTGTTTCCTGGGGCCATCCCTATGCATTATGAACCAACCCCCAATAAATAATTAGGCAACGGTTTTCAGGATAGGCAAGTGTGCGAACAACATGAATGGGTACATCGTAAACGTCGCGAAATGACATGAAGCTACAATCAAACCTACAACGGCAATGAGTAACTCGCATTTGGAGACATAATAGACACCAACCAGACTGAGCTCCAGAGTCCAAACCCTCCTCGCCCATAGTTTTATTATCTGAGAGGACTCCTCAGACTGGGAGATGTCAACTTCCATGCCGTCCCACCAGCATTTACGCTACAGACTAGATCAGTCACCTAGTATTGTGAAGGGGCCAGCAGCTTACAGCAGGTTTTCTCCAGAATAGCAGTAGTTTCTGGGCAGTCGCCATCTGGTTGTAATCAATAGTCACTGGCCTTTCACCATTTGGTCCTGGTGGGTGGTGCATGATACCCGTCTTGAGGAGAACTAGAGCTATGGACGATATGCAGCATCGTGAAGGTTCTACGGCGCGGTATCCCCATTCGTCATCCCGATTGAATCCACTTGTACGAACGTCAGAGAGTTCTGTCATCTCTGCAAAGGTGAAAGTTAGTCACCTCATGCACAACATGTCAATCAGATGTTGCTCGGCGACATTATTTTCCTTGTGAACGTTGCGCTGCAAGGCGGTAAATATGTTGCGCTTCTCGATTATATGCTGCCCGCATCGGCGCTTGATTTCTAACAAAGCCTGGTTGGCAATACCATTATCGTCTGTCAATGCCTGGCCATCCGTTGGGGGAATGGCAAAATATTCAAGTTCCTCGCGAAGAACTATAATAGCTTGCTTCGTTAGAAGTGGATTCTGAGAGGCCGCGGGGCCAAAGTCTGATGGTGAACCGTCGAGCAAATGTTGCTGAGCAGCAAACAAGCCAGGGTTTGTGGCAGTTCCATAGAACGTCTCTGAGGCACTCCGAAAGAATTCCAGCACATATGAGAAACAATCCGGGTCGAACTACTCCACGGGGTGGGTTAAGGGCTTGCTACGCATCGCAGATTGAATGGGGCTTACGTCGACCCCATACACTTCTTCGTCCTCCTCGTTTTCTCCACCGTCAGAGAAAGCCGAACTCTGTCGGCTAAGTACAAGACCATTTGGGAAGAGGCACAGCAGGACAGATTCTGGTAGATTCATGATTGTCTCTCTGTCCACCGAGAAGCGCTTCCCGCGCAGGTCGAGGAGGAGCCTGGTGAGCAGCTGTGGCTGCAAGTTCGATTGGATCGGTACTTGGTGTTGTGACACCTGGGTTATTGGCGAAGATGACATCGAGGCCGCCGCCATATTGGAAACAAATGGGAGAAAGCAAAGACGACGATCTCCTGCTGGGAGTGAGCAACAACACAAGTATTGTCTCACCGAAACCTCGAGGCGACCGCCCACAACCTTGTTTGTGCCGGACAAATACTTCCGTGCCTTTCTAAACGGCAAAACATTAGCGTCGTGCCCTAATACTTGCAATTACATACTTAGTGCACTCCAGATATCATGCGCCGGAGCTTGCGCCCCTTGATGCGGCGACAGTGGAGGTATAAGCCTCGGCTGCAGACACCCTGCTGTTGGCTGCATTGCTATCTACCATCATCCACACTTTCTGCGTTCAGGAAAGCCACGCAGGTTGGTGATTTATTATATCAAATGGAAGTAGGCAACTATTCTAGGCTAACACCTATCCCGAGGGTTTCTCATTTGTAAATGACATGCTGGTAAGTGTCTGACTTAGTAACAGCTGTGCTCAGTGCTGGTCTGATGCGTCTGGTCTACCTGAATCTCAAATCGTGCCACGCAGCCTCAGATCGAATGAAATGTATTGTGGCATGTCACGCGTTGACAAAGTGGGCTTCCTCGAAGCACGTCTCGCCCCACTCTTCGAGTTTAGAAATTTCCCCAAACATCTTTGTGGGGGTGCTGAAGTTCCGAGAAGGCGCTGATGTCACATCAATAACCCCCGTTTTGGGATTTTGAGCCTTTAGGCAAGAAATTGTATTTGTAAGTAATGCATCATGTACAACCAGAAGATTCGTGCACAACCGAACGAATAACCATAACACCCATAGGAACCATACCGCTGGCCGCGAGCCCCGATTCTAAGACATCGATTACATATTCTTAACCAACCGCTAAAAACGGTGATATCAGCGTGAGCACATTTCCGAATATGCACTCGGACATAACTTACTACGAGTTGTGAATGATCAGCACCAATAAGGTCGCCCACCTGGACACCCTTTTTGAATACCTTAAATGCTGGCAGCTGTGGAATGTGATTGAGCCGAAAGGTCATCAGATCTAGACTGCGACCTACGTTTCGGACACCCAGGGCCAGGGCAACATCTCTTACGTCTTCGATATCCAGGCGGTAAAACTGCGCCGCTGGGTTTTGTGCTGCCAGTTGCTCGAAGAGTGGTGACATGGATCGACACACCCCACACCATTCGGCCCAGAACTCGACAATAACGGGTCTGTTACCGTTAATCTGGTTCCGGCGACGTCAACGCCTATGGCGTCATAGAAAGCCGTACGATCCACTTACCACGGACTCGAAGTGAGCAAGGGAAGTGAGGAAGGTGACAGGCATGGTCTCCGAAGTGGGCAGTTGGTGGCAGGGGTTGTCTTACTGACCGTTATTCCACCACACGATGTTTTATACCTGACCTCCCAGAGAGATGGCTCGACCACCATGGTTGTGTGGCTTGCTTATCCGCTCCACTCTCAACGGTAGATCGTCGTTCAAAGAGGAAGGTATTCGTCGACATTAAGGCTACCGGCCAGGCGGAATGTGCGTGCTTTCATTTCTTTCACTTCCGGCGTCTGCGGGACGGTGCAGACAATTCCTTGATGCATCGATTACTTGGACCGATATCCTGATGAAATCTCGGTCTCTTTTCACGCCGCAGACACTTGGCCCACCAAGATTTCCGACTTAAGCAGCAAGAGGCAAGGCGACAATCATTGACAATGCAGGGAGCATAATGACCGTCGCGTGGCCAGTATCGCTGAGTTCGTTTCCAAGTCGTAGATGGATGTCATATCTGTTCAGGACAATTTTCAACTGGCCGCCGGCGACCTGTTTCACATCTCGCCACTTCGATGACCACTGCACTGACTTCCATTGATAAGTCCTTCTTAGCGTTTCGCCAACACTCCACAGCATGCTGAAGACCGTCAGCAACTCTGAACACGACGGCCTTTCCACGTTAGTCAAGGAGATCACGTTGGCGATAACTTACTTACCCTTTCTTGGTGACCAAGTGTATGACGGCGATCCGGCGGACCTTGCATCCGGTCAATTAGCTTCCTCCGATGTTTGGATGATGCAAGTGCTCTTTGCCTCATTGCTTGTGACGGAGGATGGTGTGTCTTGGTCAGTCTTGAGATATGATGCCACACTCTTAATTTCACATCTACCTGACAAGTGGCCGACGGGAGCCCTGATACTTTGAGCGCGACTGGCCATGCTCTGTGATACCAACCTCTCGCTAATAGCTAATGCCGCGGCATGTCGAAATGTAAACCGCTTGCAGCACAGATGAGATCTTCGATTCTTCGTAGATGAGATATACGACTCGTGGTGAAGTTTATGACTACAAACGCATGTTCTACGTCCTGCGGTATGAAATTTAAGAGGCGGGGTAGATTTCTGTAGCGTGCACCTCGAGCTTCCTCATGTTTGATGAGTAGCTAGCCATGAAGTACTTATCAAAGCGGGTGGTCGGGACAATGAGGGGTATTGAACTCCCTTTTCTAGTCATGCCCTCGCACTGGCGGTCAAAATAAACACCCCAAATGCATCCTCTCGAGCGTGCTGTATCTGACGTTCCGAAGTGGACAGGGGTATGCACAGAGTTAACTTGACCAATCGGGATCATCGGTTTGTGTTGGATTCATTCCAGATATGCACTGCACTTCTGCTCACTGGCACCTGATTGCGATCTCCGGCCAATGATACATGAACTGAACAAACTGCGGGGGCTGGCTGGAAAAACGTAAAGGCGAGACGATTTATGGCTGGCGCCCGTATCAAGGCTGTCGCATTCATGAACGTAGTAGTGATATGAACCAATCACGATTACAATGAGACAGTTGATATGTATCGAGATGTACCGCCATATCAAAACATGAGAGTTCTCCGCGGCCAGCCCTGTGTTCGGAACCTGTGTCAGGTCCTGTCATTATTATCGGACCGTGCGCCAAACATGGATGGCATGCGCGGGCAACTAAGAAGGTTGAACATTTGAACGTTGAGTATTTGAATGTTGAACGCTGATGAGTGACCGGTGACGTAAACCGATACATCATCCTATCACCACCCTTATGGCTATCTTCAAACAGTTCCCCCCTGGGGATGGAACCATTTGACGTCAAAGGCTTCTAATATGAAGGAGAAGAGTGTGAGATGGTGCCCGGACACGCGTGGCATGCGCGTGTCTTGCCATGGGAACATGTGTAGTTACTGCTTTTCAAGAATAGTGACGCCATATAACGTTTCCGAAACCCCCCATGGTATAGATTGGGTGGAGAAGTTCAGTACAGCACTCAAACTCGCTTTTCCTGTCGAAACAATGAATTATGGAGATGTCCCTGGCTTCGAGCAATGCTTGGAAAGGATGACATATTTGGAATTCTGCCACATTGTGAAGGTGCATCGGTGTTATCCGCATCGCTTTTCCTCGGAATTGATGGGGGAACGAACAGGCAATTATGTTTCGTTTAGTCTTCAGATATACATGAAAGCGGAGTGAATTATCCCATGATCGAGGGCGTTGATGGGCTAGAATGTTGTTCGTGTATCTACCCGGTCATGACCGAGGAGTCGTTCGGCGTGTTCTCTCAAACGAGTCATATAACCCCTCATGATACGGAGGTCCCTGTAACGGGCGGACTGATGCTGGGAGAAACGACTGTGGATCAGTGAGAGAGACGAAGTTACAGCCAGTACATACAATAATCACCACCACATCAGCATTGGACCAGCGAGGTGCCCTCACTGCTTCCCGTGTGCTGGTTCTCCGTGAGGAGTAATCGGATGAGCTCATGATTCAATTAAGCAGCGGCATAACACACGTGAGATGAGATACTGCCATGAGGAAAGTAGACGGCGTGCACGACAGCGTGTCGATTGCCAACTGGCCGCATGGCTGAATCCTGCAGGGGCATGTTCTGGTTTCGAAAGTGTTCTGAACGAGTCGGTCTACATACATTGTCAAGACTCGACTGAAGTAAAGTTTGTAGTACCATTAGTGTTGAGTGGCAGGCAAGCGTGAGAGGTGACCAAACCCGGGTCGTCGACCGCCAACACTCTCAAAGTTTTGCCGCAGCCAGCGCCCCGCCTGGCATCCGCTGCCTTTCCGTTCCACCGTGTCCACTGCCACTCTTTTTTATTTTGTTTCCGTGCCATTCTCACTGGTAGATAGTCTGGATAGTTTGGTCTTAGCTGGTGGCCCTGGACCTCACCGGCACTAGCCAGCCTCATCTGTCTGTCTGTCCATCCACACACCATCATGAGTTATCAGCAACAGCGTCCAACGCGGCTGAATCGTCCTCATCCGCCTTCCCACACGGACCAACAGCGTTACGCCCAACCGACGCTCCCCCAAAGTTCCTCATCACCCAGCGCTGATTATGGTCAGCGAACACCCCTTAGTCCACGTTCCCAACCGTACATCACATTTCAAGACGCGGAGCTTGGGGACAGGCAGGAGTCGCTCGACTCGCAGCGCAGGAGAACGATGCCCTCTGCATACCAAAACCAACTGCCAACCACTCCCCAGGACCCCGAAGGTGGGGACTACGGAGATGGGGGAAAGGTCGGCAGAAAGAAGAGCCTCGTTCGGCCTGATAGAGAAAAGATAGAACCAGGCCATCGCCTATGGCATTATCGTACGCATGCCTCTCGCTTGGAGGGTGAGGACGATGGCGGCGTAGACGTTCAGCCCTCGAGTCAGTCATTAGCCAAAAAAACCACATCTCCTTTCGTTGATTCCTTCTTGCCCAAACAGCTACCGGAAACTATCCTAGGGAAAAACTTCGTCGAGGAAAGTCACTTTTAGGCCGAGAGCAAGATGTCCGAGAAACTGGGCTTGCCGCCTTCAAACGTGGAGCGACTCTCCGGCGGAAACGGCCACCCTCAGCCCAGTCCTCTGCACCACTCAATCCTACAGACGGCACTTCGCGTAGCTGTTTAGATCGCATGGGCCCTGGCCCGAAGAATTGCTGGTTCATATACTGCTACGTCTTAACCTGCTGGATCCCTGGTTTCATGTTTCGCGTCTGTGGTAAGTATCATTAACCCACCCTGCTCGTACCATCATAGAATTTGGCCTGCAGGGATTCGAACGCCAGAACAGCAGCGTGCTTGGAGGGAGAAAATGGGACTGATCTTCCTCATTTTAATGGAGATGGCCGCCGTAGGATTCATTACATTCGGGTTCACAGAGGCCGTCTGCGGGACGCCGCCGAACAGATACCATCAGGGACAGATCAGCAACGCTTCTGTGATCATCCACGGTTACGACTACGACTTCTCAAATTTCAAACATCCCGCCGTCGGACCGTTCAATGGGTCCACCAACCCGCTTATTACCGGGGGCTGGAACTTGGCTTCCAACGATGCTAGTTTCCTCTTTCAAACAGTGAACCAGAATTGCCTCGGCCTCATCACAAAGGCCAGTGGTTCAGCCATCAACGGTAGCAATGATCAACCGGATTGGTACTTTCCTTGCAACGTCTTCAACCCGCAATCCAACAGTCAGAACCTGACTGGTTATGGCGACTCCACCAACTGCCATATTTCCAGCCAAGCTAGGCAGGGGTTGGCTGGTATGAGACCCCAAGGGCAAGTCTACTATACGTGGGACGACCTCATTGCGTCAAATCGCAACCTCGCAGTCTATGAATCGTGAGTAAACCGAATGAATTTCATGTCCAAATATTGTTAACACTAGGGCAGTACCGTACTTGACCTAGACTTGCTACAGTGGCTAAGCAGAACGGAAGTTCAATACCCGACGCTTTTCGACGAAATGAAAAGTGCCGATGGGACTTACAATGGCAAGGACTTGACCATGATGTTCATGCGCACTGCTCAACAGCAAACTGGGAGATGTCTTCAGGATATTGTCACTGTCGGCTTTATTGACACGAATAGCATCGGCTGCGTCGCCTCTGAAGTTGTGCTCTACATCTCACTCGTCTTCATCATCGGGGTCGTCGGCATCCGCTTCGGAATGGCTGTTCTCTTCTCCTGGTTTTTCTCGTGGAAACTCGGGAACTTCCCACGTGAAACTTACGAGCAACGGATGCAACGCTCTCAGGAAATAGAGGACTGGTCAAACGATATTTACCGTCCTGCGCCAAGTGAGTATCGTCCAAATGTCTCCAAGAACGGACTCCGTCACGGAAAGGGAGGAAAGCGAAGTGCATTCCTCCCTTCAATTTCTCGCTTCACTCCGCAAGAGAACGCTCTTAAGGGCCCCAATCCACGCCCGACTACTGCGTACGGCATGCTAGACGCTCCTTACAAGCGGAACACGTCACATTCCAGTCCGAGGACAAAGGGAACCCCTCCTGATTCGCCTGCTTATCGCGCGTCCAGGAGCACAGTGTCATTCGGAGATTCTCGTTCCGGATATACAGATACTCCGTGCCCCTTCCCATTGGTCAACGTTGTGCCACAGCCTCCTCCCGACTACGAGCCATTCAATTTCCCGCTTGCACACACCATCTGTCTTGTCACAGCATATTCTGAGTCTGTTGAAGGTTTGCGCACCACCTTGGACTCCCTGGCAACGACGGACTATCCTAATAGCCACAAGCTCTTGCTGGTTATCGCTGATGGAATGGTCAAGGGTGCAGGCAACACGCTTACAACGCCCGAGATTTGTTTGTCGATGATGAAGGATTTCATTATCCCTCCTAACGAAGTCGAGCCCCATTCGTATGTTGCTATCGCAGACGGACACAAGAGGCACAACATGGCAAAGGTCTACGCAGGTTTCTACCACTATGACAGTGCTACCGTCGAACGGTCAAAGCAACAGCGCGTCCCAATGGTAGTCGTCGCCAAAGTCGGTAACCCGCTCGAAGCCAATGACCCTAAACCCGGTAACCGCGGCAAGCGTGACAGTCAGATCGTCCTCATGGCTTTCCTTCAGAAAGTCATGTTTGATGAGCGAATGACTACATTTGAATATGAATTCTTCAATTGCATTTGGAGGGTGACGGGTGTGAGCCCTGATCGATACGAGCTGGTGCTTTGTGTGGATGCAGATACCAAGGTCTTCCCTGATTCGCTCACTCGTATGGTGTCATGTATGGTCGTCGATGTTGAGATAATGGGGTTGTGCGGCGAGACCAAGATCGCCAACAAGGCAGATAACTTTGTCACCATGATGCAAGGTGAGTGTCATTAGAAGCACTGACTGCTCGTGTACTGATGCTTTCTGCCTCGTAGTCTTTGAGTACTACATCTCGCATCATATGACTAAGGCGTTCGAGGCTATGTTCGGAGGAGTAACATGTTTGCCAGGTTGCTTCAGCATGTACCGGATTAAGGCGCCGAAGGGCGACAGCGGTTATTGGGTTCCAATCCTTGCGAATCCCGATATCGTGGAACACTACTCAGAGAACGTCGTTGACACACTCCACAAGAAGAACTTGCTTCTACTGGGTGAAGATCGTTACCTCACCACTTTGCTCTTGAAGACCTTCCCTCGCCGGAAGACGATGTTCTGCCCTCAGGCAGTCTGCAAGACGATAGTCCCTGACACGTTCCAGGTACTCCTGTCGCAAAGGCGTCGTTGGATCAACTCTACTATTCACAATCTTGCTGAGCTCGTTCTTGTACGTGACTTGTGCGGCACTTTCTGCTTCTCGATGCAGTTTGTCGTTGGAATGGAGTTGATGGGTACACTGGTTTTACCTGCTGCGATCAGTTTCACGCTCTACCTGATCATCGTTTCCATCATTCCTGGTGGCACGAACACGACCATCCCTCTCATTCTTCTGGCCATTATCCTTGGTCTTCCTGGTCTCCTCATTGTCATCACGTCTCGCAAGGTTGCGTACGTTGGCTGGATGCTTGTGTATCTGGTCTCTCTCCCCATATGGAACGGGCTCCTCCCAGCTTACGCCTTCTGGCATTTCGACGACTTCTCGTGGGGACAGACAAGGCAGATATCTGGCGACAAGGGCGGTACTCATGCTGATAAAGAGGGTGAATTCGATTCGTCGCACATTGTCATGAAGCGTTGGGCGGAGTTTGAGCGCGAGCGACGGTGGAGGAACGGCATGCAATCTCGCGATTCTTCTGCACTAGACAAGAGGTAAAGTTACCCGATTGATTTTTCCGTTTTTATTTTTTGTTTGCCTTGATTGGACCGCTTTCTGACTGCTACTGGTTGGGTCCAGTAATAGATATTCGGTAGCCTCGAATTCGGACACAATCTACCCCTACTTCGAACGGCGGCCTTGATTCGTCGACCACCGAGTCGGCGCCCTCATTGCCTCACACCAGCCGACAACGACATGACAGCAATGGATTCCTGGGGATTCCAACGCCCTTGCCCGTGAATGTGCCCAGAGCGTTCCCTTCAGGGGCGTCAGCAACATCTGTGGCCCGCTCGAGCGAGGATGCAACGCACATGTCTGACATTGGTTCGAACTCACACCAGCGCCTGGTACCTAGCCCTCAGGAACAATACTCCGACGTTTTTGGTGACAGGTATTCTCCGCAATTTGATGCGCAAGTTGCACGGACAGCTGGTAACAACGGTGGTGTCCTGCGCAATCCCACCTTGTCGAACCAGTATCCTGGAGAGACGCAGAACCCATTCCGACCTACCGAAGCGCAAGTCATTTCGTACGATGAGAGTTATGGATACACCGCTGAACCAGAGGAAGTACCTCCTCCGCCGCCTAGGCAGACGCGTGGTGTGAGCTTGTCGGACAACGGTCCTGTCCGTGGACCAGATGTCGTACGGAGGGTGCCGCGCCAAGGAAGACGGTCATCTTCGCAGGCCCCTCAAAATCGGTATTCGCGAGCCTCCACTGCGTTTAATTTGCCGCCAGGAGCAGCTCCACCACAAGCTGGAGGAGCCTACTAACGGTCGATGGTCGCTTGGTTCCCCACCTACTTTTCCTTGGCTTTAACGGCTCGAAAGGTTACAGCGCTGTCATTTATGTGGGACCTCTTGCCCTTTACTTTCTAGACGACGGGTCGACCGATTCACACTGCACATCATAGTACATGTTAAAGATGATGTTACATACGGACTTCGCAGGCGCATTTGTCATATGATACCTCATGACTCCATCCATCTCTCCTTACGGCGATTGGGCACTCGTTTCTTTTTTTTTCTTTTCTTATACTTTTTCTATCGTACAACTCGCGGCTCCCGCATTATCGAGTGATGCCATGCACTCACATTTGCCGCCCGATTATAACAATTTCTCTGGTGTGTAAAACTGGCTGATTTTCCGAACGATGAATGGATAGATTTCTGTTTATCCGAACTGCATCAGAGAGACGGGGAATGACGGAATCGCGGTCACGACCAGTCGGTGACGGGTTTAAACAGGTTTAGACCATTTTTTCGCTTCCTGATGTGGTAGGCTTCATGTCTGCAATATCAGTGCTTTGCGTCACCTTTTGACTGAATTCTGGGACGGATTAACGTTGCTTCTACGTCGAGTAAGACGATGAGCCTTGTCTAGTAGTGAACAACCTTGTACCCTACCTGACCAGAAGGCCGAGGCAAAGAAACTTAGGGGCCCAGCCTGTGCAGTACCAAAAAGCACTGATTGGCATCTCAGGCCCTCTCAAGTTCTACTTGAATAGGTGGTTTATTTTTACGAATCTAAGCTGCACACACCGTCGCAGACCTATACCCAGTGAGCGGGGACCACATGATTTGTATGAATGCTTGAAGGTTGCACTTATGACAAACGTCTGCTGCCAGTGCGAGCTTTATGCCTACCCGAAGTGTTCGGTTATGACTAGTAGAGCAAGCACCAACTAGTGAAATATTGGGAATCGAGGCACAGGGGCTTCAGCGATAGAACCTCCAAACTCGCATCTCGAGCAAGTCGTGCCACGCACAGTTCGCCGTCATCGCTGAAACGTTGGTGTCGTTGCTATGCCGGGGTAGACGGGGCAGTCTCAGGACGCAGAATGAACGTTGCGTTGCAAATTAGTGAAAACATTTGCCATCGTAACCAGGTTATCTGACGCACTGCGATTGCCGGCGGCACGTGTTAATGAAGTTAGCATGCGAAAACTAGGATTCGGGCGAAGATCAGGGTATCTGATCCGGTTCACTCCCATAAAACGATGCCTGGACCCCTGGAACATACTATATGTCTGTGAGGTGGAAACTGGTGCAGAAACTCATCAGAAAGGCTGGGCAGTGAGGGCCCGCTTGTCATGGAGAAAACCAGGACTTGAAGGTCGGTATGCTGAAACGTATCCCTGCAGAATTAATGCTAGGGCATGAAACAAAAGCTCTTACAAGTCACGCCACTAATAGTCTTCGCAGCTGCAGTATCCAATGTCTACCTCATCGCGGTGATGGCGGGCCAACTATAATAATTCACCTGTGCAGCACCTGATTAGTATGACCGAGCAATATAACCCCGTTAAGTCGTGAGCCTGTCGGCAGTGGCGATGCGAAAGTACCAAAAAGCATTGATAGGCCTAGGCATCTCGAGCTCTATCAGGAATTAATGTTTAGGTGTAAACGCAAGGGAACAAAAACAGAACAAACACACGACGCCAACGAGAAGTTGGCACCGACAGCCACCAAATAACCTATCGACCAAACAAGCGCTGCAGGGCCTCTAGAGGTACAACCCGAAGAGCACGGTGAGTGTGAAGGAGAGTGGAAAATAGCACCCCCGTGGCCAGCCCTCGTGCTGGTCCCGGTTTTGAAGATCCCGCTGATCCGAGCTCACACGCCAGACATGTGATTCCTGCAGTCTCCGCTGCGTCAGGGGGTTCTGTTCTTCTCTCATTCCCAGATAACATGTCATAACCTCGAATTTCGAGAACTATATCCATATCTAACAACACAAAACAACTGCATGTTCTGCAGAGAGACAACGTAGAGTCATGTCCGTTGGAACTTTGGAGGCGAAGACGCCAGATTACCATCCCTTGGACTGACGCTGAACAGGCTGTTCCGAGAATCGTTGCCATATCCCGAAACTGACAGTTATCCAACCAATTCATCTATCGCCCCCTAGCTGACAGACCGCCGTTCCGGTCGGTGTCCCGTCTCAGGTACTCCTCCCGCTCCATTATGGGACCAAATTGAGGCAAGGTAAGGAGGTTTTCCACCCAACGACCATTGATCCGAAGCTGTTCAGCCATCAGTAGAATCTGACCATCGGTAGCAAACTGTCATGGTTCCACCACTGGGAGTGTAACCCTGTTGAGTTCATAGCCAGCGTTCTGCGGGCACGTCAGTACTATATAAACTCATCTGATTTCGCCATTGAAGCAGCAACGGACTCAGACACAACATGTCTTCCACTACTTTTACCATGCACGCAGCGGGCTACGATAATCTGCTGGCAGTTTATCGCTCGACTTCTATCCTTAGCGTCCTCGCAGGTATCGCCGGTGTCTTGGTTCTACGCAGTACCTTGCGCGCAGCTCGAAGGAAACTCAAGACCACCAGCCTTCGTGGACCACCTGGCACGCACCCCATATTCGGGGCATCGAAGGACCTCTTCGAGTCACCGGACACGGGGGAGATCTTTGAAACATGGGCCGAGGAATATGGTGTGGCCTACGAGGTTCCGACGAGTTTCGGCGGGAAGAAGATCATGTTATGCGATCCAAGAGCCCTCGCACACTACTATGCCCGGGAAACCTGGACATACTGTACTAACTGATTCGACCAGAGTATTCCTCGAACGCGGGGTATGTTCTACTACAACAGTTCCTTGCATGTTCCGCTTACAACTCGACATCCAGTTCGGAAGAGGGATACTGTGGTCGCACGGGGAAGATCACAAGAGGTAACTCCAGTATTCCCAACGCCGAGATGACGTACTTACCCTTGTTCCTCAGACAACGCAAGTCTTTATCGCCTGCATTCAGCCACGCCGCCCTGCGAAAGCTTTCCCATATATTCTATAACTGTGCTCACAAAGTAAGGCTTACCAAATTTGTTCGACTTGTTTTCGGAAACTGAGCATTGATGGCCTAGACGAAAGCTGGTTGGGACGCTCTGATCGACATGAGTGGCGGTGAAAGTGCTATCATCGAAATCCAAGATTGGATGAACCATATCTCGTGAGGCAATCACCGTCGTATTTGTTAAATTTTCGTCTGAACACTTGCACCAGTCTCGACACCATTGGCATGGCCGGGTTCTCCCATGATTTCGGTTCTCTCGACGGTAAACCTGCCACAATCCAAAAAGTGTTCAGTGCCTTCGACGCGTCGGCTAAGCAATCGTTCCTTGATATTGCCGTCGTCCTCTTCGCAGAAGTGTTCCCTGTGTTTTCTTACATACCGGTGTCATGTGTTCAATCACTCACCGACATGCAAGAAACGTTGTCGGGTGTCGCAAAGAATCTCCTAGAGAGGATGGAGAGAGAACAGAAAGAGGGAGTTATTGATGGAAAAGAGGACAAGTCGATCATCGGAGTGCTTAGTACGTCATCTCGCTACGATTGGAGGTCAGACTTACGGAGGAACTTCCATAGTTAAAGCTACTGAGGCCGAGGGCGGACGGCATGTGACCCCCGAAGAAGTGCTATCGTCGGTGAGTAAACGGTGAAACTACTCCTGACAAGTTATCACTTACAAGCCGGGATCACCAGATGAAAGAGTTACTTCTTGCTGGTTACATCACTACATCGAGTGAGCCCTTCGTTTTAGCAAAGGTTGTTGGCAAGCCTAACGGGCTTTCCAGATAGCTTGACCTGGGCGTTGGTTGAACTCGCCCGCAACCCAGACATCCAAAGCAAGTTGCGGGACGAGCTCTTGGCCTTTGGTTCCGAGCCAACCTACGACCAGTTGCAGAGTAGCCAGACACTTCCTTACCTCGACGCTGTGGTACATGAGTCCCTCCGCATCCATCCCCCCTTGACAGATTTTGTCCGCGTGGTAAGTCAACTTGAAAACAAGTCGTATCCCCTCCCTTTGACCTTCATATCACTCTCCCAGGCAGCAGAGGATGACGTTATCCCTCTCTCGGAACCTGTCATTACCAAGTCTGGTCAGGCCGTCAACAGCATCTCAGTAGCACGTGGCACGAGAATCGGGTTACCCTTGGCATACACCAACCGGTCGACTGCCATCTGGGGACCAGACGCGAAGGTCTTCCGCCCAGAACGTTGGCTTGAGAGAGATGGCATCCCGAAGAAGGCACAGGATGTCCAAGGATACCGTCACCTCTTGACCTTTGCTGATGGGCCAAGGAATTGTCTCGGAAAGGGCTTTGCAGTGTCCGAGATTAAGGTGGGTTCGGGATTGCCGCATGCTCAATTGGGGTATACTAATACACCTCTGCATAGGCGGTGTTGTCGGTACTGGTAAAGAGTTTCACATTCGAGATGAGAGATGGTCCCGACACGCAAATTGAGCTGTGCAGAGGAATACTGCCCAGGCCCCGAATAGTCGGTGAAGAAGGCACGGCGATGCCATTGCGCGTGACCCGGTACGAGGGTTTTTAATGCATTGATATAGGACGACGGCGGGGCCGTCATCCGCTGTAATACCCGTAACCTCCGTCCGGTGATGGGCGATCATATATACACTAGACCGCATACATATACGTACCTATACTTTGATACCATAAAGCACCATGTAACTCTGTTATGTAACTGGAGTTCCTTAGCGTATTTTTCCCGATACACACACTTTCCTTCGTCCCGAAAAGGAAAAGCTTGAGTGGGTTTGCACGGAAACCAAAGTGCCTGAAGTATCTCCCAATAGGGGCTATCTCAGACAGCTTACATAAGCAGGATTGGTCGAATTCGCTTATATAAGCAGCGTTTTTTTCGTTCTTTTTTGACAATAGCCTCACGCAGAGGATGCCCCGGCATCGAGACCCAACAAATGGCAGCGTATCGAGTCCGACGAACCAACTGCCTTGAGAAACTCACCCAAGAATGCGAAAGACAAAAAGAAGGGGGAAGCGGCACTGGAACGAGTTGAGGGTAAAACTTCGATTTCCTCAAGGTACCGCATCTCCGGAGAAGACCGCGTTTTGGGCAAATGAAATGGACTCCCCGCATCTCATCTTCCTACCCAATGAGAAGAGCAGCCCAAGACTGGAGGTTAGACCTAGGATGACACAACTGACAACGCTGTGTCAGTGGATGAAACGACAGGGATCTGACCACGAGGATGGTCCTTCATTCCTTCGGCACCTTTTTGCAGAGACATACCGCGCTGCATTCTAACGTTTGGTGAACTATAGCAAGTGAGTAATTCGTTCCTTGATTGTTTTCTGAGGCATGTCGTCCGTGATGATAAATAGCATAGGGACATCAGATTCCTAAGGAAAAAGATGAACCTCAGGGAATAACCCGATAGTAGAAATTATCTGATTTACATTTGGTTTCCTTCCTCCTCGTTGGCTGGGCACTTATTTTTCTTCCTCAGGTGCACATATCGATCGACACCGCCCCTTAAAAACAAGGTCTGGCCTATGGTCAAGTTCAAACAGCCATCTTCTGCACTCGGTACTTATAAGGCCCTTGACGATTGTTCTTAGGTCCTCGCTATGTCGCCATTGATGTGCAGTAGTCTAATATATTCTGTGTTATGCTCTAGACTGAGGTCGCGGCTTTGTATATCGTAGATCCATTGTGCATCTGCGAGGCGGACTATTCTGAATTCCATTGAGTCTGACGATGGGGCTGTGAAACTTGTGGGTGCAGGTCAATCAAAAGTCATTGGCTCGATCGGATACGACTATTCCCATCAAGAACATCGCAGAGACGAATGGAGGCTGATTGATGGTAGATTAAGATAAAAATACACTTCAGTCTACCACTGTACAATTGTGATTCCCATGTGTTGCAACGTTTCCCTTGCATGGCTATGGTTCATTCGGGCAGTCACGACCGGTGGGTTTTGCCGCGCGTAAATGGCGCCCTCCAGCAAGCAACCACCACTTCAGGCCAATTATGATTGTCGATGGTGCTGGCAAACGCGACGAGCTGCCTTTTCCGCTGGAGGTGCGCAGCCTGACACTTCAGTCAAAGAATCACAAACGATCAACTCAAAGAGTAGGCATCCAACGATTATAATTCCTGTTAGCTACACATTATCTTTACGGGTCGTAGGTTGTTCGTGAACTCTGCAATGCTTCCATGTGAATCTAGCTCATTATGCGCAAATCAATATATCAACGATCATCGTCTGGCGTAACGTAGGAATCGGGATGCGACTAGTAAAAAAAAGTCATCAGTGAGGAATGGGAGGCCACAGCCGAAAATGGCAACTCACTGATGGTTGCGAGGATGTTGAAGACGAAGTACGCGAATAGAATGAAGACATCCCGCCAACGGTTGCTGAAGCTAATATTAAGCGGTGTGAAGTATTCGTCTCCGACCTATCGCTCAAACATGAGTCGCCTTGGATTAAGAGCACAAAGTAAAACTACCTTATACTGGCAATATTGACATGCAGTAGTTGCATTCGGGTTGTTGAGATAGCCACCGAACGCATCGACGAATTCACCAGCCCATTCAAAGCACGTCTGGCTAGTGGGCGGGTTGAATACGGCGAACTCGTCTGAGGCACAAACGATGGGTAGCCCACTGCGAATTATTATGCGTTCGTGTTAGCGCATACCAGGGCCAAGAGTTACATATGAAGAACGAACTTACTGGAGTTCTGTAGACAACATTGCGGAAAGCATCCGAGTGAATGGATCGAGTTGATATAGCCAATCCCTCCAGAAAGGGATAAGGGAGGGATAAGGAATCGTAACACCACAGAAAATTGCTAGCACTACGGCGGAAAAGGGCACAAAGAGGACACCGATTTGAATAGAGGGCGACAGTGACCCAAGAAGTTGTCCAAAGGAAACGCCGAAAAATTCTATGAAAATTGCTACAAGCAGCTGGAAGCCAGTCCCATTGGTGCCAGTGGCCCCTATAATTTTCGGTGTTAGTTTCCACAAACATTAACTAGTAGCATGGACTTTACCTTTACCGAAACCCATGGGGTACACCTGCAAATGCGAGCTCAGCGAATTGTATACGCCACGAACCTCATACGTACCATAAGTACCCAGTACACGGTGGCACACAGGATAGAGTACGGGACTTCACCCAGGAGCTGAGCAATGGCGAAAACGTATGGAGAATATATTCTGCTGGATGCCTCCCGAATGAAAGTAACTGATAAAATTGAACACATCAGAATGAGACCATAGGATGAATCAAAACACATACGTCGATTGAGTATAAAGAGAGGCACCAGTTGCGTCATGATGATTGGTGGAAGCACAGCAAGCCAGTAACTAGCCGAAAAATTAGAGTTCATTGCAAAAATCTTTTGCGATCCACAGAAATGCTCACATTCCGAATACGCGATACTGCAGATCGCGCACACTATTCCCAAGTTGCAGGAACGACAATGAGATGCAAAGCGAGAATATCGCATGTACGAATAAGCGGCTGAAGACATAGTCGGGAGACCGCCATAAAGCCATGTTGTTTCGCTGTACGACCACTTTGAGTTGATAAAAGAACGACGTAGCGTCTGCATACAACCGATGCCATTGTAAGGAAGAGAGAAATGTCAAAATAGGGTAAACAGCTCACAGGTCTGTGTCTTCCCCTCAGGCGGAGCGGGCTTCGCAAGTGCCTGGGCCTTGATCTCGACAATCTCCTCACGTACACGCCTGTACTCTGCAGAATCGAGCCAGACGTCCTTCCAATCCCGAGGGCCAACCCGAGGGGACAATCCAGCACCAATAGCCTCGAGCATGTACTCCGCTGGGTTCACGTTTGACGGGCATTGTGCGCCGTGCCGTGCAAAGTACTCGCGAATGACGTGCGAGTCCTTACCAATGTCACCGAAATAAACCGTCTCACCCCCGGACTCGAGCAGTAACAGACGGTCAAAGCTTTCAAAGAGCAAGCTTGAAGGCTGATGGATGGTACACAGAATAGCTTGGCCTTGATCAGCAAGCTTCCGTAGGAAACGGACGAGATTCCATGCACTCTGACCGTCCAACCCGGAAGTAGGTTCGTCCAAGAAGAGAAGCAAAGCCGGTTTGCTAGCAAGCTCGACACCAATGGTAAGTCGTTTCCTCGCTTCGACACTTAAGCTGAAAACGAGCGCTTCCGTAAGGTCCTGAAGCTCCAAAAGTTCAATTATCTCCTCGACATATTGGTTCTTCTCCTCGATAGAGACTTCTGCAGGTTGACGAAGGTATGCGGAAAAGCGCAATGCCTCTCGCACGGTAGCGGTTCCTTCATGAACGTCCATTTGTTCCGCTGGTGATTTGATTAGATCCCGCGTCACAAGATTTGATTCCATACACCTTACCGTAAGCAGTGCCGCGAGCGAAATCGGGACCGAGAGGCCGGCCATCGACTAGCACGTCGCCTGTGACCACGCCGATATTTTTTCTTTGGGCGAGCACATCGAGACATGTCGTTTTCCCTGGAAATCATTAAACCGGGGGTTGATATGGAAGTAGGTAACACTACCTGCACCGGAGGCACCCATGAGCGCCGTGAGAGTACCTGGTTTCACGTAGCCGCAGATATCGTGCAACAATCTCCTGGTTCCGCCTGGAACAGGCACAGTGTAATTCAGGTTTTCCCACGTAAACACCTTGCGATGGGCATGAGGATTTTCGTTTCTGCGAAATCAGATCAATATCAGTAGAAAAAGAAGATAACAAAACGCACTCCGCATCTGCAAGTCGCTCTTTCCCCTCAGCCTTCTCATCTTCTATGTTTTGTTTCTCGTTGGCGCGAGCAGCCTTCTTCTCGCGCAGAGCGTCATTGAGTCGCTTCGTCTCAGCGTTTTCCTTGGCAAAAATATTGACAGAAGTGCCAGGAACTTTAGGCTGACAACGAGAGTTATTGAAAAAAAAACCAACATCACGACGCTATTTGATACGCACTGAAAACAACTCGATTACGACGAGCTGCGTAAATAAAAAGAAGACGATGAAGGCCACAGTCACGACTAGGTTGCGCCGCCAGATGTCAGCTGTATTAAGTGCGAAACCCGCTTCGAGGTAATCTTTCCCTGGAATCACGTCGCTGCCCGGCTGTGCACCAAAAAGAGTACAAACTTGGTTGGGTCCGAGATCATTGCTGTAAACACGGTCAGTTGATGCCGGACGCCACCATACAGTTCAGAATACAAACGGATATATATTCATCCCTGGACCATTACGGGGGACGACGGAGTCTCCGTCGCACGTATACTGGGAGAATTTGAGCTAAATGCCTGCATGAGTTCAGCACAACCACTTACACTGGTGCGCATGAATTCGTTCTCCATAGCACCACCCCACGCTGCATATATTCATTATACTTTTTCTCCATGAATAAAATTTGGTTGGACTCACAATAAGAAAGCGGATTGATGTAATACTGACCACAGTTACTTTCAAGCACAGAAAGATGTAGAGAAGAAGACGTACGATCCAGAATAGCCATCGCTTCATGTTAAATGTCGGTATCGTGTATCCGGTGTACTGCATCATATTGGGAACGAAAACCGTAGCCAAGCGGAATGCACTGTCAAAGTTGACGCATAGAAGTCCTAAGGTCCGGAAGAAACCTTGCAAAGCTAGGTATCCCGTGTAGACGAAAAGGTGGAAGGTCCAGAATCCACCTGCCGAACGTGCCCTGTAACGACATGTTAAAATTCAGGCTGAATGGGAGAAAGCTGGCGACGCACAGATTCGTCATGAAATAGACGATGACATCGAAGATAAAGACCCGGACAGCAGCAATAGGGATGTCCGCAAAGAAGTTGGCCAGGACGATAGCTGCCGGCCGATAGAATCCGTAAGACGTCTACCCATCACCTCAGATACCAATTCGACGCATTCATCCACGAAACAACCAACCTGTTTGTTGACTATTGGCCTGCCGACCATTTGCAAAGGCATCTATGTCGGCTCGTAAACACTCTGAACTAACAAAAAGCTATACGACTTACTTCTGCAAATGCCTCAATTACAACGGTAAGCATGGCAAGGAAGACCACGCCTCCACGCGGGAAAGTACCACCAGCAGTATCAGGCAAGTTGAAGTAGGCCCCACCAATGACCAACGCAAGAGTCTACGCATATTTTAAGTTGCCACAACATCTGACCGAGCAACAAACTCACAATAGCAAGCATGAAGCTAGTTACCAACTGGAATCGGTCCTGGCGACGGAGCCGGAACTGACGGATAGTGAGTGCTTTTACCTGGCCAAAAAATCCGAGTGTATATGGGCTCTTCTTCGAGACGCCTCGTCTCTTATCTGCGAGCACGGCATCCCGGAAGGCTTCCTGATCAACCTTTTCTGTCTCCATCTGATAGGTGAACTCTCGGTAGGAGTCTTGGAGGTCCTTGTATATAGGAGATTTGCGCAAGGCAGCTTCAAGACCTTCGGGAGTGGAAGGCGTATTGCCTGAGGAGTGTCCGTCCGCAAACTGGCGTTCATTGGGGTCGGTGCAACCACTCAGGTAATCGGGGGTACTTTGTCGAGGCAGTGGACGATAGCCGAGGCCCTCGAAATATGAACGTGCTTCCGAAGGAGGACCAAAGTAGACCTGATGACCCTTGTCCAGTACAAGCACCTTGTCGAACAGTTCGTATATGCTCTCGCTAGCTTGGTATCTTCGAAGAAGTTCTGAATAACTAATTGGAAATATGCGCCTCGACGACTTACAGAGTCACGAAAGTGGTTTGTCCAAGGACATCTGTCATAATCCGCAAACACTTGACGAAATCCAATGCCGTAGAAGCGTCCAATCCGCGAGTCGAGTTGTCCCAACATTGGACACGGGCACGAGTGGCCATCATCTCGGCTATACTGACACGTTTACGCTCACCTCCCGAAACACCACGTACGAATGCATTCCCAACAAGAGTATCCCGGGTATGTGGTATGTTGAGCATTTTGAGTACCGCATCTTGTACTGTTTTCCTGAATTCTTTAGAAGACACGTCTGGTAGGCGACCCTTGGGGCCCGGCTGTTTTCGTAGATAGGGCGAAGTCGAGACTCTGCGCTACGGTCAGGGTTGCGATGTGAATATCATCTGCACACAGATAAGAAGCGGTCTAAAAGTAGAATGCAGCATGGGAACAGCCAGCCTTTCACGTTACCTTCTTGGTTGTAGACCACCTCGCCGCGGTAGTACTTTGCCATCTCCTCCGCGTCGATTCCAGCAGTAAAGGACATTACCGGAAACACTCGCGTAATCCTCTCTGTAGTTCGCAATAGTCTTCAAAAATGTCGTACAGCCTGCGCCTGGACAACCTAGCACAAGACACATCTCTCCAGGCTTTAGGACGCCGGATGACCTGAATGAGGTGAGCCTGAGACGTTCAAACCACAGGATGATCGATTACGCACTTGTGTAAGATGGTTCGAGTCAAAGGCCTTTTGTTCGGGAGAAAACTCATGAACAGGCCCCACAACCAAAGGAAGGGTGACATGAAAAATCCGATGACAGCATCTGAATGAAAGCTTCAGTTCGCATGCTCAACAACATGTCTCCCATGAGTACGCACCTCCGAATGTCGGCATATATGCCTGCGGAATCCACCCCACGACTGTTTCAAACACATTCTTCACGTATTATGAAGTAACCCACCTTATAACCAGCGCCGCCGATGACGTTTACCTCCAGATCCTCCCAAGTGACGCCCACGTGCTTGTGCTTTATTCCCGCTGCCTGGTTTGCATCGTTGGATGAAGTGAGGTATTCACGCAGGTCGAACGGTTGCTCGTCACCGTCTTCAGGGTCTAGTTTTCCTTTTTCTACGTCAGGAGCGCCTGTATGAGACGTCACGGAGGCAGTTTTGGATGTCAAGTTAGAGCGGTGGACATTCCGAATTTGTGAATGTCTGGAGAGCTGTCGCACGAGCTCGTCAAAAGTTTCTTCTGCCTCCTGGATGTCGACATGAGAGTTCGCTGTCGCTGTTTCCATGTGCTGGACGCCCTGCGTCATGTCAGGACCACCAAAAAAGATATTATATACTGTGTTTTTGTCCAACCAGAGGCGGGTTGTTCCGCCGGCCTTCAAATGATGGGAGGGAGAGGGGGAACTGAGGAAGCGGCGGATACACAGCGACTTCAGAACGCTTCATATATTCCATCAGTTCGTTGGTCATCCATATTTACCAACCAGTAAATGTTGCTTATGTTGCTTACAACAGCTCATCCAAGACGATCCCGATCGGATCCCGGGATAATGACTTGACAATCCTGGGTATTCACCAATGCCCGTCGGATTGGATACCTGATACAGATTGATTCAACGTGGCGGTACCGGGGTGCAAACTGGTGCAAAAGACTCACACAGAGTCACAGTATGAGCCAAGCCCAAAACCTGACTCGCATGCACGGCAACAACACGGCAATGACTGACTGACAAGCGAGTCAACCAAACCCGACAGACCATGTACAACAACACTACTCCATGGTATTTTCTCTACTAGCCCCTGACAATACAATATTTACCACCCAAGGTACTCCGAAGTGTCCCGAGGCACATAGGGTGTAAACAGGCTTATCTCGCGTTACATAAACCGAGCATGCACACATGTAAATGTATACAAAGAGAAGTGTGGAAGCTTCCTCGGCAGCTCCCCGCAAAGCCCGATCAACCCACGACAGACCTGGTTCGAGTCAAGTCATCGGGAATTACCAGTCACCAGAGGGTGGAAGGCTCTAAACTCTTAATCAGCGGGGCATCGGCTGTGATGGTGAACCGACCATCGGCATTTTCACAGCATACCTATTTCTGTTGGCCGGTACTTATCTCTGCCTCCAGGCGTGTGGAGCGGTGATGGCGATCAAACAGTTGAAACCTGTAGCCTAGTCCAGTGATTCGGAAACGGTCTGAGACCTCACATCAACTAACAGCATGCTGACAACTACTGGATCATGCACGCGTCTACGGCATGTGCGAGTGAAATTCGTTAGGCCGGTTTCACTCATGTTTTGCAACCGAAAATGAAGAACAGGGTTCAGGGGGGACACCAACTTCATGTAAAGCTGCAAGCAACCGTACCACGCCAAGAGTAATTGCGTAGTGAAGTGTTAGTAGGCATGTCTCAGTGTGGAAGTGTCGTATGTAGCGAAAATTTATGGATCGTTGGTGGTCGAAGTGCTGAGGAGTTGCAAAGAGCGCGCAACAAGTTGCTCGAGCAGCATCCTAGATTTTTCCCACGCACGACAGCAAACTTTCTAGACAATGTGCTGGACTGCGTACTGAGGTCGGCTGGAATATTCGTGGCATGACGCAAAGCAATCTGACACACCCAAAGGGTCAAGTGGTGGTGGGTAACGGTGTCAGCAGAACGTAGACGTTAGACAGCTTGCCTGTTGTGACGTAAGTGCTGGACGATCAGTCACTGAAGATGCGCCACTGGGGCTCTATTAAGTAACGAGCCTCAGAATTAACGTGCCTGGAAAAAGGGGGTTGCACAGGGCTGCACGAAACTGCATACTGCAATGTTCTTCGGGAGTTGCCGCCTTTTGGTGCATCTGGACAGAGCGGAGCCTTCGTAAACCACCAAGCGTGTTCCCGCAAATGGAACAGAAATAAGAATGCGAAATAGCCTTGTAACGAATTGGAAGTAATGTTTTACACCGCAAGCAGTTGGAACAAATTCGGAATGGTCTGAGCACCGAATCTAACTTACAGGCTGCTGACCAACAAGACATCAGCCCACGAAGAGACCGGCCTACAGATAGGCATCGAAAAAAGGTTAAATTCGAGGAACTAGTAGGTGACATGCGGTACCGCCGCCCACCCAAAGCAGATGTTGGCGCCAGTATCCATGTTCGCCGCCTTACATGGGTTTAGAAGGCAACTGGGTTGGGAGCACGCCATAGCGTTTTTTGATGGTGACGCGATGTCGCGAGTACTTGTCATCAGGCGAAAATCGCGCTAGAGGCCCCTAGGATGTGAGAAGAAAGGCTATAATACGGACTTGAACACACCTGGGTGCGCTGATTTAGTGATACTACCCTTGTCGGTCAATTTCTGGAACGGACAGTGAGACAAGCTCTCAGTCGTACGTTAAAGAAGTCACCGACGTACTTTGAGGGTATAAACCCTGTTGCCGTTCTCGTCAAGGGTATACATCAAATGCATGGTTGGAGTTCGATGATGGCGGTTGCTCAGCGAACGTCGACGAGTTGTGCAGAGTTCCCACGGATGGCGATGACGTCAGCATGCTACTCTTGAAACGGCACGAGGGTGGCAAAGCTTGGCAAAAGACGTGTCTAATACTATTCTCACCAGGCTGTGTGCTACATGAGCGACCTCCCGCTCTCCCTAATATTTCGGACTTGGACGGTTTAGCTACCTCTGCTGACTGGAGATGGCCAGGACCACTAGCATCCATTTATTTCCAGAGCCGGGCACGGTCATTAGACCTATCCACGTTTACTCTGAAGAGCAGACCGCTCAAATAGAGGAACTTCGTCAGGTAAGCGCGCACGGGGAGCGACTTGTTTCAATGCTAATCGTTTCACGGATTTTTTTAATGAATATGGATCAAGTATGCACACACTCTCGTTCTTCCGGAGTCAGACTCATACTACAACTGGGAACTCCGGTGGCTGAACAAGCCAGACACTATACCCCGGTACATGCGGGCTGCCAAGTGGAAAATGAACGACGCGCAGAAACGAATAAAAGGGACACTCGAATGGAGGAGGGAATTCAAGCCTGACCTTATTCCCCCTGACGAGGTTGGCGTCCCTGAGAGTTGCGTGGCGGTGATGCGTGATCTCACTACCGACATATTTGCAGGTCAAAATCGAGAGCGAGACCGGTAAGATGTAAGTCCTTCGAGAATGTCTGCCTTTGGCCGTTTGTTCGGGGGGGCTGAAAGGAACGTGTCGAGTCTCTTGAATGGATTCGACAAAGACGGACGTCCCATCATTTACATGCGTCCTGGTCGTGAAAATACCGAAACGAGTCCACGCCAGCTGAGGCACCTTGTGTGGTGGTTGTAAGTTGTCTCTGCTCATTTTCCCTACTCTCTTACATTTCGATAGAGAACGGGCAAAGGATATGATGCCTCCAGGTCAAGAGACCCTCGTCATTTTTGTGGATTATAAGACAGCAACTCTTCGCACGAATCCCTCTGTATCCGTTGCAATTAAGGTGGGCGATCCTTTCATTGGCTGTTAAAAAAAAAAGCGGTTACCAAACGAAAGGTAGGTCCTCAGCATCCTCCAGCAACACTACGTCGAGACATTGGGACGTGCTATCATCGTCAATCTCCCCTTTATCCTCAATTTCTTCTACAAGGGCATTGCACCTTTCCTAGACCCCGTCACGCGTGATAAGGCGAGCTTCTCGTTTTTCTCCAAAAGCAGTCTGGTCTGATTCCATTGTTTTAGATGCGTTTCAATCCGGTCGTCACGGAACTTATTCCCGAGTCTCAGCTGGACTCCGAATTTGGAGGAGATTACGAATACGAGTTTGATTACGAGTCGTACTGGAAGCAGGTTGTAGAGTGCGTTGATATCCCCACGCGTGAGGTCGACTGATCCCCCTCATGTAACTTACAGCCACTGTGGAATTGCTCCAGACGGGACACGGCTACCGGGATATTTCGATGGACCAAAGTCTGCAATCACCGCTCCCGAGAATGGTGTGGTTCCAACTACGGTGTAAGCTCTTTTTTTGTGACAGCCCTTAACTAGCATACTGATTTTCTCTGTTAGAGACCTTGAAGGTGTCTCTAAGGAGAAGGACACAGAAGCAAGGCATGAGGCTCTAGAAGAGGAGGCGATATTCTAGTATAGTCAAGGAATCGTAGATAAGATGTCCATAGAAGTCGCTCTTACTAATCAACAGTAGACTAGAATTCCCATGTGCTCGGATTGTTTGTCTCCCCCACATCCACCCGCCAACGAGAGCCACCAGATAAATTCGTTAATCCCCCTGGGTCAGCCACCCCCCCGCCACAGCAGCATAAACAAGTCCCCACTAACGGGAACTTGGCCGCGCCGTGGTCAGTAGACACAGCGAAACTTGATATTTTCATTTTTGTGGGGGTGATTGGCAACTGCGATTGGGATTCGTATCCGTACTAAGCGGCACCTTGCGAAAGAAAGACAGAAGGATCGGAAGATGGTCCGACAGACGAAGCAGACAGTGCGTGGCGCCTTTCCTGAACTCTCCATTTAGCCTACAGCGACCTGAACTATTCTCCGTTGGACATGGACATGACGCGCTTACGATGTATCCGTCGGCGTTCCCCTATCGCCAACTTGCGAAATCCTGTATTTAATAGTCCGTCGAGAAAAAGGAGTCGCACAAGAGGAAGACGACACCTTCGACCGAGGATTCGGTATTGAAGAAGAAACCAACGGTCGAATCCGCAGTGTGGGCATGCAAGATTAGTGGATGCGGAAAGACATTTGCAAGAGAGGCAGATCTCAAGCGACACCAACGCACGACGAAATTGCATTCTCCACCCTCATTGTGAGTTCCTTCACTGTAACACTGTACCTGCAGGGTGGGGCTTGAGTCAGTGACCACTAGCGCTTGCCCCCAATGTGATGCTGCGTTCACCCGGGTGAGTCTCGCGACATGCAATTCACTAAGATTGGGCTAACGCCCAGGTATTAGACGGACGCCCTTCGGAGACATCAGAAATCAAGGTTCATTCTAGTTGGCGCATTCGTTTGACAAAGGCTTATGCGTGTGTTTAGACACAACGGCGTCGTAATCGAACCTTCAGATCCCGAGAGGAAGGACGGCACGGCGCCCGAGAATCTGCAATCATCAAGCTCGAAGCCAAAGAGCCGTAGCAGATCTACATCCAAGGGTAGGGATAACCCCTCAGTCCACTCTTCCGTGTCTGTTCCTCAAACTTCCGTACCTCCTGGCGGACCTCAAACCTACTACCGGCAACACACACTACCAGGAAGCATGTATAGTCTTTTGGTCACTCCATCGCACATACCTGACCATACCATTTATGCAGTGTTAATGCCATGCAACCTACTTGTCGACGGACAGTACCCCCCTCCGATTGGCCTTCCCACATCCGCTGCTCGCCTACATCAACCGCCCTGGACGCACCCGCACCATCCCCCATGGGGTGATGGGTCACAGATTCCGCCACCTCCTCCACACATAATTGCAATGGGCTATCCACCCCCTCATCCAGCATATTACCCCTCGCCGTATTACCGATCTAGCACTGTGCCACCTCACCTTGACTTGGTTTCGCCTCCCCTTCCACCGCAACATCAACATCAATCACCAAACAGCGCAGGGTCCCCGCATCAGGCTGACTCGTCGTCTTCGCGTACGGCAAGCCCCGCTGTAGCGGGCAATGTCGGCGCGGATCATGGCGATGGAAACTCGGAAACGCCGAGTACAGTACCCGTCATCGACCCGTCGTTAGACATGGGTGCTTCTCTGGATGAGAGCTGTCCAGATGCCAAGGCACCAGCAGCATTGGGGGGAGTTGTAGATGCAGTGCTCAAGTCCGCGTCTGAAAATAGGGAATCTTCAGTGAGTTCCGGAGGGAAGGCCGATTTGCCACCTCAAAATGGGCAGATCGAGGTTGGAGATGTCTCCGGGGATTCGGAGCCGAGTACACAGGATGGGTCCTCCGCAAGTACAACGGTGGGGGGGATACCACCGACTGACGGCACTCCAAACCCTGCGTATGCGTCACCAGACTCGACGATACAGTATCCCCCTGAAATGGAGCAGATGTTGACAGAAGACGGGGAGCCGATGTTGAACCCGGGTTAGTCTATATCTCCTTTCATGCTTGCGTTATCTTCTGACACGTCTGTCAGCCGAGTTGTTGACGCAGGTCAGTGTAAACGACACGAAGGTCACGGTGCTCGATCTAATGCTGCACGTCCTGAAACAGGAATCGCTAGCTTCTCCGTCTCCTTCATGAGACTGTACGACACTCATTGATTCTACGTACCATGCATACATCATTCTCCCTGCGCTTTTGCGGGATTTTTCACGCATTGACAGATTCGCACGTATCCTTGTTTCATCATCAGGATTTTATATAATGATCAATTGTCGTTGGTTAATAACGTTCCTCTAAGTATAATAGACGCACGCTTTACGATTCCTAGTTCTTTATCGGTTGTATACACTGGCTTTACACCGGAAATGCATCCGCTTTCGACAATGTGACACTGATATAGCTGGGAATAAGAAGATCAAAATGCTAAAATGGCTCGGAGAACGCGGTATCTATGCAAAATAGACGGGATGCGTTGGAGACAATGCGTATGTGTATGGGGATACTCTTGCGAAAATCAGAGAATCTGGACTTTCGGCCACTTGAATTGAGGACCGACCTATGCGGCACATGTCATCAACATATAAGAACACTGACAAGGGTGTGTGGAAGAAATACCATCTGGACACACATGGCACCCATCTTGTGTCCAACCTCAACACATTCGTCAAGGTTCTTGCCCGCAATGAGGGCACTGAGGAAGCCCCCCGCGAATGCATCGCCATCACCATTAGTGTCTACGATCAGGCTATCGGGGATTGGTGTCACTTTATACACCTTGACATTATTTGAATCTACGCTAGACACGAGCACGGTCGGTTCGGGTCCACGTGTAATGACGACGATACGCGGCTGTTTCGGGTTCGCTTTCGGCAAGAGTGCGATAGCTCTGGCAGTTAGGACGAGGTTCTTAGGTTCCGGAAGACCTGTCGCGGAGGCATATGCTTCGGCCTCGGTCTCGTTCCCGATGATGATGTCGCAGTAGGGAAGGACACTCTGTAGCTGAGCAATGAAGGATTGTGCAATAAAAGGCGCGGCGAGGTTCAGTGCGAACACCTGTCAGGGAGTTTCAGTGGCCCCAGAGATGTAGGGTCAACGCTAGGGACGAAGTGGTATGTGCTTACCTTAGAGGCTGCTGCTGCCTTTTTTTCCGATCTCAAGCACAGACTCCGTGCCATGTGTGAGGAAGTAGCCATCCACGTAGATATATCCGGCGGCATCTACCAGAGGCGCCACTTCTGGTGACGAAAGGTGGGATTTCTCGAACTTCTCTGCAGCTCGTAGAGTTGGAACGAGGGACCTGGACTCGACTAAGTTGGTTGCGTGTGCAGGAAAGGTTGCGACTCCGCACACTCACCGGTGATAACCGGTTAGTATAACAGCACAGGCGCCTGTTCTCTCTCCCGTTTTAACGAGATAACGGTCGTGGAGACCTTCTCGTTTGTTCGCAGCGCGAAGTCGGTCTGCGAACTCATCGTCACCCACACATCCAACGTAGACGACGGAGTCAGGGAGCAGAACATACTAAGGGCCCAGGTGAAACTGTTAGACAGGGCGGTCTGGAGACGCTGATTACTGGATATAACCTCACAGCAGCGGCTCTAGCAGCGTTCTGAGACCCTCCTCCAGCGACATATGTAACGGGGTAATTCTGGACGAGCTCGTCATACCTGAGAAGGTGGTTGTCAGTATTGATTGATTACGAGTGAGCGCTTGGCCGGACGTGCATCGGCATATGCCTTTCCTCTGCCAGAACGGCATCGTTGGCTTTGAGACCATATTTCTCGAGTAGCGCTTCCCCACCCCTGACCTGGATGTCCAACAGGGGATTTCCAATGCAGAACAGCTTGTATGTTGGTACGGTAGCCATGTGGGAGATAAGTAGATAGGAAGCATGCGTCCCTGACGTCCTTCGACCCAAACCTAGCTCCGGGCAGAACTTTGCGGCGTGGATCGTCGCATTTCCTAGTAGGGGGACGGCAATATCATCTTTAGCTAGGTGGATAATCAATAGCTGGCATATTACAGTCAGCCTGGGACGAGCCCGCCCTATTGCAGTGTCCTGGTCTGGCCGGGGGTCCCCTCGCTCATCCAAGTTTTTCGTGGAAAGCAGGAAGCCGTGCGGGTCAAATGATGAGAAGTATGGGAGAAGGGGATACGCGACTTGCTTCCTGAGATTTTGCTGGACTGTAAACCAACCCTCGACATGTGATGCCTGTGCCCGCAATTCCTCGGTATTGGTGTACAGCACAGTTGCTCATCATGCATAACTTCGGACCAGCAGAAATTGACATCTGGTACTGCAACAATCTAATAATGGAAAGAAACAACTATGCATTATGAGCAACTGTACTGTATACTTGTTGCATTGCTCGCCAGTCGTCACAGCACCGGTTTCCAATTAATGCACGTACGGCATGGGCGGCAATCCTGGGCCTTTCGCCTTTCCCACCAACTTGCTTCAAAACTATCGGTGAGTACTGTGCGGTCCATCGCTACGCTGCGTTTGTGGACTGACGTCCGTGTAGTGTTATCCGAGCCGCGTCGGAGAAGGTCGAACTCGGAGTCGTCGGCGTCGTCCTCATCCTCGTCACCCTCGGTGAACTCAGAGAGCTCCAGGATCTGCGATAGCGTCACATTTGTCAACATCACTGCCGACTCTCTGCCCGTCCTCGGAGTAGGCATACAGACACACAAGATTGCCTGCGCTACACTCCGTGTCTTCACCTGCGGGTTCTTTTGCGCTGTTCAATTAGCCTCCTTGATTCGAATTGCATTCTAACACGCAAGGTTGTTCACCCTCTTTATTTGTCGTTTATAAGGGTAATGTAGGGTTCAGCTGTTTCTGTCTTATTGAAATTGATCACCCAACTTGGTGTGAAGGCAGAACCATTTCCGCTGTGTATATCATCCCGGTGTAACTGCATTCAATGTCTTCAGCAGACGATGTTTCCCGCAGGCGAGCAAAGTTGGACCGCTGCGGTCCAGGCGAAGATGGCCGAGATGTCGCCCTCTACGACCTAGCGTACGCCCTCTGCGACAGGTACGACAAAGATAGTGAAATAGAGGACTTAAACGAGGCAATCACTTTGCACCGCGAGGCTTTGGAACTCCGGCCAGTTAAGAATGACAAGCGGTCCTTGTCACTCAACGAACTTGCTTTCTGTTTGTCAACCAGATATGAAAAGCAGAGGGGAATCGATGACTTGGAGGAATCCATCACGCTCGGACGTGAGTCACTAGAACTCCGTCCACCAGGGCATCCCAGCCGTGATACATCTCTTTTCAACCTCGCTTACCGAATCAGGATGAGGTTCGTGAAACAGGCTGCAACCCGTGACTTGGAAGAAGCGATTGAGCTGTACCACGCAGCTTTGGAACTACGTCCGCCTGGGCATCCACGTCGGTCTTCATCGCTCCGTCAACTTGTTCTCTGTCTCTCGAGTAGATATAAAAATCAAGGGGAAGTTAATGACCTGGAAGAAGTCGTGACCCTTAGACGTGCACAACTCGAGCTTTGTCCACGAGGGCATCTTGATCATGGCGAATCTCTTTACAACCTTGCCTGCGACCTCAGGAAGAAGTTCGCACAAAAATCTGCACTCTGCGACTTGGAGGAGGCGATTGAGCTGCTCCGTCCAGCTTTGGAACTGCGTCCCGCAAGAGATGATCGATCCTCAACACTCCATGAACTTGCTCTCTGTCTCTCAAGTAGACACGACGAACTGGGGGCAGTTGATGATTTGGAAGAAGCTATCATGCTTGGACGTGCAGCACTAGAGCTCCGTCCACTGGGGCATTCCAATCGTGGTGAATCTCTCCACACTCTTGCTCGCGACCTCAGGAAGAGGTTTGCGAAAAAGGCTGTGATGCAGGACTTAGAGGAGGCGATTAAGCTGCGCCAGGCGGCTTTGGAACTACATCCCTCTGGACATCCTGATCGTCCCTCGTCGCTTCGTGAACTTGCGCTCTGTCTATCGAATAGATACGACAACAAAGGGGTAGTCGATGACTTGGAAGAAGCCATCAGGCTTGGACGCGCAGCACTAGAGCTCTGTCCACCAGGAGATCCTGGTCATGGCATATCTCTCTACAACCTTGCTTGCGACCTCAGAAAGAGGTTCGCAGAAAAGGCTGTGATGCACGACTTGGAGGAAGCAATCGAACTGCACCGTACAGCTTTAGGGTTACGTCCCTCTGGACATCCTGATCATCCTTCATCACTCCGTGAACTTGCTCTCTGTCTGTCGAATAGACATGATAAGCAGGGGGTGGTCGATGACTTGGAAGAAGCCATCACACTCGGACGCACAGCAGTAGAGCTCTGTCCGTCGGGGCATCCCGATCGTGCCGTAGTTCTTTACAACCTTGCTCGTGACCTTTTGAAGAAGTTTCAGAAACAACCTGACGTGCCCAGGTCACACGACGCAAATTCCCTTCATCAGGTTGCATCGGTAGTCTGTCCTACAAGCAGGGCTGATCTTGCCTCTTCCCTTTTCGAGCTCTCGTTACCCCTCTGGGATAGGTTTCAGAAACAGGCCACGATGACTGACTTAGACAACGCTATTTGTTTTGCAACGTATGCTTTAGAGCTCCGATTACCCTCCGAGGATGTTTCCGTTGCAGGATGGGTTCAGAGGCTGGCCCAGGGGGCAAATTCGGACGAACCCGTTATGCTTGGTCGAGCGGTAGACAATTTATGTGCCCTTGCGAATTACCATAGAGCCAGGTTCCAAACTCATCACGCAACCGTCGAGCTGAACGAGGCCATCACTTTATACCGATACATCCTTCAATTCCGCCCAACCGGGCATCCCAATCGTGCTTCACCCCTCCACGACCTTGCACAGTGTCTAGCAGACCGGTTTCGCCAACAACCCGTAGCGGTTGATCTGGATGACGCTATTGCCTTTGAACAAGAAGTCCTGCAATTACTCGTGCGTGGGGACCCAGATTACGACGTGTCCCGGCTCTGTCTTACGGCTTACCTCCAAATGAAGTTCACCTCACAAGTTGCTATGATGTCCTCTGATGCCTCAAGTATCACCCTCTTCGATGTTAAGCAAATCATACGTAACGTTGCTTTTGAAACCCTCAAAACCGTGCCGACCAGGCTGCTGCACACACCTACTGGCATCCTGTGCAATCGTGATGCACAGGTGTCACATTTTATGAAAAGTCAAGAGTACAAGCGGCTGGAGTCTTTGTGCACAACACGCGGCCGGGACCAGCAAATGGAAATCATCCATACTCATGTCTCGAGACACTTCCAGTACGCCATGTTTTCCCACCGCTGGGGTGAAGCAGAGCCATCATTGCGCGACATCGAGGGCCGCCCTGTATATAGTATGTCAACCAATGGGGGCTTTGGAAAGCTCCAGGCCTTCTGTCGTGTTGCTTTGGAGCGGGATTACTTATGGGCATGGAGCGACACGTGCTGCATCGACAAACACAGCAGTGCCGAGGTGCAAGAAACGATAGGATCAATGTTCGCGTGGTATCGCCAGTCGGCTTTAACCATCGTATACCTTTCTGACATTTCCAATACCGGTTCGCTTGGGAGCAGCGAATGGTTCAGACGCGGGTGGACCCTCCAAGAACTACTGGCTCCCCAAACCGTAGTATTCTACACCCAAGATTGGTCACTTTACAAGAACCTAACGTCTTCAAACCATAAGGCCGATGTTACCCTACTAGAAGAGCTGGAGAGGACAACCAAAATAGAATTGCGGTTCCTCACCAACTTTTCTCCCGGCATGGATGATGCACGTTCCAGACTGCAATGGGCGTCATCGCGTCACACCACTCGACCCGAAGATATCGCGTATTCACTTTTTGGAATCTTTGATGTTCATCTACCCGTTTTGTATGGTGAATCCGCAGAGCACTCGCTTGGCCGTCTCCTAGCCGAAATCATATCGCAGTCTGGGGATATCTCGGTTTTGGATTGGATCGGAGAATCGTCACCGTTCCATAGCTGTGTCCCTGCTCACATCACCGCGTATCAAATGCTACCAACGCATCGACATCAATCTATCGCAGAAGGACAGTCGTCGGCAACGAGTGTGGGCCTCTCATCATTCGAAGCATTGCGTAACCTGTGTGGCTCACTCGCCGCATCGTTCCTCCCACGATTTCTCAGCCGTCCCCTGACACCATCAGGCATCGCCCCGACGGTTCCGCTGCGAACCCCAGATTCATACGCACCAAGCGACGTGTACGATTTCCATTCATTCACTAGAGCACCCCTGCCACGATTCCTCAATCGCAGCCTTTTACTGCCATGCATTGCCCACGGTGTGACAGCGGTTCAACTGACAGAGGAAGATCCATCGGCGCGGAGTTACATGTACAAAATCCAGGCATCCGGTCTAAGGCCAGTGGAGATCACACTGCGAGAGAAGCTAGAAGATCCAACAATTTCGCAAGGTACTCTGCAGCTCGTTCGCCCCTGGCACTCAAAGGGTCAGTCCGCCATATTAGATGCTGCGAATGAAGAGCAGCTACTTCTTACACTTGGGAGGCCATTTAATGCCCTTCTGTTGACCGAGCTGCCTCACTCGCAGTACAAAAGGATTGCGTCCTCTACCTTCATTACTGCTCAGCCTGTAGACTCCGCGAGCATCCTTCAAAGTAAAGTTAGGGTATTTAATATTGTGTAGATACCCAGTTGACATCAGCACCTACTTTGTCACTCCCTATCGTGCGTTGTCTCGTGTGCCCTTTCTCATACTCCCTGCGCATGTGTGTCCTGCCACTTGCTTTTTTCTCTCCTTCATTACGGGCAAATACAATTCAGTGCCACGTATAGAGTTATATTTTAGTGAGTGTCTATCTGCAGTTCTGCTCGCACTGCACTGCAATTTGCAGCTGACACGTACTTGTCATTGATGATGTGGCGTCCAGGGGTGCCGAGGAAACTGATTATGTTGCTAACCAATCGATTCCGTATCCTGGATACATTGGGAATGAGACAATTTAGAGTGCTACAATGCTGTGGAGAGCGTGGTATCCACGGGATGGTTTCGCTGTTGAGAGCGTGCAATGGATATGGAGAGAAACAAAAGAATATGTCCATTGATGTTGTTCCAAAAATTACAGAATCTGAACCTTGGGCCACTTGAACTGAGGTCCAACCTACACACAACAGACCGTCAGTATACGCCAACACCGGAAACTGTATGAAAGGACGCACCAGCTGGACACACATGGCACCCATCCTGTGCCCGGCCTCGACACAGTCGTTGAGGTTCTTGCCCGCAACGAGGGCACCCAGAAAGCCTCCCGCGAACGCGTCACCAGCACCGTTGGTGTCTACGATCTGGTCATCTGGAATTGGCGTCACATTGAACACCTTGGCATTATCCGGTTCCGCGCTGGACACGAGTACGGTTGACTCCGGTCCGTGAGTAAAGATGACAACGCGGGGCTGGCTCTTGTTCTCTTTCGGCGAAATTGCGATGGCCTTGGCAGTTGCGACGAGGTTCTTGGGTTCCGGAAGACCTGTCGCGGAGGCATATGCTTCGGCTTCGGTCTCGTTCCCGATGATGACGTCGCAGTAAGGTAAAACGCTCTGGAGCTGATCCTTGAAGAACTGGGGAATGAAAGGCGCTGAGAGGTTCAACGCGAACACCTGGAATTTTTTTTGAGAGACCGTGGAAACGCAACTTGATCCTGGGACACAGATACTTACCTTGGAGGCAGCTGAAGCCTTCTTGCTGACCTCTAGTATGGATCCGGTGCCGTGTGTGAGGAAAAAGCCCTCGACGTAGAAGACTTTGGCAGCATCGATCAGAGGCGCTACTTCTGGTGACGAAAGGTGGGACTTTTCAAACTTCTCAGCAGCTCTCAGAGTCGTAACGAGGGAACTAGATAGAATTAAGTATCCGGAGGTTACGGGTCTGCGAACTTAACCCACCGATCGTGACCAGTAAGCACGACAGCGCAAGCGCCAGTCTTTTCGCCGTTCTTGACGAGATACCGCTCGTGGAGACCTTCGCGCTTGTTCGCAGCGCGGAGTTGGTCTGCGAGGTTGTCGTCACCTACACATCCGGTGTAGACAACGGAGTCGGGTGGAAGGACATACTAAGGGCACAGATTGTAGACTGATTGAGTGCTGTGGCTATTGAACATAACTCACGGCAGCACCTCGAGCAGCATTCTGGGATGCTCCTCCAGCGACGTAGGTGACTTGGTAATTTTTGACCAGGTCGTCATAGCTGAAGAGGGTATAAATGTCAACAGTGATCAGGATAAGCACATAAAAAGAAGCATGCGACATACATCGGCATATGCTTTTCCTCTGCCAGAATGGCATCGTTGGCCTTGAGATCGTACTTCTTGAGCAGCCCTTCGCCATCTCTAACCTGCAGGTCCAACAAGGGGTTGCCGATGCAGAAGAGCTTGTACGATGGGGCAGCCATGGTGGGTGAGATGAAGCGAAGAGGGCGTGTGTGTGCTCTTGATTAGTTTCATAATTAAATAATTAAATATTTTTGACTTATCCAACTAGCTCCCGGTAAATTCCGGCTAAAGTGTGTTTTTGCGCCGAACCGTCATTTTCGTTGTCCTCGACTGCGATGAACTCGCGTATCCTCTCGGCCGTCCTCCGTGCACGTCCTGCTGCTGTCCGTCGTGTTGCAGCGCCGTCCCTTTCTGCCGTTCGTTACGCTTCTTCAGACGCTCACGGCCAGGAGAGCTTTGAAGCTTTCTCCCAACGCTATGTTGCATTTTTCGAGGGAGCACAAGATCTCTTCGAGGTTCAGCGCGGTCTGAACAACTGCTTTGCATATGATCTTGTTCCTTCACCCGGTGTTATCGAGGCTGCTCTCCGTGCAGCACGGCGGGTGAATGACTATGCTACTGCAGTTCGTATATTCGAAGGTGTCAAGGAGAAGGTGGAAAACAAACAACAGTACCAGGCATACCTGGACGAGCTGAAATCTGTTAGAGAGGAGTTAGGTGCGTGTCGTAGCTCTGGTCTTTCATACCTTTTGCTTTGCTCAAACGATGCTGCACAGGCATAGACACAAAAGAGGAGCTTTACTCTTCATGAGAACTCATCCTGGACATATTGTTCGTGTCTGTTCGGCGGAGATTACTTGGCGGGTGTTGACCCACTCGCACACCAGTGTATACTCAGGACTTGCCGTGGTTGCATGCTTGCATAGTAGCCCACGAACTTGCGGAACACGCTCAACTTACTCTTATACTGGGTGCACCAAGTGAGTTATTTGCACGGCAATGGAAGTTATTTGGTTTGTGTGAGCAGATAACTGGAGTGTACGTCCGATGAGTGACAGTGCGCCTTGGAAATGGTGCTTTGGCTCTGTACTCAGTTTACGGCCATTCCAGCTAGATAATGAGGACTATAAATCTTCAGCTTCGGATGATACTGATGGACTCCGCGATGGTGGCGGTGCTGGTAACCCCTGATAAGATTATCTTGAATTGTTTTCTAAGTCATCCACAAGTAGAGATGACGACGGTTACAGTGAAGCCGACAGTGACAGCATCGTATACCCTTCAGTTGCCCGCAGAAACAGAGCATCCACCTTCGCTGACGCCCACCGTCACTCATACGTTTCCACTCGGTAATAGCTCTTCATCCAGTGCATCGGATCTGGACCCTGCGGACGTGCGGGAATACTATGCTGGACTACGCACTGCGATCGCTGCTACACGGCTAAAACTCGGGGAAGAGCTTACCGTATGGAGGGACGCGGTGGGCAATAAGGAGGCTGGGAAGGAGAGGAAGTTCAAGCCGGCGAAAGAAGAGGAAGAGGACGGGGAGGATGAAGACGAGGGGGAAGTGTGAGTGGTATCTTCTACATGGATTACATCACGAGGGCAGCCGGGATCAGGTGGGTGCCTCGCACGCACTACAGCCTCTCTTATTCACAGATGCTAGTAAGATGATCATCGATACATGTCGACGCGTACGCGGGTCGAGCCACACGGTGCCGTGTCGCTCTGCTACGCAGCTCACCTAGCAAATCTTTGATGGTCTTCTGACTTCAATTGATCAAGTGCGTTCTGAAATCCAGCCAGGATCATATTCAATATAAGCAACCCAGTAATGTAGTGAATTAACCAATCGGACCAAAGGTCGTTGTTCGCGGGGCTCACATTCCCTGTGGAAGTCCTGCCTTCCAACGGTTGGATTCTGATCGTTCAGTCGTTGATATATAACAAGGTTTGAAAAATGTCTGGCCATTGCAGCCGTCCTGATGATTACTGTCGCTACTAATACCACTCGAAGGAGCCTGCTATGTAAAGCACCTCTCTCCTACCCCCTCATTATCAATATTTCCATGCATCCTGATCACTCCAACTACGGCCTCAGCTCTGTGGACGACGACGATCCTATCTTCTCATTGAACTACCCCGTCTCTCGCTCTCAACTGTCCGCATCCTTCAACAACCTCAATATCTAGGACAACAACAACATATCTCGGCGGCCTAATTACGCCCCAATACGGGCCAGCCACTCCGCTTCGCGTTTCAATCCCGTCGCCGTGTCCTCCGTGACTCGGGGTCCCTCTTTCTCTCCATCAGGCGTCGATGCCTTTCGTTCTCTCTCCGATCGGTCTCTAAACCCGACAGATGGTTCTGGCGATTATTTAAGCTCCCCATCTCTCCCCGCTTCAATATCAACCGCCGTCACCCCTCCGAGAGCTACCTCACCGGCACCTCAGGTGTTGGATCCATCTCCCTACATCCTGTCCATCTTCTCAGGACCATCTTCAGCTCCACATCTCCCCCTATCTCTGAGACCCCTTACACAGCCAAGAAGCAACATTTCCAACGGAGCAAACATCTCTCCAGTCTCATATTCCAACCATCAAGCGTTCCATCCCCTTTGCAGTCAGATAGCAGCTACACCCGTCGCGCGGAGTCTGTCAGTGTTACTGATGACCGTGATGTGAACATTCGCCGCAAGAAGGGACCACGAGATGCGGCGGAAATTCGCAAGCGTGTATACAGTCGTCAGTTGGGGCCACCAAAATTGGCCCCGCCAGGATGGCAATTTTATTTCGAACCTTTGCACCGTTCTCAGCTCCCCACCTTTCGTAACGTCAGGCCCGAATCCCCCGGCTCCGAGAGCGGAAGCAAAGTGACCCCGGGAGACAGTAGCAGATATACCTTGTTCTGAAATTTGTTTCTCGTCCTTCTCTCGTTCATTTGGTATATGCGTCCTCCCTTTGAGTGCCCCTTTGTACTATGTTGGATTCACCGTCACGACTTCGAAATGACTGCGGTTGTTGTACAATTAGATGTATTATAGTGTTTACCCATTTGTCTCACTACACGGCATGTAAGTTTCTTGAGATGAGTTGTCAATTTACTGATGGCATCTAGTGTGATGTTCACAGGAATAAGGGAACGGTTATATACAACAGATGTCAGGAAGTGTAAGCACGTTCCATGTTAAATGATCTAGGGTGCTTGAAGTATTGGATCTGGAAAACGGGCTATTGTGACTCGAGGAATAAAAATTGCAAACAACGTGACTCGGGATCTCAAGGTTCAGCGTTTCACGGCATCGCTGACCGTATCTTGAACGTGATCAGTCACTTGTTTGTCAAGCGCCTCGTGAGTAGCAAGATCAAGCGTGATGGAGATAACGAAGGGGGACAGAGACATGGTGGTCGAGTGCTGGTGAACAAGAGACCGATGGGGGCCTTTTATCTCTGGCCGTGACTGATCGGCTAGGATGGAAGCTGATGGAAGTAGCGCTGCGGGCAGAATTATAGCTCCTTTCGGCGGGGCAAAGGGTCTAGGGTACCGGGTTACTTCCTACCCAATGTCGAACATAAAACAAGTGCTCGTGTAGGATATTATTTTTTGAGCTATTGTCTATCCATTATTGCTGATCAAGCCGGCTAGTCCGGATCATGATGAGAATTACCAACTGACCTAAAGTGTGTGCCTTCCACAAGGCGATTTGAGGACAACTATCTAGCACCGGCAGTCTCAAAAGGCTATCCGTCAAAGCACGCTCGCGCGATCCAGAAGACCTTTCACGCGCTTGCGCAAGCGTTCCGCTTCCAATTTCCGCTCGAGAATTTGATGTGCGGGCATGTCTTTCTTGCGCAACCAACCCCTTCCGGCCTTTCCTTCGCCTTCTGCGCGTTTAGCACGGAGCACCGAAAGGTCCACTACGCGAGGGGAAGAAGAAAACTTGATCACATCACGGTAGAGCACCTTCGTTTCCGTTGCCAACGAGCGTAACGTCGGAGGTGTGCTCGGGATGTCATAGTCCGACTCGTCAGTGTCTGAGGTACCTGGGGGATCCAATGGAGGGGTGGCAATTCGGGTGACGGGATCTGGGAGAGGTGGCAATGCCTGTATTTCTTTAAGGAGGTCTTGTCCTTTGAGGTACGAGTTCTCTGTCCGCAAGAAACGCACTGTCCCACGAAGAGCCTCGATCTGTGCAAAAATGAGACAAAGGCATACAAAGCACAGGATAGAGCATCCAACCTGATCAAGTAGGTGGGACGTTTCAAAGCTGCCTTCGATAGGTGCATTGTCGGGTTCTGCAGGTTGGTTACCGGTCGCTGTCGAACATTTTCATATTAGTATTCTGTTTTTCTTTGGTCTGTTTTCGCCTACTTTGTTTCTCTGGAGCAGCCATTGCTTTCAGCTTGGAATTGTCTTGCTCTAATGTATCCAAATCTGCCTGTAATTGTTCCATAGCCTCCTCGTAAGCCCTTTCTTGTTTCCTCGCCTTTGAGAGCTCGATTTCAAGTTCGATAATAGTATCCGCCTGCTTCTTAACGGCCTCCATGCGACGGTCCATAAGCTCAATTTTGACACTCGCTTCCTGAAGGTTCTGATCTCTGGCCTTCAGTGTGCGAACAAGGCCTTGAACTTCTTCCTGCAGTTGTGCGGCCTTGCGTTCAGCTTCGGCGTTGACGGCAGTACTTGCCCGGATTTCTTCAATCCGTGCCACCCAAGGTGGTGTGCCGGTAACTACCAAGGGATTTAGCTCACCCATTAAGTGGACAACCGAAACAAATAACGTACTCTTCCATACATTCTCCGATTCAAGTGCAAGCGGTAATAAGTTTATTGGATTCCGCCGTCAGAGCAGAAATAGCCTCGCTCACGGCTTCCCACCAGGAAGTGCCGGGTCGCATATCCTTCGCAACAGTAGACATGGCCGTCTGTTTCGCGTACGACAATACGGTAGTCAGCTGGAACGACGACTTGGCGCTGCGAGCGTCGCCGAGGTGAGGTATTACTTGTTGAGCGAGCTGAACAATGTCAAGGTCTTATCAACAAGGGATATGCGAATGACGTACAGATATACCGAAGTTCACAAGTTCAGGCACAGCGTTACTGAGGGACTTGAGGTGCGGTACCAAATGTGCCTTGAGAGCTGCCGAATCCTGTATCACATCTTCTAGTCGTTTGGTGAGCTTTCTATTTAGGGATGGCGTAAATTAGCTCGACTTTCGGTATAAATGGATGCACCCACTTGGAAAGAACCTTGGCACTCTTGCACTGATCAAGGAGTTTTTGCAAAGGTTCGAAGAGCTCAGTCTCCGGATCGTATCCTCCCATGTCGAGAAGAACGTCTGTTCCCGATCAGTTAGATCGAAAATCGAATGAAAAATAGCTCACCCTCGTCGTGTAGGATGGAAGCAACAGATGTCTTCGTTAGACCGATCGAAGCAGCGACGGCATCGAGATCGTAGTCAAACGACAGCGCATATCCAAGTTCTCTTTCACCAAGATCATAATCGTACCCATTGAAATACGTCTCTGCAAGATGGTCAAACTGGCCTTGCAATCTAGATGATTCACTAGTCAGTGACACTTCATGTCTTTGGGCACAACGAAACGGACTTGAGAACATCGCTGACGAATTCCATTTCTCGGAATTCGTCTCGCCTGAGAAGATCAACATGCATGTCAATGCGCTTCTCCATGGGGGCGACTTCAGGATAGATCCTGCCAGCATTCAAGAATGACGTTGGATCGCATCGTCGAAGCACAGCAGCGAAGCGTTTGCAGAGAGTAGAAAGATAAGCAGCACGACCGCGCATCTCACAGATACCAACAAGTGTCTCCGATACTGAGCCATTAAGGGACTCTGGTAACCCATGTGCTTGCCCGACAATGTTGTTGATGATATCTATCTTCCACCCTAAGCGCTGGAAGAAGAGGTAACAACTTGTGGCATCACTGTCATTCTCCATGTACACTTGCGGCAAGTACGGCTATTTTGGCACATTCTTTATTACCGAACCTGTGCGAAGAAAATAAGGAACACACCTGTATGATAGTCAGGAGTTCCCGTGTTTCTCGTGTCTCGAGCTTGCGAATCTCAAGCTCGACTGTCTTGGCTTGGTTCTTGGCTGCGGACGACTGTAGTTTCAAGTTAAGGGACATCATCGCAGCGGTCTGAGAAGCGGCAGCAGCGGATTCGTGTTGTGCGTTTTGAGTTTGCGTCCTTAACGTATCAAGTTCACTGCGAAGACATTTAGGAATTTAGGAAGTGCACAGGTGAATGAACTATACCTCTGCAGCTGAAGGACAAGCTCGCGGAATTGGCCAATGGTATTGTCGAGATCCTGACAAGCATCCTCGAGTGTTGAGATTTTCTGGAGTTGTTCTCGGATCTGCCCATCCTTGGAATCTGTGCGACAGAATACTGGATTAGAGGATTTTTGCTGAATAATACGACCGTTTCAAACCGATTTCTGCTTGCAAAACCTTCTCAGCTTCAACATGGTTCTCTTCGAGTTCATCGTTAAGTTCCTTGAGGGCCTCAAGGTCTTCGATAGTGATACGCATCTCCTCAATTTTCTACTCTGGATTAGAGAAATACAAGTTGGATAGATGTTCGAACTGCTTGCCTCGGTGTACTGGATGGTCCGCTCAGTGAGATGAAGCACCATATCTTCTGCTCCGAGTGCAACATCGAGCTGTGATTTCAAATCTTCAATCTGTGTTTCGGCATTTGATAATTTGATTAACGTAGATTCATGTTGTTCTATTAATGCTGTGTCAAAAATCGAGCGGTGAGGAATGCTGGCGAGGTAAGAACCTTGAAGTTCATCAATCCCGGCAATGTCTCTCTCTAGTTCGGCGATATGATGGCGCTGCTCTTGCTCTGTTTCTTGAGACATATCACGCAAACTAGATAGAAACGACGATTTAAGATACTGCAACTTCGAGCAGAGGCAGTACACACCGGATGAGTGCCTCCTTGAGACGCTCATTATGCTTCTCCAGTTGAATGTAAGCTAAAGAGGTCTTGACGTTCGGATCTCCATCATCCCCGGCAGCTGCACACATCAAATCTTGACAAAGTGAACGCAGCCAGGAAGTTCACTTACCGCCGCCCTCTTTCAGGACCTGTAACTCTACTTCCATGCGGGCGAGTCGTTCCTTCGTCTCCTCCAGTTCTGCCTGTGCAAGTTCCGCCTTCTCTTCAGCCACTTCCTTATCCAACATCGCCATTTCCAATTGCTCGTGGGCATCTATGCCACGGTTATCGGAAAGCTGCGCTAGTTGTTGCGCGTCTGAAAGCTCGCGGCGCGTTGCGATGAGCTCAGTTTGGAGTTGGTTGAGCTTTGCTTGTAGTTTAGGTCTAATAGCCACGAAAGACTCGGCCTCTGAGAGACGAGTCTCAAGTTCGCGAATGTGTCGCGCGTCATCCGCCCGCCTCGCTTCCAAAACACGCGTCTTTGCACGAAGTTCTTGAAGCTCTGTATCATCGACACTGCGCTGTTCCGGTACATAAATCAACTAGCCACGAAAAAGGAAGCATACATACCGCAACGCTCTGCGACGATGGTTCTCTCGATACCGGTATGGTGGGTGCTTGGAGGGGTCCACCACTCAGGGAAGGTACAATAGGGGATGAAACTGATCCGCTTGTTAGGGAAGGAAGAGATGAAACCTGTGGAGAAATATGTGGTACTGCTACAGGTTCGGGTGGTAGCTGAGGTTCGGCAGGTTCAGATCTGGTTGGTGACCCGGTTTGAGGAGGGAGAGACAATGGGGAAGTAGCTCGTTGGGACGTCACAATAGTTGTGTCTTGGACTGGTAACCGGTTGCTACGTGGGGTTTGAAGTGCAGGACTAAGAGGACCGCTGCTGTCTCCAGAGGATGTGCGAGGGAAAGACTTGCGCGGTTGAAGAGCGAGCGAAGAGATGCGTTTCACGGGTGACGATGGTGGTGCCAGGCGAGAGATGCGTGGACTGGCTGTTCCGGATGGAAGAAGGGGCATCAACGAAGCCGGGGGCTTCACTGGACTTGACGAACGCGATGACGACGATGCACCGGCCGAACGGAGGGACGCAGCGCGTGACACACCCGTGCTTGGCGTACGCTGATGACCAGACCCGGATCGCGCGACGCCTGGATGAGGTCGCTAGAAAGGATATGTGGCCTAGGAATGCAAGAACGTAGTACCAGACATGCACTCACGCTCACGGAGAGTTGCTCAGGTTCAGCAGAGATGACTTTTACCTGGCTTGGACGTATGAACACGCCACACAGCGGTCTGCACGAAAAGTATGCGATCCCGTTGATAGAGCCGTCATTCTTCCCCTTCGGCTCGTACAGCTCGATCCCAACCCATTTGCCTGGTGCGAAGGATGTCGTTCCGCAGAAACGGACGATTCCCCGACCGTTTGATATCTCGACGAGAGCACCTATAGGTGGGTCTATCGAGGACATTCCCAAAAGGCGTTCGTCCTCGTCGCTATTATATTGACGAAAAGCCTAATGTTAGTAAGTAGCATTCACTAGTTAGTAGTTACCGCCACCCTATAGTAACCGTGACGTGACAACCAATCTGTCACATCCTTGTCACACCGGCGTCACGTCAGATCGACGCGTTGCCTCTGGCATCACATCCCTGCAGTGGAATCACAGCAACACTGCAGGCACCGTCGTCCGTTTGCACCAGCATCGGTCAACTGGCAAACGCCCAGATGCAGCACGGTCGAAATGCCCAATGTAGGTGTTGCCGCGCTTGCCATACACTGCCAGAAGACTTACCAGGCTCAAGGTTTAAGGGATAGACAGACCTCCGAGGTGGGGTCAGATACTATATCGAAACGTGGCTGGATTCCTTACTGGTCCGCCAAACGCCATCTCACCTGCGGCAACCCCTCTCCGCACTCGGCGTACTCATCCAAGATCTTTCCTTGGCGGGGCTCTGCTCCTTCAAAGTTAAAGACGGCGAACGCTGCTCTCGTCTTATGTTTGAATATAGACGTGGATCCACCGGATGTCATCAAGACTAGCCCCTGTGCTGTTCTCGAGTGTTGGGTAGATCCACATACTTTGCCCTCCCACAAAGCCTTAGAAGCCATCGGTACCAACCTCCAACACCAGTTCGAGGGCCTCAGCCTCAAAATCCCATACAAGCCCATTCTTGATCCATCCTATGAAGACCTTCGCAGATTTTGTGTGACTCTTCGCAAACAAGCCAAAGATGACACAGTCTGCTTCTACTATAACGGCCACGGCGTGCCAAAGCCAACACCTAGCGGTGAATTGTGGTGTTTCAACCGCAATTACACCCAATATATCCCTGTTTCCCTCATGGAGCTACAGGGCTGGCTCGGATCGCCAGGTGTATACATTTGGGACTGCTCAGCCGCTGGTAACCTGCTGACCAATTTCAACATTTTTGCGGAGCGCCGGGACCAAGAAGTCTTCAATACCCGGGGAGGTTACCCTGACGGCATGCAGCCGTACATGCACTCCTTGCAGCTTGCAGCTTGTCTCGCACATGAGCAGCTTCCTTCCTGCCCGGAGCTACCCGCAGATATTTTCACATCGTGTTTAACGTCCCCAATCGACATCGCATTACGCTACTTCATCATGACACATCACCTACCCAACAATACCACTCCAGACATGGTGATGCAATTGCCAGGAGATCTGAAAGATCGTCGTACCCCGCTGGGCGAACTTAATTGGATTTTCACGGCGATAACAGATACAATTGCGTGGACAACATTCCCTCGGGACATCTTCACACGACTGTATCGCTCCGACCTCCTCATTGCCTCGCTATTCCGCAATTTTCTCCTCGCTGAACGTATCATGAAAAACTACCATTGCACACCTCACACGTATCCACCATTACCTCCAACCAACACCCATCCACTATGGTCAGCATGGGATCTCGCCGTTGATACATGTCTCAGACAGCTTCCCGATCTACTTTCCAAGGTGCCTTCTGCAGGAAACGCGACGCCGAGCCTAGGGCCTGCAGTTGCACGCACAGGTCGCATTGGCCAGCAGGGCCCCCGGGGTAATACCACTGGTCCTCAGGGCGAGAAGCCCTACCAGTACGTTCCCAGCCGATTCTTCGCCGACCAGCTGACGGCTTTCGAAGTCTGGATATCTCGTGGTGGATCAGCTCTTACGAAGCGTGGGCCACTATCCCTCCCAGTGCAGAACGGGGGTCCTGGGTTTGAAGACGGCCTGGTGGCTGATGGACATGCTGGCGGGAGAGGACTTAATACTCAACATTCGGATGACCTTGTCCCACGCAAGCCTCCAGACCAGCTTCCTATCGTGCTTCAGGTTCTTCTGTCACAGCCCCATCGCCTTCGCGCGCTCATTCTACTCTCGCAATTTGTCGACCTCGGTCCATGGGCCGTCAATCTTGTCCTCACCATAGGCATTTTCCCATATATATCCAAACTGCTTCAGGCAGCGGGCCAGGACCTACGCCCGGTGCTCATTTTCATCTGGGCCCGCATTATGGCTGTCGACCCTAGCGTGCAGGTTGATCTACATAACACCGGAGGTTTCAAATATTTTGCGAACGTGCTCGGACTAACGGACGATCAGCCTCAGCATTCCCTCCCTAATAGCTCTGAGCATAAGGCTATGTGTGCCTTCATTCTCGCCACAGTCGCCCGGGATTTCTATCATGGTCAAATGGCGTGCTGGCGCGAGCGGGTCTTCGACAGCTGTTTTGAAAAGTTGAAGGAGAACGATTTTTTGCTCCGGCAGTGGAGTGCGCTTTGTATCGCGCAAATTTGGGAAGGAAACGACGAGATCAAGGTTTATGGCGTCGACCGGGGTACGCAGGACAAACTCGTTCCGCTACTTTCCGATGCTTCTCCGGAGGTGCGGGCTGCTGCTATGTACGCCTTGGGCACGTTCATGGGCGCAAGTGGTTCTGCTGACCCTGCCAAACAAGGAGGCGGGGGTAGTGGGACGCAATACCAACTTGAAGAACGTGTTCATTTTCGCATGGAAGTTGCAGTTGTCACAGGCGCAACAGTTGTCGCAAAGGAAGATGCGAGCCCCATGGTTCGTAAAGAACTTCTCGTCCTTATCAGCTGCCTTGTCAAAGAATGGCGAGGTTACTTTGTCGTCTGCGCATGGATCTACTGGGAAGAAGATCGGAAGTGGCGAACCGAAATGAACCCGCAGCCTCGTGAAGAAGAAGTGACCTCGCAGGCCATGTCCGAATGGCTTGATTCCTTCGCGGACGACGATGCGGTTCGTGAAGAGAATCGCGTGCTACTTTCATCGTTCTTCACTATATTTGTCGCTCTCCTTGAGCTCACTGTTGACCCATATCACGAAGTCGCAACAAATGCACAGACCATCACCGACTATGTCATGGCCCTTCTCCTTGCATCTCCATTTTACCGGCTCGATTGTACAACGCTCGACTCCCCACCCGTACCACCGAATTACCATGGATCTGCAGCTGGTCCACATTCTCGTGGTCCATCTCTCCAGTCTTCACCGCTCATGCCACGTCCCCCCACACCTACTACCAGCCGGCCCAGTCTCAAGCGGGCTGACACTGTAGCTAGCACTTTTTCTGGCGTCACAAGCACACTTCGGCGTACGTCCTCCTTTGCAAGCGTGCTGCGCTCGTTTGCTGGTGGAATCGCCTTCCCAAGCGTGGAAGAAGGTCGGGTACCTCCCAGCCCCCTTCCCGGGTTTTCGACCCCGTCACGCTTGGACGCAACACAGTCACGACCCCCATCCCCGAACTTGAACTTTGCGCAGTACGCATCACCCTATTCTCGTCCGCCGACCCCCACGAGGGCTTCGCTACCACCATCTCCAACGGAGTATGCTCCGCAACCCGACTACACGCCACTGAACGTGATGGAGGCACTCATGGAAGAGGATATGGTACGCTTGCGCGCACGTCGGCGATCAGGCGCCCATGGGCGGCGACATGCACCTGACCTGAGTGGACTTGGTGGTGACCTTAGCAGCCCATGCGGGAGTACGTTTTCGACGGACTCGGGCAGTGTGCCGCTAGGCTGTGGAACGGGAAATGGACTTAGAGATGTCCTCCCTCTGAAGAGCTCGTTCTTTGATTGGTGCTGCGAGTACTTCAAGGAGCCCCAAATGAGGGTACGAAGGTTATGATTATGTGCGGCCCAATCTCACGTTGTGTTGATATCCATAGCAAGCAGAAGCAGATGAGCCTGGAAGTGTGCAGTACAATTATCAAGTTTGGAGGCAACAACGGAATGAACAGCTAATAACCGAGGCACAGCCCCAGACTCTCCAAGCAGGTAATCTCTTTTGACATTTCCATATCTTCTGCCTGATGTTGGAACTCGTACAGAACGCGTACAATGGGACAGGCCGGTAGCAAACTTGCAAGTCAACGGCAACCCGCTCTCCATGGCACTCCATTCCTACGATCCACATCTAGTTGTCGCCAATGACACGGATATGATAGGGTCTGCACTTCGTCTTAAGTAATGTTGTAAGATCTGACAGAAGTCACAGCGTTTGGGATTGGTCCCAACGGAAGCGGTTGAATTATTTCTGCAACGGCAATCCTCGTGGGACAAGCATCACGTCGCTACATATCATCAACCAAGATGTTGGCGGCATTATTATGACAGGCTCGGGTTCGTTAATGATGTTTCGAGCTGCCCAAGTCCATTGATTATTCCTCGGTAGCCGACGGCATTATACGATTGTATCGCAATTATGATCCGGCGCTGGACCAGGGTCCACTGCAGATGGTCAGCTCTTTCCGCGCCCTTGATGAGATGATAAGCGTTCGGAGAGGAACCGGAATCGTTATGGACTGGAGACAAGTGGGAGGTACTTTACTTGTGGGCGGTGACTCTAGGATCATCGGAGTTTGGGAGGGGCATACCGAGTTGCATGTATTGGTGAGTATATGGGCATATCGGGGCTCCGCTAAACATGTACTAACCCTGTGGCAGAATTTGGAGACCAACTCTGAAAGTCCTGTCACTGCTATAGTGTCTGACCACACCTCTGTATCAACTTTCTTGGCTGCATTTGCAGATGGTGTCATAAAAATGTTTGATCGCCGTCTAGAGGAAGAAGATGCAATAGTTAGGACCTACCAAAGTCATCCTTCGTGGGTACAGAACGTCAAATATCACCCAAGATACAGTGGGCAATTCCTGTCAACCAGGTCTGTTTCAGTCTCCTTATCAAGCGCGCATTGGCTCATGTAACCAGCCTTGCTGGAGATGTCCGCCTATGGGATGTCAGAGGTCCCGAGCGCCCCATCCACACATTAGATCTACATCCAGGAGGGCTATCGACCTTCGACGTCCATCCCCAAACTGCCGTTTTTTCCACGTACGTGCATCCAGACATCTTGTTTGGTCGTTGCTGAACCATTTGCGCCTTAACAGTACATCTGCGCTCACCCCAGCGAACTGGAGACACCAACGACTCTTGTTACACTCTATGACGGATTTCAACGTTCTCTCTTCAATGATGCTGCCGACAGGGTTACCCGTATATTCCCGACGTCCGCCTTCGTCATATATTCCCAGATATACGTCTTTTGCTTTCCACCCTCTAGAAATGATGTACGCCATTGGTGAACCCGACGGAACTGGTACGCATTTGCAATTTCTATCTTTGAAACAATACTGACGAGCCGCGTGTCGATAGTCAAACTTATGGGTTCCAAACTCTCCTAACTATCCTTGATGCCCACGTACATGCGATACCTTGAGAGATGCCCATTAATCTAGTGTATATAAATTCATTGCGCATAACTATTGTTTGTATCGCAGTGTAGCGATGCGTTAGTAAACTATTCCTGGACGCCGTCAGGCCAGGTCTGCAAACTCTTTGTCCTCAACGATCATACCGGACCGTTAAGTCCGATCACGTGCAATTTCCTTTCGGGGGGGGTTCCTGCATTTGCATTTTGTTTGTACACGTCATGTCAGATAACGTCGTGCAGACGACCATGGACAGTGGCATGTGCTGCTTGTGTATTGACGCGGCTGGTGCCAGCATTGTTGCTGCTATCAGCTACAGGAATTTACTGCCGAGTCTGTGTACCCTAGAGGATTGTTGTTGGTATGTCGCGCAGACTCAGTGCGCGAGTTTGTGGAACAGTACCCCTTCCTGACGTTGAAGGATATTAAATCTATTGCGGCATTTCACAGAGTGTGTCGATGCCCTCCACGTTCACGAGTGTTCGGCTGCTTGTCCGTCGTTGTACGTGTTTCGACAGCTTAAAACCACTCGGAGAGGGAGATGCCTCCTTCCTGCACATCATCGAAGATTGCTCGTACGTCGTCCTCTAAGCATGAAAACATCCTCTCATAAATGACAGTTATGTAATCCACCATCCCACATAGAGAACATAAACATGTGCCCCGTGGACTTTTCCGTTTGATATTGCCCCCCCCCACAGTACTAATCTCTTATGTACACTTGGACATGCATTCACTCGATAGAATCCCATAAACTTGAACTCACACTCACTCAATAGAATCACCTGTAGAGTCGCTTGTAAATGTAAAGAACTACATCACGTGCTTTCCCCAAATGTGTCCAGGAGTGCCCAGAGGGCTTTGGTATATAAGTATTCGAACCCTGGGCGATATCGTGATACAACTGTAGTACTCAGTTCTTGCATGTCAGACCACATCACTCTTCATACCCTCGTCCACGTTGGCGTTGAGGGAACAGTTGTACAACTGAAGCGCCGACTTGCATATCAAGATCTGGAACTCGGCTCTGGTCGTCGGTGTTTGAATATGGCTCACGGGCTCATGGTCAGCGCATGTGCCAATGCTTAAGACCCAACGAGTGTTTCAGGCCTTCCGTTTCTCCTTCACCCAGCGCATAATTCGCCACATCCAAGAGATACCTAGATAGTATGTGCAGTAACCCGTACTTGCACGATGCCGCTGAGCTTTTCGTTCACCTTTTAGGAAGATGAGGTTTTTAGATGTAAAAGGTGTCCTCGACCGGGAGGAAAGCATCCTTGAACGAAGCGACACAAAAACGGTGATCTTGAAGGAACTTGATGACAAGACTACGAGCTATGCGATACTGTCACACCGTTGGGGGAATGAGGTCAATTACGATGAGATGACTGAGCTGATGAAGATGGAGGAACAGGAAAGGGATGAGGTTAGACAGCGTGGTGGCTATCAGAAGATCATCAAGAGTTGCGAGCAGGCCATGAGGGACGGCTATAGGTGGTTGTGGATTGATACTTGTTGTATCGACAAGCGCAGCAGCGCTGAACTATCAGAAGCCATCAACTCGATGTATCGCTGGTACCGAAACTCGCAGAGGTGCTACGTATACCTCAACGACGTTGACGAGTCGGCCTTTCCTACTCGACCAAATGAAAGCAAATACGACAGCTCCAACGGTTGGCCAGAATGGTTCATCCGAGGCTGGACGCTCCAAGAGCTGATAGCTGCGAAGGAAGTCCAATTCTTCAACAAGGATTGGACTTTCCTAGGCAACAAACAGACTCTGGCGGATACACTGAAAATAATAACACGGATTCCGGATGAAGTTTTGAGAGATGGCCTGACCTCGAAGTGTCCCAGTGTCGCTCGAGTCATGTCTTGGGCAGCCGACCGCAAGACGACGCGAGTGGAAGATCGAGCGTATTCGCTGTTGGGATTATTTGGCGTGAATATGCCCATGTTGTACGGGGAAGGGGAAAAAGCATTTCAACGGCTACAGCTCGAAATCCTCCGGGTATCTAGCGATCACAGTATATTTGCATGGGACACCGAAGGATGGATACGGCGGCCGGGCAGTGTCCTGGCAAATGACCCGAGCTACTTCCGGGATTGTCACCACATTGAAAGGGTGGAACCTGACGAGTTCGTCGACCGCCTGGTGGAGTATATCGAACAACTCAAACTTGGCAACTCCCGGAGCAACACGCATCGGCGTGCACTCGCATCTTTGCGTGGTGCTGCCCACTCCCAACAATATCGCACGTTCTCTGTCACCAACTGCCGGTATTCAACTGTGTTTGCCCCTCATACCCTATCGTGACTCTCCAACCCTGTTTAAGGCCATACTGGCATGTAGGAACCGTCGTGGAGATTTGATTTCTATCGACTTGGCTTCCTCTGGATCCTGTTTCGACAGGACTTTTGACACTACGGGGATTCATGACACATATCCAGAGTTTCGAACACTCGGTCTTTCTTGTTCTCAGGACGCCAACGAGACATACCGTGATCTTACTCTCGATGACAAGCATACCCTGCACTATGGTTTCACCCGTTGTGGTGCGTTTCCACGCGACACCTCAGGCGATGCCGTCAAGCTCTGGTCACGTACAAACGATCTTATCGTCATAGTCTATGCGAGCGACCTCAGCAAATGTCGCTTCGCTGTCGGACTTGGGTATCATTTCGACCAAGGGTGGGTCCACATTGCGTATGAGGAACACCCTGCACCTCAAGGCGAAGCCTGGATACACTTCGCTAAGAAGGTGTATGATGTGATGTGGAATGCCCGTGCATACCATGCCCGAAATATGCCCAAGCTCAGGTTACGACGAGAATGCCATTAAGCACGCTCACCTCCCTCGATCAATCTGGGCAGCGAGAGTTGTCTGGGGTAGATGGGATGCAAGCAATCTGAGAATTATGATTGACGTAGAGCAATGTTCCGGATGTTGTGTTGGGCCACACGGATGGACGGTTACTTCTGTTGGTCCACATTCTTCTATATGCATGCAGACCTAACCACCCGATTTACGACAGAATGATCGAGACGGTCTTGGCATACCTGGTCTTATGAAGACGCTTCGCCGTTCGCACTGCTTGGAACTGGATGGGAGGTCGGTATGGTTTGACGAATGTTCTCATCAAAGGATTGCGGTGAGTCATAGCATACGTCCTTAAGCTCTTGTCGTGTCTGATACATACAGTTGGGTGATTATGGAGACTTCTCCGACGGCCATTTCAAGCGTTATGGCAACGTATTGGAGCATATGCAGGATATGCAGTCACTTGGTTTCGATCCCACTGATCCAGCTTATCGCCCAGTGGTTTCTCGTGCATCCGGCTATCATTCCGCTTTGAATCGGATGCAGAACCAGAATGACCTTGTTGCGACATTTCACAACGAAGAGAGACACCTGGAACTGTATCAACCGGTTGGCCTCTCCCTCCCGAATAACCGACATTTCACGCTGCTATTGAAAGCCTTGTCTACCCGTCTTGCAGACAAACACCTCGTGATAAGAGTCATCCAATGTTCACAAGTTTATGCAGTTGATCGTATGGGTGAACGGAAGGATTTGGGAGGTATGAGTCTTTCCCGAGGATTGGTGTCTTCCTGTTACTCTAACCTCGGGGTTCAGGCTCGGCGCTGGATGGTGGTCGCTGCTCCCTAGAGCCAAGTACTTACACCCCCTTGTGCACTATTGCAAGCCCACAAGTTTGGCGAAGAGGGCCTGCTTGCGTACTGCGCAGGGAACAGTTCAAGGGAATTCGGTTAGCCCTAACTGATAATTGCGTGTGGTGACATTAATGCTATGTTTCGGAATGTAGGGAACACTTTTACACTTTAGTAAACCTGGTACATTTTATTGCAAGTCATCTTGCGACTAACTATCTCACTAATCACATCATTTGCAGCGCCGACCTGGGGGATCCGAAACTCGTCGAAAGTCTGCAGTGTGTTGAACAATGCATGAGACTTACGAACACACACTTAACGTAGCAACAGATTGAACAGGCGACGAATGGAGCAACTAAGTTCTTCTCAGATATGTTTGGCTTTGAATACCTACACAACTTCGTACGTATCCACTTTGCTGATACGTCAGCCATTCACACTCTCGAAATGTAGGTTGGCAAGGTAACATTCTTCGAAAGGCTGCCCTCAATTACACAGACCGAGTTACACGCTGACGCCTCAAGAGGCATCGTCAATGGTCAGGCCGTCACGCTAAGCATGTTCCTGATGCAAACTTACATACTTCAGGAAATGGCTTGGGGGCACCTCTATTGAAATTCTCGTTTGTCAGCTGGGTTGTAAGACATACTCCATTCAAAGGTAGGCGCACATGCAAGGCAGTGCCAGATCCACGCCTCGAAATGGCGTTACTTTTTTTGCGGAAGAAATGCCAAGTTCTCGGTTCTCAGTTTCGTGAGAGGCAGAACGCCTGTCGAGAAGCGAAACATGGATCGCGAGGTACAGTCCATATCCCAAACCCTGAGTGTTGGGGTATGTGTTACTACCAGCCAGAATAAGCCGCGACTAATCCTCGTCACGAAAAGTTACTCGATTTCATCAGTACTACTTTCATCGACTCACGCTCGTTAGTGCTTTTTTTTTTTTTTGCCTAAATCACTTCCTCTTTCCGCGATTGATTGAGTCTTAGTCCGATGAAGCCCAAGTATGACAAGTCAGTACTGCACCTTCAATCATCCAATAGACCATTCCCTGAATGCCGATGTAGGTATGCAGACGCTTGTTCTATGGTGCAAGAGATAAAGGCGCTCCGAGAGAAACTTGATGCAACAGACGACGAGGATGAAATGCGGGCACTGGAGGAAGACATCACAGGAAAGGTATGGTCAAGTTGTTGTTTTCTGAGGCTTAAGGTCCAATTATTCATAGATTTTGTGGCTCTGTTGGTGTGGAATCTGCCAAGAAGTGGAACAGCTACTGCCACAGGCGAGCCAACTTTCAACTTTGTGGGATGACTCAATTGATGTAGCTCAGGTCGTGGACTACCTTGGGAACGAAGGGAACATGACAGTACGTCGTACCATGCACTCTGAACCATCCCCATAACCACTGTGACTAGGGTTTGGGTCAGATTGGACGAATTATTGAAGGGACGCATACAGACCCAAATGACGATCAAGCTCACTTGCGGCGGTAGGCGGTGCAATAGCATAGATACGAATTTCTGAACAAACACTATTTCAGAATCATGGCTGATGCAGGAGCGGGGACGTCGAAACATCAGTTGTTACTTACTGCTTGGGCTGCGCAGCACACGCTTGGTACAGCGGTCTCAGGAGACAAACCCGTACTCGGTACCCAAGAGGCCGTCCCAAGCACGAGTTATCCAGGACCCTCCGCATTAGCAGTTTAATACACTACACTTGACCGGTGTGTATTCAGTTTTTTCTCCAGCCTAATTACCGTAGATAACATCGTACTCCATGTAACAACTTTCACGAAATTTGGGATGACTGCACAACAACAAATTTTTTTGTATACGGCCTTTGAAGGTGTTGCAGACTGCAGTGAACTTCAGCGCTTCGGATAAGTTCGGACAATCGCGGTAAAAGTAACTATCCCCTACCACCCAACCGTGCGCGTGATCCACAACCCACACAACTCCTATATCAAATTTGCTCGTACAAGTTCGAACACACATTTATAGTGTATAAACTAAGGTGTACGAAGTAATCCAGCCTACGTTGAGTTTTGGCCCCTCCAGAACAAAGTGCCGACTCATGGTAGGGGATAGTGTGCATAGGCCACGCAGGTCTAAATACTATACGAGCGGTCTGTTAGAATCGGAGTGTAACAGAAATGCCGGAGGCGCCTCCTGCTCCCAAGTAAGCTACGTTTGCACTGGAATCCGAGCCTCTCACTGAGATGACAACACTGGCAAGCACTTATCCCACCACTTTGCTAGCAGCAGGCTCCAATGCTCGTGGGCAGCTGGGCACCGGCTCCATCGATGACGCTCACACGCTCACACCTTGCGTGTTCAAAGGCCACGGTCCCCACTTCACCCCAGCGAACTGGAGACACCAACGACTCTTGTTACACTCTATGACGGATTTCAACGTTCTCTCTTCAATGATGCTGCCGACAGGGTTACCCGTATATTCCCGACGTCCGCCTTCGTCATATATTCCCAGATATACGTCTTTTGCTTTCCACCCTCTAGAAATGATGTACGCCGTTGGTGAGCCCGACGGAACTGGTGCGTATTTGCAATTACTACCTTTGAAACAATACTGACGAGCCGCGTGTTGATAGTCAAACTTATGGGTTCCAAACTCTCCTAACTTATCCTTGATGCCTACGTACATGTACGAGGAAGCGATACCTTGAGAGATGATGCCCATTAATCTAGTGTACATAATTTCATTGCGCATATGTAACTATAGTCTGTATCGTACTGCGTAGTGATGCGACAGTAATCTCCTCGAAGCCAAGGCAATAGTAGATACAATAGGGTCGCTCAAAGTTGGCGCCTACGCCTACAGCTAAATTTTTGGTAGTCGGCGGCGGCGCAGGTGCCAACTTTAAGTGACCTGTTCGCCTATTCGTGGCAAGCAAACTCTACACTGGAATTTGAGCTGCACACTGAGATTTCAAGGCGATGACAACACCCTCACGTCCTTATCCTACCACTTTGTTAGCAGCAGGCTCCAACGCTCGCGGGCAGCTAGGGACCGGCTCCACTGATGACGCCCACTCATTCACACCTTGCGTGTTCGAAGATCACGGTCCCCAGTTACCGACCAACACCGCCAGAATCTTAGGCCTTGCGAGCGGTTCAAGCCATACTGTTATCCTTCTCCAGTCTAAGGACGGAGATGTCCAATTGTGGGGTGCAGGTGATGGGAGCAAAGGACAGCTAGGACCAGACCGTAACGCGCCAATGGAAGCATCAAAGGATGAGCCCTTCGTATTCAGGCCGCTTTCAATGCCGTTTGGTGAGCTGTTTCAGCAGAGGAGATTGCCGTACACTTGTCGTCTCGTAGCCGCTGCATGGGAGACAACATATCTCGTATTATCGTGCCCCGGGAGACCAGACGTACTCATATCCATGGGCAGCCACGATTTCGGTGCGCTAGGTGGTGGAGAGAACTTGAATGCCGCAAATAAGGCGAGGATCGTCAATCTAGCCTCTGCACTAGACGAAAAAGCAGGCGCAAAGCCTCCTAATAGTATTCTCACCATCGAATCCCTCCAGGCGGGACCGCGACACGTTGTGGTAGAGCTACAGACTCGCACCGTCGACGGTGCGACCTTGTCTTCAGTCCTCGTTGGGTGGGGATCTTCACGACAAGGTCAATTGGGCCAGAAAACGAAGGCTGCGGTCATCAGCCGTCCAGCACTGATACCCATAGACGTAGCGAGCGATCCTATGCGTTGCTGTGCGCTGGGGAACGAACACACTGTTGTCTTACACGAATCTAACCGCATATCAGTGCTTGGTTCTAACAGAAAGGACCAGCTCGATGGCCTCTCATTGCTGCAGATGCCCATTGAGAGAATCGGGTGCACATGGAACGGGACATACGTCCATACCCGAGAACGTATGCAAGACCTTCTACTTGCGACGGGGAGCAATGCGAAAGGACAACTTGGCAGAACTAACTCTGCGGTATCTAACTCAAACACAATTGGCATTGTGAAGCTACCCATCGAGCCCACAACCCATATTATCAAGCTGGCATGCGGCAGCGAGCATGTGCTCGTGTTGACCTCGCCATCAAGGGACATGGGGAAGGGTATATCTAATAGTGTTTGGGGTTGGGGGTGGAACGAGCACGGAAACCTTGGACTTGGAATGCTGGAAGATGTCACCCTTCCTGCGCAAATCTGGCCCAGGGACGGTGCGAGGCCCTATAGGGAATGTGGTTGATGTGTGGGCAGCTTGTGGTACCTAGCTGGCTGGCTCTGCCATCACAATGACTAGGCATGCTTGAACCGTCGACGATTACTGCAGCCCAGAGTTGTGTGTTATGATCATTTCGGTGTCCTTTAGGAGGTACGATGATGTGCCAGTTTCTGAAAGTGCCCCATTAACGAAGGTTTGGCTCGCAGATTTGCCGCCTGGCGCATTACATGCTTACTGGGCAGGTGGGGAGCTTCTCTTCTGTGACGATACCCGTCCACAATTCGATTTCTACCAACTCGAATGATCGAATGATCCCTTACAGCAGATGAGCGGAGTTGCTATCACTCCAGCCCTCCGCGAGCACCTAACCCATGTGTTGGTTGATCAAGTCTTGACGTGAATTCGATCCTCAGCTCGGAGAGATTCGAGAAGGCTGGTCACACACGTTGCTGGGATAGGATGTATGCAATGGAGGATACGAGAGAACTTCCTTCCCGCATATATGCGTGTCAATGGTTAATTTTGGGTATGCACGCAGTCACCAACACGGCTGTGACACATCAAGAGAGTTACGAAGAGCACCCCACCGATTCACCGTGATTATTTCAATTCGCGTCGTCCAGCAGATCCATGTCGATGTAAATTTGTCGAACGGTCGTTCCCTTGAGGGATGCAAGCTAGAGAGAGTTCGTGTTTGGAGACCATATCTGACCTCGTTAAGTCACCGACGTACCCTGCCAACCAGAATCTTCGGTACATAGCAGTGCTGATAAGCTAGCAAGTCCAAAAAAAAATGGAGACCTCCCGCACCTGAGCCGCATCCTTTGCTTCATTGTAACGATGGAGCAGTTTAATGTGGTTCGATACAATGGTTTCCGCCTTTTCGTCCTCTCTACATGAAAGAGGATCAGGATAGGGGCTTGTTTCGGAACGTTTGCTTCGTACCCTAGCCGTGCCTGCAGAGCATTTGTTTCTGCTTGGAGCTGCTCGACATATTCACGCTGCTTCTGAAGTACGAGGAATATTGCCTTTAGTTGTCGTCCGGTTTTGAGTTACCCTACCTTGGCGGAGGTGGCTGCATGCATGATGTTGCGTTGGGTTTTACACTTGGAAAAGTCTTTGGGGTGATGAGAAGTTTGGTCGCAAGCAACTTAGCGTAGATGCATCCGCGACACACAGTCATTCAAAATATACTACCCAACACGTCCTGCAACTGAGTATTTCTCGCATCGTCATCCACCCTGTGTCGCTTCCTTCGCTTCTCCCGACTGTCATCATCGACTGGCGGTCGTTTTTTTCTTTTCTCTTTTAGTTGAAGAGGTTCCAAACCCTTTCCCTTCCGCTTCTCGTTCCGCTTATCCACTATCCGCGCCAACTCGACATTTCTGAGATACTCGTTCTGTTCTGATCTTGACTGTGTAATTTCGACTCGCAGTTTAGCGGTTCTCGCAGCTGCTTCGTGAGCTATAACGCCGCAACATCAGTGCCCGGTGATGAGTAAGGAGTATTTTGTTACCGACCTATTTGCTCGGTTAGCATATTCCACTTGAATTTCGGGAGATATGTCATCGTCCAGACATCATCTCTCCATCGCGTGCCCTTCTTCCCTCCGATAGGCTGAGCATTGAGCATGGTAGCTACCGTCCGTGCTACCTTCTTATCCTTGAACTCTACCCAACCCTCTGTAAAATGGGGTTTTTTGTCGGTGGTATATTTTCGTCGAAGATACGTCGTCTTAGGGTCTGCATTAAGAATGATGAAGACGAGTTGACCACGACGCAAACGAGAGAGATACTGACCTTCCTTCTGCAAATATACCCTTCCTACCTCCCCATAGTGCGTCATCAGATGCCGCACCTTCTCTGGGCGCATTCCTGGGAGTATTCGAGATATATAGACTACACCCGTCCGTGCAATCTCTGCATTGAAGGCCGCGAGGCCTTCGGGTGTCAAAGGCTTGACCACTTTTGAGGATGGCCCTGCAAATCCCTCGTGGTCCATGCCTTCGTCTAGGTCATCATCATTCGTTTCATCCTGGTCGATACTGTCATTTGCATCGCCTGTACCCTCACTTTCCGAGCTAGGGAGCTCGACGCTGTTGTCAGCGAACCCGTCCTGAGGCAATGGCAATTCTTTTGACGACGATGCTGCTGGGCTCTGCACAGATCGAGGGGTTTTTGCCGATTTTGTTGACCGTACCATGGCGGGGACGCTTAGGCCACTATTTCGGGCCGATTCTTCGCTGTTGCATTACATAAGTACATGAGGTGGACACCTTCGGAGTACTGAACATTGGTATTGAAATATTGAACATCCAAATGCACGATGAAACACGATACAATAATGCATGCATAATGGGAAACATCTACGATAGTTCAACATGTACGGGGAATCAGGAAGGAAGCGAAATATTCATCCACATCTTCTAATGCAGTAGATGGGGCTATCATCCCGACAAATCCATCTGGCCGGACAATCACAAACGTCACCTCTTGTGGATTGATGCTAAATCTTTCGTAGGCATCACCCCCTTGAGTTCTAGCAACATCAATGTCATCCAACAAGACCCTGCAAGGGGTTGAGATGTAAATAGTTTGTTCACTGACGTACGGGCGACGGCGAGAATAAAACTTACTTAGACCAATGAGGTCGAAAAATCTGAGGGACGTGAAGGTAGTTGAAAACGAATTTATCTCCCTGCGCGATGGATATGATGTCGAATATGTGGGAGAATTGACCGTCTATGGAATATTTTCTCAAGAAACTCGTAGGCGCGTCTAAATCATTCGCGAGTCCGTTGACTTTCACGAGCCGGGACCCATCCAGAGGACCGAGGAAGACAAGAATCTTGAAGCGGGTATCAGCAGGTAACAAATCGTGAACTTCCACCGGTCTCGCGTCTGCTCCTTGGATGAAAATTTGAGGGGGCATGCGTTCTCCGATGACGAGATTCTTTGCAGATGTCTGATGTTTGGTGTTTACGATCGCAGAAAGATAATAGTGGACACCTATACCACTTATGAAGCCGCCATGAATCTGGAGCGCCCTTGGATACAAGACGTCATCTATGGCTGCTGCAGGTGACCGCATCAATGCACGCACCTCGAAAATTCTTCGTGCGTTATGCCTTCTTGATTCTCCAAGGTTCTCGGCTTACCTGAAAACAATGCTGCATATCGTTTGTCGAAATCGATCAAATCTTGTGCATAGTTTCTGCGTTCCGTCTCATACTGTTCGAGACTGACGGTAAGAAAAAACAATCCTGGTTTGATAGCCGAAGTGCTTACAGTTTTCAAGATCGACGGATGTGCCCATCCTCTAAGGACGTGGACAATTTTCCAAGCTGTACACAATAATTAGAGCCGACTCTGTTAGACGCATGGATAGCCTACCAAGATTATGCGCGTCGCTTATACTCGCATTCATTCCCTGACCTGCAAATCATTGAGTAACTGGATACAGTTGGCTTCAATTATTTGAACGAACCAGCTTTAGGTGAATGCGTATGGCAGGCATCACCGACAATGAACACGCGGTCCTTGTCTGAATATTTAGATGCTACACGCTGGCCAACTACGAAGAATAACATGAGGTGATGCACAGAACTAACCTCAGGAACCTACTGATATATATCGACCACCATTCTATCTCTGACGACAAAGACAGGTAGTAAGGATGCAATGATTTCCTGGCCACCTTCGCCAGACACAGTCAACACTAGCTTGCAACGCACCGCAAACACTCACCTCAATAAGTTTTTCCGGACTCATTTGACTTTTATCGACTCTCCTAGTACTGGGATCCACAACGTCTTCTGACAATTGGACGTACAACCGCACTTTATCGTCTTCCCGTGGAATAATCAAGCACGCCCCGTTTTCGGAGTGTATGGCTGCTTTATTGCGAATGTCGGGGAAATTGGTATCCGGAACTATGTCGACGACACCCCAGGTATAATCTTGATGATTCTTGTCAGATCATTAAAAACAGAATGAATCTGAAACCCTTGCCTGTCTGCTCTCCGACCATATCGATGCCGAGAGTCTGGCGGACCCACGAATGTGCCCCTTGGTAATAATCTTACATTTAGGACGCGGAGACTCAGGAACATTGCGTACCGTCGGCACCGATGACGTACTTGGCATGGACGACTTCTGTCTTCCCTCCATCGGTAGGCGCGTTCAAATGTTCGAGTGTTACCTACAGGAAGGTTACGTTAAGAAGATTGAGTACCTACGCAAACTGACCTTCACCGGGTATGACGATGGACTATGAGGCTGTCCTTGCGAGATCTCCATAGCATATGGCCTCGTAGGGCGGTCCACGATCAAGTTATTCTGACTCATGAAATCAAGGAATATAGCTTCTATAGCTCCTTGGTGAAGGCCCACCTAGACCACAGGAAGTCAGCATAACCAGCAGTCCCAAACGTCAAACAACATACCACAAAGGGGAAGCGCGCGGTTGGTGCAATCACGCCTGGAGCGCGACCAGTAAGCTTTGCAAGAGGACGCACGAATTTTAGCTTGTGTGTTGAAGAAAGCCGTGTTCTCACCTCGATTTCGCCGGCGTCATTGGGATTGTAAAATGCCTTAAGTGCGAGAGTGAGCCCCGGTCGTGCAATGAGTTGGAGGGTGACTTAATCGTAACGTACATACATGTATAGTTGATTCCCTTCGCGTAACATGCGTTCGGCGAGGCCATAGCTCTACAACATTTTAAGGGGAACGAAAGAGTAAATTTTGGGTAAACCTTACTTGCAAAACTTCGACTGTTCTTGCGTGAACGCCGTCAGCGTGGCCGACAGAAATCTTGGATGCCCTGGGTGCCCTAATCTCTATAAATCTGAATGCGGCACTTAAATTTTACAGTTACCTTTGGTCAATAATCCTAACGTTAATACCGCCTGCAGCCGCAAAGGCAGTAGCACTTGTGAGTCCCGCAGGCCCCGCTCCAATGATTAGAACGTCGATATAACTTTCGGGAGCGTTAGGGGACATGATAGCGGCAGAGAGGACGGTGGAACCATGGTCCCGATTTGAAACTTGTTTAAGTACGGCCGGTGAACCACCATCCAATATCGTTCAAAAGGGCTCCGGCTGCTTGATTTGATGGTTCGGAGAAGTCATATAAGCTAGCATGCAGACTGGCAAGTACAACCGGCACAAGAGCCATCCGACCAGCAAATGAGAAAGGCAGCCGATTCCACAACCGCGCGCGAGTGCCTACCTTGAAACTGATCACCATGTGGTACGAGCAAGTGGGTCTTAGCACACTCCACGCATTCATCCTAAGCTATTAGGAAGAACAGAGTTTGAATTTGGCTCCATTTGCCGAGTAGACTCACGCTCTCGGAGTTGTTGTGGATGTCAACATCATATGCCGCGCATCGGCTGAGAGGCCTCGGCTCTTCCAGCTTTAGCCGCTTGCCAAGTCGATTCGATTCCGCACCATCCACAATTAATCACTATCGCTATGGAAGGCTTCGATCTCGAGCAACTTGTGCACCTCGAACAGACGTTTGCTAGGCCATTCTTGTTACCAGCAAAGCAAGCTCTCTGAGAGCCTTTTTTTGTCTCACAGATTTTATGACGCTGGATATACCGACGGATTCGCTCATGGACGCATTCACGGCCTGATCGAAGGGCGAGCACTGGGTAGAGAGAAAGGCTTTGAGATCTGGGAAGAAATTGGCTTTTACGAAGGGTTTGCATTGGCGTGGCGAGCTATATATGTCCGACAGCCGGACACTGATCAGTTGCGTGTGCCCTGCGCCATCGTGTTGCCTGCCCGCCATATTGCCCATTGCTGACCCATCATCAGGCGCACCGTACACCACATCAAACATTTACTCGAACTCATCCAGCAATTTCCGCGGGTCAATCCGTCGGACCCGCAGTCCCACAGCATGGCTGAAGAGGTCGACATGGAAAAACTGCAACGTTTGATTAGGTCGCGGTATAAGGCTTTATGCGCGTGCCTGGGGGTTCGGCCTACGTTGAGGGCAAATTTATCCTCCGGTGATAATACCGGTGAAGGAGACGGTCCGGACGTACGCCAAAACCCGATCCGTCAAGTCTGGGCATTGGAGGAGGACGCCAAACGCCCGACGATGCACGGACTTAGCTTTTGACATGGTGATCCATCCGTGCTACTAGAACGGAGGTTGTGCCCTCCGTGTCATTCCCTATGGATGGGACGGGCTTTACCACGTAAGGAACTCCCTCAGTTTCGAGTCCCATCTTCGATATAATCGTTAGGTACTGTATCTGGCTGAACCGTCGGTTGAATCGATAATTGGCGGTCAGTCAACACAGCACTCATTTTTACTACCATGGCTAAGAGGTCCCTGCCGGTGAATCAATTGTTGCATCAGTCCCGCCCCCTCCATGGACTCAGCAGTATAATACAATATCAAACACGATGATACATGGGTTAGAATCAGAAACAAGTTTGAGTACAGTGCAAAGAAAGCATGGGCCATAGAACATAGTAGAACATAGATAAGGCGTTGAACTCCTTAATTCCCCGCAGGTTTAATTTGCGCAACACGCGGTTCCGTTCGCCGCGTTCGTATGTTGTCCATTGGTGTTGACAATATCGAATGCGGGTCGACTTTGACGGTCTTTGGTGCCAGGGACGTCCATACTAGGGTTGTTGGTGAAGAAACTGGAAGGCTTGAAGAGGACGCTAAGGTGTTCCACAGGCATGCTGGAGGACAAAGCTACAGCTCGTGACAAAGAAATCAAGAGCCGGACTCACACCGGCCAGTCTTCCGGGCGGGGAATATGGGTCGTTCCTACGGTACACGTGGAAAGACTCCAGGCTGTCAAACAAAGGGGGGAAAGTAAAGCAACTCACCGAGCGTAAGGAAGAGAACGATGTCCTCGTTCTCAATGCTGCCGTTACCCTCATTCACCCACTTTCCGACGGAATCTTTGGGCCCTTCTCGAGTCTGTGGGACGTATTTGCCGCTAGGGAACAACCTTGAGCCTTCTTCGTCTCTCACGACCCAGAGCTGCTTGTGCGCAAAGGTAGCCCGACGTGCAATCCAGGAATCAGGTTTTGCCAAGAGAGGGAGCACAGTACCCTTCGTCATAATTGCATACGACACTGGCTTGCCCGATGCGTAGTGGGTCTTGTTCAGGTTCGCGATCCGCCAACGACGCTCGTTCGCCCAGTTGAAATCCCGTGCGCCGTCTTCAACTTGAGACTTGAGAACGCGATCCTTGACGACGAAGCCATTGCCAGCGAAATTCTCATTCGTGCCCGTCGGCGCATCAAGACCAACAATGTCCGACTCAATGACAGAGTTCTGCAAACCGTCCAGCATAGGGTCGACACGAAGGGAGAAAATGTGTTGATGATAATGAGCGTTGATACCGGGGGCGACAGTGATCCCATAGGGAGTAGGCTCATCAGAGGCTGTGACGTAAACTTGCAAAATACCGGTCAGACGGATCTCAACCTCAACATTACCGTCCTGGTAGAAGTAGTAATTCCAGATATATTCTATACGTAAGGTCTTCAGTGTCTGGTATGAAACAAGGCGGAAATTGGTAGTATTCTCACCATAGTTGGCGACAGTGCAAACCATGCTGACAACAAGTCGCCGGCTCCTCACGGTCCGAGAGCGACCACCGGGACGGAAGTCAGAGTGCTTCCATAACACACCGGCATCTTCTTCATGAATGCAAATGGCATTCTTGATAACGAGGGCGGCACCAGAGTGGGTAACATAAGTGCCAGACTGGTATGCGGAACTACGGTCAGAACGCATCTTCCACGGTGCAGCATGCGGCGCACCAAGTAATGAATTTTGCCCAGGCAATCGCAACCGAGGGAGAGTTCATTAGCCACTGTGCCCATACCATATTCACCTCTGCGGCAAGCATTAAACGGGGCATATTATATTGGCAACAATATTTACTCACGAATCGAATGCAAATTTCCTTGGGTGGGGGTATTCGGGGGCACCATAAGGGACAACCATCTCTGCAATCGAAAGACGGTAGAAGATCGGACGAATTTCTCCATCGTCGTTGTATGTGATGGTAGACAGTACAATACCCTCGCGATGGCTGAAAGCTTTTTTTTGGGGGGAGGCATGATAAGGTGGTCAAATTAACGAGAAATGGAGTGGGTTATTCACCTATATGCATCTTCCATTTCTGCCACTCCAGTACATGACCTTTCATCTTGAAAGACACGCCTTCAGGCTGAACAACATGTAATGGCTTCAGGTCATCACGTTCTTTGTAATTTGGATCTGCCTTCTCCATGAGGTCGGGCAGGAAGTCATGAGGTGCCAGCGGAGGCGGAATACGTGCGCGGTTTGCTACCGGAAATGAATCGTCCGAAAGGGGCAGTGGTTGCGTCGTAGACACAGAGAGCTCAACATCCCCATCACTCTTTTTCCTCCACGACGGCGGGAAATCGATCTGGATGACCTTTCCTGCAAGTGAATCAATCACTGGGATGAAATCCTATGGTGACATGAAGAGTCAAGTGTTGCAAGGCACGTTGAAAGCGGACAAAATCACCAATGGATGGGCATAAAGGTTGTCGTGTTGCGAAAAACGAGCAAACAAAAGAGCTTGTTGGAGCCGCAGGTTCTTCGGGAATCGGTCGTCCCAGCCAATGGCCCATCCATCGGCAAAGATTTGATGAGGTTCAACACCTACGTCGGCATGTCAGACCCAGCGAGGTGTGGCATACGATCGACTTACCAACTTGCTTTGCCAGAGCTTGCACTTTGGGATCATTCCGTACAACAACCTCACAGTGGATAAGTTCTTCTACAGTTATTTGGGGTTGCGCGCCCTCCGGAAGAAGCTGGAGGGATTCCACTTTCCATTCCCCATCGTCAAATGCCACGACTGCATTGTAAGCAACTCTGTGGCGCAGTTTTCTGTTATATAAAGTTTTCGAACTACTAAAGTAACACATACCCGTTCACAACGTCAAAGAACTAACGCAGATATGAGTGGTCGTCCGACTTGAGGGTTAGTGGTATTGTACTTACGTCTGATTCTGCCTTCCTGACGATCTTACTAGGGGTTTCGGGCTTTCCGCCAGGAGTAATTGGAATGCCCAAGGCAGCGAGGACGGCCCTCTTAGGGGGAGGCAAAAGAGCGCAGTTGTTGAAGTCCACCGCTTTGATGTCTGTGTGTTCGGCCGTGTACCGCCTAATAGTCAAGGTAACAGCATTAATCTAATTTCCGATAAGCCGTCAGCAAACTAATTGGCACTTAGACTATGCACATGCCTCGTCTGGTGTGAGTGGGTCAAGGGGGTGTTCCATTTCAGCAAGTTTGTTTCCAGTGACACTCGATCCAGTCGAAAGAAGATGCATGGTTGACTAGAGAAGCGCCAGGATTGAAAGTAACCTTGGGGCTGACCATTCGACTAATGTCCCAGGCTTTATACATAGGAGGCCGGTCGGGCTTAGCAGCTCTGCACTCGTGATCAGGGACGCTAGCTAAGATAAGGATAAGGTCTTAGGACCGATTACTAAGCCTAACTTCGCCGCTTGGTTCCTTTCCTCCGTCACATAGGGTCGGTTCTACTACATATATCCATCGTCCATTCCGTCTGGTTTTCTTAACTTCGAACTGACCCTGACTATGCCATGGAGCCATGGCTTACTTCCTGGCACTCGGGGTGCAGTAATTGCCCTACGGGTCATTTTAGATGACGCTGACTGCTATTACTACTCGTTGTCCAAGCATGCAGAATCATTGTGTAGATCTCAGGAGGTACCCTCTGCGCGGCATGTACGGCGATAGTAACACGTTATTTTGTGTGAATCAATCAACCCACAAAACTCTGAGGACCATCGCTGGGAAAACCACGAGACGGGAAACCACGATTCTATGATCACTACTGGCGGAAGGACATGTGTGATAGCTTCCGTTGTTCATGGTGGGGAAATAGACTACTGGGTTGTGGGGTATACTGTCATATGAATGACGAAGATAGTCAAGACTTTTGTGAGGCAATTCTTCATCGTATCCAACTATGGTTTATGTACATATCTTATCAAGCAGGGACGGCCGCCGTTGATGGCATGATGTGTGGACGCGTGCGTCAAAACGTTCGGACCATGCTTGCAGTCGTAGGTAATAGTCTCCTCTAGGCAGACTAAAAACTCGACAAGAAGGCAATTGTCCCCGAAGTAGATAATGTTCCGCATTTTGTGAACTTATCTATGAACCTTGATATATGATATGCCGTAGTTGTGAGATACATTCAGATTTCACGTCAAGCCCGCGGCCGCCTCGACTGTACGCAGTCACTGCCATGGCAGTAAGACACCACAAATCAGGTCAAGTAGAGGTCACCTGACTCCAATTGGTGCTCCTGCAGCCGTCATGAAGAGCACCGGAAGACTTGGCGGAGGTAATGCGACACGCTGTCGGGGCGCTAAGATTAGTATGGGACTAAGAGAGCTACAGAAGTGCAACCGGCGCAACTTGGGACAAGAGTTCGAACACCTTGGCTCCAAGGACCGCCCTTGTCACGCAGGAATTACGTATCTTCAGCCATGTCTACGACAATACTATGAAGCTGACCGTTCACACCACTGAGCTGCTAACGTCGTGATGGACTGGCTGGCCCACTGCGAAGCGTCATGGGGGAGCGTCGCGCTGATCATCAACATGAGCGCTAATACTGCATGCAATTCACATGTGAATTTACTTCCCGATGTGGTGTCCTCTACAACCAGCCGCAAAAATGAAAATGATGCGCTTATGGCTGGAGGTTCAGAATATTGCCCATCCCAGTTTCCGTCTTGTAACACAACACACGCCAATTTGCACTTGTTCAGTTATGGAAACGACAAGAACCGAGATGACCAATAGGCAGAGCGAAAACTCTGACTGCTCGCCCTGTTCGGCAATCCCAAATGGACGGGAAGAACATCTCGCGCAAACGAAGGGCTTGTGCGACAACAGTTCACCGCAACCTGTCGCCCCACCCTCGACTCAGAAGAAGAAGAAGAAAAAGAAATCCAAGAAGGCTGCCACCAAGAACGGCTCAAGTTCTGCTACCGGACAACCGCAGGTTGATAACCTGACCGAAGCTGAACGTCCCCCGGTCCTCTGCATCAGCAGGAACAAACACTGGAAATACATCAGCTCTTACCATGTGAGTTCAACACACACATCATCTTTTTTTCGCTTGCAAGCTGAATCATCGATGCTTTCCCCCGCCGATTTCCCACATCAGGGACCTTGGCTACAACTCCCACTCGAGTTGCTGGAATCCCTACTCGTCTTGAATCTGGACCCTGGCACTATGTCTCCTCCAGAAGGTCAGCCTCTGCCTTTACCGCCAGTGCAGAACGGAAATGCTCCGAAACGAGCCTCTGGCTTCCGCCCCCCTCCTCGCTCGGGTGAGTTTGACAGAGGATTCCGGTCCCTCTCGGATTATACACCGCCTGACTCGCCGGGGGGTACATTCCCCTCGTTGCCCTCCGTACACACGCTGCATCCCTCACCACCCACATTCCCAGTGTCTATACCAGGAAGGCCTACGCCTCCACCTATTGATCCAGGTGTATTTCGTAACGTAGCAGCAATCAGGCGACTCATCGACGAGGCAGCTGAACTATCCGTGCGTGCATCTTCTGGGCTTTCTGCGGCAGCTCTGGGCTCCATGCGAAATGGAGGGGGAAGCGCGTCTTGGGCTACTCATGCCCTCGGTCTTGACGGTACAGGTAACGTCGGCGGTGGAAGAAATGTTGCCATGAGCGCGATGCGTGTACACAGACTGCGGGCACTCGCCGTGCAAAAGCTTGCAGCGGCTTACAAAGCTGACGAGATTGCCAGCAGCGTGATGGTCATGCAAGGCGGCAGTGTGTTCGACGATATTGCTGAAAGAGTTCTAAAACATGGTACGCGTGGACCGTTGTTGTGCATTTTGTGTTGGAGCAAACTTGCACCGTAGATCCTAACGATCCCGATGCGCGATATGTCCACTTCTTTCATGAAAAGATACCCTCTCGGTACGTCTAAAGTAATAAGAATACACCTTCTAACTGTTAAATGTAGTGCGAACAGGCAGCTCACAGAATCAACTACTACCCAGGTTTTGGATGAACTCATCGCTGCCTACCCTCAACGATTGGAATATTTCAGGACCCGTGGCATTGTCCACTGTTTTCGTGACGAGTACATGCTCGCTGCCAAGGACTTCACGCATGCCCTCAAGGAAGCCCGCTCCGTGCGCAAGGGCCGGACTGCTCACCGGACCGTTACCTCGCCGACAGAACCTCGCGGAAGGAGTGCCAAGCAAAAGAAATGCTCAAATAAAAGTCACGGACGGGCACCGCCAAATGGGACGAGCGCATCGGCAGACGCCTCTAATATTGATGGCGGAGAGCCGCTTCTACATGCATCGGTTTTACCTGATGCACCCGACCCCATCGAGCCGCAGTTGTTGTTCTTGAGGGGCGCAGCTTATTTACAACAGGCTGTTTATCTTATCGAGGCGGCTATTCTCGGGCTCGAGGGCATTGCAAAGACGACTTCAGCCGTCGATGGTGCCGAGCTTCGACTTTGCTACCTGGCCAACGGCCGGTACGGAGGGGTTGAAGTTGGAAATCCCGACGGACCACTGGGAAAAAGCGACGGTCCAAAAGCGCGTGCGTACAGACAGGTTCTCGCGGACGACGTCGCCCGTAACGAAATCGATGGCTACTTACGCAAGTGCATCCGCGACCATGAACGTTTCCTCTCCCACTTTGATACCATTGAGGGGCCATCTCCTGTTCCAACCACAGATTCGCCAGCTGAATTGGCACGCAGGGTGGAGTTGGCATATCTGCTAACGGAAATTGTACGGCCTGGAAATCACAGTGCTGCAAGTCGTCCTTCTATAGCAGATTCCACCCTTCCTCTCGCTTTCACCACATACCACCCTCTGATAGTAGAGTCTCATTTCAACATTCTCATTTGCCAAATGATGCTTGGAGAACTTGCCACCCTTGTGACGACCTTCGCAAGAACTGCGGTTATCGTAGATGGACTTGAGGGATACCCTGTTTTCCTCCCTCCCAGATCCATGGCTCAAGCCGAGTTTATCGAAGCCCTCGAGCGTCTTGCAGCCGGATGGAAGGTTGGCGTTCTGCCACACTCGGCTATGCAAGCAGACTCCCTGCGCAGCCGGGCAGAAATCGAGGCACCCCCGCGATCGCCATCCACGTGCCTAATTGAAGAGGCGTCATTTTATCCTGAAGATAGTGACCCCTCTTTTCCAATCGCATCGTCGTCGACCCAAGGGATCGCAACCCCGTCACCGCGCTCCCCTGAGCGTGACACGCCAACACCATGTTCGTCTAGTGGGAGTCGCCGTATCGATCTCGTCGAGGCGCTCGACTGTGTGCGCATGTTGCTTGCGCCTGTTGCTAGAAGGCAGAAGGAACGTGCTAGCAAAGCAGCAGCAGACAAAGCGTCGAACGGCAACAAGAAACCCCTTAATATCAATATCCCATTACACGGTCCGCGGGTGGAGATTATCCTTGCTTGGTTCGCAGCGGTGCACTTAGTTGAATTGGAAAGCGTTGCTTGAATGATTCCTCTGTCCGCAGCTGTAGCATGTTGGGATCAATATGAATACGAGAGTTACGTGTGTTTCGGTTTATTTCTATGGAAATGTTATTAGGTGGGGAGTAATGTGCAAGGGGTCCAATTTAGCCCTGTATCGTGTGCGTTATGAGATTTAGTATGATCATCGAATCTCCATGAATGTTCGTGCTTTCCTCTCCGTGCGCAGTTAGATCCACTCTTCTGCGCCATGCACGCCACAAGTGCGTGCCCAGAACCTGATCTGAAGGCCAAAACGCGCATTCACTGTTCCTTGTCCAAAGATACCATATCCTCCCTGGCTTGCAATACGAATGGATCGAGATAAGCGAGGACTCGTGGGACTGCCATTGCGGCCGCCAGGAGAACAGGGATGAGGAAGCATACGGTCGGCAATTGCGAAGCTGGCAGGACACCCCAATACAGCGGTTCCAGGATGAGAATGAAGTGAACGTTGGGTTCGACCACCTGATCAGACAAGCGTGGATTAGGGCGACCTAACTGAATCTGGGGTGTGGGCACGCCAGTGTCTACGATCCGTATCCGTGCATACTTGGTCCGTGTGATGAGGAACGGAGGCCTCTCCCGAAATGAAGGGGCATTTTCGGCTAGGGTGATCTGCCGCTGGTGCTGACCGGCAAAGAAAGTCGAGACCGCCTCTGGCGAATAAAGTTCTATCAAGAAGTCCGCGGGAGTCTAGGGTGAGGAAAGACGAGTGACCACCATAGTCCACCAGCACCAGCACGAATGGCAAAAAAAAGTCTCATGAACTCCGTGTTTGGGAAATCCCTGGGCAAATGACAAGACTTACAGAAGCGGCCCATGAGAGACGAAGGGTGAAGGCACGATAGCTTCTCCAGATCGTGTCGTCTAGGTTTAATCTTACCCAGAGCTCATGAGGGCACGTCGAAGGGCTGGTTGGGGTGATTTCTTTGTCTGCCTCACACACCTCGCGCAAGGGCGTGCCTAAGGGTGCAGGTTGAATCGCCCATCGCCGTTCGTTATGGGAGGAATTAAGTGTTGCCCTAACCGTCCAAAGGGCGGCGAGATCCTTTACTTGTGCCGTAGACAGTCGTCGAGTGGCGACTCACCAATTTCCGACCTGAGGGAGTTCAACGGAACGCTGTAGGTCAGATATGAAGTTGATAATTTCCGTGTTGGCGGCTACTCCATTACAGAGAAATAGCGAGAAGATGCAAGACGCTGCAAAAAAGGGCGACCGTCCGAACATCATGGAAAATACGACAACTGCGGCAATCCCCAACTCATTTAGTTTGACATCGAAAACGCCCATATATTGCATGACCACGGACAAACCACGTAAGTATTTATCATATGTTACGATCTCCAGAACTATACTGATACACGTTGTAGACAGAGACTAGAAGTATACAGTAGGGGATTCCTTAGGTTTCTTTATTAACATGACGAGGGTATTCTCAACCTGCGCAAACGTTCGAGTCTGGGTTGAGTGGATGATGACAGAGCGTTACCTGCTTCAGTAATATCCGATGCGACCAATACCGGACAACATGTTGTCCAGCGTGTGCCTAACAACCTGGAACTTCATAATACCACACCTCTCAGTGCTGGCATAATGCACTGAGAGTGCGGAAGTGTATCCCGCAGGAGCTGAGAGGGCATTTATAGATCTTGTCCTGGTGACGGGGGCTCGCCAAGTGGCGATTAAGATCAAGCAACGCTGCGAAACGGGAGTGGCAAAGCACACATTCGTATGCTTGACCATTCCAAGACCTTTCAGATGCGATATAATCCACGGTGGTGTCATCACCACCGGTGAGAAGACGCGACGGATTGGTAATGACGTTGTTGCGGTCCATCTGACGTACGTATTGGTTCACCTTCTGACGGTTAACCCCGGACTGACAAGAACCGGATTCGAGATGAAGTATCAGAGCAGACTTGGACACGAAAGCCATGTCACATCCGTAGAAGGGACACTTCACGTCCTTCGGTTTGTGAATGCTGGAATTCAAATGCTATGGAACAAAAATCAAGCAACAGCTTCACCAGAACAAAGAAAACTTGCGGAGTTGAGATTATTCTCAGATCGGAAGATACGCCTGCACGAAACGCAGTAGCGATCCTGGTGACTCTGCCTGTTGTGCTCATGTAGTCCGTTTTCGTTCTTGAAGATCCTATTACACGTTTCGCAGTAGCCATGATGGTTGCGATAGTGGTCACTGAGATCAGACCAGCCAGAAAAATGCTCGTTGCAGTATTGGCAGTAATCGTGGTCAGGACTCTGCACCCAGTGTTCTTTGAGACCCCGCCAAGAAGAGAAGTCTATACCACAGTCATCGCAGAGGTAGTGACTCGCGGAGTCGCGAATGTGTTGACGGCAAGCATGGTCTGAGGAGAAATCACGATCGCAGCGATCGCAGTAGCTCATTTCTGAAGATCTGAGGACTGGTGACACGGTGGTCTACGTTGAAGGCGTGTAATACGGACGCGTCTCTGCTTTATACCCCCGGCCCTGAGTACTGAATTCTGGACTCCGACGCGCCAGTCACTCGTTTCACGTGAAATCGGTTCACGTAAGCACTGATTATCATGGTCCAGCGAACGATGTGGGGGCATTGCATCCATGTTGTTCAGGCACCTAATGTACACACATACAAGTTTGTGGGCAGGTATAGTTTCCGCTGCCACCATCCACGAAGCATTGGAGAAATGGAGGAAAGCAATAAAGGGACCACTCAAGAGGTCTACGCGCCGTAGATCCCTCTGCCGACTCCAACCAGCAGTTTTAAAGCCCGATCCTCCCTGGCATTGCACGATTCGCTTTCGATGTGCTGGAATAGAGCCCCAAACGTGCCAAATTGCTTTGTACAAGAACGATCGGGGCATCGATAAATTCCGTCTTCGTAATCGGGGCTTCTAAAACGATGCATCAGGTCACATAGATATTTGAAAGATGTCCATGACGCACTCCGTTACAAGGGGAGGACGGTTGCAGCGATAACGGGTGTCCGCTTCTCGGTGGGCTTTGGACCTCAAGTGCTATCAACGATGGAAAATCAACCAGTGACCGAGGAATGATAGCAGATGAGATACTCACATTTCTAAGGTCGTTCTCGGTTTGAAAATGGCGCCCACATTTCTTGCAGCAGTAGTGGCAACTTTTGTTATGATCATCGAGTCCACGTTGGCCCTTCAGTACCTTGTCGCACCAGCCGCAATAGGCATGACCGTTTGCCGTGCGATAATGATGGATGAGTTCATCTTCATCGTCAAAGTGGGTATCACAATCGGCGCAGTAATGATGGCAAGAGCTGCCTTTGTAATGTTGGATGAGGTCGCTCTCGTGCAAATAATCTTTATCACAATCCTCGCAGATGTTGTGCGAGCGGGAGTCGCGGATATGCTGCAAGTACGCCGACTGATGCGGGAAACCGCGTTCACAGCGTTCACAATCTACCATCTTGTCTCGAGTGGACAACCACTGTAACAGATGGCGCGGTAGTGATCGATGTCACTGTAATCCAGCAGCCAATCGATTACTCAGTGAGACGATGGTAGATTGAACGCAGATTCAGAAGTACTTCTGAGTACTTGACCGCTGTGATAAGTGTCACTGAAATCCAGTGACCAATCAATCATTACACACCGGGATGACGGTGGAAGGAGTACTTGCACTAATGCGGTGATGCTTGTGGTCTCAATATAGGAGTGTCCAGGGTCTAACACGCGTTGTGTCACGTGACCACGTGTACCTACACAAGCCAGTCGTAACTTCTAACACGTTCAACGATGTACTCGACGTCAGCGCAAAAAGCCAAGAGGCGCACCCACACGCGTCCAGAATTGACAGATGAACAAAAACAAGAGATTAAAGAGGCATTCGAACTCTTCGACACCGACAAGGATGGGTCGTTGGACTACCACGAGCTCAAGGTCGCGATGCGCGCTTTGGGCTTTGACATGAAGAAGGCGGAGGTCCTGAAGATACTTAGGGACCACGACAAGAGTGGGCATGGCCTCATAGACTTTGAGGATTTCGCCAAAATAAGTTGAGTCCTCGTTTCGTTCCAACTCGAGTACTAGCATGCCGCCTGGTGGCAGCTGCCTGCACGCACATAAATAGCAAGCACTCCACGCAGTGTTTCATTAGCCTGTGTCAGCGGACAGTTTTACGGAAGGCTCTTCTCACCCGAATCTGGTATAGAGAGTCGCTGCTGACCGTGCATTCCAGTGAGCGAGCGGATACTCGCCAGAGATCCGATGGATGAAATTCGTCGGGCTTTTCAATTATTCGACGACGATAACACAGGAAAGATCAGCCTACGGAATCTCAGAAGAGTGGCGAAGGAGATTGGTGACCGATTGGAAGACGACGAGCTGTAGGTGTCATCAATCTTCACTTTTTTGGGGTGGCAAGATCCAGCTAGGCGCAGCACTTTAACCCAATGCCCTGTTTCCGTCTACATTGCTGTGCGGTCTCGTCTTCCATTGCAGCGCCCCAATTTATTCACCGCTATTTCCCAAAATAAAAAGACTTGATATTTTCTGTGTTCCAAATTTGCTAACCTCCGGCTTCCATTTCCTAGGCAAGCAATGATAGACGAATTCGACCTCGACCAGGATGGCGAGATCAATGAACAGGAGTTCTTCGCCATAATGACCGATGATGCATAATACGCTGCTCGTTTCAAATCTCTGATTCCGTGTTACGATGGACCGCCGTTGGGCGAAATCGCAACTGTCACTGTCAGATTCCCCTGGAGCTATCCTTAATACGAATTCCTGTACCTCACAAGTCCTTTCTTATCACACTACGGTATGGGAGGGCACTTTTGGCCGCTCATAGACATCTTATTGTCTCCGCGCACAGTAGCTGTATTTCTCATTTGGATCCATTGTAATGTAATCATAATCGTACGGCGAGTACTCCGCCGGAATGATCTTTCTTTTTCTTGATTTTTCTCCCCAAGCAAAAAACCAGTGTCACTGTGGAAGAGTCCCAAATGAACGCGCATGCGAAATCACGTTCAAACGATCGATGTGACACATTGATGGCTCTGCCGTGCGTGGGCGACGGTTTCCATCGGACCATGCCACGTCTTTTGTGAAAGGGGGACCATTTCAAACCATCCACTCGCCTGCTACATGAAACACAGTTCCACGAAATTCTGGCCTTAGACAAAAATTGCCACCCATAAATTCCTGCAAGAACTTTTCTTAGTTTACAAACATAACGTACGTAGGCTACATACACCAACATGATGATAGAATATAATCATTGGTCCCAGCGAGGAAAAAGGGTCCATCTCCGTGGTTGTGTATGTGTATATGAACGATGCAGAATAATGATACAAATCCAAACCGTCCTCATCTGAACGGCAATAAGATAATACACGGCACGTCGTGAAAGGGCACGTAAGGCTCGTAGGCTTCTGGGCATCCACCAGAACGGCATACGCCAACAGGCGCACGGGGTAATAATGACGAGAAGGAGGGAGGAAATGGCGGAAGCGAAGTCATGGCGTTATGAACGTTGCGTTGACCAAAAACCGAGAGATCCCGATACAAAGTCCCATAAACCACAAAATGGAGTCAAATGCCACCATAGAGCATGAGCGTATGAGCGCGAAGGCTCATTGATGCGTGGGAAGAACAGACGTTGGTAGACGTGGGCATAACTAGGCGAGAAAACGGAAACTGAACGCTGGAGAATGCTGGGGATAGAACGGAACCGGAAACATAAGGCAAATTAATGGTCTGGATCGTGGAGAGTGACCGTCGACAGATGAGATTGACAGAGGAACATGTCGCATATTGAGAGAAGAGGAGAGAACGTGTTAATTCAACCAAAGAGGTCGTTCCTTGCCTTGTAAAGTCCGACTGCCGTCAGGGCGGTCGCGAGCTGGGAAACTCCTCGGACTAGGCTCGCAAACTACGAGGGGGCTTTAAACCTCGTCGGCCTTCATGTGATCAAGGAGCTTCGGGGAGTCTTTGTGTACTTTCGTATGTTGACCGAGATTATCATGACGACTGAATTCCTTGCCGCATCCAGGAAAAGGACATCTGTGCGCTGCGGCACCGGTGAGCACACTGCGCCCGAGTGGAATAAAGTCGTGACGTACGCTTCTCATGGGTGTGGATACTTCTGATATGTCTCTTGAGGTGCTCACCCCTCGCAAAACACTTCCCACACCCGCTGACGTCACAAAGATAGATGCGAGCGCTCAGTCCCGCATCTCGTTGACCCCGTGCACAGTTGCTGATGGTCTGGACAGTCGGAACCCGACGACCCCTCGACTTCTTCGTGAGATTTGGAATAGGGACGGGAATAGGGAGGGTGCGGGCGTTTTTCTTCGACTTCCCGGATGGCCCTGGACATAAGTCTGATGCAGATATGAGAGGAGATTTAGAGGCACGTTTCACAGAACCGTCGTCACCGTAAGGCTGGTATCGCGCCGAATTCCTGCCTGCCGAGGATCGAGCACGTAAGCCCCTCGTGTTCCTTGGCGTAGTACGTCGCCGTGGCACAAAATCACCGTCCTCATCGTCCTCATCCTGTTCATCCCCCAGATCCAACTTATAGTCGTCAGTACCACCATGAACAGAACAATCTTCGACACCTTCCGCATCTTCATCATCCTCGCTAGCCGTCCCATTGCTCGCCGCCGTCTCCCTGCTCGGATGACTGGTGCAACGCACAACCCCCTCAACCCTCGCGGTGTGAAAATGACCCGTACTACACCCATCATTCACATCCTCCTCGTGGAGGTTAAACGGCATTTCGTCCGGCTCTCCTTCGGCATCGTCGTCCATGTTCGGTAATCCTGTGAAGCCCGTCACCGGGGACACTTCGGCGGGCCGAACCGTCCGCTGCTCCTGCAAGCTCTGTATATTCACTCTCAGCGCCTGCCGCTCGTGTTGCTCGTGTTCCTGTTCGTGGCACGTACGCTCGCAGTTGCTGACGAGTGAACCTCCATAATACGCTGAGTGGCGAGGAATGGGGGCGGACAATATAGGCATGGCTGCGATCGCACTTTGCGCGACAGAGCTCTGCATATACGGCATCGATGGCAGTGCAATGGACTCGCTAGGCGGTGAGGCTACCGACCCTGCATAATATACGTTCGTTGTAGACATGTCAGGAATGGAATTATGCGTACCTGGTTCATAGGAAGCGCCAAGCACACCCATGGGATGACTCGAGCTGACTGTGTCCCCTCCTCGATCGTACAAGTCCGGAAAGCCCGACTCGGTTTCCCGTTTGACAGTGCGATGATGTTGAGTAGACATGTAGTCAGCAAGAGCTGTCGTGTGGGATTGCGGCACAGGTGCGGTGATGGAGTGTTGGGGCGATGGAGCTGTATGGGGATAAACAAGGTCCGTCTTCTCGAGATCTGGTGCAAACGGCTGCGCAGGAGAACACGCAGGACCTGTTGCAGATTGCAGGGAAGGGGGAGCCGCGAGAGGCGAAGAATAATTATTTTCACTTCGCGGGTTCTGCTGCCCTTGTGGAAATAGCGGCTGAAATCGTTTGGCCAGTGGGGACCACGAGTATTTCATGGCAACGGACATGTTCATGGGAAGCAATCCCGCGACAGGTTGCTTGTAGATATCAGGATTCTCGGCTGCATAGGTCGAAAGCGGATACGCGCAAGGGCCATTTCCGTACTGGTAGCCAGACGCAGTGATGTCGTCGGATGGTAAGTAAGAGCACCAATCGTCGTTCCCGCTGACGATCTGAGCGTGCCCGTCGTAGTCCATGTCGACAAGAGGCTCTGGAAGGGGGCTTTCATTCGCCGAGGAGGCAGCGGACAAGGGAGATTCAGCGGAAGACGCAGAGACTGCAGAGGAATAAGGGCTACAACCCAAATTTGCCTTCTGATATGGGCTAAATGACTTCACAGAGTGAGCAACTGGAAAAAATCGTCCCAAGTCTGATCCTGGCGTCGAGTCTGAACGAAACTGTGTAGATGTGGAGTAGGGTGAGCCAGTCATTCCTGCGGAGCCCAGAGACCGACTTGGGACGTTGTAGTGGTGACGCGAACCAGGTGGATGACAGGATGTGAGGGAGGAAGATAATGAAGAGTAGCGATTCAAGTCCGACATCCGTATTTTAAAGGAATTTAGGCACACACACACACAGCCAAGTCAAATCAGAGAGTGTAGGGATTGAGTTGCGGGCAACGTGCGCCTGTCCGGAGCGGTCTACGGAAATATGCAATTGATAAAATGTTGGAAATTTGGGGTCATACAAAGCAGAAACAGACGAAAAGCGTACTATTAGTAGTGGTCGCCTGGATGTGATCGGGGTGGCTGTGGCCTTAATAATAATTGCAATCGGGGGGTGAAACGACAAGGACGCGGCTCCCTGCGATAGTGGCCAACCCGGACAGAGATAAACTAGCAGTTTCGGAAATTGGAATTGTTTTTTGGCGGATGCTCAGTCGTATTCAAGGCACAGCTAAGCAAGCGCGAAGAACGGAGAGACCTGGAAAGCTTGGCGGGGGGGGAGGAGAACAATCGCTGGGGGGGATTAATTGCAGCAGGCGGCGGTGATAACGACCGCGGTTACGGGCCACCCTCGTCGAGGAGGAAAGCTTTGGGGAAATAGGTGTGCGGGCTGTTCGGATCTCAGCAGAAAGACCTGGCAGGAACGGCACCGCCGAACGAAACGAGGCCCAGGGGGGGAAGCTGGGAGAAGACGCAGAAGAGTCAGCAGCGAACTAGTGTAACGCTGAATCGTATTTCTTTCTTGCCTGTATATACTTGTTGATGCGGTGATTCTGTAACTTACACGGGCCCAGTTTCGGTGTAACTTTTCCTTAAAGGTTCTTCTCAGCGCCTGGTGCTCCCGATATGTTTCTGTGAAGCCCGGTTCTGCAGGGCAGCGTCGGTGATCCACACACGAGGTCCCCGACGTCGAAGGTTACCGTATCTGTAGGAATGGGTGGTCCGCGCCGCTATCATCCCATATTCAAGTACTCCAAAACTAAGGTTTGTCCGCTTTCTAGTATCGTGTCATGGTGCATTACGTGGGGATGTGTGTGCCCAAATCTAAAGTTTGCCTCATCTCCGATCGTTGGTTGATCTCGACGACTGAACGTTATCATTTCTTCGTAACTTAGCGGCAGACCAAGGCGCCCTGCTTACTGTTGGAGTCCACTGCGGGGTCCCTGCAGATCCAAAGTTCATCTCATCGCTCACTTCCGAACTATCACTCATGATCCAGTCCCGGTGGCCGTTGGTCCATCGATGCGCGGCGCGTTGTTATCCTTGTCCGCGTCTGATCGTTTTCAATGTCCTCATTAATCTGACCCCATGGCCCATCAGTCTGACTTTTTGTTCCCGCTCCTACATTCCACTACATTACCGTCTTACGAGACGTGTTGCTTGTGCATTCTACACAGGTCTTCCATCCTACGCATGTCAGCCCAACAACGTAAGCTAACCGAGTACCATATTCCAGTATATTCCCAGGTCTAGTCATTCATTTGCTGTTATTGGAAGGTTGCCACGGAACCCTTCCCTTCTGCCTATTTCGTCTTGGTCAAAATTGGCGGTCATGCTCGTCTCAATATTATCAACTTCTCGATATCACCCCGGATACTCTTCTGTCTCACCATCATCTTGTCTCTTACCGGACGGGGTAATCATATATGGGGAGTCTGGATCAATTTGTGCATATTCACCGTCACTTACTCTATTGTCTTCCTACTGGTCGCACATCACGGAATGAACTCATAATTGAAATCATTTTCAGCGTACACAGGGTCCCTCCACTTATTCTCTGCTTTGCCGAGTGCTACCGATCGTGAGCCCAATTTTAACTATTCTATTTTCTATTCAACAGCCCTTACACAGTCCGTGCCTATGAATGCTCCATGCCCGCATGCACATGATCATCGGCTCGTTGACCAGGGTATTTCGTCTAGCCGGGAGCGAGCTGCTGGACGTAAGTCTCCCCCCACAAGCACACACACCCCGATATGGACAATCTCATCCGTGGGACGAATCAATTGGACGAACGTCCTCATATCTATATGTGGCCGGGAAGTTGGTTGTTGCCCCCTTGACCAAGTCACCTCTAAACTTGTCAAACTTCGATGACAGAGGCTGACCCAGTCCGCACAAGCCCCACATCCTATGCACCACTAGTTGTGAATTGTCCTACATGGGTTTAAGAACTAAACTGAGTCATAGCATCAAGGCCTTTTGATGCCGCCCAGAAGGAACCTCGCCATGTTCGCGTTCATAGCGCTTATAAGTAGTCTACTGACGGCAATCATAGATGGAACGTGCGGCGAACGAAACCACCGACCGCATCGCGAACATTCATGAGCGAACACAAATTCTTTGCGGGCATGTGGCTACCACGGGTATGCCGTGCGTAGTGACTGATTGAAGGGTGAGATTCTCAACAACCCTGGCCCGTCCAACGAGAGTTTGGAGATAAGTAAGTTACCAGGCGAGTCCAGAACCAGAAAATTGACAGACATTATTCTCCCACGAGGGTTTACCATATACCCAGATGTATAGTCACGTCTTACAGGTCGTTCATTAAGCCATCCAGAAGTTGCCACTAGATTCCAGATCATAAGTAACGCGCAACATGCCTGGTATACCTACAGACCGGCTTGGATGTGCTATAGGCGAGGTGAGATTCCCGCAGGCACCACCGGATAAAACCGTTCATTTGGCAACCTTACGCGTACGTATGGAGTGCAGGGTGGCCTGCGTGGAATCCCTGGCAAGCTGCACCAGATCCACTCTCCACCGGAATCTTTATCGCGATCTGAGAGATAGACTGCGGATGGTTTAGCTAGGTATGCCTTCTGCAGAATTAGTCGTAGCGGGTATCCACCACATTGTGATGGGAACGGAGAAACGAGATAGCCCAAGCTGACCGGCATCAATATAGATAACGCAGACTGCTTGCCATCCCGAGGGTGTTCTCTGTGGAAAGACTACCAGTGTTCTGGAGGGGGCACTTAATAGCTTACCAGGCCATGAAACGGTTATGTCCCTCCCTGACGACAACCGGACGACGGCGTGACGGAGACGATGCGCAGTTGCGAGCTGATATTGCTCGTCTGTGCTGGTCGAACAGTCAGGGGCTGGAAATGAAGTGGTCTCCAACGTCGTTTCTGTCCCCGATGAAAACGATGCTTTCTTCTTCCGTCTTCCAGTGAAGATGTCCAAAGATACGGAAGGTTTGGATGAAGAACAGGAATATGCAACTCTGTGAAAGACGACTACGAACGTCACACACAAAACAACAACTACATGAATCGTTGGGAATGGTCTGTCAGGAAGAGCGGGGATCATATGGAAGGCAAGAAGAAGCCACAGCTCATTTAAGGGAAGGTACGGAGTGTGGAGCTGTAGAGCGCTAGGATAGAACAAGGCTACAAAAGGTGAGGGGCGCTCAGCCCAGCACATGAGAGATAGAGTGCATGTATAGTGTATATTCACGACCTACTCGGCACGGCGGCCACCTGTGAAACGGTGCGAAGTGGTAGAAAGGGTGCCGCAGCCACGGTTCTTCTTGTCCAAAACGACTAGGTGCGGGCTGTCATGCGCTCGAAACTGCCGGGCGAGAGCCAGTACCGGTACTGCAGGAGAGCAGAGGATCCCTATCGTGGTAAATCGGGCGTTCGTTGCCTCTTAAAGATGGTAATCGAGTACGTACGGGAAAGACTACTAGCCTGTTGCCTCGCAAGTTCTGGCAAAGGCACTCCCCTGCAACTCCATGTCGAGGGGGGAGTGCTGGGTGCGCGATGGTTGGTAGAGAGGGGTTAACAGCGAAGAGAGGTGGGTGCCGGGTTCGTGCCGAGGATGTGATGGACCTGCGGAGTTGAATATGTGGTCCCTGCCGGACCTCCGACACGTGGCAGGTACTGTTGATCTTGTTTTTTTCCCTGTCTCGTTGCAGGGTGGACAGGGGCTCCGACAATCAACTCATCTGTTCAGCCCGCCCTCGACGGCAGCCACTCTCAGCAAACAACCGTCCTCGTCGCCGTTGGCAGCGCTCAGGCTTATCGGCCCACACTCTTTTCCTTATTCCCCACAAAGGTTTGTTGTTTTGTCTACTTTGTCGGGTTCCCCTTGTTCTGATGGCCCGTCATCAGGCTCTGTAAAAAAAACCATGGACCACCCTCAAGAACACGCCAATTCCCCCAACGGGGCGTCGTTGATCGTGCAAGCGCCCGACTCGACCTTCATTGACCTAAATACGCCGCAGAAAACGGTTTGTCTCCGTTTTTCCTTTTCTTCCCGTACCCCCTACTGACTAGGGCAAACGCCGAACCCTCGGGTAACGGGTCTTTGCCCCTCTTCAGGCTGACCCGATGTCTTCAACACCGGACTCCGCTGGCAGTGCTCGAAGAATAACACGCTCCCAAACGACCGGTCGTCCGACAATACGCTGGGGAAAGTACAGCAAAGACGACGACCCTGACGCAGACCCGCAGAAAGGAGCTACTTCTCTCAAACGCAGCTTCGACGCCAGCGCCGTGGACGAAGATACAGACATAGATGGCGAACAAGACCCGCCATACATGCCTTCCAAGATGCTCAAAGTGGAACCCACGCTTTTACTATCGGCCTCGTCGTCCGCCACCGCCATCGAAGACCCTGACCCTTCCCACCTGCAAACACGAACGATGACCCCTCGTGCTCCCTCTGTAGGCGAATACACATTCCTCGACGCATCTTCGAGCTCGTTTACTTCAGAACGTCGCGGCCCCCGCATACGCACCGCGCCCCCTGTGCCCGTCCCGAATTTAACAAAGAAAAGTCGTGGACGCCGAGTGCCCACCGCAGAAGACGCCGCCGCTGTCGAGGGGGATACTGACGGTAAGAAGAATAGGGTCTATGTATGCAAGGTGGAAGATTGTGGCAAATGCTTCAGTCGTGGCGAACACTTGAAAAGGCATATCAGGTCCATCCACACTCATGAAAAACGTGGGTCTATGCTTCTGCGTCACAGTATTTCTAATGTTACTAACACTATTTTTTGTTTTGGCTACTAGCATTCAAGTGCACTCACCCCTCCTGCGATAAGCGCTTCAACCGCAACGACAACCTTCTGCAACACTTGCGTGTGCACAAAGGCGACAATTCCTCTCAGACTTCAGTGGACTCTAACGCTGCAGCTCAAGCCGAGCAGTCAGCATCTGCTGATAGTCCCTCGGCTACCGGAAACTCCCAGCGTACCACCGGAAGGACCGGCACAACGCGTCGCGCCTCTCGACCAGTGCGCAAGACCAAGTCTGCTGCGTCCACGCCACCAATTCCCGCTGCCCGCTTGGCTGCTGCGCGGGTCTCTGAACGAAGTCTCCCAGTGCCCCTACCACGTACCTATTCCCTGCCGCCGTTGCCGTCGTTGGGCCCATCTTACCATACCCCCTCTGTAGCCGGGTTCATGAACAACACTAACATTGCTGTGTCATCCCTTCGCACCGCAATTGACGAGAGTGAGGGAGAACCGGAGACTGAGGATACCGACGCGGAGACGCGCGGTAGTCATGGCATCCAGACCTTGTACAGCTTTGCTCGGGACCTTCCCAAAGACACTTTCCGCGGGTCGGTATATTCTGGGACTGAGCCCGATCAGGTGGAATCGCGGAGCAACAATGTCGGCGAGGACAGCAATGTCCGTGAGCAAGATGCTGAGCAGGCTTCACATGACAATGTCTCCTCAGCCAGGTCGGAGCCTGTGTCTAGCCCGTATTATCCCGAGGCGAACGCGTCTCGCGCTCCCACCGAGGAAGCCGCCGGTCTTCCTGCCGCAGTGTCTTCCGCTACTTCTCCGCTTCCTTCCGCTGTATCTGCCTAACCACGAGGCGACGGTTGATTGGCCGTCCCAATGGGCGGCCCGAGTTGTGTTGAACACCGTTCTTCTAATGCTAGTAAGAATCCCGACATTCCCATCGTCCTACTGATATCTCCCGATTACTAACGGATGTGATTCGGCTCTCAATTTTATCCCACCTTTCCCCCTATGTGCTATTTTGTCTAGTTCACAAACTTGATCGTCGTTCCCGCTTTTCTCTTTCTCTCTCTCTTTTTGTCTGGTTAGTCTGCCCCTTTCGATCAGAGCTATCTCACCGTACTCGTAAGTCTCCCACATGTTAATTGCAGGAACGACGTTTGTTGGATGCCTGTGCTTCCATCGGTCTTGGTTGAAATGTTCTGCGATACCTGGATGTTGTAGTTGTCGAGTCCTGGACCCCGCCTCGGAATCGTATTTAAGAAAATGAATAGACTCTCTGCGGAAACAGGTTTTTAATCAGGTTCGGGGATAGTCGGGTTAGTAATAATAGTTGTGCTATATGTCGAGGGAAGCCAAAGTTAATAATACCTTTGACTATAGTAGCTAAGTGTTCTTGTTTCCAAGCGTTGTCCCAACTCGATTCACAAACTTATCACCATGGTAATCCTGACAATGCAGATAATATTCAGATCGGATTCGAGTGTGGTTATAGACTATGATATTGAGTCACATCGTATTAATATCGATGATCCTCTCGACTTCAGTTGTGCTTTTCAGAATAGTAACATCAGATTATATTCGGCATGCTCGCTATGATGACTGCTTCAAGAATGCTTTCCTGCCCCTGGCACCCCCCGAAAAAAAGTGTCCCACCTGTGTGCTTACTCGCACTCACCTCCTTTGCGAGTACTTGGTGTTTGTACTGTGGTACAGTACTATGTATTCCCAGAGACAACTGAGCGGCAGCACGCAGCCTGGATTGCAGTCCTCGATGAGTCAAGAGGGTGTGACACGCAGGCGTCCTCATGTACTGCAGACCCAAATGACGCCCTTGGGGCGTTCCCAACATGGCCTCGGACCACAGAGAAACACAAGTGGCAGCGTGCAGCCTGGATTGCAGTCCTTGATGAGTCAAGAGGGTGTCGCACACAGGCGTTCTCATGTACCACAGACCCAAATGATGCCCTCGGGGCATTCCCAACATGGCCTTCCATCTATACACAGTAGACTCGATGATCCATTCGCATCCAGGCCTGCTGCTCAACGAAGGGACCACGATGGTCCATCGGTCAGTACAAATCGCACCTTTATTTATACTCCACTCACTTCATGCTTTGATTAAAGCTCTTTTCGCCAGAATTTTCCTTCCCACATCAGCTCCATGACATGATGGATCCCACAAGTCCCATCGATTCACTTGTTCCACAAGAGGGGTCATCTTACGACTATCAGGGAAGGGGTCAGTCAAACCAACCGCTCGAATTTACTTACCATAGCAGCGAGGGCACCCGTAACAATATGTCCTTCTCATATGCCAGTGCATCTTCTCATGGTCAGTCAGTTGGTCAAGGGCGAAGTGAAGCTCCTTTGGAAGATCGTCAGAGTACTCTGTACTCAGCATCCTGCTCCCAAAGTGCATCTTACCTGATGGAAGAGTCTGATTATGATCACACGAGCAACCAGAGTCTACATATGATGGTTGCCCAGCTAACAGCCAATCTGAAACATCTCAGTGAAGCGAACACTAACCTGGAGGACGAACTTACCAATATCAGAGAAGAGAACAAGTCCATCATCTCTCGTCTTAATGATGTCAAGGAGGTCCTTGCAGAGCTTCGAAGCAAAGTCATAGGTCACAAAGGGGCAACAAAGACATGTTCAAACAATCATGTAGCTCTCAAGGTATGTATCAGCGCTCCATTCTTGCAATTGTATGTCAGTACTCACTTGGCACCATTAATTTTGAGTCCATTCTCCAACCGTTGTTCTGCCAGTTGTGCGGAATTGACTGTGATGGTAAAAAGCAGAATCGTGTTGCGGCCCTCACCGCTATCAGGCCACTTGACAACAAACAAGCCTTCGAGGTGACAAATGAAGGCGTACAGATTTGGCACCCACACTGGCTTGGCAACGTCGATGACAAGGTGAATGCTAGATTTATCAGAGAAGTTGCCGAGTGTGCCTTTAATAATGAAAAGGTATTCTTTGTAGTGATCGGGATTAATCATGCGTGCTCACCTGTGACCAACAGAGTCAGAGGGAACTCAGACAATAAGGGCATGTGACATCTTTTATTATTTTCCTGGCCAGCGTTAAGTCCCTCTCGAATTTGGGCCCATCTTTCCTGAATAATGATGAGTACATGACAACAGAAATGACAAAGTTTACTTACACACAACAGTTGCATACTCACAGTATCAAACGTCTCCAATCCAGCAAAACTGTCCAGGGTAAAAGTACGCCTAATGGAGGGGCCAGAAACTTGCACGGGAAGAGACGAGACTGGTATTTCCGAAGTAATCTTCTAGAAAGAGTTGTTAATACCGAGAAAAAGAATGGTTCATGAGTCACGACTTACCTTGGCAGCCGCAGTTGGGGTCCCCTCCACACTTTTGGGCTCAGTTTCACTATTATCAATGGCAGGGATGAGAGGTGCGATAGGCAGGGCAGTACCACCCTCAGGGTTTGTCTGGCCTTTGTCAGCAGGCAAGAGGTGGTCTGGAATACATCCGAACGATCCTTGCATGGCAGGAAGTGGCTCGACGTTGACGAGTAGAGGATTCTATGTAATACCATCAGCAAGGATATGAATTACGCGATGACTTACTGAGACGGCTGAAACATGGGCATCTGCAGACCCCAACTTAACCCCACCAGTACCAACGTTAGCACCGAAGTCGACAACACATGCTTGAGTTGCACAAAAGGTATCATTGCCAAGTTCTGGTGACATCATTGTTAGGGAGATTTCTATGGTCTGGTGTATGGCCATGAGTGGAAGACACATGAACAATAATTAGCCACATGTACCACAGGGCCTTGGGAGTTTGGCTCGAAAGAGAGCATAACATTTTGGATGCTGGTTGGGACATGAAGTCGAAGGATGTGTGGCCTACGTTTGATGACTGTCAGGGGACCAACAAACTCGATTTCGTCAGCTTGTGAGGTTGGAACCATCTGGTTAGCATCGATATGGAACTTTTGGAGGTGAGTAGATAGGCTGGAGGACTCGAGTACCACATACCTTGGGTTGGTTCATGGTGTACATGGCGAACCGGTGAACTTGGAGACCAAGGAAAATTTTCGCAAAGTCCATTATTTTTTCTGAGGGGTGCAAGGGTGGCAAGAGCCACTCTTCCGATGGTATTATAGTTGGACTATGGCCGATGGAGTCGAGCATAGTCGGGGTGGCGAAAATGCACGTACGAGAGGTCAGGCTATTGGTGTATTGCCTATATTCGGATCTTGCCTACGTCGGATTATTTGGATATGTTACTCAAAAATCGTTGAGTCAGACTTTACTCAGACTAATAGCTATATCTTACAAAAAAAAATCAAGGTCGGATTATCTACATTTGGAGAATCTGGTTATGCCCCCTGCTAAAATTTCGTTTCCGCAGTGACTGCTCCTACAGTATGAAAATCCTTCCAGCACTGCATTGTCAATTAGTATTGCCTGTTTCTACAGGAAAGTCCCAAAAGATAAGTGTTTCTACTCCATTGGCACCCGATCGCAACACAAAGTATACAATACATGACAACACTGCCTACCCAACGATTCACGCCCATTTGAGGACGTCTGACTCAGAGGGACCTTGCGGCACATCTGATGCGGCCAGATTGCATTGGTGGAACGCGCGGACTTGGTCAGGCTTGAAAGCTCCAACGACGGTGTGCAGAATACCGCGATTATGGAAGAGGACGAGATCTCGTTCTTTCCAGTCATGGGGGTATACCAGCTGATGGGGTTACATGAGTGAATGGGCTAACTCAGTCTGGGAAGATGAAGGGATCCGAGGGATTGTAAAGTGGTGATGCATACTCACTTGTGGTGCTATAGCGGGGCGCTGCATCGTGTAGAGAAGAGAGCGAACTTCCTTGAGATCCTTGAGATGAGCCCCATTGGGATAGAGGGCACTGTCTCGATTAGCACCTTCGGGCAAGGGATCGATGATGAGTTCCTGAACACCACAGGGATGAACCTGGAAGTGTAATTCCCCGGTGATCGGGTTCTTCCACAGCTGCAGGTTTCGGTGAGACTTGGGAGGGATGCGGGGAACAGGGACCGATAGTTGGCGTACCATAGAGAAAGTCTTAATCTTGGACTCCTCCCAGGAGGGAAGCTCGTTCACGGGGAGTTCGAGGCCTTCTGTTTCGATACCCAAGCCAGTTGGCATAGCACGGGCCGGAGCCATCCATACGTAAGGATGGGGCGCATACCTTACTTTGGTGCGCACGGCAAGACTCTTGTACTCGCGTGGCAAGATGTCGAACATCGTCTTTCCAGAGACAAAGGCAGTGGTCCCCAGGGGGACGGACAGTTCGTCGCCGGTGCCATCATCATACCTGACGGTCTGCTTTGGCCCGGCTGGTACCTTGATACCATACAGGGTGGTTACACGAGGTGGATTATAGTCATAGAGCGCGGCATCGATGTGCCAACGATAGAAGCGAGTGTATCCTTTCTGCTCGTCCTCTTCGGAAACCCTGGTCTTGTGGAAGGTGGTGTGCGAGGGGTGCTTGAGAGCGGCGCTCTCGAGGCCTTCGTGATTGTATACCATCCCATTTCCTATAAGCTGTACCTGTGGGACCCGGGGAATCGTCTTGAGATCTGGGTGAAGGATGGACCTCTTGGTGGACTGAGTCTTGTTGTTACCGTGGCCGTAAGACTCGGATTCAGGGTCAAACGCCTAGGGAGGAGGAAGCATGTCAGTTCGAAGATGTCCCGTGAGGGTTTTCACGGCGAAAGGAAACCTTGGTCAGAGCATACTGTTGTTCTGGGGTGAGGGTGACGTTCCGGAAAAGGAGAGCGCTGTGCTGGGGAAACAGTTAAGACCTAGTGTGAGTACGATATGGTATAAAGACACCTTGCCTTGTACAGAGCTTCGGAAACCTCAGAGAACTGTTCCGGGGTGAGGTTGCCAGGGTCGACGCCTTTGACTTCACGGCCAAAGTCGACGAACTTGGATGAATCTGCGGAGGGAGGTAGAGGAAGAGAGGCGAGTTCGATTGTCATTGGGGATTAAGGACAACAAGTGAACTAGTGAGAGAGGCTTATCTATGAAACAAGGACGGTCGGTAGGGGTGGGAGACACAGCAATGATCCGGGGGAGTCCACACTTAAACGTCATACAGCTTGCGTACGACCACACGAGGACTGGGGCTTCCCCCGTTAGCGGAAAGACGATTTACAACCATCTTTTTATGTAAAAAGAACAAAACTGTAGTATCGTCGCGGAGAAAATCATCCATTGATGGGACGGAGACTCGATAGTATGTAGGATTAATTGTGGAAGGGTTGTCCGTTCTCGGATATAACACAACTCGGTGCCTTTCCAGCGTGTTGTGCTCCCCACAATTGGCAGACGGTGGTGCTAACTACTTGTCTTCTACCATCTGGCATTCTCTTCGTGGACCCATGGCGGAAAGTCATCCACACAGAAGAATCAAAACTAAAACTGACCAAACCGACACGTCCAAGGTAATTACAGAGCCGTCTCTATTCCGTGACTTAGACCGACGAGATTCAGACGCAGGCCGGTAGCAAAGTCGATGGCGGGTCTCCTTCGCCGAAGCCTTTTGCACTCGCAATCCCAGCCTTGGTTCTCTTGGCTTCCCTTGTAGTGCGTCCTCCCTTCACGCATTCTACGAGTCTCGCTCCTCAAGATGATGTACCCACATTAGGTGTATAGCGTTTCGCACTGGTTCCCATTGCGCTCCTTGCAGAATCTTCTATACTTTCGCGACGAAACCTACCTCAAAGGCGTACGTCCCAATTCCGTGCCAGTGTTCACCGCAGACGAAGCGAGGCGAGATGCCGTGGTGGAGGCGTTCAAGGTAATGCATGTAACTCATCTCGGTCCACTCTCATGTCTCTCATACACGGTGGACAGCATGCGTGGCTGGCGTATGGTATGTCTGTGCTCCCTTCGGAGGTTGCATGACTTAACAGGGGCTAGAACGGGATGCGATGGGCGACGACGAGTACCATCCAATCTCGCAGAAGGGTACCAATCTGACTGCAGCTGGTGGTATCGGGTACACCGTCATCGATTCAATAGATGCAATGCTTATCATGGGACTCGACGACGAATACGAGCGTGCAAGAGCGTGGATACGGGACAAACTCTCCTTCGACAGGAACGCATCTTTCAGCACTTTCGAGGTAAGTACCCGTCAGGCGGCGGATTCGTCAAAAAGATTACATGCGTGTATCATCAGACGACGATTCGTGTCATGGGTGGTTTGTTGTCTACCTACTATCTGTCCGGAGGAGATACTCTTTTCCTAGAGAAAGCACAGCAAATTGCCGATCGCTTGCTTCCAGCCTTCGACACCCCGTCTGGTTTACCGCTGCCTATGGTAAACTTGCATCTTCTAGAAGGTGTACCCGACCGCGATACTGGAGATTTTGTTAGTACTGCAGAGGCATCTACCCTGCAGCTTGAATTTCGCTATCTTGCATACCTTACCGACGAAGACATCTATTGGGATAAAGTCGAGAAGGTACGCCGTTGCAACGAAAGGCAGAGAAACCGTGCCCATGTTAATGGATCAGGTAATGGTCGTTCTGAAAGCTGCAACGCTTCCTCATGGTCTGGCTCCCATATTCATCGAGTACGTGTGGCTTCGAAATTGTGCGTTCAGATAGGTGTGATGGACTCATCTGCGGAAAGCATCGAAACTGGTATCTATGGACTCTCCCCGATACGCCTTGGTTCTCGAGGGGACTCCTACTATGAGTATTTGCTGTTGGCCTCCTAATATTTTCCCATGGCAACTTATGCTAACCACTTTCGCAGTAAGCAATATTTACAAACGGTAAGTCTGCCAACAGCCGTACCTCCATGTCACTGATGCACACGGCCTTCCCAGAACCAGACGGAAGACATCTATCGCCAAGTGAGTGCCCGAATGAGTCAATAGGACAACGTCACACACCTCTCACACCTTCACAGATGTATGACGAGGCGATGACCGGTATCCATATGTATCTCGCTCAGCGCAGTGTCCCGGGTAATTTGCTCAACACGGCCGAGCTCATACCTGATAGAGCGAAGAACGGCAAAACGTGGGTGACTCATTCGTGCTTTGCAGAACCTTATCAGACAGATATTCCCTCATTTGCACACTGCAGAGGCTGGCGCTTGCTTCCAAAACAAGATCACTTGGTGTGCTTTCTGGGTGGTTCACTCATGCTAGGCGCAACTACCTCCGGAGCTGTGGTTGACCATGTGTCTGTGCCTCCGTTGCCAAATGAGTTATCTCCTCAAGGGAAGCGAGACTGGTTCACTGGCGTGGAGCTTATCAAGACTTGCCTAGCGACGCACAACACTCAAACGTAAGTGCATCTATGCTAACGTAGATGTCTGTTCAACGGTTTCTAGAAAACTTCCCCCTGAAATCGCGTATTTCCGCCTTCGAAGTCAGAAGGACAAAAATTCAGGGAAGAAATTGCCACCGGACTGGTACATCAAAGGTTCACCGTTAGTGTGAGCTATATTGTTTCGCGACCATCTTATGCATGCACACCGTAGCCCCGGGAAGCCTCCGCCGCTTGACGCGCGGTATATCTTGCGGTATGTTCAGCGATATCTGATAACACGTCATACTTGTACAGTATCTCGCATTTTAGCCCAGAAACAGTCGAGTCACTTTTTATCGCGTTCCGTTTAACTGGCGATACGTGGTACCGTGACCAAGGCTGGGCGATTTTCCAAGCAATAGAGAAGCACTGTCGCATTCCGACCGGCGGGTACGCTAGCATAAAGAACGTCGACCAGGTGCCAGTTGAACACGAGGACAAGATGGAGACATTTATGATGGTATGTTTCCCAAGATTGAACTATTTTCTGAGAGGAATATGCTGATGTTCGCTGATGCTGCAGAGCGAAACGCTAAAATATCTCTATCTCTTGTTCTCTGATGCTAGTGTTCTTCCGCTAAGTGGTGAGTGATTTCGATGGTGATATCCCGTGTTTATGACTGATTCTGATGGTGTATTCTAGAATACGTCTTTAACACCGAGGTAAGCCGGCCGTCGGCATGTAACAGTCTAAGTTCTTCTCATCCGCATTCATAGGCTCATCCTCTACCGATATTCTCTCCAATCGCGGACTCTAGTAGTCTTCTTTAATCTCCCGGACGGCATCTGCAATCTTGTAGCCTTACAACGCCATTGATCAGTCGCACATTCCAGAATTTGGTTTCGTAACTTCTCGGTCTACACACTTCCGCGCTCGTATTCATATTCTCGTGTTCGGTGGACTTCGACCTCTTAACGTGTCCCAACGATCAATGCATTACTTGGTTCATTACAATCAATCTCTCACTGGCTTCGTGTTTCTATGCATCATGAAGTCGTCATTGGATGCCGACTACGACCTCAACTCTGCGGCACGCTCATAGGCGTCGTAGCACTATTACTGTATAGCCCAGACATCCGTAACTGGAAAGTAGCGCCTTGTCACCTTGTTTACGTCAGGATATTTGGTCACTGCAACCATGAACATGACGAAAAATGACCGAACGAATTTCCAGTTGCAATTTCCTCATGATCCTTCATCACACATTATATCACCCAGTTAGTTCAGGAAGTATATATTAAATTTCAGAGAAAACATGGTAAATAGTTTAGCATTTCGTAGGTCAACGCAAGTACAGACTGTCCATGATCATCGATTCATCCTTCGTACCGGTGTACGCGTAACGGCACGGCAGTGCCCTGTTCTCCAACTATCCTGGGCCTACGTAACAATCCTCTGCCAAGCTCCACTTGCGTATCGGGTCCGTCTCTCATTTCAAACACGAAGTTCTTCACCAGCACTGACATAACCGCCTTGAGAGTGAAACCAATCAGTGATCGTTGATAGTCTCAGAGCAGCGAAGAAAGAACACCTTAAACTCAGCCACCGCAAAGCCCTTACCAAGGCAAGTCCGCGGGCCATCGACAAATGTCAATAAATGGCGGTATGCCTGAATGTCATTTGCCTTCCTTGGGATCCCATCTTCTTCCAGCCAACGCTCTGGACGGAAAACTTTTGCATCTTTTCCCCATATTTCGACAGATCTATTGATACAAGAGACAGGTATGCCGATTCGAGTGCCACGTGCGACGGAGATGCTACTGGCGGTTTCGCCAGACCGAGTAACAACGGGCTCAGAGAGAGGGATAACATCATCCTCCGCCGCCTTGGAGGGTGACCTCAGATTAAAGGAGGAACACGTATTCACTTGTTAGTCAGTGACGCACCACACGAACAAAATCTGTTAGGGGCGGATGCATTCTCAGGGTTTCGTGCACCACAGCGTCGAGGTAGGGTAAACCACTTTGTTGCTGGTCATACGTCGGTTCTTCACCGAAAGCTAAGAGTTCCTGTCGCAGCTTGTTTTGTATGTCGGGGTTTCCCGCCAGTTCAAGCAATGCCCATGTCATGGTGACTGCGAAATTGATTAGCCCATAATGACGCATAATAAGCTGAGAAATTATTTACTAGACGTTGTTTCATACCCAGCGACAAGGAGGACCTTCGTCTACAAGGGGAAGAAGTTAGGTTGTATGCCCAGTGGTAAGAGTTTCGTTTACTCACTTGCGCCAACACCTCTTCACGAGTCAAATGAATGGAAGAGTCCGAATCGTTGGCTTTTACTTTGCGTACATCGCTTGTAAGGGCAAGCTCAAGTAGCAATCACGAAACGTACCCAACACTCCAATGATTGACCTATCCTCCCTCCCGTCAAGAACTCCCTCCTCCTCCTCCTTCCTTATCCTTGCTAGCAATTCTGTCGGGATATCTTCCATAGTTCTTTGCACCTCGCGAAGCAGCTTAGTCCTCGATGTTGGGATAAAAGACAACAGAGGGATCACTTGTGAGAGAAGGAGGAGGCCAACATCTACGGCTGATCGTTTGGAGAACGATCCGAATGTATCGAAAAGTTCAGTTATTGAGGATCGTTTGCCGTCAAGAGAACCGAAATCATGAGAGAACCCCGCAAGCCCGATGGTATCAAGTCTGGACGATCAGTCAGATTAGATTGAGTAACCGTACAACGAAGTTGGTTCACGAAATATGGTTCATCCTTGGATTAAAATTCCTCAGCTTTGTGTAATCGTAACGTGGAAAATTCAGCGCACCAGCTTTGAACCTCGATAACAGTGCTGTCGCCATCGCTGGCGTCAATCATGGCTTCCCACGCAGCTTTCGCCTGAAATGTAGATCTCAGGCTCGGAGATCGTAGAGGAGCCCAGGCTTACTTTGTGAGCAGAATTGTAAAAGATAGCGGTGAAGTGCCTTATTGCTGCCTGGCTGAACGCAGGGGTCAACGACTTGCGTTGCCTGAAGACGGAAAAATATCAGTATATAATTCCTGCCTGCAATTTGACTGTGCCTACCTTTTGTGGTCTTCACCTTGCGACCACAGTATCCCTCGTCCGAACTGTATGGTACTGTGAAAGGGACTACTAGAGACCGAGTATTGTACATACATGGCGCTGAAGGAAAAATCTAGCCGATTCAGTTTGAACGTATGTCGACGTTTCCCTGGCATAGTAGTGTGCAAGTGCTCTAGGGTCTGTTAACATGATCTTCGTCCCGCCAAGGGTAGTCGGGACCCCAAAGGCTACACCGTATTCCTTGGCCCATGCCTCGTATATGGCACCGGCATCTGGTGATTCGAAGATCCGCTTAGATGAGCCATATATCAGGTCGGCCCTGGGTGGCCCGCGAAGCTTGGTGGTCTTGAAGGACCTCCGGGCAGCTGTCAGGGCACCACGAAGTGCCCAAATAGCAGCGGTGACTGCAACGACGTCGAGCAACCTGACTGAGTGAATCACCGCCAGCGGGTTAACGCGTACGGTTGCGAGTAAACCAGCTGGGTCCATGATTGCGTGGACAACGAACGATAAGTAGGAGAGGATAAATAGGATACAATGCATTGGAACTGCGGATTGGATGCCGGATTACAGGCTCGCACCCAACGGACCACAAGATTCGTCATCCGGAAGATCGATCAGTGATTAGTCCTCTCTAATCTTGTCAGAACCCAGAAATGGCCGTGGTGGCCCCTGGCTTCGTATCCTTCCCTTGCCGAGCTTGCTACGCAAACGCAAGGCGCTGTAAGTATGTAATTTACTTTTCAGTCTACACACCTCCGTGCTCATATTCATGTTCTCGTGTTCGGTCGACTTGGACCTCTTTACGTGTCCCAATGATCAATGCATTGCTTGATTTCGTTACGATCTCTCGTTGGCTTCGTGCTTCTAAGCATCATGTCGTGCTTCTAAGCATCATGAAGTCATCATGGGATGCTGACTATGACCACAACTCCGCGGCACGCTCGTACATATGCATCCGACTAGCGCTACTGTACAGTCCAGGCACGTTGTTTACGTCACAATATCTGGTCACGCAACCATGAGCGTGACGAAAAATGACCAGACGAGTTTCCAGTTGCAGATTCTTGTTGATTTCCTCATGATCCTTCATCACACATTTTATCACCCAGTTAGCTCACCATGAGTGGTGCTTTAGTGCCTACGATACATCAGAAGTTCGGGAGGAAGCACATATTAGATTTCAGAGGGAAAACAGATAGTACATAGTTTAGCATTTCGTAGGCCAACGCAAATACAGACCGTCCATGATCATCGATTCATCCTTCGTACCGGCGTACGCGCAACGGCACGGCAGTACCCTGTTCTCCAACTATCCTGGGCCTAGGCAATAATCCTCTGCCAAGCTCCACCTGCGTATCGGGTCCGTCTCTCATTTCAAACACGAAGTTCTTCACCAGCACTGACATAACCGCCTTGAGAGTGAAACCAATCAGTGATCGTTGATAGTCTCAGAGCAGTGAAGAAGGCGCACCTTAAACTCACCCACCGCAAAGCCCTTGCCAAGGCAAGTCCGCGGGCCATCGACAAATGTCATTAAATGTCGGTATGCCTGAATGTCATTTGCCTTCCTTGGGATCCCATCTTCTTCCAGCCAACGCTCTGGGCGGAAAACTTTTGCATCTTCTCCCCATATTTCGACAGATCTATTGATACAAGAGACAGGTATGCCGATTCGAGTGCCACGTGCGACGGAGATGCTATTGACGGTTTCGCCAGACTGAGTGACGACGGGCTCTGAGAGAGGGATAACATCATCCTCCGCCGCCTGGGATGGTGGTTTCAGATTAATGGGGAACACGTATTCACTTGTTAGTCAGTGACGCACCACACGAACAAAATCTGTCAGGGGCGGATGCACTCTCAGGGTTTCGTGCACCACAGCATCGAGGTAGGGTAAACCACTTTGTTGCTGGTCATACGTCGGTTCTTCACCGAAAGCTAAGAGTTCTTGTCGCAGTTTGCTTTGTATGTCGGGGTTCCCCGCCAGTTCAAGCAATGCCCATGTCATGGTGACTGTGAAATTGATTAGTCCGTAATGACGCGTAATAAGCTGAGAAATTGTTTACTAGACGTCGTTTCATACCCAGCAATTAGGAGGACCTTCATCTACAAGGAGAAGAAATTAGGTTGCATGCCCAGTGGTAAGAGTTTTGTTCACTCACTTGCGCCAACACCTCTTCACGAGTCAAATGAATGGAAGAGTCCGAATCGTTGGCTTTTACTTTGCGTACACCGCTTGTAAGGACAATCTCAAGTAGCAATCACGAAACATACCCAACACCCCAATGATTGACCTATCCTCTTTCCCGTCAAGAACTCCTTCCTCCTTCTCTTTCCTTGTCCTTGCTAGCAACTCTGTCGATATATCCTCCATAGTTCTTTGCATCTCACGAAGCAGTTTAGTCCTCGATGTCGGGATAAAAGACAACAGAGGGATCACTTGTGAGAGGAGGAGGAGGCCGACATTTACTGCTGATCGTTTGGAGGACGATCCGAACGTATCGAAAATCTCAGTTACTGAGGCTGGTTTGCCGTCAAGAGAACCGAAATCATGAGAGAACCCTGCAAACCCGATGGTATCAAGTCTGGGAAGATCGGTTAGATTGGATTGAGTAACCACAGAACGAAGCTGACTCACGAAATGTGGTTCATCCTTGGATTAAAATTTTCTCAGTGTTGTGTGACCGCAATGTGGACAAATTCAGCATACCAGTTCTGGACCTCGATAACAGTGCTGTCGCCATCACTAGCGTCAATCATGGCTTCCCACGCGGCTTTCGCCTGAAACGTAGATCTTAGTCTCGAAGATCGTAGGGAAGCACAGGCTTACTTTGTGAGCAGAATTGTAAAAGATAGGGGTAAGGTGCCTTATTGCAGCTTGGCTGAACGCAGGGGTCAACGACTTGCGTTGCCTGAAGACGGAAAAATATCAGTATATAATTCCTGCCTGCAATTTGACTGTGCCTACCTTTTGTGGTCTTCACCTTGTGACCACAGTATCCCTCGTCCAAACTGTATAGTACTATGAAAGGGCCAATGATTAGAAACTGAATATTTTACATACGTTGCGCTGAAGGAAAAATCTAGCCGATTCAGTTAGAACGTATGTCCACGTTTCCCTGGCATAGTAGTGTGCAAGTGCTCTTGGGTCGGTTAACATGATCTTCGTCCCGCCAAGGGTAGTCGGGACCTCGAAGGCTACGCCGTACTCCTTAGCCCATGCCTCATATATGGCACCGGCATCTGGTGCTTCAAAGATTCGCTTAGATGCGCCATATATCAGGTCGGCCCTGGGTGGCCCGCGAAGCTTGGTAGTCTTGAAGGACCTCCGGGCAGCTGTCAGGGCACCACGAAGTGCCCAAATAGCAGCGGTGACTGCAACGACGTCGAGCAAAGTGGCTGAGCGAGTCACCGCCAGCAGGTTATCGCGTACGGTTGAGAGTAAAGCAGCTGGATCCATTTGGACAACAAACGTCAAGAAAGGGGAGGTTAAATAGTATACAATGCACTGGAACTGCGGATTGGATGCCGGATTACAGGCTCACTCCCAACGGACCACAAGTTTCGTCATCCGCAAATCGATCAACTAATCTTGTCAGAACCCAGAAATGGCCGTGGTGGCCCCTGGCCTTGTATCCTTTCCTTGCCGAGCTTGCTACGCAAACGCAAGGCGCCGTAAGTAGTACATACGTGTACCCTCGGCTTGATGCGACAGCCAGGGTCCCGTCGGTCGACGTCCAACGGAATGGTAAGAATTGGGGTACTGAGTCATATGCAGGACCGTCATGCTGTGCTCAGCTTCCCATCTCCGAGGACTAGAAAGAGGCTGTCGCTGACGGCAGGTATGTTGTTCACTAAGCATGGTATCCAATTGACTCCTCATAGCAGTTGTATAAATACGATCGCACCAGCATACATCGTTTCTCGGAAGTATTTATACGTCGGCGCGAACGTCATGACTGGTCTCTTCTGAAACGTACGCAGTCGGGACCATCGATTATATTTCATTTCTCACAACAACTGATCGTACTGGATGGCATTAGCTACGGTTCGTGGCACACTGGTCGACGCGGACTGCGGTAGTTCATATCACACTCACCGTTGAGCTACACCCACGCTCCACAAGTCAGCATCCTGCGAGGCTGAATTTACAATAAAAAGAAACAGTAAGGCAGCTCACGAACTGACAATTTCATGGTATCTTCACTTCGTTTCCACCACCAACAAAAGCACTTCGTCCCTCCACAGCGTCGGATAGTGAAAACAGCGATTTCTCCTCTAACTGGTTGCCACGTTTGCGTTCCGTTTGCGTACATGGCATTGACCAGTACCCAAGTGACAGTTAATGGAGTATAGAGATGACCACCCACAATTTCCACGCGACGAAGGCGAACATGCCATGTCAGTTCATTAGTGCCAGTCACTGCAAATCATTAGCAAAACTGCAGTCGACCCAACACTCTGCAAGAACACATCTTACCTGCAGCCTCAGCAACACCCCTCGTGCAACATCAAAGCTGACTCAACTTCTGCAGTCAACAAACGAAGCACGGACACATTAGTTTCATCCAAACGGGCACAATAATATTCGGTGGTCTTCGCGTTACCAAAGACTGCATAACTGTTCACGGCAATAGAAGCAGTCGTTGGACACCTTAGCAGTCTCTTAATGCCGCCATTTGCCATAGTCCCATTCATAGTCTAATCAGTAACTAAGTCTAACTAGGCGAAGATCGAGAACGACAGATATTGATGTAGGGATTTATGTCAATTACAATAAGGAATAGAAAAAGAAGGAACCGCGCAACACGACATGGCAAATAATTACTATCTAGTTTAGGTTATCTTGGCCCTGAAGGTGAGGGTGAGGCCTTAAATTACTGAGCAGCGGCAGCTTGTGCATAAGACCTCCCCTTCTGCGGAAGTTCACTGGTGAGGAAGCTCGCACGAGTGATATATTCCCATGGTTCATCAGATTCCGTGTCATCCGTGTCATCGTCCAAGGCGATGACAGCACGGACAGGTGGAATGACTTCGAAATCCAACTCTGTTGTTTAACGCCGTCAGCGCCATATTGATACACACCGAGTCAAGCAGTGTCAGGGGTACTTACTCTTCCCCTTCTTCTGAGGGCGTGGGACAGAAATAAGGTCGGCCAGCGTTAGTTCGGTGAAAGGGCCCACATTGCTCTGGAGAGGCACAGTGGCGGGTTCAAGAGGTACACAGGACGGTTTGCTCCACGGCGAAGCGTCGGGTTGGTCACCATCCCAGATCTCCATGCTGTACTTGCGGGCCACCGCGGGCTTCCCGCCGTGCCCGCCCGAAGATGTCGACGACGACACCTTGAACCCCAACGCTCGCAGTACGGCTGCCTTCTCCTTCCGCCCCTTGGCCTGGGCGTGCTCCTCTCGCTCCTTGGCACGACGACGAGCACGCTCATGGGCGCGCACGTCCTTGGCGACGCCTTCCGTGACGAGGCGAACACTCAGCGTGTCATTGGAGGAGGGCCTGGACGACAGGGTAGTGGAAGATGTGGCAGTAGACATCAAGTCTGAGACAAGAAACAAAGCTGTGACTCGCCGGTTATATAGCACAGGTGGCGTGGCGTCCGACACCACCCGTAAGCGATCAAAGGTAGCCCAAAGTGTGCGTCACAGCTCGCTGGACGCCAATCAGGAGTAGGGCCAGTCAAGAGATAGTCATTTTCAGCCACGTTCGTGGGCGGAGTCAGACTGTCAGCGATACACCAGAACACTAGTACTGGGGCAAGGCGATCCTTGTCATTGCACGTGACCCCCCTTATCACGTTCGACTTCAAATCAAGGAGATTCGGCAAACTGATAACCCATTGTTGCTCGATCTAAAAAAACGATAATGACATTTTCTCGCAAATAGCATATAATGAGCACAACATCAATGCAACCGTCTAAAATGAATCGTACAAAGCCACCCGCACACCGTCTAGTTTTGCTCCAACAAGAAGCTCATCGTAACCAGCTTCCTCGCGAAATCTTTTACTTTTTGTGCAAAGCAGGCGCGTTGAGACCCTCAGCGAGACCTTTCCCACCTGCGTATGTCGCACCGCTGCCCGAGATCTCCTCTCTGCAAAATAACATGTTAAGCAATAGACCAGTGCAGAGTCAGCAACACTTACTCGATGCGCAACAAGGCATTGTATTTTGCGACGCGCTCGCTTCGTGCGGGCGCACCAGTCTTGATCTGGCCAGTACCAAGGGCAACGACGAGGTCTGCGATGATAGTGTTCTCGGTCTCACCACTGCGGTGAGAAACCATGACACCCCAACCATCGGACTGGGCGAGCTGCGCACTACAAAGGAGATTTAGAACACACGTATTTACCAAAAATTTAACCACTACATACGCCTGGATTGACTCCGAAATAGTACCGATTTGGTTGATCTGCGTGCAGGTTCCATTAGATGAATTCACAACCATACCTCGGGAATCAAACCTTCAGGAGCAAGCCGTTGCAAGCCTTCTTCTCGATGGCCGTCTTGATACGCAAGGGGTTAGTGACAGTTAAGTCATCACCCACTATTTGCACGGAGCTGTGCTTCGTGAAGTGAACCCATGCTTCCCAGTCATCCTGATCGAATGGGTCTTCGACGGAAACGATAGGGTATTTGTTGCAGTAAGAGATATAAAGCTCAGCGAGCTCGGTCCCAGAGATGTAATTCTGAGGATCCGATTTGGGATTCTTGAAATCCAAATCGTACTTGCCATCCTTGTAGAACTCCGACGAGGCGACATCAAGAGCAATCTTTATTTTTCCCTCATATCCAGCCTTCTTAATGGCCTCCGAGAGCAGTTCGAGGGCTTCCTCAGCGCCGGACACGTTAGGGGCGAAACCACCCTCATCACCAACGTTGACGGCTAAAACAATGAGTCGTTGAATTTTCAGGAGGCACTGTCGGACCTACCATCGATGCCGTACTTGGCGCTGATGACCTTCTTCAGGGTGTGATACGTCTCCGTCCCGATCTTCATTGCTTCCGTGAAAGAGGAAGCACCGGTGGGCAGGAGCATGAACTCCTGGAAAGCAAGCTTGTTACCAGCGTGTGAGCCACCGTTGATGACGTTGAAAGCCGGGCAGGGCAAGACATAAGGGGGTTTCACGCCGGCGAGCTCAGCAAGGTGTTGGTAGACGGGCACACCCTTTTCTGCAGCGCCGGCCTCGACAACGGCGATGGACACACCAAGGATGGCATTAGCACCGAGTTTGCCCTTGTTTGGGGTGCCGTCGAGTTTGATAAGGAAATCATCGATCTCCTTCTGCTGGGTGACCTTGAGGCCTGACTTGACGAGTTCAGGGCCGAGGATATCGTTGACGTTTGAAACGGCCTTGGAGACACCTGGAAAATCGTCGAATGGTTAGCACGCGCGTCTACTGTATCGGCGACGGACACATACCCTTTCCGACGTAGTTGGCCTTATCGCCATCACGAAGTTCGACGGCTTCGTGAACACCAGTGGACGCGCCAGAAGGCACGGCAGCGCGGAATCGACCTGGTAGGTGTGAATAAACCGGCCGATCTCTTAATGCGATGCGCACCTCGTTCTGTATAGAGATCAACCTCTACGGTTGGGTTTCCGCGGGAATCGAAGATCTACGGAGAGTGACGACGATGAACGAGGTCGCACTGAGGATTCTATTGAGCTTACCTGGCGGGCATGGACTTTGGTGACAGACATGATGGAGGACGGTGGATGTGCGGTGGAGCTGGTCCGCAATCTTTTTTATCAGGTAGCGTGGGAAACTGTCTGATAATCTTTGTTGAACCCCCTGACTAGTGCGGAAACGGATAGAATCAGGTGCGGCAATAGTCGGGCAGTTGGCCATAGATCCTAAGAGTAAGTATCACGACATCTGTCGACTGGCCGTACAAGCCATGGCAGCAACGAATGCTCGTCATCCGTGTCATCACCCAAAGGTGTTTCCTTAAAGAAAGTTAAAGGAGACAATTTTGATCGCGATGCAAAGCAAGCCGCACACGTGAAAACGCTCTCAGTCGGGGAAGGCCTGTTCGCGACCGAGATGGGAAGATAATCCAGGCCACCGAATTTTAGAAGGGAAAACGAAACGAAATCCGGCCGTGTGTAGCCTGATCACAGGTGGTTCGGTACGTCTGTTTCTCTCCCCTATACAATCAAACTCCAACGGAAGCTGGGGAACACGAGAGTCATCTCCCACTCGGCCCTAGATCACTTTAGAGTGAGTTTATCCACTAAAAAAAGATGATCCATATTCTGTTCTTTTGCATCGGAATAAACTACCTTCGACACTGTTTGATGGCGCGGCTCATTCCAACTTCCCCAAGGTATGTTTTCTGGAGCCTGCGTTCTCTGTCTTTTCTTTCATTCTATGTCAGGACGTGGAAAGTCGTGTACGACTCTCGACCTGCTCTTCCTCTGTCGTGCAACCTGATACCACTATGGACAGTGTCTCCTCGGACAACCATACTGCTCAGTCAGTGGCACAGCCTCACCCTGATAGTGTCCAAATGGGGTTCATGCCCTCGCGATGATCTGAATCAAACGCGTTTCAGGATCGCGTGTGGAACCTCCCGTTACCTCCGTCGGCCTGTCGTCTTCGTGACGGCAGAAAGAGGCGCGTAAAGTCCCGCGCAAGTCATTGACACGCAGTGATTCTCGTGTCTCTCCCGCCCCTGATACATCCTATGCTTCCTTTATCCCTGGAGTGTTCAATTGTCTTCCATTCACTCGAGCTCTTGCAACGCTCGTCAGCCCGTCTTTGCAGGGTTGCTGATCTTTGCAGGGCGGCGAACTCTATGTTACCAGTGAGATTTCGCACTACAACAGGTTCCCTTTCCGAAATGGATTGGCGTCTATCATCGATCAGTAGGAGGAGCGTGACTCGTCTCAACTTTTACGTATGTCACTACTCCACCCGTCCCAGCAACACATAAGAACCCGAGGAATCAGTGTAGGCTGCCGTTCACGCATCAATGATACCCCTCATCATCTACGACATCCCTTCCAAACTTGATGGGACCTATTGGTCTGACAATATCACGAAGTCGAGGTAAGTGGATTTGCGATTCGTTCCCACACACCCAGGCATGACTTGGTCCATAGGTTTGTCCTTGGCTACAAGGGCCTTCCCTTCCAGGTCGAGTGGGTGGAACTTCCAGATATCGCTCCGAGAATGAAAGAGATAGGGGCAAGACCAAACAAGCTCGCGGACGGCGAAGAAATGTACACCTTACTTGTTCTCAGTGATCCCAACACCGGTGCACTGGTTACCGATTCCTGGGAGATTGCTGAGTATCTCGAGAAGACATACCCTGAGAAGCCCATCTTCTCTAACAAGAGCAAAGGTCTCATATACGCCTTCGGCAATGCGGTCATCAGCCTAATACTGCCCGCCGCTAAATTCCCCATCTTCCGCGCAAGCCAGATCCTGAACGAGCGCAGCGCAGAATATTACATCACCACGAGGCAGGTAATGTTTAAGGTGAAGATCTCCGAATTTTCTCCCGAGGGGCCGGCACGGGACGAGCACTGGGCTATTATTGAGCGGGCGTTCAACACCTACAAGGAGTGGTATGACGAGGAGGTGGGAACGTGGCTGATGGGCGACGTCTTTTCTTATGCAGACATCTTCACTGGTTCTATCCTCTCTTGGTTGAAGAGGGTATTGCACGACGACGAATGGGAGAAAATCGTGAGCTGGCACGATGGGAAGTGGGGAAAGTTACTTGCCGACGTGGAGAAGGAATGCAAAAAGGTTTAATTGAGCAAGGAGTCGATGTGCGCGAGACAAGCTTGCGTGGTACATATGTATGATTCGATGTAGAACGGAAGGAAAAATGAATTAGTACTCGAATAAGAACGCCCTGAGCTTCCCCTTTACCTCTCGTAAAATTTATTATTTTCTCATCTCTGTCACGAACAGGATCGGAATTTTCGCGAGAGCGACTTGCTTCACATTGTAATTTATTCTCCTTCGACTTTCTCTGAAGAAACACTTGTGGATGGCTTGGACAATGCTCTTTGCTTCTTCACTACCGCCGTGGACTGATGGTTGTGTGACCAGCCAAACTCTTGTGTACGCGAAGCTTTACCATATTTCAAACACATGTATGTCCCTCACGACATACGAGGTGGGTCAAACGAGAAACGAAGTGCTGCTACTCTCTACTGATACCAGCTGGGTACCGCAGTACCTAGTGTGGGTGATAACGAACAGGTGTTCCTTCCCTATCGAAACGCAGTACTGATACACTCGCACAATCGGACTGTTCGCCCAACCTCGGACTTGACTAGGACCAAAGGTTGTCCCCAGCACTTGTGAACACAACGTAGTTCGTGGTCGGACGGGCGTAGTTCACCGGTGTTCCATCGACGGTGCGCTCCTGAATTCCCACTAACACCGATCACGGGGGCGATGCTTGGTACATAGTAATTGCCTTGACAAACGTGTCGTGTTCGTCAGCTGCTGACGAAACGCGAAACGCACACACACGACACCGCATGACTAGTACACTGGCATTCAAGAAATACATAAGAACCGAAGGAGTCCGCCCCAGGTCACCGTTCGAACACCAATGATACCTCTGATCCTCTACGAAATCCCGTCCAACCTTGAAGGGAATTATTGGTCTCCCAATCCCGCGAAGCCGAGGTAAGTAGATCTATCATTCGTTCCCTCCGATTCAGGCATAACTTGGTCTATAGGTTCGTCCTAGGTTACAAGGGTCTTCCCTTTCAGCTCGAATGGGTGGAATACGCAGATATCCCTTCGAGAATGAAAGAGATCGGGGCAAGACAAAACAAGCTCCCGGACGGTAGAGAGTTGTACACCCTACCTGTTCTTAGCGATCCCAACACTGGCGCACTGGTTACCGATTCATGGAAGATCGCTGAGTATCTTGAGGAGACATACCCCGAGAAGCCCATATTCTCCAACAAGAGCAAAGGTCTCATTCTCGCCTTCGACACTGCGGCTTCTAACCTATGGAAGGCCGCCATCACATTCCCTCTCCTCCGTTCGTCCGAGATCTTGAATGAACGCAACGCGAAGTTCTTCATCGCCGCGAGAGAGGCGGGACTTAAAGCGAAATTCTCCGAATTTTCTCCGGAGGGACCAAAACGCGACGAGCACTGGGCTATTTTTGAGTGTGCAATGGAGACCTGCAAGGAGTGGTACGACAGCTTAGAGGGAAAGTGGCTGATGGGGGACGTCTTTTCCTATGCAGACATCCTCATTGCATCTCGCCTTTTTTGGTTCAAGAGGGTGCTGCACGACGATGAATGGGAGAAAATTGCGAGCTGGCACGATGGGAGGTGGGTAACGTTACTTGCTGATGTAGAGAGAGAGTGCAATGTGGTTTAGCAAAGGGGTTTAGCGAGTACTCGAGTATGTAAGATTTGATAATCAAACCATCCCAGGTAATGCAAACCAGCTAAAGCTAGAATCGGACAGACAGGAGAGTGTGCTTCGAAGAACGAAGAAGGCGGTAGAAGAGGAAGACGGGTGGACGACATGATCTCCTCAACCTTTTTTCGACATCCGGGCAACGATGAGAATTAGTCTAGCTTTCCATATTTATCAAACATGCCAAAGTGTGTCGATCTATAGGCTCGAGTCGAAGTGATCAGAAGCCGAGATGCATTGGCCGCGATGTACCACGAGGTTCCATGAAAACTTTCAGCTGGCTGTCGCCCAGTGGCAAGTTGGAGTTTCCAGGGATCACTAGTATGATCGTATTCTGCACTGCGATCCGGCCGCACACAGACAAGGTTCTGTTTCTGATATTCCCTTTCCAAGAGCCCGAGATTAATAAAAATCGACCACTTGATTTTCGTCGAAGAAATGTTGTCGGATGACAACGAACGAAGCTCGGACCGCGGACGACTGCCCTTCCGGTCGACGGAGTGTGCGCGCAGAACTGAAAAAATGGGTTACGAAAAAATCCTATCTTCCTGGTGGTCAAAGAAGCAACTCGTTGCTGCAATACCAGCGGAGTTCCGCAATGTTCCGAGCGACAAAAAGTTGATGACCATCCCCAGGGAAATGCGTGGTGATGACGCGGAATACTAATGTCACTGCCCCGCAATTGGGACCGCATTGCGCAGCTGTCGCATCAGCTGCTGACTCTGATGTGACGTAGTAAGACTCCACTCGTTTCAGCAACACAAAAGAACTGGAAGCGTCTGTTCCAAGTTGACATCCACGCACCAATGATGCCTCTCATCCTCTACGACATCTCCTCCAAGCTCGAAGGGAATCATTGGTCTCCCAATCCCGCGAAGCCGAGGCAAGTGGGTCTATCATTTGTTCCCTCTGACTCAGGCATAACCTGATCTTATAGGTTTGTCCTGGGCTACAAAAGTCTTCCGTTCCGGGTCGAATGGGTGGAGTACCCAGATATTGCTCCGAGAATGAAAGAAATCGGGGCAAGACAAAACAAGCTTGTGGACAGAGACATGTACACTCTACCTGTTCTCAGCGATCCCAACACCGGTGCACTGGTTACTGATTCGTTGGAGATTGCCGAGTATCTTGAGAAGACATACCCGCAGAAGCCCATCTTCCCAAACAAGAGCAGAGGTCTCATTCGTGCCTTCGACACTGCGGTCATCAGCCTACTGCGGCCCGGTGTTAAATTACCTATCGTTCGTACAAGCGAGATCCTGGACGAGCGTAGCGCGGAATACTACATCACCACAAGGGAGGCAACATTTAAAGAGAAATTTACCGAATTTTCTCCAGAGGGACCAAAACGCGACGAGAACTGGGCTATTCTTGAGCGGATGTTCAACGCTAGTCAGGAGTGGTACGACAAGGAAGTGGGAAAGTGGCTGATGGGCGACGTCTTTTCCTACGCAGACATTATCATTGCGGCTGTCCTCTTTTGGTTCAAGAGGGTTTTGCACGACGATGAATGGGAGAAAATTGCGAGCTGGCACGATGGAAGGTGGGCAAAGTTGCTTGTTGATGTGGAGAAAGAATGCAATGGTGCTTAGAGAGGATCGCGGCCCAAGCTTGCACTGGTGTATGATTGTACCTGATTTCGGACGAGGTGAACGTTGACAACAATGAAATTCTGGTACACGACTACCAGTATAGATGTACGAAGGAAAGCACCAAAGGTGGACGATGTTCTAGCGTTTTTCATCCTGCAGAAAAGCATCTAATCGACTCAGGGTGCTCTGAGGGTGCGAAAACGAAAATTAGATAGTAAAACCAAGGCTGCGGCGACTGCAGCCCGGATGAATTGCGAAGCGAGAGGTACTTCAGCCGATCGAACAGAGAAAATCGCGACAAGCATAAGAAACGCGAGACGAACACGAAGAGGAATGAGAGGCGGGTGGGCCAGGTGACCAAAAAACTGAGCTGAGCTAGCGAAACAGACGAAAGACAGGTCAGGAGAGTAAGAAACGGTAGCTACGGGAAACGGCCCACCTAGTGAGATGACGGGAACAGGTCAGGAGGGGCGAAGCGATCCCTGTAACCGCCATCACCAAGGCTGTAGGAGAAACTCCGCCTGCGGGGGGGCGGAGCTGCAGAGACAGGTGATATGGCGATTCTGATGACGCGTAGGCAAAGCCACCGGCGGCTGGGAGCTTCGGCCGCATGTGGCGTGGGTAAAGACCTCGTAGTGGCGGCCGCACCCACTAGTCGATCAGTCTCATATAAATTTAAACCCAACGATACCGCACTTCCCATGCTGAGTCTATTTGAGAGAGCAGGGCTTTCGCCGAATGAACAGGAATGAGAGTCGAAGAACAGCTTCTCCTACGTGGACGGACAGGAGAGTGAATCCGAAGTCTGTAGAAACCCCAACCATACGGACAATGTCATCACGGCGTAGCTTTGACCGAAGGTGGACCTCTGGAAGGATACGCTAAATAGCAACAGAATTCAGGTCAGCTTCAGGGGGGTCCCGATCAACCTCCATGCACAAATGCATAACACCGCACAGAATATCAGATGCAAATCTGCCATCGTCACCCCTTGTGTGATGTCCGCGTTCAAGAAGCATACGCCTCGGTCCATTTGCATGGAGTGTTGTTGTCTGAAGTGCCATAGGCGCACTCCCACAATTCTTCCCCAACCATTTTTGTCCGCCCCCATACAGCCTCACGGGATCTCGGACCGCGTTGATTTTCGGGCTGCATGGATGTAGGATAGACGCCGATCAGGACTGCGCTATGCAGTCATCACCAATCATGACACAGCATGATTCCAGTTGTTTCAGAATCACATAAGAACCAGACATACCAGTTCTAAGTTGACATCCACGCACCAATGATACCCCTCATCCTTTACGACTTCCCCTCCAAGCTCGAAGGGAATCATTGGTCTCCTAGTACTACAAAGCCAAGGCAAGTGGATCCATCATTTGTTCCTATCCACTGAGGTATAACATGGTCTTATAGGTTCGCCCTGGGCTACAAGAATCTTCCGTTCCGGGTAGAATGGGTGGAGTACCCAGATCTCGCTCCGAGAATGAAGGAGATCGGAGCCAAACCAAGCAAGCGACTGGATGGCACAGAAAAGTATACCCTACCTGTTCTAAGTGACCCGAACACCGGTGCGCTGGTCACCGATTCTTTGGAGATTGCCGAGTACCTTGAGAAGACATACCTTGATAAACCCATATTCTCCAACAAGAGCAAAGGCCTCATTCGCGCTTTCGACAGCGTAGTCATCAACCTACTGCGGGCCGCCTTCAAATTTCCTATCGTTCGCACAAGCGAGATCTTGAACGCGCGCAGTGCGGAATACTACATCGCCACAAGGGAGATAATGTTTGAAGAAAAATTTACCGAACTCTCTGCAGAAGGGCTAAAACGCGAGGAGCACTGGACTAATCTTGAGCGGATGTTCAACACTAGTCAGGAATGGTACGACAAGGAAGAGGGAAAGTGGTTGATGGGAGACGTCTTTTCCTACGCAGACATTATCGTTGCAGCTATCCTCTTTTGGCTCAAGAGGGTATTGCACGACAATGAGTGGGAGAAAATTGCGAGCTGGCATGATGGAAAGTGGGCCAAGCTGCTTGTTGATGTGGAGAAAGAATGTAATGGTGTTTAGCAGGGAGCACGAGCCAGTATATGTATGACCTGATTTCGGACTAGATGAACGTTAACCGTAATGGATTCCGGTACACGACTACAAGTATGGATGTATAAAGGAGAGCACCGAAGATGAACAATATGTTCCAGCGTTTGTCGACATGCCGTGTCCTGCGGAAAAGCGTCAATACGACACTTCCTATGCTGGGTCTATCTTGAGAGAGCAGGACTTTCGTCACTGGCACTGTCATCGACGGTCGGGGGTGTTCTACGTCGCGCAGCGTGGCATTCTCCCTTGGTAAAAGAAAAAGAGAAAGAAGAAGGAAAAAGCGATATTTATATCTCCGGCACGAATTTCCCACGCCTGTAGATTCGAAGTCCTGTTTCCGTCGCGTCTTTCCGTGTCTCATGTACAGAATACTAGCTGGACAAGGTGAGATGGCAACTTTGCTACCAGAAACACGACCGCTCATTTGCCTCTAGCGACACCGCGTTCCGTGGCATCGACGGCGCGTGTGCAGCTACATACATCCGCCGTCTGCTTGGCACAACGCAAAAAAGTCAAGGAGTCAAAGTCTGCTGTACGGGAAGAACGTAAACGGGTCAAGGATGCTGCACGTCTACACGCCGTCCTTGGTATACCACGTGGAGGTCAGGACAAGTGGCCCCAGTGCGATCTTGCAAAAGCTGTTATAACACAAGACAAGCTCCACTCCGAGGATGCTCACGAACTCCTCGAATTCCCCGAAGGAGCGGTTAATATTCCCTCTACTCTCAACTATGGCGTCTCTGGAGACAACAAGAAGATGTTGTTCGAGGTCTTGCCAGTTCTTTCCGCGGAGAGGGGGCGAGTCCACTTTAACGCGGATACAGTGCGAGAGACGGAAGAAGCTATGAAGCATGAAGTTGCGAAGGCGAACATGTTTGCGAAACTTGTTAGCCTACGTAATGCAAATGCAAAGGGAATCGCGTACGAAAACCGGAGAAGATGCATAGAACTGTTCTCCACCCCCGAGACTCCCAATGATACTGGTCTCCCGGAGGTGCAAGGTATGGTTTGGCAGTTCACAACATTTCATTTTTCATTGTTCATCTCGATCACTTTAGCCGCTATCCTGACACTGAAAATACGCAATTTGTGGGCGCATTTGCTCAAGTTCCGTATGGATATCGACAATCGCAGAGCGTTGCGGCGCATGGTTCACCAACGAGCCAAGGTACTGAAGTATTTGAAACAGAAGGACCTGGATCGTTATGAGGCAGTCCTCCCTCGACTGGGCCTTGAGCCAGGAAGCGTTGAGGGCGAACTTGTAGTTTAAGTGCATTCACAATAACAATACATGTTCCTTTTCATGGACTGCTATGTTAAAGTACATATCCGGATCTGAGGCACAGACAACAGAGAACATTGTCCCAGCAACAATTACGAGAACGCAGGCAGTACGGTAGTGAAGCCAGAATAAACAAAAGTGCGCAGACAAATGCGTGAAAGTGCAATTAGAGCCAGAGCTGAAATCGTAATTTCTCTTGAAAGATAGGGAAGATCACCCTTAAAGGAAGAACGGGTAATCGTCGTACTCGTCAAACTCGTCGTGGAAGTCACCACAGGCGTCACATAGCCACCCATAGCTATCGTAGCTATCGTAGCTATCATCTGACATATAGCCATCAGGGAAAGCTACAACTGAAGACCTTTCCATCGTTAAGGCAATCTTGAGATTGGGTGTGTATGGGTTTCGACGCCCTTGCGGGGCCTCGTAATCTCGATAGTAGTCCTGATTTTCCTGGGGTTCATCCACCCCGTGCCTGCAGAGCGTTTTAGGTCAGGTGAAATGACAAATGACTCGACGACATACGCAGCGGACAGATGACTCTTCACCTTGGAGAGTATCAAACAATCCTTCTCTTCGGGAAGATCCATGCAGTGAGCACAGAGCCATGTGTTGTCCTCGTTGGTACTATGTAATTCTGTCCCGAGGACGGCCGACATGAACGTTGCAATCAAGGAGGGCTCCGGAGAAGGCAAGTTAACATCTAGGCTCTCAATGTCCTTCGCAAGGTTTTCATCGAGGAGTTGCCACTTCACCCCGCTGGCATCGCGGTTGTGGTTTTGAACGGAGTGAATGAACTAGTAACGATGTAAATGTGGGGTCAGGTCAAGTGGGCAGATAAACCTACCGCTGCGCGCCAACCAAACACGGAAGCTCTACACGAATCCTTGACTACGGGGTCCCACTTAGGACAGCTGAGACAGGCCAGCTTCGAGTCCAATGTGTCCATCTCGGCCGTTGTGGTGGTAAGTGGATCTCGATCACATGCAACGATGATGTTAGAGGCGACTGCTTCAGCTTGTCCGTCGATTCGGAGAGGTGCACACGTCCACTGCGTACGCACATGCCGGTGGTACCACCTGAGTTCACTGATCGGCTCTGAGGCTGTGATCGGACTCTCTTGTGCCCATCCCTTAGTTAAACAATGGTGACCCATGACCTTCGGATAGAAGAGCGGAATGGCCGACGCAGAGTGCTTTGATGGAGAATCCTGGAAAGGATCGCCGTAGGTCATCCACGAATCAGTAGCGCAATGGTCACAGCGGAACACCGTGGTGGCGAGCGAAAGAACTTTGACAAGCTCTGCTTTATCTGGCAGAGGGGGTTCGACAGCTTTTGCTTTGCCTTTCCCTTTCACATCAGTTGACGACGAAGCACTAGCCTTGGCTTCGCCGTTTGTTTGTTTCTCCACCAAGGCATCAGCAGTCCGTTGGTGTTTTGAGTACAATGCATCTTTAAACTTGTCGATGAAACTGTTGTGAGTGCGGATACGCCACTGAGCAATTAGTTCCCCCAACCGGGAAACCACGTCCGCAAAGCTAGCTTCCGTTACCGCTGTTTCCGTCGGGAGGTCTATGATGGCGGACACTTCAGGGAACGTACAAAAGTCCATTGGTTCGGGCATAATATCTGTAAATGGTAGTTGCTCCTGCTTATATGTGCGAAGAATTGAGATGGCAAGCTGCTTGCGGGAAAACACCAATGCTTTGCGCTCGCGCTGAAGACGGCGAGCTCTTAGGTCCTCCATATGCTTGATCATTTCTAGCCTGATATTGCTCCATACTAAAACAAGGTTCAGGGAACCGCTCGGAGGCGCAAAAATGAGCCTACGTACTGCGGGACGTCAGGCGAGTGGGCTGTTTCACCAGCCTGTGATTACCAAGGTCATCGTACGGAGGGATCTGCTCTATTTCGGGATCCCCAACCAAGTTTGGTCAGTTCCTCGATGATTCTAAGGAGCAGGATTCAAAACCTGAAGCGGAAATAACGCAGTACTAAACCTACGCTTGTTTCCTTGCACCCCTCAAGTTTTCCAACTCCACAGATCGAGCACTCGCCTGCCTAAGGGCCCATGCATCCAACAATACGCCATGCTGAGGACAGAGCATTAGAGGGCACTACAAGTCTTGCGGAACAAACGACTACCTTGTTCATTTCGAGAACACGGGCCTTACACTCTTCAACGAACTTCTCACGTTCTTGAGGGTCTGTTAGAGAAACCCTCCTCCGATGGAATTCCTCCAAATCCTTCCTGTAGTAGCACTGACGTCCTCGCTCTGACGTGACCATGCCCAATTAACGTGATGAACTACTTGGAATCGTGTTCATGTACTCACTGCCCAGCTTACTAGGCACTGCCGCGTATGGCGACCCTGGACCGTAAGCGTAATTCTCTTCGACCATACTGGACGAAGATGAGGAAGTTTCGAATAGCTGACAAGTGGTGTAACCTACCAAACTTTCGTACATTTCATACAAATACGTCGAGCGAGACACCAGTCCACAGAACGGGTGTTAGGGGCCAGGCATTCCTAGATATCAAACTGAGAATTGTAAAAAGATCAAGAAAGGCTAGGGCTCACATGGCAATGGGTGTCGAAAACAAGGTTGGCAAATTGAGGCTCGCTCATGAAGGGTGGGCAGTCTGGGAGGTCCGGCAGGTTATTGCGAGCGGCAATCCAAATACAGCGAGCAGACCGGTCCATGAGGACGCGCCTAAACTGCTTTGTAGTCCGGGCAAGGCGAAGTACGTCCAAGGGGTTTAGGTGCCCAAAGATCTGCACAACAGTTCAACTAAGTTCCGGTCGGGTAAGGGCAGATTCAGGGGCGCACCTCGAAGAGTATATCCATGGGCATTTCCATGAAGGCCCGCCAACCTTCCCCGCCAGTGGGCCCCTGCGAGGTTTCTTCTTCTTGGATGCCACATCCTCGACATCCTCCTCATATTGCTCGGATTCAGGAGCGGCAATACGCCTTTTCTTCGCCTGCCGGGTAGACGTCCGGCGTTCAGTGAGAGGCCCTGAAGAAACAGAGCCGCCACCCCCGCTCTGGCCTGCACCACCCATCTTACTTATTTCTGTATCGTGCAAAGGGGGTCAGTACTGAATGCTCAAGGGCGCACAATGCGCGAGGGCGTAAATAGTACTGGGAGGGAAAAAGAAGGGGCCTCCAGCCAGGCCCTTTCAGCTTGCCACCCGGCAATTGCCGTCAACGCTGATGGGGCTATCACGTGATAAGCGTGCCATACACGCTGTTATAAGGTGCAGAGGCGAGGCTTGCAACAATCTTCATCAACGTGCATGATGGCGATGACGTCGAACAGTATCCAAGACATTCTGGCCGACACCTTGAGCTCAGATGCAAACAGGCGAATGTCAGCTGAGCTGAACCTTTCTGAAGTTCTTCAGCACCAAGGCTCGTCCGAAGTCATCCATAAACCATGCCTTCTTTGATCTCATGTCGATCTGACGCGTTTAATAGAAGCTGGTTTCGCCCTTTCGCAACTGGCATTGGTACAGAATGTGGATGTGTCCATCCGACAGATAAGTGACTCGTATCTCTCTGTTTCACGCGTCTTACCTGCGCGAAGCACTCCGCGGGCAGTCGTCCTAAGAAAGTACGTGACCGAGCGATGGTCACCGTATTTTCCGTCGTTCAAGGGAAACTCTCCGTCCGTAGAGGTACCCATTACTTGCGTTGTCTATGACTTTTATTCACGTTCTTTTTCAGGTAAAATGTCAAATCCGCCACGCAGTTTTTCAGGGACTCTCAGACCCAAATCGCAAAATAAGATCACTAAGTGCAAGTGGTGATAGCATACATAGAGCGGTTTTTAGAGGTTGACTTTGGCATACCCAGGCCCGTACACTGTCGTCAATTGCCAGTTGTGACTGGCCAGATGAATACCCCGATCTCCTGAGTTCTCTAATTCAGCTTATCTCTTCTAATTCTCCGGATGCTGTCCATGGATCCATGCAAGTGCTCACTGAATTCATAAAATCTGACCTAACAGAAGATCAAATATTGCCCGTTCTCCGCCAACTCCTGCCAGTGCTTTTGGCGATTCTTGGCGCCCCAGAAGTGAGTTCCTCCGTAACGAGCTCCTGCCTTATCCTGACAACTACCCCGACAATTAGCAACATATGCCCCTGACCCGAGCGCGAGCGGTCTCTGTCTTCCGCCAATGTGTTACTGCCCTTTACATGGTCAAAGGTCAGCATCCCGAGGCGGTGAAGGAAGCTACCTCAATCCATTCTGCCCGTGTGGTTGGATGCCTTCAGAGTGCTTTTAAATCTCGATCCTGCTCAAGAACTTTCTAACCAGGAGAATTGGGACGGGCTGTCTGTCAGAATACAAGTCTTCAAGGTTTGTGGAAATTTACTGGAACTCGGGCTTGCTCACGAAAGGTGGCGTGTTGCAGACTCTTGGCACGATCCATACTTCGTTCCAGCGCGCAATGGTCGCTTACCTACCAGATTACCTGAATGCTGCGCTCCACCATCTGCAAGTAATATACGTCACTTATAACCGCTGTTATATCACCGCGTCAGAAAATGCCCCTGGATCATCGGAAGACGAAGCCGTAGAACTTCCGCACCTGATTTGCCCGATATTTGATTTCCTTTCAAATGTAGCCCGAGGAGGAAAGGCCAGAGAGTGGCTATTGACACAAACACAAAACCCTAGGCGCTGTAGTCGCGGCAATCTTCCAGTATACGCAAATGACTGCTGAGGATGTCAGTAACTAATCACAATATTCACTTCCGGACTCTTACACCTTCCCAGGAGGAGATGTGGGCGGCAAATGCAAATGCTTTCGTTGCACAGGAAGAAGACGAAATTCAGACGTATGGCGTCCGACCTGCTGGCTTCGAATTGCTTTACGTGCGGGCGCACTATTCCTACCTTATGACTTGATTGACGTGCAGATCATTAACAGACCCTGTTGGATCGCTCGGCAGCGCAAGTGTGCACTATTTTGCAAGAGCAGCTTCAGCGAACCATCACGAATTCCCACCTCGCCCGTGATGGCGAGGCAATTGACTGGTAGCCTACGAAACCTCTATTGTGCGTATTTCGGTATTGAGATTTCCTACAGGTGGAAAGCTTTAGAAGCTGCACTCGCAGTCATTGGGTCCCATGCCGAAGACATACTAGAATGCATCGATGACGAGGTTGAATCAGGTCGTACAAAACCTATAGATATTGAAGACCTCCTTGCAAACCTTATCCCATCCATCCTTACCCAAACTCGCAAGTTGTCTTTTCTTTTTCTGTTAACACGATTGATGAAGTGTTCCATCAGAATTCCCATTCTTGCAAGGCAGAGCCTTCGTCTTTGCTAGCCAGTTTGCCAAACTTTTGCCGTTGCAAATAGCCGGTCAGTACCTGGAGGCAGCAACACAGGTCCTGGAATCGAATGTTGCCGGAATCCCCGTTAAAGTATCCGCTGTCAAAGCAATCCACAAGTGAGGAATTCAACCAATTTCGCATGCCTTTACACTTAGATCGTTCAGTTTCTGTGAAGGCGCAGAAGATTCTGCTGTAAGACCGTTCGCACCGCGGATAACCCAAGACCTTGGGCCATTCCTTCTCGTCACCACGGAAGATACGCTATCTCTTGTCCTCGAAGCGATGTCGGTAGTTTTGGACGTTGACAAGGGCTCATGGCTATCCCAGGATCTTGCCAATTCGCTTGTCATCGCTGTACTAGAAGTTTGGGCCAAAAATAATAAAGGTGAGCTATCGACGGACATTTTGTGGTCAGTAATAACATTAAAAATATGATCAGACCCTATTTTCCTCTCGATCTTCACAGAGATATTGGAATCCCTCGCTGCTTCTCGTGCTAACGGGGTGTACGAGACCGTGGTTAAACAGGCTTTGCCCACACTGTGTACTGCGATTGCAAACGCTAAGCCCGATGAACCTTGGATTGCCGGATCAGCTATCGACCTGGTTTCTAGTCTCGTCCGCGGAGGGCCGGAGGGTGGACTCGGGGAGGGCTTCTTTGCCCACCTTGCACCTAGTCTGTTCAATTGCCTGGAACATGCAGAAGACCGGGATGTGTTACAGGTATGTACGTTACCAAGGGAGTGCGAACTTTTTGCCCTGATTGTCCTTCTAGAACGGTATTGTCTGCATCACCTTGATTGTCCGCAAGGACTGTTCGCAAATCCTCTCTTGGTCCGACTCCAATTCTCAGCCTGGATTGGATCACATACTCAAGCTCGTTGCGAAGCTCCTGCAAAATGAAGACGAATCTGGTGGCCTAGTAATTGGTGATCTTATCACCCACCTCCTGCGTCGTGTTGGAGAGTCGGTCCTTCCAGTGCTCCCCGAACTCCTGCGCGCAATGGCCCAAAGAATGTTGACCGCAAAGACTGCTACATTCTTGCAAAGCCTCGTCATTCCCTTCGCTTTCTTGGTCTGCAATCAAGCTGATACATTAATCTCTCTCTTGGAATCGACGCGGGTGCAAGACAGAAGCGCACTCGACATAGTTATCCACACGTGGTGCGAGAACGCGGAGACTTTCCAGGGCTTCTGGCCTACGCGCATCAGTACCATTGCACTTTCCCGGCTGTATGCGTCTGCTCGACCTAGCCTTCGGAGCCTGAAGGTCAAGGGAGACATCATCGTCAAACCTGAAACTAAGAATGGTGAGTCTACTTGTTTGACTACTTCCTCTGTATCCATTCTTCGTTTAACGGGGGTTGTGTTCGCTGGCACAGTGATCATGACCCGGTCGAAGACCAAGACAAGTACGCATCGTTCTTCCGCTTTTCTTGTGGCTTGCGTGGTGTGGGTTATGGTCGTGATGGGATACTGATTATGATTGTACCTAGTCCCCCATGAGTTCACGTCAATACCGTTCCCAGTCAAGGTACTTAAACTGCTTGTGCGTGAACTACGCTCCGATGGCGAACCAGCCACCATTCCTGGTGAAGGCTTTGAGGTTGACTCGGACGACGGGGTGAGTCCTCGAAATTATGGCTCGCTTTGGGCGCGCCGGTCTTACTATTCTGATCTACAGGACGAAGAATGGACAGAAGAAGAGCAGCAGCATCAAGGTTTCAAAGAAGACGAGTTTGCATTTCTATCGGAGATGCTCGGCCCTAGAGGTGCCAACTTTGATAATGACGATATTCTGTACGAAAGTGACGATGAGGATCTCAAGAACGATCCCGTATCCCAGATCAATATGAAGGTTCATACGCCTAACACGCTGATCCTGAGTAGTTAACTAACAAATCAACAGGAACACTTGATAGGATTTTTCAAGGAATGTGCGGCGATGAATACCAATAACTTTGCAGCGAACGTCGACCAGTTGTCTGCAGAGGAAATTTTGGTTATCCAGCAAGTCGTAGGGAAGTAGTTTGGAATGCTGTGACATTGATGGAGGGCGCTTGTGCGTCGAGTCATCCCAGTAGCTACTCTCCCATTCTTCAATGCCGTCTTGTGGAATCATTGTACAAGTGTACTACATAGCCGCTATGATGACGATGGGTATGATACAAAAAATACAAATGCAAAAAGTGGACGAAGGGCAAGGTTCATTACACCCCTTCTTTGCCCAAATCCCACTCTCTTACGCTACCCCGCTTATTGTACTCGATGTTCATAATGCCGTCGCCACTACCAGCCTCGCCAGGCTTCCTCTTTTTTAGCTGTTCCGGTTTTATCTCGCGCGATGGGAATCCGAGTTTCTCTAGCCGTTTCTTCTCTTCTTTGTCCTGTCGACGCTGCCGCAGAAATTCGAGCATCGCATCCCAGCCAGCGTAGTCTGTGTCATCTATGAGTCCGGTCTTCGGAACTGACGGAATGGCGAGTGAGGAAACATCGAGACGGGGATCATAAGAATCTTCAAAATATTTATCCATTTTGGACGGAAGAGCTGTTGGCGGAAGTGGAGGGGGTGAAACAGATGGTGAACGGACGGACGTAGAGGCGGACGGAAGCCCGCGTTTTCGACGTGGAGGCGGGGATGGTTGTGGAGGTGGCAATGGCGATGATGATGGATCAGGAACGAAACAATTAGTCGGCTCTATCTCCTTATGCTTGCCTTTGGCTTTTCGGCGAGCATCCATGAAGTGGCTGTCGGATGGAGTCTCGGATGACGAGGGTAGAAACGCCGTGTTTCCTTGTGTTGAATCTGAAGGAACCTCGCCGTTACTGAGAGGCACTTGCGGTGGAAGCTTTGGTGATGGACTTTGAGCGCGTATCGAAGAAGTTTTGCTATCCAAAAGTGCTGGAGAACTGGCGGGTGAAGGCGAACGTGAGTGACTTGATTTCTGCCGTCGCTGACGACGATGCTCGCGTTCCCTGTCATCATGGTGTCTATGTTTCCTGCTATTCTCTTCGCTGCGGTGGGAGCCCTCATCTCTCGAGTCCCTGTCTCTTGACGGGGTATGTCGCCGTCTCTTCTTACGTCTCCGATCCTTGTCACGCTCACCGGAAGGGGAGCGGGAGCGATGTCGGCGCCTCCGAGGCCCCTCGTCCCGACCGTGCTCATCCATCCCGTCATTCTCATCGTCATCTCTCCGTCTTCGGCTCCGCCGTCCCTCAACCCTTTCGCGCCTATATTCATCCTCGGAATCGTCGTCTTCGCGTCGGCGCCGTCGACGCCGCTCGTGGCGGCCGCGCGCATGCTCATCCTCGGACTCCCCAACGTCCTGCTTCCTCCAGTCAGAACTCCAGTCCTTTATGCTACGCCTCTCCTTGTCCTTTCTCCCATCCCATCCCCAACTATTTGAATCTCTTCGCCCACTCCGTCGTCTCGAACGCTCAGCCGCAGCAGCCTCCTCTGCACGAGCCCTTCTCTCCCGTCTCTCTTCCTCCTCTCTTGCACGTTTGATCTCCTGAGCAGCGAGGGCTTGTTCACGAAGTATAGTCTTGTTGTGGTCATCAGTACGTCGGATTATAGAAGAGAGAAACCGCTTGTTAGCACGTGGAGCATTCGCGTCTGGCCTAAGTGAAATATTCAATACGGACTCGCACAGAACTAGAGGGTGAATGAATGGGACATACCCAGTAGGGAGATACGCCTCCACACCCAATTTTGTGTAACTCTCTGCTTTTTGTTTGGCCTCCTTGAGAATGAGTTCTGCGACGTGCCTATCGAGGTCTTCGTCTGGCACGGACGCCGGTACTGACGCGCCCATCGAGGCACGAACCAAGTTCGAGACTACAGACGAGAGCGACGACTTGGACATCGTCTGGAATAATATTGCTGTGCACTTGGGTGCGAGGGCTGCTGCTGGGATTTATTACTTTGCTGCTGTTTGCATTCAGTGGCACGGCCATGCTCAGAGTACTCTTGATGTACTCGACACCTGCGACCATCGGAAAACGAGAGCGCCAGCCGAAGACTGCTGTAAGAGGTCTCTTATCACCTCCAGAACTGTCCCGAACAAAAGTATGAAAATTGAAGTAGGGCGGGTGAAAGAAGCGTCGCAAATTACAATTACAGCTCTTTGAACATACCGAGGCTTGTAGACATCCTATTTAAGTCATGTTGGCATACGGTGCGCACACAGCTTTCTGATGCATCACATCTACATCTGAAGCACCATGTGCACCCACCAGATCCAACAGTCGTGTTCGCGACTTTATTTAATCCAAAACGTACTGTGATATCTAGGACCGGGTCCAGTGCGGTCACCGTTCATTTAACCCCAAAAGTCCTTCAGGCATCATTTCCAAAGCACGCTTAGTGACGCTGAAATTGTGTGGAGCGATCCTTGCGGAGGATGAGTGTATACTTGAATAGCTGGCCCACACTTCAGTGGAGTCCTTGCTGGAACAATTACGGTAATGACGTTGAACGCTGAACGCTGAACGCTGAACTGCGGCAAAAGAAGCCCCGTCCGGCGACCCTGCGACCCCCTTGAACTTGCGAGATTACCTTGTCGAACAATGGCCATATGTCGAACAATAACAATATGCCACTTTCGATTCTCCGCGGGGTCATCGTTAGTGCAAACTGGACTCTGTTGGACTCCGATAAGCTGGCCAAAATTCGACCGAAAATTAAGTCGCTGTGCAACACGAGGTACAACACACCTCAGACTGCTGTATGTTTTTCCTGAACTTAGGTGTTTTTGGTTGCATGACACATAACAGCAGATGACAGTGGCCTGGTTCCAACTCTCAGGTGCCTGGAACGTGCACGTACCTTGATCCGGGGGGTATATCTACATATACATACTCAGTTGGGACGGAAGGTGCAAGTCTTGACGCGGCGATATTGAGTAATGGGTGGGCCAGCCTGCTTATCTACGCGCCATTACGAAATGGACATCCGTTGGGAAATCGCTTGGTAAAGTTGCGCTGTGGGAACTGGCATGACACGGTTTACTGTCCCATATGCAGTGCAACCATGGTTGGATGAGGGCTCGACAATCGCCGTGTAAATACGCACATCTTTCCATCCTTTCCCAGATGGTAGCCAGTGTCGTAATTACACCTGTTTCACGTGTTTTCATTAAGCCTTACAGACGCCGACCAGCTTCACCAGACATTACTTGCAAGTCAAGGGTACTAACGTACGCAAATGAATCGCCGAAGCTCACCTGCGGCCAGGTACAGCGATGCAGGGAATTCTTATAAACTCGTTGTAGGGTAACTGGTTACAACCCTTACTTGGTGGGCAGTGCGGTTGAGCGTCACTGCCTCAACCTAATGCCGCGGTTGTTCACGGTCATTACGGCGCTTCGGGTTCTGTGGTTATGCTGACTCGAGGTGTTGGAGTACTTGCGCCATGCGATACCTGCTGGAAATGTAAGTCTATCTCATCCCACTGACTAGAACAATGAGATCCACCGGGACAGATCCGGCTTGGAGGTGACAATATCCAGACTCACTGCCCGTACATGTGGAAACGCGACCGCCGGGTTGGATCTCTCACCACCCCTGGACTGACCGAACGGGCAATACATGCCCGTTCCAACGGAAACGAGTAGGCTTTTGTTATTCAGAAAAGGGATATACAAACTCGAAGGGCCGACGTCGTCATCCGAACCATTAGGATGGTCTCCTGGCCAAGTTAGGGCTTCCACCTTCGGCGCTCCGTATGACATTACATTCGGAAATTGGCAATTATCTGCACTTGGAATCGTATAAATACCGCCCACCCTGCTTGGAGAGGAGGTATTGCGTCCACAAACGTTGCCAGCTAGGTCCTGTCTGCAGGTCTTGCCCGTTCTCCTCCTTGCCTGCGACTTTCGTCGTCGTCGCTCCTCACGATGAACGTCGGACTCCCTAACTTGGCACGTTTTCGGTTTGTCCAAGTCTCCCAAGGTGCTCAATGCCCACCATATTTGCTTTGCTCTTACACTAACGCATAATTTTGCTCAGGCGGTACCCGAAGAGGTTTCCTTTGATTTCGCAGTGGCGGTCTCTCCACGTGGCTTCCGCATGGCTCCTACTGCTTTACCTCGTGTTCCCATATCGAGTATACCCCTGGAAATTGTCCTCTGTATTCTCCAGCTGGCTCATTTGAACGACAATCACGAACCGGATACTCAACTCCTTGCATCTTTCTCCCTCACCTGTAGGTCATGGTCATTCCATGCCCAGAAGCTTTTGTTTAGGCGGGTCCGACTGCACTCAGAGGTGGCATATGAATCGTTTGTTTTTGCCGTTGATCGGTCTACAATGCGAGGTGTCGCGCTCGGTGATGCCGTTCAGCAGTTACACGTTGTCTTGGACGACAATCAGCCTTCTCCACTTGAGCGGGCCTCTTTTGCACGTGCCATCACCTTGTGCCCAAACCTCTACGGGATCGACCTCTCTGTCTATGGTTTCAATGAACCTGCACGGAATGGTCATGTAACAGAACGCGTTCAACGACCCGCGCCGCCGTTTACGGAACACATCCTTGATCTGATCCGTACAGGACCAGCAATTTCCCACCTGCATTTCAGCAATTGGTCTGATAACGATGATTTGATCGTTCAGCTTCTTGCCGTCTGGCCGTCTTTGAAATCCTTCTCCATCGCCGGAAAGACTCCACACCTCTCTCCAGCGCTCAAGCGTCGGCCCTGTTACCCAGGAACACTCGAGAAGCTCAGAATGAACTGTCAAGTCGAGCCATCCCTCGACTTCCTCGGATGGGTCCTTCATACATCCGCGGAGGCCAAGAGCCTTCGTGGGATAGATCTAGACCGGGAGCCAAGCTTCCACCTCCTGGACTTTCTTGTCGAACATCATGGCGAGGAACTGCACGCGTTGTCTCTCCCCTCGTGTACTACTCACAAGCATGCACATGCCGTCATCCGTTGCCGTGGCCTCCGGGAATTCCGGACGGAAAGAGCATGGACATTACCCACCGTTTTCCAACATTTACCCGAGCATGTCACACATCTTGCATTTGGGATGGATCCATCCACGCCTTTGCAACATATTGTCGAACTCGTGAAGACAAAGGATGAGTTGGAGTCGGTAACTGTGAACGTTTGGCGCGGGGATTGCGAGCGGCAACTAGGGGCCTTGAAGATGGCTTGCGCCTTCCGAGGAGTTGAACTGCGGATAACGAGAGACATTTGTCTTCACCGCGCGCTGGTGGTGAGTACTGAAGTCGACCCGATCCAGTGGAGAGCGTACTAACTCCACGGCCCTTTTCAGCGCCGTTGACTCAATCACTTTTGACACATAGAATGACCCTAATTTTGACCAGTCGTTCGGGAAACGGACACCACCCTAGTGTTTTTCATACGCCTTTTTTCCCCCAATAGCTGCTTCGCTCGGACACTTGTAGCATCTGACACAGTAGTTATTTATGGCCGCCTAGTCGCGCTTCTCATGTTGTTCACGAAACCTCTAACGATTTCTGCCTATCGTATTTTTATTTTACACGCACCCATTGATCAGGACGCTATCTCACTTCCTGGGACTAAAGATTCAACACATCATGTTATTTGATCTTCTTACTTAGTTCTTTATACATACATACTACGTAGCTGCACCCTCAAACTATATTTAATTACATCCCAGGCCATGTCGATGGAAATACTTTTACATATGTAACACACGAAGTCGAGTCTTGGTGTATATATACCGTCGAAGAGTTTGTTGCTAGTTACCACCAGCTGGATTTGGACAGAACTCATCAATCCGCATTCGTATCCCACCGCTGACATGTACTTGGACGGACACTGGTCCCCGTAGCGCGGAAATAACATCAGGGACGGAAAATATGAATTTCAATGTAAGGATTCAGATTCAGAGCCTTGGGAACTTAACAAGGACAAACAAACGCCGTGGTTTCTGGTCAGAACCCATTAGGCTGAACATATCTTCAAGACCATGAGTACGCAAGCTGCTGGAACCGACGGCGAGCTTAGTGCACTTCAGGACTTACTCTCACAATCGCAAGGAGTGTTCGAGGCCCCAGAGAATGCCGCCTATCTCACCGAATTGCCATCTCTTCCACTGTCTGATCTTCTGGCAACACCGGCTTCGTTAACGACTCAGTCACATACGATCACGTCGTCATTGACAGCTCTGACGCATACGTCGTACCCGACATTCTTGTCGCTACATAAAAGCTCAACGTCCTTGCTTGGCTCTCTCTCTTCTCTCGATTCATCACTCAACGCCCTCCTTGACACTGCTTTGCCCGCTCTAGATGATGCCGCACGCGTCTTTCGCGAGAAGAGCGGGCCAAGTGTTATCGAAGAACGACAAAAAACCAGGGTAGTGCTAGAGCAGCAGGATAAACTTCATGATTTACTCGATATACCAATTCTTATCGACACTTGCGTCCGGAACGGCCTCTACTCTGAAGCATTTACGCTAGCCACTCACGCAACAACTGTACTGGCGGCGCTATGCACTCTACAATCTAAAGAGGGGGACTCTACATCGTCCTCACTGCAATTAGCGCGATCCCTGCAGGACGAGGTAGCTTTCTCGCTCCGCTCTATGCGGCTCCTCCTCCTCGACACTTTATTCGAGCCACCGAAGAAGTTACCTGCTTTGTGGAAAGCTGTACAGTTTCTTCGCAGAATGCAGGCCATGCCGGAAGACGAGCTCGCTTTGACATTTGCGAGTGCACGCATCGAATGCCTTCGAAGTGCATTACAGAATTTAGAGAGAGATGCCGGTGTATCCGGTGCCGCCACTTTTGACGTTAATGACAATATCACGGGGCCAACCGCTGAAGATAGGGAGAAACAACTGGATAGACAAGCCGACGACGTCTCTCGTTTCCTCAAGAAATATATTGATGCTTGGAGGGAGGGGGCGTATGATATTATCACTCAGTATACCACGATCTTCCTAGAACGATCACACGTTGGTGGTCCCTCTCACTCATCTTCGACTGCACAGCCCAATCCAGTAATTAAGCAAACGTTGCTGCCCACACTGTTGTCCCTACTACTTCCACCTCTCCGAACACACCTTCGGTGGGCATATCCTCACCTTGCCCCGCTTTCCACGCAACTAGCGTATTGCAGCTCGGCAATGGCGCGAGTCGGAATGGTATGTACCTTTGTCATGTATCTCTGGCTTAACAAACTGTTCATGACAGGATTTTCGGGCGCTGCTTTCTCGACTCCTTACCCAAGCGGTAGTAGATGGTTTCACACGTGACCTACGAATAGGTGCTAACCGCGAATGGAGCCTCACACTCTCCAAGTACACATCCGGCAAAAACAAGTCAGCAGCACCAAGCACTTGGCTGGTCTCAGCGGTTCAACCTCTCCCTTCTCTTTCGACTTTGGTCACACAATCGTCTGCTCCTGCCCATATACCGCCAGAGATATTGACATCCTTCCCGCCGTTAGCAGTCAGCCTGAATACATACTTGCGGTCACTAAATAGGTTGCGTTTATTCGTGCCTGTTAATGCGGTGAATGGCGTTATCAATGCACTAGAGTCTAGTCTATCAAAGGCAGGGCAAGAACTGTTTACGTATGCTGTGGAGTGCGGAGCGAGTGGCAAGGAGTTGGATATATTACGCGCTGGGGGAGCTGCGTATGCACGAGTCATGGCTCCCTTCCTCAGGCGTGCGGTGGTCGAGGGCGTGTTCGGAGCCCCACGTTCCTCCCAAGGAGACGGCGACGAAAGGATGCAGACTGAGAGCGGAACTAAGGACCACGACGCACTGGAAATCGTACTTCAGAAGTGGGAGAAGTGGTTAGGGGATGGAACATGAGGTATGCTTGAGACTTGGGAAGTGCTTTGCTCCCTTCATTGTTACTATCGTCCTCATGACCCATATTCTGGTCACTTCTTGTCCACAACATAACGGTCACTACCATTTTATGTAATACCCCATAATCCCACGGCCGTAGAAGGGTGATCTCTCTTTAGTCCATCCCGGTCCGAGCGGGGTTGACTTTCTCGTGCTAGTGAAGGATCAATCTTCAGCGCTCCAGCTGTGCAACTACTCTTTCATCCTGGTGCGTGACCTCCCGTGTCATAGGGACGAATGAGCAAACGGGGATACTGAGCGTTGACGATCAGCGATCGACCTATCACCATTAAATATTACATAGTAAGATTTGCTACACGCAGTGAGTACGTACATACAGAGGAGGTATTTTACAAGAAAGAAGTTGCACATTATGCTGGTCAGAGCTGCAAGTCTGCAACGACGATATCCTGTTCACGCAATTTTGGATCACGTCTCGCCTTCAAAAGTAAAGGTACCAATCTCGTCTTTTCGATTTCCCCGCCCCTGCTGCCGAAGTAACGCTGGCTTTCATAGCTCCAGCAGTAGTTGGCCCGTGCCCAGTTGGCAATGCCATTCAAGTATTCCTTGAGCTGTGCATCCAGTTTGGCGCCCCACGAAGGTAGTTTAAGCAAGCCGTTGATGAACCTGGCTTCGATCTCTGTGTGGTACGCAGCTGCCCATGCCATCGCACCGCTCCGGTCAAGACCGAGCTCGAACATGATCGCTGTTACCAAGTTGTGATTTTCATCACCAGTCCCTTGTTCCCTGTTGTATGACGCCAAATCCTGTATAAAACATATCATCATCGGCGATGCACCATATGGGGCGATCCGTACACGAGACTTACGTTGTCGATCAGGATCAGCTCGGCGGCGCAATCGATCAGCTCTGTCACTGCGGGGTGGTAGTACACTTCGTCGACAAGGTTCAAACCGAGCTCAAAGATGGCAAATGCAGACTGAGCACCGACGGTCTGTCTACGAATGGAAAGGTATCCTTGGATGTCGTAAGTTGCATTCTTGTCACGATCACCAGCTTCCACAATGACAGCACGGAGATAGGTGATGTAATCGTCCAGGAAATGCTGCTGGGACGTCAGACTTGCGGATTGTATAGCTCTGGACCAGAATCTAGAAAAGAATGATTGAGTGTTCTTGTCGGTCCAGATTCAGATGAGTCCACTGACTGTTTGATAATCTCACCCAGGATGACTTCGCCCTCCGGACGTGGTCTGTGTGGGTTCTTCAAGGCGTCGATAATGATGTCAACCATCTCCGCAGCGCGATCGGCATCCTCAACATCGGTATACTCATCCACAATGAAATAAACGATCATGAGCTCGCATCCAATTCGAAGATGCTCTGCTCAAGTATAAACAGTTGGACGCAGTTACCAGATATTCGTGTACGTACCTCGCGAGGCATCAGGGTAAGACAACGCAGCAAGGCGAACTGTCGGCAGTGATGACTTGCTTAATGGATTGTATACGCAGTGCACATCACGGAAGAATACCAACCGAAGTCACACTTCTCGAATGCTTTCAACGACTTTTGGGAGAGTGCATTAAAGGAGCGGAACCATTCGTCGACCTCAGCCTTGACTTCTTCGAAAAATGGGTTAATCCTCCGCGGCCATGGCCAGTTAGCCATGGTGTTCGGAAGGTAGAACATCTGCGGCCTATCCGAGCACGTCATATCGGCAAGGAGAAGTGGAGGCTGAGAGGGTAAAACAGGAAGGGGAAACACTAAGGTAGATACTGTCATCCCACATCTGCGTTCTCCTTTTAAACCGTTACTACAGACCTGGAGCTTCATATTCGGGAGTCCCCACCACTGGTTGACACAGCCAGCAGTCCGAGATGACGCCCGAAGCCTGTCCAGCCAATCAGAAACCGTTACGGTAACAACAAGGCAAGCCCAAAAAACGCTGGTCGATACAGAACTTCTGCGGGAATAATTAATAAGATAGGCGGTGTGCCTCCACGTACCATACACCGCCATACACACTCCTTGTTCCTTTAGTGCAAGGTTCGTAGATGGGGACGCATTTCTGACGAAAATCAACGTTGTCTGTCAGATATTCCACTAGGTTGAAGGCCGACGGACATCTAAGAAGTCGTTCCTCATGATCTTGGCATCAGGTTTCGAACCAGTAACCCATAGATTACTCGATATCTTGTTTTCCTTTCTATCAGCGGATCGTTATTGGGGACCGGCAACCCGAAAAGGCCGAGCCATTTTCCGCCTTCAAGGGCGCTTTTTTCGAAGTCAACGTTTAACATGTGTACTGAACAGCCACATTAATGAATTCAGGCAGTACTCGCTTGTATGCCTGTCGCCGTCCTAGGACGGGGTGACTTGTAGTTATTCGTTCCAATTGGTAGAGCGTGATGAATGGATAACACTCACCGACTTCCTCATTGCGCTCTATTTTTCTGGGGAGAACAGTACTTGCTTATCTTTACACCAATCTAACTGTGCACAATTCTGAAAATTTGCTTAATTACTTCTCCTCGGAGGTCCATTACAGACATGCGCCGGCGGGGTTAGAGGAGTGACGCCTATTGTCCTGCCGGCGGACTCTAGACTTGGCCGGTACCTGCACACAACAGAAAGGCTGCACCGTCACAGGGTACCTGAGAACGTTACTTTGCCATATATCAATCGGAATTATTAAACTTACAGTATTGCCAAGGATCCAGTGGGTCGATCGACCGCCTCTATTAACAATGGCGATGATCCCGGAATATAGAGCTACTGCATATCATCAAGCACCAATTATGTGGCAACCACAGGTTTCGCTGGCAAGTGGCATCAGCAGAAGGAGTAGACGATACTTGACTGCAATTACCGGCCGGCTCCGCTCCAGGTGCCCGGTGCGCACCACAGGGCTTCCCTTGTTCGGTTTAACAGCAAGCAGGTGCGCCGAATTTTAATTTGGGATGAGTCGGGTTCACGGTGAGCGGGTTGTCCTCAGACATGTACCGAGAGCCCACCTAAGTACTGAAGCGTCTTGCGCACGCCGTTTGACGATGAGAAATGTCGCACTGTCAGACAAGTACTTGAAAATATGTGTGCATGCCAGTGATGACGGTAGTACAGCACGCACATGATGTCGGCCACACCTTTCAGTTGCAACATCCAATTGTTATTTTCGTAAGTTACTGTATAGGGGCGTGTCAATTTAAGAAGTTGAAAGCAGCAGATATATCCTGCGAAGATGCTATATTGCACAACGGGGCTTGTACAAGTCCAAGGACGGGAATCCTACCCCAATACTTAGTAGTGTTGCAACAACATGCGGGAGTATCAGTGAAACCAAAAATGTACTACATGCTATATTGTCCAGTGAGTAGTCCATCAAGTCCAACTGGTCGAAGAACGTGAGCATAATGAAAGACATGTGGCACCAGAGCCGCCAAGCAGATAAAAGCGGTCAAGTAGAGTTTTTCATATCCAGACTCTCCGCAAGGTGGTAAAGCCCGAAAGGAAGACAACAAGCAACGTTGTCACGAGAGCGACGGACGCAGGATGTGCTGAGAGCTGTGCCAAAGCACCCCCACAACCTGTACACTGCCAGCCTAAGGATGGTCAGCTTGTCAGGAACGCTGTAGAGGGGTGATGCAACCCACCACTGGCTAATGGCGTATATGGCTGTGGCGTGTACAGGGCAAACTGCAATTCACTGTTGGCCTCCAAATACCCTGCTGTTGGGGCAGCACTCGGACCCTGATCGCCCCATATTTGGAGAGTATAGGTCGCTTGAGCAAGGGGTAGGGACGGATTTGCAGTTTGGTAACCGTATGGGTACCACACTACACTCTGTGCGTTCCCGGGTATTACACCATTCGATGGACCCACAGGATACGTGTTCCCATTCTCGCAAGCCGCAGAAACCGTCAGAGATGTGGGTGTAACGTATAGGCCGGTGAAATTCCAGCCAAAGGTGATGTATTCCCCTGAGGCGATCTTGTAGTACGAAGTCGATTGCAGGGGAGGCTGTGTGAAGACGATCTGACCGGGCGCTGCGTTGGCGGGAAGAGTGAACTGGGATGTTGTTGCTGAGGCAGAAGCAGAAGTAGCACTGCTACCGGCTGCAGTGGCTGCAGTGGTCTGCTGTCTGGGCTGAATGACATTGGGGTCCATGATACCGCTGCCAGCTGCGGCCTGCAAAGCTTGTCAGCAAAACCAGGGTAACGCTCGTGGTAGGAAGTTAGAAAAGCTGCAGGCAAGGCTGAAAGGGCGAGGGAAGGCGCTGTCGGCTGGCCGGCCTGCGCAGCTCCTGATTTCCTTTTCCACGAGTTCAGCCTCCGTGTCGCTATTTTTGAGCAGATGGTACTGCCACGCACCTTATGGGAAGTTCCGACACAACAAAAGCCCCACATCTGCTCATCGCGGTCAGGTGGTCTGTGACACCGTACGTATATCCCCAGTGCATGATCTGCATGAATGTTCGCGTCAATGTATCATGGATAGTCGATTTCGAAGTTCTAAGGCTGGCAGGCGTGATACTGCCACACATCAGCGAGTCACGACCTAGCGCACGGGCCAATCTCGGATGAGCCCACTACGAAAGTCGCTCAGAAAGCAGAAGCTAATCGAGGCTAGCATGTGAAGAGGGAAGATGAAGAAGTAGAGAAACCTTCGACAGCCTCTCGGGCCACCATTCCCACATTACGTTGTTTTCTCGCTTCCTTCATATCGTATTTACAAGTTCTAGATATCATTTGACTGAGATCGACGCCGCATCATCTACCGTTGTGGATACGTTCGAGCGAATATATCGGGTGTCCGTCGTACACTGTTTTGCATTCTACCCGTCTGTTCCCTATGCACCTTTTCTTACTTCGGGTCACAATCCTCGACGGTCTCGTAGAATTCCTTCGCGATCCGAAGCTGAGCTTCCCTACCTGTCTCCTGGGGAGTATCAGGAATCTTCCTGATGATCAGGTACTTGCGCCCCGTCAGGACCTCCGGAGTCACTTTGAAAGGGTCTACGGAAGGATCAGCAACAGCTGACGCCAACGCGGCGTGTGAGCCGGTCACAACACCGCCAGCTTCTTGTGCAATGACAATGCCCGCCTAGAGCCCACTGATGTAAAAAAGACAGTCTGCGAGTTAAACTCCGAAGTAACCTACACAGACATCCCAGGGCCTAGAACGCACGATGTTCAACTCATAATCACGATTAGTGGAAACAGGGCGTATCCAACACTTACCAGCATCCGATTTCCCTGGGGAAGATGTTCAATAAAAGATGTCCAACCGGTTGCCACTTCACGTACCAAAACATGTCGAAACTTCCTTGTGCGACTGTTGCAATGTTCAGCGCACCGCTTCCCAACGAACGAATTGAATGGCACATTCGTCCGCCAGGAACGCCGTCATTAGGGTCGCTGGCGAGGCGAAGGAAAGAGTTGGACTTGGCAGTAATTATCGGCACGCCGCGATCAGCTCCCCACTCGACGGCTGATGCGAATGAGCTGTCGATCCTCATCGAGAAAGGGTGAGTACGTCACCTATAAGTGCCTTCGAAAGCGACGGTAAAGCTTTGGGGTTGGCAAGGGGCAGCTTCATGGGCGACCCGGTGCCGCAGGTAAGGAAGGAACCTTGTCCCTCAACACCAGTGTACTATTTTTCTTTGATGAGACCCCGGAGCAAGACGTGTAAGGTTGTCTAACGAACCAAGTGCTGGAGGAAGGGGTTATAGATGACCCCTAAAACCGGTCGCTTCTGGTAAATGAGGCCCAGTGATATGCAAGCAAGGGGAACACCATGGACGAAGTTTGTGGTTCCGTCTGCGAAACCGACGTATAAGCAAACTCACGCAGAGCGGCGATCCTTGTCTGCGCTCACCTATCGGATCGACGCAAAACGTCGGCTCATCCGTCAACTCCGGCCGCGTTCCAGAGGAATATGACTCTTCGCCGATACTGGCCGAGGCAAAGGGTCAAGCACCCGTGAGCTCCCGCAGGAATCTACTTATACTCAAAGATCAGCACTCACAACTTAAAGGTGGGATAGGCCTTCCTGATCTCGCTCATGACAAGATTTTCGACCGCAACGTCGTATTCAGTGACTAGATCGACTGAATTCTTCTTTTGATTAACATCTGGTGCAGACTGGATGGCCTGGGAGCCTTCGAGAATGAGAGTTCCTGCTGTACGTGCAAGATTGACGGTGAATGTAAGGATGGAGCGTAGTTCTGCGTGTCCTAGACTGCTCATGATGGAAGTTGTGGTGAGGAGAAGCGGATCGGATCGTGGATTCTACACAAATGCCAAAAGTCTCGCTTGCAGTTCCCGTAGGGAAGCGATTATGTCCAGTCCATTCCATAACCCTCTAAATGCCATTTCATTGTAAATGTTCCAGTTATGCTAAAGCCAATACCATGGAAGACACTCAAGCAAGTCGTTCCGCACGGACTCATCTGATCAGAGTCCCGCGATGATGTCCAAGAAAGGAAAAACATTCCCATCTTCCTGACTTTCGCCGACGCGCGTCGACTTGCGTGTCATGTACATAGCATTGATCAATCCATTCCTCAGTAGCATCCTTCCAGTCCAACATGTTCTTGACGCGCTCAGAGTACGGTATGACCGATTTTCGAAACTCGTGGGTATATAATGTTCGTCTGATACCGTCCCCTGCGTAGATCGAGGCGTTAATACCTTCTCGCCAGAGGGTCGACTGTTCCAAGGTACGTACATCTCGTTTCTTGTGCGCACAGATGATCCCACGAACCTTCCGTAGTCGAGTACGCCATCGAAGCCATCAAAGTAAGTCCTGCGACTTCACCACACTCCAGATCCCATGCGTACCTGAGCTCTCGTCACTCGCCAGCTCGGCTCTACAACTGTAGGCGTCCGCACAAACGAAGGTGTCGTTCTCGCCGTCGAAAAGCGTGTCCAATCGCCCCTATTAGAATCTAGCTCCATTGAGAAGATCATGGAAATAGACACTCATCTCGGTTGTGCTATGTCTGGGCTTACAGCCGACGCGCGGATGATGATCGACCATGCTCGTGTCACCGCAGCAGAACCATGCATTCACGTACGACGAACGGATTAAAGTAGAGAGCGTCACTCAGGCTGTTTGTGATTTGGCCCTGCGGTTTGGTGAGAGTGTGCACGACGAAGAGGCGTTGATGAGTCGGCCATTTGGTGTTGCTCTGCTCATCGCTGGTATCGACGAGCTGGGTCCACAATTGTAGGCATCGCATTCAGGCTTGGGTTGGACTTGTGTGCTGACTTCGTATAGGTACCACACGGATCCATCAGGGACGTTCATGCGATATGAGGCGAAAGCCATCGGTTCAGGTTCAGAAGCAGCACAGAGCGAGCTTCAAGACAAGTGGTACAGGGTACGTGCTTTTCTTTGTGCGATTTCACGGCTCGCTTACATTCACATTAGCGAATGTCATTGCTGGAAGCACAAAAATTGACGCTTCGGGTACTGAAACAAGTAATGGAAGAGAAACTGGACCACCACAATGTGCAGCTCGCACAGGTAAGAATTCATACTCCTTCGTCTGTATTGCACGTTTATATACCTCCTCATCAGGTCACGCCCGAGAAAGGATTTGAAATCCTGGACGAGGTGAGACTGAAGGAGATTATCGATGCTATGTAATGGTGTCTACGTTCAGCATTGTATCATCTGCTTACCCTGTATCTTGACGACCGAAATGCTTGCAACTAAGTTGGAATGGTCGGAGTCTACCAACAACCTATAAGATTCCACTTATTAGCTGGGCTTAATTATGCTAAGATAATATGAAGACAGGGTATTAAAAAGTGAAATATACATAGGAGAAGGGGAAGCATGTTCAGGACAGAACAAGCAAGTCAGGTATGAAGGGAAACAGTATCTAGAACAAATTGATGATGGTTAAAAATTCCCAGTGTACAGTATGTATAAGCAGGCAGGTTTGAACGAATTGGACGAAGAAAAACAGAGGGTCTGCGACCATGGGAGTACTTGGTGCTACATCAACTGGAGACTCTTTAGGTTGGTTGCAATGATAATATCTCGGACTATAAAATGGGAACACAGTAAGCTGGAGCCTCCTAGTCAAGTATGATGTATACACTCACCGTTTTTCATTATAGTAGCCGTCCGCCTAGTATCGGTGACGGAGGTGAAATGAACTAAGTACGGCGTCAGACAACTTATACACCTTCATCGTGGGAATCTTACTCTTGAGTTCCCTTGCTTTGTGAGCGGAAAACTCTTGGTGTACTGCTCCGAATTTGTTATAGAAATCTGTAAGATTCGATCAGTAACCATGTACACCAGGCGAATCATCAAACAAACATTTGGACACGCTATCGTAGTCATTAGGGCCTATCGCCATAATGTGGCATATGATCACGAAGGCGCACGCCACTCCTGAGCTTGGCCTGACGCACACGATTCCATTGTTCGGTGAGCGGCAAATGTGGAAGGGGAATGGTGCTCACCTGCAGCAAATCAATTTTGTTCAGGAAAAGTATGATGCTGACATTAGTCAGTAGTTTGTTGGAAACGAGCGACTTCCACAACTGAAACGAATCTTCCAGTCTGCTGACACGGGCGTCCTAGTTATTTTGTTAATTGTTCGTGGGACGGGAGTTCCTACAATCTATAACGCGTACCTCAGCCAACACCTGGTCAAAAGCCGATATGGGTGCCAAAAATATTATAGCATTTACTGTATATAGACATCAGCAATGAATGTTAATGACTATGGAAATTTCTACCATCGTCGAAGTAGGGCGCCCAGGCAGAACGCTGATTCCGGGCACCGCCGACATCATAGATTTTCCATTCGATAGTTCTACGGTTAGAATCGGGGATAGAGAATGAATGTTCTACAACGCCCAGTGTTTTGAGGCGTGCTTTTAATACATCCTCTGAATATGGTTGTTCAGCTAGTGAGTGAGAAAAAAAAAATGACTGAGCACTCACGGTCAGTTGGGAAGTATCGAAGGGCAGTGATACGTGAAATTTCATCCAGGAAGCTGGCACGGGTGAGCACGCGAAATAAAATAACAAGGATGCCATTACTTACAATCCACTGCTTTCCTCTACTCTTAGTCTAAGCTCTCGGAGCCTTTGTTTGACGTTAGGATCTTTCCAAAGACCCAACATTGCTGGACCACATGCGTTGATTACATGGACAGGATCTGATGGATCGTCCCACCACCCCTCAATCTCGTTCGTATGAGCGCTTTTGGTGCTCTTGATTTTATTAGTGAGACTAAACGCTTTCTTCCAGTTGGAAGTAGTGTGAACGCTGACTTCAGTAGGCTTGGACTTTGAAGAACTACTACTGGATCCGCCTGGTGATGGGAGACTTTGAGCGGTGCTCGGGGAGGTGGGGGTGAATGGAGAGGACACTTTTCGGCGATGTGGAATGGTGATGACAGGAGAGGGGCGACGGCTATTTGAAGTTGACGAGGGGAGGCTTACAGAAGTAATATTGTGCAAGTTCCAATCAGGCCTTGAGGGTGCTATACGGACGGGTTCAACTTCGTCAGGCGCAGAAAGCATACGAATTAGATGTTCCTCCAGCTCTCGCAAAGGCTCCAGCGCCCTTCGGTATTGTTCGTATTTCGCTACCCGGGTACCAAACTTGCGGTTGGAAGCCACGGGCCACAAATCGACCCCGTCGCCATCAGGATCTGCATCCGGAGAAACTGCATCAAGTATTCTGATAGAAGGTTGCAGTTACCAATGGGCGATCAAATAAACGGATGGAATACCTGAGGATAGACCGAACAAGATTGAGGTAGACGACTGCACGCCATGCAAGGCGATCGGCACGGAAGGCCGCAGGTGCATGCATCAGCTGGAACTCTGCGGACGGATTGTCAGTGTCTGCAAGTATGTTACGGGCGAAGGACTGGTGGAGTAACTTTCATGCGCACAAGATCCCATGATATGATGATAAATAGGAAAAAAGCAAGAAGCTGTAGATCTACCGAAGTATACCTATTTTGTGACATAAAGGGAAGCATATTGCGAAGAGTAGATAAAATGCATGACAAGGCAGCGACTACTTACGCTTGAGCGTCGTGCTCTTGCCACTCTCGCTCTGCCCTAGGAGAAGTATCTTGACTTCTGGCTTCATTCGCTTCTCCTTCTTCTCCTCCCTGAGCATCTCGTCGATGCGATCGCTGACCAGTTTTGCCTCGTGTTCTGCTTGAAGTCTCCGGTGGCGATCTGCAGGTGATTCATCCTCTGGAGGTTGGATGGCGGCGGCCAGTGGGTCAGAGAGGGACCGGCGTCTGTTTGGTTCTAGGGGCATCATCACCGTCATTGTCGCGGTCGCTGTACACGGCGAGGACGACATGCGCGACGATGATGGCGATAAGAGGAGGAAGGCGAGAGCTGGCGGCTCCCCGGCCTTGGGAACAAAAAACTTTATATGACCCAGGGAATTCGACGACAGAGAAACGCTGCCAACAAGGTGCTATAACGGGGCCGGACAACTACTTCCTAATCGGGCCGGCTTAGGCCTCCCACGTGGACCACTCAAATTCACTCAACTCTTCGAAGTTCCTTTTGTCTACTAGCTTGGTGGATGAGCTCATCTGCGAGACACGGGGTCCACACGATCACCGTCTTCTAGCAGAAAGTCGATAATAACCAGAAGCTTTCGACGTAGAAATCTATCTTCTCGAACCGCGTGATTGCGTTTTCCCTTTTGTCATGGGTCGCTGCTGCTTCCGATTGGTCGCCCCGGAACTTTCGGGCGCTGCTTTCCAACACTATAATGTCTCCAAGTCTCATCGATCATCAGCATCGCCGCTGGCAATGCACCCGTTGCACATCACGTCGCTACGGATAGTTGGTGCCATTGGATTCAAGCTGCGGACCTGCGCGCGCAGGTTTTCGGGTATGTATACCCACCCGCGGACGTCACCGCTAATAGCGAACTCGTCATTGTCAACGATATTGTCATCCAGCTCAAGGCTTCCATACTTGGGAATCCTCATAGATCAATGAACACTCCGAGCCTTCGGTGACAACGTTATCGCCGCAAGGCACCCATTGCTTTCTTTGCTTACTCCTCTCACCCCATGCCTGCCGTGTGCCTTTTTCAACCGAAACGCAAAGCTCGTCCAGGATCGGTCTGATGGCCTCTCGGCAATTGTAGGGATGATACCCGATCCTGAAGCTGATTCAAGCCTTGACCACCGCCCTCCGGAAAAGGCAATTCCGTTGACAACTGAACCCAGTGTGAACCCTGATGCAACCGTTGGTCAAGGCACACTAGCGTTGTTGCTGTCACGAGTCACCACTCCGAAGGTAAGTTTCATTTATGTAAGAAACCCCACCATGCTGGTCTTAATGTCCCTCGGAATACGTTGGACGCACCCATCCTCACCCACATATCGACTACTCCTGCATACACGTGTACTATCAGCGTGACCCTGCGATAACACATTGACATTTTTACGTACATGACTGTTTGATATGCGATTTGTGATAAATGTCCCGGAGCTGGCTTATACATGTACCATTGGATCTTTAAATTGGGCCTAAATATACATATCCTTTTCTATACACCTTTTCTACCTCGAAGTTCTCTTCTTCAGGCTTGTACCCAGGTCAACACTTCTATGTAGAAGTCTGGTCGGCAAGGCGAGTCTAACTGGCACAGCTGCGCCTGCATTTGCACATGGCGTCATACTTCTTCGACATTCACATAGCTGACATCCTCGTGCAAATCGGGCAATGCGCGCGACGATGTCGTCGCGCCAGACTGCCAAAGCCGATGTGTTCATGTTTGCTCCTGCCAGACAAACCCAGATCTGCATTTTCTCAAGAACGCGGTGACTCAGGGATGGCCGCTTACTCGGTACCAGATATGAGCCGGCAACTCAAAAGAAACACGACGGATGACTTTGCGAGACTATTGTTATATTACATATCTGTGATCACATGGTTATGGTTATCTCGCTGAGCCCCAAGGTACAGGTCAATTCCCTTCACGACTTAGGCCACTTGAATGACCACTTTCTCACCGCTCACTTTCCCACTACGAACCAAATCCAAGGCCGCGAGCGTCCTTTCTAGGAATGTGCCTTGATTGAACATACGGATCGGGCTTGGTTTTATCAAGTTCTCCTTCAGCAAATACGGAAGTATCTCAGGCATCAAATTGTTCTTCATGTACTCGTTCTGGGGTTCCCGAGTTAAGGGGTAATAAGCTCGAGCTTCCTTGCTCAAGATCAACGACGGACGAGGCACTCACGTCTTGGTAGAGGAATGTTCTCACACCGATAACTTTAACGTCTTCACCAAATGGATTTCTGCTAGGGGGAACCGCCATCCACATTTTTCCACTCTCCGGGACCAACGACTCCCCCTCCTTGATCGGTAGTAATAATGCGACCTTAGCTTTGGGACAGACAACCTGTGCCACTTTCTTCATCGTTCCTTCCGCGGCGATGCAGTCCATCACAAGCTGGACTTTGCCGCCAGCAACACGGATGGTTTGGTCAGCCATATCAGGCGCCCTGTAATCAACGGTGTCTTTCGCTCCGAGGGACCGAAGATACTCGTGATGGCGGGAAGAAGCCGTTGCAATGACGTTGACGTACCCAGCTAGTCTAAGAACCTGGATGGCATATTGACCCGCTGTAGATCCTGCACCATAGATGAGGATGGGCGCTTCCGCATGCGGTGGAGCCGCAGTTGCTGGGAACGGCTGTGGAAAAGGTAGTCCGAGTTGGTCGAAAATCGTGTAAAACGCGGTAACAAAGTTGTCTGGGATGGTCACCGCATCTTTCAGTGACATGTCATCTGGGATCTGCATCACGAAGAGGTTATGTCCTTCGTAGTATGACACGCATTGTCAAGACTAACTTTTGCACAAAGGGTATGGTGGACGACAGCTTTCAGCTGCAAACCCTTGCTCTTTTCCTGCAGCAGTGTAAACGCGCATACCTGTCGCCGGCGCAGCAAGCATGAGAACGACAAGTACGTAGCTACTTCCAGGGGTGCACTCACCCTATCCCCTATCTTAAGCTTCGGAACGCCATCTCCGATAGCCAGAACGGTTCCACTGACATTGAGTCCCAGCGGAATAGGATAGTCCTCGGGTTTGGTTGGCAGAGCACCGTCTACCATGTAAACGTCTGGCGCAGCGATAGTGCTATAAGCCACGTTAACCAGTACTTCCCCAGAATTTGGTTCCACCGTAGGCATTTGGATGGATTCCACCATCGCTTTGCCGGTAATAGCTATGGCCGTGTGATTTCTGCTCGTCGTCATACTATGTAGTTGGTTTGAGCGGTCCCCGCTTGTGATGATACAGCATTTCGAAGTTTCAGTCCTCCGATTTATATGATTATGAAGTCATACGCATGAGGCAACCCGCTTTGTAAGCTGGCCATTGCGATTGACAGAACCATGATATCAGCACTGCTCTCCACACCTTACTTTGATGGATGATTAATGGAATGATAATGAAACACCTGTGCAACATCATGGGCGCCGTACAACAGACGTAGTTCTCGAAGGTACATACTAAGAGCCGAATGGAAAAAGAGGCTTTGGAGTAGGAGTGGGGGTAAGCATGTCACTCCCAGTAATGATTGCAGGTAGGGGTATTCGGGTATCCGAGCTTGGACCCAGAGGCGCGCGTGACGTAGGTGGTTCCGGATTAGGACGATCTGGTGGTGTCGCAACGAATGGGCCATCATCGTCTGACGAACCTCCCTTCTCGGTTGCTGGTGACACACTCTGCAGTGTCTTCTCTGCTTCGGAGTCTACCAAAAGCGGTCGAGGTCGTCGTGACCGGATAATATCAGCGATCTCAACGATATCTGCTTCCCCCGACGAGTTGCTGATGAGATCAGTGAGTTCGTTCGAAGCCTTTCGACTTTATTATCCGAGCCTTGAGGTCATTTGTCTCGTCCTTTGTGACCTCTTTGCGGGCGCCTCTGAACTGGCTGATGCAAAACTTGGTTAACGCCCAGTGATTATCAATATAGTCTGCACTGGAAGCTGTTAAAGACGATGGGAAATTGTTACATCGTGACGCTTACAAGTCGCAAGTATGAGGGTATTAGCGTTGCCCCCAAGTCTTGGAGAGGTGTGGATGAAAAACATGAGGGATTTGCTTCTGCAGCAGTGGCAATCATTACGGAAGATGCTCCTATGTTAAGGATATAATCGTGAAACTGTTGCTTCGATGTCTTTCGATGAGACATACCGGTGATTTTTTTCACCCGCTTCGCATCTTCCCAACCCTGACAATCTCCGTTGGCCACGACTGGTATATCTAGGCCCAGACCGTCCACGAACTCTACTATCTCCCTCAGTCTCTCTATAAGCGCAGCTTCTCTTGGCCGCATGTTTCGGGTTCGACAATGCACCGTAAGTGCACTTACGCCAGTTCGCACGATTCGTTCCACAAGTCTCTTCGTGTCAGTCCTGTGACGGTAGAAGCCGAATCTTTGCTGAAACGGTAACGTGAGGTGGGAGTTCTCTCCGTAGGGCGGTGAGAATATCACATAGGAGATCAGGGTTTGTTAGGAGGGCAGCTCCCATGCCAGCGTGAGTGCTGAACGGTTTTGGACAACCGCAGTTCAGATCGACGCCTGATACGTCTTGGACGACGGTCTTCGCCGCCTGTACGGCGAGCTCTGGGGATGCTGAACCGATCTGGTAAATGAGGTAGGGTTTCTCAATGGGGTGTGTTGTAAAAATGGCACGAGTCTTGCCATTGTATGAGATCACACCGGTGACGGCTATGAAGACACCAATCAATTAATCGGAGAGAAAGGGATGATATGTTGAGGTTACTGACGGTCCACGACGCGTTCTGCATGTAATATGGCCTTGTCTACTACCTCCGGACCCCATACAAGGGATGCACCATGTTTTAGTGCCATCAATCGAGTGGGAACTAGTGTACGTGATATGAGGCAACGGATTATGGGGGACGGAAATGACGCACGAGCACCGGATCGTACCATCGGGGCAAGAAAGACCCCGTTCTTGAACGAGTCAGAGGTGAGATGCTCGAGTTTCGGTCGCTTGGTTGCTCTTTCGTTGTCTGGTGGAGGCGATGTGGACATCGTTCTGGTCATATTCCTCGGGTGCGTCGCAAGGACGCTCGGACGCAGTGGTGATATTGGTAGTGACCGCCTGGGATGGTGGCGAACAAGCCCCAACTTCATCTTGGATTGGACGAACCAGCCCATTAGTCGAGTCGGCCACGGAATTTTCCATATTTGGATCTCTTAAGACATTGGAATATCACTACTGAGCATTTGTTGTGGACTCGGGGGAACATGGGACGTATCAGCCTATGGGACGCACACACGTTTTAACCAAGACCTGTGATCATTGCGCAGCTGATGTTCCAGCATCTGTTAAAGTTGGCCGCCCGTGGCATTAATATCACCCCAAGGTTGACCAGCCGAGGATTATTACTGACACCGTTCAACGTTTCTCGATCAACATCAGTCGCAAAAGTTATACGGAAAATGTCTACCACAGTGACCACCCACTCCTCCTTGACACCCGTCACGACCGAAAGTACGACTATCTCCCCTCTCCGTCGGATCGATTGCTCTAACGAGGTTTGCGGCAGATGCGCCAGCTGCAATTGGACCATATTCACAGGCAGTTAAGGCTGGGGACCTCGTCTTTCTCTCGGGTTGCATCCCCCTCGTCCCCTCGACTATGCAAATCATCGACGGTGGGATCGTCGAACAGACTACGCAGGCCCTCGCAAACCTCAAGGCAGTCCTGGAGGCTAGTGGCAGCGACGTCGGCCGTGTCGTGAAGACTACCGTGCGTATCTCACTTCCGAACTTTCTCTTAGGTTACCTATCAACGTGACTCCGGTCTATGTAGGTATTCTTAAAGAACATGAATGATTTCGTGATCGTAAATGGAATTTATGCCGAGTTCTTCGGTGACCACAAGCCTGCTCGATCGGCGGTCGAGGTGGCACGGCTTCCGAAAGACGTCCTCTTCGAGATCGAATGCATCGCAAGGTACGTACACTACCTTTACCTTGACTTAGATTTAACCTCGTCACTAGCCTAAGGAACTAGAGATGTAGCATGGACGTAGACCATCGTCACCGATAGCTTGCCGCCGGATTTGGATCCTCGAGGCCTCGCTTCCTAGGCGGAGCACCGTAGTGAAAAACCCACGTTACTTGACAAAACCTAACTTTGTACACAACGACACTTGGAGTAATACCTGAATTGCTCTAAGAACCCGTTGAAACTGTAGGGGGTCTCGATTACTGAGAAAGGTCGTGAGCCTGCTCCCCAGTCGACCGTGACCCAGCAACCAACAATATACTATGATAGCTGTACGTTTGGATATTTATGATGTTGGGGTAAGATCTGTAACGGATCAAAATACGTCCTTGCGCCCAGGACGCCTAATCATCGGCAAGGAGCGAACGTGGGCATCAAGGGAGAGTATGTAGGTATTGTGGTGAAAAGTAGTCAGGTCCACCGAATCCAATGCGTAGTATGGCAGGTAAAATAGTAAACAAAACTGTAGTCCATATTAATGGGGAGTTCGCCGGGAACCGCTGCCATCGGAGGTGTTGCGTGTGGGGAACGGATTTTCACATTATGATGCAGTCCTTGTTATTCTTCCCTTCTGAACCGTCGGTTGGTTGCACTGATGCCCCATTACCAGGAGGTCCTCTAAGTCGCTGTTGCGCTCGTTTATCGCCCAATTCTGCAGCTTTCTTATAATATGATAAAGATCTGATCGGAATGTCAATTGGAGCCACCCAATCCAGCAAGGGACGCGTACTCTGCTGGGTCGGGGGTTGTACCGATGCCCACTTCAAGGAAATATCCTACGGCATACAGGGCCTTGCCAAGTCCCCCGTCTGCTGCCCTCTTCGCCCACAGGAACGCCTCTGTATCAGACTGAGGAAGTACCCCTGGTGAGCCAACAAGGTACCATGCCGTTAGTGCAAAACAGGCGTCTCGATGATTTTGTTGGGCAGCAATATTCTGCATCAACAACATAACAGGTATTTCAACCACTTGAAGACACGATATTCGGACAAATTGGCTCACGTAATAGTGGATGGAGAGCGCTGGGTCCTGTGGGCAGCCCAGCTTCCCATACTCGTAGAACTCGCCTAACCGGTATGCGGATGGACCATATCCCAGTTCCGCAGCCTGCGCCAGCAGCTCAACCGCATACTCGGTGTCGACAAAGACAACGTTATATATTCCGTTCTCGTGTAGCAGCGACAGCTCGTGCAGAGCATGGGGGAACTCTGCGGTAGCATGTTCCGCCGATCGTTTCAGCCACTTGACGCCTTCACGTGGTCGCTTCGAGAGACCGAGTTCACCGTTCAGTTCGGCTATCCCCAGGCGATACATCGCTCCGGGGTGGAGCGCTGCACTTGCCTTCCGGAAGAACTGAAGGGCTTTGGCCGATTCTCGCCTACATCCCCACCCGTTTTCGCAGCAAGTACCAGCACGATACGCAGCATCCGGATGACCGTGTTTGGCAGCGAGAATAAACAGCGGGTACGCCCGATCAAAGTCCTGCCTGCCTTTGTAAGTCCCGATCCCGTTGGCATAACAGTCTGCCAAGAAATACTGCGATTCGGCGTGACCCCGATCAGCTAGGCGTTTCAGCAATGCTATTGCCTCCTGGATCAGGTTATCGCGCTTCTCCAGTGCCTTCTCGATCTCCACGACATTTCCTGGTGTCGGAGCTGGAATCTGGACTGACTTTGAGGCTTCTATCATGAATACTGCGAATTCGAACTGAGTATCGGGGCTTTGATTTTTCTTGGCATTGGCGCGGTAGAGTTCGAGTGTTCGCTCGTGCGAGAGAAGAGAAGCTTGGTTGCCAGGACGGAGGTGAGAGTGGTCGAGGAGGGGCCCGTTGGAATGGGGTGGGGGGGAGTGCCCGCCAGCGGAATGAGGACGACGGCGCTGTTGCGGTGCGTAGAAGTCTTCCGTATCCTGTTGAGCAAGATCGGGGGCGTCATCGTGGTCATAATCGTCATATGCGGTGTCTACAGGGTATTGAGCGGGAGAGTTAGATGGGCGAGACTGGCGAGGGCGGCGGGGTGGATCGGGAAGATAGTCTTTCTGCTGATGGTTGTTGTACTGCTGCTGCGGCTGATAAGATGGGTCTCCCTGAGAAAGCTCGGGGTTGTAAAATGAGTTGGGCCGTGATTGCGCTTGTGCGCCGTACATGGCTGGGACCCTGTGTGTTGAGGGCGATGAATATCAGTGGTAGACGTCCAAGGAAGGGTCGGAAGTCCGATGATGGTGGATGTCCTATTTGAAATCCGATACCAGTAGCAGCGTTGCTGAAAGGAATGGATATGGTGACCGGAACAGCCTACTGTACAGAGAGTCGTAAATAGGACACCCTCGCACCCACGTTCATGCAGCGGGCGGGTCCAATGTTGTAGCACTCACTGGTTCAGCCGTCGCCTCTGCTCCTGTGCAGCGTCGTCGTAGTCGTTGCCGGCTAGGACGATCTCGGTGGGACAACTTAACAACGTTGTTGAACGGACAAGTCAAGGCTTGAACAGAAAGGCTGCCAGCCGCTGTCAGGCGAACCAGCTCGTCTCGACTAGGAAGCCAGCTTGGTTCGGTTTCGTCACTCCCCGCACCAATACCCATCTTACAGCGAGGATGCAGTCTCTGCGAACGCGTCGCCCGTCCGACTCTCGCCAGCCCATCAAACGGAGCATCTCGAAACTAGCGAAGTCACCCTCAACCAGACAAAATGCCCGCAAATCAACCGTGGACGATAAGATCAAGAAACGGATGTCTCTCAAATACGCAGAGATATCCTCTCCAACAGATGTTTCAGTTCCTACTGTACCGTCCATTCCTATTGGGCTGAGGCCAGGTGTCGCGAGGGATCCAGATGAGATTGTGCGGGATGTTGCAGAGGTAAAGGAGGACCCTCGTCTTGCTGACCAGAGACTCCTCGACAAGCAGAACTTCGACCCCGATGCTTGCAAGTACTCGGAATAAACGATCATTCGTGCACTGACGTCGCTTCAGACTTGAAAGCAAAACTAGCTAACTCTACCGAAGCAGAGCTCAAGTCCCTGCAGTCTTCACTGCGCTCAGCCAAGGATGACACGGCCGTCGAACTTCAAAAGAACGTGTTCAAAAAGTTGGTGTCTGCCCTCGTTTTTATCGTGCACCATCTGACCGGTGACTTAGCTATGCCGAGTTCGTTCTCATATCAAAGGAGATTAGTGTTCTCGAGAACGAGATGCTCGAACTCAAGGAAAGCCTTCAAGAATGGAAATCCATGCCTTCACTACTGCACATCGAGGAATCGGCCTCCGTAGCAGGTAACATTCAAGCAGTCGTGTCACACCTTCGTCTCAGTAACATGGGCATCTTTTAGACCGGAGACGTGCCGCTCGTTCATCCGTCGCTGATCTTCGCATTCTGTATGCCTCTCAGATGCAAACACTACACTCACAGATATCTGGTTCAGCAAAGTTTGCTCCAGCCACCCCCGGCCGGCACATTACCTCAGAGATGGATGGGGTATTCGAATTGAACGCAGCGACCTACAAGGTGGTAAATATCGTGAGATTCGTGGTATTGGATGACGCAGTGTTGGTGGCGAGAAGGAGGGGCGGAGGCGCCGCCGCCGCGTCGGGAATGGGTGGAGGCGAAACAACAGGGAAGCTTGTCGCTGAAAGGTGTTGGCCTCTGAATGAAATGTTGGTGCTCGATACCAAAGACACAGCCAGTGAGTATGTTTCATGCATCAGTTTCGCAGATGGTCATGTGTTGATAGATATGACCAACGTCTTCAAAATACGACATGGAAAAGAAACACACGTATATAGGACTGAGGCGTCCTCAGATAAGAAGGCCCTTCTTGGTCAATTCCGCCATGTAGCAGAAGAACTTGCCGTTCGAAAGCGTAAAGAACGAGAGGGTGAGCACGAACGCCGAAAGAGCCTATGGGCAGCGGAAGACGTGTGTTTATTTTGTACTTTGCTGCATCGACAAGTTTAACATCTGTTATAGCGTGGTTCGGCAGTTTTCAACCCAGAAAAGCTGCCCCCTCTACCAGATTGGATGGCCGAACTTGCGAGAGCAGCTAATGCACCGACTGCTCAGGACCTTTCCGCAAAAGCTAAGAGCGACGACGACGCCCGAGTTTTGTCTGAGTTATCTGACGACCTTACCGTCGCCATAGCTCTGCGCGATTGGTCGCGCGCTGTCAAACTTGCAGAATCCGCTCGTTCTTACCCCTCACTAGCTCCCCTCATTTCAGCACTTACATCCGCGTTGTTGGACGCTTTAGCACGCCCACGCAACACGAAGTCCACTTGCGTAGAACTTGTAGGGCATCTTATGCGACTCGGCGCCCGCTCAAGAGCCCGGGAGACCTTTTTGGCTGCTAGAAGCGAGGCAATCAGAAGATACATCCGGGCGATACCTTTTGAAGGACATATCGGGTTATATGTGCATGACCTGGCGGTGGTCATCTTCACAGCGCTTAAACACACCGCGGATTGGTTCCTTGCTGGGTTCGTGGAACACGAGATGACGAGCAGTGAGTCACTTTTTTTGTTAGTTTCTACGTGAGGATGTTGACACTTCTGGAGGCTTTATTGACTGGGCCAAAGGACAAATCGAAATATTTGCGGAGTTGTTCCGGAACCAAGTCTACAACTCCGATGCCGACCAACAAACCGTTGACGAGGCGTTAGAAGTTGCACACACTCAAAGCCGGAAGGTACGTTTCCTTCCATCGTCTCTCCGTGTTGAATACCTGACTGTTGCTTCAAGCTTCTACAAGAGTTTGGTCTTGACTTCCGTTACCTTCTGGACGATCTTCTGGTGGAGACTCCGAAGACACCACTGAGCCTCGCACCTCCCACACTTCCAGCGCACATTGTTATTCCACCGTCCGTCCCCCGCACCCGGACATCTCAACTGTCGTCTTCCGCGACTTCATTGACAATCGGTTCATCAACCCCGTCCGTCCCGTCGCGTATACGAACCCCTGCTGCGATTGGCGAATTGGAACCTACAGTGATACCACCGCTTCCACGTGAGGTCTCCACGATTAGGAGGGCAGCTCTACCGCCTCGGTCGACTAACAGGCCGGGTAGCGCGGCGCGACCACCGCCAGTTGTAGTACCACCACGGGATGGCATGTTCTGAGTTGGAGGTGGATGTAAGTTATAGAAGACAACTCATTTACTGTAAATGTATGTAGACAAAAAATAATTAGGAGTCTGGCGTATGTAGTGGATACACGAACGAACAGAAGCACGTCGGTGTCTGTAAATAAAGAACTTCTCCTTGTCGATCATCGATCGTGACAGGCCATGACGACTCCCATTCCACCTAACCCTCCCAGATGGACACCAGCAGCGGACCCTGCGTCCATCATCGTCCCAGGGCTCGACACGAGCGCGCCTGTCAACGACCAGGTTGACCAGATTGAACAGCTCATAACCATTAAGCTAGAGGCAAGCACTCCCAACGTTCAAAACACGAAAATGAATGACGAGTCGACGCGCAGAATATAGATGCAAATTTCTCCAAGATACAGAACATACTGGCAAATAGGCTTCTGCCAGCCGTAAAGCGTTACGCTGTCAGCACGGAGCCCGTACGCGAAGCAGCGAAGGTGGGTGAAACTGGTTTTCACAGTATGGTCTAAGATGTACGTCTGTAATGCTACCCAGTTCTGGACGTCTTTCTATGAACAAGCCGCCCAGATCCACATACCAACAGCCGAGGACGACCATCATGCGAACGAGACGCAATCGCAGACATCTCTCGCCGAAAACTCTTCGTCTGCATACTCTGATGCGGAATCGACTCCAAATCGGCCTGAACCAAGTGTTCAGTCTTCTCACAGTGTCAACCCAGGCAATCAAACGTACGATGCTACTGTGTCGGAGAGCTCGTTTATGCCTGCGAACGCCATCTCGTCCACGCCCGCCCGTGGCGTGCATGTTCAGGACCGAACTGCAGACGATCAGCCATCTTGGAGTTCCTCTCTCGAGTCGCCACTTGTGCGTCTTGATCGTGAGTTGCAAAGCTTCACTCGCGAAGAAGAGGAAGAAGCCACCGCTCGTCAAGACATTACTTCTACTCAGGACAGCTTTGCGTATGAGGAAGAGGATACTGTCCAGCAGAACGTGGACAACAAGGGGAAGAACAAAGAACCTTCCACAACAATTCCTCGAGGTATACTCAAGAATCCATCTAGCGCGATGCCAACACCTCGCGTCAGAACCATGGGTACACATGTATCTCCGCTCAAAGTTAAACCAAAGACACCAGTCGCCATCCCAAAATACCTCCAGCCATATGTTGCCCCTGAAACGCAGCCTGAGCCCGCAATACCGTCTCCAAGACGGCCGGCATACCAACGGTCTCCGCATAAACCTCAGCCTCAACTGCCAGCGTCCTCATCCACGTCGTCTTCAACTCTTGATATCCCGTCTCTTACGAAGCACTCCTCCGAAGCAGTCGGGAAAAAGCCATTTGAGGACTTCGACGACTCGTTCGACGATTCTATGGAACTCATGCATGGCATGTCTCCCCCGCGGACACTGGCATTCGCGAGGGCGCCTCGATCCAGTATTGGCCTTGGACTTCTACCTCCTGGGCGTACCCCAGGCAAAAGCAATCTCCCCACATTGGGCAGGACCCCTATGAAGGAAGCAGCAGACCGCATTCGGCGGGACTTACTTGGAGATGTCCAAGGTCACCTCGCTTCTACGAGAAGTGCGGCGACTTTCGAAAGGTCGCAAGCTTATGGATATGGATCCTCTATGGTCAAAGATGACACAATGAGTACTATCCCAACGCCGCCTTCGCTTTCACGGTACACCCGTCACGCGTATCCACTTGGTAACGACACTAACGAAACTGACACAAGCCTGGACACGATGATGCGTCGTGTGGGGCTGAGCATGCCAGAGTCAAGGACACGGGATTCCGAGTCCTCTGGCACGGGCATATTCGTCCAACGTGATGCTGAAGCAGGGTTGCTTGCGCCCCCTGTCGTCCAACACGACATACACACACCGGAGCAGCAAGCGTCAGACGTCTTCCACCTTCACGAAGATGAGCAATCCGTGATCGGCTTGGGCAGTCGGACCCAATCTCGCGCTGATTCAGACTCAGATTCGGATTCTCTTGGTGATGAGCCTGCTCGGCCCTCGGCGGCATTCCTCATGGCTTCCGCCCGGGATGCTGACCCGGACGACTCTTTTGCTTCCTCCAGTTCAAACCGTTCCAGCGACTCGCTTGGTGCCGAGGAATATGGCGGGGAAGAAGTGGCTGGAGCACCTATTCATCCGTTTGCACGCGTCGTTGATGCAGGAGAAGGAGACGGATTCGATGAGGATAGCTTCGATTCAGTGGATGGAGAACTTGGAGATGTCGTTGAGGAAGAGACGGTGTTTGGAGTCCCACCTGCGCAACGACAGCAAGGTCGGAAGTCTCACGGAGAGCTGAAGATGTTAGGGGAGGACTTGCTTCAGGATACCATTGGTATTGGGAGCCAGCTTTCCAAGGTTGGTATGGTTGAGGAGAGCCCGACACCTTTTGGGCGAAACTGAGCGTCATTCGCAACCAATATGACATGCTTTGCGCTACTCATGTTATGTGCACGATTTGTGTCTCCGACCAGTGATGATGCTCGCGGCGTTTGCGTGAGATGGGATAGTGATACATCATAAGACTCTTCACGATCGGTCTGACCTCTGCCTGAAAAAGCTTGCTGTATGCTCGTCCACACAATGGTTGTGGAGATAAATCGTAAGTCTTGAAGTTTGAAGCCGGAACCCACATGAGCCCGGAACTCGACTCGGCTGTCGGCCTATAATAGGGGCGAGAACCATCTGGGAATATGTACCACGCAACCGGATCATCGAGACAAGTTCTTCGAGTCCTTGGTTTGTCTACATCTCACTAGGACAATGATACCTACCAATCGCACTGTGGCACAGTCGCTCTGTCGTATACCCGTTCAGACTGCTTCCCGAGCCCTCGTTAACGGCGTCGCCGTCCTTCGTATACCCAGGGCCTCTCCGGGAACGGCGGCACTTGTTCCAGGCGTTGCTCGCAATGTCAAGAATGGAGAATCGGTTCGTCGGGTGAATGCCCCCATCCGAAGAGGATTGGCCACCACAGTCCACAGTAGTGAGTTGCGCTCAGTGGTGTCTACCAGTCTGGCGTGTGACAGTGAGCTTGTCAACTTTCCAGATGACTCGTCCTCGATTCGGAGGCCTCACTTTGACAAGATTCTTATTGCGAACAGGTCCTCCCTCCCTGTTTAATATACGGCGTTGTATAATGTCGCTCAGATGTAACCAATTCATAGGGGTGAAATCGCTTGTCGCGTCATTCGGACCGCAAAGAAACTCGGGATCAAGACGGTCGCTGTCTACAGCGAAGTTGACGCAAATTCTTTACATGTGCTTGAGGCCGATGAAGCATATTGCATTGGGCCAGCACCGTCCGCAGAGAGCTATGTACGTCTCAATTTTAGAAGGAAAAAGCAAGCAATATTAAGTGCCATCCTAGTTGCGCATAGACAAGATCATCGATGTTTGTCATAAGAGCGGAGCACAGGTCAGTTCGGCCTCTTCAGACATCTAAATTCTGTTCGTTTGATGCTACTAAAGTCACTATAGGCTGTTCACCCTGGGTAAGTGGGTTAGTTCGTGTTCAAGTTGAACACTTCTCACGAATTTTCGTAACAGCTACGGTTTTCTCAGCGAGAATGCCAAGTTTGCTGAACGATTGGCCGAGGAAGGCATCGTTTTCATCGGCCCGCCTTCAAGTGCCATAGTATCCATGGGATCAAAGAGGTAAGTAAAGCAAGGCGGTGGTTGGGTACCCATCGATTCTGTTATGAAACTACATTTAGCGAGTCCAAGAACATCATGTTAGGTGTGTCCACTACACTTTGGAATAATCCTGATGGGTCTGAGTTTTTATGGGTTAGCTGCCGGTGTGCCCTGTGTTCCGGGTTATCATGGCACGGATCAAGATCCGCAACGTCTGTTTGCTGAAGCTGAGAAAATTGGTAGTTTCCCATCTTTGCATCTGAATGCGGGATGTCTCACGTCATTACCCGTGCGTTCAGGATATCCAGTTCTGATCAAGGCGGTTCATGGAGGTGGCGGCAAGGGTATGCGTGTCGTGTCTCAACCTAATGACTTCATGGATGCTCTCGAATCCGCCAAACGCGAGTCACTCAAGGCATTTGGAGACCAGAACGTACTGGTGGAGAAGTTCATTGAAGCGCCCGAGACATGTGGAAGTACAAGTGTTCGCAGACACGATGGGAGGCGTAGTCAGTTTGTGGGAGCGAGATTGTTCTGTGCAAAGACGCAATCAGAAGATTATCGAGGAGGTGATTTGTAATCCGATTGCGAGGAGAACGACACTGACACTGATCGCTAGGCACCTGCTCCCGGTCTTTCTCCTGAATTGCGGGCGGACTTGTCTGACGAAGCTATCGCGGCCGCGAGGGCAGTGAACTACGTCGGTGCAGGGACCGTAGAGTTTATATTTGATAATGACACGCAGAAGTTCTATTTCATGGAAATGTTTGTGTCATGTCAACTATTTCAACGCTGTAGCTGATACGAGCGACGGCAGGAACACGCGATTACAAGTGGAACATCCCGTGACGGAGATGATCACAGGGCTCGATCTCGTAGAATGGCAACTGGAGGTAAGTATTTTCTTTTATTTTTCGTTTAATCTCGTTCGAGCACACAAATCTAGGTTGCAGCCGGGAATCCACTACCCCTCAGTCAATCTGATATCCCTCTCGTGGGACATGCATTCGAGGCTCGTATATATGCGGAGAACCCACGTAATGATTTTCTTCCCGACTCTGGATCTCTTCTCTACCTCTCCACGCCGACTCCAACGCACGCTTTTGCCGCGCCATTAGCTCTGCTCTCTTCAGAGGCGGCACAACCTACTCAACGCACGCCGGACACGTCTTCCGCTGTCACACCTTCACTCCGCCTGGAGCAAGGTTTTACACAGGGCGCGCAGATAGGTGTTTTCTATGATCCGATGATCGCGAAGCTAGTCGTGCATGGCCGGGATAGAACGGAAGCTTTGCGGGTACTTCGTCGTGGTTTGGAGGAGTACAAAGTCGTCGGGGTTTCTACAAATATCGACTTCCTGCGTACTCTCGCCGGAAATGACACTTTCATAAAGGGGGACGTGGAAACTGGCTTCATCAAGGTAATAATGCTCTAGTCACTTGGTTTGGACTCAAAAAGAGCGCTCACGCGACCTAGAAACACTATGCAGAGCTGTTCCCTCCGGTGAATGAACCATCACCAGAGGTATTGGCCCAAGCTGCCCTTTATGTCGCTCTTCGTGACATAACAAAAAGCAATGCTCCTCAATCACCATGGGTATCGCTTGGGGCGCGTCGGTTCAACGGTGAAGTGTGTGAACGCACTATAACTCTGTCGATGGACGAATCACCTGGAACAAACATAAATATTATAGTTGGGCAGACTTCGCCAGGCTACTTCGACGTTAGGGTGCAAAGTCCCTCTGGCAGTCCCATCACATTTACTTCAGTTGCTGCGCAGCTAACCTCGCCAACTACCCTCACCGCTTTCTCGCGGCGAACCACCATTGTGTCTCAACTCACGCCAGCATCCACGACTTCCGACATAGCTGAACGTCTACATATTTTCTCCGCAGATGGATCCAAGATTACCCTTGCTCTTCCCTCGCCATCGTGGCTGGTGTCTTTGGGAGGGGATGTTTTAGCTGCAAGCGAAGGGGCTCTGCGTGCGCCGATGCCTAGCTTGGTCGTCGAGGTCAAGGTCACTGTAGGCGACAAGGTGGAGAAGGGCCAAGTGGTGGTTGTGTTGGAGAGTATGAAGACGGAGACTGTGATAAGAGCAGCAGCAGCAGGGATCGTCAAAGCTGTGGGATGCGCGAACGGTGAGATGGTAGAGGAAGGGAAGGAACTCGTGGATATCGATGCGAGTGCCTGAAGTACCTCAGTGAGGTTGGCTTAGGAAGCATATGGTGACCAGGTACGGTCATTCGATATTCAATATTCTAACGTTCATCGTGAGGGTCGGGACTTCTGCAGTCCATCATTCAGGACACGACAGATAGTGTAAATCCATACCCGTGTAGCACTTGTGTATATTAGTGGACCAACGCATACTCTGTGACCCATGACACAAGCACACTCGCTGTGGGTTCCTGACGGCAATCGCCATAACCTCGACAGTACTAGCCGTACGGTCCAACTCGATTAGTAACGACGTCTCGTCCCATCCGTCTCTACCATCTTTTCACTCCACCGAGCTGGACTACTACACTTTACTTGGCATCTCCCGAGATGCATCGCAAGGCGATATTAAACATGCGTACCACCGCACCCTCATACAATTACATCCGGACAAGCGACCCAATCCCAATCTTGCAGGCGTGCCAGACACCATTTCGCGATCTAGCGATGACCATTCATCGGTAGACATCGCCTTGATAAAGGAGGCATATAAGGACTTTGATCGATCCGTCCTCACGTGGAACGCACGACGCCTTGCTCACTCGCGAAGGATGCACATGAGCGAGGGCCCCGGCCGGCGCAATTTGTTTCGCTCGAGGAATTCACTGAAGTCACCACTTGTGGACAGGATTTTAACGATAAAAAGCACGAATGGTTTTACGAGTGCAGATGCGGTGGCGAATATCGCATGATCGAACAAGATCTAGAGTCCGGGCGGCACCTCGTAGGATGTCAGAGCTGTTCAGGAGGTGATCTGTGTGGGATATGAGCTAGTGGAGGACTAGCTGCCGCACAAGCGTCGCTACTACTAGCATTGCTTATAATCATCGCCAATGTACTTCTTTGGGTCTCAGAGCTACCGGTTTAACATAGCTATCAGGTAAGTTTCCCTATTTCCATCAGTCAATCTCCATCACATCCTCAGCCATCCCTTCTTTCCATTTCTTGAGTAGCACTGTTCTAAATTCACGTGCAATAGCCATGGAGAGAGGCCAAGGAACCGCGTTTCCGATTTGTCTATGCATCTATAGTGAACTATTAGTCAATCAACCTAGAACTTTGGTCCCGATTTCCTACTTACCGTGACAACACGATCATCAACTGCATAGAAGACAAAGCAGTCAGGAAATCCTTGTGAGCGGGCGAGTTCGCGGACCGTTACAATGCGCCGACACTGTGATGGCTTTGGTTGGCACCAAACTTCAAGGCAATGCGCAAATCACGCACATATGGATGCAGTACGCGACATTGTTTGGCTGTCGGGTCAACGTTGGTGACAGTTGTTTGAAACCATCCATCTTTCGGCACGCGGCCATAATACCCTGACGAAGAAGCAGGTCAGAGGTGAGCATTATGCATGGGCTCTCCAGCAGCTGAATATCTACCAGGTCGGAAGCCGTCTCTGGCAGTTGCAGAAAGTGGGTTATTGAACTGCCATTCCCAAAGATCAGGTCGCAAGGCTGGTAGTACATCAGCTGATAGTGAATATAAGAGGATTAACCATTTTCCTCACTCCGGTAGTCAGCATCGTCACCAAAGGGAATCGTGACGACCCTGCAAGTCACCTCATTAGCGCGTCGAGGACGTAGGGAAACAGCTCAGTTACTGCACCGTTCGACTTTTATCGGTTCATACGTGCGAGTGTAGTGTTGAAGATCTGTCGTTGCCATCTTCCGGCACCATAGCTGGAAGGTGGTTCGGGGTTCATGTTCATAAGCGACATCTGGTCCTGACAAGCCACACCATGGTTTGCTTTCGTCGCACCGAATGTGCTTAAGGCCACGCATTTGCTCCCTGGTGTAATTCCTTTTCGGGTTTTTCCTGCATTCGCAATCGTCTGAGGTTATATCCACAAGTGTTGAGCGCCGTAGTCACGTACCAATGAAACACAGGAAGATCACTAATTGCATCACGGGTAGAGACGAATCTGTGAGGTGCAATTCCTGGCACCGTTCTGACAGGCTCTATCGATCTTCCGCTCGGGAGCTTTATTTCAAGCTTATCAACCTACGGGGAAATCATGAGTGGGTTGCGGCAGCTCAGGTAATTCATGTTTTCTATCCGCCGCAATCAAGAAAAACCTTGTTCGTGTTTGCGGAGTTCCATAGTGGCCCGCTTGTAATAGGCTGAAACGTACTTGATAACTGTGGTGCGCCGCGCTCAGACCATGGGTTAGGAGCATATTAAACGATACATACTCCATATCAATGAGCGCTCGTATGAGCAGTTTAAACCCACCCATAGGAATGCCTCCTTTAAGTCGATGCGGCCCATCTTGTCGTGCCTTCAGATTGTAAGTCAAAAACCCTCTGACGTTCTCGAAAATGCAATATCGTGGTCTGAGGAAGTCCACCCAAGACAAAATGTTGAGTATAAGATTGCTTTTGCGATCATCCGCTTTCTGGAACATATTCATCTGCGAATGAGGTTGGCTGGAAAGATCAGTACATAAGACCACTATTCGGTTGACAATGTACAAGCCCACCAAGGAAACCCCGTTACGAATACAGTCTATGTCACCTGGCATTGGAGGGTCAGGTAGTGCATCACCATTTATTGCCCTTAGGGGGTCGGGGTCTTTTCCCCCGTGCAACAATATGGCTTGACGAAGCAATCGATTGCTACATTGATTATATACCTTGACCTCCGCCGATGCGTTCCTTCTGAGGACCAATGTAAGCCCACATGAAGGTTGGAGAAGCCATGGTGTACACACTTAAGGGTTTCAGCAGCGCTAGGGCGAAATTTCGATGGCATGTGTTAATTTAAAGCATTGTTCCATTTCCATCGCCAGAGCGAATGCTCCGACACCTGCGAATGGATCGAAGGCACGTAACCGTGGCCCCTTCTTAAAGTAATCGTCCAGGTCCCTCAAGTTTTCAAGATTTGGGTCTAGGCAGCGCTGGCATACCTCCAGTTCCTGCGGCAGCATCTCCTCCATCTTATCCCATGACCTGACATCAAGCACAGGATGTCTATACTTGATATAGAAGTGGAGCGGAGAAACCGCTTTCCAATCCTCGATCTCGGGCAGTGAGCTGCTGACCACCACAAAACAGATCCCAACCAAGTCAGATATAACGATTCTCACCCTCTCATCTGTGTAAAACAAGTGCCGCTGAGCTCAGGAATATTTCGTTAGGTATTCTGATGAAGATAACCTAATGCACATGCCTCATCTTTCAGAACGGTTTCCGGCCGGCAATGTACCTTGTCTACCCGTCCGAGGAGCGTTACAACGATCTTGTTGTCGTCTTCATTATCCGAATCCGGTTCAAGAAGGATGCCGCGTATGTGGCCAATAAGACATGGCCCGTCATCAGCCCTGATGAGGACAAAGTCGTCGATGTGATATTCTCGGGCATGCCACGCTACACCGTTCTCTATCGGGAGTGCAAGCCGGTCCTGATCGAGTTTGTTCTTAATATCACATACGTGACAACAGTCCGGTGGATGGTTTTCTTGAGCAGCTGTAATTTTTTCCATGTTTGCACTCTTGAACTGTTCCAAGGTGGTCGTCCCATTCATACCTCGAAAGCGAATTTAGCGCTTACGCAAGGGAATAACTATTAGCATACCTATAAAAGAAGTCGTGTGGCGACACCTCGGCGAGTGTCTGCCCCGGGGCGATGTAATGCGCCTGGACTTTCCCAATAATGAAGCTCATGTTAATGCTGTCGCAGCGTTTGGTAAGGAAAAGTTCCTGAGGATGTCCGAGTTGTGCCATGCAAGTCTTCGAGCTGTGTTCGAACCACTGAACAGTGCACCAATTCGTCTTCGTAATCGAGCCACACTATTCTAGCAAACCTACAGGGAACATTAATGTCGTCGTTAGGTTGAAACATCGAAGCAATTGCACCAGAAATAGTCCGCCAGGATGTCTGTCGGTGAGACATCATCAGGGTGCGGAAGTTCGGGAGGAATGGAACGCCTGTCGGTGTCCTCGCCAACCACAGAGACTATAGTATCCCCAACCTAGGAGGCTTGATAGGTAGGACACATAAAGAGGATGGCAGTTCCTTACGTTGTAATCCAAACGGTCAATTGTTAGATATTTGAGATATCGTGAACGAGGCTTCAAGCGCTGTTGCCGCGAGAATTCCAGCTGCCTACGCATAGATACTCGTATTATGAAGCCTTTCACCCTCTTCGTCAAGTCAGCATATGGTGGCTCAGGCTCGGCTACTGGTTGAGGCCCAACGACTCGTAACCTTTCTCTAAATAACCCAAGTGCAAGCTGGGATATACGGGGCGTCACATGAGTTGGCACTTGATTTTCGGGTCGAAGAGTCGCAAGGTCTAGATTGCCTTTGTACTCGATGTCCGGAATTGGAGGGGACCTCCTCCTAAGTTTCGTGACATCAACCATCTTTAGAAACTTCGGTGCATCCCTGGACAGCAAGTATGAAACGGTGTGACTTTCCCGAACACGATCACCATAGTAAATAGTCTCCAGGACCTGCTTTAATTTGGGGACCTATGCATAGGTTAGACGCACTCCCCACATACTCGGACCCGCAAACTCACCACATCCCACAGGTCTCGCTCCACCAATGGCTGGTCAAGGACCTCCAGTGACGTGAAGTGCTGCACAAACTCAGCGAACTCCCTGTCGGGATCCTCGAACGCGGAAGAAATGATGAGTTGCATGACTCGCCGAGGCTTGTAGAATGACCGATATTCGCGTCGATACTTCTTAGATGGTTCGAATAGTTCGTAAATTGCATGATCGGTTTCGACATAAACCGGGCTGTAAGGTGCTGTTATTATGAGAACAATACATGCGCGCCACGAACATACCGGTCCTCGTACAAGTAGTTGATAACAAAGCGCCGCACAGTTGTCAGACGAATATACTGCAACTCGTCGACGTCCCCATCCAAGTCATCCTCTTGACCTTCGTCTTCAACTTCAAACTTTGCAGCCGCAAAGCCCGCGCCTTCGACTTCGACTTCGAGTTCATCTCGTCTTTCAATCAAGTCGTCGAGCACGTCGAGCGACACCTATCTCCAACTCGTGATTTGGGTCGAAAAACGCGAAGCGAGAGAGCATTCTGATATGCCTATCATCTGGATTGATCAAGTATTGTTCTTCACCGAGGAGCCTGAGACCTGCAGCCTCTTGTTTTTCGTATGGCCTGGGCTCATACTTTCGTGCTGGTCTGCGTCAGAACGAAACACGGGTCCCGGTAGGTCGAATGCAACGTACGGGGCCTCGGAGTTCCATCGAGATTACGGCGCTTTGCTCTCTGATAAGTAGTGGAGATTTAAAAAATTGTTGGTATAATACGTCAAAAACGCACTCGCGTTTCGGGATCGCTGTCGCGAACTCGCTTGCGATCTACGTCAGATGTACCGGTAGACTCTCCTAACGAAGCTGCCTCCTCCCGGAAAGGTAACTTCGAAGGCAGTAGGACGCCTACGACGAGACATGGCGTGCGGAAGCTGCGCTTTGCGCGATCGGAGGACGAGTGAAAGTTTACGAACGGGAACATACACTTCACTTCAGCACTGTTGACCTGCCAAGTAATGATCTGAACTATATACAGACATGGTTCCCATCCCAACAATGTCAACTAATAGTGTCTATCCCATCGTGTATTCGGGTTAGAAGCAATACATGTATTGAAATTGCTGAAGAACTTGATAGAAATCGGAAGCAAGACTACAAGAGATAGATGAGCACTGAGTACGATATTGATTGAAAGCGTCCTTTGAGCAAAGACGAAGTGTAAAACCCTTCAAGTGAGTGAGAGCCACGAGACGATCATAGTTCCGCAAGACAATCCTGAGCGACACATGCGTTAGCGCTATGTTCCGTAATGGACGGTTGACGCACTAGGTCGAGAGAAAACAACCGGCGTGGACGATGAAAACCCATTGTATGATTACTTGGAAGAAGGGGATGACTGCGAAGGAACGTATCCGTCTGGTCCTGCCAATGCACCTTCATGTATGGGTGCAGACGTAGTTGACTCGTCAACTTGGTGGAAGTCTACAAGGCATCGGTTAAACGATGTTCTGCGATTGCAGGGGACGGCAGACCAAGGATTTCACTGTACATCATAACTTTCCAAGTTTCCACCGGAAGATCAGCATCGTTGAAGCTCCAATCAAATTGTTCCGCTGCAACTGGTTCGTCTGTAGGGTCGTGGTATGGAGCTACATACTCGTGCGCAAGGGACGTGGCGGCATCGATACGTTTCCGGGGATCGAAAACGAGCATCTTTTCCAGAAGGTCGAGAGCTAGATCAGAAGGGGTCATAGAAGCATGGTCCGATAAGAAGCCACGAAAAGCTAACCATCCTTATCAGTGGTTCTCAGCTTCTGGCTGAACGGCACCCGCTCGCGCTTCGGTAAGCTCTGCACAAATCGAAGTGTCTGACAGATCGTGATGATCGTGAGAACGAAACTGAGTGTGTCAAGTGATGCACAGCGACTTACATTCTCACTCGCGATAGTCTCTATGACATCATCTGGAGGTGTTCCTAGCAGTTCGGTGATGATCGAGAATTGATTGACATCTGTGGACAAATTCCTCGTTAACCGACAAGGGTCAACAAGATAGGAAGCTGCATACGGTCTTTTCCAGGGAAAAGCGGTTTCCCCTCTAACATCTCGGCAAATATGCACCCAGTACTCCAGATGTCGACGGCCACATCATACTTTTGCCATGTCAACATAATCTCCGGAGCGCGATAGTATCTCGTCGAGACATATCCGGTCATTTGTGGATCTTGGATGCGGGCCAAACCAAAATCACAAATCTGCACGAGGGAATACATCGACGATGTCATTTCGCAGGCGAAAAACGAACTCACCTTCAGGTCACAGTTTTCATTGACGAGGATGTTACTTGGTTTCTGGAGCGACGCAGATAGGGAAAGGTTAGATTCAGGCGCAGAGTTCGCCGTGACTCACAAGATCTCGATGGACAACACCAGCCGAGTGAACATATTTTAGACCTCGCTGCGGGAGGGGTGGGTAGTGAGGTCTAGGAGAGGAAAGCATGTGAAACCACGTACAAGTATTTGGTAGAGGAAGTACTGGATGAATTGTTTCTCTAATGGACGAGAGGTTAGAAGGCGGTGAAGATCCGTCCCAAGTAGTTCGGTGACGAAGTATCTGGGGTGTAAAGTTAACACCGCACTTGAGTGTACCATTACGCCGCTCACAAATCCTCGAGAGGGGATATAAATACATCGCTCAAACTGATAATCTGCAGTACTAAAGTTTATATCTGATGCAAGGCGCAGCAGCTGATTGTCAGCAGACTTACGTTTTCATGCTGTATGTGCTTGAGAAGTTTGAGTTCGCGGTAGGTCCGTTTGCTGAGGACAGGGGTACTGAATGGTTTCATGATCTTTTTGATGGCGACAGAAGAGCCCGTCAGTTGATCCTTTGCAGAGCTTGCAAGGCGTCAACGTAGGGCGTCGCTGAAACGATGGAAGCCATACCACACCAGGCCGAAAGCCCCTGGAGGAGAAAAATCGTGCATTAGCTTGATTGTGTGATCGGGATGTGTAACCCTCACCCATTCCCACTGGTTGCAGGTCAACATAACGCGTAGTTACCTAGAGATTCAGAGGATCAAGAATGAATCAAGCGATCCTGACAATATGGGATGCAAACCTCGAACGAGGTGCCGAATATGCTGAGCTTGACGAAGGACATTGCAGATGTGACTGGACAGAAGACCGGCGAGGCCTTTAAGATCTGATATGAAAGTGCACCTCAGTCGATGGCAGGATGTCGACGAGGGTGCTGAGATATGGAAACTATATAGCCCTATATCACCGACTACTAATAGCAGGGAGGGCCATCTGAAATCGGCAGTGCCCGAGGTCCGATGACCTTCCCTGGAAGTCTTCCGCAGATAATAAATGGAGTTTGACTATTACGCTGAGGTTGCGACGTTGACAATAGAAACGTATCCCAACTACCAGTCTGACTCTCCCGTGAGTATGCCTGGTTGGTAGCATATGGCAGTCTCTTCCTGGCCATCGTGGAACACGCTGGAAAATGCCTGTTGGTGTGGGGCTTAACCTGGGCCGGGGGCCCGCCGTATTGACGGCTGTAACCGCCGCCAAATGACCGATTCTCAGGCTTACAAAGTCGAAACATTATTTGCACCTTCTCATACCTGTGTTCTCTCATCGCTTAGGCGGAGAAAGTTGACGAGTGAGACGCTTGAAAGATGTCCTTCATTCGTGCTACCTCTCGGGTTGCACGCCCAGTGGTATAGATCTGTCTGCCTCCGCACCATTTTTCGGAGTTGGCTGATCCCGTGTACATAGACCGCTGCCACCCGGCTCTACTCAGCGGAGGCTGGCGCTAAAAACTCTAACCTTCCATTGTACCTCGTCGGTGCCGGCCTCGCTGTGGCGGGGGCCTATGGCTACATGACCTTTGGCAAGACAGAGTCAGAAAAACCTAAGAAGATCTTGACAAGCCCGCTCGACCCTCAGAAGTTCGTCGACATCAAGCTCAAGCGAGTCGAACCTTATAGCCATAATACCAGCGTGTAAGTTATCCCGCTCACCTGCCTTGCGTCCAGTAACACGTCGGATCAACCCAGCTTCGTTTTCGACTTACCCGAGGGGCAGGCCTCGCTACTGCCGATTGCTTCCTGTGTTTTTCTTAAGGCAGAGGATCTGAAAGATGCAAACGGGAAACCCATGGCTCGGCCTTATACTCCCATTTCGCCATCAGACTTGGAAGGAGAACTCTCGTTCCTCATTAAGAAGTATGAGACGGGCAATGTATCAAAATATATCCACTCCCTTAGTCCCGGTGACACGCTTGCCGTCAAGGGACCATTACCAAAGTGGCCATGGAAAAGTGATTACCTCGGATTTGCTTCCCGATAGTGGACTCATCTGGTGATGTAGTGAATGAATTTGACGAGGTTGGCCTCATTGCCGGCGGAACAGGAATGTAAGGTCTCCACATTGATCCTTCCGGCGACCAGTGACCGATCTAAGGCTGTAGTGCGCCGATGTACCAGGTCCTACAACACGTCTTAGCAGACAAGAACAACAAGACTAAGTTCAAGTTGCTTTTTGCAAATGTCTCTGAGGCAGATATACTGCTTCGCGAGGAGCTGGATGCCATGAAGAAGAAGTATCCCAAGACCTTCGACGTTGTTTATGTCGTCGACAAGCCTTCCGAAAAATGGAAAGGTGAGCCTTTAGCGCATGTTTCACCTTCAAGTCTCCCAATTATCCAATGCAGGTCCGAGCGGATATATCAACGTTGATCTGATCAAGCAGCACATCGCACCCGCTTCTCTGGGAGAGAAAATGAAAGTATTTGTTTGCGGTAAGATGACCTCCATATGAGCTGAAGCGAAGCTCACATAGAGTCGTAGGACCGCCGCCGCAAGTGGCTGCAATCGCGGGTAAGAAAGCTGGCAGGGAGCAGGGAGAACTCGGCGGCATCCTCAAAGAGCTTGGATATACCGAGGACCAGGTCGGCTTTACCTGTCCACCAGCATTCCTCCGACTGACATCTCCTGCCCCGTAGGTCTTTAAGTTCTGAGCCACTTCACTAGATACCTACATACGCGTAGACAAAGTTGGTTAGATACCGTGATGGGATTACATAAGCGTCCGCGCGTTGCTTGCAGTGCAGCCGCTCCCATCCTCTCTGGCAGTGCACAGGACAGCTCGTCGTTTACCCCGAAATCTTATCATTTGCAACAGGATTGCGATTTGCCATCTGCTGGATGGTGTAGAGTCAACTTGGGCATAGGACAGTCATTTGTGCAAGGATCAAAGTCTGTCCGCGTTCTTTTTGCCTTGATCAAACCACGACCTTGCCTTTTACCTGCAGCATGGATAACCATGATACCAACAAGACTTCTCATCGTTCCACACCCCTACCACCGTCCTCTAACGTAACCGCCAGTAGTGGTGCAAACGTACTAGGTACGGTCGCACCGGGTCATTTCTACGGTCAGAAGAACCCTCCTCCGCCTCTCCCATCTCGTCCAAAAAATCTCGGATCATCCCATACAAAGGTCATTCGACCCAGCACTCCTCCTCCTGACTATAGCGCTCCAGGAAATAGCCCGTTTCGTGAGCCCCAACTCGTCGAAGAGGCACCAATAATCGAGGATCCCGTCCCAGCTCTCTTGCCTGCAGCGGAAACCACCTTTAACTCGTGGACCAACGGAACGAGTAGCGATTGGAGTACTGGGAAGGCATGGGAAGATGATGCATGGAATGCACAATCCACGTCCTGGGACTCTGGTGCCACCTGGGCGCAGCACTACGACCCAGGAGGTTATACCATCTCAGCCTCCAAGTTAGTCGATATCGATGGCAGGGATCCACAAGAGGAGGAAAATTGGTGGGATTTATCCGTACGGGAAAGGTGCAAACGACCGGGTCCTGGTGTTCTTCCCCCATATCTCGCTGAGATGCTACATAACCCCGAACACTCTTTGTATTCAGTGAGCGTGATCACACCGGATATCAGGCCGGATGTTTCTACTTCCAGAGATGGGGGCGATACGGGTTTTAATTTGGAACCGCCCTCCAAGGATGACCTTATTCATGCTGTTCCACATCCCAATGTTTATTATTGCCGGAAACATTATGGGTGGGTTTTATTACAGTGGAAGTCATCTACAATACTGCCTCCCCTCGCAAAGTCATTCGCCCCCGATCCACTTGCCCCGCTCCCAGATCTCGCGCATCGTAGACGGACTGTCTCCTGCGTGGGAGATGCTGAGCAACCCTTCGGACCCGCAAACAAGACCCATCACTTCCACTATTACGAAAAAGCTGTAGATGCTCACAAGCTCGATCCCGCATTCCGTCGGGCGGGATGGGAGCAAGCTGATCTGAAGAAAGAGAGGAGACGCAAGATAACATCGTTGAATCTTGCGGAGTTCTCCGTCGACAAAATGCGGGAAGACGCCGTGGTCGAGGATGAGGAAGAAGAGGAGGGAGATTTGCTCGATCTTTATGTCTGCTGTCAATGCTCGGTGTATTGCGTCGTTTCTGACGTGATCCCCGGTGTCATACCAATGAAGTTTTTGGAGGAATGTACACGTGATAGGTGGGATAACCCACCTCCAAACAAAAACAGGGAGGAGTCGGTTGTCTCAGCATTGGAGACTTTTCTTCTGTGAGTTATATATGCTCCACTTGGCTGGCTTTACTCAAGCGTTACTTTAGCATCGTCGAGAACAAGTTATGGAAGGGCGAAAATCGATCCTTACCGGTGCATCGGAGGGTTTTCCAACAGAAAATCGGGTGGACGCCCACTGTGTGAGGATATTCCTCTTGTGCATTCAGCATGACCCGGTTGACCAATGATCCAGTCGTCACATATTTGAGCGCCTAGGCTTTGTGCTCACCGAAAATGAGAATACGCAAACGGGTGCCAAGGATGAGACCATGATGCCTCCCAACACCGATCCCACCACGCTTCAGGGTAGAGACAGCCGTAGGAAGCTTCTGAGGTTCTGGGTAGAGACCAGTGCGTGGCTACTGGAATACAGAAACCGCCATGGCAGGTCCTTTTACTCATCGCATTATCTGTTGAGACTGACGTACAATAGCCAACATGCTTAAGAACTACACTTTTCAGCGTCTGTGGGTAAAGACGGATCCAGCCCGTGAGATGTACCAAATGGGCATTGGAGCACACCCAAATCAAAGTGCGTTCTATTCTCGTCATTGAAGTAGTATCCTCATATATTTGTCACAGTTCCCCGATTGTCGTCACTATCAACGATGCTTGAGTTCGAGCCTGTCCAACGTGCATTGAGGGGGCTTGGCATGACGCCGACTACGTATACGCCAGGTAAACAAGCAGGATCATACCACGAAGCTGATTTTTATTTTCCCTACCATCAGAGCTGCTGATGTTCGCATATATGGCACAATGCAGATGTGACCCTGCTCAAACGCCATTATACTTTTCCCAGTTTTTCACCGTCGTGCAAGCCATGCAAGAATTTGGAGAAATTCCCCCACAAGATGTCCAAAATTTAGTTTTCGAAGAACGCTCAAGAAATCGGTATACTGAAGATGATCTTAGGAATGCCGTCGGCGTTTTAGGATTCGGAAAGGACGGTCCACTCCGTGTGGAGTTGGATGCCGACGTCGATGACGATTTCATTGCTGAGGCTTGGAAAGACTGTGTTCGGAGAGCCTGGAGAGACGCTAAGAATGGCATTCAACGCCAGAGGGATGCCAATGAGGCCTTCAGAATTGTTGCAGAATCGCGGGGTAGCACAAAACTCAGAAAGATGTGGGAAGATTCGTCGAAGAATGCTATGGATCCCAACCGTGCCTACACCATCTTGGAGGTTCCTCCTGAGACTGACGAGTCTATGTTGATGACAGTGTATATGATGAGGGTAAGTACGAGTTAGCGATTTTCTATTAGTGGAGTGGCTAAGACATACGATACCAGGTGGAGGAACAACCCCACCAGTCTGATCGGATGAGAGACGCGTTGGCGACCATCGCGGAAGCTCGAGATAGTTATCGGATACGAAAATTTTTAGAAACTGGCCAGGATCGTGTGTGATGTCCCCTGATTAACTCTATTGCGGACTCAATGTCGTTCTCTTCAGCGGGCGATATGCTACCACCAACACGTGCTGATCTTCCCAGAGGGTTGAACCAGTTGGGCAATACCTGTTATTTGAATTCCTTACTACAGGTTAGAAACCACCGTGATTCTAAGCATCACGCTGACCCCACCCGCAGTACTTCTACACCATCAAAGACTTGCGTAACGCCATCACGCCATTGGCAACTACCAGTGTGAAGTCTGTGGAAGACGAGAAGTATTCTGATGACGATCTCAAGAAGCATCGGGTTGGTGGAAGGTTGATAACTCGACGAGAAATCCTGCGTTCCAGGAAATGTGGGTATCTTATTTTGTTCTATCTTAAGATATCTCAGTTTATGGCGCAGTCGTTGGTCAACTTGCGGACCTCTTCTGGCAACTGGAGTATTGCGAGTCAGCTGCCGTTACTCCTACAATGGACCTTGCCAAACTCGCACTCGTAACGCCTCGGGACGAGGAAGATGACGAAGTTGACAAAGGGGGAACGGATTCTTCGAATGATACCGATGCAACCCTCGTAGAGGACCCACCCTCTCGGCTTGTCAAGTCAGATTCACCCAACTCTGTTCTAGGGAAGCGTCCCCGGGAAGGCCGAGGGGTCCCCATGGAAATCGACGAAGATGTTCCGGGGACACTGGCGCTTGACGCTGAGAACAACGGGTACGTGATGGTATCACATCCGCCGTCCCCACGAAGATCGAAGTCCCCTCGCATTGCTTCGGCGAGTAGTTCGAGCTCCCAGGATGTGACCCTTAGTTTAGCGGACCGCACGGAGGCCGTGCAGGCCTCCGAGGACACTTCAAAGAAGCCTCCGTTGCCAGCCAGGAAGCCTGCGGCGAATTCGGAATCGGTTATGCTTTTCGGTGAGTTACATTTAATTGTAGTGGTTGGTTTTCGACTGTTTTTCATCTCTCGATCCTTGCAGGCAAGCAGCATGATGTCGCTGAATGCATGGACAATTGCATGTTCCAGATTGAGATTGCGTTGCTCAAGTTTGATGATACGAACGACGCACACGACAAAGGTAGCATTGTCAAAAGGTCGTTTTTTTACCCATATCTGTGTTCGGAACTTGTTGATCTGAACGGGAGCGTGCAGGCTTTTCTATGGAAAACTGCGACAACGCATCTCCGTGCTGCCAGATCAGCGTCGGTCCCGGTTGTCTGTCCATGAGAAACAAGACTTGTTCTCCCATCTGCCCGTCAACGTCATCGATAGTGGGATTGATATCTACGATGGATTGAGTAGTTACTTCGATGACACGGTAGAGTTTGAAGGCTCGAAAGCAAGGATGGAAGTGTCACTGGTTGAATTGCCACCACTGCTTCAAATCCAGTTGCAGGTGAGTAAAATATTGTTCTGGGGTGCTAAAATAATATATATGTCGCAGCGAGTGCAATTCAATCGTGAAACACTACAACCCTACAAATCTCAAGTATATGTGAAATTTGGAGAGACAATTTACATGGACCGGTTCCTAGACACTGCAGACCCGTTGAAAAAGGCGAAGTCAAAGAGCATACAGGCAGCTCTTAATTCGTATAGGGAACGCCTTCGACTCTTGACGGAAGACAAGGTAGGTCGGTGGGACCTGATGTGTCGCAAGACCGCTAAGACTCTGTAGCATGCGCCATTTGGACCCCCGCTGGAGAATACTCTAAATTTCCTGTCGAAGCAACAAAGTATCGAACTTCCACAACTTAACGGTAGCCTGGTGGCTCAGCTCAATGACGAGCAAACAACACTGAGCGGCGAAGTTGCGGAAGTTAAGGCCGAAATTGCGAAGCTAAAAGAAGAATTGGAGGGAGTATGGAAGCACGACAGGGCATTCCCTTATGAGCTCACTTCGGTCTTCATCCACCGTGGCTCGTCACCGTCCTTTGGGCATTACTTCTTCTACTCTAGACATCTACCGGAGAAGCCCGAGAACTGGTTCAAGTACAATGACTCGGTTGTTACAGAGGTCTCAAAGAACGTAGTGCTGGCAGACACTACCGGTTCGACTGAGAATCCATACCTCGTGAGTCGTTCGGATTTACACTTTACTGACAGCCGTGGCTCACATGAACAATGCCCAGCTCGTATTTGCTAGAAAGGGTTCTGATGTTGTGCAGACTGTGAAGCGGTCTGATACTATGAGCTTCGAGGACACTCCCGTAAATTCGCTTTGATATCCTCACATCCATTCGTCGCATTTGTAATTCGTGCATACGTACCTGTAGGCTGTTGAGCTTGTAATCGCGGTGAGATGGCGGGCACATTATTAACCCACTGATAGTGCCGTCATGTTGGGAGGGAGATTCGTCAAAACTTGAAAATATGATGAGACAGGTTTACATCCAGAGACTTGCGAACTCACAGCGAGTTCATGACTTTGCTGAACTGGAGTCGCCTGGATCGTCCGTCCTGGGGCGATTTGTATCTCGGGAGTCAAGATGTATCAGGAGATCATCTAGTTTATCCAGTATCTTGTCCAGTATATTCTCCACGCCCGTCACCATACCATCTGCTTCGTCTAAGCGTGTCAAAAGCTCTTCAAGATCCGAGTCGTCTTCACTGCACTCTGTGGTAAGGACAGCTACTTCTTCCTCGGACGACACGGTTTGTGCACCGGAAGTGCGAGAGCCCAAAATATTTCCTGAAAGATATTCTGTCAAGACCCCCATGTCCTCTTCCAAAGAGGTCTCCTGTCCCGCTTGGCGGCCAGTTGCGAGATCATCGTCCGTGTTGTTGGAGGGCATAACGCAAAGCCGATAAATCGCGGAGTGGCAAAATTTGTGTACACGCGCGTTCCAATTTGTTGTCTGCTTGCTATCCATAATGAGCTCACAAAATCAGAGTGTGAAGCAACTCCTCAAGTCTTTCCCTAAGCGACCTTTCGAACAGAAGGCACTGGATGATAAGGTTGCGAAGGAAGTGCGGAAGTTGGAGAGCAAGGGGTCACTAGAGAATGTCAAGAGTCAATGGGAGCTGGTCCTTAGGAGTGAAGTCTTCGCATTGGCAGTGCGTCCAGCCTTTTCATGTCTAAGGGAAACGATGATTCGAGAATCTGCAACCAGGAATCAGAGGGACAAGCTCTGCAAAAGGACGACGCTGCCTACTACAGCAAGCTCATGGACCGGTTGGACCTTGTCCTCACTTTCACCGAACACGGTTTGTACTCAGGTCGTCACTCCTAGAACTGTTCCATTCACGGCAGAGGTCAGACGCTTGTGATGCCTCCTTTCCTTTCACCGTATTGCAGGATCTTCTGGAAACACAGACAATTCCATCCTGTTCACAGATATTCTCCTGGATCGAAGGGCGTGCATCCCGTCTCACGAAGGGAATGATTCCACAGAAAGGGAAGGCTCTCATTCTACTCAGAACGCTGAATGATCTTCTACGTCGCCTGTCGAAAATGGGTTCAACCACTCTCTTCTGTGGACGGATATCGACATTCTTGAGCGGCGTATTCCCTCTGGGCGAGCGGAGTGGTGTTAACCTGCGGGGGGAGTATGGTCCTGTGTGGGAAGGGGTCATAGACGTGGACCGCGGTGATGCAGAGATGAGTGTTGATTCTGCTAAGCAGGTTGGGCCTGGCGACAGAATGGACTGTCGACGACAAGGCAGAGGATGACACCAAGAAACGAGTCGCTGAGTCCAAAGACAGGGGTATGTATTGAATTCCTCGCTTTTCTTGTCATTTATTTTATCTTCAGAATTCTACAATACCTTTTGGTGTTTACAGCTTCCGTTCTCGCGGCCTCCCTTGTTCGCTCTCCCCGATACTCTCAGCAAGTTCAAGGAGGCGGTAGACAAGGTTTTACCTGTGATCAAAGAGGCCACGACGAAAGAACGCGCTATGATGGGTAACCGGGCTGCTTCTGGTCAATCTCATACATCGAAACGGAAACGCGAACCGGAACCGGGGGATGAGACAAATAGCAGCGATTATTTCTTTGCAAAGTTCCTCACCAGTCCTGACCTCTTGAGCTTAGAGGTATTGCGAAGCTAGTACCTGCGTATTGCTCGTCGCTCATGCAACCTATGTCTAGCTTGCTGATACACATTTTCGACGTCAAATCCTTTTCCAACTACTCATGATCCTTCATCATCTCCTCACATTCACGAAGACAGCGAAAGCAGCATGGGCAACCCCTCGCAACCGCTCTCTCCAGATGGACTTCACCTTGGAGCCAGCAGACGCACAATGGGTTCAAGAAACTATCACGAAGGCTACTGCTGAGCTGCGTTCGACAGCGCCTGGTGGGCCTGCGTTCGCGGACACCGTCAATGTTATTTTTGACAGAGAAAGAAATTGGGTGAGATGGAAAAATGACATGTGCCCTCCATTCGACAAGGAGCCGTGGGGCGAAGAAGTGGACGGTAATAGGGTTGGGTTAGAGGAGGCAACAAGGGAGCTTAGAGGAAAGCGGAGAGAAGATCCGGAAGACTGGACATGGAGTCTCGGATCGGAATCGTTGACGGAGATCTGGCAAATGGGTTACAGGGATTTGACAGATCTACAGAACCCTTTCCAGTTTGGTTGCTTTATTTTCATTCTGCTTCATTTACTGATAATGACAAATAGGGTGGGTGATGTAAAGGACTTCGTGAAAAAAATCAAACAAGAAGATGCTCGGATTGACATGCGGAAGAGGACACTGGCCCGGACCGCGGAGCGAATTGCCCAAGCTCGAGCAAAAGCCGCAGCATCCAATCAACCTGCAGCAGAAAGTGCCGCCCCTGCACCTGTGTCTCAGGATGCCCAACCATCAATCACGGAGGCGAACAAACCTGAGATGTCGCCTCACCCTCCGTCAACCGCTGTTGCCTCACCCGCACATCCATCTCTACCGCCTAAACCATCTACAACAACAGTTCCCTCGGCGGCCCCGGCACTCCCAGCAACAGCAACAGCCACACCGACACCCATTCCTGCTCCTGCACAAGTATCAGCTCCCCCGGTTGACGAACAGGTTCAGAAATTCGAAGAAGTAAGTGTGGTACTGTAATGGTTGCTAATGATACACTGAACGTGCCTTTTAGAACAAGCAAAGATGGTCCTGGCTTGCCTTGCGGATGGCACGCGATCAGTATCTGCAACATTTTGGTAAGATTGGTACGGGGGATATACTCCTACTCGCCCAAGAGATCGAAGCGGAAAAGGAAAAAGAACGAGAGAAAAAAGAGGAGAAGACGCAAAAGGCTGAGGAGAATGTTCCAAACATGGGTTCGCAAGGGGGTGAACGTGGTGTGATAAACGAGGTCCAATTGGAAGCCAGTAAAATTGGTCCATCAAGTCGGCAGGATGCAGAAGGAGATGTGAAGATGGAGGACCGATGATCCTATAAGTGAAATACTTCGGATTGGGTGTGACCCTGGGCCTCAGCAAGGCGCCAGGCAACCTCGACCTCCTCTCCCCCTCGATTGAGATGTCTCCTCGCTGTCCTCGACATTGTGCAGTGTTACTTGTGCAACCTGTTAGCCATTACATACTCGCTAGGAAAAGTACACGCATGTTCGGATTCATTTTTCACGTACTGCTGCGGTGTAAGGCCACCATCCGATTCGACAGGAAAACTCAACTTATTATTTTTCTCGACACCACAACCACTGTCCAAACGCGATACCTCTGTTCCCTGTTCTCTCTATACCACACGAAACCTTATAATAACCACTGAGAAACTATAATGTCCACAGAGAACGGGCTGCGAGTGCGTTCTGCTGCACGTGTCCGCTGACGACAGACTCAACCTTGGATTTTCTTTCGGCGTAAAACAGCGCGTTTTGGTCACTGGCGGAGCAGGTTATATCGGTAATAGTCTACTCTTTCGCGGCGGCAGCGTGCGGGGCCGCGTTTTCAACCTTGGAAACTCACTGTACGATTTACAGGTTCACATGTTGTCTTTTCCCTGCAGCAGACAAGACGATACAAAGTAATCTCTATAGACAATCATCACAACTCATTCCCGACTGCGTTGACCCGCGTCTCCCAACTTGCGCGTGATGCACTCCCGGCAAACCCAACACCAGCAGACCTAGAAAGTGCAGAAATCACTGCACACCAATGTGACCTAACGAGCGCCGAAGAAGTTAGAGCAGTATTTGAAAACTATGGAAAGGGCGGGATTTGGGGCGTTATCCATATTGCAGTGAGTCTTTTCGCGTTTTCTGTCAGCCGGCCCACAATCGAACGGCGGAAAAAAAAATTGTTCAGGCGTACAAGGCAGTCGGCGAGTCGGTAGAAAAGCCCTTGGAATATTACGCCAACAATGTCGTCGCGACCAACTTGCTTCTCCAAATCATGTCCGCTTATGACTGCACCCGCATCGTTTACTCCTCCTCTGCCACCGTCTACGGCACACCTCCTAAAATACCTATTCCGGAGACCACTCGGTTAAAAGCTCATAGCCCGTACGGCCGGTCGAAAGTGATGTCTGAAATGATTATTGAGGACTTATGTCATGGTAAACTATTCGGTCCTGACGGTACCTTCGTAGCGCTAACAAGAATGGACAGCCGAACCAGACCGCTGGCGTGCAATCTCTCTGCGTTACTTCAAGTCAGCTATCTGTATTAGCGTTGGTCCAGGTTTTAACACTTGTTTTTTTAGTCCTGCTGGTGCACACCCATCCGGCCTCATAGGAGAGGATCCCCGGGGTCGACCTGGAAATCTTTTGCCGCTGCTTGCACAGATGGCCGTTGGACGCATCAAAGAGGACACCCTGAAGGTGTTTGGGAATGATTATCCAACCCCGTATGGAAATATGATATGTTAGGCGAGTGGAATTTGTACTAATAAGGTCTCGTACAGTGATGGCACGTGTGTTCGCGATTATCTCCACGTCTTGGACTTGGCATCAGGACACCTCCTCGCTCTTGATGCTCTAGCTCCCGAGTCCACTACATTTGACAATTGTCCTAACGAAGCCCGCTACAAGGCGTACAACCTAGGGAAAGGGCGTGGGATGAGTGTACTCCAGATTGTCGAGGCTATGCGCAAAGCTACTGGCTTCGATTACAAGTACGAAATTATTGGAAGGAGGTAGGTTGACGTGTCAATACGCGGAAGTTTCCTTCTGAAATGTCTTCTCTTGCAGGCGTGGGGATGTTCCAGATCTCACTGCCGACCCGAGCCTTGCTGAAAAGGAACTGGGTTTCAAGGCACCTCAGCCCTTGGAGGTTATGTGCAGAGATCTTTGGAACTGGCAGTCGAAAAATCCCAACGGTTATGCATAGTTTACGACTCCAACATTTACCTACATGCAACTAATGGCGGACTCGACCTTTAGAATCGCGGATTTGTTGACTCGCGTAATTACTTTGCCAACCCCTAGAGGGACGGTAGTAGAAGCCGTTGATGACCGTTAATGATACCCCCCTCTGTAGTTCCCGTAGGAAACGGCCGCGCTGGTCAGGAAATACTTGTTCTTCCCGTTGGTAAGCGGCACTGCGTCTCCTCGAGTGTCTGCGTCCGAGAGAACGCCTCCAAGAGTCAGAGTGACTTCTCATCCAGCGAAGATTGGTAGGATCTTCATAAAGCACCGCTGTTTATCCCGAGGGTCTGAAAATGCGTTGTGCTTCCTTGCATGATGAACAATTAAAAGTTGTGCCAAATTCCTGCTCGCCTTTTAAAAATTTTCTTACCATTACCCTCTGTGATACTATCCAGATCCACATCCTTAGACTTATCCTTTACGCTAATGATCGATGATGAGTAGCCGGGATACCAGATTGTCTACGAAGCATCATCTTCGTAGACGATTGATGACTCAGCACAGCCTTCCATAAAAGGATACAGGCGTGCGAGATCAGTGTACTTGCATGGCTTGCCTACCTTTCTAATATCCTTGTACAACGAGCTCCACGTCCAATATTCCCTCTTCAGCGAGCTGATTCGGAAATGGTAAGTGCGTCGAAACGAGGACAAGATATTATGATCCAGATACTGAACAGAGTTGCACTTAGTCGTCCGGGTGGGAAGTGAGGATGTCCAATTCAAAGAAACTGCCCTATTTCTTCAACAAGGAGACGAAAGAGTCTCGATGGGAGGCTCCGCAAGGGTTGAAAGAACAGGATATCCAAGCTCTACCTGGCGCTCGCGAATACTTGAATGCGACTCAAGCGGATTACCCATCTGCAGGTCAGATCAGAGCAAGTCACCTTCTCGTGAAGCACAGAGCTAGTCGTCGTCCATCGAGCTGGAAAGAAGTGCGCGTTCCTGTGGTTCATTCCAGTGATCTGCCAGGCACTGAAGCTACCCATAGCCCAATATCACACGAACTAAAGAAGAGGCGATCGCCATCCTCGAGAAGTACCAGCGCGAGATCCAAGCTGCTTCGAACAAAGCTGAGAAGTTTGGCGAACTCGCAAGAGAACACTTCGGACTGCTCTTCGCATAGCGCGGATGGCGACCTTGGCCATTTCGGCCGTAACCAGATGCAAAAACCGTTCGAAGATGCAGCCTTCGCGCTGCAAGTGAAAGAAATCAGTGGCATTGTCAGCACGGATAGTGGGGTCCATCTGATCATGAGGACGGCGTGAGGTGGTCATGTAGGAGATTTGAACGGATGCTTGGAAGAAGCAATGTACTACCAGGAATCTCACTAGCCTTGTAACTTAGGTATAATCGGCGGCAGCGCGCAGTCACTGACGATACTTTGTTTGCATATGTGGAGTGCTTGGTTTCATGTCAATTTTGCTTGTTCCTAAGAACGAGAGCCCGCGCATCATACCCCCTCAAGGTCAGTCACATGCGTAAGCGTAGCGTGAGCTTGCAGCTGAAGGTCACGTATCGCAGTTCGAGCCGCGCCGCATCCTTAGAGAGTCGTGTATGACGGAAAGTATTCTGAAAGGCCTCCCAGGGCTGCCCGCCGTCAGAGCTTTGATACCAGCCTTCGTATTTTTTGCTTCGTGTGTCTACCTGGCGTTACGCAGATCCAAATCTTCAGGTAAGCCCATATACAATTTCGGAGAGTCTGTGTAGGAAGTCCTAGAGGAGACTGAGGCAGGCAGTAAACAAAGCGTGAAGGGAAGACGATCGTTTTCCTACTCCGGCTGCCTCGTGGGTGCATGTGTGCACTTGGCTGATGCTTTGTGACGTCCTTCCATGTGCTTTTGATCATAAAATTATTAGGTTCAACCAGCGGTGATGCACCTACCACCCAGAGTCCTACTACGGCAGAGTTTGACACTTCGAATATTCGGGTGACCAAGATTCTCATCCATCCAATCAAGGTGACTAAATAAGACATGGGATCTGCCATTTCGTTGACACTTCCATCGCCAGAGTTGCAAAGGAACCCCAGTGCAACAGGCCAGATACACGTTAGAAGGATTTGAGGTAAACGCCGGCCGTTGGAGGTTTGGATTCACTAACACAAAGTACAGTACGACAGAAGATGGTGCATCATTCATGCTCACAACAATTCTGTGGTAACTGCTCGACAGCTCAGCAAGGTAGGGTCAAGCTTTGCAACTCGCCCTAAGTTCGCGCCTCCTAACGTAACGGCCGCGCGGCGTGCATGTAGATGGTGTTGATTCATCCTCGGATTGTCTCGGGTTCTTCCTTAAAGCCAGAACGTCTGGAAGTTTCATTCCCGGAGAACTCTGGTTGTGAGCCGTTCTCCGTCCCTCTGAACCCTGGGGAAGAAGAGGTCTGCCGTTTACGGAGGCAAGTATACTGTAACTTGCTTGTACAAAACCGGCTGACGACGTCCTTGCTTACTAGGGTGGAAGTCTCCCTCTGGAGAAAGAAAGATATCGACGGTTACATCTGCGAATCTCTAAGTGGTCGATCGCCATCTACTATTCTTTCGGAGTATCTCGGGTGTTCGGTCCACCTCGTAATGAAGGGTCCACGCCCACGGTTGTGTCCGCCCACGAGCAGATTCCCGAAACTGGATGTACCGTCGTATTTCCAGGATGCGTATCCCTTCCTTATCATATCCGAGGAGAGCGTGGCTGCTGTGCAAGGTAAAGCTAGGGAGATGATCGGATCCCAAGGCGTGGGCGAAGAGTGGACTGAGCGTGAGTTAGAGATCGAGAGGTAATTGGAAAGCTTCTTGGTGCCTTGTTGTCACTGACCTACCTTTGGTAAACGTTGACCGATCCTTTGGGTTTATAGGTTTCGACCAAACATAGTTATCAAAGGGGCAGGAGCCCCATTTGTTGAAGATATCATGACCGAAATGACCATTGCATCTGAGAAACAAGTTGTTGACCGTGCAACGTCACTTGCGCGTTTGGTTTCTAAATGTACTCGCTGCATGGTGAGAGGATACGTTTTTCTTTGATGAAACCCGCTTGACACACGTCGCCTCACGTCCCCATCCCCTTGCTGTCGACTGGTGCATGGGTAATTTTCCATTTCCCCAGCTCCCCAATGTGGATACCGTGACAGGTGTTCGTGACAACGCCGTGCCGTTCAAGCCTATGATGAAGTTTCGGAAGGGACTGGATCCAGCGCGAGCTGATGCACCTTGCCTAGGATGCAACGGAATTTTCACTAAGGAAGGTGTAATGAGGGTAGGCGACTGGGTACATGTCAGGCAGACTGGTGTGGTCTAGCTTCGATTCTGTAGATAGTTCGTGTGGCCTTAGGCCAAGCTAGAGGAACAATGCACTATGGATACGAGCCGTTCATTGATATCAGGCATTTTGTGTCTATGCACGACGTCACCGGTCTGTGAGCACGCTTCTACTCGTCATTATGCGCTGGCTAACAATAACACATATGGATGAATGATGGGGTTTCACATCTGCACGTGTGTGGAGAGGGACCTCTGCGGATTTGGGCATCGCAAACCTTTCATATTATAGCGGCGACGCCATCAATGTAGCAGTGCCTTGGTGACAGCTGCGGAGCACAGGAATGTTTAGCAATAGGTGTCAGCTGAGGACGAAGAGCCGCTGGAACTGCTGAGGTTTACTGGCATGCGCTGAGGGGAACGCCAGGGGTAATAGTCAGGAACACAACGTCAGCGGACTCGGATCAGTGCGCATTGCAGTCTTGGCTACTTACTTGTAAGAGAACAAGGGTGATGAACACGATAAGGCAATAGCCACGTGGGAATGGCTTGCCCCTTATGGCATTGTCCCGCAAAGGCAAGAGAACCGGAGTGTCTGCAAGTGCAAGCATCGGAATCTCTCTGCATGTCCTGAGCATGTCCACACCAGGCCACAACCTTCGTCACCACGCACCAGGAACTTCTAATTACTGTTCTCGCCCATTTCGCCGTTAATCACTCTACCTGGGTCATGGCGATCGGGAAATGGAACCCATTTGCCCAACAGGTTCCTGCGACTCAAGACATCCCACTTCCAACCCCCGTACCGATACCCTCCCCGGATGGAAAACAGTTTGGCTTCGAGAATGTGTGTATTGCTTTCCTAGAGGCTCTGTTTGCTGCATCCTGACCACTTTCACAGTTTGGCAATACTTGGTGAGCTGCAACCTTGCACGAACACCCTTCACACGCTGACTATCGTGTCCCCCCTAGTTATGCCAACTCTGTCCTTCAGGCCTTGTACTTCTGCGTACCGTTTCGAGAGCTTCTAATTAACCATCCAGATCCATATGCATCCCTCCACCAACCTCTTTCACCTCAGTGCGCCTCCGCGGGTGCTCCCACGTCAACCAACTCCTCCGTGCCTCCCCGTCGTAAATCGGAGCGAAGACCGACACTGGATACATCCACTCCCAATGGTGCATCGCTTTCACCAGCACCGCCCATTCCCTCATCACCGCGCACTCTCTTTTCCGCCCTCCGTTCGTTATACATACACATCGCTCAGAATCCAGCTGACAAGGGAACGGTTGCGCCACGAGCGTTTATTGAGAAGCTCAGAGAAATTAATGAAGCGTTTAGAAGCACAATGCACCAGGATGCCCACGAATTCCTAAACTACCTCCTAAACAGGATTGTAGAGGAGGTACAAGAGGAGAGAAAAAATCGGTTAGCTTCTGCTGAGGATTGTACGTGGGATTGACCTGTATTCCCGAATGCACTAATGCCGTTTACAGTGTCCTAGATCAGTTAATTCTTCTTCAGACGCCTCACAGAGCATAATAGGTGGTAGCTCAAGTTCAGCATCCCATTTGTCAGGCGGTACATTCGTCCACCAAATATTCGAGGGGAGCTTAACGAGCGAAACGCGATGTCTCACCTGCGAGAACGTAAGCTGACCAATTACATTCCTTGGCATTATTACATGATAGTTCCAGGTATCTTCACGAGACGAGTCCTTTTTAGACTTGTCCATAGATATCGAACAAAACTCCAGCGTCACCGCCTGTTTACGACAATTTAGTGCGAGCGAAATGCTTTGCCAGAGGAATAAGTTCTTCTGTGATGCATGTTGCGGCCTGCAAGAAGCCGAGAAGAGGTTGGTGCCGGCTGTTCCTTATCACTGTGCTTGCTTATGGCACGAGAATGCAGGATGAAGATTAAGCAACTTCCAAACGTCCTTGCACTCCATCTGAAACGATTCAAATACCAGGAGGACGTGCAAAAATACATCAAACTGACGTACCGTGTTGCGTTCCCGTTCGAACTTCGTCTGTTTAATACGATCGATGACGTTTCGAATCCTGATCGGCTGTACAAACTATTTGCCATCGTCGTACATATCGGAAGGTACGTGAATAGTACCTCTCGCTAGTTCAGTCGGCCCATTTGATATCCCTGCTCACGTTTACCCGAACCTAGCGGCCCAAATCATGGACACTATGTTAGCATTATCAAGACTATGGATACCTGGCTGGTGTTCGATGATGACACCGTAGACACCATCAAGGAGAGCGACATTCCCAAGTATTTCGGCGAGTCGAACTCCGGCTCTGCATATGTGCTTTATTACCAAGCTGCAGATCTTGATCTGGTTGCCCTCGGTCTCCGCCCGCCAAGTCTGGAACAAGTGGAACAGGCGGTGGCTCACCCCGAGCCACTGCAACGTAATTTGACAGGACTCCCCTAGTTCTATATCGAAAACTCTTCCCTCTCACCCGCCCGGCCTCCATTATACACCCCGAGAGGCATCTGCACCTTCACTCCCTTCATCACCCCCACCAGTTTCGCCGCTATCGCCGCAAGGACCTCCTGTACCAACCCCTGCACCGGCTCCCAAATCACCCCGAAAAACCCCGTCACAACTCTTGAGAATCAATTTGGGATCCTCGTCATCCACTCCCCATGTGTCAACTATCGGCTCCGCGGCAATGGCGGAGGCTATTTCTCCGAAAAGGAACGGCATATTGCGCCCTGCACGGCCGACGGCGCATTCTAATGCAGCCGAGGCACAGTCCGACTCGCCTGGCGTTTTCCCCACTGTGCCAGTTCCCAAGGAAGACCCTGCTTCGCATGAGTTAGCTACTGGTAACGCCAGTGCAAAAGAGAAGGATGAAAAAAGGATTCCAAGCTGGTTCCGCAAGAGAAGCTTCAGGAGCATAGGAAAATTGCGGCCGAACTCTGAAGCCGACGCAGAACCCCTGTCACCACCACCTGACATATTGCTTGGCACTCTGGCACCACTTACTCCGCCGCCAGTTCCTGCTTTCCCAGCATCACGAAATGTTCGCGGAATTTCAGAACCGTTGACAGCGGATGTTGCATTACGCTCGAATCATGGACGACCATCCGTAGAGTCTGCGGCGCATGTACACAAGGAGACACCTCAACCTTTCCCTGCAGCCCCATATGCTGGTCCTACAACTGCTCATGCATCCCCCCCTTCCGATCGGTACATAAGGAGCTTAGCCCCCTATACCCAGTTCTCCACATGGCTCCAAGACCACGCAGGAATACACAACACCGTTCTCACGGGGAAGCGCAGATATTGTCCGCACACAACGAGGACACTACAGCAGAGATACATACTCGTCCGTGGCGCATAAAGCACCCGCCCGTCCCGCCACCTCTTCCGGCCCGATTGGCGCCGATTCCTCACCATCAAGGTATATGAACGGGTTTACTCATTCGCCACGCACTATGAATTCTTACAGGCGGGCATATTGCGAACGGCGACACTCATGTGTCCCCTCACACTGTGAAGGGAACATCAACCATAAAGTCGAGTACTGCCGAACGATCTCCAATCAATGGACGACCAAAGTCTGCGCACGCCTTCAATGTTCCATTACTACCTAGCGCAGCGGCAAGCACGCCTGAAACAGGCTTTCGAAGGGCTAGGCGTAAGCTTAGTTTGAGCGCGCCGATGCTTGGCTTTGGGAAGAAAGACAAGCAGAAAGAGAGGGAGCGTGAGAGGTGACCAGCAAAGGTCATACGATTCTCCCAATGGTCATGTGTTGATGTCGCCCTCTGCCCGCGACGCAAGAGGGCTTTCCCCGTGAACGAGGCGCACATCGCTACCATTTTCGATATATGTCATGAGTAGATCACAAGGGAATAATCTCCTTAATTTTTTTTTTTTCCCGTCCACGTCTCATCTTTCATTTTCCTTTACTACACACTAGTCCTTGCACAGGGGAGTCTTCACTTCCGTTTCCTCTGCCCTCACTATGCTGCTGGTCCCAAGATGTAAGGCATGCATTGTTTTGTTCTACGTATACCTGTCAAGACTAGATGTAGTACTGTAGTAGCTCGACAATTGTTGTAAGTTATTGACATTCTTCCTATTTTTTGCCTCTACCATTTCAGATCGGATACATTCATTCAAAGATCAGCAAAGGCAGTGAGTGCAGTGAAAGCAAAGTGAACATAGAACTCTTGATGCGTACAAATGTTACAGTGGGTTGCGTTAGAAAGACAGAACTACAATATGGGTATCCAAGGAATAAGGTCATTGATCTGGGTCAACTTGAAGAAAATAGTCCATGCACTACAATTCAAGCATCCGCTGATCGGCCAGCGGGAGTGGGCGCCTCTGGCCATCCGCAGCTAATGAACCACGATATATCAGATAGACCATTCTAGAAGTGAGATGGAAAACTTACTTTGCGATGGAGCGTACGCAAGGTCGACGACATGAATATAGGCGTCATCCGGCTTCACGTAGAAAATCCGGCCAATGCTCTCAGTCCCACGCTATAGCTTTCACGCCTCTTCTGAGATCATCATATAGGTCTGGGCACAGATCGAACTTTGCTAGGACCTGAGACCGATGCTCGTACGCCTCTCGTAAGACACCCTGCAGGAGCTCGTGTCTCTTCAAGCTGTACTCATCGATAAAATGCGGATCCACGATATGGCTGTATATAGAATTGACGCCCGGAGTGTCGGTACGATCCTCAGGCGGGGTGCCATATAGAAGTGTACGGTGGGAGCCGGGACAGACGAACAATCGGCATGTACTGTGCCACGTGTATTCTTCGGAGAAAAGCGACTGGGCGTCGTCGTTGAAGGTATCCTGTACGGAGTAGTATGGTCTTTGCGGTTGACCTGGTCCAAGGAGCCAGAAAGGCATAGGTACCGGTTTAAGTGTGATGCACCTCAGTCGACATCCCGATTTTCGATAGAAGATATTGATGGGCGGAGCGACGACAGGGTCCGAGGGTGACTTGCCACCCAGCAGGTCATAATCATGCGGGTCACTGATTTGAATATCTTCCGCGTCGTCTGCGCGGAACGAGACCAGTGAGGTGGATGTGTGACTAGGAGTTTCGCTGTCGCCGGCAGCCGGTATGGCAAACATAGCCACAGTGAGGAGACCTGAAGGTTGAGCAGGTGGTCTTCTTGGATCCCTCGTTTCGGTAGGTGTCATATCTGTTATTGCCCGAACTACAAGGATCTCTCCTTGATGAGGTAAAATGCGAATGTTACATATCCGATAAATCTATGGGGACCCTGAGTACACATGATCCATTCATTAGGAGATACTCACAAGATCCGAGTTCATTTCCTCGCGTGCACAGACCATTGTGGTAACAAGACCCATCCCCGTCAACTGCTTGAAGACGATGGTCTCTAAATCCTTGACCACTGCCAAGGTAGGGACGTCATCGATAATAGCAAGGTCAACTATACTAAACTCTGACGAACTCCGCAAAACAGACAAGAGACGAAAGGGGGGAGGTTGGGACCCTGCGAATTCAAAGAATTCGCGAGAACCAGGGTCGAGGTGTGGATCTGCTAAAGTATCGAGAGCATCCAGAGGGATCTGCACGCAAGAGCACACATATTGGAAGGGAACAGGTGGATCGATCTTCAGTCTGGGGTTGTTCCTTACGTCGTGATATATGGAAGGATCCACGTTGCGGCTGCTATCGTCAGTGATTAGCAATATACCCCCATATGTGAGAGGGGAAGTGGAACTCACCTTTCGTCGGAAATGCGACCAACTTTTTTGCGGCGTACATATGCAATAACGATGCTCGGATTACCGTCTACACTCATGTATTTGGCCCTGAGATTGTATGCTTTCTGCTTGACTGGAGTCTCAGCTAGCAGGGACTATACCTCCGACACGGTGATCAAGAGCCAAAACACATAGTGAATAGAGGTTTTTTGCCCAGTTAGACACGGATGCCACCATATACTTTCCTCCAGGGAGCACGACCATCGACTGGATTAACCGGTGTGCCATAAACGATTTGCGAAAAAGAGTAGAAGGTCGTGACGACACCCAGTTCATGTCAAGAGTGACGGCTCTAATGACGAGCCGTTCTGCTTCAAATGAGGTTAGGAATCGAGGGGAGTGACGTGACGAGGGCGGAAGCTGTGGTGCATTTGGACCAATCCTCCTGAGGAACCGTTTCCATATGATACCTTGATGTGTTAAATTGTAGTACAACTTGCTCACCTGGGAGCAGTCAATTCCACTGTGTGGGTGAGGTTAACCAATGAGCTCTTACACTTCGCAAAGACATGATGTCTTCTACATCCAGGTAACTAAAAACCGTCGATTAGGATGTCATCCGATAGGGCATTTAATGATGGCGGTCCCTTCAAATTGACGCGTGACTCCCAAGAATCCTGCGTATGGGCGACACCAAGGTTGGGCAGGGATTGCTCGGTGCACAGAGACCAGAAACGAAACGCCATTCAAGCAGGGAAAAAAATATGCGGTTGGGTGAGTCCCATGATCATCACCGTTTTACAGGCCTCGGAACCTTGTTTGCACAAGATACGCAGCGGGTGTTTCCTTGTTTTCTTTTGCGGGGTCGGGCAGTGTTTTTCATGGCAACAGACTACCAAAAAAACAAGGGCACACTAGTCGCGCGGGCTTCGACACTCCTCCGAAGTACAAAACTTTCTATAAACGGCCGCCGCGATTTGAAATGCATAACAGTGAACACGGCAGCATCCAAAGGCCTAGTGAATTGGTGCAGGTCTGCGAGCTGCTGAACAGTATCGGTATCGTACACTGGGAAATTAAACGTCAGATATACATATATTCTTTTTTATGGTCACTCTACTACACGTCGTCTAACACACCACTCAGTTGCCAACCTTGATCAGTAGTTTCCCTACCGTCTTTCCGCCAATCAAATCCATATGAGCTTCACGAGCACCCTCAGCTGTGAATGGATATTCCTTGTGAATCAAAGGCTTCAACGTGTTGTTTAACAGGAGGGCTAAATAGCGCATCCCCGTAATACAATGATTCGCTTGGTGTATAGGCGTAGTTGCTCATCCTATGCAAGACGACTCGCTGAAGGAATATCGAAATATATCGAGGGCACGAAAACGTACCTTGGCCGCACTATTCTAACATTTTTCTCGGATAGCTTCAGAGGAGCGAAGGGTGGTACTGGTCCCGAGGCCCCTCCCATAGAGACTAGCGTTCCTTTCCTCCTGATCATGCGGAAATCGGCCTCGAAGCTGCACCGCCAACACGTCATCAGTCAAGCGACTCTTATAACACACAGGCGGACGCACGTATCTTTGCCCACGCCGTCGAATATTGCATGTACACCTTCGTCATTCGTGATATCTAACACTCTGGCAACAGTATCCTCTTCCTTATAAGTGATAACATGGTCTGCGCCGTTGCTCTTGGCAAGTTCAGCTTTCTCCTTTGTCGACTGTCGTTCCGATGACCATCGCCCCCCGATATTTGGCAAATTGACACATGAGCAAGCCCAATCCACCCGCAATAGTGTGGATTAAAATGATGTCACCCTTCTGGACATTGTATGACTCCTCCATGAAAGAGATGGCAGTCAAACCCTGAATCAGGGATGCGGCTGCAGTACGAGCCGTTATACTTTCAGGCACAGGGTACGCTGTCTTCCAGGCCACCGAAATATATTCCGCATGGGAGCTCAGACTGTCCTAACGATGGGTTTTGGAGGCCGGGTGAATCAACTATGTGAGGACGCTTACCACGGCAACTCGGGAGCCATGCTTGTACTCTCGCTTCTGGTAGTCAGGGTCGTTGAGGACGGCAGGGTCTGTCGGGAGGCGAACGATGGTCCCAGAAACCTCAACGCCTATAACGAAAGGGAACTTATCCGGAGGATAAATTCCCCGGCTAATATCGTCAGTACCGTAGATTACAACGAGAACAGAGTACATTACCGATAGGCAGTATCGATAAAGTTGATACCGAAGTAGTCAACCTATCATCGATCACGTTTGTCAATAACGCAACCATGCCGAAGAGGTTCGAGTCGTATTGGTTTCATACTTTGATAACCAGATGCTCAGGGTTCAATGGTAGGGAACGGTATCTCGGTTTTCTCGAGAACCTCAGGACCACCAGTCTCAGTGATGGTTATGGCTTGGATCGTAGAAGGGTATGCCATATCGCAGCTTTTCGGCGGAGGCTAATACAGTAGCGGGAACGTTTCTTGCGGCAACCGGACAACCTGCGCGGAGTGGCGACTTTCTGCTCTCTGTTAGCACTCATTCGGTTCCAGCACGCGCTTGGTAATAACGGTACATGCAGAGTCTCTTTCGGATTGAATCGACCCCTCTCAGAAGGGTGTGGAACACTGCATGGACATGCAGGTGAGTCTTTCTTTCCTTTGGACTCTCCATGGACTACACCGACAGTCACTGCGGAAACGAGATATTGTCTGGTACTGGACATGGTGTGGGCAGATGACTAAACCGTAGATAGGTAACCATTACTATGACCTCACTATGGATGAACTTGCCGAAGCCCGAGACAAACTGGAACTGTTGGAAGAACAAGAATGCCAAACACCTTTGCAACATCCACGATCGACCAACTCCTCAAGCACACTACACACACCCCTATCAGCCGTCCTCCTGTTATAGCTCTTTATCAGGTAATCTATCCGGCCCGGCCTATGCCCACCAGTACACCAAGCAGGCGTTGGCTAGTGTCACGTCGTTGGAGAGACGTAATTATGAAGTCACCGGGTCTCTGGACCACTATCGCAATAGATCATGGTCTACCTCTCTGGTGTTAGCACACGTAAAGAGAAGTCGTGAATGTCCACTCAACGTCCGAATACGGTACTGGCTTTTTCGGAATCACTTTCCAAAGTTTTCGGGACTCCTTGGTCTTATGGTCTCTTATGGATACCGCTGGCGTAGCTTCCTTGTCAAGAACAACTCGCAGGATATGGATGGTGGAGTCATCAAAAGCATTTGGAACGTATCGTTTTCCTCTCTGAAAGTGCCCAACTACTCGAGTATTTTGATCTTAAGGAAAGCATAAGACTCGATAACTTCTCCGCTGCTGCTAGTCTCAAATCTCTTAGGTTACGGCGTTCTCCGTTAGGAGCACCACTCTTACCTATCTATAACGTCGCTAAGAATGCTGACAGTGCTTTCGATCTTTGGGTCGAAGTTGTGGGGTTCTACTTCCGGACGGTATCCACTTGCCACCTTCTCGAGTCCCTTGCGGTTGTGCTCGATGATCCCCGGTCATTTTTGGCGGCTATCGTGACCCCAAGGCATACTTATTTCAGCTACTCGTTGTGTCTGGAACTCGGAATTGGCTGGTTGGTGACATCCGCAAATGTTCAGTATTCTGCCTTTAATATCCTCAGAATGGTTATACGAACATCGAGGACGCTGTTGTCGTCTATGTGGCGTTTCACGGTGTAGGTCATATAGAAATGAACGTGTCCGAATTCGATGCTTTTTGCTGGGAGGAGCGGGAGACAACCCTTTATCCACTCCGACCGCTGGATGCACCTTGAATATCTGTCCTTTGAAGGGTTCAGCTACTCAACTGTCAGTGATCTCGCGGAATGGCTTCACGATCGAAAACTTGCGGACTGGCATGTCAAGCGGCCTGTGGTTGATATCACTGTACGACACGCTATAATGAGTATTGCCATGCCGGAATTGAAGGACGTCCCGCTGACGTTCAATCTGACTGTGCGCCTATCTAACTCGGTACGTGTTCCATTCGTGCACGTCGAGCGCTAAACCCATTTTCCTGCCCCTCGTGCTTTTCAGGACGTCTATGGAAATCCTCCTATCCTGAGTATGCTTGAATGGGTAATAAGCACTGAACTCGCATGTGCAAGTACCGAAACAGATTAGTGGGGGACACAACCAGCAGAGGTCCTGCTCTGCCAGCTCTAGTACGTACCTTTGCTTCAACCCTCGCTCATTTTTGACAGTGCATGTCCTAGAGTCTGGAGAAGGATTTCGTATTTACCTGCTACCCCCCAATTCTATACGATAAGTAATGTGTGCATGCAAAATATATGAGCTTGGGAGTCGCAAGCCAAAAAACCAGCCTATGGCACAGACACGACCTTCTAATTTTAGTGATCACAAACTCGCCAGGAAGAACTCTAATTACCAGCAATATTAATATGACTTTTCCATGAAAGAGACGGCGGTCAAACCTTGAATCGCGGAAGGAACTACAAGGCGAGCAGGTAAATTTTCAGGCAGGAGGTACAACGGTCTTCTAAGACACTCAGTGTCCTGGTGATGGGTTTGAGGAATTTGGCCTAAACCTATCATGCGCGGATGCTTACCATGGCAACTCGAGAAGCTCGCTTGCTGTCTGTTCTCTGTTCTCAGCGGTTTAGCATCCCTACTAGTAGGCAGGGCGCGTATGTCGTTGATTATGGATAGACAGGGACGACTTGAAAATTTCCAAGCGTCCCATTGTCTTCCTTCCTTTAACAGTAGGTTCATCTGCGCAGACCCCCACTCACCCGAGTTCAAAGGAGTGTAACTCTGGCAGCAGACTCATTCGTGATACCCGATCGCATTCTCAATGCGTTAAGCACAACCGACCCTCCCATCGAAACTGAGTTATACATAACTAGGAGCGAGACTATCGATACAGGCAGGAATAAACACGGCCTTTATTCATACAGAGAGCCACTTCCGATAGAGGTTGTCCGCAAGAAGCACAGCGTCCGTCGTCACATAAATTAACGAAAGATTATACGCAGCCTCTCGTGCGACGGAGACATCCTACAAGCGCACAGCTCAGAAGTTCAGTAAGGAGAGCTAGACGTCGATCATTGACTTACATTGTCACTCCGGCTTTCAACCAACTGCAGTGCCTTCTCGTAATGCGTGACTGCGAGCGAGTGAAGACCTGGATGGAACCTGTGTAAGTGGATGACGGAAGAAGAGGAGACTGGATACCAAGCTGGTGGAACGCTCTCCCGAAATTGAACTCAATTTCTGGGAGAACGTGATCCCCATCTTGCCTTCGGATCCTGCGGTAGTGAGAGAGAAATGCCATGCCCTAAATATGTTTTCAAGAGAGGGTAGCACGAGGAGCCAAACCACTCACTTGCACGATTAGGTGGTGTCGGTTATCTGACTGGCGTTGCATCGCCCGCCCAATCGAGGAGATGGCCAAACACAAGCAGATCATAGGGTCCTCAGGACAATAGTCGTATGCATGCAGAAGGTAAACTAACCCATAACGACATTAGATGAAAGAGTAGAAATCATTAGGGAACTCACATATTGCACTCTGGTAACTTTTCGCTGCAAGACACAACTGTCCATAGATGGCGACTGGCATCGGGTTGTTCTTCGTCGGTAGCCGTGGTTGCCTTTTGTCTCCCGATGCATCAGCATCACCAGCATCATCAGCCTCCTCATCCAAAACATCCCCGCCTTTTGTCCCATCATCGTCTTCCCCTGCTTTTGTCGAGGATAAATTGTAGCGTCGACTAGAGCTATTCCACTTCAGGAGTTCCGGCGTCCGGACAGCGGCGTCACTGAGACGCAACTCCCTAAACAGATGTTTCTGGAGCGTAGAGCTTATGAAAGAATCCGTAGCACGCAGTCCGTTCGAGAGCGACGAAATCAATATTCGGAATGGTTCATTATTGAATTGATGTGAGTTGATCAACTTTCGGCACTGTTCGACAGCAACGGCATAATTTCCCACAGAAATTGCGCAGGCTTAGAGAGGAGTTTGATTAGTTCGTAATGTGGAATTGTGAAAGATCACATACTGATGATGGCAAGCCGGATGGTGACCTGCGTCTCTTTGCTGCGGTAGGCGTTCGACAAAAGAATATGTCGTAGCACCTCTTCAGCCGATTCGTGGCCCCCTCGTTTGGTCAGCGTGAACGCATACTGCACGGGAAGCGTAAGTCTCGGACTATACGACAGTTCTGATCTCCTACCTGCATAAATACGCGGAGCCAATTTTCGAAGGAAACGCCCCGGAATGAATCAACCTTTTCTGTGTTTAGGGTGTCATCTCTTCCCTTCCGGATGTGTTTATCACGTTCTTGGGAAATCAACACTGTAAGATCACGGATGAACGGCACGGGTGAAGAACACACCATTCAACTCCAATCTCGAGGCCATCCGATCTTCGTCAGCGCCATCGGTTCTTCGCTGATGTCGGCGCTTGGGAAACATGCCCCGGAAATCGAAGTTCTACACGGCCATCGAGCGTCCGCAAGTGCATGTCAGTTCATCCCCACCCACCTTGGTCGTGAGGAACAGATTCCTTGTTTCTCTGAACATCTCAATAAGCTTCTCAGCCTCAAGTATCCATTCTCTCTCAGCTTGATCATCCGGATGATCACCGAGTATCATCGGCCAAAGCTCTTCGATCCGCTTGTATCCCGTGACGACTTCCTTCTCACGTTCTTCTTCGAGCGATTTGAGTTCCGCCAGACTCAGTCGACCTTGCTTATTGACAGCTTTACCCTTTTGCCTCGTTTGGAACTTTTCGTCGAACAGAGATGCGGTCGGCTGCGGAGTGGTTCTGTCGGTGTTGATATCTTCAGGCTGGGCTGGACGTCGTTTTCTGGAATCGATAACTAAAATTTCCCGTCAGAGGCAGCGGAATAAGATTCGTGATCGAATGGTACCTTGATACACGAGCTCGAGCGCTTTGCGGGGCTCGTCCATGATCTCGTAAAGTTCGGCTAGTTTCATCTTGGCGTCATTATTGGACGGATCTGCTTCGATGACTGTTGTAGGTGACATCAGAAACAGGTATGAGGAGAGTGGGCGCGAAAACCTTGTTGGTACACTTCTGAAGCTTCGCGCAAGTCGCCTTGCATCCTTCGACAAGTGGCAACCTGAAGCAGGACATATAAACTGCTTGTCTACAGGAAGTGAGCGTAGCCATCTCATATATGCGCTGGTGGGAAACATACAGCTGATTCGGCCCCAAGGGTTTCATAGATTGGTCGTGCCTCACTGTACATTTCCCGCTCAAAATAGGCGTCTGCAATTTCCACAAAAAGGGCACCATAGTCTAACATGTCTTGTGAGAGCACTATGGTGGCGTGCATCTATCTCAAACTCGTACATTACCCGTCGCTACCGTCACAAGAAACGAACAACGAACCTTTCCTTCTTCAAAATCGCCCATCTTGATGCGCGACACGGCAAGCCGGTGTCGGGCGTTGACGTCAAGCGGATAATATCCCGGTTGGACGTCGCCATGGCGTTGGACGGTGAGGCCACCTTCCTCTGGAGGCGGGTCATACTCCCGATCATCCTCGCATACATCCCAAAATTTTTGTGTAGCGCGTCCCTGGAGCCACCTCCAACCCCGTCGAACTGTCTGGATGGCGCGGTCGTACTGGTTCATGGTATTGTGCAAATCGGCGAGGACAAGGATTTCCATCAATCCGAATTCCATGGGTGGAGCAGCCGCTCTAGAGAGGGATGGATCGAGGGCATGCCCAAGTGGATACAAACCTTGGTAATATTCCAATGCGCCTTCGTAGAGTGATGCACACAGTACAAAATCGGAGAGTTCTATCAGGATGGGACGAAGTTCTGTGAGAACGGTGGTATCGTGAGGGAAATGCTTGAGAATGGTGAGGAGGGAGTGGCGAGCCTGCATGTGCACTGATAAGGAAGAGCGGGCGGAAAGGGCGTGAGGAAAGAGGTACATACGATTCGAAGGTCGTTCGTCTCCTTTGCAAGTGTGGCTCGATCCCAGAGAGCATCCGCGTTTGTAGGATCTAGACTGTACAGTTTACTATAACAATACAACGCCTGTTGATTGTATCCCAAGTCTCTGCACGTAAAGCATTAGGAGAGAAATCGATGACCCGGATCTGTCCGCATTACCTGGATTGCCTCGCCAAGGCGTTCCCACTCCTCCGCATCATGTCTGAGATGAGCTGCTACAATCCTCAGCTGGAGCGCTTTCTGAGGTTCGTTTTTATCTTCATAGCATTGTGCGAGGACCTGTCCAAGCTGATATGGCACGCGGCTCGATGCGAATGACTTCTTGCATCATGCGCATGGCTTCCTGGAGGTCATTGTCTACGTATGCCTGGTTACCTTGACCAATCAGCGCGCGCACTTGGTGGGACAAAGCGGGTCCGGTTCTCCGCTGACGCTACGATGAATACAGCGAATATGATAATCGTCGAGTCAGCCGGGCGAGAAGTGACAGTTTGGTTTACGATACCTTTCTCTTCTTCCTCTTCCCAATCCCAGATGCTTCACGCAGTTCGTCTCGGAATGCATCCTCGTCCGGAACACGGAAATCCCATTCGCGTTGGAGCACGGCTACTGAAGATACATCGTCTGCCGTTCGAATATCTTTTACTAGACGCCTGTACGACTAGATGGTCGGAAGTTAAGATTCTTAATACGAGGCTACAAAACATACTCGAAGTCGTTTTCGAGGGCAGCTTCTGCGGGTGCGGGAATGCCATCTCCATAGATGTCCTCTTCTTCAGTGTCGACATCGTCTAACAGGCCGCTCGTCTCTGATTCGTCGTCTGCACTCGTCAAGTGGTACCTCTGCACAGTAAAGAGCACTCACATAAGTCCTCGTCCTCCGACATCGTTCAGGCAGCGATTCAAGAAGCTGTCAATTTTTGTTAGCCACGTCCGCTTATGTAAGGTGATATCATACAGGGGCTATTTACTATGGCGGTCGAAGTCAGTTGGTGGGTAAACGGTTGCAAATTTGGGCAAGCTGACAAAAGAACCTCTTTCCTTGTCCACAGTGACTGAGAGTCGTTATATTTTCCTTACCGACTGGAAGGCGCCCGTCGACTTCCCTGTTGACAAGAAACTGGACCATGAAGTACAGAATTCTGGCTTTCCAAGGATACTAATCTAAGCCGATCACCCGCAAAGCCAAATGGTACTAATCCCATTGCATTTGGTGAAGTAGATGAAGAGTTATTGGTGCCATAAAAAAATACATCATGCTGTGCATTTCCATTTCGAGACACTGCAGAACACAGAACGGACCGTAGAAAGCCGACGATATTGTTCTCAATCTCACCAGGTGGTGCGGTAGAAGTCAGCGTACTTGAACTTCTTCTTGATCTGGAGCAGTAAGTACCAGCCCGGGGTGCAATACGCAACATGGTTGCTGGTCGAGGCGCCTTTGTTATCGGCCGAGTGGAGTTGGCCAACGATGAAAGCTTTACCATCCTTCATGTACCAGACGAGGGAGCCCGAATCGCCCTTGGCACAGAAGGCGTCGGAAGTCTTGACGCCCATGTTGTAGATGCCGAGCTCGACAGACGGGACACCGACCTCGTTGCGGGTAAATGACTCCAAGCCGGCGTAGCGTCCGAAGGTGAGGTCAGTAGTGTTGCCGTCCTTACCGACCGTAAGGTAGGGCCGGCCTTCGCTGTCGATCTCTGTCGGGTTGGCAAGGTCCTCTTCAGTAGCACAACCCATAATCCTGAGTTTTCTCCCCTCGGGATACTTGAACATGGTGGGACCATTACCCCGAGAATAAAATACGGCCGTAAGATCTTCAACAGAATACTTCGATCCTAAGTAAGGTCGTTTCCATTAGACGAGATAAAAATGAGAAAAATGAGTCGAAACGCACCGAGATCGACGACGTTGCCCTCGAACTGATCCCTGACCTTCGCCTCAGCGGCCAAGAACGCCCCCCAGTCCGAGGTGTACTTTGTGCCGCCTTCAATGTCGACCGTGATAGGTGCAGCATATTGAACATGGCCTATATTGCGATGGAGCTTAATGTCGGACCAGTCTCTCTTAACCTCAGTGTAGAAGGCCTCGAGCTTGGCGATAGCCTTCTTCTCGTCGTCTAATTTTTGTCGATTCGCCTTCATCTCCTCCGCATCCTCCTCGTCGGCTCCCCCCTTCGCCTCCAGTCTCGCCTCCAGTTTGACGATCTCTCGGGCCCAAAAGTTGGCGACAATGCTGTGGTCACCGATGGCCTTCGTTATTTCGTCAAGGCCCCTCTGGAACCGACGCACGCCACAAACTCGAACGTAGTCCCTAGGTGCACCGCCTTTATGGTCGTACTCGACGGTGGTGTTCTTGCGAAGGACGTGGCAGTTGCTGACTCCGAACACCCTGTTGCTGGGGTTGCCGTCCTTGTCTCTGTTCTCATGGAACCAAAGAGTGAGAGTGCCCTGGGCATCCTCCTTCTCCATTCCTTGCGTCGCCAGGGGAACGCCGTGAAGAGGGGTGAGGAAGCGACGGACGTGGTGGGTGACATTAGTGTTGCCGACATGGCGCATCAGCGGTAGACCAGCCAGCCTCTGCAGGACGGCCGCGCGCCATTCCACGACAACGTCCTCGACTCCGTGATCCCGGAGAACCTTGAGGATCTCCTGGGAGACGTTGTGGGCGGTATCGGAGGAGGTAGAATTGGGAACAACACCAATCCAGATCACGACGGGTCCGAGACTCCCCTTCTCCTCCTCTCCCGGCGGTCCATGGGTGAAGAAGCGGGCAGGGTCGATGGACGACCAGTTAATCCCCCAAGCCATGATCAGCTCACAGATCTTGGGACCGACAGTGCTCCAGACACCATTGAGCGAGGTCTTAAAGACTCCACGGACTGACTTGACAGGGAGATGGGCGTATCTGCCGCTGGGCCTGAGGAAGGGTGTGGTAAGGCAATCTGATCGGTAAACAAGTTCCGGGTGGTCGCCATCTCCGGTGATGCCGTTGTAGTACGATTTTCTCTCGAAATCGCTGGGGGTGTACGGGGAGACTTCAAAGGCATCGCTGGCGATGGTGACGGCGGAGAGATTGGAAGACATCGTAGAAACGTCGCTTAGCGTCGGGGAGCCGGGCGGGACAAGGTCCTCGCGTTGTTGGCCCGTGAGGTTCATGCACTCGAGAGCGAAGAGAGAAAGGTCTGAACGGACCGTGGTAAGTGTAGGATAGACGCGGAAAGAAACGAAGAGACTCACTCAAAAGCTCCGGGCGCTCTTTCATTGTCGAAATCGCCTGTGTGGCGTACCCCGAAACGCCTACAATGGAGATGGCAAGTGTGGCATAGACGAACAAAAAGACTAAGGGACTCGCCATCGCCCAGAAGGCCGGCGTTGTTCAGATCATCCAGGGTGAATTCCAAGTCTTCAAAAGGTCAGTGTGGAATAGACGAAGGATAATACGATAGGCCTTACTCGAAAAATTCATATTGAAGTATATAGATGAGACCCCAGTAAAGTTCGCAGAAAAGTTCGCAGATGGAGACGCAGAGTGGTTTAGGGATGAGGCCTTGAGACCTTCGGGGGAAGTCAATCTCTGCCAGCAACGTCCGCTTATGTAAGGTGATATCATACAGGGGCTATTTACTATGGTGGTCGACGTCAGCAGGTGGGTAAACGGCCGCAAATTTGGGCAAGGCGACAGAAGAATGTTCACTGCTTGAGCGTCGTTATATTTCCCTTGCCGACTCGAACTGACAGTGACATTCTAGAATTAGCACTTGCTTTAATAGAGAAACAGCTCGACGAGCTTCAGTCTAAGGTGGCTGGGCTGACAAGAAATCCAGCAGAAGAAAGAAGTTTGGCGGAAGAACAATGGACTTACTGTTGCAATTGATGACCCGTGTCAGGTAAGTCATTGTGCTCACAGTTACATTCACCATATTGATTGGCTGGTCCTTCCCAGGTTACCTCGACATTGGTGCCACCACACCGTTGCATCTTGCCCGACCTCGCATGGGACAAAGTTACCAGTCTTGTTGGTGAGACATTGCAGACACTACAGCGGCCAACCAAGAGCCAAAGTGATAGGGCATGTTCACCGTACTCTTCAAGTTCGTCACATCAGGTATACTCTTTCCAAGTGTGTCCTCAGGTTCCTCTTCTCCCATGGTAATATCATTTGAATATCATCCAACAACAAGGCAACAAAGTGGCACATACTGCCAATGTGGAAGGCACTCGTGGACTTCCCTGTTGACAATGGGACCAGACATGCGCTTGAGAACCTCTTTGCATTCACATCTGAGCAACCCTACCAATGTAGCTGCATGGCAACGCAGTCGGTCAATTCTATCTCGCCGACGACACACGAATGGCTCTCCCGGAGCACCTGTTCGTAAGAGAACAAGAACATCTAGTGTTACAGGCAGCGAAAATTTGACAAGCTGAATGGTACATCACAGTTGCATTCCATCCATTGAAGTTTCATTCGCCTGATGTTACAATCTTAGATGTATACGGAGGGTAAGAATGTGCTAAACAATTTCCAGGCTTTTCTCTGGTTATCAATACTCAATATTCAATGACGAGCACCCGAGTAAGGCTCATTGTTGTACAGTGCAAACTATTCCGTCAGGGTGTACATGCATTCTTTGATTTCAGTCGCTGATCTTGATCAATAATTTTCCTATCGTCTTTCCAGAGGTCAGGTCGGTGTGGGATTCCCGAACGCCTTCCGCCGTGAAGGGATACTCCTTGTGTATCGAGGGTTTCAGCGTTCCGTCTGACAGATGACTGGACAAGGCATTTGCATAATATAGCACTTCACTCGGTGTGTAGGCATAGTTGCCCATCCTAGCACAGAAAGTTAGATCGTGTGCTCGGATGAAACCTGGGGAATATACACCCACGTCGGTCGCACCAATTTCATGTTCTTCTCTACAAGCTTCAAGGGAGGGAAAGGCGGCACAGGACCCGATGCGTTCCCAACGGAAACAAGTGTTCCCTTCCTCCTGATCATTTTGAAGTCGGAATCAAAACTATAGAAGGGGCAAAATCAGTAAAGAAAGTTGTCTACTCCGAAAAACGTACGTGTCTTTTCCCACACCGTCGTATATCGCGTGTACACCTTCGCCATTCGTGATCTCCAACACTCTTGCGACAGTATCCTCGTTCTTGTAAAGGATAACATGGTCTGCACCGTTCTTCTTGGCATATTCAGCTTTCTCCTTTGTCGACGTCGTCCCGATGACGATCGCCCCGCGAGATTTAGCAAACTGACACATGAGCGTACCCAAACCACCAGCAATAGTGTGGATGAGGACGATGTCACCTTCCTTGACAGTATATGCCTCCTCCATGAAGGAGATGGTAGTAACGCCCTGGATCAAAGAAGCGGCCGCGACGCGCACGGGTATACTGTCTGCAACAGGATACGCTGCCCTCCATGGCATAGCAACGTATTCCGCGTAGGCACCTAGATGTTCCTGTTGCAATTCACGTATCAGAAGGTACCATACAGTTTCCCGGCCGTATATACTCACTATGGCAACACGAGACCCTACTTTGTATCCTCGTTTCTGGTACTCGGGATCATCGAGCACAGTAGAGTCAGTCGGTAGGCCAACGACAGTCCCAGCGGCCTCTTTGCCGATAGCAAACGGGAAAGGCTTGTTAGCTGAGTAAATGCCCTGCCTGGTAACATCAATGGGCACCTTCAGAGAGAGAAGAAGGCGGCAGAAAATACCGGAAGTATACATCGATGAAGTTAACACCGGCATATTCGATCTGTTCGCGGCCCCAACCGTCATCCAGCGATCGTCAGCTAGGAAGAGTAAGCGCTTGCGATATCATACCTTGATCACAAGATGCTCGGGCTCGACTGTGGGGAATGGGATTTCGGTTTTCTCCAGTACCTCTGGACCCCCGGTCTTGGCTATAGTGATGGCATGCATCGAAGCAGGATACGACATTCTTGAAGAACTCGAACAGAAATGGCGGGACAGTAAACCGAGTCTGCGGGAAAAGGCTGGTAGCATGCAACGGGAATGACAAAGAACAGTAAGATATCGTTCTCATGATAGCCAGTATTACGCTCCAGTTAGTAAGTCCAGCTTATCGCGGCGGCCGCACACATGTATAACAGGTGGCTGGGGACTCGGGCCTTCCGAACTGTTTCACGTTGCAGATGACATATTGGCGGTGCATCCTCTGGACACACTTATGGGTTTCTGAAGACATTCCAATCTCGTCCAAGCACATTTTCCATAAGGACTGCAAGGAAGCCAGGAAAATGTGCGTCCGTCAGACCCATTAGTAGCCATAAACTAATGAACCTCCCTGAAGTGCTCTGCAATTTGTAGACCAACTGAAACACCATGAACGTACTACCTTTTCTCGGAAAACGCCAACTCAAGAATGCTGTAAATCAAACCTGCCTGTCCAATCCTCTCCACCATGTTCGGCCTTTGCTCCCGTAAACTATCGATCTCCTTAACAACGGGATCATTCTGAAACTCGTCGGGCAGAGGGCCCAACGGTGAATACGGGGCACTGATAGCAACAGTCCCCTTGCAAGAAGACGAAGGGACAGTGGAAGAGGAAAGGAGGCCAAAAGCGCGAAGTAGGGAGGACAGAGCGATGAACGTTCCCGTCCTCCCGATCCCTGCAGAGCAGTTCACCATGGAAGGAGGATCAAGATCGTCGTTGGAGCTGCCTTGGGTGGCCTCTTTATTGACTCTATCAACGAGACGAACGAAAGAAAGTAGAGAAGCATGGTCTTCTTCTGCAGGAACTCCGTGGTCAGGCCAAGCCGCGTACAACAAATGGGTGAAGACCACAGCCTTGCCCGGATTCTTGACGTCTGGAACAAAAGCGACTTTACTTTTCAGGCAACAAGCTTCGTTGATAATCGTTTGTTCCAATAAGGTCACTCTGAAAGGAGGGGCGTCGCAACCTCGTTCCGGCTCTACCATCATCGTCGCCCCTACGGTATTAGGGAAGTACAAGTGTGCCTTGGTCCGACCGCTTTCGTGATTGAGTGTAAGCTGCACAACCGTACGAACCCTACTTCCGGAGGGGATATTGAGACCTGACGAGGGTGGTGATGCCATGATAGGCTGCGCGATAACGCTGAGGAAAGTGTGAGCCGTTTCGGGCAGCGGAGCTTGTGTTGCGATCCAGAGCTTCCTCCCATATAACTCCCTCACCCAACTGGCATTGAAGTAACGTCCATTCCCCTCTCCCTCATTACTTCCGCATGTGCATCCACCTTGTTTCCCCACAACCACGCGGGTGCGGTCATAGGGCGCTATATTTGAGTAACGATTTCCCCACCGATTCTCTAGGCTCCCTCCGATCGCAACTGAGTAGTATTTGGAGTGTTCGTCAGTACCATGGGGCAAGGACGCTCTCAGCAGCCCGCGGAAAGTCGATCTGCTGTTGTCAGATAAAGACGTCAAACGAACATTATTGCGCTGCCGTTCGCGGCTCCACAGAAGAGTAAATGATTTTTCTAGGTAGGTCTCTGATCGCGCCGCGGCGAGCCATTCTGGCAAGGTAACACCGGATGTGCACGACATGTTGCTGGACAGAGTATCCCCAAGGACTCGTCGAGCTTAAATTTGAGGAGCGGAATTCCCACGCCTTGATAATTGCCCGATGCAGTATTGAAGTGTCTCTTGTCACCAGTAATATCTTATCGGTGTACCGATTCATTCACCTACGGGGTGGCTAGTAGGATATCCCAGTCGGATGGAAGGACCCTACAAACCGTTAGTGACTTCAGATACCAAAGTGAAGTCAGTGATCTGTGCAAAATTCTAAGAAGATGGCTGATCACACTACCCAGGGTCAGCTCGACGCTCGACAAAACTGTTGGCAAAAAAAACCTCACCGATGGAAATCCTGAGACGTGTTGGACATCACAGCAGGTAATTGCGATACTTTTATACATCAATGGTCGTGATTGACCTGTGCTCTGCACACAGGGTCTTCCGCAAATAATTCACTTGGTTTTTCCAGAACCAGTGCGTCCAATGCGGCTGATTTTGACATTTCAAGGAGGTTTTGTCGGCACGCAATGCGCCATTGATGTTGCTGCTTCTGCTTCCGAGCCTGTATGGACGACATTGACACATATCCACCCGGAGGACGTGAATAGACGACAAGTCTTCCAACTTCCCGAGGGTAACTCACCAGGGATCCAGTGTATGAAGTTTGTCATGGAGAGGAGTTCGGATTTCTTTGGTAGAATAACTCTGTATGAATTGCAGGTGGAAGGTTGGACGCCGTAACGAAAACCCAATCATCATCACTGAAGGCGGTCGAATAGCCCCACAGTGTGCATGGAAACAAAATTTCACGACAGATAGCGCCGCGCGAACGACGGCAGTTGGCAAAAACTTGAGCTTCAGAGCATTCTACTGCACGTGATCGCGTCCCCAACCGTCAACCTGATAATCTTACAGTTGCGAGTAATATACTATAAAGCGGCCGCAATCAAACACTACTATGTAGATCCCTGCAGGGATGTTGAAACGAAGATAGACCTGCCTAATCCCTGCGACGGCAGTTGGTAATTCACAATGGAAACGCCTTGTAGACTTGCTGTACATCCACTTACCCCGCGATCGTGCTCAGTTAGACGCCATTATGACAGATGTGGCAAGACATTAAGAAGAGAGCAGAGTCCGTCACTGGCATCATAAGCGAGACTCTTCGATTGATCGCTCTCCTGCAGACATGATGCTTGGGTATATACGCAACCTTACGGATGGACGCATCAACATGAGGATAACGGGGATCTGCACTGCACGGAAATCTTGGAGGCAACGAAAATAAACGGACAGCCTGGATCGGCAGAACGAAGAAGAGCTTCGAAGGCACGTGAATGGTGACTGTTGCTAGCTGTACGCACGATCCAGCGCGGACAAGGGATGGGACCCAGGCCACAACGATACAGCAAGCGGTTGCGCCTCTCCGGCCCATCTCAAAGTATGTGTCATGGCCGCCGCCTGTGTTCCATCTCCCATATTTCTTCCCCGTATGGTCTCCGCGTGGACGGCCCACTGGTCCTTGCAGAGAGGGCAAGGAGGTTCCACAGTTCAGAGAGACTGTTGAGTATGTCACCGCCCATGCACGATGAGAGGATACACCACCCTATGACTGAAAAGCTGATAGGGTGGGTGAGTGTGAATTACAATATTGGGCACATGGGACACACACGAGGACGGCTAGAACGAGCAAAAGCAGAGCGAGCGAGCCATACCCTTGGTCCGCCATCGATGTCATCATCGTGAACTGCGGCAGTTCAACAGGATCGGATGATTATGTATCGCGAAACCGGGGCTGCACCACAAAATTTCTCAGCTGTGTCTGCTTGGTGCTGACAGTGAGAAACGGGGTAAAAATGCACCGGAGACCCATCGGCCCTTGTCAACCGCCCCTGAGAACAGCACCAAACTACATTTGTACCAAGCCACGGTCTCTGTTATCTGCCTGACTTTTTGCACTGTTTTTCCAGCGACAGCTCTTCCAGTTGTGTCCTGCTCTGCCATGTCGCCGAGGCTAGTAAACCCATCCACTGCGTCAGGTGTACGCGCTGTTCCTCTTTGTTCACTTCACTTCACTGCTCATCTCCCCACCTCAGGTAAATATGGGCAGCGATATTGAAGTGATGCCGCAAATCAAGGACGAGCACCGTCCAGACCCCTACAGGTTTCGCTTGGGCATAATGCCAGACGACGAACTCAACCAGCTACGCCGACGCCATAAGACCGGTAAAAGCCTGGAGGAGTACCACCGTAAACAAAACGAAGTTCGTGCCCTCAATTGTGGGCTGTATCATGTCGTCTCACACTGCCGCTCTTAATCAAGCTCATTGCTTCCCTCCTGAAGTCTATGGACGAACACACGGAGGAAGCTAGGATTGACGAAGAGGCTTCCCGCTTTGCCGTGAGTTCCAAAATTGAAACATTCATTACCGCCACAACGCGCCAATGTGTTAACTCAGATAAGGATTGCTGTTTGGGCAAGTCTCATAGCAAACTTTAGTCTCTGCGCCCTCCAACGTATGTCACCGGAGGTAATTCATCCCTCTTCCAGCTGAGCTCGTGTACAGTCTACGCTGCTATAAGCTCTGGATCACTGTCGCTTATTGCAACTGGGATCGACGCCGTCTTCGACTTTGGAAGTAACCTGTTCTTGTATTTCATGCATAAACAAGCGATGAAGATGGATGTGAACAAATGGCCAGTGGGTGGGGCTAGGCTGGAGACCATCGGGAACATCATATACGGTGAAATAGTTCCATCTTGTAAAAAAATACGCCAAGTTCACCATACTGTCTTGCAGGCGCACTGTATGTTTTATCTTGTTACACCTATCAGCGTCCGCCAATAACATGTGGATAGCATGTCGGCCGTCAACCTGGTTGTCATAGTCGAGGCCATCCAGACTTTGATGTCGCGGCAGTCAGATAATTCTTTCCACTTGGCATCAATTCTCGCTGTTGCTGCCGCCCTCGGTATTTTAATTCTCTTCACTCTCGACTTTTGTTCACTAATATATGGATTATACAGGAGCTAAATTTATTCTTTTTTTGTATTGCTTCGGTCTCCGGTCCAAGTCAAGTCAAGTTCATGTCCTATGGGAAGACCATCGGAATGATTTGTTCATCAACGGTTTTGGTAAGAATTCTCTCTCCTTAGCAGGCCTCTCGACACATGGACGTTTGTAACACAGGTATTCTCATGTCCGCCGGTGGCAGTAGATGGAAATGGTGTATGTATTACATTGATGGTGTAACCTCGCTTTCGCTGACCACAGACCAGGGCTGGACCCCGTTGGCGGTCTCCTCGTAAGACTTCAGGCCCGTATAAAAATCACCCCGTTTCCTCATACATGCCCTCCAGATCGCAACGGGCGTCATCGCTGCATGGATTCACACCATTTATGAACAATTTGGACTGCTGGCTGGCAAATCTGCACCGCACGAGTTCATCCAGTTGATCATCTACAAGGCGATGACATTCAGCGAGGACATTGAGAAGATCGATACCGTTCGTGCGTACCACGTACGTAGTATAACATAAATTGCCTTTCTGACCGGTGCTGATGGATATTTTACAACTCTAGAGCGGACCCGTTAGTTTCGAGCAATTCACTGTTTTTCCTTTGCTAATTGTTGGCAGGATTATTTCGTCGAAGTTGACATCGTGATGGATGCCGCCACTCCTCTGTGGAAGGCACACGATATCTCTCAACAGCTGCAAGACAAACTCGAAAGATTGCCGAATGTCGAGCGCGCATTCGTGCATGTTGATCATGAGACAGATCACACACCTGTGAGTGTTTATACTGCGGCGTCGACTTGTACTACGCGATCTAATACATGCACACTTAGGAGCATCGAAAGGCTATATAACCATACCAACACGCCCGAGATATCGTTCTCCTGATCTTGCATTGTTGATAAAAGACATACCCTGACGACCCGCGACTGACACGTAAGTTTCCTGGTAGTGACGATGTCGCAGAAGCAGACATTGCGCGAGGTAGATTCGCATATGAATTAGATCAAACCAATAAAATGAGCTCCCGATGACCTTGTCTTTTCCCTCCGCCGTTCCAGTGCGCTTCTGTTACAGTGCCCGGAGCGGCATTTGGGAGTGTCGGTACATAAAAGTGTCCAAGGGTGAATGAAAGGGCCGGTTGACATCGTGGAGCTGTGGTGGCGACAAAATAAGGAACTCTGCCAAACTGCCCTCCACCACTAGTTAGCACGCCTCTCATAGCTGTCCAGTGTCTCCCTACTGTCGCTCTCATTTTCCGTGTTATCAACGCATCGCGAGCACAGACTCGTGTCCACGGCACGTTATAGTCGCTAGTATCTAGCGTCTGGCACCAGAATACATCGATTGTGATCATGGTACGCTCGCACAAGTTGGTTGCAGGCAACGTGTGATTTGAAGTTGGTCACCGCAGGATGCCCGCCATCAAGACCCAGAGGATTTCTACGTCAAACAAGATAGGATCGGTGTGTATCATTGGTCTGTTCGTTCACGGATGCGGGACTGATTGGCTTCCCTCAGGAAAGGGATCCTTTGGCGAGGTTTACAAAGGGTACGTCTGGTCCCTCCTAACAACAAGTTTTCTTTTCATACGATCTCGGCTATCTGTATTTCAGGTACGACAAGCGAACGCAGAAAACGGTCGCCATCAAAATCATAGACCTCGAGAGCGCCGAAGACGAGATCGAAGATATTCAACAGGAAATACAGATCCTTTCACAGCTAGACTCTCCCCATGTGACCAAGTTCGTCCTCCTTTGTGCCATGCTCTGCCCTGTTTGGATTCGATGAGATTAACATGCAGCGATTCTTCATGCAAGATACCATGGCTCTTACCTCAAGGGATCGCATCTATGGATCGTCATGGAGTACGTATTCTTTTTGAACGTTCGCGTACGTGTCCTCGTTGACATCCATTTCCCTCAGGTATTGTTCAGGTGGCTCATGCTCTGATCTGGTATGGTCACCGTTTGCGTGATTAGAAGAGGTACTGAATCTTATGAATCAATACGAAGATGAAACCAGGGGTTTTCCGAGAAGAGTATATCGCCATAATTCTACGAGAGCTCCTTCGTGGTCTAGACTACCTCCACACTGAAGGAAAGCTTCATCGTGACATTAAGGGTGAGGTACCACCCGTGATAAATAGCAGTACATCGTCTGATTGCGCCCAAAATAGCGGCCAACATTTTATTATCCGCGTCAGGAGAGGTCAAGCTGGCCGACTTTGGGGTTTCGGGACAGTTGTCCGGAACTCTTTCCGCGAAGAAGAATACGTTTGTTGGCACGCCATATTGGATGTCCCCGGAGGTAATCAAACAGAGTGGGTACGATCACAAGGCAGACATTTGGAGTCTTGGAATCACAGCCATCGAACTGGCTAAAGGCGAACCGCCATATGCAGAGCTGCACCCAATGAAGGCAAGTTGGCAGTGTCTTCCTTTTTCTAGCTTAATTACAGCGTGTTGCGCCATTGATCGGCATCCTTCAACCCCTAGGTGTTATTCCTCATCCCGAAGAACCCTCCTCCCCAACTGGACAGCCATTTCTCTAAGCCATTCCGGGACTTCGTCTCATATTGTCTGCAACGGGACCCTCGCGACGTTCGTTTGTCATTTTTATGTTGACGTGTACTAACCCAATTCTCCCACCAGAGACCATCAGCACGAGAGCTTCTTAAACACAAATTCGTACGGATGGCAAAGAAAACGATTTACCTCACCGAGCTAATTGAACGCCACGAACGCTGGAAAGCTGAAGGTGGCGAAAGATTAGAAGAAGAGCAGGAAGCTGCGAAAGCAGAGTGAGTTGTGATGTTTGAAAATGCCACAGCGAAACTTACCCCGGTGTGTTAGGTCTGATCACAGCGATCCTGAGGATCTATGGGACTTCGGCACCGTTCGACATGTTGGCAAGCCTTCGACCATTGGTCGAACTAACAATTCCATCAAGGTCTCAGGACCTCCACTGACATGGGAGATGAACGGGTCGACGCGGTCGGAACTGTCTCACTCATCTACCACCCGTAAACGAACTTCCAATTCGTCGATAAGGAAGACGGAACTACCACCACTTCCAACGTCTCCTCAGTCTGCGCGACGATCATCTCACGACCAGTCGACAGTTAGGCACATGCCGAGCGGTGGTCAGAACAGCGTGCATACCGACCGTCAGGCTGCGGATGAGGGGCGACATTCTGACGAGGGTGATTATGATGGTGCATATACGGAGACATACCCACGCGGAGCGACTTTGGTCCAGGAGAAAGCCGCACCCGGTGCGGATGACGAGGATCTGCCTGACACGACAATGCTTGACTCTGTTATACTTCCTGCAATTGCATCGGTAAGTTGTTTCCTCTTATTGCAAGAAACAGCTGACGTTTGATGGCCCCCAGTTATTTCCCCGCGTGTCTACACAGGAGGCTCGCGTTGCGCTTAGCACTCTGCAGCGCGCGTTTACGGAGGCCGAGCGTATCATACCTGGTGTGACGCTGGAGATTGTGAACGAGATCGTAGATTCGGTGGAGCGAGTGGAGGACGATGGCTAATAGGTGACATTTACATCGCATCACTTCTTTTCTCCTCGCTTTCTTGTCGTTGGCCGTGCTCCAAACCTCGTTTACCCAGCAATACTTTCCTGCAGTATACCTTTGGACACTCTTAACGCATCTCACTTTAGCCGCTATCGTAAACACACATCCCAGTCACCCTGTACCACACCGCCAATACCCTTTGTCTTTAGCATTCTAGTATGCTAATAGATCCCCCTGTATATTGTGTAGCTTCCACTAAGATATAAACTGGTTCGGGTGCGAATAACATGTCGTGTACTCCAATCGAAATTTATTTAACCCGTTCCCGTCGTGTGCTTTTTCTTCCCGGTACCAGTGCCCTTCCTCTTCACTCTGGTGACCTTGATGGGCTCTGGTGTACTGGCACGAGCATCATTCCCAGGTACATCATACTGCTGGAAAGAAGGCAAAATAGGAGGCGGTGTCGATATTCGCTCGAACAAACTTGGCGTTTGTTGTCGAGTTATGGGAGCAGACTGTGACAGAGGTGGTGTAGGTATCGCACCCTCGGGCATCTCTCCCTCTTTCTCTACGACAAACCGGGGAGAAGAGGAACGCGCAGAGCTGCTTTTGAGTGCGAACAGGCGGGGTTCAACTACGTTTTGCAGGTCAGCTGTGTTATGTTCAAGACGACCGCCATTGACTATACGTCACCTTTGGGCGTTGGGGGTGGTAGCTCGTCTAATCGTATGATCGGAATTGAATCGACGTCGTCCACAGGGGGTTTGGGAGGTTGGTCATCTGTAATGTAATATGGGTCCTCTCGCATCCGTTCCAGTCGTTCCGCCTTTTGCTGGAGACCGCCAATGTAAATCACGTTTAGATACTGGCAGTAGGGGGGAAAAAAGGCTTACTCGCTCCCGCTCCGTTATCTCCTCTGGCGTCTCAGTGTCCTCCAAAGGAACAAGTACTTCCTCACCCTCCGTCCGTCTCTTCGTCTCTTTCGACTTCGTCCGGTCCGAAGATCCCTTTTCTTTGCCCTTCTTTCCCTTTTTCCTCACCTTCTTCTCAGCCACCATTTCACCACCCTCATTTTCGTCATTAACGGGTACCTGCATCGACGGGACAAGCCATGCATCCAAATCGAGCCCCTCGGGGATGGGCACGCTTGCTTGGGCCGCCGACGCTACCGGATTAAGCTCGTAAGTGGAAAACAGTGGGTGAATCAGATACAAGCTCTTTGGGAAAGCTGGCCCGCTGTCAATTTCCGGGGCGTCAAAAACCGAGAGCGATGCGGAATAACCATCTGAGAAAGCGGGTTCCGATTTGGGGCGGTAAGTAGTAAGGTCATGCTTAATGAATGTGAACAACTGGAGGATGTTCGCTGCCTGTGGCAAACGAGCCTATCTTAGCGGATGTGCCAAAAGATGGAAACGGTTACGTGAACTCACCCGTTCTTGTACCTCGATATGCGGACTCGATACGAAGTCCTCCAATCGTTCCATCATGCTGTCAACTGCGCCCTTCACTTTGTCAAGAAGGTCGTCTGTCCATTGTTGGGCAGCTTCAGTAAACCAATAACCAAAAACCTTGGTGGCTGCCTGAAGATACACAACTATGGTATCCGGATCTAAATTGTGGATTTCCGAGTGAAGCAGGTAAGGGAGTAGCTCCTCTGGTGCGAGCAGCTCGCTAGAAAAATGTTAAATGGGGTAAGGGAATACACCTTAGCGAAGTGGGGAAGGAAGCACACCCGCAGTACTCCCCACATATCCACGCGGCTGCCCATAACACCTCCGAGCAACTCCCAGGCTCCCCAGCATGGACCAGTAAGGTCTCATCGGACAACAGTTTCACCATCAGCTTCACGGCATACGCTCGCACTGCCCGTACTCTACCCATGATATCGACAAGTTGGTCGCGTATTCGGGGGCCGATGTCCACATTTGAGACGTAAGTGAGGTCGACAAGGACTGAGAGATACCACTCAAAATCAGTAACGTTGTCGTACATGGAGTTCGAGCACATTGAAATGACGTGCTGGGAGAGAACGAGGCGATATGCGGATGACTGAGAAGGCAGGGAGGGTGCCTTAGAGGGGATGGAGGGTACGACATGCTGGGATAACGATTGGACGGCGGAGGGTACTGAGGTTTGAGGCTGCACGAGATGGGAGAGAAGTTGTTGGACGATGGACTGCAGGTTGTGCTTGTTGACCTGGTGATGGTGTTCACATGCTTGTTATATGGCAACACGCAGAGAAAACTCACCAAGGCGGTGACCAAATCAAGAGCGCGCATACGGATGCTAATATCATCGTCATCCACACTGGCAAGGATAACGTCTTGGTGTTCCGCAACCAAATTCGCATGGGTAGGCACGATTTTGACGAGGGCAAGGAGAGCAATGTACCTGACTGTGTGCATCACCTATCAGCGAAGATCCGAGTGGTGGTGTGGTACAACACTGACGGTTCTGATCAGCGTCCTGAAGGAATGCAGCGAGCTTTGAGACACAAGTCTGCGCTAGGGATAGACCAGAAGGCCCCTGAAGCATGTTGCCTATGATGCATGTATGCACACACTCATAGAGCAGGGAGATTGCAGACGTCGTAGAGATGAGCTCTGTTATAGGGGGTTGCAGTTTCTTGACCAGCCGAGGCTCATGAGGGGAAAGGGCACCAAACTGGACACCTCTGTTAGGTATGCACCTAACAGTGTATCTGGGAAAATACGTACCAGTTTAATGAGCTTGATAAGCATCCAGTTATTGGACGAGGTAGTCAGGAGATGGAATAAGTGAGGGGCTAAAGGGAGATAATCCTGAGGATTGCGTCTGGCGAGCTCGCAGATGACATTGACTGTAGTTGAAACGACGGCTTCGACGCGGTCAGCACTGACGAAGCCAATCTACGGTCTGACAAGGATTACCTGGATCCGAATCATCAAGCTTTTCCCGCAGTCGGATGATACCCTGAGAAAGAGCTTCCGGATACCTCTCGCACACCCTGTAGAGGGTCAAAACGGCCCTCTTGCGGATGTGAGGACGGGAGTGGTTGAGCATAGCGAAGACTTCAGGTATTAGGTCTCGCGCAAGGTCGGGTGTGACGACAGAGGACAGGCCGTTCAGTGTAATCGCAACCTCGGCAGGACTAGAGCTCAGATCCTGCTGAAATGTGAATATTGTTAATGAGCGGACTCGAATGACTCACCTTCTTGATCAGATTGGTGGTGAGCATGAGCACATCGGTGTCGTCGTCGAAAGACTGGCCGGCGGCAAGATACCCGACTGTTTTGAGGTGGATCTTTGAAGACGACATGACCTCTATGATATGGAAGGATGCCCAGTTCATGTCGTACCCTAACATGTTGAGCTATGGCTCAGACTATCACCCTCCGGACACGCGACGGGAGCGAGGGTCGTACGCACATAGGTAAGTTTCATGACGGCGCCTGCCTTGAGTTCCATGTCTTTGTTCTTTATTTCCTTCCTAATCTCGTCCATGGCCTGGGCTATGAATTTGGCTTCGTCATTCTTGTTGGCGCGTAGGCCGCGAATGAGATCTTGGAGAGTCCGCTCCCACATTCTCGGTGATCCTGACCAGCAATAGGCAAGATGCCTTGGAGACGGGCCAGCCCTGTAATCCGATACAGCTGGGTACGAGTCGATTCCCGAAGTGGTGCGACGTGCTTAGTACTACTAGAAGCATGACTTAGTGAGTTACTAATTAGCTAAGCGGCTGCTGGCTGCACGCGGCACGAACACCCCGACACACTTCAGCTGCTCCCAGACGTACATACAGCAGTTGAACGTGAACACTGACGACGGATCGTACAGATTACCCGGTAATGCACTTGGCCGCTTTGACCGGTCTTGTGGTGAATTAAACTCCCTGAGCACCCCTGTCCGACATGTAAGGATTAGTTTCTTTAAAGTTCACTGGTCACTCGGGGATCACCGATCCAAGTACATATATCTTATAGGATATTCGACTCGTTCTAGCATCACGTTGATAAACTCGGTTCCTTGCCTGGACCGTACTTATTCGAGCTTTCTGATGGGTCCACCACCCCTTGTGCAGTGCACCAAGACATTTGATCTCCTCGCAATGGTACTTGATGGGCGCCAATCACTGCCCGTCAACGGTCTACCGGTCAGGGGTGCACTGTAGCAGTTAGATTGTTTTCCCGGATATCTTTGATACATTGAACGTTGGTAGTACGGTCTTGCGAGGACTTTCCTAAAGCGGATGATGGCGGAAGCTTCACAAGCGCCCGTCACTTGAAAGACACCGTTCCACCGACTGAAACTGTTTTATTCCCGCCGTTCTATTTTCCTCCCTTCCACCGCTGACAGGGCGTGTTTTATGGAGACGCCATCGTCGTCGCCGTCTCTCGCACCGCCCAGGCCATCGCCTTCAAGTCCAAGTCAGGGCTCATCGCCCTCGTCGACTTTCTGTTCCATACCAGACCTTACCTTGTCGTCGACCGACCAGGAACGGGATTCCACAGAAACCACCATATTTTCAATATATTCCATGTACGGCGACGGGGCTGCAACTGCAGCTGCAGCTTGGCCCGCGTCAGCCTTTGACGATTCGCCTCAAGAACTCGACTTGTCCCTAGGGGACAGTTTCTCTTACAACAACTTCGTTAATCGAACCGCCAGTACATACGTATCAAAGACCGACTCCGCGTATATCGATATTTCCCTCGATCCTCATCAATTTAGTCCACTGGCCAATCCTTACGAACGATCATCGCTACCCAATTCGAGGCCCTCCTCTCGTTCACGGCCAGTCTCAGGCTGCACCCCAAGTTCGTTCAACAGACGGGATACTTTAGAAGTACCCCCACGCATTCCCCGCGTTCCTTCAGGCCGCAACAGTCCTGTTACTTCATGCAGTTCACAGGCAGGTTCTGAGGTCAACCTGCCCCCTGTATTACTCAAACCGCTACCCACACCACCGCAAAGTCGTCCATCCTCACATCCCAGGCGAACGGATTCACCTTCATCCGAACCCCCTTTTGTTCCTGCACCCCCGCAACCATCTTCTTCCCTGTCTCCCCCAGCGTCTTCTCAGACACCACCGTCGTCCCCAGCTACCAAACTGTATTCAAAGTTAAGCAGCCCGTCCAGTAAAACGTCTCTCGTCCCTTCAGAGGGCGAAGACCTGGACTCCTTTCACGTTAGGAGTGTATACGCCCAGTTACATGCCACCGGCGTGAGTGGTGATGGCTACGAAGAAGGGGTGGAACGCACGCGTGCACGAAACCGTGCCAGTTGTGCCAGCGAACTCCGCGCAGAAGCCGCCGTAGACGGCCCATCTGCGAAATCACGAGATCTGCCACCTGAGGAGATGCGCGTCTTGTCGAGTTTAGATCGGTGGGATTTCATAACAGGATACCCGTCACTCTCATATTCACTCTATGCAGGTATGGCTTCTTTACGGTTACTAACCATGATCGATTGGTGTTACTACCATCAGCACCTCTACTGAAACGACTAAGTACTGTTCACGCGGGTCCTAAGGCGGCTCCACCCCAAGCGGTGTCCGTCAATTCATTACCGCCGCCATCATCTCCGCTCAAAGAAGCTGCGCGTATATCAAAGTGGGGAAGGATGCTAGAAGTCCGTAGTCGTGACCGCGGCGGAAATGCCGAGTCGTGGTATGTGAAGCCGTCGAAAGCCCATAAACTCCGCCAGCGGGTCTACAAGGGCATACCTGATCGGTGGAGAAATGCAGCATGGGAAACGCTCATGAATGACTTTTCCAAGTCGGGACATGAGGTAGTTGTGAGATTGAAAGAGTACTACTATCAGGAAATTGATAAGCCGTCAAGTTATGACATTCAAATCGACCTGGATGTGCCGCGGACAATTAACGGCCATATCTTGTTTCATACACGCTATGGTCTGGGGTACGTCTTTTGTCTTGGTCTGATCACCATTCAGTCTGAGCCTGCCTAGGCAACGGTCGCTGTTTCATGTCCTACATTCCTTCTCCCTCCGATGTTCACAATGTGGCTACGTTCAGGGTATGGGCCCCATCGCCGCCACGCTTCTTACCTATTTCGAGCCCGAAAGGGTTTATGCTGCACTCTCCCGCCTACATGACGCCTATTCTATGCACACCATATTCTCTCCGGGTTTCCCAGGCCTCTTAGAGGCCATCTATGTCCAAGAGCGTATTATGCAGTCCAAGATGCCTGGTGTTTACGCCGCTCTTAGGAAGCACATGATCTCTACGACGTCGTATGCCACCAAGTGGTACATCACCCTATTCGCGAACTCGGTGCCATTTCAGACGCAGTTGCGGTTATGGGACGCTTTCCTACTCGAGGGGCAGGATGTATTCGTCGCTGCCGCAATTGCAGTCATCTGGGTATACCGGGGTAAGAACATTTGGTACATTGCTGCAAGCTACAGCTTCTCATCTCTCTGTGTAAGACCATATCACGTCAAACTCGGCCAACTTCGAGACTGTCCTTTCGTTACTGTCGTCGGTGTTTGTTCCCGAAGACGACGACGCGCTTTTGTTCTGGATCGAGCACCTCCTAGGCGACAAGAAGCTGCGAAAACAGATGAGTAACTGGAGACAGGAATGGACACAACTTGTACGCTCAGGAAAGGACCGAGGTGTTCTGCTATAGCATTGGCATGTCCGATTGACGTTTGCGAGTCTCTGCATGATGTCTTTTGCAATGCATCACTTCTACTGGCACGCCCCATCCCTCGTTATGACTCGTTTTCCTCATCATTTGCTATTATTTAAACCTGACCTCGATCAATTTGACGTTTGTGAACATTGTCAGGGACCCGTTATCGAGACAGTACTAGTTAATGTTGCTGTATACCCACTCGCTTTTTGCTACTGTGCTTAACAGGAGTCGAAACAAATAAAATGGATTTAGGTTTCTCAGGTACTGTTGGAGTTCACGATCCCCGAATTGCGGCCCTCGTTAACACCCTGTACTAAAGTTCGTGTCATTCACTGCCGGTGGAGCAGTTGCAGAAGATTGAACAACGTCACATACCAAGTGTAAGTCCGAAGTCCTGGACCGCCATCTTCGATGGATGTCTCGGCCATCACAACCTACAGGACTTGAGCAAAACTACACAGCAGCATGTACGCATCTTGCAAACTGCATGGAGCTCGGGGCCGATATTCAACTCCAACCCAACCGCAGAAATGCGAATTCAAGTGGCGTTTATCAGCGTAGTATACGAGATTGGTCACCAGCCTGTGTTCCGCCGGTTGTCAACAGACGTCCTGCAGACTTTGTCCAATCCAACGCCAAGTGGAGATGTCAAAAAAAGGCTCAAAGTTCGATCCCAAATTCCGGTGGAGTACACTGCTTTCAACGTGGTCAATCCGTTCGTTGAAGTTAGTGGACAATGAATGTTGTTAAGGAATCGATTGACGTGACGCGTTTCCAAGCATGCTACTATGGTGAGGTCCTCCTCAACTCGTGGATCAGAACGTTGGGACGTGCTTTTATTTGCCCTTTTCAGTGCTACGACACGTATTAGCAGGCCAGTGTCTAGTCCATTTGCTCCTAAGTACGTGGTCGTTCCTTTTCAGACCACCTCAGAAGGTTTGAGGTCTCGGTTCCTTACACGAGAGCGGAATCCGCGCAACCTCTACACGGCTACGGAAACGTTACTCTAGGTGTGGGGCCGTTTCCGTGGCCTGCGTATCTCCAACATACACGATTAGCAGCTCGCGGAAGGTCTCAAGTCAATATGCACCGACAGTAACGGCCGATTCGATTTCAATGCCTGACAATGTGATCAAGATGGAAACCACGCTCATGCATGGAGCTCTAAATCAGAGCGCTCCACGTTCCCTAGGCCCCAGGTCGAAACCCTACACTGTCATCGATCTCGCCAGTGACCTCACTGGGTCCCTCTGTTATTGACAACATCGGTCCCCTATCACCTCGTTATTGATGGTCGCTGTGACCAATGGATCAATAACGCGGTGGCGTCCTCTTTAAGGCTCATCCCGTTCATCTCACTGCCAAGTATTCGCATGCCGTCGCCGCCTGGACAATAATGAACGGAAAAGCCAAGCAAGTGCGGGGTTTGGACGGGCAATGATTACGACCTCTAGGCATGGGGGGTTTGGATGACTCACCTGGAGTCTTGTCGGCGGAACACCCTACGAGTCCGACGCATTGTTCTTTTATGACAGTGACGTTGGAGAAACCAGTGTCCGTGTCTGCGCATCGTTTCTTTCACTCGCCAGGTCTCATGAATGAACCCAACGGGCGTTGGGTACCATCAAGATGCTCTGCGCATGCATGCACTGCCAGGGTGAAGCCCACAGCAAGTATTTCGGTGATCGAGGATAATTGGAAGGCGAGGACACGTGTAGCCCTATTCGTCATTCCATTCTGCCTCATTGTATTGCGGTATGGACAGTTTCCACAAATTGCTCGAGGCCGCTCCATCGATCGATACTTCTTTGATTCCACATGTTCTGCCCCTCAGATATGCGGAGTTCCCGCAAGTTACCGCCGATGTGCACTCCAGAATGCTACCTGGTCTGAAACGTGAAAGTCCCATTCGCGTTGGAGAACCCCCATTGACAACACATCTGCTGCTGCCAGACGCCTGTACGGGAATATGGTCAGAGGGTACTTTTGAATATGACACTATAAAGTGTACTTGAACTCGCCGTTTCCAAAAGCGGCTTCAGTAATTGCACCATCGTAGATGTGTAGATATCGTCCACGGCGAGTGCGAGCCGCTCGTCTCTCGTGCCTTTGTACGGTCGAAGCTCTCACGCAAATCCTCCCAGTTCTCATTGTATTCACTGTTTCCAGGAAGCGGCTGGTCTGCGACGGCCTTTCTCACACCACCTAGTGACGGCCCGAGTGTATTACGGGCGAAGTCACACAGGGATGGGATGGAATGGTGAGCACAGTTGCGACAAATTTGCTAACACAATCACATACATATCATAGCTACCCGCAAGGCGCCGATCCTCCACTCCTTTCACTACTCACTAGGGCTACAGGTCGGTGGCTCCAAACTACCGCGTACACAATGGTTATAGCTTATAGGTAAGAGGAGCAGCCGCAGCGTTGATGTTGGAATCCGCACAGACACTAGCAACAGTGTCCCTGCCTCGTGCTGCCATGGCTTCATGGTTCAGGATGCACATGCCTGTGGACGACACTAACTTCACCGGCCAACCAGTTGCATACGCACATTGGTATCTTCATTCCTGTTTGGATGAGACACGTCGAAGTTTTCATCAGCGAACCGGAGTGCATGAGAAGGGCAGTTAAGTGATAGATTGATTCTGATCTGAAAGGCTCCTGAGATGAAGTAGAACATATCTCGCCACGATGTTCCTCCATGTGGATCACCATGTCACAACACAAAAGGGTATTTACGGTTATATGGTTGTGCCATCCAATTATCCCTCTTGCTCTTCACGCGCTCCATGGCTTCCTCGGGCATCAAGCCTCGACGGAATTTACTCATCTGCTCTCTGAACTTCGCTTCGTGATTCGTGAGTGTGCCTTTGTGCAACATTTGAGAGATTGACAGTCGAACACAAACTGAATATATTCACACACGGACGCATACCTATTCAGAGCATCAGTATTCAACGCAGATGAACGAAGGTCGTCGTTGAGGCACTGATGGCCTGATGGCCCAACGTTGCAAAGACCGAACCTGTCAGCTCCCCCTGGACAAGGGTTCATATTCTGCGGGATCATATGGTCTAGGAGAACATACTCTTCCACACGTGGCATCCACGCCATCTCAAGGTATCTTCGTCGATATATTCCGTAGCTATGGATTCCGACCCATAGGTGCAACTATAAACGTAGATGGCTGGTGTGGATATATTGAGACTGGGGTGCCGCTGACAGTACAGCATGCAACCTACGGCAGTGGGAACTCCCATCGGGAGATGTTATCTGGATCAATTTACAAGCGCAGGACAGAGGGAAATGGGTGCCCAGATTCACCAGTGTCGAGGTGAAGGATGTGTACAAAGTTGTAGCCTCCTTGATCACATCGGTTCCTTCTGCTCTGGTTTCGAACACAAATTTTCTGTGTGACTCGGTGCGGGTGCAAAAGAAAGTTGCTCACTGGTTCTAGGGTGTTGGCCGGAGAATTAGCAATGGAGATTGGAAGTTCGAAGCGGTCGTCGTGGTCCAACAGCGATTGAGGCTGAGATAAGCTTGGGTCTTTTGGGAGGTTTGGATTCACAACGACCGCTGAGCTCGCCATGAACAAACAAGTGAAGGTATCGAAGGAAAAGAGCTTTTATTTTAGGGACCGGGACTTTGCCCCTAAGTGCTTTACAGTAGTTATCCCCCCCGTCCCTTCCACCATACAGCGTCAGCCATGAGTGCACAGAAGTGGAAAATCAGACAGGCGTCGTGTACCTTGTGAATTCGATGATTCGGTGGACGGATGAAAAAATGAACCAGAACGGTGAACTGTGGCCCACACCGTGGGGTTAGTTCCGACTCCCGAGGACGGAAGCAGCACGTCACAGCCACTACTTACCGAGTTGACAAGTTGGAACCAACTTTGTACAGCGCAATCTCGAATCTCCACATTACATTCATGTGTTCCAACTTTCAAAATTCCTACCATCCATCTTAGTTTGTATCGGATCCGTACTATGAGTATGTACATCCGCCTCGTGTGTTTTGTCAACTTTTGCAGTCCATGGCGAGGGCAGAGCAAGGCTACGCCTTACTCGCTTCGCCTTTGCTCGTTCTAGCCATCCTTGCATGTTCCATATGCCCAGTATTGCATCGCTACTTCACACTCATGTATCCTTCAGCTGTGCAGCGGTAGGGCGCTATGTTGCCGTGGTCGGCGTTTTATCCCTTGTCTGGGCTGGGTCGCGCGTACAACGATCCTCTGGTTATCATTCATGCGCTTCGAAGCCCTTCTTCGTTCTATAGATCCAGATCGCCCGTTTATTTTCGTTACCTCAAAGATTTTCGTGCAGTGCAGACATCGCGTCTGTCCGTAAAGTTTCGCCTATATTCAAGCCACCATGCGCACATCTGCAGGATAGCGATCTATCGAATACCAACCGCAACGTCTGACTCGATTTTAATGCCCGACATTTTGATTGAGACGGAAGCACGTTCTAGCATGTGGCTCTGAAGCGGTCCATGTTCCCTGGGTGGGTTGAAACCTTAGGTCGTCGTCGATCTTGCGAGTCAGTGATCTCATTAGATTCCTTTTCCATGGAGAATGCTGATCCCCTATCAATGGTCTCGTTATTGATGGTCGCTCTGGTCACTGGATCGACAATGCGGTGATTTCCTCTTTACATAACCCCCTGTCCATCGCACTGCCAGACTTTCGCATCCATGATCGTATGGACAATAATGAACGGGAACCAAGTAAGTGCGGAGTTTAGAGGGGTGGTAGTTATGGCCCCGAGGCAGAGCGGTTTTAGATGACTCACCTCAATCCGTCCCAGAATCTCAGTGACGGGACAACCTACGAGTCCGGCATGTTGTTCTTTTATGGCAGTGGCATTGGGGGAACCGGCGTATCTGTCTGCGTGTCGTTACTTTTACCCGGCCAGGTATGTCATAGGGCGGAACTGACGCGGAGATATCATGAGCAAACCAACGGATAGTCTGTGCATGTTAGAACTACCAGGGTGACGCTTACAACACGTATGAGGGTAATTGGAAAGGCAAGAGATTGGACCCATTCCATCATTCTGTTTTGACCTGTACTACAGTTTGCACACCTTTCTGCAAACTGCTTGAGACCCTTCTATCAATTGACACATCCTTAATTCCGTACGCTCCATCCTTCTAGTATTCTCATGTGGAGCTCGCGCAAGTCCCCGTCGTTGTGCACATTGATGGACGGTCCAAGGCTGTTCAATGAAGCTCTGGGGTAGAAACAAGATGGCTCGTAAGGACTGCAGCTCGTTGGCGTTGTTACTAGGTTCCAAATGGATTATCATAAGATCAAGTACTGACATTTGATACACTATACGGAGTCTACCCCGGGGTTAACAGGTACAGTGCGTTCTCCTACCACGTAATGGACCCAATCGCGCTAACAATGAAGCATTCTAGATGACTTGGGTCCGTCCATTTTGCAGTTCTTGACGTTAGCAGCACCGCTCGTTGGAATACCCCTATCTCTTGCTTTGCTCCGGGGATTTCGCTATTGGCTTTGTAATTCAATTGATCAATTCCATCCAAGAAAACCTATGCTATCAGATAACTTTTACCGTGATGTATATGATCCCGTCTGTGGCTTCAAAAGCCTAAGTCATATTTACCTTGATTGGTGATCGCAAAGATCATCATATCGACAAACAAGGGGTTGCTGTGGTTCCCCTGGTAAGTGTATATCGCGTTAAACTGTCGTGATAATTAACTAATACGCGCCCTTAAGGTCAGCCCACGCACTGCGTGTATGAATGCCCTAATGGGGAGCTGTGGTCCCCCATCGGCCAGGTGCCCAGTACGTTTTAGTCACAACATACTATCTACATCAGCTATCTGAGAACGCACCAAGGGGCATCACTACCAACGGCACGTCTTATGACATCGCCCCTGCTACGTACACGGGGTTTTACGATAGTTTTTAACTGAAACCGTTATTGGACTTACTGCTAACACGACTGACGCGAGTGTATCTCTAGGCCCTAGTGCAGGTCAGGATAAATTGTCCACGAAAAGGTTTATCATGATTGGGCACAAAATTGGGCATAGTATAACCCTTCCCGTAGAACTTTCCTTGAAGCCCCTCGAATATACCTTAATTCACACCATCGAGGACGTTGGTTCGCCAGGATACTTCAAACTGGGCACCTTGGGTGTCTTTTACTCGGCATCATTCCTCATCCTCGCCAAGCTCCATCCCGTTGTCTTCCTCTTTTGAACTGTCATCGTAGCTGTCCACGATTTGCCACAATACATTTGCCAATTCCTTTACATCATCGTCCTCCAGGTCCATGGCTGTTAACGTCACATCCCTGCGACTGACGGCATCTTGGACAAATGTGGCGTACTGTGGCAAACACGCCGCTGTCGATGGAGATGTGGTCATCGAGGAAAACAGCTTGATTGATTTCGGTCGTGAGCCAGGGAAGATGTCAGGGAAGGACGTTTGGATTGGATACGAGGGGGCGTGGTGACTGTGTGGCATTGATAAATAAGAAACAAGGTTGACCAAAGGAAGACTTGCCTTAGCAAGAGCGGATGCCTGAGTTCGGACATCTCAGTCCACGATTTGTATACATTTATATCCTCCCCTGCAAATCCCCGAGAAACCTCCCTGCGAGCATATGGTGTGCATCGCTCCTAAAGACGACGTTCAAACGCTACAGAGATACATCCAGTTGGAACATTGCATATACCTCAGAATGTGGTGACAGTTGAATGACATCGTCTACATTGGCCCTCGAAACGCGGCCTCCTGGTAATAGGTTCCCGCTGAGATGTGCAAAAGGCAGCGATCTTCTCCATTTAAGATGACCGATGTAGCTATCAAGGTCGTCCAGACCACCTCGCAATCTGCTCAAAAATCAGCTCCGATGGAGAACGCTCGGAGGAAACGGGAACACCTGAGCGGAAGTGTAGCAGATTCCGCGATAGCGGACAAGACGGCAGACAATTGGTGAATATTTTTTGCCTGTTTCAATGAGCCGCTGGAGAAACAAAGGAAGGGGTTGTTGAGCTACGCACTTCGGTATAGAATGCAGGTGTCCTAGTAGGACGTCTCCAATACCGTGGAGCCAAGACAGGTACTGTGAGGTCACAAAGTTCGTGAAGGCTTTGAAGACATAAACTATCGTTTATAATTCCTCTCGTATAGGGAACCTACAAGAATCGTATTGAAAGCTAAGCGGAAGATATCCATCATAGTGGAGCATACGTAGCCGGTTTCAGCCATGTTCGGCATGACATCTGAGAGTAAAGCAAAAGTCATGATTGAGGTCTTTCGGTGTTCCTCGCGGAAAGATCTCAACATTGCATGCGAGAAACCACCAAACGTAGCAGTGTCGTGCATCATTTGTACGCCCTAAATTAGTGCTTTTCGATATAAATAGGGCATGATGCCCGGTATTAAATACCTGAAAGTTGTCGCATTCCTCAATCGCGAGACGCACCGGACCTTCCATCAATTCGACATCCTGAGTGAGACGTGAACAGAAAAGCCGGAAAGACACAAGGAAACTATACCTTGTCGTATTGCCGAAATATTTCTTGGCTCGCAGTCCAGTCGCCCTCGGCGTTCTCCTGTGTGTCAGGAACAGGTTGGATTGACTTGGGATCGAAGAAGACGCGACTGTAGTCAGACCAAAATCTGACTTTGGTCTCCGGAGGGTTATTATCGAGTTCCAAGGCATTCGGTTCATTTTCTGCTTCAAGGAAAGCTTGGTATTCGCTCTGCGGGACGCGCTCTTTTTCGTGGCGAAGAACCTTTCCTTGCCTACAAGGTGGAATTGGAATCGACCGAACGGCGCATCAACAACGGTAACTACCAAGTTGATACGGAAGAGACGTCTTCTTCCGTGCTTCGGTTCTTCGCGAGTGATCCAAAATTTGCTTTGTGACTTGCAGCATGAGCTCATTCTTGATGTATCATACCGAACATATAGGCGTACATTTTTGATCGAAGACCAGGAGTCTCGGACACAAGGTGGGATAATTCTATCCGGCTGGTCAGTCGTTATCTGGGGAAGCTGAAACACAACCGGCACACGTGTGGGTCCCGGCCCTCTCTGAACGAGATGCTATGATCTGCGAGAGAAACGTCGTCCTCGTCGTAGGCGAAGTAGCTTTCCTGTGTGTTCCAAAAATGTGTTCCCGTATAATTCGACAGTGAACCGGCTTGGATGTACAGAATCTCCCGCATGATGTTGCCAGGAGATAGCGTTGGTTTGGTGTTAGTTGTCAGACTCGGATGGAGGCCGAAGTCGGATCAAACCATAATCCGCCAGTCAGCCACGTCTGGTCAGCCTCCTGAACGACCAAATAGCAGCTTGTTTCAACTAACATCAAATACAATCTCTGGCCGCTTGGTAACGTCGAACTCATTCCCCTTGGTGGACGTCCTCGGGCGTTTCCCTGAGTGGTTTGGCAGCCTTAAGCCGTAACTCAAGGTATGTACTAGCGTGGTATGTCATGTAACTATTCATCAGCTTTGTAATTGGGCGCTGGTGTTGAGTGCAGCGCTGAGGCACGGGTCACAGTCCGGCTCGACAAACGAGCGAGTAGGCTTTGTCAGTTCTCAAAGGACAAGCAGCCGATATCGATCAAGGACACGAGTTTCCGGTTGGGCTCGAGTCCACACAACCTCCGCAAACTATTATTCGCTTGCTACATACGCAGGTATTTTTAACAACTGTGCATGAACTCCATTGTCATGCATAACCGTTGTCAGAGTGATTGCTCGTTTTGATGTTACAATCCCAGTTTCTCCATGGAGTACTGCTTCCTTCTTCCCAAGGTGCACTGAGGTCGTCCTTCCACATGACTTAGTACGAACTACGGACAGCACAGTCCCTGACTCGTGAGTACGAAACTTAAAAAAATTTGGTCGGTCTGTTTCCGATGAGAGCACCTTGATGCCGCTAGGCTTTACACACCGACGACGCTCCAGGCCGCCCATTTACGACAATTTAATATACGTCAGTCCTATTTTTTCGGGCCAGGAGTAATTTCTAGAAAGGAAGCTGCATGTATTGACCGAGCAAGACGAACAAAAATGATTGATTGAGATGAGGTCTCATTGTCAAGGCCTCTTTCTGACTTCCACTCATTTGACTTCCATCACCATCCCTTTCAATGAGCATATCCTCCTCACAGGCTGCATTTGCTACCGAAAACAGCGTCTTTGCCTATGTGCAGAGTGAGTCCTTTGAGTTCGGTGTAGTGACCCCTAACCTTCACCCACTCCCTGTTAGTTGCTGCCACTGCAGCTGCCTTGTATGATCACAGTATGGTTCATCCGGTACGCAAATGGTTTGCAGCTTATCCCCTCCCACAGTTCTCTTCTTTGGCCGTGAAGTGAGTCTCCTTGATCGTGTCATGCTCGCCCGCCTCATATGCGGCCCCAAAACAGATAGAGCTCATATGGGTACGTCAAGAACCCTATTTTGATGGTCTTGTTGATTCAATGTGTGCAGGGGACTGCGCCATCTATCGTTACAGTGTTGTATATCATAGTGAGTTTCGGAGACAACCTTAGGGGGAGTGCTTATCATTCCTGCAGGACCGCTACTTGGGCGATGCAGTGCTCCTGTATGCAGATACCTCCAAGTATTTCTCTAGTAGCTGATTATAACTTCGGCCCGACAGAGCGGGTGTCTGCCGTGCGGTTTGTCCCTGCGACTCATCATAATGACCATCTAACGAAACGGAGTAGTTTGTTTTACGAGCTCAAGTTCGGAACAGGTACGCTATTCTTGGTTCTCAAATGAACCTCTTCTGATATCTCTCAGGAGTACGTCACTGATGTTCTATGAAAATGGCCCATCTCACTTGCATACAGGTGTAAGTATCTCCTGTCCACCCATATGGTAGCGATGTTGAGTTAACAGTGATAAAAAATACTAGGTTTACAACTGTTCCGATTTCGTGCTTGGGGAACGCTAGCTTACACATGGGCTACCCAGGGTGCGTGAGACTGCGGTATTGAAACCTTACATTCTGACGCGAAGCCAATAGCGATCATGCTTCTGCGCATATATGCGATGTATAGGCGTTCCACTAAAATCTTATCATTCCTTCTTTTCTCGTTTTTCGCAGAGATTGTAGCAATTGCTATCATCATCTCCCATTTCATCGGACCTGGAAGCGGATTGGAGGGTACGCAGGATTTCTCTCTGCCTGATTATTTGGACTTACGCCAAGAATTTCCTAACAATTTAGTTGAACTAAGTAACCGCTTTTCGTCCTCCCAAGCACAATTTTGCTTGTTTTTCGGCGTGAACGGGAGTTTCACTTACCTCCTTATTCCGGTGCTCTGTTTCGAGACCGTCCTCTTCCTTCTTGCCGCAAAGGTGTATTGTGCGCATTTACGGGAGACAAATCAATTGCGAACGATTGGGGGACCAAGAGAGATGAACTCTTTCACTAGGGTGCTGGCAAGGGACAGCATTTTCTATTTCTTCATGTAAGCGTGTTTGACAATGATCGATCCCAATGAGTATTGCGAAGACTGACTGTTGGGTCAGGAATCTCGTGATGTGCGCAGTCGTCATGGGTATCTGGCAAAGCGTCACTGTGCGTTCCTTTTTTCGCGTAATTTCGTGTCCCAATCGACTTAAGCGTTCATCCACGACCCTTCTCCGCAGTCTCGCTACGCAAATATTTGCGTGCCGCTCGTGATGCTGCTTGAGATTCTCGTCGGGACGCGGCTTGTCATCAACTTCCGAGAGCGATTCTATGATCCGGATAGGGGCAATGTCAATTTGAATCGGTATAGCGAAGTCATCGGGGACCATTTTCAAATGCGCCAGTTTCGGATCGCTTGCGAAGTTGAGAGTGTGACTGTCACGGTAGTTGATGGCGAGAAATGCTGAGGTCATTCATGTCAAATCATACCATTCGTCACCTGTTGAGCAGGGAGAAATACTGTGTACATAATGTGAATTCCATATATTACAAGTTACTGCTAAATGTGATGATGTTGTACCGTTACAAAACGCATACTCCGACTATCGAATGATTCTAGCACAACTGAAAGCGAACACTGCGTGATGCGAAGAAACAAGGTGAAAAGGACAAGGGATACACATCTATGACAAGGGTGCGGATGGGCAGCCGACGAAATGCGAAATTAACGATACAAATTGCCATGACGAGGTGGAAGAATATGGATATTGGTTATGTGGTTGCTATGAAGGAGAGCGTTGCTTGGCACCCTGTCGAGTCGACGGATAATGTAAAGTAATAGAGTCGAAATGGTGGCCAAAACGTCACATGTGGGAAGAGGGAAGTCCGTCAAACGAACACGTCCTTATGCGAGCAGGAGGAAGTCGTCGTCCACTTTCTGCGCTCTGTACACGTAGATCGAACGGAGAAGGTCCAAGTCTTGCTGGCAGTGCTTGCTCGGCTTATACGGGGAGCTTTCACCCTCGAGTTGCCGTTGGCGCCGCGGCCCATCGAAAGAATGCCGATGGGAAGCAGATTTAGGCGTTTCCGATTCTGGCGAGTCCAGCTGATACTCTGGCACTTCCGCAGGCCAATTAAACCGCTTTCGACGGAAGCTGATAAGAAAGCAATGAGTTGTTGGGCGAAGCAGTGATGTAGTAAATCTGATGCCATACCATTCATAATCCCAAAGGGTATCATCAATCTCGTGTTCAGGCACGGAGAGATGGGTCCTCTTCGATACCTCATCGAGATATTCGTGTATGGCTGCTTTGGAACTAAGGAGGGTATGTATGTGCTTGCATGCGTGCATCTCGAGCTCTAGGGGGGAAAGAGGGATGAAGGTTTGCATATTGACAATAATGCCAGGTGATTGTCCGTGTGCCGAATGACGCGGGGAACTTGGGTTAATTCCCAGGCGACCAGCTGCTTTGGCGCTAATGTTCTCAGGAACTTGCGTGAAGCTCGCCACACTTTCCCCACTGGAACGGTCCCCTTTCTTGCGGTCTTTATCTTTCTTGTCTTTCCTGTCTCGTTCGACTGCCGTCACCCAGTGAACGAAATCTCTTTTGGCCCTCCTGATGCTCCCGGCGCTGGCGCTGCTGCCGCTCTCGGAACTTTCGACAGATGCCTTGTCAGACTCTTTGTCAGCGGGAGGTGCGAGAAACAAGCGAAAGTCGTTAATGCGGTCTGAGTTGTAACGTCCAAACACGTCTTGCAGTGTATCTTCGATCTTCTTTCGAGGGCGGAAAAGAATATTGAATTTCTGCGCAAGCATATTCTCGAAAACTTGTTCTAAATTCTTCGAGTTTTCGGCTTCACGATTCCAATCGGCGACAGGATCGTATGGAACGTCAGGGGGAACAGGATCTGGTTCCACCAGCGTCGAGAAGCGACTCTTGGTGCTCACGAAATCCTCTTCAGTTTCGTCCTCGTCTGAATCCAATGCGTTGGTACCCTGAGAGACGCCTTCCTCGTCTGTGTCATCAAAGCCTGAAGAAAGCGAACGAGACTGGGGTCGAGTGGCCTGGGATCTAGTGGGCTGTTGTGGTGTATTCTTCGAATAAGGGAAGTGGATGTAGTCGTCGATCAATTCGAGATAACCTCCTGGGTTCAGCACACGCTTAACTTCTTTGAGAACGTGTTCCCAACGGTTCTCGGGTATACAGAGTGACAGATTAGCCATCCGTACAAGGTCGAACATGCTCTTCGGAAACGGTAACTTGTACTTGACACTGTCATGATCGTTAGGGAGTGACTGATTCGCTGGCGAGGTACCTACAAGTTTCCTTGTTTCCACTGAAGATTTTCCGGCAGCTTAGCATCACCACCCAAACGCGAAGGATGGACAAGATCGAAACCAATTACGCGAGCGGACCCCCAGTAAGTAGCCGCTGCAATGGCCCATTCGCCCGAGCCACAACCAAGGTCAAGAATACTTTTGGGACCCTCTTTGTCGAATTTGAGAAAAGAAGGCGAGGGATCCGGGTTGAGTCGCTGCAGGAGCATTTCGGAAAACTTGTCACTATTACGAACCGTTAATTATGATTAGTGATCACCGGCCAGCATTACTCACTTTTCCATGGAAGGTCTATCGTAAGACAGCATATAGGGAGCATCCACGTGCGAATACGGGTGGTGCATCAATCCTCGCCGGTAAGAAAAGCGATCCCTAGCTTCAAACCCATTGGTAGGTGGACTATTTGGTTGATCCAGCGTTATGGTGCTGGCATCTAGACCCGCGGTATCCGGCTTGGTGTCCTTGGCCAGGTCAGGTCGGATGTTTTCGGGGTCTACGGGTGGTCTACTTTTCTTTATGAAATCAAACACGGCTCCCTTTTTGCGTTGCGGGGACTCGGGGACTGCAGCGCTGTCAAGAGGTAGGGGTGGAGACGGTTCCTCTTCATGCTGGGGTTTAGGGCGCCTTGCTCTGGACAGCAGCCTTCTTCGACGACTGCTTTCTTCTCCCATTGACGCAAAGTATCCCGAGTATGTGCGAACCAGGGAGTGGTGTTGTTCGGAAAGGTCCAAGAACGAGTAGAGGGATTCTGGATTGAGAGATCGTTTGTGCCTCAACCCAAGGCTTCGACAAGCAGCAGGTGGGGGATCTCCAGGAAAGTAGCAGGATACGGGTGGGAGAGGAAAAGCAAACGATGTAGGAGACATCGTTGAGTGGGGTTTCCGGGATATAAAAAAAACTGAGCTCAAAGCGAGAGCGGAACGTGCAATGGTTCAAAGGCAGCCTTTGTCTGTTGTGGCGGCCGTCCACAGCCAGGTATGGGGTAACAAAGGGGTATGAGAATGACAAGCGGATAATGGGCCTCGGGTTCCACAGAGACACTCCGGACAGACAGTTGGCAGGAAGCTGGTGTCTGAGAAGACAGAAGTTAGCAGGCACTGACTGGTGATATTCATAAAGGCTAGCACTTACTATACTCGAGCTGTGTGAGGTGGCAGTGAGTCTCGGCGATGAGGTGAGCTGTCTGCGTACCGGATTTGACCGACTGAGATGGATCAAGCCACTTGCTGATGGCAACACCCTGCGAGGGATTCCACTCCCTCCGCGATCGACTGGGCACTGGCCTGCGCTCCTCATAATTTGCGAGGTCACGGAACCTGGCACGTCAATTGGGACGCTCCGGTTATGGAAACTCGCATTGACTTCCCAAGTAGGGAACAAGGCACGCCAATAAACATGTGCGGTCATTACGCCTTCTCGGAAGCTTTGCCTAAATTATAGTTGTCCTGCAAATTATTCCTCCGATTGGTTCGAAACAGAGGGCTGCCCCTTCACACTCCACGTATCCTGTCCGAATCCGACAGCCACGTATCACCTCATTCGCATTAGTTCCGTGCCTTGCGTCGTCACTATACACCATCGCTCTGCCACGTACCTGACTCGGAATTAAATGGTGTGGAATCAGTCGCATCACGTCCCGCACTTGGGGTAGACCTTACGCGAGAACGACCGATGAGACAATACACACACACATACGTACTCACGCAACGAAGGCACAAGAGATTGAAATCATGATGAAATGCAGGCGTTAGGTGCACATTCAAACGACGTGTGTCACTAGTCTTCACGTATACATAACAAAACCCGACTTGACCAAGCATGGAGTATGTACTTAGTCATCGTCCTTACGTGGAGGAGGACCACAAGGCTGCAACATGCGCTGCAGGATGGTTTTAGTCTGTCGCTCGAACGCCGAAAAGTGACGACTCAAATCACACCTCTGTCATCTCAAACCTGACCCTTCCCATGGCTTCTCCGTCGGCAATAGCGAGGTAGGAGAGCAATGGAGGATGTCCCATAATAGACGCAAGTGAGTCGCGGTGTTGATGAGTTATCCATTCACTGCCCGCGAAAATCAGCCGTCGGGAACAATGTGACGCACGCAGACTCACTATTTGGTTAAATCAGCATGACCTATCAAAATTTAGCCAAACATCGCTTTGATGCGACCCCCCTACGCACCTGTGCCGGTGTAACGAGCATGCACTAAAAGCATTCTATCAGATACACCCTGAAACAGGAACCAAAGGGTCTCTCACAATGCTCGAGTTGTGTATTTGCGGTGTACCTCAGCTCTGATGACTACAATTGTGGGAATTTGCTTAGCGAGCGATCAAAGCAGATTACCGGTCTTACCATGGTGGAGGTGGACTGAGGAGAGGAGATGACACTCGTCTCCAATGCCGGTGGCAGCGGGCCGCTCGTGGGTCACGTGATTACTGTCCGGTAACTTAGGTCGGTCGGCGTCGGCGGACTCCTGTCTCCGCTGTTTCCTGCACAATGGAGAACGAATTTGATGTTATCATCATTGGCACTGGTCTCACACACTCCATGAGTGCCGCGTATGTATCTTCCTGCCCGCTGGTAACGGAAATTGATCCGCTGCGATCCCAGCGCACTTGCCAAGGCCGGACTCAAAGTAGCCCATGTCGATCCGAACCCATACTATGGTGGAGACGAGGCTGCTTTGACGCTGGACGAAATAGTTGCATGGGCTGAGCATCATGCTTCCTCAGATTCCGTCGATCAAGTCCAGAGATGCCCCACGTATACCACAGAATATTGTTCTGCGCTCAACGTGTCGCATCCGAAGCAATACACGATATCTCTATCTCCTTCCGTTATTCCCGCCATCGGTCCTTTCATCACATCCGTAATAGCGTCCGGCATTTCGCGGTACTGTTCGTTCAAGTTGCTAGGTCCGGTCTCGATATACAATGGCGGCCAGTTCAAAAATGTGCCAAGGGGAAAAGAAGACGTGTTCAGGGATCAGAAGATCCCGTTGATAGAAAAACGTCGTCTCATGCGGTTCTTGATGTTTGTTGCTGGGGATTATGAAAGTAGTCCCGAGTTCCAGGGTAAAGAAGACACTCCCTTCCAGGAATTCCTTCGTCAAACATTCTTTTTGAGCGAAGACATCTCACAGAGCATTGTATTTGCGTTGGCATATTGCAGCCATGCTGATGGTGAGCCATATGTTCCACCGTTTGTTTGCCAGTCAACTCACTGTCTTTTTTAAGAGCCGACGGCTTCTGCGTTGTCCCGTGTGCGTAGTTGCTTGCAGTCTACAGGGCGTTACGGGCCTTCGCCATTCGTCGTTTCTTATTACGGAGGTTCAGGAGATCTGGCTCAAGCCTTTTGTCGCGCTGCAGCTGTCAATGGGTCTGTGTATATTCTGGGTCGACGGATCGCGAACATTGTTTATAGGGGTTCGTCCTCCGAGGCTACGGGCGGCAGTCGCCGCTACGCTGTCGAACTTGACAATTTTCCGGAGCCACTTTATGCATCCTGTCTGCTGTCCTCCCAATGTCATGTCCCCGATCATTTGCGACATCTTTCCGCACCGATATCTTCAGAACCATCAGATGCTTATAGTCGTATTCGTGCAGTGGCGAGAGGCATAGTCATATTGGATAATCCCTTGTTACCTCCACGTGAAGACAGCGAGGAGCCCGAGGCGACGCAGTCCGATTCGTTTATCATGGTGTTTCCTCCCGGATCAGTTGGGGGTGGTTCGGACGTGAGCGCTGTACATGTGTTAACGGCCGGACCTGGTACGATGTGTGCACCCCCCGGGAAATGTGAGCTTCTCTTGCTACTAGGTATGTGTGATGTTACGATGACCATATATCAGGTATAGTCTACTTGTCCATGCCACTGTTGGACCAGGAACGAGGTGCTAAGGCGCTCCTGGAGCCCTATCTTATAGCGATACTATCTTCAGTATCACCTCCTCCCAATATCCTCTTCCAGACGTTCTATACCCAACATTTCCCGACGGAGACAGAGCGCGACGTTCTGATGGGTTCCGAGGATGATATTACTTATTGGACCGTGCCTGTCTTACCTGCAGACATGTCGCACGCTGTCGACTACGCTGCTCAGATCGCCGAGAAAGCATTCTGGCAGGTTACGTTGTCGATACGAGGGCCTGACGCTTCATTAGAAGTCAGTAACGGCTTTTGGGTAGATGCTGTGAGCAACGTTGATGAGGATTCCGATTAGCTACATATTTACTTGGTGTAATGTTATGAAACGGGAGCTTTTTCCGCAGGATCTGATTGGTTTGGTAACAGTACTTCATTGGTCGAGACCCTGACTGTCAAGTTGACAGCCATCCACCCAAACCATATTTTCCCGTGTTCCACGTTTCATTTATGCCACACCCTGTGGCTGTAACTAGTTCGCTCACGACCATGTCGACCGACGCGACCAAAATTCGCAAAAAAATCGCGAGATTGAATAAACATCTCGATGAGCTCGAATCCCAGCTCGAGCCTCTCTTTTCCCAGTCCCTCACCGAGACGCTGGTCAGACTGGACACGGTCCAACAGGCAAAGATGCAGGTCATCATTCCGTATGTGGTGTATGATCTCGTGTTTGGTGTGTACAGTTTTCTCTCTCTCTCTGCGTTTCTAAACCGCTGATGTGGCCGCATGCTATGGTCAAAACGTCCGCGGCGGTGTTATTGGCTTCGCGATGTAGTTTTCCTGAAAGCTCGTGGCATTGACCCGATGACGCATCCGATCGTTCGCGAACTCGTACGTTGTCTCTCCCCCGACATATACCTCATACCCATTCCCAGAACAGGACCGCGTGCGCGTATACTTTGACAAGATCAAAGACGCTGAAGAGTCCAACCAGAAACGTAAGTCTTTTTTTTCACGAGTCCAAAACAGTGTCGACCCCGGTCGTGATGTACTATTGGCTGTTCTAACACTTTATGTGGGAGCAGGGAAACTCGGCCTTGACAAAGAAGCAGCGGAAAGATTCATAAAACACGCCATCGCACAAGCAACGAACGTAACGTCGGTTGAGAATGAACGAGACGATGAATCTATGGATGCGGTTGTCGCACCTATTCCCGGTCCAAGCACCAGCGTACTAGAGCGTGTCCCAGTCAAAATCACCAGCAAGATGCTCGAACGTGCGGAGTACGAGCGGAATCTGCAGGAGCTGGGTGATGATGAAGAAGAGGAACTAGAAGTTTTCGGCGAAATACTGGCAGAAGATTACTCTATGGAAGGTACGCCAGATGGACTGGAGTTGAAGCCCGCGATGGGGACGCTGCTAGTCGACAAAGGTAAGCACAAGATGAAGGAAGAACTCAATCAGGTGGATCAAGTTTCGACCTCGTCCCGTAAAAAACGGCCACGTATCGACTCAGTCGCGGGTACGTGTCCCTTATTATCCCTCTTTTCTTTGATCACGGTGGTGACAGTTTCTTGCCGATAGGCTACGAAGGCATTTCGTCGACGCCGGAGCCTTCGGGTAGCCGTGAAAGGTCGAAATCTGTCCCACAGGAAGCCCCTTCTGTCAGTGAATCCCAACGCTGCACGCCGTCTTCGTCAACGGAAGCACAGTTGTCTAAGTCGTCCAAAAAGAAATCCAAGCGTAAGGAAAAGAAACCCCGACAATAATTCTGTTCTATGTCCACGATATCATGTTACATTTAACTTTCTCTTTGGATACAAAGGTAGTAGCACTACCAAAATGTGGTGGGTACAGCGTGGAATGTACAACAACACAGAAACCAGTAACGTGAAGAAGGAAAGCACGAAAACGAACCATTGTTTTTACATTATGATGCATCCATCGCGATCGCTATCGTCCAAACCGGGGGTGTTGTTCCCGGAAGATCTCCTACTCGGAGACCACCACTTCATTCTGCTTGCCCACTTCCCTTCCCCCAGCTCGCTCACCTGCTCAGATGACCCGTTATCCCGGGACTTCTTCGTCGCCTTCCGTCTTCGGTCTCTCGCAGCTTTCACGGCATCCACCGTCTGCCAGCTGTAAAATGACTTGAGGACAACCCTCTCCTCATCGCACTCGTCCTGCCCGACCTTAAGGTCCTCACCGTCTCTCCCATCCAAGTAGCCGAGCTTGCGTGCTTCCCATGACCTCCATCCCCTCCGCGGCCGCGTGTGAGGCATAACGTCCTTCACAATATTCTCGCCTACCAAACGGCAGTCCACAGCGATGAAATGTGCGTCTTTAATTCTGCGCTCTCGAGAGGTGCAAACGAACTCCTTGACCACAGACCCTGACACCAACGTACTATCTGCCTCGAGGAAACGTAACTTGGGACAACCACGAATAAGGGCCGAGAATGCCTCGTTTGTTAGCCTCGATGCGTGTGATACTCCGAGGTGCTCCAGCGCGTGGCCCGTCTGCGGTGGGGCAACGTCCGTGGGAGATGCAGAATCATCTTCGTTGATTGGGGTCAGAACTGTGAGGACCGCATCTGTGATGGATGACGCATCTTCGAGGTCCAGCCTTCGTATGAGTGGTGTCGTCTTTAATAGCTTCACCAGTCCATCGTCATGCAACTCTCCTCCGATCCCCCCAAGCTCCAAGAATTCGAGGTGGGGGAGTGCATATGCAAGATTAGAGCACGCGATATCGGTCAGGAGTGGGCAATGCGAGAGGGAGAGGTGTCTGAGCGCCGTCACACGCCGGAAGTACCGACGCGAATCCCTTACCGCCATGCCTGCCTCGCGCGCGCTCAGCGAGATGGTCTTCGTCTTATGTCTGTCTTCCTCGGCACAGGATACCAGGGCCGCCAGTGCCGAGTTGTGCAGACTCAGACAGTAACTGAGGTCTAGGACCTCAAGGTCAGGCGCCGCCTTCCCCAACGTCGTAAACGCGTCGTCGAATACATCTTGGATCCCCGATAACTTAAGCTCTTTCAGTGCAAGATAGGCTCCCCGCGATAGGACGGCTGCCCCGAACGCACGTAGACCTTCGCCATCAATGTGGATGCAACGACTCATATTCAGGGATGTCAACTGCTGACAGAGTGCTAGGACATCAAATGTTGCATTGGTGACCGCCCTAAGGCCCTTGACGCATAAAGAGCGCAGGAACGGCGACCTAATTAAAAGACCGTGGAGCGATTGTGTGGTGAGATTAGGACAGCCTTGGAGATTAACTGTGGTTAGCTGCGTATATGTAAAGTTCAGAATGGGTGCCGAGCGCACGCAGAGGCTGTTTATCATATCAAGGAGTGTGTTCGATGCGAGGCCAGTGTGCCCGGAGAGGTCAAGGTGCTTGACGAAAGGACCGATATTCTCCGCGAGTCGTTCCAGGAAAAGGGCAGGCAGCTTCGGAAACACCTGCAAGTCCACGTCTTCCCACAGTTGTCCATCGAACACGAGCGAGTGCCATGTCTTTGACACCTGGCCAATATTCGGTTTCGGCTCATGTATTAACGAAGGTGCACGATGCTCACCCTGCTGAATTTCACCAACTCTCGCATAGCACGGTCTCTCCCCACCCAGCGGTTCTTGGACGAGGACGCTTTCAGTGCTGTCCATTCGCCCCTACGGATAAGTTTTTCATGTTCCTCTTTGTGCACCTCTATTAAGGTCCGGAATATCTGGAGCCTCAACTCCCTTGGCAGAACCTCATCGAAATTATTGCAGGCACGGTTAAACGACAAAGGCATAAACGCATCGAGCTCCAGTTGAGGTACAATATCGAAAGCCGAGGTGGGGAGTGGAGATGAGTAAGAGCGCCCTTTGTCTTTCAGACTGGGTACCGGTTCAAAGCGATGGACGTTAGGATCCCACGAGATAGGCATTTCGGATATCATTGCAGCGATATTGTCCACCTGCTCCAGCACGTCTGTTGAAAGCGGTTTCAAAGCGTCGTCCAAGGTCTGCCACGGTAAAGTGCAATCCAGTGGCCGGACGAGCAGTTCATCCTGCGACGGGCTCAAGGGGCCAGATTCAGTCCCTGTTGGAGATGCATCCGAAATGTCGCCTTTGTTCCTGCCGAAGAGTTTACGCGCAACGTTGCTCGGTGTCTTGGAGGACGAACCGAGCTTGAACTTGAACTTCGCCATGGATGGTGCACAGGAGGGCGTTGAGCGGATTGAGAAATTGGACCGCGACCTCCTAAGCGAAGGAGAGGGACTCGGTCTTCCAAAGCCGCTCTGCAGCTGCGGAAGAGAGTCTGGTTGCTGAGTGGTGTCGGACTGTGACTGACTTAATGAAGGTGTGAAGAGTGACGTATGGTTGGAACCATACGAGGAAGGCCCTGGTGATGAGGGGCAAGGCCAGTCGAGGGAGCTGTAGCTGAATTCCGTTGGGGAGAAAGACAAAGGAGGCAACGTGGGCGGGATGTCCCTGTCTTTTCCCTTGCCAGATAATGAGGGGGAAGAGGCCGCAAACGCACCATCATGTTGGCCAAGACGAGATAGTGACTGATCGTCTGCACCCTGAGTGGCGGTCTCAACGTGTGAAGAGTCATATATATGGGTAGACTCGAGAGCGAATGGAGTAGGATGGAAGGATGAACAAGAAGCAACTTCGCTGTCCTGCGGGACAAGGAATCTAGAAATGGTGGAGTCAAAGAGACCATGCGTCTGCGGGACAGGGGGGATGGAGAGGGGTTCCGCTAGCATAGGGTCTTTCCCCTTGCCCGGGTCCGCCATGGTCGGGGTGGAAGACTGCTGCTCCTGTGGTCCATCAGGGTCTTGTGGCACGAGTGAACGGGCAGATGCACGAGGCGGGACAGATCGTTGCTGTTGCCGGTCACCATCAGCAGGGAAGAAACTCATGGGGGGAGGGAATGGCACAGGAGGGCTGCTGACCGAGTCATTCCTGTATTCATAAGGATCAAACTGGAAGAGGTTGTCGTCGTCGTCGTTATCGATGGCTTGAGAAAGCTTCATGGGTTGAGGAGGACAGATACAGCAAGATAAGACAGCAGACAGCGATTCGGAAGATAATAACTTATAGGCAAGCTAGACGACCCACGGGAGGAACATAAGGCAAGCGAGACAGACAGCACATCAACGGAAAGACGCTAAACTGTGGAACACAAGCATCTCACTCAGGGGCTATCACACCATATCATTTATCTGTCGCCTCGCTCAACATCGGGCAGTCGTACCCTTACTCAAATGCATGGTGGTTGCTGCGATCACAGCAGTTGAACGTTTGGACGTTGAATGGCGACGTCATAAACGTCAGTTACAAACAAGCTTCATCATCGATAACAGGGCGTCAGCGCCTGCATCATCAAGCCGATGTTCCGTGTGCCTAATGACTTGACAGGACAACTCAAAGAAGTTACCAAGTTCAACGTGGAATACGATGAAATTAACGAAATCTGCTAGACCAACTTGGACAGTATTTGAATGTGGACGAACCGACCCGAATAGAGAAATTGCATGTAACGTACAGAAACATGTCGTTTATCGATAAGAATATCATAGACCCGACACATGGTAAAGGAACAAAACGTGTCCTTGTAGTAAGATGTAGGGATAGAATGTAAGAAGGCAAGCATGTCGGTGTGCTTGGATAAGACAAAGATGAACATGACTGATGTGATCAAAGTCGGTCACAATACATGAAGCACGACGAAAATCACGTGGTAGCTGGCTTCTCTTTGGCCTTCTTCCAATTGGCAGTAGCCTGCTTGAATCTATTGGCAAAAGTGGTTAGTTCAATGTGATGCACGAAAGCATAATCATTTCATACCTCTCCTGGTGGGTCATGTTAGGTTCTGTTTCCTTCAGGCGCGCCATTTCCGACTGCATGAACTTATTGAAAACGGTGAGCTTCTTCTTCCCACCTCCGCCACCAGAGGATTCTACAGGATGGATTCGAACTGACAGCAGGCGCATACAAGTCACGACCACTTACTGGTCTTCCGCGGTGGCTTCTCAGTCGTCGTTTTCTTCTCTGTGGCGGTCATCATATAATCAGATGGGGTAGCTGGCCAACGACGGTGGGTATTGCCTAAGCGAAACTGTTCCACGACCACGCCGACAAAAGGGGCCGACTATGGTTAGGAGCATTTATAAAATTAGTAAACCATTCACTCACGCACTGTTTGAAGTGTTTACGGAGGTGGACGGGAATAAAGAAATTGGGCGATAGTGGTGGTCTGGAGGAAGGAGGAAAAGCTCATGTTGGTTTGGGTTGGGCGGAGCTTATACGAGAGAGCCTTCCTGTTTGCTGACAGGGACACACTCAATTCCGGACCCCTGGCACTTGCATGCATCCGTGCACTCCAGGTCACGTGCATCGCACACTTGCTACATCGAGGTGGTGCAGTTCGTTCGAAACAGGGAGAAGCGAGGCCCAGGTGTCGATCTGCGCGAAATCTTCGTTTTCCAGCTTTAACGATACCCACTATCCAAGGAAATTGCAGTATGGTGACCGGGGTCCGTAAACAGAGCGCCTAAACAAGACGTGACGCGCCTCGGTTACGCGCCGGCTCTTCAACAGGATAACTATTTTGCTCGCACAGACCACACATGGTCTCTGAGTGTCTGCAGTACTGTTTTCCTATCGTCATGGTCATCAACCAAAAAAATGCGACACAGGAACTTGACTGAACATAGTGAACAAGCCCGCGTGGCCTCAACGAGTCTAGGCCCCAGGCCTACCTACTGCCTCTTAGACCTTGTCCTGACCAATTTTCCCATCCTCTGCTATACTTTTTATCAAGCTCGAACCACTTATGATGCCCGTTGTCGCAATCAGAAACTTCCGACCTGTTCAGATGTTACGTGAAGCCACCCCAATGGATCGAAACGGGAGAAACCTACCTCTGTGCTGGCGATTGACCCATCTAAGGGCCGCAATCTCAGTATACGTACACCCACCAAGGAAGAACACAACAGTCGTCGACATTTGTTCGTGTGGTCGAACTCATAGGAACATACCAATCAATGCCTAGCATTTGCAAAACTGGTGGTATCCACTTACTGGGTAAGGGGACGAGGGTGGTCACAGAGTTGGCACCCGAATTATTGTTCGTATTTGTTGGAATATCGAATATCTTTCCCGGAAGTGTGCCTAAGACATCTTCGAACCCCTTCCACCCAACAATTGGATGTGCATATAGTTTCTTCGCGTTTATCGAAGTGCCTCTTCCGTCCGCATCACCGTGGTCTGCGTTTCCAGCGCCGCCACTGCCGGTTACCTTATCTACAACAGGATTGCTGATTACGCCGTTCTTTTGCGCGACGCACTGTACGAGTCGGACGCTGATCGGCGCGTACCCAGAATAGACAAAGCTAATGTCATTCTCGACTTCCTCGAGTGCTTCCGGATTGTCATCAATGAGAAGTCGGAGCGACTTGCGCACCGTGCTGAAAGGGAGCTTGCTAGTGGTCACCATAGGTGAGGCTGAAGGGGGCAAAGGGTTCGGAAGGAGGACAGAGAGCGGCGGGCTGGAGAGGGAGAGAAGAAGCGGGAGGAGGTCATAGCCGTATGCCTGTAGAGCAAGTGTAAAGGAGAGGCCCTGCAAGTAACTTGTCCTTACCTGCAGGAATTCTCGTTTGATGCTTTCCAGAGCACGAGTCTTAATGCCACCCATTGTTAAGCTGGCTAGACAAAGCAGCCTTGCTATGGTTTGCATGTCCGCTCCTTGAGCAACCATTTCCTCGATCGCTGTCACTTGCGCGGACGCCTCATATGACGCAAGCAGGTCTAGAAAAGCTTGGCTCAGAACGAGAGTCATAGAGGTATAATATAATTTGCTAACTCTGCTGGATCTCGAGTGATTTGTTGAATAGGTCCGTTCTGGTATGAGGAAGCAAAATTTCCGAAAGCCCAGTGTCTGAAGAATGCTGTTGAGATCACGCCAAGTGACGCAAACCAGAACTTACGCAGTCTCAGAGCCTGATGTTCAGACTGCAAGCCACCGAGCTTTCCAACAAAGTCTCGGAGCTGAGCAACCGTCTTTGCCTGCTGCCGAGCCTACGAGATATCAGGGCGCACTCCACCAGCGCGATGAAGACTATCTAACCTTGTACTCTTCATCCAACCTATGCGCCGTTCGGCTCAATCGCTTCCCCATAGATGAAAAGTTCAGGTCTCGCAGATCGGCAAATAGTGGGTCTGTCGCAGCCGAAAGGTGGTATTTCTTTGTCTTTTCACCAATGATAGAGGTAGCCGCGGCAGAGGTGGAGGGTTGTGGTGGGCTTTGATTTGGAGCTGGCGGTGGATTCAAGAGACTCATGGGCAATTCAACGTGACCTAAGTGGGAATGAGAAAAGTATACTCGAGAATCAGATAGGGGTCAAATACCATTCTTAATTCCGATCACTTCGTCAATAAGACCTTCGTAGGTAAGTTGGGTTAGTAGAGGTGTGATCATATCAACCCGTCTATCAAGGATGATCAAGGAATCAAAGGGCGCCGACGAGGATGTGGGGTTGGTGACGGGCGATGGTTGGTTGGCAAGCGATTTCGTGAGTAAGGTAGCTAATTTCTACTAGAGGTCAACGTGTGCAATGGCAATCTATCGGATCACATTACCGAAGCATAGTCTCCTTTACCTACTATGCGGGGGTACTGGCCATATATTTTCTGGAGAACATCCAGTGCCAGCGCTGAGTTGTAGATGATAGTCTCGTCGCCGTCCTATTCGCAGCGATCAGGCCCATCAACGGGAGAGACAAGAACAACGTACCACCCACAGCTCCTTAAAGGCACTGTCACATTCAAGTGAAATCACATCTTCAGCAATGGGTATAAACTGTAGGTTGTATGACGAGATAGATACATCTCCAAGTACACCCTCCTCTTCCAATATTCTGGAAACGAGTGTCGATGTCCGCGGGACGAGGAAGAGCGTGTACGTATGCTTCACCGAGTCTTTAGCATGCCTCTTGATCTGGTCTGGACGTGCGGTATGAATGAGGTGGTATTCACAATGCCGTGCAACGAACCTGCTATAATCTTCACATATTTTATGAGAGGTCTGCAGAGATACACTACATTTGTAGTTGTAGATGTGAGAGGGCCAGGTTCAAGCCAAAACATCTTGTCCACCCCGTGATGCTGCAAAAAGTGGTCGACACGCGCGATCAATACATTGGGAGCAGAAAGCGTACTTTCAATAATGCAACTTCCGTTACGAGCCCCAGTGGCCCAGCAAGCGTGGGGTCCAGCACGAGAGTCTTCGCGCCATTCACCTGCAGCAATTGCACCAGGGTTAGTACGTACACACTTGGTACTGGGCAACGCACGGAATTAAGGGCGTTTATTAAGGCCTTCTTCGCGCTCTCCCTCAGAATCTCGACATCCAGGCCCTGCTCTGTTTCTCTTTCTACGCCGGAAGTCGTCTGCAAGTCTGAGGACGGTGTGGACGTCGCTGCCATCATCGACGAGCAGAATACAGCAGCACTGCCACCGGTTACAAGGGCCATATTGCCTAAAGAGGCATTGACGTCTCCTGCTGGCACTTGATTTCGTCATCCAGGCGAGTCGTCGCGGGCCAACCAGTAACGTGTAACCATCACTCGCACTGAGGGTGGACGACGTTTCTGCAACATGGATTCCCCGCCACCCAGTATGCCAGAATACGATGGGCGACACCCGCTGATTTCCCTGCTGTCCGCTTGTTTCTGGGTTATGTGTGCGTGGCCTCATCCTTGGCGCGCGTAATTTCGCTGGGACGTGTACTGACGAGTAATCGTGCTACAGTATGGATGCTGTCGTGGGCAAGATCTCTCATTGCATTCGCGACCATCACGATCCCCCGTTTTATCTACTTCGTTCTCTCATATTCGATGACTTTGACGGTTGGAGTCGCGGCTTCCCCTTGTATGTGATTTGCAGGACTGATGATACTCTCGTGCTTTTCAGTTAAACTTTTGGTCATTTGCTATCATGTTCCTCGCCTCCGCTGTTGCGCTTAATTATTGGATACGCTTCCGATACCTCAACATTTACTCTCAACTAAGAGAGCCACCCCTGGTCAAGCCTGATGTCAATGCTTTACATCCCGATGTTAACACCACCGATCCCCCACCTTCATTCCATAACTACTTAGATGAATTCTTACAAGCCGTTCGCGTTTTTGGCTTTCTTGAGAAACCAGTGGGTGTCCGCGTGCGGATGGTAATTTACGTCTTGATAGACTGATCGTTGTAGGTCTTCCACGAACTAGCCAGACATTTGCAAACCAGGCGCTTAATAGCAGGGGACAGCATATCCCTCGATCAAGACAGGAACTTCTATTGTGTAATAGATGGTACAGTGCAGGTGTTTGCTCGCACGGGCCCAAACGTTCGGCAAAATGGTTCCTGGGATGAAGAAGACATGAACGGATACCAGTTAATCAATGAAGTTGGAACTGGTGGGACACTGTCCAGCCTGTTTAGTATCCTGAGCTTGTTTACAGACGAGATAAAGTTGAGCTGGCAGGACGAGCCTGCTGCGTTGTCGGCTCTTAAGTCCGGTGACCAGGTACCGCTTCCAGAACAGACTAGAGTTAGGCGAACGAACTCTGATGTTTCGCATGTGACGCTCGATCCTGATGCGGAGCATTTCGTTCACCGGGGTCGAGGGCGGGGAGGATCGGTTTCCTCGTCTGGTTCAACTGCCCACCCCCGTGAATTGGCATCGCCGCTTGCGGACACGGTCTCACCTCAGCGTGTGGACAGGCAGTTCCGCGGAACTACTTCTGATGCCCGTTCAAATGTGCATTCGGACTCAAGTCCGCATCCGCAGTCGCAATTCCATCATGGCATTGTCGGAAGAGCCACGGAAGATAGTACACTGTCTGTCATACCTGCTGAAGCCTTCCGAAGAGTGACCAAGAAATTTCCGAAAGCCACTGGTCATATCGTGCAAGGTTCGTGTCGTAGGCAAATGCGTTGGCAATTACTGATTCGGAGTTGTCCTCCGTCAGTCATTCTTACTAGATTCTCGCGGGTAACGTTCAGCGCGGCCCACAAGTATTTGGGATTGACTACAGAAGTCCTTCGTACCGAGAAAGCCATAAACGAGATCGCGTGTCATCCTTTACCTGCGTCGTTTTATGAAGGTGGCGGGTTGCAATACTTGCGACAGCGCTTTGACGATGTAGCCATTCAGGGTACGGATTCAGAAAGCGACTACTTCAGTTACACGACATCATCATCGGTCTCGTTGAACAAATTGAAGGATCATTCTGAAACATCTTCGTCAAAAGAAAAAATGGCCGACCCTCCGTTGCCGATGCGAAGTTTTGGCCATCGTTCGTCAACTTCGCGCCACCAAGTTCAAGCTGGTGACCTGTTCACATCCTCTAGTCAAGGAAACAATGAGAACTTCAAGCCAGTATATCGCACGTTTAGTTTTCTGAGCACACCAAAGCTTGCAGCTTATGACTCCCCTCGGAATAGTCCCACCGGGGATGAGTTCGACCTCCGCCAGGAAGTTATGTCTTGCATCGCGAAATCTATCGGGTTGGTGCAGCCGCCTATCAGCGGGCCAGAGTCTGGTGAGGGCTCCCCTGGGCTTCCACCTTTTGACCCAGTGCGTCCTGGTACAGGGACGTTCTCGTCCCCCTTCGGCTCTCTTTCTCTCCTTGACGGTGGGGACGATGGTACGTCGAGTGCAACGGGCGCTTCGTCGTCAAACGTCGCAGACTCCATGAGTGGTTTAGACAACGAAGTGGAGATTTTGTTCTTCTCGGCTGGGTCGACGCTAGTGAAGGCTGGAGAACGAAATACAGGTTCGGACCCCCCAGGACGTCCGTCCTTGCTGTTGTTGACGGTCGTTACATCTTCATCTAGGGCTATACTATGTTATAGAAGGATTCCTTGACATTCTTCTACCCCTTGATACACCCAAGGCTCTCACCTCTCAAACTGCTCACCCAAGGTTTTCCGGTTCTGATACGGATTCAATGTGCACGTGTGACCACAGGCAGGAAACGGAAAGCCAGGAAACACGAAAACTTCTCTTCACGGTGAAGCCCGGAGGTATTGCGGGATACCTTGGTACGTCACCATACTGTAATTTGTAGCCAACTGACCCTGCTTCAGCGTCACTTTGTAGCACGCCTTCGTATGTCGATATTCAAGCCAAGACTGATACCTATGTTGGCTATTTGTCGTCGAATGCCTTGGAACGCTTGGTGGAGAAGCGGCCTATCGTACAACTTACCCTTGCAAAACGGTTGATTTCTATGTTATCTCCCTTGGGTAGGTCTGTATACGATGGGAAGCGACCTTGGTGTCTCACATCATTCCCGCCAGTTTTGCAGATTGACGCTTGCTTGGATTGGATGCAAGTTACGGCGGGCCAGGTACTTTGGCGTCCTCAAGACATCAGTGACAGTTTCTACATTGTCATAAATGGACGGTTACGCGCAATAACGGAGGGGGAGAATGGAAAGGTGACAATCACGGGCGAATATGGCCAGGGCGACACCGTCGGAGAACTCGATGTCATTACCAATTCACCCCGCCGAACAACAATGCATGCCATCCGCGACTCTGAGCTTATTCGCATGCCACAGACATTATTCAATGCGATATCATCGCGGTACGTCAGACGTTGAATGTAGTATTTAGTCATTCTCATCAGTCATTGTAGAAACCCTCGTACAACCGCACAGTAAGTGGGCGCACAGATTATATTATTATGTCATTTAGAGCCGCTATTTAGGCTTTTGCGGACTATCGCATCGCGCGTGCGTGATGAGCTGGATACTTCCAGTGTCCATTTCCGAAATACCGTGTCTGAATTGGGTAGGAATAACACTAACCTCAAGACAGTAGCTATCCTCCCCGTATCTCGTCATGTACCCGTCAACACCTTCGCTCGGAAACTGAAGTCAGCATTGGAGGAAATGGGAGCAAGGACGTCATATCTCACTCAGGCTTCCGTTTCTGGCCACCTTGGTCGACACGCTTTCTCCAGGATGGGTAAGCTGAAGGCTGCTGCTTGGTTGGCAGACCTTGAGCAGAGGTACCGCACCGTCCTATACGTGGCGGATTCGCCGGTCAACAGCCCTTGGACACAAACATGTATTCGTCAGGTGGGTCGCTGTCAGTCTAGAACTCCTCTTTTTGGTTAACGGCATCCAGGCGGACTTTGTCATGGTTGTTGGTATGGGGGACGACCCTAGTATTGGCGAATATGAGCGTCTGCTGCTTTCACTCAAGACTACGGCCCGAAAGGAGCTCGTGCTCCTCCACCCAGAACGATCAGTTGTACCTGGCTCAACGAGGGAGTGGCTGAAGGCACGTGTATACAGGTTTCTGTAACGTGCACTTTCTTAGACGATCCATAGAACCGGCCTTGGATACATCAACACATTCACGTGGAACTCCCAGTAGGCCTTTTTTTCGCTATTGGCTACGGAGCGTGCTGATGCAATCATTTGTAGGGTCTGGTGGTTCCGCTTGCAAAGGTGTCCCAACCACAAGATCCTGGGGCTGTGGTAGCATTCAGGAATCTGAAGGACAGAGTTCAGAGTGAGATACAGAAGTACAGAGGTGTCCCAAGGCATGCCCGTCCGCAACGTCAACCCATGGTCAATGACTTCTCCAGGCTGGCCCGGAGACTTTGTGGCAGGTCTATTGGACTAGTTCTTGGTGGAGGTGGTGCGCGCGGGCTATCTCACCTTGTAAGTTATCCTTCTTTATGGAATTTCTTTCCTAAAGCCGCGTAATAGGGTTTAATTCGTGCGCTTGAGGAACGTGGCATCCCCATCGACTGCATCGGGGGCACGAGTATCGGATCATTCATTGGGGGCTTGTATGCTCGAGAATGCAACGTTATCCTTAGCAGAAGTCGCGCGAAACAATTTAGTAGTAGGATGGGTAACATCTGGAGGATGTTGTCCGACGTAACCTACCCTATCGTCGCATACACGACTGTAAGTTCCGCATTCCGCTTACGTTAACCTCAAACACGAGTTGACTGATGTTTCTGCAGGGACACGAGTTTAACCGGACAATCTACAAGGTAGAGGACTCTCAGGTATTCACATCGGACGTTGTATTGAAGCTGGCTAGACCTTCTACGACCTCCATATTGAAGACATGTGGCTGCCTTACTATTGCAACACCACAAACATCATCACTTCTCGAATGGAAATTCATGATACGGGGTATGCCTGGAGATATATTCGTGAGTATGATGGTAGCCGTCCTGATCATCCCTGACGTATGCGCCGGAAGGTGCATCCATGACATTGGTCGGTCTATTGCCTCCTCTGTGCGATAATGGCAGTATGCTTGTAGACGGCGGTTACAGTAAGTCACGAGGCTATTTCCATCGTACCCGGGATGATCATATTACTCTTTAGTTGACAACCTCCCCGTATGTCACCGTGATAAGTCCTACTATATTTAAGGTTTCTCAAAGACGTACAGGTGTCCACCATGTTTTCTATGGGAGCAAGTGCGGTGTTTGCATCGGACGTTGGCTCCGTATGTCGACTACTTTGCGCCTTCGTCAACCGGACCTTGTCAATTAACCGAGTTTTCCGTTGATAGATTGACGACAATTCTCCACGAAACTTCGGCGATTCCGTATCGGGATGGTGGCTACTTGTCAATAGGTGGAATCCCTTCTCCAGTGCGAGAAGTGTACCAGCTATTACCGAAATCCAGAGTCGCCTTGCTTAGTAAGTGTCTGGCCCTGTAGGTCAATAGACGGACGATTGACGGCGGCGTTTTCCGACCAGTGTATCAAGTGTGAGGACCCTGGAAGAAGCCAAGGTTGCCCGGGGGTGTATATATATGCAGATGCCAGTACAGGAAGTAAGTTCCCGGATCACTTATCTTCTACGATAGCGACTAAAACACCTTTTATAGTACGGTACTCTTCAATTCAGCAAGTTTGATGAGATTGAGAGGAAGGGTTACCAAGCCGCAATCGAGATGCTCGATCGTCTGGAAGAGGAAGGGAAGTTATCGAACCTTCTGCTGATAGATGGTCCAAAGGCTGGCAAAACCAAAGCTGCGCGAAAAGGGAGAAGCGCAAGACGCAACTCCGTATGATAAACTAACAGAGGTCCCGGGCCCAGCTTTGGCAATTTGGTATGCATATGTTTACCGAGTTTTGATAACCATCACTGCATCAGAGCTAGTGGCCCTGAATGATATGGCGTTTAGCATCCCAAGAATCATACGGGTGAGCATTTATTTCAACAGGCACAGTCTCTAGGACATATGCTGGGTAGATTACAGGTTTCTCGCGATTGAAGGTGTATATAGCGACGAGAACATACAAGCTAAATGCTAGTACGCAATAGTATTGCAGCATGTGCACATATGGAAACACAGGAAACAGAGGCTAGCACGGTAGCGCTTTCAGATCGCAAGATGAGGAGAAATAAATAAGAATGAATTAAGCAATAATAATGGATATGCTGCAAACTTGGGTGGTAGCGTCCACACATGGGATGTCGTGCAACAACGATGAACTGGTGATGGGAGGCAAGAATACACTGAAAGAAAGGTCAGAACGATCGCGCCTCTCGGATATCCGGTAGGTCGTGGCAAACTTCTAAAACGCTTATAACAACTGTTATCAGTAAAGCGAACGCAGGGGGACGACCGTGAGAGACGCACCTACATACTAATGAACAACATGCTGGTGGAAGCTCAATAATAGAAGGGCATCCTCGATTCGCACCCCAGAACCGGTCGCAGGGTTCCTTCTGGGGACAAGCGTGTAGTCGTTTGCACTGCCAACATTCGATATTCCGACGGCCTTTTCTAGTTCCTGGAAAGCACCAGGTTCGATCAGGCCAACACCCATGCTCCCAACGCCTATGCTTTCTATCCCACGATGAACGGGAATATGCGGTCTGGGCCGTTTGGCAGGCGGTGGAGACTGGGACACCCCTGAAGAAGGTGTAACAGCCTCCTGACATTCTTCCTCACTCCAGTCATCTATCTCGCGGTCAAGTAGATCCTCATAATCTAGATCCATTGCGTCCTCCTCGTCACACGCAGATGATGACCCAGAGGAAGTGTCATGCTCGCGGGGACGACTCCGCGACGAAGAACCATCCCGACTCTGCTTCGCACGTTTGCGTGCTGTTTGGCGGACATTGCGAAACCAGTTTGTAACCCGACCAACATCCCTAGAACACCTGAATAAACACGAAATTATCCATCGTGCTCGGCCCACTTACATTCCTATCTCCAATGCTAAAGCAGTACGCTCCTCCATAGAAGGTGTGGATGTCCGCCGTAAGAGCTGTCTGAGAGCCCGAAGTTGATGTGGCTGGGGTCTGGAACGGCGATTGCGTGCAAGGATATCCTCAGCCTTGACATTACCCTTCTGGGGTGGGGGTTCGTCGGAACGGGTATGTCTTGCATAAGGGGTCATGCTTCTGCGAGTCCGCGGAGACAGTGGATGAGACGGAGGGAGTGACATTCTACCTAGAGGCTCGATGGCTGACTTCGATGTCAACTTCTGCAACGGCGGAAGGCTGTTGTCCGGCAGAGCCAAAGACGGCCGACGACCACGTGGTGGAGCGGTGGGATGATTCCAGTGCAGTGGCGCAGGCGCACCATCATTATCATTGGGAAGTGGAAGGTGTTCACGATTCCCGGATACATCACTTTCCACGGGTGAGGATGCAGGAACGGATCTGGGTTCATCCTTGTGTTTCTTGGCTTGACTGCGCTGGTTCTGGAACCAATTTGTTACACTTTGAAGACGCCTAAAATGATTACCATATTTAGATCAGATAATTGACGAGCGGAATCACATGACTTACATTCCGATGCGATCAGCCAGTTCTCGCCTCTGATCGCGAGTGGGACGAGAGTTGATAGCGTATACACGGTGAAGTTCTTCCGCCTGCTTAGAAGAGGTGCGCATGCGAGAAGACTCGGTTCTTCCCTTCCTAGACGGATGGCCATCAGCAGCACCATCGTTTTCGGACACAAAGCGGCTGTCCGTTTCTGGTGGGAAGCGGGCCATTTCCCCATTTAGTAGTGATGGTACAGCCCCATCCTCAGCGTCAGGCCCACGATTGTGAGAAATGAACTTGTCTTGGATGGAAAAGAACTCCTGCGGACCAGCGAAGAATGAGCTTTCAAGAACACCCTCTCGAGGATGATCATGTTGGTTGTGGTTAATAGTAACATCGGCATTGGGGAAGGCCATATCCCTCGAGTGCAAGTCTTTCCGCTTCGTCCTCCGAGAGTATGAGCGGGGCTGTGTGGAGTGTGGCGGGTTTAATGATGTCGATGACAGAGAGGGTGCATCATTTAGTAAACTTGCTATTGATGGTAGTGCAGAAGGCGGAGATGCCTTGAAAGTGTCCTCCGGTATGTCGCCTTGATTCATGGGGGCCGATTCGGAAGGGCCCCCCTTATTTCGCTTCTTCGTAGAAGCCCGCTTGTTCTGAAACCAAGCATTGACGGTTTTGCCCTCCCTAATAAACGAAGAGTTTTTAAGCATGTGTACAAAACCAGCATGGGAATATGGGACAGCGTCCGAAAGAAGAAACGTACATTCCTAACCTCTCGGCCAGCTCGTTTCGGTCGTCGAGGCTTGGGCGTTCACTTTTCTCGAACAGCTCGTTGAGAGCAGCGAGCTGAGCAGGACTGTGACGATGACGGGGTTTCTTGGATGGTTTACCGCTGTCCGCAGCATCCTGTGGTTTGTCCGTCACCCTGGAGGGCTTTTCCTCTTCTAGATGTGGTTTGGTAACCATAGTGTTTGTTTCACCCTCGTATTCGCTGATATAGCTAGAGGGGACGGGTACGGATATAAGCTGCATGTACTTTTTGGAAGAAATAAAAGGCTTTTCGTCGAGGACGGTGTCCATAGGGGATGGGGGGAGGAGGAGGAAGGGGGGAGACTAGACTTGAGACATGACAAAGACTTTGTATATCGGGCTCTGTCCATATACTATAACGGCAACTTTTTTAACCAGTGTGTTAATGAGCCATATTCCCACGCCTGCTGATCTCTTCTCTTACATCATCACTGAGGGGTGCCCCGCCTTTTCTATCGACTGTTCGACCTCCGTTTCTAATGCCCTTGGATCATCACCTGCGAGCAGGCCGGCGTGCTGCACTGCCCCGCCAAATAACTTTTCACGCGGGTTATCCGTCCACGACGTCAAAGCTTCCTCTTTTAGCTTTCTTAGTTTCATCTCTGCAAGAGCCATCTTATCGTGCATTGAGCCCAGACACGAGGGAGACAGGTTTGATACTGCGCAAAACTCACCTGCTTTTGACTACGCGCTTGGCGCAAACTAGCATCCCCAAAATGGTAGACGTGTCTTATATAGTACACTGTACTGGTGGTACGGATTTGGGTCGCCTGGTCATCCACATCGTGATATTAAGTATTGTCCGCTCTTCATATTAGGACGCATTTACATAATGGAGACACCCTGCCAATTCCAAAGAGCTGAGGCACTAGTATACACGTTGTACTTAGACGCAATGTGGAAATCCTAAAATCGGGTTCGGGCCGTCCCAACATGTACGGTATGAAACAAAATGAGCGATTCCCACACTATCGTGCTAGCAATGCACTGGTCAAGGGGCAGGACATTAGATGGCTGTGAGTTAATACAAAAATCGCATGGATAGGTGTGGCTGTATTTATAGTAGCGATGAGAAGTCAGCAGCAAGCATGGCTGCCTCGCGACGACGGGCAAGAAACTTGTACCTCGAGAACTCCGATGGTGCACCAGTCAGGGTAAGTAATTGTAGGGTATCACATTTCAAGGATCCGACCCGTGGAGCGATTCCGATGCTGGCGTCTGGGATAATGCCCCTCCGCCTTCAATATTTTTGATCCAGGCTCCAACAGCTCCCCTATATGGGCGGTCAGCATGGTAAATTAAACCCGCCAAACTGACAACATACAGGAAGCCTTCATGTCTGAAAAATAATGCCCTTTTCTTCCCATTACTCCAGAACCGTATCGCATATGAAAGTGTTGCTATAGTCTCTGAATGACCTGTGCACACACTCTGAGTAATGATCAGTAGCACCAGTCAACCCGAAAGACCTACCACGGATAAAGTAGCCGCCAAAATAAATCCGGTCAAGGCCGTACTTTTCCGCATTCATATAACTGTAACCAAGTGCCGTCAGCCAACTCATCAAGGGCTTTCCTCGGAACTGACGCAATCTGCCCAATATTGTTCGACACAGCATAAAGAAGACTTCTACTGATATCCTCCGCCTTAAAATTGCGTCGTTCGCCTGGTGCCTTGCCCTCGCCACGGTTCTTGAACACCTTGCCAAACGAACTCGCAATTGTATTCGACTTGAGCCCTATCTTGGAATAATCCGTGCCATAGATATCCCCGATAAGGATATCTACTGCTGTATTGTCGCCCTTCTCAGAGAGTGCCAACATTTCTGCCAGAGCCGCACGTCAGACAAACGCCACATATCTGCCCTAGACTGATGCCTACCGTCGAAGGTTTTCGCAGGTGTGAGTAGACTTAGTAACCCCCACAGGGTGCCACCGCCGAGACTGGTGCCGCTTACCCGCTCGAACGTCCCATCAGCATCAACCTTGATGATGGATACACCCGACCCTATGTTTACGAGAAGGCACGGCAGGTGTGCCGAGGGCTCTTCGGTTTCGAAAGTCACGGCATATCTCGGCGGATTAGGTGATGGCCGTTCGAGCACCGGACTTGCTGTAGAGGAAGACGCCGTGGCGGCCCTCCCTTTATCAATTGAACCGTCGGCCGAGCTCTTTGACTTTCCGGTACCGGGATGCGAGAACTCTGAGATGAGCTCGTCCGAGAAATAGTAAACCTCCTCTGGTATCATCGTCATGAACTTCATCCCCTCTATCAGACACTCCATCTCTTCCTCACGAACCACTTCCACCTTAAGCTCCTTCTCAAGCAGGTCTCCAAACTTATGTGCTCCACCCCCCGTTCCCATAATCTTAACGCCACGCCTCATCTCCTCGATAGAGACGCCATTTGCCTCGGCAGAGCGGACAATGAGATCGGAAATGAATGAGATGAGCGCGGAGATGTTTTCCGTTTCGAATCGTTCAAAATTGATGTAGCCACCTGGGATGTGATGTACCGTCGCCGTGCGCTTGAGGATCGTCGACCGCAACAGCTCTGTGTCAAGAGTTTCACCATCGTACACGGACCGCTCGTCTTGATTCCCGTTTGCATCGGATCGACTTGCATTGCCACTTTGATTGTTTTGAGATGACTCAAGAACCGCGGGTGTCAGTGTGCCGTTGCGTGAGTAAGGGTGGCTGGCTTGCAGCCGCGGAGAAGGTGGCAATGATCGTGACGGTGTGCCTTCGGCATGTAGGAAGGAATTACTCGCAGCATCACTTGGACCGGCAACCGAGGGTGATGGAGGCTCTTCAGGTGAACGCGTGAAATAGACAACCTTAGCCAACGATCCACCTATCTGTGGTGGGATGGTTGAGCGCTGTCGTGCAAAGGCCGTTAAACTAGACGCGACGTACATCCACAGCAATGTGCGAAACTGGTTCAATGTGATTTGGGAGGTAGATGCCTCTGCTATCACGAGTCTTTGGGAGTACGGAGCGCTCAGTTACACTGCTGAGAATGCGAGAAAAAAACACTCGGGAGTACGCACCTCGGGCGACTCCTCCGCTAGAATTACAGCGCCTCTAGTGTTAACGTGGATGATCCTAGGGGAGGGCAAGGATGGGGCTGGCATTGCGGCGTTTATAGAGGCCGTGAGTTCGTGTCTGTAGGTGACTTCCAAGGTCGACAACACCGGTTTATGCCGCGCGCACGGCCCCTGATAAGTGACAAGGCTGTAAAGCGAGGAACGTGGAACAGAAGAATGGCGCGGGTTATCATCCAGGATTTGTTTGCTGTAAAGTCTCAGTCATCCATGCGCATGATCCGCAATGCGATTGTCTCTCAACCTGTCTCAAAGCCGGAAGTACCATGTCATGTGAAACCCGGAATGTCCTCTGATCCATGTACCGGTAGAATAACAACCAGCGGACTAAGTAGATGTATATAGTTCATTATGAGAACGTCGCTCAGCGCTCCGGAGAATTTGTTTTCCGCCACCATTCTAGCCACTTACGGCGGACACGACCAATGCACAGGCCCTCTCCTGTTCGGCGCGAACACTTAACTCGAGAGTGACCCCTTCTCCTTTGGCGTATGTCATCCGGCATCTCACCAGCACCTTACCCCCACCTCCAGTGACCAACCCAGACAGCTGCAAAGTGTGGACCGATGCTGACGTCGGCACTTCGGTTCCTCCCAGAGGTTCCATGTTGAGAATTTCTATAATCGAGTCGCACGCGGCTGTAAATGTTAAGCAGTGAGTTGACAACGGCATGGCAACCGTAGAAAGTCAAGAGATTCGTAGGACAACAATCAGTGACCACGCTCAGGGAAGATCGGTAGATGTGACGTACCTTTTATGCTCTCCATGGCAGTCAGCGAAAAGGTTTCCGTAGAACTAGCGCCTGTTCGTAATCTGTCCCACTCCGACGAGAAGGAAGCATAACTGGGTATGATGTAGTCCCCACCAACCGCCAGTTCCACATCTTCTACTTGGTACTCGTCTTCGTACCCCTCCTCTTCGGGTTCACCAGTCGAAGGGTCCAGTTCCTTGCTGACGAACTTGAGAGTGCACTGGAACGAGCCAGTAGCGTACTCTTCGGGATTGTCTCGCGAGAAAGAAACATAGACTATGCCAGGTGAAGTCGAAGTCATCAAAGCGGGTACAGGAATGATAAAGTCTTCTGTCAAACCACAGTCTGCTTGTGGTTGCATGATTACAGACACCTGCTCCAGAACCGTATCGGGAAGGGTATTGGTTACATTGAACTGTAGCACAATAACGATCAACGCTGATATGCAACCATGTAATGCGAAACACACCTGGAACACAATATGTTCCTTAAATATGTGTTTGGCACACGTTACTTGATACTCCGTCTCCGACTCAGTAAGCTGGGCCAGTTTCGCGCTGCTATTGAGAACTGGCCCATATTCAGCCAACTCGGGCACTTCAGCGAGCTGGTGTACATAGGTAGATTGTGTGTCTGCAGCTGTCGGAGGGGGCGGCGTCGAATCGGTTTCAACGACGGGCATAGCGATAGTATCTAATGTACTCGGGACTGCATTACAATAAGTCCGCCTGCGTTGAATGCACAAGACTCCACGCGAAAACTTACGAACAGACTCCGCAGCCAGCTGCGCACGGCTAACCTTGGGTATTGAAGTTGCGTCAAATGGTTGGGACACTGCTACTGGGTCGCTGATATAGGCAACAAGCTTAGACTCCAACGCCGCCAAAGAGAACACGGACTCTGCAAAAATCTAAGTTTGCCTCAAGATAAATCAGTGCAACATGCGTACCCTCTTTTATGTATGCGTCTGCAAGTGGTCGTTCCTTCATGACCTTCAGGTACATGGCAGCACGATCACGGACTTCATCGTCAACATCATCCAAGCACCTAGCCACGCGTTTGAGATATCCACTATTGGTATCTGGAAAAACACTTACCTGTTCAAAAGCACGCCAATACTTCGACGCAGGCCCATATCGATCGCATTGACTCCGAACTTAGCGAGGCTGGAGACTGCAGCGGCTCTAACGGTGGCATTCTCCAAAACCACCCGGTTATAGATGAATCGAATATATTTGGTAGGCTGCGGAGACTTGGGTCCCTCCATGCCAAGAAGGTAAAGGATGCGAACAGAGAGCTTGGTAAATTCGCAATCCTCAATGAACTCACACAGATGAGAGAGTGCTTGCTCCTTGCAATCTGCAACATACTTCACCATGTCGAACATCGCCTCCACGACCGCACGCTTAAAGTCATAGCCTCCTTCATCACGTAACACGCCAGCAAGGAAAGAGAGCATTGACACGTGTTTTGTAGGGAACTTGAGACAGAGGGAGCGGATGGCGTCAACGATGATGACCTTGAATTCGTCGCTGATCTCTGACATGAAGCTTGTAATTTGTTTCATGAGGCGATCCACGGAAGCTTCGTTGCCGGTCTACAAAATATCAGATAATGGAGAGAAAGATTGAGACCGAGATCACCTTGAGAAGGGTCGTGATAGCATAAGTCGCCACGCTCCTATTCGAATCAGCGATCAAGTTCTCTAGGTCCACATTGCAGGTAGCGACGCTACTTGGATGAGTCAAAGCGAGGGAAGCTAACGAGCGGGTTGCTGCGAATTTGAGCACAGGTTTTGGCGAAGAGAGGAATAACTGCAAAACTACCTAGGTATCAGCGAAATGCTTGTATTCTCCTCAACAATGACAAACCTGATATTGCTTTCGATAGTTGAGCAGTAGGGACATTCTTTATCTCACATATTGCACGTGCAGCCTCCAAGTTAACCATGTCACTCTTATGTCGCAGCCAACCATCAAGGAGATCCAACATTTGTCTCTGCATGCTATGTACGATGAGAACAGGGCCTAAAGAACTGTTTCGAAGACCACGTACTTTGGATCTTCCTCCATAATCTTTGCAGCATACCGAATCAGCATACACAACGCCATGGGGTTCTTCAGCGTTGTACCAGCTCCCGATTTTCCGCCACCAAGCTGTTGGATCATCTTGGTCACTGCCATCCTGTCGTGTTGACGAATAAGATAGAGTAGCCCCAGAGCATGGTACTGCGCAATGTAACTGGTAGATGGAATAGGCTGATACCCGCTGCTCGGCGAGCCCGATGAGCCAAAGTTTAGGTAACCCCCTGATGAGCCTCCAAAGAAAGACGGTGACGACTTCGCATTAACGGCTTCCTGGGCTTCATTGACCCATCTTTTTACGACGTCCTTGGCGTGAGGGAATAGGTGATATGACGATACGAGCGCCGCAGACGAAATCGATGGGGTACGGTCAACAATAGCTGCTTTAAAGAACCGCTCAACACCTTGCGCCATGGACGGCTGAGTAGTGGTAATGTTAAGTTACTGTGACCGACAACAAAGACATAACTCACGTCAATGATGCGACACAGGGCTCGGATCGCGTTCGGTCTGTATATAACCTCAGAATTTGGTTGCATATCCTTCATAATGCTGCTGGTAACCATGATCACATCCTCCGCAGTGGTGGCCACCTCCTTGATGGCAAGATAAACCATCTGCCGGAGAGCACTCTGGACATATCATAAACATCACAATGCGGAGAGACAAAAGCCCGACGCACGTCTTTATGCTGGAAAAGTTTAGTGGTACCAAAGAACAAGGTAGTAGCCTCCTGCGAACTGAAGCTCTCGCCTAGGTAAAGCAAGTAGACTATCCTGGTGAGGAGGGCTCTGCATTTCCGTGGACTGATGGGCGATTCGTTGAAAACACGGGCTTCTTGGATGATAGTCGTTTTGTTGTTGTAGTAGGAGCTGAGACCGCTCTCCTCTTCTTTTTTGGACGCGTAGGCCATGGCATACGATGTCAAGGACGAGCTCGAGACCGACACTCGGGACGGACGTGGCCCAGACAGAAGTGCCTTGTTTGGCTCTTGTTTTGACCTGACGATGGCGTTCCAGTCCTACAGGTTCATGAATCGATGATACTCCATACCACTGGCACTCTCATCAGCACACAACAGGTGCCCCTGGTTTCTATACATTGTCAATCGTTTTTGAATACATATATATATATATTCCATTCTTTAGCCTGACCACACTTCCCCCCCTTCCCCCCTCCCTTCCAATTAGCGAACTTCAAAACCTGTGCTACCACAAAAGGATATATGACTCCTAATAACCTGCTTGGCAGCCTCGGAGGGCTGGCCTCCAGTCTAGCCTGTCTGCTCAGTAGGCTTGAGTTAAATGAAAGCAATCTCCTAGGCTCTCCCACATTCGTTCGTGTTTCTTTCATTTTGACTTATTTGAAAGCCATAGCACGCTAAGCATTTTTTAGGCTGACAGAGGTGGGAGTATCTTGAAGCCCCCCGTCTGGCCTACGCACCGTTAGGAACGCCAGTCCTGAATCTTCTCACTACTAATGCATGATTTGTAAATCCCGCATTCTCAGCAAACTAACGCGCTGACAATATTCCTTTTGTCGAATGCCACCTCAAACACCTCCGTATGTGAGTCACACACGCCCACCGCACCACCCGAATTAGGTTACACACCTAGCGGTAACGTACCATCGGTCCTCCTCTTGCACACTTTTTTTTCTTACCCCATGACAGGTGCAAAAGTGATGCAGGTTGAATCAGTAGGAGCTGCCGATCCTACAGTTAGCGATAGGTAGCAGAAAATATCCAGTTGTATCCCGCAGCTTTCTGATGTATGTGTCCAACTAACACTGCCCTTTGACAACGTTGTTTGTAGCGTACACATTGCTCCAGAAGGTATTTCCTAAACTTACAGCAAGTTTCATCCCACACGTTGCTCAGATTGTCACCTTCCGAGGCAAGCTGCCACGAGGCACATTGCTGAACCTGTGGTTTTGCAGGTCAGATAAAGACAATTTAAACCACCGTCGGCCTATAGTCAAGTGGAGTGAAACGTTGCAGCTCAATAAGACCGCTAGCACTGTTCGCGGGAGCGGCTCGGGTGTTTCTGCAGCATTGAATCTCTAATCCAATGCTAAGGACCGTTGAGACTTGTAGACGGCCCGTATCAACTGAGTTTACAGTTGACTTTGGTGCGTTGTATCGTAACGGCAGTTTAGATTTGTAAGTGAAACTAACCGGATCGCATTATCAGCCGTTGGTACTGGGACGTTCGCACATGGTCAAACCTCCTCATTCAACGTCCAACACTCGATAGGGAAATTTAGGTTTGGCAACGTTGCAGGTAGTCATGTAGTAATATATTGAGATAGTAGAACACAGCATGTAGGCAGAGGTATACGGATTGCTTGATAACCGAAATGAAAGTAAATGCTCAAGATGGTGTACGCGGCAAGTGGAAGATGGCAGTGATGGACGAAGGCGAGCTGCGAGCTCAAAGCCTCTTGCGGGCATATACGTTCCGAATGAGGGCGTAAAGCGGGGTCTTTGCTTCATCAAGTTCTTGACACGCGTTGTGTTCCATCGCATCAACGAAATCCGCCGACAACCCGTGACCAAGGAGGAGTGGACGACCAGATCTCATGAACACCTGCAACGCCTAAATACACTGTACAAATTGCTGGTGAATGACAACCGACCTTCATATCCTCCCTCAGGGTAACAGCAATGTCATTCCAGAAAATCGTTTCTGGGTCGTCTCCCTTTAGCCAGGGAGACGCTGGCATCCATGAATCTCTGACCACAACATCTTCGAATGCTGGATTAGATGATATCCACTCAGGTAGGTGCAATGCCGCATCGGTAGAACCACCGCGTGCCGTGATAGCCCTGCTAGCATACGACATCCAGAGGGCCGTCCAAGGGGGTTCAAATGACCCCTTTGGTTTAATTATCGGCTTTTTGTCTGGCCCCGTAAAGTAAAATGGATACTCGGTGATATCTATAAGACCACCAGGCCTCAGGACGTGACTTATCTGATTTGTCATGGCGTGATAATCACGGATCTAGCAGTACAAGATAGTCAGGGATACCTCGCATGCATTTTCTGGGAACTCACCCCAGCGGAAATAAGTTGTACATGGACGACATTGAAGTCACCATAAAAATGCTCTAGCCCTAGGTTAATGTCGTCGACTTCGCTCCTGCAGCCGATAGGAATAATAAGATAGGATAACACGACAATGCATCGTGTCGTCTCTCACCTGCAATTTGCAGGCATGTGTCTTGGGGAAAATTAGGGGTCCGTGTGCATGTCGGATTCATGGGAAACACTCACATAGATTGCATGGGAACGAGGTCGACTGCTACCGCGCTACAGTGAGGGAACTCGCGCGCAACGTCCATTATCCTTAATCGCTCAGCACAGGAGCAGGTTGGCGTAAACAGTACCTACCATATGCCACTGCCGCACCCCAGATCAAGCACTGCTTTGACCTCAAAGCCATCGTCCGCCAGGACGGTCGGTAGAGATGGGGGATACTTTCCCAAGACCTTGCAGAACATCACGTACTGATTGTCTGAAGCGGGCATGATGACGGCACTGGACTGAGCGACGCGGAAACTAACCAAGGCGTTCCAGCTCTTCCTCGTCGGCCGGTAAACGGTAGACATCAGAATAATTGTTCAAGTCCCTCCCATACTCCTGTATGTAGGCTTGAGCGCGCAGAGAACTCGTCATCGAATACACCGAGGGGGTGGGGGAAGAGGACCGCATCGAAACGTCTACAGACGTCTTTGAGCTTGCGGCGCTCTGTGTAAAGGAGTCGAGGGACATTTGGGTGGAGCGATCTGAATCGCAATCGCTGTCTGCATCGTCCAGGAAGGCCTGTTCTCTAGGAGACATGATGGTGTACTATGGAGGCTTGCAAGCAAGACAGATATCGGATTTTATGTATGACATGCGGCTGGCACGGCTGGCAGATTTTCGGCGGACATTATCCCTCGCCTCCGCTGACTTATTATTATTCCAAGACGCCCGATAACTCATCGCTGCAAATCACTGAACAGGTCTCACCTCGCGTGGCAGAAAAGTCCGACAGCAGCTGGTAGTTGCCCCACAGTCTCGCCGGGAACCTGTGTGCAAGTAATATTTATTGCGTTGATACCAAAGACGTTCTGCAATATGTGATTCAGTGGCTGCTGTTGCGCTCAGGTTTTGCGGCGGATAACCTGTCTCAGGGTCACCGAGCCACTTACTTTACTGGCAATCCATGTCTCAGCGACCGATTACGGGAGCAAAGCGTTCACTTTTGCAGTGAACTTTACTTGATGGAATAACAAGAGGTCGTTCAGCCGAACATCGCCGCATCCTCAAGAACTTTCTGGCGAACGTTACCAAAGCTTTTCCTCGATCTCCGCCTAAGTGAGTTGCCCCAAGGAACCTAACTAGTCAACTTGCACGACGCACTGATTCCAAAAACCAAGCGAGTACAATCTTGTGGTGCATCAACATCAGAACGCGGACTTCGGTACTCCGATGTTCCCCGTAGATCTAATGCACGGCTCTCTGAGAAGGGTTCTCAACCCATCCGTGTACATTAAATCATTGGCCACATCCAATTGCTAGAAAACTCTTATGTATACTGTACACTTCCAAGTTGGTATGCCAGTATTCTACCCGCCGCGTGCACGCCGATCTACATACCTACCTACAAACCGTTTGCCTTACCGATCTTGGTTGTCTGCACTCGTTATGACGTGGCCAATCCACAAAGGAACATGCGTTCTACGGAATAATGAAGATATGTATACCGCATTATTTACACGTCGAAAGGAAGTCCAGTACACATAAAATGTTTTAGCCATACGTTGCCAGATCCCGGCGGAGGTCAGAGCAAGTTGTGTATACTACTAAAGCGAACCACACCACGATTCAGGCCTTCAGGATCTTCGACCTCTAGGCATCTATCTTGCCGCGTGTTCGTACTGAGGTAGCTCGGGGATACATTAATACTTGCAGCAAAAAACGATCAGCGGACCTCCAACAGCCCCCGGAACACCTGTCAGTGGAAACGTGTCGCATAAATATTATCCTTCGACGTGGCTTTGCTTGAATTCCTAGGATATTTGAGATTATTACAAACTTTATACGGTACTGACAACTGCGCGAACAAAAGGGTACATGTCATCTGACCTCCGCTAGCGCTTTTTCAGAGCCTGGAAACGTTGCGCCAAGGCTTCGAAATCGTCTTCCGGACCATCTTTGGGTATGCCAGGTATCGATGGGGTGCACTTCTCGTTTAAGTCTTCTTTGGTTGGCGGAACATCAGGGCTAGGGGCTTTGCCGTTGGACCCATCTTCGGAGTAGGCTGGTAGCTGGTCTGACTGTTCGCCCGCGGGGGCCGTGGGCACAGAGTCCTAGGAGAGAAATCGTTGGTTGTAGAGTTGCCATACAAAGAATGCACCTAACCTGGGAAGACACGCCCTCTGAAGCTTCTGCTTTGGTGGCAGGAGAGCTCCAATTTACACCGTAGCCTTTCGCTATTTCTGTGAGATAGGCTTCCACTAACGTCGGTGACGGCGTTTCGACCACCGACTTCTTCATCACCTTATTGTCACCAGATTCGCACGGAAATAAATTCAGAGAAGAACAAGCGGCCAGAGAGAGCGTGCTCACTCGGTCACTTACACACCCTCCACGATTCTCCATCACGCCTACCGAAAACTCACGGCCATATTTATGCATGAGAAATTCACGCAGCGCCTGTAGTTCTGACAAACAGCATGAGTATCACTATGGAAGGATGGTGCTCATTTATACCTTTCACCTCGGTTCTGGGGGCAGCGTAAATGATAGCACATACGCCCTCACTGATACCCGGGTCGGGTTCCCGTGTGCTAGAAGGTTGAGTTACGGTGTTTGAGTGCGAAGGTCCAGATGTTACCTGTTTGCTTACCTCTGATCAAATAGACCAAAGCGAGCTACTAGCAAGTCGCAGTACAACTCCAGCAACTCCAATAGTTCGAGAGTGACGTCCTCATTAATGACTAACGGGTCTCAATTAGGGATAATATCATTAGGTCACGAAGGAGATCGATCTTACCAGCCTCCACTTTAATCCGAGCGCTCTCTATCTTCCCCTTCTCGAGTAAGATGGCGATATCACGACGCGCACTCTTAGCCTGGGCTTCCTTCTTCTGTTGTAGCGTCCGTAGACGTTGTACAGAAAGACTAGGACATCGCGTGAGATATGGCGAGGTGAGTCACTGGACACTTTGCCATTTGCCTACCGAAGTTGCAACTTTTGTGGGGTCAAAGCTGCAAAAGTATGGGCGACATCTGTGAGCTTACCTTGGCTTTTGCTGCACTCCACGCCGTCGAGGGCATCGATATGTTATTGTGGTCAATTGACAAACTGACAGTACTGAATCCTCCCGCAGCACGACGGTACTCTGCATCGAACTCGATAAGATAAGCACCGAAGAATGATTACATAATGTAAGTGCTTCAACCTCGGCACTGGCAGGATCGCAGTTTCTCGAATTCTTATGGACACCCTGCTTAGGCGCACATCCACCAATCAAAGTCCAATGTCGGTCGTGGACTTGCGAACGGAACTCGGAACCGGCCCAAGGACAGCTGGGAAATTGTGGGAGACGTGTCTGACCCGTGACGGATGCTTTATATGTATGAATGTTGCTAGGCAGTAAGGTTCATTGTCAGTGTCGTTGACAGGCTGACTATTATAGCCCTTGCAGAAATGGGTACGTGGGTGGACCTGGAGACGCGGCTGCAGAGCCTCTTCCTGGAAAGTGAAAGGGGCGGTGACACCCGTGCCTTACCACCATTCCCGATCACACACTAGCAAACTCATTTCGAGCATCCCCACTGTACCTCGGGCGCCTTCGCTGATGATGTAGGTGTTTCTGGTGCTGTGACACGTTTTGGAGACATTCAGGGTTAAGGGCTGTCCTATGGGTGTCAAGACAACGTGCGAGTTTGGGAGGTGGTCCAGTAGGCATCTGTGGGAAGGCTCGCAGCTGCCACGGCCGATGTCGCAACAGATGTGGTCAAGTGTAACCATCACCCTGTCGTGGACCATCCTCATCGCTTTCCTTTTTGAGAAAAAAGTATTTCAGACCAATGATGGTTCGTCTCTACGACAAGATAAAAACGGTTGAATGTCAGATATCAGTGGTTTCTCATCCATCCTTCGTCCCGCTCCGCCGGACTGAACGAGGATGCCCACAGTCCACACTGGAGGGTCCCGTCAAGCCCTTCGAATTGATACATCATGCCTAACCACTCAGCAACCCTTGTCTTACGATGATCCTTCCTCGGACGCCTCTCCTTCGAATCTCACCACGTCTGGATCCACCCCAAGCACTGGCACGTCAGACTGGGCAATATGTCACGTTGTGTGCAATTTTGATTTCGAGTCTCCCGACCCAGACCAATTGTCCTTCAGCAAAGATGAGGTCCTAGCCGTCGTCAAGAAAGAGGATTCGGGTTGGTGGGCGGCTATGCGATTAGAAGGGGATCGTATTGGTTGGATACCAAGCTCGTTCGTCGAACCCCTCCCTGAGTGGAAACTCGACGAAATGGTCCTTGAACACGAACCTGATATCCTCCGAGCATTTGATGACGAGCGAGAAATGGAAGTTTACCCACATACTATTGAGGGAGACGAGTTATGGATACCGTTCGAGGACTTGAAGGTATGGTCACATGGTTTATGCACGATTCCTGCAGTCCAACGTCCATGCAGGTACCACCCATGCAAATTATAGACCCTACTGATATCATCCCACCAAACGATCCTTCCCAACTACGAGAGCACAGCATCGATTCATTTGTTTTCATTGATTGCATGCCATTACCGTTGGATATCATTAGCCCTCCTTTCCCCTTGTCGTCAGTGCCTCATTCGTCCGTCCTTCAGGGACTGGCCCCTCACGTAACGCGGAAGTTGCCTTTCCGGCGCATTGCGCTGAAGAGCGTTTCACCACACGCACCTCCCCAGTAGCTACTTAGGTACTTCACAAGTTATCGTTCTTAGGTTTTGTTGATCACCATAGTTCTGTTCTTCGTCCATAATAAATCGCTTCATAGGTTTGTCTTCAAAGCTAGTTCTATCCCTCGAAGAGGTAGTCCTGTGGTGGCGATCCGATATTTCGTGATTGTGTCACACATGTCGATCGTCCGCTGCTGTCAAGTGCATTAGGTAGTTTCCTCTTGTAAGGATGGGCCGTGCAGTGTTGTTTCCTGACATACGAGTTGGAACGTTTCACTTGGCAGCCAAAATGCTTGGTTGCTCTTTGTTGTGCATGTGTGGGGTTTGCGGTGTGTACATGCCAATACTCTGCCAAGATACTTTCCTTGTGGGTTTAGGTCGTCAAGGTGAGCAAACTTTATTGCCACAGACTCCCTGGAGGTCTCTCACGGTGCGCAATACTGATATATCCTAATCTGCGGCGAATGCTTTCCACGCCAAGTACTCATTGCTCCAACCAGAACCAGATCTACAGTAGTGGTTTGGAGGGCATCACAGGGACATTTTCAGGGAATGTCTAGTGACAAGAGCTTGTGACCAGGTATCTTATCGGGAGAGGTCGGTGATTCTCGTGAGCGCTCATCTGACAGCAGACAGCAGTAGTCATGTCAGTGAACGACTTCAACGATGTGAGAACGGAATTTTCGGTGCGGGTTCCACTTCTTGGCCTAACTCGAGCCTAGTTGTAGGTGCCACAAGCGTTGCGAAGAAATAAGCTTCACACTGATCCGTTGGTTTTGATAGTTAGTCTTATCGATTGAATGATGATGTGAAAGGTGTACGTCTGGAAAGGTAACCGTCAAGTGCTGAATGATTACAAATGAAATAAGCCAAAGGCTAATGTGAGGGGAATGATAGGGGTGCCCGTCAAACTGTAGGCCGAAGTGTAACCAAGTACTGTAATCAACAATTACAGGCCTCATTGCTACCCTGGGTGGTGGTCTGCCTGTTCAGGTCAACGCCTTGCCGTGCTGCTGCAGTCCCTCGAGCGGCACTCGTTCTTGATGATGGTGCGGAAAGAGGGAGCTTCTTCGCTACAGTCGGGATGAGTATGGGTTATTAGAGCGTGGAAACTTGCCCACCAATTGCTGTGAATACTTCCGAAACACCCTCCCCAGTCTTTGCGCTGGTTTCAAACCACATGAGTCCCTCTTCGTCTGCATACTTTTTTGCCTCTTCTTGAGTGATTTGTCGGCGAGCAGTAAGGTCAGTCTTGTTACCGCACAGTGCGATGACTATTGAGGGATCTGCTTGACGCTGGAGTTCCCGGATCCAAGTGCGCGCCTTATCGAGCGAGGAAGCCTGTGTTATGTCATAAACTACCACTGCACAATTTGCATTGCGATAGTACATTGGAGCCTGTGAAGTGGTTGTATGTTCAATTACAGGTCATAATGCAGAACGTGAACATACAAGGGACTATAAGATAAGGGGGTGAGTGCCATTCGGAAAAGCAACGGAAGGGTTCCATACCTTGTAGCGCTCTTGTCCAGCCGTATCCCTGTAAGACTAAGAGCTGAGAAACGCAAGACATAATAATCGTTGGTTACGTACCATATTTCGAATTTGACGATAGTCTGATCATCCAATGTCACAGTTTGCGTCAGGAAGGCAGCTGTACGGGGATGGGGTCAAGTGCAAAAGGGGTCAATGTAGAGGTGCTTCATACCGCCGATAGTGCTTTCTCTGTAGTCGTCGAACTGATCTTTCACGAACCGTAGAACCAAACTGTTGTGGAATCGCCATGAGGTCTGCGCCGGTGCATAGTAAGCGCGTGACTGTACCTGGACTTGCCTACCGCTGACTCGCCTATGAAACAGCATAAGAAGAAAAACTCTGGTTTAGAATCGCTCAGACGACGAACCTAGGAGGACAAGCTTGAACTGGAATTGCTTTGACATGGCGTGGTGCTGTTGGGGAGGAGCACCCGTGCACGGCAACCATTTTCGGAATCACGCCGGGTTACGTAATCTGCACACCTTTGATTCCCACGGTCGACGCCTCATCCAGCCATCAGAAAAATTCACGGCCGGCTGGGGCTCATCGCTTCTTTGTTCCAGACCTCCATCATCTATCCCCCTGCGATTCGGTCATCCAAATCCCTCCTAAGCTAAGCGCCCCAGTCGCAGAGGAATCACTCTCAGTATCAATAGCGGACACGCACGCCTTTTTGGACGCACTTCATAAGCCCCGGGCCTTAACTAAGCTGCCGCTGCGCTTTTGAGCTTGTGCAAAAATCGACTTATAAAATGAATCGTCATCATCCCTACGGTAGCGGAAACTATGAGGGCGCTCCCTACAGAAGAGGCGGATCTTCTGGTGGTCCTGGCCCTGACAGATCGTACTCTCATAGAGGTGGCCCTCGTGGCAGAGGATATGGTCGTGGCCGTGGAGGTTATCATCATTCTGGTTACGACAGCAATCACACAACCAATGCCTATGATCAAGCTCCACCCCAATCAGACGTCAACCCGTACAATAATTACGACGCCTCGTTGCAAGATGCGTTCTACCAAAATGGCACCGGTAGTTACGGAGCTGGTCCTCCTTCTAGCCAATTTAGTGCCCCGGATCCGTCAGATGGCTATACTCAAGGCTACGGAACTTATGAAGGTGCGCTTGAATTGAGACTGAAAAAAAAATGCAGTGCGAGCACAGGCAGCGTCACATATCGCGGCATCATCTAAGATGCGAACGGAGCGGGCTAAGACTGCCAGTTCTGCCCTGCTATATTTTTTTTGGCCTTCTACTGGGCGGTAGCACTGTCGCGAGCTCTAAGCTATTCATTAGCAAAGCATTCAAGTCGGATCCCTCAGAGATTGAGTTTACCAGGCGCCATCTCTATTGAATTATGCAGCTTGGGAGATTGGGTGCTTGGATTTGACTTGAATTTCCTCCGCGGAACACCTTCGCGTTTACTTGTTTATCTGTTGCCGCCGATGCGTCACTCGTTTCATTCTGCCTCTTAATTTTGGTCTTTTTTGTCGCGAAGGTTCTGATCTCACACGCAAACTCCCTTAGACGGCACGGATCATAACTATGACGATGGAGGGTCTGGTATGCGACCACGAAGAAATGTGCGTCGGGAACGTGATGACAAAGTTCATGATTCCATAATCGAAGAACGCATTCAGCGAGAACGGCCATGTCGAACTCTCTTTATCCGAAATATTAAGGCAAGTTGTTTTCGATGAAATATTTCATAGTTCCTGCAAATCGTTCGGAACTAATGATGCGTTGAATTCAGTACGAAACCAACAGCGAGGATGTGCGCCGTTCTTTCGAAGAACACGGTAATATCAAGACCTTCTTTGACCTTATTGCTACTCGTGGGATGGTCTTTGTTACATATGTGAGTGATACGGCAGTTCCTACTTACTAGTGCTAAGTCAGCATAAAGTATGATTTGCGCTCGGCCGAAAGAGCTAGAGAGCGACTTCAAGGTTCTGAAATAAGTGGGCGGCCCGTGAGTTGCTTGAATTACCGATCGTCACTCGACCTGATGATTGGTCATTACCAATAGATTGATGTTCACTATTCCCTTCCCCGAGATGACCCGAAGCAGGGCATCGACCGAGAGAAGAACCAAGTAAGTACACAACATTTCGGAATCGAACGGCATCGATTGAGCGACTCTAGCAATTTCAAGGCTTTCTTATCGTCACTTTGAAAGACTCTCGCCAGCCAATCGATCACCACGAAGTCAGGCGCAAATTCCAGCAGTTTGGAGACGTTAAATCGGTTAGTCCAGTCGATGATCGGACCGAGTGAGTGACATTCTGTCTGCAATTATATTCTGCCCTGACAAATGGTCAGTCAATGTTATGTGGAGTACTTTGACATAAGGGTATGGTTCATAAAAGTTTTTCCAGGCCCCTCCGTTAATCGACGTCCCAGAATTGCGAGGATGCGTTTGACAGGCTTCGTCATCAGGGTTTACAGGACGGAACCATGGATATTGTTTTTGCGTGGGAGGAATCCGAAGTCACTCCAACCCCTCAACGGTATGGAAGCGTTTCCCGCCTTTACACTCGTACCCATCCGCTCATATGGTTTGAATATAGCCGTGAAGCTAAGTATGAGGGCGGTCGTGATTGGGAAGATGGCGGTCGCGGTTTCCGTGGTCGTTGGAGGGGTCGTGGAAGAGGTCGCGGCCGTGGTGGACACGATGATGGTTGGGATCGCCGAGATGAGTGGGGGAGAGACCGCGACCGGCCACGATACGACGAAGACTCAAGAGGTGGCCGTGGTGGAGGACGTGGTGGATATGGTGCGGACAGGTTTGACAGTCGCCCTCCATACCAGGCTAGCGGCTATAATCAACCAACAAGTACTGCGGCTGCATACAGCCAGCCCGCGCCTTCCACACCTGTTACTCAGACAGTAAGTGGTCGTTAGTTTCAAGCGCTGTACATGAGCTTCATATCATTACAGGGTGGTATGGATGATCGTTTAGAGCAAGCTCGGCAAGTTCAGCAACTTTTGGCAGCTCTCAAGCAGCCGCAAAATGGTGGTGCTCCTCCGGTGCCCCCTCAACAAGCACCTGCACCAGTACAACCAAGCCTCGGGATGCCTACTGTACCTCCAAGTTACTATCCACCCCCACCATCTTCGATGCAGCAACCTGTACCCCCATATCCCCCAATGCCAGTAACAGCATCAAACCCGTACGCGACAATGCAAAACCAGATTACACCTCAACCAGGCCAGACTCCAAACATTGCTGGATTGCCGGCGAATATCCTTGCTCTACTTCAGCAGACGCAAACACAACAGCCCCCGCAACAACCCCCCGCGCCCCAATATGGTATGCAACCCCCGCCCACGCAACAATTGATGTCTCCTCCTCCTATGTCAAGCCTGCCGCCCGGCGCACCGCAGCCAGGTAACCCCGGCTATCAACAGCTTATGGCATTCCTTGTGAGTGTGCGCCCCCTGATTTAACCCTTCAAAAGCCTGAATACACCGCGCCAGGCATCGCAAAAGCGGAGCTAATTATAGTGCCCTGTACCACCGTCTAATACGGACACTGATTTATATCGGCCTGTAAATACTTTTGTTTTGTTTTGTTGATGAGTATCGCAATTACCCTTATCGAAGTCTGTAGTGCAAGATAAACGAAAGGGGGGCGACTAGGAGTTAGGAGGTAAGGTGAGTATTTAGGGCGTCAGGGTGGAGGGAGCCGACCCTTACGTCCATTGTCTTCTACTTACTACCATGGCAGTACCAAGACCTGAACAAAACAACGACGAGAAGACACTCCACCTGGGCTCTAATACTGATGAACAGGTTGCCTCCGAACGCTGCAAGGGTTTTTTGGGGTTTTATTACCATCCACTCTTCCAGATTTGTATGCTGGGTTTTGTATGCTTCATGTGTCCGGGTATGTTTAATGCACTCTCGGGACTGGGCGGAGGTGGCCAAGTAGATGCTCGAACCGCCTCCAACGCCAATACTGCGCTGTATTCGACCTTCGCATTTTTCTCGTTTTTTGCCGGGTGCGTCAGCATCCACTCCGACGATCGTTCGTACTCGAATGCTCGCACTTCTTCAGATCCATAAACAATACCTTGGGCCCTCGTAACACGTTGATGATTGGAACCGTGGGATACGCACTGTTTATTGGCTCCTTCCTGTATGTGCAGATTGGGGGGCTGGCGGAATCTGCTGACTGAAGGGGAAAATAGCGCAGATAATATTCATCCGACGACTGCGGGACCTTTTGTCGTTGCTGCCGGTGCTATTTTGGGTATATGCGCGGCATTCCTGTGGACTGCACAAGGCTCCCTGGTGCTCAGTTACCCGACGGAAGCGGAAAAGGGTAAATACATAGGCGTCTTCTGGGCTATTTTCAACTTGGGAGGTGTCGTCGGCGCTGCGGTGTCTCTTGGCCAGAACTTCAAATCCGAGGTAAGCGTGATTTATGCTTGGCCCTGAGGCTTGCTCAATAAAGGTGTCCACAGGCAAATCAAGGTGAGTTGCGACTACGATAGGTAGAGTTATCTACTGACAAGAACCTACCTTCTATTTCAAAAGTGGGAAATGGAACATATGTGCGCCGATTTTGCCTTCTTCTACCTTGCCTACTAACAACGTACATTCTAGATCGGCTTTTTGATCCTAACCTTGATTGGGGTATGTATCCCGAGATTAATGGCTGATCCAAAAAAAATGATACGGACGGACGGGACGAAAGTGGAAACGTACCGTCATCCATCTTGGAAGTCTGAGATCTATGGTCTCTGGCTCGCACTGCGCACTGATCCCATGATCTTGCTGTTGTTCCCCATGTTCTATGCCAGCAATTATTTCTATACATGGCGTAAGCAATTTGCGCTCATACGCTTCCCCACTTACTTAACTATCTTTTGTGCAGAATTCAATGACTACAACCAGGCCCTATTTGACATTCGTGCACGGTCTCTGAATAATTTCGTGTACTGGCTGTCTCAAATTGTGGGATCGCTCGCGATCGGTGCTCTGGTCCTCGACCAGGCAGGTTGTCAGCGACGTTCTCGGGCTTTTGCAGGCTGGGCCATCCTCTTCGCAATGGTATTCATTGTGAACGCGTGGGGATATTCTTATCAGAAGTACGATCTTCTTAAAACCGCATTTTGTCCAACGAACTGAAGAAAAAACGTGTCTACAGGACTTACACTAGAGAGTCAGTGGCACTTCTTACACAGAAGATGGATATTCACGATCATGGATACCTGGGTCATGTTTGGCTTATGATCTTCTGTGGTCTCTTCGACGCAATGTGGCAAACGACTGCATACTGGTTGATGGGGGCTATGTCAAACGACCCTTCGAAGCTTGCCGTCTTCACAGGCTTCTGTAGGTCCACCCCATGATCATGCTGGTGGCGATTTATCTCATGAGTGCACCACGCAGATAAATCAATTCAATCGGCCGGAGCTGCAGGCGTGTGGCGTGCAGATGCAGTTGGCATTCCGTGTGTTATCGTCGTTTTTTTAATACGCTCTCCTGATCAATCAACGCTTCTCTAGCTACATGAATATCTTCTTGTCTTCTTGGTGCTTGACCGCAGGCGGCCTTATTTTCGCTCTCCCAATGATCTATTTACGCGTCAAGAATCACACGGAATTAAAAGAGGAAGCGCTGTATGGAGCTTCTCATTCATTCCGGCAGATGGTTGTTCTGACCTTTCCACAGGGCACATGTGGCGGAAACGGATGAAACTCACGACCACAAGACTGAGACGAAGGTGTAAAACACTACTCATATAAAATGACAATGGAAGGCTCCCAACAAAACAATTTCGTATTGAGTTACTATAGTGCAGAGTAGTCACAGTATCCAGCTGTAGTGTTGAAGTGAATGTAGCGTTGAAACAACTTTTTCAATCCTAAAGATACACCGACATTTATCCGTATTTAGTCTCCCGTCAATTGCGGCAAAAGTACGAAGATCTACACGACGATGACGACATTTTAGTTGCCCTGGCCTAGGGTAACCAATGCATAAACATTGGCAGAGACAATGATAAGCCAAGTCAAAGTGCCGGCGGCAGTCACAATCTTCCCGCTGCTGAAGTCAACATACTCTGCTTGGTCAGCTGTCTCTGGGTCTCGTGGCGTCTCGCGGGTGTCCCTGGGAGTAGCCTCGAGTGCTGGAGGGTCTGCCTCAGCGACGTCCGTATGGGGGGGCATTGTCCCATCAGAAGATGATGGTTGTGATGATTTGCGAACCTTCATGAAACGAGATGTCGACGTTAGATAGATAAGAGGAAATGTAATGAAAGGAAGGATGATGGACAAGACAACTTGGCTTGCGACAAGCAACGCATTGATACCATTCGGACCAACAGCGATAGCCACGATCATCGAAGGGACCAATCCCAGCAACCGAGTAATAAGGCGGCGGAGAATGGGCTGATATAACGCCTAATTAAATGGTTGCCAACAGGTAATTGGGAATGATAGTCATACCGAAACTTTCCAGTGCAAGAAACCCTCAGAGACGCTCTGACCAGCGAGCGTTGCAATTACGGAAGCGCTTTGGCCTGAGGCAAGCAAAGCCAGGGCAAAGAGCAGAGCGGCAGCTGTGCAGATGTTAAAAACCAAGCGAACTTACGCAATGTTGGCCAACTTACGCCTTCCGATAGTGTCCCTAATAAGGGTATGGGCGTCAAATAAGCTTGCAGGAGCCATCGAACCCCGGGCACCAGATCCGTAATAGAAGACAGCACTGGCAAGAACGAGAATTCTGGTGAAGAATATGAGCATGATGCCGATATATCCACAGCCATCAGACGCACAAGGCATTGATGATGACAGCGAAACCTAGCAAGCTGATTATCATGTCGACCATGCCATGGTAAACGTGTGCCCGAACGAATGGCAAAGGGTTATTCTCTCTATTTGCGTGTGTCAATACATTGGCTGGATAATATGACTCTTCGGAACGAAACACTCCAAAAAGTCGTCTACAGTGGATGCGCAGACGTTCCGAGAACGTGGCATGTCGAGTGTTAGTGGTGGGTTCATAGTCCGCATTATCTTCGGGTAAACCGTCACAACTGAAGACATTCAAAGGCTGCTTGACAAAGTGGTACAAGCGTTGAAGGAAAGTCTTGTCTTGCGGAGGTTCAAAACTGGCAGATTCAGAGTGAGTATGAACTTCCTTGAGAGGTGCCTCAGCCATCCGGTCTTGTGTGGCCAAGTGTGATCCCAAGAACAAACTATGCGGCATGATGGTGGCCCCAAGGATACCGACGGCTAAGATGGTATTTAGCGGCAGAAAATCAAGTTACAGATACCACAGATACTGACTGGTGTACAATGCGCCGTTTTCGAAGAGTGCCTTCGACGGAAGAAGCCCCTTGAACACATCTGCCCAGTCTACATTGATGCGTGCTATGATTATCGCCATGCAGATGAGCACAGCGAGGGTCTGTTTTGCATGTCACCAACCCGATCTCGGAAGCGGAGAACATGTGCGCTAGATGGGTACATACCAGTGCGGTGATCAGGTACTCGAACATTTTGACAGGTCTCGTCCTCAGCGGATTGTCAAATGCCAGAAGAAGCATGACGTCAGAGGCAGTCAACAAGACGCCCGCCCAAAGAGGGAGTGATGGAAAGAGAAGGACAAGGGCGATAGCAGACCCGAGCATCTCCGCTAGGTCTGTACTGATGATGGCGATCTCCGAGAGGACGTACAACGGATATAGCACGCCCCAGCGCCATAGCATCTTGTGCCGAGGGCGGTCATGGAGCAGAAGTCTGCAATGAGATGCAAGATCTAACAAGTGTCAGCGGGAAATATATATATATATATATATGTAGATTGATTCGTTACCTAGGCCTGTTACCACTCCCAAACGACTAGCAAGGACCTGCCAGAAGGTGTCTCTGATGAACGCGATAATTCCAGCAGCAGTAACGAAGGATACCTGAAGAAGGGCTGCTAACAGGCCAGCGAGGAGGACGCAGAACAGGAGGCTATATCCAAACTGCGACCCTGCCTGGAGATCAACTCCCCAGTTCCCGCTGAAACGGGTCAGCGTCGACGGAGGTGAAGGTCCTCGAAAACGACGACTCACGGATCGAAGTACGCGACGGAGCACACGATGCCCACGCCAGTGTGCTTTCGAGCGTGATGATACACTCGCCAAGCAACGTTATACGCTATGGAAGACCAGTGGACTCCTTTTCGGGTCGACACCTGCTCGGGCTTGTCCTTGTCCTCGGGAACGACAGATACCGACATGGTGGTAAAAAGAGGTGAGGGAGATTAGGTCGTTTCGCTTCTACGGTCACTGGTAATTCTACTGAAATAAGAGAGGCGTGGGCATGCGTGAGGGGCTCAAAGCCTCAAATCTGGGATCAGTGCCTCATGAATCTGTGAATGAAATAACAAGCGCAAGGATTCGGAACAACCTACAGTCATAAGTTGCAACGGACATCACAGTTCTGACTCGGACGCCACGAACAAAACCGTGTACATCGTCCGCACGAGCTTACGGCAAAACAAGTGACTGTCCACGGTACCTATAGTACCCACAAACATGGCTGATACAGTATAAGACGGGCTACACTCGTGTACACAATTCATTTGGCAGCAGGAGTCATATCCAACGGCTTTAATAATCCGAAGGGAACTCGCCATCTGCTGCCATCTCGGCCGCAAGCTGAGAATTGCTCAGGAGACAGGAGGCATAGTCCTGTTTCGAGTCATTCAGGAGGGATCACACAGATCACAAGTGATCGGAAGTACCTGCAGCTCTGCATCTTTCCGCACGACTGAGGTGGGGAGTGAATGCGCGACTGCCGGAATGGTCGCCTTCGCTGGTCTGATGCTCCTGTTGACGTCAGTGGATGAGGTTGTCGAGACCGGTGGCCTTGTTGGTGACTGTGGCGGTTGTGTATTGCCAATGCTTGTATTGCTCAGGCACACGAGTTCATCGTCATCCAATAGACCATCTGCATATGCCTGCGACAACACAATTGAGCGCTGGCACGTCCATCGCTATCGTAGTACCTGAAGGTCCTCGTCCTGTTGCTTTTCCTCCTGTCTTATGTTTTTCGACACATTCTGTTCTAGCTGTTCCCAATCACGCTCCGGGAGGGGAGGCTGTAATACGCCAATATTGGCGAGTCGGTCAGCGGCCTCGTTGCCCTCAAGTCCGACATGTCCTCGGACGTGCTTGAACTCGACGGTCTGGGAAGTTATGTGCCGCGCGTGAAGCAATGCCGCGAGGTACTTGAGTACAGGACGGTTTTTCACCGGTTGTCCGTCTGAGGTGCGGAATCCGTTGGTCATCCATTTGAAAATCCAGGATGTTACGCCTGCAAGGAATGATGAGCATATCATCACTGTGAAACGAAATGCGTCGACATCTGATGGAGTATTGCGAATCAGTTTTGATCAGGAGTTTGCGCTTCAGCGGCGGCGTCGTTTCCAGAATGCGCACGATGGCCTGGAACAGTCAGGTCATGCCACGCAAAGTAGGATACTCTCACTATGAGCTCAGCCCTGTTGTTCGTCTGATCTCCTGGGCACCGTTCCGACAAATTTCTAACGGAAATGCAACAGTATGAGGAGACAGATTGACGTCAGTGACATACCTGGGGTCGTTGTGGCCCCACCACACCCCTATACCGGCTTTGGAGCCGGTCGCTCCATTTCCTTTACATGCGCCATCACAATAGACGACATCGAACTCCTTTCCGTCCGCGTCAGGTATACCAGTAGATGGTGCAACTCTTGCTACAGCCGCAGAAGTACTCGAGACGGGCTGATGATTTGATGGTGCTGATAACCCGTCCCATGCCACTGCATGCATGAACGTCTTTGCCAGTGCTTCCGTAGGGAACTTTTTGAATACAGCTCCGGCAAAACCTTTCACCTGCGCATAGCAGTCATCCCTCGATGGATATTCAATTGGGGTTGGTCCTCCTGAAACGACCTCACCTACCAAGATAGGTATATGCCTGGCTGGCGGCCCTTCCTAACCGCGTAGTATGCGAGCCTGGGTGCCTTTGGCATGTCGTTTCCCGGAATGTGTGAAAAGCGCTGCGATAGTGTAATGGAGTGCACGTGTTTGAAAGTGTAAAAAGTGGAACGTGACGGCTGGGGACCACTGCGAGCAAAGAAGCACGCCAGGTTGCAATGATGATCGGGGATGGAGTTACACCTAACCCTGATCTAGGAGTATAACCCCAATTTGGGGTCCTTGTGAAAAAAAAGAACAAACTGCACCATAACGTCAACAAGGGATGGATCACGTGGAGTTGTTTGTTCCAGAAAAGGAAATATCCTCGATCATGCCGGTATCGTTTCCCAATCAGGACAAGGCGACGACCGAAATGGGTTGCTGGCTTGTACTTGCGTTTTTGTGAGTCTGGCGTCGTTTGAGTCTCCCTGGTTTGGTATATAATTGCTTCGAATATCCACACTGGTCTTCTCCAAAGACCTATCTGGTCGAACAACCGCGCAACGCCTTGCATTGTCCGCCTCTTCCGTCGAACCACTACTATCTCGTTCCTGTGCAGATACCCCCTATCGCACGCATCCTATCACACGTCTGGTTCGCGACGCTCTTGCTACCGTAGAAACATTCAACGCAGTTCTAATATCATAATGCCTCCTTACGACGGGTACCCCGCTGCGCCTCGCTCTCCCACCTTTGGGTTCTTCCCCACGGCCCCGGCGGCTCCACATGCTTTCCCCACTCTCCACGGAGACCCGCGTGACACGCACGCCATGTACGCCTCGTTAGGCTCGCAGCTAGGCTTCCAGCCCAGCACCCAGTCGTCTCATACGGGCGGTAACCAGAACCCCCTCAGAAAACTCTGCCGCAAGTAACTTGCGTGCGATACCCTCTCGCGTTTCACGTCTTTTTAAGATCAACATCAAACCATGCTATACCCAACTGTATCATAGGAAAGGGAAGGGGAGAGGGAACAGGAAGGGATATCTGTGGGATCGGGGGCTTGTACGACGTGGTGGACGGGTGCGGGACATCATCAGCATCACGCTTGTATTCGACATTCGCCGGTGTTTCCATATCTTTCTACTCGATAGATTCTACTACAACCACGCTGTATTGTATATTTGTTTTTCCTATCAATTGTGTGGAGTCCATTCCTATGCCGTCATTCGATCGTGAACTGCCTTTTTAAATTTCCCACGATATGGACAACAAAAATGTAAAAATAAAGATAATATAGTGCCGCCGGCCCGGCAAACGCCGTCTGCGATGGTCGAGGCTGAGATGCTCGTTCTCTGCCAAACCAAAAATCAATCGAACGAGGCTCGCCAGCAATGATGCCAATGCGAGCGTCGAGGTCGCAGCAGCCGAGCAATGCCAGCACCGTCTACACTCTGTCACTACTCTCAGAGTACACCCATACACTAGACTGCCTCCCCTTTGACCTCTCTCGCAACTTTGCAGACTTGCGGGAACTCGACGCAGTCCTGTCCTCGTCAATGACCTCCATCACCACCAAGATTCAAAAGCTCACCCAAGTCATCGAAGAAGGCGCTCTCTCAAAGCAAGAGAGGCTCTTCCTCCTCACTGAAATCGCCGATGAAGCTGCCCGCCTCAGACTCGGCGGCGAAGACAAAATCCGCGTCGCATGCCAGGCTGCAGACAATGTCAATGGCCACATCTCTTACATGCGCGCCCTAATCAGCCTAGTACCTTCCTTCAAAATGTCTTCCTTGAGCCGAGACACCACCTACCCTCACGTTGCCCCGAGATCATACATGCCCATCATGGAGAACTCCCGTGGTCGCAGAAGAAACAACTACAACTCGATCATGTCCACCGGTCACGATACCAGCCCTTTGAAGCGCAAAAGGAACCACAGAGACGATGACATGGATATCCCCAGTGTCAAGTCGCCACGCAAGGACCGGAACGGGGACTTGGGTTCTTCTCGTGCTCGCAATGGCATTCGTTCACGAAGGTATGTCCATATAATTACCTTCTTTGCAATGTCTTGTCCTGATCTTGCTCTCTGCAAGACCCGAACGTGCGGCGTCTCCTTCAGAATCCATTCATTCCACCATGTCCCACAACATCACTGCCGTTCCTCAATCACACACAACCCGTTCACGCGCTGCAGGGAGTTCTAGTCGCACTGGCAACTCGTCCAGTAGACGCGGAAGGGGACATGATGAGGTACCCAATGGTACGAGCTCACGAAAAGACATCTTTCCTCCGCCTTCCTCCACCTCTGCAGCCCCGCTGCTATCAACGCAGTACGGTAGTGGCACAAATGGCGTACATAAATACGACGCATCTGCCACACACCCAAACGATTGGGCAGCACCACCATTACACGCTCAACTGGAGGGACCAGGGGTTCCCGTAACGCGCAATGCCCATACGGGCTTGTCCATGGGACCTCTGACACCGAATTTACCTGTCAATTCACGCGACGCCCAATCAGGCAGCGTACCTCCCGACACCGCTACTGAAGCAGGAGAGTGCGATGGCGAGGGAGACGACAGAACCTACTGCTTCTGCGACGGGATAAGCTACGGAGAGATGATCGCATGTGACGACGCCAACTGCGAGCGTGAATGGGTTCGTTGATTCACGTTTGGAGCTTGTCTCGTTTTCTGATTGAACCCTTCTGCACAGTTTCATCTCACTTGTATCGGACTTACCGTGCCACCAGAAGGAACGTGGTATTGCGATGCTTGCAGGGCCAAGCAGAAGAATGCGAAGCGTGGTGCAAGGGGCAGCAGGAAGCGCGTCACAGGTGGTGGCAATTCACGTTCCGGCGCAAGGAGTGCTGCGAATTCGTGACTATTATTTTCCGTTTTTCTTCTACTGTAGCTGGACGCCGATACTTAAGTCTGTATCTTATGCACTGTGACCACGGATCTGCAAGCCAAGGTTACCTTGGAAATGAGTATAGGAGCTATCGGCAAGGTGGACCCAGTAAGCTGGACGTCACTCGGACCCCAGTCGGCTACCGATTTAATTCCAGTTGGTACATGCGAAATGATAAACCAGAAACCCCTTGTCAACGCGACACAACAAGCGTTCCGCAGAACGGGGGCATCCACAAACGCAACGAGTCATCTGTAGATTGTCTCCCAGGAATAGTGGAGTAGTTAACATGCTACGTCAGCATTCCGATTCGCAGAACTACAATAGCGCCCCTCAAAGATGCCGACGACGACGCCTGCGCCTACAGTGCAACTACCATAAATTAGTTGTAGGTGTCGGCGTCGGCGTCGGCGTCGGCGCCAACTTTGAGCGGCCCTAATCAGTGGTATTAACGTGAATCCACGCACTAATAATATGCAGTCGTACCCTGTCGTATCACTTGTGTTCAGAGCTTTTATGACTGGTCTCCACGATGAGTCAACAAGGACCGCAGTGCGAGGGACCCTGAAAAGACGGGCCTCATGCACCTTTTCTTCATGTCAGGGAGTTTTCATCGATTATTTGTTAGTGACAAAGTTCGTTCCTGGCGTATTGTAACTTCCGACAGAGCGATATCGAAAGGCCCATTCGGCTTGCTTTCTCAATCGCTATCTGTCGCGCTCGCTTCTCCCGCCCATTCGGGGAAGGCCAGAGGTATCTCCGCTCGAAAACCTTCCTATTGACGGCGCTGACGTCCAAGACCATTATATCGAGCGCGAATACCTGCTTGGCGTACTGCATCGAAGAGAACATGAGGACAGATCTCATTAATCAAATGGTGACTAGTTGATCACGTCCTCTGGAAGAACGAACCGATTAATGTCGACTCCTCATATGATCCCCCAAGAATCCTGAACATATAATATTTCACTGACACAGTCGTCGTACGAAGAGCGCTTTTAGCAGACAGTGTACAGAGTGCAGAACTCATGATCTGAAAACATGTTATATTGGGAGGCGGATATGAGGACATATTATATAGCTCCTGAATATCATCATCGAAAGAGGAGCAAACACATTGTGGACAGTTTCCTACGTAATCAACACGGTTGACGGGCATACTTCACGGTCTGGTATCCCAACCATCATGGTCATGTGCAAGTACGGTACACTTGCTCATAATGCATAATGTTGGACCCGCAGAAACTAGCATCTGGTACCGCAAAAAAATTCAATAGTGGAAAGAAACAGTTATGCATTATGAGCAAGTGTACTGTAGCTTGCTAGGATTGCACAAAGGGCCGTCAATGGGAAAAAGAAAACATCACTACTCATCCTTCGAGACGCTCATTAATGAAGATTCTTACGGAATCACAGCTTCCGTATGAGTCCAGTACATCCTACCCGGTGAGGTTAGGGCGTCAGGATGGCAAGTCAAGTACAAACACGTACCCCTTGTGAGCATCCTCAGGGTGGTTTTCAGTGGAAAGTTCTTCAGTTCCAACAGGCAATGACCACGCAGCGATTTGCACAGGGAGGTCAACCAACCATTAGGCGCCCCCTCAGTCTCACGAAACTCGGAGAGTGTCAGCGGTAATGGAGGTTGTTCCCTTGATTTTCTTCCGTCGAACCACTCTTTAAGATCACGAGGTATCTTTCCAACCTCCATGCCCTCCAGAGTTAAGTGTTCGAGGTGTGGCCAACGGTCAGCCGGAGTATTCCCGCGAAAAAAGGCAGGGATGTCATCGGCGGATAGTTCTACTTGATATACATCAGGGCATGCCTCGTATACGGCCCTGGCATCCGCTTTGGTTGATCCACCTGAATGATTGAGGCGAAGATGCCGAACATTTGTAGACACGTTGGAAAAGCCCCCAAAGACGTGTGCCCAGCCATGGTTACCACGTGGGAGGGAGCACCAGAGATAATGAAGGTTGGGAACTACCATGGCTGCCAACGCCGGCTGCGGATATATGAGTTCGATTGTTAAAGATACGAGGGCCGGTAAATGAATGCTTTGAGGACCTGGCCACTGGTCACAAGACTCATGAGGCCCGGAAAGAACGAGTCGTCTCAATTGCTGGCAAGGAAGCAGGGATGATAATAGATGGGGTCCCGAGCCGCTGCGTGACCAGCGGAACTGGCCGGTGTTGAGATTGGAAACCGCCGGAAGTTGGTCCATACTGCCTTGATCCCAGAGTGTCAGGTATTTGAGAGAAGGAGCACATCGAGACGTCAGCAATAGAGATTTATCAGGGATTTTCACCCCAAAGATCTGGATACATTCGAGAGAGGAGAATCTCATCCTCCAGATGTTTCCGACGGTGGCAGGATTTGCTTGTCGAATAACGAGACTGCGCCATCGGTATCCGCATGTGACGGCAATGCATAGGAGTTCGTTGAACGATGAATCATTCATGCCGTAAAGAGACGGCCCATTGCTTATGATAATCTCAAGAGGGCGCTCTTCACTTCGTTCGATATGTGCCCAGAGAAGAGAAGTAGACCACCAAGGATCTATCACGATCGTAGTCCAGAGATTTGGGAAGCTGAAAATTGCGTCTCTCCAAAGACGCGACACGCTGGCTAATTGCCTCTTTGTGCAGCGATGGGCATCCGATTCAGGGCGAATGTTGAAAATGACATGGTAAATGATATCGGAAAGTACTGTGAGCGGAAGACGAGTGATAGGTGCAGGAAGTCTGTGATGCTTGAAGAGATTGTCGATTTTATCTTTCTGTAGCCGGGTGGCGGCGCGGACGCTGCAAAGTTCCTCCAGTAGCTCTCGCTCGCGGTTCTGCAACCGAGCCAATTCAGCTCGTGCTGCAGCGAGTTCATTCTTAGCGATAGCAACATCGCTGCAGGAGAAACGATATCCGTATCGTTCAGCATCATAAGCTGGATCTACACTGGTAGAAAAAGTCAGTCGTAGTGCAATCGTCTGCAATATCGTCGCGCTCGATCGAGGCTGGATCCTGTTATCTCATTACGCAATAGGTGAAGGACCGTTTCCTTCGCTGGTTCGATGCTCACGCGGGCTTGTCCGTGGGACCTCTGACACTGTTGAACTTACCTGTTGGTTCACGCAATGCCCAATCAGGCAGCGTAACTCCCGAAACCGCTACTGGGAGTGCGATGGCGAGGGAGATGGCATGACTTACTGCTTCTGCGATGTATCGACACGAACAACGAGCGTGAGTGGATTCGTCGTGAACCCTTCTGCATACTTTCATTTCACTTGTATCAGACTTGCCGTGCCACCCGAAGGAACGTGGTACTGCGATGCTTGTAGGGCCAGGCAGAAGAATGCGAAGCGTGGTGCACGGGGAAACGGGAAATCCGTCACGGATGGTGGCAATTCGCCTTCTGGTGGCAGGAAAAGGTTACCTGGACGTCACTCGGACCTCGGTCGGCTATCGATTAATTCCAGTTGGTACACGCTAAATAATTATCACACACGACGCGCCATTCCCATATGTAGACCAGAAGCCCTCGTCAACGTGACATGGCAAGCGTTCTGCATAATGGAGGCATCCACAAACACAATATTTGTAAGGCGTCTCCCAAGAATAGTGGAATAGTTAGCAACTTATGAAGAGAGAACAGACACCGGCACACAATAAAAACAGAAGCATATATGTAGTATGATCGGCTCAACGTCTTTTGGTTCCCCTCGTATCGTCCAAGCCTGGTGAACTACGCCGCTTCCTGTTCAATCTAATATCAGACAAGAGCGTGTTACGGCGGACACGTTATGCTAATTTACCTGCTGTGCCCACGATCTTCTGGCTCGCCCGAAGGCGTCCTCCCTCCTGCATCCTTGGCTGTTCCGCCATAATCCAACCCCTCTACAGCAGGTGCATTCCCGTCCCTGTCTTTGTAGCGGTTCTGATTCCGTGGACCAGTGGGTACACCAGGGGGTAATGGCGAAGCCGGCCGAACAGGCCCTGGCGGTGCTGCACGGGGATAGTAAAACGAGTCAGTGCATCGTGTAGCACACCAAGTACGAAGTCTGACGTACGCCCGTCATATCTCCCTCGACCTCGTCCCACGAACATCCCTCGTCCACGTAACCCTTGTGCCATCGCTCTGCCCCTGAACTGTGCTGGTGGCGGACCGCCCCGGCTGGCATGTGCGGGCCCTGCAGGAGGCCCTCCTGGTGTAGGTGTCTGCACTGGGGCCGGAACAGGTGTATTGCTGCCCTCCATAGCAGGGTATACCCCTTGTCCCATGGGCCCTTGCTCCTGCTTAGAAGGAAGGAACGCAGAAGCATCAAGCGATGATGCCACGGACGAATTCATTATACAGTAAACTAGAATAAAGAAGGGGGATCCAACCATACCTGCATACCGTAGTCACCACCCATCCCCATACCCATCATACCAGGACCCGGGGCTCCTCCTCCGAACCCGTCCTGCATGCCCATCTGCACGCCCTGCTCCGGAGTCCCGTTTGTCACTACTGGTCCTGGCCCATCTTGCATCATCGGTCCACCGGCCTGCATCTGCATGGCGAGGTCGCCATTGATGCCCATTCCCATTGGGATGTTCATCGCGCCCATGCCAGACATGTCCATCATGGGGTTGATGCCGACGTTGGGACCCATCATGTTGGCACTTGAGCTTTGGTTCATCATCGCGTTCGCACCGGTCATGACCATGGTTCGCAGCTCTGGTGGTAGAGCTGTTAATTGGTCCTCGGTCATCGCTGCAAAGTTCTACACAGATGTATGCATATGTAAGCATGCAGGTACAGAGCACGCCGATTTGAACACGCACAAGCACGTTGGTTTTGAGGACACTAGCGAGATCTCCCAAGTCTCGTCGTCTGTAACAGTACAATTCCCAGGATATCTCGTCGAACCCATAATTGAACCAGTCACTAATGTCTGAACCGGGACGACGCCACGGTTTTTCCGCCATAGCGTTCAAATCCACGTCCAGAATGGACCGACCATCGAGCATTCCCGGCATGTCTGGGTTTATGGAAGGGTGAGAGGGGGGGACAGTAGCGGGTGGAAATGACGATGGATCTGGGCCTTCATCGTGAAGGGAGGGTTGGACAGTGTGTGGACCTGGTATAGATGGTGGTAGTGGTAGTTTTGCGGGAGCTGCTCTGTCTCGAGGTGTATACTCTGTAGTTAGCTGCAGTGGCTGCGCTGCATGGCGGTTAACATGAAGAATAGAGCAGACACAAACGGTTACATGCGTTTACTGGATATTGTTTGACTTGTCGAACGGCGCGCGCTCGCGTTTTGTTGTCTGGAGCGGGGTATGAGGTATGAGCCATGGAGTGAACAAGGATGCAACCACGGACCGAAAATCAAGGGACCGGGAAGTGGGCTCCATGATAATTTCGACGTCCTGGCGAGCATGGATGAGCACTGGTTTATCTGTGGGACGGCCAAGCACACTTACATCGTCGCTCTCCTCCTCCTCTTCCTCCTCGATTACTCCATTTTCCTCTACTTCGTCTTCTTCGTGCGGTAGTCCGAAAGGAGGTTCCTCTTCTGTCTTGGATTCGAGGTTGTCGATGACAGCACTAGTAGGAACGGCTTCCTCGACCGGCGGCACACTGTAGGCGGGTTTCAATGACGCCCAGCCCACGCATTCGAGCAAGACTCACGGTTGAGGTGTTGCTGATCGGACACACGCGAATGAACACAGGTCAGAAGTTGCATTGACATTGAGCGAGATACAGCAAGTGTTGTTTTTAGGAGGTCTCTCCGACAGCGATTAGAGTATTTCTGCCTTACCGGAATTCGACACAACCTCCGATGTAGTAGTTGCCTCCTCCCCATAAAGAAAAGCGTCGTCGTCGTCCCTAATATGGTCGACCCATGTCAATAAACTTTGAATGTCTTCCAAAGAAAACGAAGAACGGACATGGCACACTCAACACTCAACCACCAACGTCGAGTGTTCTGAGCGACACCAGCCCCCAGCACAGAAAAAGAGCGTGACATGTCAACGGGTCACGTGACTGTGACAGTCCCCGCTACCTTCCATGGTTTCTGAGAAAAACAAGCCAGCAAGCAAGGAGGATGCTGTGGACAGGGCGCGCCGTCTCAGCGCAGCCGTGGGTTCGCGGATATGCAGTGTCGGTGGCCCCGTCGCTGATCTACGAAGGGAAGACAGTCCCGCGTCGCTATGGAGAGCGGAAGTCGTTCTTGTACAACAAGTACACCCGCATGCTCAAGGCAAGCGGACAAGCACCCATGATATTCCTCCAACACAAAGAATTCAACGCGCGCAAACTGCAGCTCTTAAGGAGAGAGATCGAGGTCGCCAACTCCAAGTTTGGTGCTCCCTCTGCCCTCCTCACACCGCAGGCTACACAGACACCTGTCGTTGCACCGCCAAAATTGACCATCATGCGCACGTCCATCTTCGGAATTGCTCTCCGCGACCATGTTCCTCTGGACGCGCAGGCCACAGAACAGGTAGCAGGACTCGTGCAGGGCGGTTTCGCGGTGTTGACCCTACCATCTCTGAACCCTCCACAACTCAATGCTATTATCCGCGCCATGGATCATGCAGTGCCGCGTAAGAAAGCTGTTCTGGAGGTTGCTGGAAACGCGAAAAATCGCAAAGACGACGATGCGGACTTCATCCCCGGAAGACCACGACCGCGGATAAAACCTGACCTAACACCCGAGCTCAAAGTTATGGGTGCTCTTATCGAAGGACGGGTCTTCACTGCTCCGACAGTCAGGGATGTCGCTCAACTGCCAACGCTGGACACTCTGCGTGCCCAGATCGTCGGACTGCTAAGTTCACCGGCCATGCAACTAGCAGCCATTCTTAGCGAAGCAAGTGGAGGGAAGCTGGCGAGGATGTTGGAGGGCTTGAAAAAGGGACTAGAGGAAAGCCAAGGAACGGAAACGGGCACCCTGTCATGACACCTGGATCGTTCACCTATTATACACTACCTACGACATATAGATGGGCATCTTTCGAGGACCAGTAATCTAATCCTGCAAGCAGAGCTCCCATGTCTGATCTTCTCCTCCTGCTCCAGTTGTTCCCTGGCCATGAGCTCTGTCCCCTTTCGTCATGCGATGTTCATACCCTTTCCACAAACTCCTTTGGAATACAAAAGAGCGCAATAACTTGTAACGAGGGTTTGGAGTATCGCCGGTCTTGGTCGGCTTCGGAGGTGACTTTGCTAGTCGTGGCACGTCCCTGCGGAGAACCATGAGCGACGAAATTTTCACTGAATCACAGGCTCTACCAAGCGGTGTATGGAGGAACATTTCGCAGTGTGATCAACACTGTGCCTCTTCCAATGGTTGTTGTTGCGGATTGAACTGATGGTTCTCCATCCGAGTCAGATATGTTGTCCATGACCACATCATCCTCGTCGTCTTCGTCATCATCTTGACTCTTTCGCCGCCGTTTCCGATGGACCAAAGGTATGGGTCCCTGTACGAGACAATGCGGAGCGGAGCGTAGAAAGTCCAATATGAGTCGCTGATTGGACAGAATGTTCCTATCCTGATCAGTGATCCCCTTTCCTTAACCCATGAGATGTCAATGATATATTGGCACAGTCGGACAAGGCCCTCACCTGCATGAGGGAAATTCCAGACTATCTTATCCCATTTTCTCCCTTTAAATGCGGGATATTTGTGCAGTCTAGTCGCATCGATATTAAACAGAACCTGAGCACCCCGGTTCCTCACAGTCTCGACGATTTCCTTTGCGTCGGGGTATTTTGCGTAGCAATCTTCTTCCGCATCATAAGAAGTCGCAGTCACCGCTGCAGGTGGAAGGTGCTCGAGTCCAGGTGGTGGATCGACAAGTAAAGCGCGAGCAAATGAGAAGTTCCCTTCTCCGATGAGGAGAATTGCATCCGTTGGCCTGAACGGAACTGTTGGTAGTGATTGCGATGGATTTGACTTCCTGCTGTTCTGGTTCTTGCGTCGCTTTCCTTTCTGTTCTGCAACTTGTGCGGCGTGGTCAACTTTTTGTTTTGCCTTCAGCCTAGATTGCTGCGACTGAAGAGTCGCCTTGAGGGACACTTTTTTTCCATGTCCTGGCATCGGACGATGTCAGTGTTTGTTTGGGCAGCCTTGAACTAGACTGCCCTTCCTTGTCTAATTACTCCCAGCAATAATATTGACTATCGTGTCCATCGTCGCTCATTCCCTTGTACCTACTTTTTGGCATGGTAAGCGTCTTCTGGACATGTTCGACGAGCAAAGCTAATAACAGTCTTGCCTTCCTAGCCTACCCAGTTCGAGTTGCGTCAGAAGAACGCTCAATTCGCAAACGCCGTTCGCTCAGGTAAAAAGGCAGTCAAGCCTTCTCGCCAAGAGCAGTTGTCGAAACGGAGCCCCATTAGTTTGTGGGCTCTCGGTATTATCCTCTTTGTGGTTGTAGGCGGAGGTGAGTGCCTCGAAGTCACTATCGACGATGAGTCACCACAAGTACTCAACGGACCGCAACTAGTGTTATTCGAACTCGGAAGGTTGATATTTCTCTGAGTACGGCTCGGTGGAGATGAGCCCATAGCGCGTTACACTTCTCACTACATACGACCTGGCATTGCTTCCTTGTATCACCCGATAATTCCTCTGGATCAGTACTGCGCACGCATTTTTTCAGTTGTCATCGTCCTCTGCGTCTACATTGCTCGTACTTGCACTCATGCTCATGCTCTGACTCCGTATACTCGTCGTTCCGGCTGCGCTCACAATCTTGCTGCTTGACGCAGTGACCGACACGTTGGCTTCGTTGGTGCTCTCGACTCCTTCCATGGCATCTCCTTCGAGCTCTTTCTCATCAATCTTGACTTCGTCACCCGCCCATATACGCATGGTTGGTTGCCAGACCATAACAATGTTGTCCTCGGACGTCGTGGCTGCGGTCCAAATCTCTCCCTCACCAGGGGCCCAGCAGAAGTCCGATGGACGGGCGGTGTGACCTGCGTGCGAAATGTAACTCCGTCGAGAACACAGGGTAGTCGGAATGTATTTACCTCCGTGAATAAACAAGAGTTCAGGTGGTCCATCTTCTTGATCATCCGGAGTCTGCTCCACCCCGATCTGATCAAGATCCCAGATATTTACGCGCCGGTCACTCGAAGCAGATGCGAAGACAGACGCAGTGTGGGGAGACCAGGCAAGATGCAACACCTCGTCTGTATGCGACTCAAACGTGTGGAGCCTTTTTGTTGTAGCCCTGATGTCGTGTAGGACTATTGTCTTTACAGTGAAATCCAATTAGAGCGAGGTGGAGACGAGGACTGTAATAAGAAAATACCTTATCTGCGCTACCAGTGATGATGAGGTGCTCGAAAGCAGGGTTGAAGGCACAAGCCAGAATTTCCCGATCGTGTGCTCTCACTTTCGTCGTTGGCTCCGTCGGTGCACGGGTATCCCACCTGCGCAGGGGCCATGAACTCGGAAGTCAACGCAAAACGAAACATAAACTACGAACAGCATCAGCAACTTGTCATCCCCGACACTTGCTAAGACATTCTCCTTCGTGGGATGCCAGTCAACATCCTGCGACAATGTTAACAGAGCCCTCATATATATATGCTTGCCTACTCACCCCAACCACGGAAGTGTGGCCCTTGAACACTGTCGTTGGCTCGATGGTATTTTTCGCTTTCGTGTACGAGTTCATGTCCCTGCGAAGATTAGGGGACCTGGCAGAGTTCGGAGAGTGCAACGTACCAATGACAAATGGTCATGTCCTCGGAAGCACCAAGAACGTGACCTGCCTTGGTGGGACACCAAGCCAGTCCAAATCTGCGCACGTCAGACACGGGATATATACAAGCCGCGGTGTGACATACCCTTCTTTCGTCTGTCCGACGAGGCGGATATCAGGCTTACACAGACCTCCTCGCTCAGGCTCGCTGGAATGCTTTGTCCTGTCGAATATGAATACCTCGCCCGATATTGCCTTGGTGGCAATCAAGTCCGGGTTTTGTGGCATGTACCGTGCGCGGTTGACTTCGCCAGGGTGGTTGATTCGTTGAACGATCTGGATGCGAGGCTGCGGTGGGATGGTATGCCCCCCAAGCTCTCCTCGTTCGTCATCGTAGTCGCTGCGATCGAGTTTCTCCGCAGAGGGTCCTGAACGTTTGGGTATCTGGACGGTCGCGATTTGCAAGTGGTCTTGTGATTGGCCGGACGTATGTGTGCCCAGCAGTAGGCGGTGAACAGTATACGGCTTGTTGGGGGGTCTGGCAGCGAAGTTGTGAGGAATGCTTTTGCTCGACGGGGTGATGAGACGCACGACTCCTTGTCAGGGAACCACTGACATGTCAAACTTGGCCAGTCCAGGGCGTGTGTGATGACCAAGTCGTACAGATACGGCGCATTTTTCTTCCTGGAGGATGACTGAGAGATCTAATAAGCCATTCACGGCGGTTTGGCTGACCATATTTTGTACTCCTGCAACACTACTTGTGAGCAGCACGACGGCCGGTACCACTGGAACGGACCTCGTTAATTAGCTTGTTCTCCTCCTCCGCAGCAAGGTCATCTTCAATCTCTTCGTCTTGTACGGCGGGTTTCATGATGGGTTTGAGGGTTGCAGCCGGGGAAGGCAGATGGAAGACGACAGAACGCGTCGCGTCGGCCGCGCGCAGCTATTGCAACCCAAGTTCACAGCGTTGATATAATTGTACGATAAAATGACCACCGAACGATACTGGGCGTTGCACATCACTTTCCTCACACATACTACGCTCGAAAATTAAGCAGAGGATGCAATCTATCACGGTATATTGACGGAAAGAATGAAATGGATCTATAGTGACTCTTTTTCCCATTTGGCAATGAGTTTTTCCAAGTCAAACCGTGGATCCTCTGGGTCGGTAACCACTGAAGAGAGAATCTCGGGTCAGACAGACAGCACAAAAGAAGGCAGGCGGGCACGGATGCACAACTGGAATCGCGACGACACAACACAGGTGAAATATACTCACCGCCATCATCTTTTGCACTCTCCTGCTTCTGATGCCATGCTTGTTTTGCCTGTACTATTAGTTGTTCCCGGTGGTGGATGGCGTGTTGTTCTTTTTCATGGTCATGTGCTTTTTGTAAGGAACGGCGGTGGTAGATGCCGTAGAAGACACCAGCAAATAGTGCAGTATAACGGGCAACCTGTGGACAACAGAAGAGGAATGTCCAAGTCCGTTCTCTGACATGAGCGAGCGGACCACATACATTGACGGTGGACGAGACCATAGTAGACTTGACCACGGAGATTGCGGGCAAGCAGCACTGTTGACGTGGTTTGTCGTCAGTGCCCGCAGACGACGTGCAAGGTAGAACGGGGACTCACCTATGTAGTAATTGCCAAGGGACGACGTCGGATTGCAAGTTTCTTTAGCAGACAGGCGGGGGAAGTCGGCGTTTCCCTGCTGACATAATCATCGCCCCGTCGGCCCGCCTCACTCCGTCGATCGAAGGCTCATGTGTACTAGGCATACGTTGTAGTTGGGGCCCGGGTGAAGTGCTTTTGCTATGAAAACGATTGACCTGGTTTCGTACGCACAACCCGGACGTATCATTGTCTTGTTACTGGACTCGGTGTGGACTGAGAAGGGTGTTGACTGTTGTGTGGTCCCCCAACGGCGCCAAGCTCAGCATGCAGCGCTACCTTGCATAATTGGTTTCAAGATGGCCCTTGTGGAGACTCTACCGCAAGCTCACTGGCAGACCCCCTCAAAGGTTCGGTATCTCGCGCTCCAAATTCGTTCACATTTATTGATCTTGTGGCACTCGAACAATTTTGCTACGCGTCAATCACACGGCTTGGCCAGTGCTCTCCTGTGTTCTGAGATTCGCTAGCAAGCTACTTCATTCCGATCCGGAAGCTTGGAAAAATGTCTGCCGTGGACGAAGACGTTGACATGGATGCTCCCCAAATCTCCACTCTACACGAGGAGAATACCCCTCCGCCAACGCGAACGTCGAAGTTTAGGGTGAAGCTGTTGGTTGGCGAGAAGAAGAATAAAGGGAAGGGTTCACCTCCTAGCGTATCAGTAGCTGCACGCAAGGGCGCACAATCTGGACCGACCCCAGTTGCAAGCGACGAAGATGTCGAAGAAGAGGATGAGGAAGACCAATTAATTTACGATGACGACGGACCGGCAACGTCTACTGTTGCTACCACTAATACTACTGTCGGAACAAAGCGAAAGGCGCCTGCTAAAAAACCGCGGCCACGCAAGAGTGAAAAACAAGACAAGGACGCTGACAAGACTGGTCGGTATTCAAGTGTTGTTGGTTTACCAAAGTTAAGTCGTTTGACAGAACCCCAAGAGCGCGGTGAACAGCCCGAAGAACCAGCTCCAAGCGTGGCCGTTGTGGAGAAGGCACCCAAGAAGAAAGCTGCAGCTCGCAAAGCCCCCGCAGCTTCCAGAGCGAAAGGCAAAGCAACCAAGTACGTGGGCGACTTTATTTTATTCTATTTTTCGTTCATTTATTTCTTAATACCCTGCCTACAGAGTGTCAACAACCTTGACAATCCCTCCTGTGGATGATACCGCAATGAGTGAAAGTAAGTTGCGACGTTCTTTGTGCTGATTGCCTTCGTGTTAACTCATGCAGCTCATACTATGACAGCGCCTTCATCACCACTGCCGATGGAAGGACAAGAAACTGGTCCTTCTCCAGATGCGGGAGAGGCTGAACAGCCGCAACCCCCAACTCCCGAAGGACCTGCGGAGATATCTCCACTTCCAGTCTATCCCCTTCCTTCGAAGCCATTCCCAGTTCAGCCGCCACCCAAAATCGGTACAGGCTTTGCATCCACACTACCCCTAGATCGTAGCGGAATCAAAGCACGCCGGTGGAGAGTTGCCAATCGTGAAATTAGGGGTATAGCAGGGGGCCGCTGGTTTGCACGTTCGTGGGTCGGTGACAAGGAATCCGAGCTCGCGACGGCGGCGGCAGCTGCCAAGCACGCTGAAGGAGACAAGATTGCGGTTCCAAAGGCTGTGACCTCGATTTCCGCGCCCGGGGGGAAGTCAGGAAGGGCCAAAGCACCTCGCGGTTCGGCAGGTATATCTGCAGCACCCTCACGTTCTGAGTCTATAGTTCCGGATCTGCACCCTACCAAAGCTCCGACCAAGATGCGGAATGTAGTAGCTGGTCCAGCTTCAGAGGCCGGTCACGAATCGGACGCCACAACTGCGCCTGAATCTGCCATTCATCTCATGGAATCTTAGCCATCTTGACTATTTCGTTGGTATTTTGGTTGTGCTGACATTATTTAACTTACCGTTACTTGGACTGTGCTTCATCGTCTAATCTCCCTTTAAAGAGGTTTTGTTCAAGGTTTATTTTGTGAACACGTCATTACCCTCCGCGCAGGGGTGAAATACCAAATTGAGTGACGTGCAGTATGGAGGGCTACTCTCCGCCAGCTTCAGTGGTCGTCAAGCTTGTGCACTATCGGATATTCAATATTCGCGTTTGACCAACAGGACAGGCGTGCTTGTCCTCGTGGTGTTTGAGTCCGAAGATGTTGGCCAGGGATGCGACCGTCAAAGAACGCGATGGCAAGTCAGGAGCTGATGCAAGGGGATCTTCTCATCCTTCAACGAAAGCGGCGGAAAGACGTGAGTGGAACGCATAGGATGTCGCGGATAACTGTCTGAATTCACGGCCCAGAAGTTGCCTCTCAGCAGCCATACGCTTCCGACCCCAAATATAAGAAGTACACCCAGCAGGTCGAGAAATGTCTCAACGCGTTCGATAATGTCCACGAATGGGCGGATTGTATCGCATTTCTGAAGCAGCTTCTCAAGGTACCTTTTCACCCGATTCGGGGCGCCATCCGATTGACCGCGCTTCTCTCAGACTTTCCAGTCCTACCTGCAGTTCAAAGAGATCCCACACAAACTAATCGTCGCAAAACGTTTAGCGCAATGTCTGAACCCGGCACTCCCTGCTGGCGTGCACCAGAGAGCTCTCGACGTGTATACACACATCCTATCTGTTCTCAGGGTGAGAAGGAACCTCGTCTGTTACTATGCCGCGTCACTTACAAGGGTGCCAGACCGAGGGCTTGAAGCGTGATCTCCCCCTTTGGTCGTCAGGATTATTTCCATTCTTTGAATACGCGTCGACTTCAGTAAAGGTATGTGTGGCGATCATTTGTCGCAGCTGGTGACTCATTTCAACCGTGCTTCCCTCAGCCCACTCTGCTCAACATCTATGACACCTACTACCTACCTTTGCAACATGATCTGCGCCCCGTCATGAAATCCTTTATCCTTGCTTTGTTACCTGGCCTTGAGGAGGAGACTGGGGAGTTCTTTGACAAGGTATGCAGTTCATCCTTATTCTGTCGGTGACGTGACTGCATCGTAGACAAGGTGCTTGGCTTGCTAGATCGACTAGCGGATACTGTGTCTCCAGTTTTCTTCATGCAAAATATGTGGCTTGTCATGATCACGATGCCTCCTGCTAGAGGATCAGCCCTCAATTTCCTGTTGCGTCGCCTCCCTGCGCTACACTCGGAAGATGGTGTGTTTCCCCTTTGTCGGGTGTTTCCAAGGCTGAGCGATAGTAGATATCACGCACGTTGTTGGACGGGATATTGGTCTAATGATTCGAGCGTTCTCTGCTGTACTCGAAGACGACAACCTACTGGTCCGCAGGGGTGCTCTAGACATCCTACTGCAGTCGATGCGTATGGATAGTGCTACGCTCAAGAGTACACAACCAGAAGATCGTGCAATTCTCATGAAGGCGGCGACTAGCGTCGTCCTGCGTCGTGACTTGTCTCTCAACCGACGGTTATACACTTGGCTATTGGGTCCAGATGACAAGAGCGATGCTCAATCTGCATACCTGAGACAACATGGTCTGCAGCTCCTCAGCTCTACTTTGAAGGTGACTGGCCTTTGTGATCTGCTGTTTGGGCAGGAAGTTAACTTTAACCAGGATGAAATGTTCACTCCCTCCGAAGAATACGCCGAGTCCAGACCTTTCAAGATCTTTATTTCTCTTCTTGATAAATGGGAAATAGGGTCGCCGCTAACTGAGGACTTGATTTATGATGCCTTGAAAGCTATTCATCAGCACATGCAATCAAAGTCAGACACGAGTGACGACGTGCGCCGGAGTTTTCATATGGGTGCCCCCAGTCGTTGACTTATCTTCCAGGTAGCTATGACAGCGAGCACCTTGCTGGAAGCTGTGGAGCCTAGTATTCTTTGGAGGCAGTTGTTTCGTTCCATTCTCCACTCTATCGATGATGGCAAACGGCTAGAGGTATGTTGACTTGCAGTATACATTCGCTTCCTGTTGTGATAGGAACTACGACAGGCAATTCATTTGACACTCTTCCTTCTTCGTGAACTTCAAGTGCATGACGACGAAGTTCGGAGTGTACATCTCCCTATCGTTTTTGCGGCGCTCGTGGAGAAACTATTGGTAAGAGTATACGTACGATCCCAGGATTGAAACTCACACCCCTACTTAGACCCATATTCAAGAGAATAATTCTCGTGCGGCATCCTTGGCAGTCAGGGAAACCTGTATTCTCCAACAGGAAGTCCTACGGAATGTGGTACCAGAGGCTCTTCAGGAACGCCCCAAACTAAGTGATACTGCACTTCAAGAGTCCTCTACTTCTTTCAGTCCGCTCGTATTTGCCATGAAGTTCTATGATCTTGACCCACCTACTATTTTGAATTACCGTCTAGCAGTGCCTATAACGACTGCTGTTGAACAGCTACTCACAGTATGTCAGACGTGCGCCAAATGCATGGTGCAAACGCAAGGTTCAGGTGCTGACCTGATAGCTACATTCTCACAATTACTCTCTACGCTTACGTGGCTAGTTGAACTTTCTAATGTGAGCCCTGATGCAAGCCCCGACGCTTCCCAAGTGCCCTCCGGTTGGCTTGAGGACATGCTAGATTGCCTGGATATGGAGGTATGTAATGAAAGCTCAGATCTTGTCGCGTTGTTCAGTTAATTCCAGAGCGTTGGCTTCCCTTTGCTTGACCACTGCATAAGCCTCATCATTGCTCTTCATCATTCGTCAAGGCTACTGCCAAATGCTCCCATTAAGCAAAAGCTAGTAGTCAGCCGAATGGTAAAGAGAGTAAGTTGGCAGTAGTGTGTTTTCATGTGCATCATGTGTTTAGTATGATAGCTTTTCAGGTTTCTCCGACACGACTGTGCCATTTACCATGTGCGAGCTGTGGGTCTGGTTTGGACCCTCGAATCTTCCACTGGTCACCGTTACGTCGAATCCATCATTGCTCAAAGCCTCAACTCGCCCAATCTTTGTAGTCTGGAGGAGGCATTCGAGGCATTTGGAGTGCTCTGGAGACTAACAGGTAAGGCATCGGTTTTGATTATGGAACGTTCAGTGGACTCCTTATGAGTAGAGGACGAGGTCTCCCCCGGTTTCCGCTTAAAGGTCCCTATGATGATAGTACTGGATACTCTCCGCCACGACCAACCCAGCATACGGCGAGCTGGTGAGACATGGATGCGTTGTAATCTCCGGTCTTATGCGAGGGTTTTGGAGCCGATTGTCTACGACCTTATTGACCCAACCATTCGTCGGAAACCCTGCCGGACAAAGATAAAAGGAAAAGAGGTTCAAGGTTATATATACGAGCAAGCATTTGATCAGCGCTACGTTCACCACCTTCTGGAAGTGCTCCTAGCCATCGTGCAGTTTGGTGGCCAAGGATTTGTAAAAACTGCTCGGAGCTACCCAATTAACCGGTCGAACCACAAACCACTAACCCACAGGCTTGCAGCAGGTATGCATTTGTTGGCCCTGGATATGACAGGTTACATGTCTTCAATATAGGCTCTATCGATTCAACTGCAAATTTCCTTGATGTATTGGTTGAGGTACTTTCACGGTTCGTCTCACTGCTAATTGCCAAACGTCCCGCATTTGATATCAAGATATAGCTTCCTCCAGTCAGAACCAAAAGAACAGCAAGAAACGACGATGGGTCCTCTGAATATCAAAATACAATCGGCATCCGTCGACCTCCTCCATGCGATTGTTGCACGAGGTGAAATCGATTATATTTCGCTTGAGGTATTGGAACCTGTCGTGATTGGCAAGCTGTATTTCACGGTACACCTCCGACGCCTCGACCTGCAAAACAAGTTACTTCGCATTCTCCACTCACTCATTTCTGCCCACATTGCACAATCGAGCGTTCTTCGCTCGGAGGGCGGCAGTTCAGAGGCGGGACCAAGGACATATGCTATGAATCCTCTTCTGACTCAGACACTCATAGATGGCATTTCTCTCCCTCATAACCGTGTAATGTTGCAACACTGGCTCGACTTCGTGCTAATGGCAATCCAGCAATTTCAGTCGGCCCTACAGGGCGCCATATCACCGATAGTCGATTGCCTCTGTCGGCAACTTCGTGCATTTTTGGCCGATGTTCTTCTAGCCAGTCAACCAGACTCTAGCATTCTTGGAGTTGCTACTGACGCGGAGTTCATTATGCTGCTCAATGCCGTGGAGCGCCTGCTTATCCTCGGATTGGCGAGTCAGGCGGAGCTGAGTCAACAAGACGAAGACTCCCCGTCACAGGAGAAGTCCGCCACGGAAAGCAGTGGTATCCTGGGTCTTGTCTCCAATGTGTTTACTGTGGATAATGCCTCCACGCAACCTGATGACCACCTTGTTGTAAGTTCATCTCAGTGACCTTGGCTTACTACTGAGCCTCTTACAGCCTCGTTCGCCTGGTTACCGGTCGCTGCATGAAGGGATTCGTGCTCTGTTCGCCATTTGGATCAATCTCGTGTGGACGGCTCCTAGTTCTAGACGTTCCAAAGATGATTCGTTGTCGATTATATATAGTCGAACACGAGCACGTTGCCGCCGAGCACTTGAGCACCTTTCTCGAGCACATCCAAATGAAGTACTCGAATCTCTAGTCATATGTTGGGATCGCGACCTTACATTGTATTCTCGTGATCCGAAACAAGCGGAGGATGCCACTTTCGAACTAGTCGACACCCTCATCGCAAGCGCTCATTCCGCCGTCCACATGGTATGCGAGAGCGTAGGAGCAAGAACTCCAGGGCTCGCGGGTGGAAGTCGAAAGTATATTAATAGTATCCTGTAAGTGAGGCGATTCTCTTTTAATGCAGCGTACGGATATGCTCGTAGGTCCGACAGCACTCTCCTCAAATTTCTTGAACAATACTTGTCTCGGCTGGAGGGACCCCTCGCTCTTCAAGTGTGGGGACGATTTATCCAGCTTGCGAAGGACGTCAATTCTAACGTTCGAGAGTTCCGCGCACAGACTTATCTGGTACTGAGGTATGTTGGTTTACACTCACCGCGGAACTTTACTTAGACAACCCAACAGATGCCTATGTGTGCTCGGCGAGAAAGTTACCCAAACGACAGCGATGGAAGACAAACGCATCAAGAAGGATCTTCAAGAGGTGTTTGTAAAACTGCTTGATGCTTGCGTCACGTTTGCTGGACGTAGCTCGGAGTCTGGGAGTTGGATCAGACGTACCACAAGAGAATCCATTATGAACGGGCGTTCATCTCCAATGCCTCGCGGAGGTAAGCTTGGATCCATCTGAGCTGGGGTGTCACTTAAGACGATATCTATACAGTATTCGACCAGAAGGTAGAGGACAATGCCAATCCTAGCACGGCGTCATTACCAGACAATGTTAAACCAACGCTGGGCAATGAGTTGTCACTCCAGGTGCGCACAAGGAAATAACGTCGATGAACTTGCTAATGATCGTGTGTTAATAGATCACCAACTTCGTTGCAACAACCGTGCTACCCAATTTGCGCAAGTTCCTCCCCGACAATGACAAAGTAGCAAGTGCATGTAGTAATATCGTGTATTACGTCGTGAATCCGGCGATAAAAGGGAAGTCGAGGTAAGCACATCGCCACCTTTTGTCTCCTTGGGCCTTCGCCTAACCTGCTTGAACTTAGACCATTGGACCTGAATCCAGTGGTTGTAGAGATAATCAAGGAGATGACCAAGATATCTGCTGCGCTTAAGGTCTGGAGGGCACCAGTGATTGATATTCTCTATGATAACCGAGTATTCAATTCTAACACTGCGGCCGCGACGAGATGGAAACCTGTAGTCAAAGCACTGTTTGACTCCGACAAGACTTCATTCGGCGATCTTCTGAGTGGGTGGTATCGGAGTTCTCGCGTCGTACTTCTGACACCCTCGTTTCAGGTCGCATAGCGTCTGCGCCTTCTGCGAACATATTCTCCAATAGGGAAAATGAGATGCTTGTTCGGTCACTCAACCTGCGAAGGCTCTCGTTTGTTTTGTTCACTGGGGAAAAGAACCACTTCTTAACGCAACTACCGAGCGTGCAAGAGAAACTCGTGGATATTCTGCGCAATGTTCCATCTGCCATCGTTCAGAGCGAAGTTTATTTGTGCATCCGTGTGCTTTTGTGCCGGCTCTCACCGCACAATTTGACAAGCTTCTGGCCGGTCATTCTCACTGAACTGGTGAGACCAGTTGCTGTTTTCAAGGTGTCCCCTTTTCACATATTCCCTGGTTTGTAGTACCGCATCTTTGAACAAATCATCGTGACAGTGCCAGCAGACGAGTCCGAAGAGTTGCCACTCATTCTGTCAGCTAGCAAGTGTCTTGACCTGTTATTGACTCTACAGACTGAAGAATTCCAAATGTTGGGTTTTATCCTTCGTGCATGCACTCGCCGTACTAATCTACCTTTGCACAGACATCAATGGATATTCGTCACAGATACTGTCGATGCAATCTACCGCCCAGATAACTGGACTCCACATGCCATGTTCGACCAGCTAGCTGAAACGATCACCAGCTTGCCGATTCCGGAGACGAAGGTAACGTGTTCCTCGTTGACTCATATCCTCTATACCCATGTGAACGTAATAGGAACATTCGAAGGCTAATAGTGGGGTAACATTCCCTACGTCATCCGCGTCCATCAGTTTCCCTTCCGCAGGCCAATCCGTTAAGATGCGACGTCCAATGTTGGACAACCTCCGCCAGATTGACTCGATCCGGGACTTGATGCCCTTCTTCTCACATGTCAGTATATCGTCATATGAGAGCGTCTACGCTTGCGCAGGCAACATCGACTGGGAGGCCGTTGAGCAAGGCATCCTGGATGACATGTTTGATAGTCGATGAGACGCGTGACCTTTTTGTACCCCAGGTTTTTTTCGTACCTCAGACGGTGGATCGTTTTCTTTCTCGTACATAGTATATAGTCAGTGACCAAACGATTTGCAATGAACTGACGAAACCCAGTAAAAGCTGCATGTGATAATAGATAGTAAGCAATGCTGGGTATAAATACACCGGGCAGACATGTAAACCAGATGAGCTGTAAACATCGGTGGTATATATGAAAGACGCAGGTAATCAGAAGTCGCCCCAGCTGCGACGGAACTTATACTGTATTCGTTCCTAGTCATGAGTATGCTTATCTAATGGATTGAAAGTGAATCGCACATGCTTACCTTGTAGGGCGTATTTTTCCTGCAAAGCAGTATGTGTGGGCGTCGTCAAGTATTTACGTAGCGTCGACGCTCACCTGAGTCTCTCTGCGGGAGATTTCGGTTGTTTGTAGCCTTGATCGCCAGTTCCCCACTCCGACTGGGTAGCACTATCCTTGTTGATGTCCTTGAACCTTACTGAAGGGTCTTGCTTCTCTGGTGGTACACCTCTCGTAATCTTGGGTCTAGGAGCGGACTCGGCCGGTTGGCGGATCGGCACTTGTTCATGCGCTTGCATGGCCTCCTCTACGGAGATGCCCTGGTACCGAGCTTCTCGTTCATACTCTTGGCGTTCGATAGCTTCGTGATGAGAGAAGTGCTCTCTGTCTTCAGGATGATTGTACGACTCTTCAGTCTGTGTTTCTGGAGTGGAATGGTACTGTTCTATGCGGAAAGTAGGTAATGCGTCAAGCTCCAAGTGCGGGCACGTGTAATACCTTCGTGATGGAGGAAAAACTCTATCAGAAAACGCATAAATAAATAAACGTCACGAAGCATCGCGGGGTTGGCTCACCGCTTTCAACGTCGTAGTGGTGGCCCTCTGCACCCATATTGTCAAACGCAGGTAGACCTTTCAATCCAGCGGCAGCGAATTCCTCGGGCGTTACCTTCCCATCACCGTCTTTGTCCAGGGCCTTGAGGACGGTTTCGACGATGTAGTCAGCCTTCTCCTTGTGTTCGATTTCGTCCTAACGGGATGAGAACTCCGACAGGGGTAATGCGACGGCGTGCATTACCTTGGACTTCTTCTGTGAGTAGACATGGTGAACACCATAGATGGCTTCTATCTCCTCTCGATCCCATACGCCATTCCTGCATTTTCCAGTTAGCCATTGCAAAATGGATAAGCGAGAGGACTGTACTGGTCAAGATCGTGCAACTGGAAGAAGCTTTCTAGGTCAAACGAGTCTCTGTTTTTGCGACGTCAGGACGCCCGTGAGCCAAAGCAATGGGATGCATTCCCGTACATGTGGTGCTCCGTGGCCATCTGTAGACGAGCGGCATCAGCGAATCACCCAGTGTCGAACAGGAAAAGAAATGGAAGCTACTGAAACGAGTGCTGATACATACGTGACGAATGGCATAGTCGGCATCCGCGAGCTTTGGATCTTCTTCGTGAACACCGTGTCCAGTGACGAGCACTGCCAAAAGAACGGGTAGCACCACCGTCGTCCTCATCGTCCGTTTGGTGAACAAGGCACTATACTCTCTCGGATACGTGTCTAATGATGTGTCCGGGGTCTGTTCCTGGGACCCTGGTCACCGCTTGGGTCACGGTCACGTGAAACTTGATGGGAGGGTGTAGAGTGATTAGACTACTGACAGCTGGTATATCGGCAATCCTTGAATGTAATACGATATTGTAATACAGAGTCGTCTGTTGGGCTGTCGACAGCGACGACGCCGACATGGGATTACTGCTTTCGGGTAGCTCGGATCCTGCTTATCCACACTTGTCACTCCGGAGTCCGTTCTGGTATAAAGTAGGAGTACGTCCGCTGCTTCCCAGATAACGACTCGATCACCATGCAACCCAGCAACGACCAACCCGCGCATCCATCTCTACTTGACAGCTCCTGTCCTCCAAAGGTCGGATGGTACGGGCTCGGCGCGATGGGTTACTTCATGGCTCGAAACATTGCGACGTCGGGCAGAGCAGCATCGCCCATCTTGGTCTACAACCGAACTGTAGCCAAGGCGGAGAGGCTCGTCAACGAGATCGGGTCGTCCAATGCCATCGTAGCTTCAAGTTCAGCCCAACTCGTTACTGAGTGCGACGTGATCTTCACTAATCTCGCCACCGACGAGGTGGTGCAGCACGTATATAATGATTTCGCCAAGACACTTTCTGTGCGTCGGATTCCCTTCTTGCTACAGTGTCCGTGGATACACTCGGTTTCATCAGCAAACACTGCCCACAAGGCCCAAGATATTCGTGAACATGAGCACAGTAGGTGGCGCGACCCGGGCATCTCTTGATGACTGACATTTCCTAGATCCGCCCATCACTAGCAGGTTAGAAAATGGTTCGCCGAATATGACGGTACAGTGGATGAGGAAATGCTTTAGTGGAAATCGACAGGCTATTTTCCGGCTTTTCTTGCTGCCACTTCGTCGCAGCCCCCGTCTTCGGTCCGCCTGCTGCAGCAGGTGCAGGACAACTGACAATCATCATGAGTGGCGACTACAATTGCAAGAGGAAGGCTGCCCATCTTCTGATCCCTGTTAGCAAGAAAATAATTGACCTCGGTGGGAACATCGAAAGAGGTTGGTCAGAATCGCCTCCGATAGCGATCGTTTGAAGAATAAATCTGCATCTAGCTCCAATGCTAAAACTGATATGCAATGGCATGCTTATGAGCGCCAACGAGTTGTTGGCCGAGGCTCTTACACTCGGAGAAAAGTCCGGCATCGGCGCTCAGGCGGTATACAGCCTTATGAAAGGTACACTTGTCATGATGGTGTCCAATTCCTGTAATGTACAAGAGTTTACGCTCCATTTACAGAGATCATGCCAGCTCCAAGGTGCGCCCTACGCCTACTAATCCTGGCGGGGTGTTGATGGCTGCGCCAGTCTTATCATTTACGGCGACAGAATGCTGAATGAGCGCTTCGATGGCACGGACGGATGTGCGATCGATCTCGGCGTCAATGTTTTGGAGTGTGTCAAGTGTTTGCCTCTGTCCCCCTTTTGAAACGTTTTGAATTATCCAACAGCCATGTCCGTCATCTGGCAGCCGAACTGAATTGCCCTATGCCAACGATCGATATCACTCAGCAGAGCTTGATCACTGCTCGTTCAATACACGAACGCCGGAAGCGGACTGGCAGCAGCAGATGGGATATCTTTGATTGCAGTGCACTGATTGCTAGCCACAGGGTTTCCGCCGGCTTGAACCCGTTTGACTGTGATGTACGTGACGATCACATTGCAGGCTCCAGCGGTACGCTGAGAGCATCCATAGGACCACCGTGTTATTCGCGAGGATTAATTTCTGAGATTGATGTGAAGGGATGATAGGGAATTCCGTCAGAATACGTGCCACACTCCCTGACTTTTGACTTGTCACAGCCCGGTATGTGCTGAGTGGCGGTTGGTAATGTGATGTCATTAACGACAAATATGAAGTTGAGACATGGCGTTAGACGCTTGGCTAGCATCATCGGATGATGTGCCACATCTGATCCATGTACGAGTACCACAGCTTTTTCGGGCGTTCGACAACTCAAGTTAGGTGGGAATCATATGCTGTGTATCAGCCAACGAATGTATTACGCGGGGATTAATGCAAGTACTCTTACTCGATCAGGGCTCGGTGAATGTTTCCGTAGAAGGAGTTGCCCAAGGGAGGATGGTGCGGGTACGTCCCACAGCGGCTTCCGGCTTTGATCTCGTAGCAACCGCAATGGCGGGCGTGTTAAGGTGAAATTGCCCTTAATGCCAAGTAATAATATTGTATGTGTGCATCTATAAGTGGGTAGTATATTGAGTGGTGCGGTAGTTATCCAAGTCCCTGTGACGAGTAACACATTTCAGCAGCGTAACTACCGCACACGCTTCACGACGCGTTCCGTCAGTGCCACAAGACCTTCTCGTGCGTCACTTGGAGGCAGGAGTTGCAAGACTTCGCGAGCTTTGTCAGCATGCGCCATTGCAAGTTCACGCGTACGCTCTACGCCTGACGAGGCAAGTACCAGAGTCAGTGCCTGTCATATAGACGTCAATACTTCCCCCTTTCGATGTAAGAGGCTGCCCAAAACACACCCTTTCGACGTCACCTTCTTCGTTGAAAGCTCTAGCAATCATTGGTTCTAGCTCAGGGTACTCTTCCGCCGCGTAGAGCACTGGTCCCGTGGCGAGGCCAAGACGGAGATCTGCGCCAGACCCAGGCTTACCAAGTGACCCACTAGACGAGAAGTCGAGGACGTCGTCTACGAGCTGTTGGCAACAAGAAGCGATTGGCGATGCGGTCGTCAAAGTGAGCGCACGCGACTCACCTGGAAAGCAAGCCCAAGGTTGCGCCCATAAGCATAAGCCACCTCCTTCCAGACTTCACCGTCTCTACATCCGCCAAGTACGACAGCGGAACGAATTCCCTTGGCCATCAGGGCTGCAGTCTTCAAGTAAGTTTTCCTGAGGTATGTGCTCCACCGCTCCGACAACACGGATGGTGGGGGAGTCGATGGCGACGCGTGCAGAGCATCAAGGTTGATCTCGGCAGCTGCACCGTTCACCGGAGACGCGCTCAACGACGTCAGCGGATGGCAAGTGCCTTCAGGCAAGTCGGACGGGCTCATTTGCAAGATCTCACCCTCGACGAGGTTGGCGATGACTCCGGCGCAAAGCTCCACTACCTCTGCTGAGCCAAGGCGGCTGATGGCGGCAGAAGCACGGCCGAGGAGGAAATCACCTCCGAGTACGGCGAGCTTATTGCCGAAGACTGCTGGACCAGAGGGTGCACCACGTCGAAGAGGTGATTTGTCAATGACGTCGTCGTGTAAAAGAGAGGCGACGTGGATCATCTCTACGATCTGGGCTAGACGCATTTGAGTGGGTAGGATGGAGTGGGATAGCACGGGTACATGTGGTGAGGATGTGGAGGGATAGAGGGTGGACGGTGGGCTTGGATACGTTCGTCTCGAGGGTGAACAAAGGTCGAAAGGGGTACTGAACGACGCGGTGTGGTCTGGCATAGAGGGGTTAAAGTCACAGAGGACGTCTGGTCTTGTAAGGGGCGCGTCTAGCTCCTCTTCTCTAAGTCTAGAGTGTTCTGCAGCCCATGCTTTGACTGGGAAATGAGAACCCAAGCCATTCGTTGCTCTGGAGAACAGGAGGACGAGCAACGGTCTTATTTGCTTGGAGGGATGTCTAAAATAGTACGACGCGATTTCAGTGAGCGAGGGGTGGGACGAGGTCAAGAGGTTGCACAGCTGGGACCGTATTTGTGCGACCTCTGCCGAGAACAAGGCATGAGGATCGATGGTCGCTGTTGCAGACGGCGACGAGGATACGACGTCAGGCTGGACCGGACAGGTGGTGCGCGACGACTGAGGGGGCTGCGCGAACGCACTGACGGTGTGCTCTCGACGCGACAGCCGTGGATATTTTCGAGACACGCGTATGCTCGCCGTCACTCTCGACCACGACCCGCCCGACATCCTCGTTCGACGTTCGGTGACGACGGCAGCGGACTCAAACTCGAATATACCGGCTTTTTTCGTATTTTTTCTCGCGCTGCTCCAATTCCCACGCAACGGGACTATGCATTAGGACGCTGTACGGTAACCATGGGTATTCTAGAAGTACATCGTACCCTTTCTGTCTCTCAACAAAACATTCGGTTTTTAGTGTGTCTCAAACGACGCAGAGACGCTCTGGTGAAACATTCCGGTACTGCAAGACTTCGAGGCGAACTGCCTATTATGGTAAAACCCTATTACAAGACTCAATCAAACCCCCATCGCCGTCGCCAAAAGAATCAGCGTGGGGCTCTGCCGGGTGACGTCGCCGCACTCCGCGTCCGACTTTTAGGAGCTCCATTCGCTGGGCTCACGGGTGACACAGGTTGCATCTGTCCACGCTGTTTATTCACAGACGGTGCCAGATAGGCAGCCAGTTTGCGCGCCTACAGAAGAAAGAAAAAAAAGCTAGCGCGTCGACGCAAGAACAATCTCAATGCATGCGCGCGAAACACACCTTTCTGCTCATTCTTGCCCAATCGGCGTCAGTTGTGCCATTGAGTGCAAGCAGCAATAGGGGTTCTTCTGCAGACCCGCTGTTTTCTTGCGGCTCCTCGACAGCAAGAACGAGTATTCGGCCAAGCTGATAGGATGGGTTGCGATGCTGTTAGTACTTGCAGTAGATTTGTACATGTAAACCCAGTCGACACATACCTCACTCTCAACCATACCTTCTTCGCCCTCCGCCCCCCTCGTTTCAGCCCATATTTCTGCACTCAGTCCAGCCACTTTCCGTACCTCGTCTTTTGACCGTACTCGTGCTGGCAGCTCTCCTGGTAATGTGGTCAATTGCATGAACCGAGCCACAGAGCTTGCTGCAGATGAATGCGAGGGTGAGTCAGTGGATGCCGACGCAGAAGCATTGCTATTTGTTTGCCCCCCAGCGAATGAATCAGGCGACCCGCCAGAGGGACCGTCCGCTGTTAATTCCATTGCCCTTGCCGTCGGCGTTGTTCCAAAACTTGACACCGACCCCTGGTCATTCTCGCAATCTAACTGCGACGCGTACGACACCAGTGCGCCCTCCGGGCTCACGAGTAGCGCTGTGTGGATAGAGGGCGGTGAAAGGACCTGTGCAAGGTAGTTGTGCAGACTTTGGAGGACAAGCATGGGCACTGGGCAGGTGAGAGAGATCTATTGCATGTTCGGGTTAGGGTTTCATCGAGTAGAACTACCTAATAGTTGTGACCAAGTCCAAGTGTGGTAGAATACAATCACGATCACTGATCACCCCAGCGCGGTAGGATAGAGCAGGATAAGAATAAGCAGGCAAAGTAGCGGATACCCTTCTCAATCGCTCCCAGTCACACTCGGACCACTCCTGTCCCAGTCACCTCCAAACGCACTTACTTGCGCTTCTTGACTGGCGTCTCCTCCTTGCTCTTGCCTCCAGCAGGCGCAACGGGTGCCTTCTCATCTTTCTTTTCGTCGTCTGGGGTGGGTGCATCCGTCTTTTTCGAGGGCTATTCCACGAGCAAGATCAATCGCCCCGCATATCGGTTATAAAATGTATGCATGCATACCTTGGGCACAGGCTTCTGTGATGAACCAATGAGGCTAACGAGAACACCGAGCAGTCCGAATACCGCGATGAAGCTTCCGATCAGCCCAGCACCAGTAGCAGGGTATGCCATGAATGCGCCAACTGGGTCTGCGCTTGCAGCATCGATGAAATCGGTGACCTTGTTGCGCACGAAACCAAGTGGGTCCTCCTTGAAAGATGGCCCTTCCTCCTGATCAAGTTCAAGCACCTTGGCAGTTGCAGCAGCCTCCAGCTGGTGCTTGACCACCCATGTTTCGTTGCCAAGAAGCTCTGCATCAGCGATCGAATGGCCGACATAAATGTTGTTAAAGAGGATGTCCTCGGTCATCGTCCAGAGTTCAATGCCAACACCGCCCTAACACATGCACGATTGCAAATCAATCTCCACTCCTTGAACCTGTAGTAATCACGTACGATCTTGTCAAGGTTCTTGACGGGTTCGAGATCTTGGAAGTAGCCAGGGTTGGGAATCCGGCGCGGCTTCCACTCACCCTTGTACTCAGGGTTATCGATCATGGGAGCGTACCACTTGCCCTTGTATTTTGGATTGGCCTTGTAGGGACTAGCAACCTTCATGTCAGCCGTCAGCGCGATCCTGAACTGAGGAGGATCCTACCGCTTCCATTCACCGCAACCAGGAGCAACATCACAAGCCGGATTGCGGACCAATGGTGCAACCCAGTCACCGTCTTCTTCGTCATCCCACTCCTCCGGCTTTTCGGCCTCTGCGGCGAGTCAGCAAACGGGACAAGTATAGGGGTAAAACCGCGTACCGGGATCAGGAATCATCTCAGGTTCGTTGTCCAGCCAACCCTCGGGTTTTACAGCATCCTCGTCTGGGATTTCATAGGGCTCGTTCTCGTCCCAATCGTCAGGCTACGAAGATATTTAGCTGAAGTACATCCTCCACGTCATTCCATGTCAAAACACACCTTAACAGCATCGGGATCAGGTATTTTCTTCTTGTCAACCCAATCTTCCGGCTTCCTGTCCTCAGGATCGTCGATAAATTCGGGAGGGTTGACGGCGGGTTCGAAGTCCTCGAGAACGTTTCCAACTTTCTGGACGAGGCCGTTGAACCTGACCTCGTAGGTGTTGTCGGGGCTGCAGGAATAAATACATCACATCCAACCGCATATATGCAACGGAAAATGAACATACTTGATGGCCAGTGTGTAGAGGTTAGTGTCCTTGCCAAACGCAGGTTTCGGCGCAGGACTGAGATGTTTCTCCTCATACTCGCCCGTGATAGGGTTCTTGTGGCGGAAGATAAAGTGCACCTATGCCCAAACGAATATGCATGAGCGCGTCCTACTCACGCCATCCCCAAAACGTGCTAGCAGAAACGCACCTTATTGCCGGGACACGTCAAGTCAGGGCCAAACATAACCACCCACGGCGTCGTATCAGCGAACTCCTTGCCACTCGTCTGGAACCCATCCGCGAGGAGTTTGATATATCCACCACCGCAGTTGCCTCCTTTCTGATACTTGACTTCGTATTGAACCACGAGGGGTTTTTCCGAGAAGTCAACAGCGGAGCCAAAAGGTGCGGAGATGGCGTGGTGGGCGGCTTTCGACTTTGCGACGAGACCTTTATCTCCCTCGATGAGGACGGTCTCGGGCTCCTCGACTTTCCATTGACCGACGTAAGAGAAAGTCTCGCCACCAACAGGAGTCTCCTTGGTAGCTTCCGAGGGTGTCCAACGTTCCGCCCAGTCATCCGTGAATTGCTCGATAAACGGTGCTGAGATTTCCGTTGCCTACATGATGTATGAGTACAAGGGGTGTACATTTGAGTGAAAAGCAAGCTCTCTTGCCTTGAATGTTGGCTTGGGTTCCTCAGACGCATTTGCACCGGCAGCGGCGGCGGCAAGAATGACAGACAGGGCTGCGCTGCGCATGGTTGTCTGCTATATATTACCAAGGGAATAAACGGGAATATAGAGAAGTAGAAAGTGAAACGAGCGGGCGACGACGACGACGAAGTGTGCAGGTAACAAACTTTGCGCGTGGGTCTGCCTATAAAATGTTTCCGGCTGTTTTCTGGCCACGTATGCTCTCCCACGCTCATCCACCCCCGCGTGTTCCTCAGCATTCTACATACACACGCTCGCTAAGATACGATACAACCTAGTAGTTACCCGAGCAAATCAGCGTGTCCAGACGCAGACAACGCGAGCTGTCGCGTTCTAATTAACGCACGTCGATGCGCAGTGCAACGTAGTTACTCACCACAAACTCGTCGTCTAAGTACTTGGACACCGCAATTTGGTCTCCCAGACCCTTTCTTCGTCGCGTCTTTAGCACCAGATCCCTAGCCAGTGCTTGTCCGGATGCTGGCTCTAGCGGTCGAAGCTTGATGGTCGTGTCCGTGGGGTCACCTAGAGAGGTGGTAGCCGTCAGCCTCTTGGAAGTATCCACACGCTGCGGTCCACTCACCCGGAACGATCGACCAGTGGTCAAACACCTGCTGGCAGAACGCTTGACCCTGCGTCGCCGTACGCAAGTCCGTCTCAAAGCCATTGGCATCGATCACGGGAATGAGCGCTTTCACAGTGTACAGGGGCGACCCAGCCTTGGGTATGTCCTGCGTGACATGGCCTCGCCGTCTAGCAAGAACAGTGTATACCGCTGAAATGCAGTCAGCCGGTGCCTGCACTTCGACATAGTAAATAGGCTCCATTAAACGCGGCGTGGCCTATACACTAGCTCAGGTCAAGGAATCGGATTATGTGCCTGGTTCCATACCATCAGGAATGAAGAGTAACACACGCGCCGCGCAGTTGGAACAATTTGCCCGCCTCCACGGAAGATGGGCTCCGGGGCTAGACTGGCGTCTAGGATACGGAACTTCACATTGCGCATTGCTTAGTACACTGTCAGTTTACATAGCGAGATCCCATTCCACTAATACAACTTACGCTCGTCACACAACGGACCTTCCCGTGCGGCCCATTGGAAACCCTGCTTGATGTGATCCCTGACCGTGCCAAGCGACTTTTTGTCAACCTATCACAGCCAACATATGTTTAGCACCCCTCACCCCAAAAGCAAGCACTCACCTGTGAAGGTAGTGTATCATCCAAAAGAATATTCGGCCCGCTGTCGTCCGGCCCAAATGCCCATATTGATCGCGAGGCAAGAAGGTCCCACTGGTACTTCTCCTGAAAAAATGTTCCTCGTTCCTTCGGCGTCATCCGTATCGTCACCCTACCCCGCTCGATGTCCTCCGCTACACCTCGTTCCAGAGGTTCTGCAATCATTGTAATTCGGTTCCTGTGTCGTCGTCGTCAGCACAACCCACCAAGTGAAAGGGGGGAGAACGTACTTTTTGTTTGGTGTATCCGCGTAACATTTCAGGGCACTAGTCTCCAAGACGGTCTCGCAGAACCTAGTCACTGGATCGGATGCTTTGATCTCAATCTCGGAAAACAGTTTCCTTAAATCGTGCATCACACAATCGAGGTACAACTCCCCAGTGCCCATCAGCACATGTTCGCCACTCTCTTCAACTTTTGTGGTCGCAAGGGGGTAGGATTTGTTAATACTTCTCAAACCGGAAAGCATCTTGGGGAGTTCGGATGGCATCACCGGTTCAATAGCAATTTTGAGCACGGACTCTGTCACATGTTTGATAGGACGGAAAATGTACAGGTCTTCGTCCACGTCGGCAGGTGCCAAAGTTGCAGTTTTAGAAATTGAGGCGTCAACACCGCCGATGAGAACAAGGTTTCCTGCTGGTGCTTCTTCTGTTGGAATGAAATACCTAGAAACGGGGATTAAAGCATCCGAGCACAGCCAAGACAGGTGCCTCTTACCTAGCCTCGCTTACCCAAATGTCCTCGATGGTAGCCTTCATCATATCTTCTTCGTCTTCTGGCGAATAACCCTCACCCAAAACTTTTACTTGTGCACCCTTCCGCAATGTCCCGCTCATAACACGACCGAATGCTCTGAAGGATTGAGCATCTGTCGTATGGTAGAGTTTTGTGATTTGGACCATCACAGGACCGTCTGGATGGCATTGCTTCATTGAAGCGGCAATGTCCGATGTTTGGGGTCCTGTATACGTCCGCTCTACCTTGGTTGCCGCACTGGCAACAGGAGATGGTATGTGCTCCACAATCATATCCACCAATCCCGTCGCAGGTCCGAAGAACTGGTCGAGGATCACTTTGAGCAGTGGTCGCACGTCCATTTTGTACATCACAGGCTTCAGAACAATTTTCAACTGTGCCAGAATTTTCTTGAGATCTTCTGTTTCCTCACTTAGGACATGACTATAAAGTTTGTAGAGCGGATCGAGAATGAAATGCACAAAGGAGCGAGCCTGCTTTGAGTTTCCTTCTGGGGCTTTGCGAGTAAATTTCCGCATTTCGCTGTCGAAGTAGATGTCTCCCCATAGACGGTCTGCGAAAGCAGTAACGTCGAGCGAGCCATAACTGACCGCATACATCTGCGCAAAGGAGCGGAGAGTAAAGCACCAATTCATGTCAGTGCTTCCGAAGGCCACGTTTCCTCGCTCAGGACTCAGACGTAGCTCTGGGTCAGGGTTGATGCCACTGCAACTATAATTAAGTTTCCAAATGGAACGTGCGCAGAAACCTACCTGATAAAGGTGTTGATCTCCTCAATGGTATGTTTTATTTTGTAGTACGCATCTGCAGGCGGAAGACGCAACTCCAAGATCAGTCGGTCAATTTTATTGACCAACAACGTCATCTTGATGTCCTCTTGAAGAGCATGACGAATTATAGCTTCTGTATTGACCATCGTCTACAGCCACGATCAGTTACACGAGGAAGAGCACTGAGAAACGTGAACCAACCCCTTCAACGACGTCCACGACGAGGACAATGCCATCGACTAGTCTCATAGCCGAGGCAACCTCGTCGACGAAGTTGACATGTCCGGGTGTGTCGATTAAATGTATTAGATGCGACTTGCCACTAGTAGTAGGAAGGACCAAAGACATGGGGGACGACTTGATCGAGATTTCTCGCTCGCGCGACAGAACGTGGGTGTCAGTGTATTTTAACTGAAGCAAAAGAACGGTAAATCCTCGTGATTGGCCGACAATTATGTTGCACACCTGGTGATCTGCGTCCCAGACGAGTTTATGTGTCTCAAAGACCAACGTATCCATCAATGCTGTCTTTCCGTGGTGTAGATGCCCAACCACCGCGACATTCCTCACCATCTCTGGTAAAGACATCATATTCAGCAAGAACCTTGTATCCTAGTTGAACATGGCTCAATAGCGGAGGATGTGGAGGACGTACCCCTTGTCAAACCGTGTCTGCGGCATATCCTTTTCCTCGACTGCCCACTTCCGTACTTTTATGGGGGCGATTATAGGTTCTGAGAGAGGCTGAGCATCTTCCTCCTGAACCAAAGTCTCTACGTCAGGTCCATAGACATCCTCAGCGGACGGATAGTACTGCTTGTCCTCATGGAGAACTACGGCCCTGTGAACGGGTTCTGATATGGTTTATCATGAGATGAGGGTACGCCTGGACCGAAGACACGGACCGTCAATTTCCATCAGCGCGCCTTCTTGGACGGGTTCTGGCTCTGGCTCTTCATCGTAGCCCTCCAACGTAGCAGGCTGCTGGGTAGCTTGACCGAAGTCTGTCTGCATGGCCTCATCCTCCTCGTCCGAGCCAAGATCCGCACCAATGTAGTTGCCGAATTCATCGTAGTCCTCGAATGAAGCCATGAAGCCAATGATTTACTGTAGTGTAACTTGGCGAACGCGTCCCCCGCGTAGGAGTTGTTTTTGAACTCCGGTCCACCGGTCCATACAAGTACAAGTACCCGAATGCCATGGACTCATCTGCTCATTAGCTACTACGATGTCTGCGTTGCCCGACGAAACGCTGAGGAAAGTGTGTATATCATTGACACTCGAGAATGGCCACGATTCAGCCATGACACCATAGATCCTCATTCAAATTCAACAATCGGCCGTTCAGTCTCAACGCTCACTCAACTTAACAAAGCAGCAATGCACCGCCAAGGAGCGCGAGCGTCGGATCGTCCAGCTGACTATTAGTGAAATATCCAGCGTTATACACGACGTTAATCTGTACAAAGGTGTGGGGAAAATGTGCGCAATCCACTCAGTGTGTCCCTTGGGAAACGACAACTCCTCCATGTAGGTTTTTGATGGTTCCACAGAAGACAATGGAACAGGAGTTGGAAGCGCAGGAGAAAGAGTTGACTGACGAGGTCAACTCTCTCAACAAAAAGGTCCGTTCATTTATTTTCTCGCTATCCTTTCTACCCCTGAGGTGGTAAAACAGTCAAAGTACTTGGAGAAGCAGTTTAATGATGCACAAGCTCGATTGAGGGACATCGTGCGCGTTTTTCACGTGTGCGCAAGTACGGTGTACTCATTTTCTCCACAGTTTCATCATGCTCCAGGGCAGTAACACTATACCTACTATCAATAATCCTAGAATCCACAAGCCTGTGACATCATACTCGGTAATGCATTTCGAGAACGTTGATGGACATGCCAACCTCTTGGGTGTCTGGGGAAGAAGTACTGATGGACACTGTTTTCCCAATTTTTCCTTGCGAACCACTGTATTTCTTTGAGAATCGGACATCGTTGCTTATGCGCTTGCCAACAGTCTGTCTGGCATCCCTTCAGACCATCGTCAATATTGTTTACTGAGCATCCCGGATATAGGTCAACTTGCCTTGGAACAGTACCATGCACCATTACAAGCACTACATTTCTTCAGAGGAGTGTCTGTCTTGTCGCACCCATCGCATCTTTTCGCCATCCCCTTCTCAAACAGTTCACTGCTAGCTTCCAACATCTCATTCAGGGAGTACGGGAATATCTTCACATGGACATCCTGTTCCAGCCTTAATCCGGGCGGACTGAAAGCAAATGTATGCTGTGTTGCGTAAAGGACGGCAATCGTATGGCCCTCCTTGCATTGGTCCAGGAATGCGGCACCGCGGTCGTCTGTGTGGAACGCGACAAGTAATCTATGCCCCTCCTTGTCCTCCACTTCCAGAGCGAGTCGGACGAGGACACTGCTGCTAATAATTTTTCCAAGGAAACACCAGTGTTTGCGGGGTTTCGTCGAATACAGGTACGTGTCATTTATTTCATACTCTGATGGGAGACCCCAAAAAGTAGGGAAAGTAACCGGATTATTGAGATCGGAGGGCGTGATGGGAGTAATTGCAGAGTTATTTTCTTTTTCAAGAAGTGCGGACATCGAGTATGTGGGCTGAAGTTTGACCTGTCTTACAACAACAGCTGATCCTTTATAAAGCGTTTGGGCGCCTAGACGGCAACGAAGTTCACAAACCGGGCGTGGCGTAATCCGTACAGTATTGATCCAATCTCCAAGCTCCAACCCTCGTTTTGGTTCATCGGTGATTTGAGGTCCACGTGTTGAAACTTCCATCGTGTTCCCGGTGAATTGGTCTCACTTGGGCTTATCGGCATCCACCACTTCCGTTAAAAGACAAGTTTGCCAGCTGGGAGCGTGTATCACACGCTGACTTCGCGGACGGCTCGTTGCACCTGAGCGTCCATCCGAGGCTGTGACGGTAGCTACCTGCGCCAAACATGAACCCAGGAGGCGCCCTCCGTCTCGGGACTGATAGATGAAAGTTCGGTGTCCGATGAATTACTCAACTCCTTTGTATGTAATACAATGGCCCTCCGCGGGACAAGCATCCATTTTCACTCCAGCGCTCAGATCAGAAGTTCTATAGAGAAGTAGTACTCCGCCTCGCGCGTCATTACAGCAATAGCATCGACCCAATTCAAGCAACGTGCCCTTTTAATTGAGAATCCAAGAGTCCCACGTCCACCAGGTAGCCCAGGTTAACCTAGGGCCGCCGGCGGAATGACTCGCAGCTGTGGATTTATGTTATGATCAGCGAGACGACCGCTTAAGCAGACGACTGGCCGCTGTGGTTGCCATTGACCGCCAACGGCTGCCGCACCCCGTAGTCGTCCAGCCCTGCCACGCCGCGTCGCCGAATATCAAATAACATCCGATGGTCACCCTCCGTCCTAGCGTTGGCAACTATGAGGATGACTCGGAACTCAAGCTTCCTAAAATTGCGTCGCTATGCATCATACTTACGATGAACCTACTACTGCAGGTAGGCGCTACCATGCGTCGCTTCAATGAGTCCATCCATCTGACCCCGGAACTGGAAGATCTCGTTCTTCATCATTGTATCGTCGTCCAATGAGTATGCCCAGTACTTGGGTGGCAGTTCAACATTCTCTGGGCTGGTCATTGGTATACCCACTGTTTTTGGGGGTCTGGCACTCATCCCTATGACGAAATTCGACAAGGGTGAGTGCGCCTGTGAATCCCTGGTCCATTCTCACCCAAGATCTAGGCGGATATGCCATGCCCTTGCATGTCGGCTGCCTCACAGCGATTCTAGGTCACATTGCTTATGCCAGTGCCTATCGACTTCATTTCCTATACCTGATCCTTATCGGACGTTGTTTGAATGGGATATCGTTCACTGGGTTCATGTATACTAAGCGGTACTGCACAGACCCCCGCATCGTAGGCATCCGTCGTAGAACCACTTTGGCGAGTTGGTTGGTCGTCGGACAGGGTTTGGGGATGACTCTTGGACCTTTCTCCGGCGGTTTGCTATATAAGATTGGGTTTTCCAGCCCAATTTTTAATGGGTATACCAGTCCGGGTTGGGTCATGGCTGGTGTTTACGCGATTTTCTGGGTCATCATTGCGATATACTTCGAGGATCTTCCTCAGGTGAACGGGATTCCTTCACAGCCGACGAATTCACTGCCGCTCCAGGTCGTAAATGTACCGGGACCCAGCCATGATGATCAAGGAGGAACCCTATTCACACGGGCAACTGTAAGCACACCAACTTCACGAGTTACCCTCTGGATTCTATTTCACCACGTTCCTGCCACACAGTGCGGTGTGATATTCTGTATGTGTTGGTTTGCCATGTTATGCTTCTTTATTTTGGGCTCTTGGGAAGCCAACCTCCCCGTATTTGGGGCCGCCACACCCGATCTTCGTTGGTCACCTTTCGCAGCAGGGAATTTCATCGCGTTAGGTGGCATCACAGCATTCCCATTTCTCCTCGCAAATATTTTTTTTGCGGGCCGAATTCAAGATCGAAAGCTGCTTGCCTTAGGATGCGGACTAGGCCTAGCAGGATTGGCTGTTTTCCTGTCGCTGTTGCGCACGGGAAAGATTAACTACGGCTCGCTTTTCATGTGCTGGTGGGCAATTGCTCTGGGCTTTAATCTCGCGACGACGGTGACGCTCAGCCTTCTGAGCAAACAACTCCCACCCGAACGGAACAGGTGGTCGTCGATGGCAATCCAGTATTCCAACTATACTGGTCGTGTCACAGGTGCTGTATGGGGAGGATCGGGCGTCTCTGTCGGGATGCTGAAATACACAGGGTTGGAGATAGCACTAGTCGGAATCGGGGCGGTGCTCTTCATGACACTTTGGAGAAATCTGAAGACCAAGACCGGCTGACTTACCCACAGCCTCATGAACCCAAACGCCCCGTTCGTTCACACACGAAACGCTGTGCCTGTGTGTAAGCTAGTTTACCGCTGTGGTATCCAATTCCACTGGATTTTGCTCACGGGGGTCAACCGGTCATCCGTAGACCTTTCCTTACTCAGAATAGATCTTGCTCGGGGGAAGAAGGGCTGATCCGTTTAGGCAAGACCCTACGACCATTTGGGAGGGTACAAGCTGGTCAAGAACTATGTTCCACTCTAACACTAGCTTAACTCTTAGTCGCTCAAGATGGTCTCGATCGATCAGAATGAAGCGGTCCGAAATTGCCGCGAGTCCCTCCTGAGTTAACTTGAAATAGGACCTGGCGGTAGGCCAAGCATTGAGAGTGTCTACCTTTGACGTTTATGAGGCCCTGAGTCCAAAACTTGACCAACCCGCGGTACTGATCAGTAAGAACGCATATATCTTCAGTAAGGATTGGGTCGTTCGTTTAGGGTTAGAAGGTGGAATGCGCGCTCTCTCAGAGCCTTCGAAGCCACAGCTGGAATAGAACCGACGCCCTTGATGACCTGCCTATTATTAGCGCCTGCATGTACGCGTCATTAATGCAGATAACTTACTTTTGTACTTCCACTTGGGTTACGCTTCCTCAGAATGCCAGATGTCTTCGTACGGTCCTTCACTCATCTTAAGGACATGCCTAAGGCGGAACGGGCGCTCCCGATGTTGCAGCGTGTCGCGTCACTCGTCAAACCGATTATGCGTAAGCACGGCTGGGTTCTGCCCGTGCTCTCCGAGTTCTTCCCTGAGAGTACTAACCTACTCGGTGAGGCCTCCCATTTGACAAGGTCTGCAAGGCCTGTGTCCACTAACAGGCTACCGGGAACGCAGGGTTAAGTGCGCGAACTGTGTCGTTCCAGGAGGCGTACGAAACTAATGGGATTCTCAGACGTCAATGGTGGCGAGAAGATACTCCTTAGACTGCGTCCAGCGTGGGCGTCAGACACTTTCCTCGAAGAAGATCAGGTTGTCAGAGTAATGCTTCACGAGGCGAGTTCCCTCCTTTTGGGGGTTAGATAATGCTCAGGTGCTAGGGTCACCCTTACTTAGCTCACACACAACGTACACGGGCCTCACGATGAACGCTTCTATCAATTTTTAGCAGGGCTTGAGGACGAGTATGATGCACTGCAGCGGTCCGGCTATGCCGGAGAGGGTTTCTTTTCTCCGGGTCATCGGCTGGGTACTGGTGTATCACATAACTTGCCGGCACATCTTGCGAGAGCGAAAGCCGCTGATGCTGCGGAGAAGAGACAAAATTTGCAGGCCATTTTCAGAGGCGGGGGAAGGCTTGGAGGCCGAAATACTGTTCTAAACAATTTGAGCCCTCGGGAACTTGCAGCTAGAGTGAGTCAGGTTCTACCGGTGCTCGATTTCTCTCATGTGTTCCTATTAGGCCGCGGAACGCAGAAAGAGAGACGAACTGGAATGTGGCTCGGGCCAAGTAGCGTTGCGCGAAGCAGCTAAGGCTGCCAAAGGGAGCGTACAAACCGAAGTTCTCGATCTGACCGGCGACGACATATTAGCAACCGCAGCTTCAATGCCAAAACCGGCTAATGAATCGTCCCGCAAGCCGAGCTCAGTTGGACGCTCTCAGGATTTAGGGCGGCACCAAAATCGCTTGCATTCAGGTACTTCGACCTCAATTGACAAGCAATGGTCGTGCTCTCTTTGTACTTTGATTAATGACGGTATTACACTCCAGTGTGGAGCGTGTCTTGCAGAACGGCCTAGTGATATGTCATCCGGATGGACATGCTTAGTGTGCGGGGAGAGTGGGATATCACATCAATTCTGGTCGTGTCAATTTTGTGGAACAATCAAGTCACAGAGTGCTCTGGGTTAATGCGCACGTCGAAAGCTAGTTAATTGTAGCTTGCTGTATGTTACGTAATGATATGGAAGCACTTGCATCTCCTGGTTGCTAACATATTTGCGGATCTAGTAGTACAGGTATATTACAACATATTACAACAGGTGCTTTTGGAGCTAATCGTCGCCAAAGATGACCTTGAGGTTCTCGATGCTCTCCGGGTCACCTTTCCCAGACTGTTGTGTGCCTCGGAATGCCTCCTTGATAATTGCAGTTTTACGTTTCTGTATCTGCAAAATTCGACCTTCGATGGTGTCTTCCACCTGTAAAGCATCTAAGTCGAAAGTTCTGGGAAATTACAAGGAACCCACGATGAAGTGCTTCACGTAGACGGTCTTCTCTTGACCCAATCGATGGACACGATCAATGGCTAGAAAGACGGCATCAGTCACCTTACGACAACCTCACGAACGTAACGACAGAACCTTGATGTTCTGTCGCCGTATTCCACCAACAGTCCATCTAAAGCGCCTGTCAGGGAGTTGCCGTACGCTCCTTATACATAAAGTACTCACCATAAACACATGGTTAGCAGTTGTCAACTGTCATGGCTGAGATAACGACACTTCCTCATGATGGTGGTGACCTACATTCAATCCAACTCCGCCGGCTTTTAGACTGATGAGCAATATCTTTGGTTTACGCTCATTTTGTTTAAACTCTGTGATCGCAGCATTCCGTTTCTTCATGTCCATAGAGCCATCAAACCTATACCATGTTAGGTGTTCGCGGTCGAGTGCAGCGGAGATGAGTGAGAGGAACGAAGTAAATTGAGAGAAAACGATTGCTCGGAAATAGGGGTCCTGATCTTGCAACCGCCCTACACAAGCATCAATTAGAATACATAGCCTCAAAGACCCGCAGCCGAAACTCACGTAAGTTTTGTAAGAGAGCATCCAGCTTAGCAGAGGAACGGAAGTCGTTGCGCCGTAGCGATACGCCAGCCAGCTCCTTGCTCGTGCTAACGAAGGGCGACTGTTCTTCTCCTGGCAGGCCTTTTGAACGAATCACCTCCATCAGCTCGATTTCCTTAACTGGTCCCTGCGAACACGTAGGGCACCGACCCTCTTCACCTCGCTCCGAGCAGGCAGTAAGATGAGCGACAATACAATCCCTACAGCTAAGACAGCGACGTCTCGTTATCGACGTATCATTGACAGGTGAAACTGCTCACCATTGATGCATACACCGTGGGATAATCAAGGGGCTTTCCACTACATCGAGACAGATTGGACATTCGACTTCAGATGCGTTGGCCAAGTTGGCAAGGACGTTCTCTGCAAACGCAGTTTTCGAGCCCCCTTCACCATTAGAATCCTTTGATATATCCGAAATCAACATATCAAGGTCGATTGCGCTGGGCTTCGAACTAGGATCTTGGCTACCATTGTCCGAGTTTACAACCAAGTCCGGGTGCAGTACGGCACGGCGTAGACTACGGTGACCGCGGGGTGAGCTATGCTCATTACCATCGAGAGAAAACACCTACCGCATAAGCATAGCAAGGACATGAGTGTAGTTCTTGCCAACTAAGCCCTTCGCATTCAACTGGTCGAAGTTGCGCTTGGCAGTATTATATATGGAGTCGTAGATTATCCGCTCGGCAGGGGTAAATTGTAACTTCTCAATCAAAACCTCCTTCGCTGGAAGTTCAACAATACGGTTACCATTGCTGTCTCGCATGCTCTTTTCTCGTCGCAAAAGGACACTCTCCAGGATGACCTGGACAATTTCAATTGCCTTTGGGTCGCGGGCGAGGAAAGGCACCGTGATAAACCTGCCAAATCTTCATCCTCATAGGTCAAGCAACAAGGAAAATACACAAACGAGCGGAAAAATGAATGTGAAGACCAAGGGATAAAATTCAGGAACTTTCTGTTATCCAGACGAGTCAATATGCAAGTATCTGAATAGACCAAACCCCCCCTCACAGAAGAGAATAGAGATCCTCAAGCTTATTCACAATCGGTGTCCCTGGAGGCTCATGTGAATAAGGCACAGCGTGCATCAACAAATCCGCAAACCAGTAACTGCCCATCTCCGCCTGGCTTGAAGTGCATAGACTGCCCGGGCAGTTTTACTCGTCCGAGATTTACAATGATGGGCTTCGTCCAGAATGACCCTTAGCCATTCGACTAGCAGTGGGACGGGTTCAGTGCACTTCAACCAATGGACTATTGGCCGACTAACTTTGAAAGATAGATGATTGCCCATTTGATTTCTGAAATTTTGCATGTTCAGAAGCCAGCACGCCGTATGAAGTTATAACCACCGGGATACTCTTCTGGTCTCCGTCGTAGTCGTGTAAAGCATCCAAGTCTAGTCTATTCTGTCCATGCCAAACCGTCACCCGTATCGTCCCCGGAACGCTGGAACGTAGCAGCTCTTCAGACCACTGTGCAAGGAGTGACGTTGGTGCGACAACAAGGGTGGCGGACGAGCCGAACTTCGATTGTAGCCGTTGACCATTAAGAACTGGTCTGAATGTGCTGCCAAGCTTCAGTTGACGGGCTTTCTTACCCTCGTCCTCCGGGCGGACTGGCTCAGGGTCTTTGTTTGCGTGGATTAGAGCGGAAAGCATGATTGTTTTCCCCATTCCCACTGGAAGTGAGTAAGTCAGGGCTGGATCATTATAGGGTATAAACCAATCTCACTCTCTGTCTCATGGAATGTCCGCATATTTTTGAAATCAATAATTCATCGAAAGTTGAACTATGTGCCTTACCATCACTGACCAGTCAGATAAGTCAACTGATACCGAGGGACTTGTGGGGTGACTTACGCGAGGATTCCTCCTTTGAGTTTTAGCTCAGACTTAGGGAATTCCAAGCTCAATTCCCCGGAGTAGGGATTGAAGTAGAAAGGTTTCTCGTCTGCGGTCAAGTCGATAACACCATCCCGCGGTTCGGCAGGGAATGCATACCTGACAGCGTGTAAGGGAAGTAAGGTAATGTTAAGGGTGACTTACTCGGTCCATAGAGGATGCATGCAAGTTGCATCCCTTGCAGATTTTTCACCTGATTCCATGGAACGCATCCACCTGACTGACGTTCGGTCAGGGTCCTGGTGATTTATGGACAGCTCACATCAATGCCTGCTTTTGGTATCCCCTCAACGTGAGGGTAAACGTAGATGGAGGGTCCATTTCTGCTAGCGCTCGATCATTTCGCTGCGCTCTGGAGCAAATCAGCAAAGGGATGTGCAAGGAAGGAAACTTGATTACTTTCGATAAATTAGTTGGAGATCATCGTCGGAAAGCTCCTCGCCATCCTCCACTTCCACCTCCTCTCCGTCACCCACAATTTCTGTTTTTACTTTCTTTTTTCCGCTGGAACGCTCCGACCGGCTGTCGGACGTACTGTTCGAGACATTGCGATCCTGGTAAGTTTGAGCGCCACGTCGTGGTCGGAGGTTGAGAGCGTCGAACAAAGTCAGAAGTGCAGTCTTTCGTCCCCTGAGAACAGTTTCCTCCTCCGTTTCTTGCCCAAGCCCAGACATTTTGCCCGTTTCCATTCCCGAGGTACTTGGAGATTTAAATGCGGATGCGCGAATATAAACCGACAGCGATACAACAACGTCCGCACCCGAATGAAGCACTGTCGGACAGTCGATCATGGTGCTGCCCTTGAAGGTAATCATATCTACCATAACCAACGCATGAATAAGTGCATAATGGATATTGGAAGGAGTAATACCCACCTAGATCGAGTAGCCTTGAAATCCACACAGATAGATCTTGCGGAAGTCTGCCAAACTCTGAAATGATATAGAATTCATTGTTAATCACCAGACGGTATTTGCTCACCGAAGCCAGCCTTGTTTGTCAATCGGATGACTGCGTCTATCTTACGCTTTGCGAAGTTGAACGGCTGAGGGTTCATCATAGCTTTGAGTGTAAGTTGCTTTTTCTTTCCTTTATTCTCTGCCTCTTTATTTCGGCCCTTGACATGCCCGGTCCTGTCTTCAAGGGCATCACGTTCAATTAAAACTTCATCTCCTGGATTGATGTATCCCTTCCCCTTTGCGGTGCTCCAAGCGTTGCATACGATGCAACCAATATATGCGTCCTCCATATTGGGCGGATGACGGAAATTCTTGGGAGAGGCTAGCCGCTGCTTTTTGAGAGGTGGTGGTCGGGATGAGGACGCGATAGGAGATAACCTTGTGCTAGAGAGTTCCGAGGATATACTGCTAACACTGGACGTCCGGGGCAGCTCTTCCAAGCAAGGTAATTCAATATCACTTGAATCGTGATTAGCCTGGGCGTCAGGGAGTCTGAATCTTCCCGGTGCATGTCCCAAAGAGTGAGATGCGTCTTCTTCATCGCTGTCTACCAGAAATAACCTCTTCTCCGGGACGGTAGCTGTAGTCGGCGACCGCGAGCGAGATTCCGAAGGTGTACTTGGCCGAGACGCGCTTGATTCTGGAGCCGCATTGTCGGCCGGAAGAGGGTCTGTTTCGTCATCTGACCCTGCAAAGAAAAGTGCTTTGCTACTCATCTCTAGGCTCACGGTAGCTCTGAGAGTCGCGTTCATTAGGCTCGCGTTATTTGCACCGATTTGGTCCAACTTATGTTGACTGTATACGGACTAACGCGGTACAGTTATGGAATTATATACTCTTTTACTTCCAGACCTACTCTGTCACCGTCTTGGTACGCCACGACCCCTACCCCTGAGAGCTCGCTGTGCTGCACCCGGTGGTGCGCGTGGTCCAGGATTTTGCTGAGATAGCCGTGGCATCAGCCAAGCATCGCATTAGGAATGTTGGGAGGACACACCTGTTCACTTTGTGGGTTCTTGACTGTCTCGTCGACACTCAGAATCAAACACGCTGCCTCGGTAGCACTGTTGATGGCATTAACTTTGACGAGGGATGGCTCCCACACGAACGCCTCCAAATTGTCACGGGTGCCTTCAGGTCCGTCCACGTCCACGCCATAATATTTATCTCCAGCAGCATGTCGCATGCGGAGCTTATTGAGAATGTCGGTCGAGTCGAGACCAGCGTTGTCACAAATCTGCCGTGGAATGATTTCCAACGCCTTTGCAAAGGCAGTCATAATGAGTTGCATCTTGCCTGGAATTTGGAGTGCGTGCTTTCTAATATAAGCAGACAAGTTCATCTAGGGGGAAAAATAATCAGCATATCATAGAGTCAAGTAAGAGAAGCTACTACCTCTGCAGCACCTCCTCCGGCAACAACTTCACCATTTTTCATGGCCCGCTTAACCACCATGATTGCGTCGTGAAGACTGCGTTCCACTTCTTCGATAAATTGTTCTGCACCACCACGAAGTAGCAAAGTGCAAGTTTTTGCCTTCGGACAGTCCTCGAAAACATTGTATCGCTCTCCTCCAATTTGCCGCTCGTCGAATCGACCACACGTGCCGAGGTGCTCTGGACCGATGTCAAAGCATGTGGATTGCATCGAGCCTCCAACAGCCTGGCATACTCTGCGTAGATCGGCAGAGGGAACACGGCCAGCGCAGAAAATGTCTCTATCGGCAAACCACTGCGTTGCCAAATCACCTATCGGCAGCTTGCTCAATACAACCTTTGCACCAGTTTTTTCAATGGCTTCCAGTTTCCGATATATGATCTCCCATTCGGCATCCACGATAGCCTGGTAGTCAGATACCGCTTCTACACGGACCTCTGCGTTATCTTTTTCGGCTTTGAGTTCGAGTTCGACATTCAAGCTAAGGATGCGTGGGTTTTTAAACGATTTTGGTTGTTGCTCGGCACCGGCGTAAGTGAAGGTTTTCTTAAAAGCCACGCCACGAACAAGAACAGAGTCTTGCATGCCCCCTCCTGGGATTTTCTTGACCCCAATCAGAGACTCATCAAGGTCCTCTGGGTCTAAAGACTGCACTGCTTCAACAACCATCTCCGAGAAGAAAGGCTTTTCTGAGTGAATCAGTTTTGAGGACATTGACGTAGACGCGCATTTCAGCAGAAGGGAGCGGAATCGCCTAGTGCGCAAGTTAGTCAATAGCATTGGTTCCGGACGCCAACATACTCCGGATTACTCTTGTCCACGACAACTTGAATGTCCTTTATACGCTCAATAGCCTGTAGACGAGTCAGATCATGCCGAGACGCGATTGATGCTCAAGCCATACCAATTGCGATGCCTTCCTGAAGCCCTTAGTGATGATGTGTGGGCTGACGCCCTCCTCAATATAGCCCCGGACCTCCTTCAAAAGTTGAGCAGCAAGAAGAACCACGCTCGTAGTCCCATCGCCAACTTCTGCATCTTGTGCACGTGCAATGTCAACCAAGGTTCTGGCAGCAGGATGAATGATGTCCAGGAGCTTTAAGATAGTCGCGCCGTCGTTCGTGATCTGTGCTTCGCCACGTTCGTTGACTATCAGTTTGTCCATCCCCCTTGGACCAAGGGTGCTTGAAAGGGTCTCTGCTACAGCAAGACATGCTGATATATTCGACAAGAGTTGTGGGGTGCCTTGGGAGGTGTCTGTCCCCTCCTTGAGAAGGACCACCGTAGGTTGCTACGATTTATCGTCAGTTTAGAACTGCACAACGTTCATACCGTGACTTGCCATTGGAAGGCCGCGCTGCATTTTTGCAAGGTAATCGTATGGACCCCCGCTACAAGATGCTGAAGATCACTCCAAATCTCGTATTTACACTTGTTTGCACGCTCGCGACGGAGTAGCTCTTGTACACTAGCGCACTACTACTAGGTTCAACTTATCATTGTGGTTATCACCAGTGCAAGGCAAATCATTATTCATGGCAGTGAAAGTAGCGTATTGGACTAGTGTAAAACAACAGCAACACTACGCCTTGTCTGGCTGTGCCCACTCAAGGCCGCGCCTGCGAGCCCGCAGTACTGCTCTTCGTGCGCCTTCCTTATCACGTCGCTCTTGTTCATGTGCGTCGAAGAAAGTATTCCCGACGTCAACAAACTTGATTGCAGGACGCCCTGGGCGAGGCTCGACAAACGTAACCTTGGCCTTGTGTTCAGAAGGCTGCGCCGAGGAACGAGCAGCTTCCAGTATAGTGGGCATGATGGGTTCCTAGGAGAATCACGATTACGATGTGGATCGATGGAATTCGACTGCAAGGATAAACCCACCTCTCCCTCCGGAACATTTTCCCAAAACATCCGCTGGTACCTAAACCTCGACATATCGCTAGTACCTTCGACCTCATCTTGTCTATCTGCTTCTTCCACGTCGTATCGGGGATTCGTCGCAGAAGGATCTCGGTTTTCTTCTGCCTCCCTCCGGCCAGTGTGGTAGTATTGAAGCGGCGTATCAGCATTAACTCCTTTCACAATTTCGTCAGGTTGAGGCACGGCGAGCACATATTCCATTCCTTGCGTGAACCCAGTTTGCAGGGGAGTGCCCTAGGAGAAAGATAATTAGCACATTGTGAACAATACGAGGGGATAGCCGCGACCGATTCAGATGGGGTCGAAAGGTTTAACCATTCCCACTGCTATGTAAGGAACAGCAGGTTGCTTACAAAACGCGAATGATGTATATTGTATCATCATATTCGTGTAGCCAACGGCACAAGCAAGGAATCGGACTTACCTCCTATTGAACGCAGACAAGGGGAGACGGAAGAGTAAGCTAGCTTGCACGGCAACCTACGCCAGATATTTACCTATGGGTGAGATTAGCACTGAAACCAAACGGATGATAAATGATAGTTCAGTAGAGGATAAGGTTATAACCATGTATGTGTCTTAAAGACTAATCGAATTTCTCATGCTCATCATTGGCAGGATGGGTGGCCGAAAGAATGATAACTGACGCTAAAATGTACCTTTTTCCATGCCTCCTCCAAACCCTTGAGTCGCAATATTGCGTCCACACGCTTGATGCTAATGTTATGTCTGGAAGAAAGTGCGCGAACGGAATTCGTTTCGGGGTCACGCATGAAAGATTGGTAAAGTTGGGTTCGCAGCGCATCGGACAGAGGTACAGGAGGTTTGAAGGAAGGATTTAGTGGAAAGGGCTGCACACTTTACAATCACCGCGGGATGCAACGGAGAAGGAGGTAGCACTCACGACGTCACCTCCAAGCCAGTTGCGAGGTTTGGGATCTCGGAAGTCTGGAGCGACCTCTTCTGACCACTGCCAAAATGTACTTGGCTTGGGCCTATATTCTTTTCCTTGCACTTCAGTCACTTCATCCTCGATCTCAGTTCCGAACAAATCCTCTTCTTGCCCTTCACATAGAGGCTTCAGGAACTCGGCAGAAAGATGGCCTTCAGAGTCACCATCCGGTTCACCGGGCACTGAACGTGACCTATCGCGGTGTCGTCTCAGAAAGCGGGGAGATGATGACGAGAACGTCCTTTGCACGCATCTGGGGGGCAGATACGCCAGCTGCTGGGCAGCCAACCGACGAAGGCAGACTCGTGCAAACATACAGATGGGCATGTCGAGAAAATTTGAGGCTTTGACTTGGACGGTCACGTGATCTGCTTTAGGGTTTGCTCGCCTGCGATGTACCCGTGCCATCTTTCATTATCATGTTTGCCTTCCCATGTTTCGACAGCCTTGAGATCTCTGGCTCCCTCAGGGCTTTCAGAAACACGGGAAGGTAACCAGCTGAGCTACTTTTGTAGCGTAGATGACCAAATACACTCAAACTCAAGCTGATTAGCTTCTTATGTAGGGAACGATTGTCCTCCGTCGAGGGAAACTAGAAATTCAGTGGACGTCGTAAAGATGTCCGTATCTGCAACACGCAGAACTGGAGGAGCTTCTGATGCAAAGGTGTATTTATTGAGAGTCCTTCATGCCTATTCTGCGCTTGTTCCTCCTAGGCATATTACAATCCCCCCTATTTTCTCCTTCAGCGACGTCCATGACCTCTTGATCGGCATCTTGCTGAACGATCATCTCAGCAAGTATCCTCCAGCACGAGAATACCAGCGCGGATTTTGGAAATGGGCTTTGGAAAAACTTGAAAATTTGAGCAAAAACGAAGAGGTAGGGTTCACCTCCACGATCATCCACGTTGTCCTTAGCCCATCTCATATGCAGGACAATGAAATCGACGAGCGGATGTACCAGCATTATACAACCCTTATTCCATCTCTGTGGTGCGAGCCGAACGCGCTAAACATGACCTACCATAACTGACATTGCCAGTGCGAACGCCCTACCCTCGGATTCGTACATTACGCACTACTGGAATCCCCCAGACCGGTCCTTTTCCGCGGATGAGGTTAAGCGTACTCACGAGACAATCACTCTGTTCGAATCACGCACTACTATAGCTGCAGGCACAACCGGCCTCCGAACGTGGCGGGCAAGTTTCGCTCTTGCCCAATACTTGATTGAACATACTGGTCGGTTTCGATCAGTCGTGCTCACCTGCACTTTAACAACATGTAAACCTAGACCTCGTCGCTCACCACACTGTTCTTGAGCTGGGATCCGGTACTGGATTCCTGGGGATCCTAATCGCAAGTCTGCAACTACGCTTCGATCTTACTTCGGCAGATCCCACAGATGGCGCGCAGTCGGCAAGTCCACCGACCATCTATCTTACGGATGTGAATCCTTGCGTTCTTGATCGGTGTCAACACAACATGGAGTTGGCATGTAGTAAGTGCTACGATGATCTGCGCGTCATGTACCGATCACTTGCCCGCTACTTTTCAGACCGATCTTCATGTCATCCGAATATCGAGTACCGACTGCTCGACTGGTGCGATGCCATTTCTTCCCCGGATAGTCTTGCCTCGTTCCTTGCCAATACAGATGTCGAGATCATCCTTGGTGCAGACGTAGTATGTTGGCTGTCTTTTTGTTGCGGGACAACTACTCATACTATCTAGGTGTTCGATCCCACCATGGTGCCACCACTTGTGGCGACTCTGTCTGTCGCGTTGTCGCAGGGCACGGCCCAGATGGCACTCATCGGAATAACCATACGTAACCAGGCAACCTTGTCTTATTTTCTGGAGGAAATTAGTAGGTTCCCCATTTCAGTTACGAAACAGCCCATCCTAAATATAGTTCCAACCAACAGAGAAGGCTCTCATGGTGGTGGAGGTTCAACACCCTATGGAAGACGGTTTCCTGCCATTGACCTTAGATCAAGTCGATGCGGGATTAGAAGTAAAAATTTTCAGGATAACGCAGTTAACATAGCCTTTCTCCCCGGGCCTATGCAGCAGCATAGCGTATAGTCGACTGACACTAGTTGTTCCGAGGTCGAATGCACGATCGTTCCTCACTCGATATGAACATATCATGCGGACTCAACGCAGAAAATTTGAGTCACCTTCCGACCCATACAGAACAGCTCCGCTGACTTGGCCATAGAAACTAGTATGTCTTGTAATCTCGCCCACACATCGCACCTGGTTTCTAGGGTAGATGGAAACAGAGATAGGTCGGGCCCAGCCTCCCTTCCACATTTCAGAACCCGTGCTCTGTAGAATCTTCCCCAAGAGCCGAGGTGCTGGCAGATCCAGCCGTGACGGTCTGGATAATCGAGTCGATGTAATTTGTACCAGACCTACACATTCCAGCAGCCAATCGTGGGCATGCGAGACAATAGTAACAACGGAGAGTTAGGATGAGCAGCCATTAGCCATGACAGCGTAGTCGTTGAAACGTAGGCAAACGCACCACTTCTGGTGAGTCAATACATCACACCCGATTTCTTTCTCCTTCCACTGCACAAGGTTGACGTAGGCTAGCATACCATCTGTCTTGTATCGTTCGGCTAGCTCAGCTGTCATGACAGGGTAAGTAAGATAATGGAACGGAGTAGTAGAATAGATAAATACCGGTGGCCACTGCATTGCTATGTACTCCAGCAAGCGAGATCAGCTGGAGGACAAATCTGCGATTAATCTCTGTCAGATAATCTAGGAGCGAATGAGACAACTGGCATTCCAGCGCACCCTTCCTTGCCGAGTTCCCAAATAAAATTCTTCAAATCATCCTCTGCGGCGCGTACAGTTAGCACTCACATTAATCTTATCTTGCTCTCAGACATCAATATCCTCACTTACCAGTCCATCCGTCTCCGAGCCAGTTGAAGCTCGGGCTCAGGTTATATACCATCCACTTTTGCACACCGGTCTGTTCCTTTACTTGCCTTGCAAACCTGCGTGCTTGCTCAAGGTCTGGCTTTGATGTCTCAAGCCAAAGCAAATCAGCATAAGGTGCGTAGCGGACAGTGCGGGCCAAAGCGGGAGCGAGACCAGGGACTAAGCGGTAGTAACCCTCAGGCGTGCGCGGCGCTACAATACGAGTTTGAGATTCATATAATGATCAGAGAAGGATCTTACAATCCCAATCCCACAAGATCTCCCTTCCGAGTATGTCGCGTGCAACCTTGCGCGCCTCCGTGTTAGACTTTCCGGATACTAGAGACTTGTAGTGCTCAAAAGTGCTCTCAGGTGAAGATATTGCTGAGGTATCGAGGATTGCGCGACGAACCGCTGATGAAAAAGTGTTTACAGGTTAGCATCGAGCTAGATGGAATACCAGATAAGAAATACCCTCGTCAAATGTCATGAGTGGATGAGTAGCATCCCATTCCTGCTCAATGCGCGCTGCATCCACCGCACTCACGGCACTTGCTAGCGCTTCTGCGAGCGGTTGTCCAGGTACCGAGGTACCCAGGATGTACCTGACAATTTGCGTTAGTTACGTATCAATCGACCGAACGTACCTCTTACGGATGATCGCCAGGATCCACACTTGAACTGAGAAGCCTCCCGCTTTCTGCATCAGTACGAGCGATCACCAGCATGGGACACTCCAGCATGTCAAGCGCGAAGCGCGTCGCAACTAAACGAGACACATGTGTGGACGCCGGGACAAGAACTTTACCCGCGAGATGGCCACATTTCTTGCCACCATGAAGCTGATCTTCCAAGTGGATAGCGGCTGCACCGGATTCTGCAAAGAGCTTGGCGAGCTTCAGAACTGAGGAAGGTCCGCCGTGTCTTGTGCTATATTAATGCACAATAGCGAGAGAATCCGGGAGAAATACCCAGTGTCTGCATCCGCAATGATGGGGCGGAGGTAATCAATGTAAGGCATTTTAGCCCTTTCCTCTGGTGACGCCGACATTCGGGCATCGTAGTGCTTCCGGTCATGTAGTTGTTGTGCACGAAAAATACGATGCACCTGATTTGGAACAGTCGTGTAGGGATAGTCACTGCATTGGCCTCCACTGTAAACATTGTGCTGAGCGCGGGAGGTTTTCGCACGTACCCAAAGTCAGGACCAACTTCGTTGTTGCCGGTGGTGAGGAGGGACGAAGCCGCCCATCCAGAAATATATACGACCTGTTGATGTTTGGCCATCTGTGTCATCTGGACGGGGTCGATAGCTCCCATAGTATGTACGGGGAGTCCGTTCGCACTGGCATCCTCGAATATACGGAAAAGCTTGTCGGCGAGAAGAGAGGCAGGAAGGGGAAGAACTGGTGCTGATCCCTGTTTGAGAGCTATATCACGAGGGGTGTATGGCCGGGTGATGTTAGCGAAACGGGGCTGCGAGAAGTAGGATGTGAGGTGGGCGACGCGGGCCTCGAACTCTGCAGCTTCTGTAGCAAGGTCGGGCGGATGAATTGGCAGGGAATACATTCTCCTGTTAAATATAACGTTCCGGAGACTATATGGTGCATGTTGACGCAACGGGATCATCGTGTACAATGACGAGCAACGCTCTTGCCAGCAACGGCCACGGTCGAAGTCGATGCACCTAAACTAAGGTTAGGGTTAGCGCTTTGCTTCCTCAGTGGTTTGTTTGGAGAGAAATTTTTGTTTCAGATGCGTTGCATTGGAGGATCTCCAGTCGGCGACGTCGTGTAACCGAGCACGCAAGAACGCGCTCAGCCCTCATCGTTTCTGTCTGCTGTGACCATGTCGCCATGATCATGATCGATCTCAGTATGACCCTGAATCATATGCCTTCATTGCCGCTCATATTAGCATGCGCTGAAGACGCTGGATAAGCGGCCTAACCCATTCATCATGTCTCTGCACACAACCCGCATCGCCCTTACTCATGCGCTCCTCGCCGCCTTCCACCCGAGTCTGGTCACTTTTCGCGGCGTTTCGCTCCCTCTGCCTGCGGAGCTTCACTCTCGCATCTGCGCTGACATCCATGCCGTTGTGACCCAGCATCTTCTCCAGTGTCTTCAGGAGTGTCTCCATTCTTCACTATCATCTCTCTGCGAAGACTGTAAAACCTATAATTCCTGTGTCTTTGGTTCATGTGTAGTAGATTGGCCGTGCACTCGGACAGGAGCCAAGTGTTTCTGTACGACCGCTGAACCCTCTACGCCAAGGAATGGTGTCAGTGACGATTGCGACTACGAATGTAGTTCCAGCTTTATGCTCCCGTGCCGAGATTGTTCACAACCGCCGATGTACTTCATCAATCATGTCCGCGACATTCTTTCCACATATTCCAGCTTGGACCCGAAATTCCCCTATGCAAAGTTCCCGTTGAGAAACGGGAATGACATCGACTCTGTCCTCTCCACCATGCTGAGTACCCTTGGCTGCAAAATCAAACCGTCTCCTGTCATGGATAATTGGGGCATTGCCGATGAGGTGGTTTTGGTCCCTAGCAGCACAGCTACCGATGAGCAACAAACCACTCTCGCTCATCTCCGGATTACGTTGCAGCTCTCACCTCGTCCTAGTTCGATTTCTCTACATGTAGCTCACCTTCGTACGGTCACTTATCAGCAGCCAGTTCGGCTGGACACGAGTGCAGGTAAGTGTGCACTTTTCGTTTGAGCAACAACATCGATGGTCGTCGTTTTTCTCAGCACGTTGTCCGCGCCCTAAACCCTTGGGTCTTCTCGTCTGCCTCGTATTAGCTGCTGTAGTTGCATTCGCATCCACTGGTGTTGGGCGGCTAGGTTAATAGCGGCCATTCAGCTATATTAGCCTTGCACCCGTCGGTGGATGGTTGATAGGCGTTCTCCGTTATCCGCAGAATTGGATTCGGAAAGTTCCGCATCCCACTTTCCGAACAAGTTTGCATGCGATGCAGAACGTATCCGATTAGTCTTCATCCAGCACGTGTATCAATACATTTTCTACCTTGCTTCCGAGTTTGTGATATTCAAACCGTTTTGTCTCCCCGCGGACCGGCGATCCGGAGTAGACTTTTACAGGTTCGCGGCGGCCAACGGATCCTTTCACTCTTCCCATACTGTACTGCTTCTGTTTGTACTGAAAAGTATTCATATGCTGTACTTGAGCAGTGCCTGACACACGATGCCCCGTGTTTCGGATAGCTACGTTGCGATTGTCGTTCCAGCGGACGCTGAAGATCAGTTCCGGCCTTAATGGTAACGGGAAAAGTTTAGCCCTCAGAAGGAGGTCGACCCTTGGCAAGTTCACATTATTGTGCCATCGAGTTAGAGGACTTCTGACGCATGTTCCTGACTAGCACCAAGGAACCAAATTGACCCTGTTTCAATATGTGCTGTGCAGGTCCGAAGGGAGGGGTGGTGTGTGGCGGGGTCGAATTCTCCCCTGGATATGGACTAAGTAACGTTCTCTGGAGACTGCGCTGCTGGCGCCAAATGGTCGGATAAACCTTGATATTCAGGGGAGACCCACCAATGATTACAGGGGGTTTATAGATATGAAACGATGGACTGGAGCACCTGTGACGCGTCGCGGGCAGGTGCAAACCACTCAAACTCAGAATGCGTCTAAACAACGTCACGCGGGTGGAATTAGTGGTTACGTGACCTTGAACTTTTGCCACAGGACGTGTTCTCGCCATGTTCATGGATATGAAGGCCTCCGGTGGTACTAGTAAAAAGAGAATGCACACACCCACATAATATGTATCGAAGGCGGATGGGCCGCAGTGCCACATCAACTCACCCATATCACATGCGCACCCCCCGAGGTGAGATGGCGTGAAATTTAATAGACCAGTCCTCGGCCTCAGTTAACCCTGCAAACGTTCAATGCATGAACATGTGACGAACTCCTGTGCGTCACGGCGTCTTGTTTCTGCCTCCATACCCGACGATGAGGCGTAGATAATCGGCCTCTGTTGATGTGACATGAAAAAAGAAGCTTGTTGTACACCAGAGATCACGCTGGAGCACCAATAAAAGACTCGCCTGGCCGTGTCCACATTTTTAGTTCCGATCAGAACGATCGCCGTCGGGTCTGGGATCGTCATCTCCGCTTGTTTGTCCAGGAAAGGAGGTGTCATGGAGAGATGTCACCCGAACAAATAATGAACTTCAAAATTCCTTTAGTCTCGTGAGGTGGAAGGGAATGTAAAATATACAATATGCATTGTGCGAGATACGAAAGCGGACCAAAAAAAACAAGGCACGACGGGAGAAAATAGGAGCTCGACGTAGGCGTCAAGCGTGCATACCAAATGTGACGGGGGCCAGGAGTAAGTTCAAGACGTGCGCACATTCGTTGGACCCTGATTCATGGCCACGAAGGGCGGACGTCCGTTAATACTACTCGAAATCCAGCGTTTGATATGGGTAAGCAAGATTCGGATGGACTTTAGGTGCAGATATCACCTCGAATTGGGATGTGTTATCAAAGCTCCCCCGCCCTTCCGTGTTCGAATCCATCGAAGATGCGGAAAATTGGGAATGGGACGAAGATGCAGAGCCTGGCGCTTGCATCGTCACAATGGAAGAACGCTGCTGCTGCGAAGTGATGCCGAGCATATCTTGTGATGACGACGAATAGTTCGCTTTTGAGCTCATCTTGGACCTGCCGGCGGATTTCCTCCGCTCGAAGATGCCGCTCCCATTCCGTGCGTGATTAGACTGGAGTAGATGGTCAGGAAGTCTAGGACTCGGCGGTACACTATTGTCTAGAACACTAGGCCGCCTCGGCTTTACAGTTTCGTTGGACACAGGGCGTTCCGTGCTTTTCCGCGTGTCAGAAGCACCTGGGTTCTGCTGCGACCCTGTCACTGACTTCCATGACTTCAGAATGGATTTTCGGACGCTCATCTTCTCTCCTGAAGATACGGGAGGTGGCAAGATTGGCGAGATTGGCCGGGTACCGTTGAGTGAAGGTCTTCCGGGGTGAATGGGATATGGGGACTCTTGGTCGAACTGGAGCTGGTCCATTTGCGCCTTCATTTTGCCATTCCTTGCTGCAGCAGTTGTTACAGGTGGTGGTCCAAGTTGTTCCTGCGGGGGCCTGGGTAGCTGGCCCTGGAAAGACATTCCAGGACTAGGGGTAGGAGGCTGAGCAGTGGAGGCAGATGAACCTTTGCTCCTCCGCCACAATTTTTTGAGACCCTTTACACTAACGAGCGCCCCCTGCGCCTTCCCACCTTTATCAACTAGGTCCGTTACTATACTTGAGTCCGCAGAAAATCGGCTAGATTGCGTCGTTGAAGCTAGCGAACCTTCATCCACTGACGACGTCGACGGCCGTGAGTCGGCGGGAACTTCGCAGAACTGTTTTGTGGCCGGATCCCAGTAAGACGACACGGGGAGAACCTGTTCCTCGTACATAGAAGGGTAGCGGCCGAATGGATCTGGAGACAATGGTATGGGGGAGTCGGAGGTCAGATCAGTCTGCCGGGTGAAAGGAGCCGGGACTGTCGCAGGATAGATGGACTGATCAAGTTCCCGCCGTCGTGCTTCTGTCTCCGGTGACATGCCGCCTCTTGCAGAAGGGGGAACGAAAGCTTTGGGAGCCCCAGTGGTGATACCATTCAGCGCCAGTTTAGGAGGTGATGGGGGTAAATCGGAGCGCCGTGAAGAACTGCGAATTGATGTGGCTACAGAGGGGTATGGAACAGCAGGCCAGGCGGCACCGTACGCGTGTGACATGGAATTAGACTGGCTGCTGCAGTATGTGGCTCAACGACATTCCATCTGCACGTTCAGATTTTGCACCTACCGATCGTGTGTTGGGCTGTGGCTCTTGATACCGAACGCATCAGGAGAGTGTGTATTGGTAAGTGTACGGCGGTGGGTGATCGTCAGGTCTTCGTCCACGGTGCTTGTTTTCAGTTGACGAGGCGAGAACTGAGCCAACGTCTGGCAAACTGGTTCACCTCCGCTAGCAGCAGTGATCATCGAAGCTTACCCTTTCTATTTCATCTAATCTCGCCTTCATAAGATATTGACTTCTTCGCCGGTCATTAGGGTCATTCTCGTCGTACTTTGGTAATGTATCATCAGTCTCAGAGAAACGACATACAAACAGTGAACTCGGACCTCCTCTTCGTCATCGAAATCTAACCCGAGATCCAATCCCTCAAATAGGGCGCCGACTCGTTTATCCTCTGTAGGGCTTCGTGAGCACAAATATTCCTGTTCCATCTCAAGGGAAAACCCTTCTTTGTTACGAAAATCGGAATCCTCCGCTATTGGTGAGGTGGTTGAACAGGTCGCATGCGAGGGTAAATCATGGTTGTCTGGAACGACACCTTTTGACACGTTGAGTGAAAAAACCAGGGGCGGAGGTCGTTTACTTCCAGAGGTCGGGGGTGATGGTAAAGGCAGCGCAGACACATTGTGCATGATCTCTCGGACTTCCGTGGCATCGTTTGGTTCATCCTCTGTTTCACGTTCATCGGCCAGCGAAGGAAGAGGCGCAAGTGAGGATGCGTCTAACGCAAGCTCTACTACATTCGGACCAACCTCCTTCCGTGTTCCTTGAGAATTAGAACGGATCCCGGCCCACGTTTCCGCGTCTGTTCCAAATACATCAATCAACGGATCTCTAGCAGAAGTCATGCAAGCGGTCTGGTCCACCAGATGTTCGTCGTCCCCTCCATCTGGAGATCCAGAGAGGGGGGCGTAACCGCCATCATCCACCCGGTCTTCATCAGATTCGTCGGCTGTGCGCAAGAAGCCGGGTTTCTGCATTCTTCCGACCAGCTTGAGATCGAAGGGAGCCCGCCTATCGTCCGCGGGACTAGTTGCCTCACCATTGCGGGACTGAGAACCGGTCCGGTTGCTCGACCGACTTTCCGTTCGTTTGGCGTGGGCGATACGACGACTCCGTAACCAAGGTTCATACCAGCCAGCTCTTCTGCGGTCAATGTCGAACTCTACTTTTGCCAGAATAGGTATGATAGACGGCGATTTCAAGCCCGGCAAATCTATTCCGGGCAGGTCTTGATTTGATGAATGTGAGGTGTCTGGGGTGTCCGGGTCAGTGTGCGATGTGGAGGGAGGAGCTGACTTGGTCTGAGCACGCAAGTCAGAAGCGGATGATGCAGAAGTCGGCGAAGGAGTCAGGAGGTTGGCGGTGGACAGGGGAAGAGGGGTTTCTGTTCGCGTGGGAGTGACCAAGGGCCGAAGTGCCTGAACCTGGACATTAGTTTCTACGGTAAGTCCGAGGCCAAGAGGATTGGGAGTCGGACTTCGAGAGAAGGCGCTCGCCTCGTCGCGTTCCGCACGGAGGACACGCGCCCAGATGTGTCTCCACATGTCTTCTGATAACCGGGGGCCAGGTTCTCCAATGTCTGCTGCACCATTCTGCCTATCCTGTGGAGAGGAACAAACGAGATAAAGAACGATTCCAAGAGTGCTAGGCAGTGCATATTCCCGTGCTATTACGATCAACTGTGCTTGGAGCGTAGACTGCAGCGAAACGAGAATCCCGCGCCGAAATTGGGTGTGATATCCGGATGCGCCAGGTGGAAGCGGTATCAAGTCAGAAGACTCGCCCACATCCGAGTCATGTGGGAGATAAGCCGGAGGGATGACATGAAGAAGATACTTTGACTGTAGAGGCGCAAAGTTGTGTGCAGATGCAACCGAGGGAGTTCCTGCACGACAGCCTATATCGGTATGGGGAGAGTGCGGGTGGGGTGCTGGAGATACAGCGGACTGCGACAAGAATGAATTGCTTGATCCTGTTGCAGGAAGAGGCGCAGCAACGCCGAGAGCATTGGCTAGCTTGGCGAGTCGGTGAGGGGGGAGAGGTGCGCGCGGAGGTGACCACACTGGCTGTTGGCTCTGAGAGCTGGTGGAGGCATGAGAACTTGGTTTGGATGGCATTACGGCTAAACGCAAGGGCGGTTACGGACGAAAAGAAAGAGAGAGAAAAAAGGCTGTTCGATGGCGATGACGATCGACAGACGCACAATTATCTCTTTGCTGGATTGGCCGGACGTTTCTGATCGCGTTTTGCTGAACTAGCAGAAGTGAAAAACGCGATCGCAATGAACTCTTTGCAGAAAAGGATGAAATCAAGCCATACAGAAAGCAGTGTGCCGTCTCAGCCTACTAGTATGAAACGTGAAGGACCGAGTTGCTGAGCTGAGCGCTAAGGCTCTTCACGGCGCCCGCAGCTACAACTGAGCTGCGAAAAGTCTCGCGTTCATCGCAGGTGGGAAGCTATCACCATTTCTGGACAGCACAGTCGTCTCCTGCATGTTCGTACTGACATACCTACTAGCAGTACTTCTGTCCTCGGAGGTCCCTCAGCAAAGGCTTCGTATCAGGTTGCAGATGCTCAGACACGGAGTCCCCTCTCTCCGAGATTTAAGCCCTGTCTGCGAGACCGGCTTGCGTTCCGGACGATCGCCGCATCAAACCCATAAGTACTTGTATTTTCCGCCGACGACGGATATATGAATTCATTAAACCCTCATGACCATCGGAGTCTGCGCCAGCTCTGCCCCCTGTTTTTATTTTTTCACGAGTGGGAGGAGACTGCAGGGTCAGCCTCTCGCCCCACTGCTGTGCTTCTGACACCGAAGAGGTAGATAAGGTACATACTTGCCAACGGCTATCGAACGTCACCGGTGCTGATACCGGTAGGGACGGCAGCCGTGCATACCACAAGCTCCACCCTCGTTCGACGATCGACAATGAGTACTGAGTGCTGGCTATTGGATCAACCTTTTGATGGGGAGTGTGCTCCCCCCGGTCGTTAATATGCAGATGATGCCTCGAGGCAGCTCATATAATTAGCGAGTTTATGTCGGGCCAGCGGGTCGCAGCACGTACTCCTCCGTGTACAAAGCATCGTCTTCTCGTTGTTCTCTAGTGTACAAACAAGAGTGCGTGAGAAAAGTGGGAGAGGCTTAAACCTGTTGTGTGGGGTGTGTGGCTTTCGGTTCTGGTCCCTCGAGCGTGAACGAGGGCCATTCGACAGTTTTCTGATTCTTGGATCTCGTTTCTTCCTTCTTCTCTCATTCTTCGGTCCCCTTTCTTGCCTTTTATTCACGTTTCTTCACGATCCACCAACCCACACTTTTCATTTCAACTCCACGACCCCTCCACGACCTTGCAGACGATGGATCAGCAACAGCACCAACAGCATATGCCAGATGATCACACCCAAAATCTCGGTGGAACGAATCCTTACGGGTATTATCCTGCCGAGCAAGAAACGTCTTACATCGCGTACAACCACCAGCAGATTCAGCAACAGTCTTATCCAGTCGTACAGCATCCTGGCCCTCATCCGCGTGGGTTCTCCTTCCTCGCGTCTCTTGACTCGCCTTAACCGCATGTTGATCTGATAACGGGCTCGTGTAGGCCATCTCTCCGCGCCTGACCTTCATCAAGGCCTGCAGTTCCATAATCTCAGCCTCATGTCCTCGCATCATCAATATCCGCCACCTGTTTACACCTCATCGCCACAACATGTGTCCATGACTCTGCCTGCTGGCTCTCCCCCTCCGCCCTCTCCACACATGTACGATCCCTTGTCTCCCCCCATTTCAGGATCGGACACTTCAGCGGACGGCGTTTACCACCATTCTAGAAACAGCAGTGGGACAGGCTCCCCATCATCCTCGAGAGGTACTAGCCTAGTACATCGTTCCTCCTTACGCTACAACCCTACCCCTTCCCCCACCACGAGTTCATCCGGACGACGCGTTCGAGGACGCTCATTGAACGACTCAGACGACGACGACATGGGCGCCACATTTGTAGAGAACCTTGCCCACTCCCGCAAAGAGGCTACCAGGCGGCAGAGGATCGAAGCTGAGCAGAGGCGTAGAGACGAATTACGCGACGGTTACGCGAAATTGAAAGACGTCTTGCCCGTTTCCAACCAGAAGAGCAGCAAGGTATCGCTGCTCGAGCGAGGTGAGCTAGTGCTTCCCCTTGATTGGTCTAGGCATCGGCGGCGTCACTGACATGCATGCTGTAGCCACCAATCACATCATCTACCTCGAGAAAACCACACAGGAGATGCAGGCCCGTCTGCTTGTGTTGGAACAGGAGGTTCAGCGGTTACGAGCAGTCAACGAAAAGATCTCGCTTGGCGTTCCCAGCGCCACCCCCTCCCCAGGCTCGGTTGCTGCCGTCACTAACAATGGCAATAATGCCATGCATGGCATTGATAGTCGACCCCTATCTCCGCCTCCAGAACCGGGCATGCCCGCACATTCCCTCACTCATGTGCAGGGTCAGGAACCGCCGCGGGAGGACTCACGGAGCCCTGCTGAAGCATCAGAAAGATACTGATCCCAGCTCCGAAAAATCATTTTCTCGTTGGACGCTACTGCATGCTTTCCATTGTCTTTTTTCCCAACGTTGATTTTTCTTTTCTTTTCCCATTTCTTTGTATCGCATCTCTTGTTCTTGTCGCGCAATTTGTATTTTTTATTCTTGCTCCATTCGGCACAACAATAGGGAGTGGCGAGTTCTGGACTCGCAGGAGGGCTGGTCGAGCTATTTGGCGCCCGGTAGCGCTTACGCACAAAGGAGCTCATTCACCTCGTTATCTCACTTGTCTGGTTCTTCTGGAATACTTCTTCCATCGCGGCTCGATATCCCGACACGGCTGGTTTACCAAGTTATCTCGTTCTGAGAGCGAGACGCATGATCGCAACTATCGCAAAATCCGCTTGATCACGGTTGCATTATCAACCCCGTCTTGGCCTCGTGTCATACCCTTTTCGCCTTGTCTGCCCCCCGTCGACTGTCTCGTTTTTTTCGGGCCCCAGTGGATCTGGCCGTTTATTTACGTCAACGATGTCAACCGTCGATGATGACGGGCCGATAAGTGTGCAACGTGTCCGTGGATAGATGTCGGACGGAAACATTTTGAAGGATCTCCATCACCCTTGCGCCCGTCCGCCTACTTCCGGCTTTCCGTTGAGTTGTGCCCTCCTGCGATTCCTACTGCACCCTTTCCTTGGTGGCCAATATTGATACCTTTTTTCCTCACCTTTCTTCTGACCTTCTCGTTCTCGCTTTTTTTTTTTCGTCTTTTTTCCATTTACGCTTTACCCTTTTTTTTTTTCCCATCACGATCACAGATGTCGCCAGACGCACGCCGTTTGGCTACTCCGTTCCGCCTTTTTACTGCCGTCCAGTCTGTGGTATGGGCTGGGTCACGCTAGCACGAGCACGGGGTACAGGATGCCCTCTGACACGCTACCAGCTACGACACGCAGGATACGACCCCATGTACACACACCCTTCACCCGTGATGAAACGTGATGAATCATTCAAATTCACGAATGCTGGAACGAAATTGCACACGATTTCCTTTTTTTTTTCTTTCTCGACCCACGCAATGACGAAGCCCCACCCGTCGCCTCCCCAATGGACATCCGATATCTGCGATCACAAAATTGACGCGTGGCTTTCTTGAAGGAAGCTATGGTGCAATTAGATCGGAGTACAGACCTACGGCGTTAGACGTAATTCGGGTGCCCAGTGCTTTCCGAGATGCTGGGCTGGGGGAATACCATCGACACGCATCACGATTCCTTTAGCTGATGGGACTTTGGTTCAGTTGTGGCCGCAGAGTGAGGGCGCGATAATATTGGACATGATATCGCTAGTTTGCTTGTTGTGCATGTGCATGCTTAGCTAGTTTCTCCTCCGCAATGATACCGCTGAAAACGGTCCATCCTCCGTGGGGGTTCTCTCATCAGCTGAAGATGGCACCCTAAAGAATTTGATGTAGGCGAACTCAAACTGCAGTATTCTTGTTTAGATGATGCGTTGACAGGACGCATCTCTTCTCCACTGATCCCATTGGTTCCCCTCAGCCTCCGACCCCAAGGAGTAACCCAAAATTAAATCGGGGTCGCTCTTCTCCTCTGTTAGGTTGGTATCACCGTTGCCGTCGCAAAGGCTTTGAAACGAGGCTGCATGCCAAGGCCCGAAATTGACCGATTCGTCTCTCAAAAGTTTTCATTACCAACATCAGGCTGCCACTGTCGTCGTTGGTTGCCTTACTGATACTACGCACGACCCCCTGACCGCCGAGCCGCACTGATGGATCCCTTGAGGCAGACTATTGATCTACGGCCAGGGATCCCTTTATCAGAAACTGCTCTTCACTGCACTTCAGTAACACAAATTGCATGTCTGGACTCGGGCAACCTCTCACATACTTGACGGCCGTCCCGCCTCCGTCCCATCCAGAAATATACATTTCCGATATGTCCTATGCTAAGCGGCAAGGGGCAAATAGCCCGCAGACCAGAAGGGCTGCTGCAGGCCCTACACCGACGAAAACCAAGGGTCAAATGGCCAAACATAAACACACACCTTAATCATTTTGAAATACTTCAGTACAGGTCGAGTACCGATCGGGCCAATCAAAAAGAATGGGCTTAACTTTAGAATCTAGATGCCAGGGTCGCTGCGTTCATCCCTCCATCCTACGAATGCTGCGAGCTAATCTCTCGTGTTTCTGGGAATATGTACAAGTATATGAGCATTGCAGTCAGAGTTATATATGTAAGTCATCCATGTACCGAGTTGCCCGTCGGTAAGCCACCCGAGCGTAGTCGACACGAGAGGACAATTAGATTTAATTAACTGACTCCCAATGGGTCGGACGACCAACCAGGCTTAAGTTTTAATAAGTGGCTACCCCAACGGGTCGTTCTTCCTGAGCACCCACACCCACGATACCCTGAATGCTGTCCAACATGTAACTATCCATCTGGTTATGTAGCTAACCCTCGTTCGCCACTTCGACGAGCGTGGTTCAATTCGAGTCTAATAATAATCCGCATGGTAGGCCTAGCTGGAACGACCTGGAACTTCTAAGGTTGTGGAGTCGCTTAGAGAGTCGCAACTGGTTATGACAGGCTGAGTTTTTAATAGGTGGCTCTCGCAGCAGGTCATTCTTTCTGGACACACCACCCTGAATGCTGTCCAACCAGTAACTATCCACCGGACCACGTACCCTCGTTTGGACACCACTGCGACGAGCGTGGTGGAATTCGAGTCTTATTATTATACACATGGATGTTGCTACCTGGAACGACCTGGAACTCGGAAGTCGTGGACCCACTTTACGGAGTTATAGCCGGTATCTACACGACAATAGGGCTGATTTACTTCGGGAGTCGCTAGTTGGTCTGCGGTGGGTAAACTGATCAACGGTTGTAGTGATGAAACGAAGTGCGTGTGTATGGCTATGGAGTCGGAACGTAGCCGGACGTCGGGAACGGGATCCCTCACCGATATACGGATGTCCTCGGAGTCCACGTACCTCGTCCAGGAATTCGAGTTGGCAAGTTACTCTGCTAATAAGGCCGGTTGGTGGTTATCACGTTAGATGACTCGAACAAAGATTTAGAAGACTTGACTCCAGTCAAATGTTTAAGCTATCACGGCAACCTATTCATATCTCGGAATGCTAACATTTGACCTGGACGTCTAGATAATACATCCGCCAGCCAACATTAACGCCCAGCCACAGGAACATCCGAGGGCACTTGGACTGAGGGAGAGTCCATTCCTACGGATACTTCTTTCCCAGGAAACGGTGCTCGTGATCATGGATGATCATCGGGCGTTGGTCGTGTGGGCACGATCATGATTTGGGGAGAGAATCGCCAAGTGAGGATGACCAGACCCACGTCTACGGGCCGGTAACCGTGATGTCAGTCAACCTCATAATCAAAGTGCGAAGTAGGGTCTAGGAGGAAAGGGTAAAACCGTGACGGGGAATTGGAAACGTTGAAACGGAGGCAGATGATAGAGCCCGGTTTCAGATATGGAACCAGTGACGCGGGGGGTGGCTCGGACGAATTGAAAAATCATTGTGAACGTCCTTGAGGGTAGTAACGATAAGGTATATACGTATGTGGGGATCCGACAGGCGGAATGAAAAAGAACTTATCGTCATTTGGGATGCCCAGACGCAAGTGGCATGATGCGACCGGGGCGGAGGGTATACCGGTACTTGTTTTAGGATGGACCGGGCTACCTGTTCTGTTTGGTACTAACCCCCCCTCGATGAACACGGGGGCCATCCAAAATTAGTGTTGGAATTCCCAGTAACGCTGCGGGGTTGGATGCGAATAAGTATGGTGGAAAGTTCCAGAGGTTGGCGGGGTAGCCGGATGTGCGAAGTAAACGTAGTACTAGGTTGGCTAGGCTTGTGAACGGTACATAACATCGCGTCTCATTGTATAGTAATGTACAGTAATGTACCTATGGAATGGAGGGAAGCCACATGTTAGTACTCCGGAACCAAAGGCTTCCCGGTAGGGGACTAGAATCCCAAGTCGGTTGTTCCGCGGTGATGTAGTAACGGTACGGCGCCCCTCGCTTGTTCGAAAAGGGGGGTTTCAGTGAAGGAGGAAACGTCGGGCATCTCTGTCAAACTAGGGCGCGGTTGACATGATGCGACTCAATGTGGCGTTGTGAAAAGGAAAGCGACAAGGTCAAACCAGAAAAGGTGTCTCTGCTGTGCCCTTGGCGGATATGAACTGTCGAGTCAAATCTAAATCCCGCCACCTCAGATCAAGGGAGGTATAGTCTACTACGCAATGACGCAACGGGTGTTCTGGCGGCCGCTAAGAACAAGAACACGCGTCCTTTACTTCTCTTGTCAATGGTACAACAACTGTGCTATACGTGGCGAGGTGACAAGGCGATTTTCAAAGATGAGTGGACCAATACGGCGTAGTCCTGTTTGTCACTGCTGCAATGATAAGAATGCACGCAAGGCGTGCTGTGCAATGGCAAACGCGCCAAGGGTCCACATACATGAAAGATGTAGTGGCGGCAAACGAATTCAGGTCTTCAGGGACCAGCTGCGCGCGTGTGAGTAATACAGCTAAGTACTGTAGATGCAAGGACACTTATTAGGGGGCCGGCCATTCGAAGATCACAAACCGAGTGGCAAATGGCAACCTGTCAGAGTACTCCCAAGGAGGGGTGAAGAGGCTTTTCTGGTACACATCGCTCTGATCTTGATAGAAGTGAGATCTGATTGAGATCGTACGTATGGCAGGCCGATCGCTGTGATGAGTGGTACGACAAAGAGAGGTGTCACGCCGTCACACCTTCGTGACTTTACCATACCCCCTGCCGCACTGCACGTCACCTGCCCGCGAAACGGGACTGTTTGGGGCAATACAGAGTAAATAATAGATTCTTCCTCCTCTATAGTGCGACAATGTGGAGGCACCATGGATCGCATGACCCTGTGGTTGGGAAGGAGCCAATCTTCTACTGAGCACTCGACCCGCTACACATACAGGGGTAGGATATAGTTTTGTGACGAATCAAGGGACACCGCTCTCGATCCCTTTCATGAATTTGGAGCCTTCCGAAAAATGGAAGAGAACCCTACATCCACAGATCTTCTCACATTTCACTTACAACCGTGGAGGATCGATTCTTCGCCTCTCCCATTCACTAGATTGCGGCCGCAAACGCTCGTCTATCTGGTAAGCCATCTCGGTTGGCCGATCTGGTAGGTGCACGTCAAGCACCGTGGTTTTTCTTCCCAGACGTGCACGCTACGCTGCTGATGCGCCTGGCTTATGGACTTCCGTGACTGTTGTCTTCACGTCTTTACACTGTTTCGGGCATCGTTTCGTTGAGCAAAGTAGCGTTCTGTCTTGTCCACTGCGACCCTGTGGCCGTGCGTTTTCAACGGGGTCATTACGCTCTTTTCGGTTCTGGTCCGTGATTTTGACCCACTCAAAGCTTGGCTGATGAAGAGTCGTCATCTTTTTTTTTTTTTCTTCCATACTCAGCGAACGTCCGTTTGTCCATATGTCGCATCTGCTCCGATCAGCAGGTGTAACGGCAAGCACGATGGGTGGGCAGTCGGATGCCGCTGTTTTCGGTTTATTTCTCTCTTGCGAGTGGGCCCCTCAACTATGGGACGGTCGATATGAACACCGCGGGGAAAGGAAGCTTTGGCATTCTGCTTTCCTTCTATCTATTGAATGGATGGAGTGAGGCAGAAACAGAGCCTATCTGTTTAATCTTATCCTTGGTAAACCATCGGGTTTATCGTGATTCGTCTGCCGGTCGACTAAACGAACTGGCCAGGGGTTCGTTAGGTCAGCCTGCCCTGATGGGAAGACAAGACCAGCATCGCCTCCTCTGGACAGGCAGTTGCTGCGTGGAGGTATGTAGATTGAATGCCATCCCTCCTTAAAGTCTAATTACGTGGATATGATAACGTCATTGAGATACAAGACGTGTCATTCCAACCCACTTGGTGTGAAGAAGCCGGGTTCATTCTTTGTGATCTTGCTCGCTACAAGATGTTGTAGTGAATGGAGTAAAAATTATTTCGGGCGATAACATGGACCTACAGGATTTGATTACTGTGCCCGTCCACAATAGATGGACGAAGTCGATAACGCAGATGGGCCGACTGGCTGATAGGCCAGAATCACGGCAGTTGTAGTCATTATAATTTTTCAAATCCCACCCGCGATTAAAAGCGCTCTAATCCCTTGGGAGGATGGTTCCACAGCAGGTACCAAGGTTACGGATATAGATGAAAGGCATCGTCTTGTGTTTTGGGCGCTCCGCTGAGTTAGGTGATAAGAGAATGTTGGAAAATGGTGAACGTTGAGCGTCAGAGGGTGAGTGCTTAGTTGGGTTTCGTCATCATGAAGAAGAGGATGATAGGGTGTAATGATGATGGATCAATGCAGGGAAGGCGAGCTGATCACAAAGTTAGCGCAGTGGCGGACAGCGTATTATGAAAACAACGTTGCAAGGAATTCTGTCGGCAAACCGAGAGTGGGAGCCGGGTGCCGCTGAGAGAGGGCGGATGAGTGGTTCGGTGAGAACAGATTTGAATGACATGATAGAGCGTCTGGAGCACGGGGAGGCGGAGCGGTGTGACCGGGGGAGAGGGGGAGTGTGTAAGTGAATCAGGGTCATGGGCAGAGGGGGGGGTTGAGGAATGCAGGGAGATTCATAACACGCAGCACAGACCACAGACCGGCGAGATGCCGAGACGAGTGTGACAGAGACAGAGAGGGAATAGCTTTCATATCAAATGAAATCCCCGTTTGAGATCCTTTTTTCTACGCACAGAAGGCTTCACACAAGGGACTAGAAATTCCGATCACAACACGAGGCAACACCCCCCCTTCTTTTCCCTTATATGGAACATACGCGTTTCCTTCCTTATAGGGAAAGACCTAGCCGAATCGGGTCCAGTTAGGAAGGATATAACGACGGAATCAAATCCGTCTCTGGTCCTCCCCATCTTCTAACCTTCGCATCCTCGACTCCGCGTCTCCTCGCTCCTCCTTCCTCCCGCCCTTTTTTTCTTTTCTTTTCTTTTCTTCTTCTTTTCTTTCGCTTGCGTGCAGATCTATTGTGCGGCCGGGTCGTATAAGCCAGCTCTCACGTAAGTATATCTTATTGCTTTTGTCTGTCCCTTGTCGACGCTCAACACAATACCATCGATAGCGCCCCAGTGCCTTTTATTGCCGTCCCCTCCGTCTGTCTGCTGTGCAAACACATCCCCCGCCTACCATTCAAACCGACGTTCCTCTCGCCATGGACTCCACTTTGCTCGAGCACCCCCGCAGCCCCAACTTCATTGACGGCCCCTTCGCCTACGACTCCCTCAACCTCGAACCCTACCTCCAATATCCTCAGTCCCCATACGGCGTCTCCACCATGGCATGTGAGTCTCATCAATCAGGATCTACCATCAGGTTATATTTAGCTCACCGTCACGTGACAGTGCCGGGTCCATCTTCCTCCTCCCCTCGTCTCGACTTTGACTCGCTGAACTTGGCTAACACCATCGGAGAGTACTCCTACTCGTCTGCTGCCTACACCACCGCCTCTCCGGGCCGGTCATACACGCCTGCGGACAACAGCGGCATCTCGCCCCCTGCTGTCTACAATATGAGTGCTGCTGAATTGTCCTCGGATAGCCTCACCTCAGGCAGGCGCAGCCGTGGCAGTGGAACTCACTCCCCCGCCTCAGTTCACAGCGTGCCCTACGCAGCCGTTCCCCGCTCCCATCGCTTCAACCCCCTCGCCGCTCCTGCCACTCGCTCGGCAGCCAAGTCTGCTCGCAGAAAATCTCGCAATGAGGACTCTGACGACGAAGACGAGGACTTCCAGCCCGCCACCAACAACTCTGGTTCCACCGATGCCCGCCGCGAAACCATTCGCAAGCAACGCATCGAGTCGGAGCAGAGGCGTCGCGATGAACTCCGGGACGGTTACCGCAGACTCAAGGATGCCCTTCCGGTCTCGAATCAGAAGTCAAGCAAGGTGTCCCTCCTTGACCGCGCTACCACTCATGTCAAATATCTCGAGATGACTGCCCAGCAACTCCAGGCAAGACTCCAGCAAGCAGAGAACGAAGTACAGCGGCTTCGTACGTAAGTACCCGCGTTGTCAACTGTCACGATCAGCTACTAAATAATAGTATATCAGTGTCAACGAAGCGCTGATGCTCGGCACAGCTGAGCAGAGACACGCAGCTGCTGCTGCTGCTGCTGCCGCCGCCGTGTCGCAACAATCACAGTCAAATTTCTGATTGTTCGCTTGACATTGGCCATTGCTGGAAGAAAATCTGGAGACTGCCCTCCTCGCCGTCGGTTTACTTATTCTTCATGCACTATATTATTGCACACGGATGACAGCATTGTACACTGGAATACCTGCCTGGAAGCGGGTCGCATTTTATCACAATGGACTTTCTGCATCGCATTTTTTTTTAAATTTCCTTGCATTTTTTTTTACGATCGCAGCAGCCCCGGTGTTCCTCAGCTGTCCGCGACACGCGCCACCATCCAACTTTGGGTTCGGAGACGGTCCTTTGGCCGCGCCTATCGCTCATGACGTGTTCCTTCGTCACAGGTTGGCCTGTGGTCGGCCTGTTGGCGGGTCACGTACGCTTGAGCCGGAGGTGTCATTCAGAGGATGAAGATTCGGAACCCACAGAGCCGGTTGTAGGATGATTCGACACGTCACAGACACAAGACCGCGAACTACGAGAAACGTTGCCTGTGCCCCCACGCGAGTGGCGTGCGCGTTTCGATGCGTCCGCGTGCACCTCTTGTTCTTTTTTTTTTTTTAAAAATCTCAGTTGTCGCTTCGTCGATCTCCTCCCGTTCTGCATACCTCCGCTACGCACTTATAGGCGACGACCACTTCGCTGTGGTTACGTCCCTCGTGCGTGCCGATACACTGGCATTCATCCCCACGTCCGACAACCTCCGACGTCTTCCGCACCACTATGGCTTGGTGTCATATGTACATCTCGAGGACTGCCCGCGATTGCTCTCACGTCTCCGTCATGAACTGAGCGCCTCATCTGCGCTCGCTTCACGACACGCACCGCTCTCTTACCCTCCATCACCTCCGATTATTTCAGCGACGGAGACATCCAGACTGTCTTTCCTTTATTGCACTCATTGGGTGGGTGAATTCTATGTGCTATTCACGAGTCAAGGGCATTGTTAGGTGAATCGTAGACCACTCGACAGTGAGGTATATCCCTTCCTTTGTTTCCCGTACCATGGCCGTCTTCAGTGAGCTCGCTCCCTTGACGACGTTTCGCCAGTCGAACGTTTGTTGGGTGGTTGCTTGAGCACCTGGGTTTGGCTTCTGTGGGCGAGGGGGCACAGGTTGGTGGAACCTGTGGTTCTGGTCTGTTCCTGCTTGCAGGAACTGGAAGCCACTGTTGAGCTGCGTTCTCTTCGTCTTTTGCCCACGACATCTATTACTGCCGCACAAGTCTGTTTGTGTTGATCTCGCTGAATATCGAATCCGCGTCATTACTCTACTGTCCTACCTGGTCTCGCTTTCTTTATTGCTCTGTTCTGAATGCGTCTGGTCTGTTCTTTCGTAGGTAGTGTAGCTGTCTATTGGTTCAGATGACATGTACACGATTCCTTGCACCTGCGATGTATGTAGTGCTTGTCTTGTGCCTACTGTATCAAATTTGAACGACCTCGCATGAATCTCTGGAAAATGGGTGTGATTTCCGCATTTGATTGTTGGACATGTCGTATTATCGGCTGATGATCGATAACTAACCTGACTAGGTCAGACGAGTGTCGACCTTCTCAATATCATCCATACATTCGACCGACGCCGACGATGTCCCCAGCACCGACGCTGAACGGCACCCCAGATGAGAAGGCGGTCGTACGCCGCCAGCTTAAGATCAAGGTTGCCGCTGCTAAACGGTACGATTTGCCATCAAACGTCCTACCGCACATATTGCGCACATTTCTTCATATTCTCCCCCGTTCTTGCATTTGCCTTGTAGGTATAGCTCTTCTCCGCTTTCCGCCTATCTCTCCGTGACTCGATGGCCCGCTGCTTCGGGACCAGAGGATATATGAATCGTAGTAGAGCTTCTGACTGACATCACTCATCATCATCATATCATTATCATGCCGTCTCCATGATCCATCACTACCGTGACAGAAGCTCTCATCTCATTTTATGTTTACGATTTCCGTGAATTGGCATCTTTACTGACCTGCATGATACATGGCACATAACCGCAATATCGGAACCACACACACACGGACACGCGTTTAGGCTTCTGAAAGAACACATCTTGTATCGCGACGAAGCGCATGCTCAGGGGCAAAAGCTGAGCAAACTTGCCGAGGAGAACGCAGATGAATGGGAACTCAAACACGCTGTGAGCGATTCCCTTTTCTTTACTGCTTTAAAAAAATCGGACCCCGTTCCCATGTTCCCTTGGACCCCTTTTTTTTGCTGTGTGGATGGAGAGTTCTGGTCCCTTTTGCTGTGTTTCATGTGGCTGCGGATCGGGGGCAGCCCCTGTGGTTTCAATGCCAACCTCTTAGACGGCACGCCCTGTTTTACCCTTGCGTGCCAACTGGCATACTGCACCAGACCAGCGGAAATTGATATGAGACAGCTGCGACGCTAGCACTGATCATTCGAGTCAGCGAGTCTTCTCGTCACTTCCTTTTCCTTTCTCTTTTCTCCCTTCTAACCTCCACGGCATGCGTATTCATACGCCACCGCGCGGAAAGGGATGAATCCTATTTTTGTTAGCCTGCTTCCTATACGCTATATGACGGTGGCATTTAATCTTTCGTCATCGTGGTTCGAATTCCACAGATTCCAACCAAGGGGGAACGTGCGGACTGAACGTACGGTTCGACCCTTGGGTGTGGTTGACGCGCACAAGTGAAACGATGAATACTAATGAGCTGTGTTTTCTGTTTTGGAACTTCATTTGCTCTATAGAGACGGATAGCAGAAGAGTCACAAAGAATGGTCAATGATACACGTGATAGGCTGGACAAGACTGTCCAAGAACTCACGTCGCTCGTTGTACGTCCCCCCTCGCTTCTCCGTCTTCGTTGTGACTGATATTCACACCTTGCGTCATGCACCCTCGAAATCCTTCACCCTTCTACCGTCGCCCTCTGACGGTCATGGCAAATCAATTCGATTATATGCTGTTGTTGTGATGGAACAGGCTTCTGTCAAGAATAAGCCCGAGTTTGAGAACGATGAAGAGTTGGTCAAAGCCGAGGAAGCACTAAAGGAAGCGAACGCGTAAGTCAGTAAAGCGCATCCTCCCGTGGCATCCTCCACCTTTATCACAGCATATGCACGACGTTTTGACCCCTCATTTCGGCAGACACTATTCGCTTGCTGCTCACATCACCGGAACCCTCTACCTCCAACGTGTGCACAGTTAATTCCCCTCGTTTGAGCGGTAGCCAGTAGAGACGTAGTGTAGCGACCCTCTCCTACATCCAACACCATCACCCTGTAGTATCCCTGCTAGCCCGAATTTGATCCCGAACCCGACTTGTGGTTGTAGATGACTGTCCTGCATTTCCGGATTCTTGTTCTTGTTCGCGAGCGGCCTTGAGTTTATTCAGGGCATTTAGAATACTAACCCATGCGTCGCGGTCTACCCTCTCTTCTTGCAGGCCCCTGCTGACCTCGGTCGCGCCTTCGCTTCCCCTATTCAAACTGCCAGTGCCAGTGCCTGCGCTCGACGTCGGTATGCTTACACCGAGGGAGGGCGGGATGAAGTTGGGAGGCGGCGCATTGATCGCAGATGGTGCTATACGGGATTGACGGATGTGAGCGAGAGAGGAGCGAATGGCAACTTGAATGGCCTTCGTATATCATCAAGGGGACGCGTACGATTGGCAACATTAATGTCGGTAAGGAGCGCCAATGCGTCATAAAAGAGCGGAAGCGAAAGCGACTGGTATACTCACATCCAGTCGTTGAAAATACTCGCTCACTTTGGCCACGAACTCCTCAGAGCGTTCTTCGCCCTGAGGTAATTCGTCTCCTGGTTCATCCGTCTGTGGAAGGGCGAGCAGTGACACCGAGGACGCTGATAGCGACAGCAGTTGGGTGATGTCCTACACACAGGGAATGCCGATGAAAGGGCCCCGAGACTAGGGAGCGGCATGCCTACCCACTTTCTCTACTTCTCCTAAAGCATAGATCTGACGCGCTGTACGGCTGGATGTCCATATGGGATCAATCGCATCTTCGGGGGTCCTTTGCTCCTGGGCCATCGTGTATGTTTTTGAGAGGATAAGCTTTGAACAGCGGGTCGATTTGCAAGTGATTGCACGTCGTTGAAGCAGGTGTTATATCGCGCTCGGTACACGCGGACTTCCGATCACGTAGTAAACTGTCGATCCCTGCGATAGACTACTCTCCCCGTTGAGCCAATGCATGACATTATTGCATGCGATACAAAAGCAGATACACAGCATAACCAAAGCATAAACGACGATAGATATGATGCAATTATAAGGACCTCGTAGAGTAGCAGATCGGGTGTTCGTCCAGCAGTCAAAGACTCCAAGCAGGGAGGTGCTCAAGTACTCATGTATCAGCCGAGCTTGGCCTTCTTGGACGGTTGCGGCGTTCCCTTCCCATCCGCCTCTTTCCGCCGCTTCGTGCCACCCCCGCATTTGATGTTGCTCAACATATCCTTATACCTGTCCTTGACGATGACTGCAATCCGCCCAACCTCTGACTCAATCCCATTGAACGTGATGGCATTCCGGATCATGAGGTCCATGTCGGTCTCAAACGCTTCTATAGTGTCGTACTTGTCGGTGTCTAGCTTCTGGCGAATCGTCCGCAGATCGCGCGCATCTTTCTTGGGGATGATTTGGAAGTAGGTCGGGATACCAAGCAAAACCGGATCCACAGGTTCCCGGAACACGAATGAGCTAGTCAGAAAACCAAGTTAGAGACCCGGACAGGTAACAGTTTCAGGGGGCATACATTTCATCCTTGACCAAGGATGTCACGAGTCCTTGTAGGCTTCGCTTCTCCGCCCAAGAGAGCTTCCTCTCAAAAGCTTTACTCCATTCTCTCTTGAACACCTTTTCGACAGCGTCCGCGCAATTAACGGGATATGTGGTAGGAGGATTGAATTGTCGGCAGTTACTGAACACCAGCTCCGCGTCTTTGGCGAACTCCTCCATGGTAACGTATTTGCCTTCGGTCAACTTTTGACCCATCGTGCCAAAATCCATCGGGTGAGCAATCTCGTCGAAGTACCTGGAGGACAAAAACTCGGTGACCATACAAGTAGAGAGAAGTCATAAACGTACGTAGGACACCCATCCCTCACTGGGTCTACGGGTTGCCCAAAGATAGGGTATTCAGGAAGCCTGGAAAGAGCCTTCAGGATATCCCGACATTTCTTCTCGTTGAGGGGTATGGCAGCAGTTGTCGGTCGTGGCTTGGAGGGAGCGACTTGGTTATTATGAATTTCCTTTTCCTTACCCTTGTTTGATGTGCGAGGTGCCTCTGCCGCTGGTGTGGAGATTTCTGCCGGTTCAGGAGCCTTCTCCTTCTTGGATTTCGCTGCGGGAGGAATTATCTTCAATGTTGGAGTAACAGAGAGTTCTGGAGCTGGGGTGGACGTCCCCGATGTCACACACGGCGCGTTGGCCTTATCCTTCCGTGAAAGCGGTGTAGCAAGGGCCAGAATGTCATCGTCTCCGTCCACATTATGTTTCCTGCGCTTCCCAGGAGGTCCACTTCCAGAAGCTCTGCTGGGAGAAACATCTCGAACGACTTCCTTAGGTTTGCGATGTCGCTTTTCCTCGTTTCTCTCCCGTTCAATTGCAATAACCTCTTGAAGAAGATCGTGGGACCCGTCGTCGACGTAAGGCGGTGGTGCCTCGTCTGGTAGGATAGGTTTGCGCACTTTGGCCACGACAGGGGCTTTGGGTTTTTCCTGAGCCTTCTCGGCAGCTTTAGCCTGAGTACCGCCGACCTTTAGCTTGACAATTCGTCTTTGTTGCGGTGCGGGAGCAGTAGGAGTTGTAGTTGGTACCTCCACAGTGGACTTCGATGAAGACTGTTTGGCCGTATCGATTTGCGGGACTGCGGATCGTGACTCGGAGGTCTTGCCCGCGACTTCAAGAGTCTTATTGATGCGATTCCACACTAACAACAGCTCAGTGGCAAACGCAACGCGAACCAGAAAATACTTACGCTTTTCGAAGAAGATGTCGAAGTTAATGGCTTCCGTATGTGCAAACGTGCCGTGCGGACTGTACTGTTTCGCATTCGAAACCATGAGACGGAAATCTGCTTCGAGCGCAAAGCGATCCTTGTACATCCCCTCTTCCAGCTTAGCGCCTATCGTACTCAAGTCCATAGGATTCTTGATAACCTCGTAGTAGCTAAGAAAAGTTAAGTTTCACGCGGGGAAAGGAGCTATGACACCAACTTTGGTGCATGGTCTCGGACAGGGTCCACTGGCTGTAAGAAGATTGCCGCATTTTTGTGCAATCTCAGTTTCTTCAGTGCATTGCGACAAGCACGCAAGTCATTTAGGCTCATTCCGCCGGATTGCGCCTTGGGAACTTGAGGAGCTTTGACGCCGTTTGCCATTGGCTGCCGGGCTTTCAGCTTCGGCTTGATCTTCGCGGCCGGTGGAGGCACAGTTCGGGGAACATGCGGTGGGGGGGCGACAGGAGCAGTCGAGGAAGAAGCACGGACTTGTGACCCGCTAGGCGCAATCTTCAGTTTGGGAGGCGCAGGCGCGGGGACGAGTGGGCTTCGCGTAGGCGGACCGCTGGTTTTGACTGGCCGCGCTGCCACTTTGGGAGGGAGCTTGATTGGCGGTGGTTGCTCCGCAATGGGTGTCGGAGGTAAGTGAATGGTCACTTTCGGCGGAGCTTCCTCGACACCCCGCAGAACGATATCAGCGAGCTTGATTATACCCCATCGAACTTCATGGTCAACATTAGGAGCCCTGGGCAGGGTAAACATGCAGCTTGGGCTAAGGAGGGGGCCACACTCACAGTGCAATGGGCATTAAGAACTCCCGCAAAACCTCATTCTTGCCGATTTCTCGGTCTTTACGAAGGACTTTGATCATCAAGTCCACATCGCTCTTCTTGTTCTCTTTCGCTTTCTCTTGAACGGACCCATCCTCTTCGATGAGTAAAGACTCTGAATCCTTCATTGCGTTTTTCATCTCGCCCATGGTCACCAGAAGGGCCAAGCTCTGGCACACGCATCGAGCCACATGGCGCCTTATGACTCGGCAGGGGTCATTAGCCATGACAGCCAAAATATATCGCATAATAGCGGGAGTGTACCACTGCTTCGACATGAATAACCCGTCGAATGCGGCGATCCGGACTTGCGTGTAATTTCCTTCTCTGATGACGATAAGCAGGAGTGTCAATCGGCCACCAGAACAAACATACCGAGTGAGAGGGAAGAACACACGGAGGTCGTGAGGAACAAGATTGGCCGTTGTCATCAGCAAGTAAAACTGAGCGCTGTCAGAAAACGTCATTTATATTCGGATGCCTACTTACCTCCAACACTGCTATTGATACCACATTGTGAGGTGAGGGGATAAGCCTATCCATGCTCTTATACCTATTCGCCTCTTCAACGGCCTGTTTTAACAGGTTAACATCCTCGGCAGTCTGCTCGGATCGCACTTCTTCTCGGAGAAGTTCACCACGTTCAGGCGGAGCAGTCGATACCAAAGCGCATGCTGCACATGATATAAGGGTGCAGATGTAGAAAGTGTCGGAATACTGGGATTCCGTGTAAGTAAGCAGCTTGTCTGGAGGGCTCGACTACCTACAGGGTTTGCAGTATTGTCATTGTACCTCAGTTGGTCGATAAGGAACTGCCGAACCACGGAGGGCGTCTTTCCATTCTCGAAGCGGACCTTAGATATAGCCTGGACAAGGCTCTGCATAGTGTTGTTAGTGATCGTCAATGTATGGGACACTAGACATTATTAACTAACCTTACGGACAGAGTACTCCGAAAGATCAGAGAAGTCGTTTGGCTTGGGGACATACGTATGTGCAAAGAGGTCCTGAGCTGGATCCTCAGGGTCGTAGCAATATCGTAGGAAGAGCTTAAACAGATGAAACAAGCCTAGGAAATTAAGCGTCCGGATGGCACACTAGCTAACTTCAGTACTAAATTTCCCTCAGTTGATTCCTCTGACTTACATGCACTAATGCCAGGGCTGCTTCACACCGAATCCGATAGTAATAGTTGGTGACCAACACTGTCTTGGTAAATGTACTGGATACGATGGCCGTAGGTTGCCTCGACAAGTGCGTGGACAGCCTAAGAGGATTGAGTACATTTCATGCTGCCACACTGGTTGGGACATACCTCGAGCTGCGCAACGACATCCCTGTCGCGTTGCAATTGCGACACCCACATGAAGTCTGGTTGTTCGAAGGCGATAGCCGCAATCCACTCAAAATCGGCATCCATGCGAATCCATTCATATGTGGCTCCAGACATCACTTGCTCATCCTCCTCCGTCCAATCTGCAACCTTCCAATTCTCCCGTTCTTTCTCATTCTCCCAAATCTCAAGTCCGAAGCCCATATCTATGAGACCCATTGCTTCAGCAGCCTCAGCATCGCCCTCAGCCGCCGCCTGCGCAGCTTGCTGTCGAGCAAGATACCGTTTGGTGTTCCGGCGGATACGCTTGTATTTCGTGTTAAAGGGCACCTCATAGCGCTTGAAGGTAGAACGGATATCAAGAACGTGTTCGTAAGGAGTTCCATCAGCTTCGTGAATTCGTACAGTCATTTGACCCTTCGGTCACCTGGTTAATCTAGGGTCAAGGGACCTGAAGGACCTCAAACGCACCTCAAAGAAAGGCACAGGCTTCAACAACGTTTTGGACACTGCATTATGCTCGTGCGCACGATAAGCAGGAGCATCCTGGCGCATTGTAATCTCAACTGCCATCTTCTTCCTATTGAACGTTGCTGTGAAACCAAAGGCGGGGCATCCACTTCCATATATCCACTGTTCTGCGAAGGTGCGTAGATCAGCACCGCTCACCTTTCTACAGGTCCTAAGAAAGGAATGCGTGGACAGAGCATTGTTTGGAAGCTCCCCACTGATAGCAGATAAGAAAATCTTGGGCAAGACTCGCGAGAGGCCAAGTGAAGTCCCCGATTTTCCAAGCCGCCGATCAAGTATGTGAAGGACAAGCGGAGCCTTCAGATTAACGAACGGTAAAGTGGCTGAGTCTGGCGGATCCAAGTGTTGTGGTTGGCAGATTGGCGGCATCGAGCCACTGTCCCACTCTACGACGCGCTGCATGTCTCGTTTAAGCCTGTAACGGTACTCGTTGTTCCCCAGGAGCTTTCGAATGAAAAGGCTTGTGATATACAAAGCTAAGCCATTGACGAGCCAGGTGTCCGACCACGTCTTTGGCAAGATATTGATGCCCATCCACTGACAAGCAAGGGCATGGCTGAGAGCTTGGCGTGTTTCTACGACCTGTTCGATGGCATCATCCCCATGCAAAAGATCGATAGTAACAAGCGACAACGTTGCAGCATCGAAGCGTTGAGTAGGCAAATCATCTACGGCGACAATCTTGTAAGACCCGAATGGATATGAGCCGAAGTCAGTGCTATAGAAATTCATCGCCAAGCGAAGGAAGGATGCCGACGTGTGCAACATAGACTCATGTCCAGGTAGACAGAATGCATGCATTGCAGGTTGTGCAGCGCCAGCTGGCTCTTCCATAGTTGTCTCAGACGGAATTTGATACACGTGGAAGGGGCCAGCAGCGAATGCAACATGCTGTACCGACGTCAGAACCGTCTGCGAGAAGAGAAAGATGGTTTTATTCGAGTTGTTTGGATGGGAGACCTAGGAGTCAAAGTGTTATGGTATCTCCGCAGGAGAGGGGGGGAACGACAGCACACCTGCTCCACAAGATCTCCCGTACACACGACAACTGTGGGGATAGAACCGTGCGGCTCACCGAAATCACCGTCATCGCTCTGCTGTACCGGATCTGGTTCTTCCAAGTACCGAGGAACCACGAACTCGAACTCCCATGTGCATTTCTCCCATGGATTGTCAATGCATGGCACCCAACATCTCGCCGCATCCGGGGAGGAAGGAGTAGTAAACGCGTGAGGAACGCGCTGCAACTTATAAGGAATTCCGCATGACGAATGCAAACGATACTCACATATGGGTAAGCATCTGTAGGAAGGACAAATTGGATACCATCTATGGGATTCCTCAGACTATATTCGATGTGGACAACGATAGGCATAAACTCCGGTCCCGTTGGGGCTTGGAAAGAGGGGCCTGGTGTCTGGGGCTCAGGCGTAGCAGCTGTGGGGTTGTTGAGTTAAACGAAACAAAGCAGAAGGAACTCCTCACTTTCGCTCAAGATACCACTTGCGGTAGAATGACCGGATTGGCCAACTTGCCTCAACGGCACCTCTTTTGGTATCGCGATAGACAGCTCGCCTTCATCTCCCTCAGCAAGGGCCGTGTAGATCTTTCTCTTTAGTTCCGGATACGTATGACAGTCTTGAGGAGTCGAAACTGTTGACATTGGCAAGCGGATCACCATGCACGAAATCGGCTTGATGAGAAGCAACTGTGACAAAATGAATTGCTGTTTTGCGAAACAGTCAGTCTGGTGAGTTGCATGGGACCAAGGAACCACGTACTACATTGTCTAGCGTGAAGATGGATTGTCTTTAGATTCGCGTTATTTGGAACTAAAGTAAGTTCTGTGTAGCCCTGTCACCGTGGTGGTAAGTTACCGCGCGTCAAAGTCTGAGGAGACACACCCAGAGACAACCAGAAAAATCGATTTCTAGGACGACCTTTTGATGACTAGTATATACGGGAAATACGTGTCAATTGGCCTGCAAGGGAAAGAAAGCGAAGAAAAGGAACTTATATAGAGAAACCACGACGAACATGCTCCCGTTGCATCTTCCAACTTGCAAGCAGACCAAGGCGCCGAACTTCAGGTGCTCTATAGCAGTCCTTTCGACTAGTTTACGATGCTGGACAAGACGTTGACGCGAGTGTGAACGAATGGCAAGATATTGAAGACGTAGCAAGTGCAGTGGCCTCCACCGTCACTGCTGCAGCGGTGGGATTCGTGACGGGGAAGGAGCAACCGACAACGCTTACGTAATACATCCGCAAGCTTGGTGGCTGTGCTCCTCCTACATTTACTCAGTGTATGTGTGGATGGGGAGAAAGGATGCCCACCAAGTCAATATTCAGACAGCCTGGAGCAAAGCATTTCCAGCTTGTCCATAGATCACAAAGAGATCCTCTTATTAATGATCCAGACGCGAGTCAGCACGTGCTAAAGGAGGTTGTACGAGGCAATGACAGAAAGGTGCGTATATCAGCTGAAATGTCAGTGAAATCAATACCTAGGCATGCACTTTAGGGGAAAACGCGCGCAGAGTTGGAATCTGCCCTAGATCCAAAAGACATCGCGCATGACGCCCGTCTAAACGTCGGCGAAGCGGCGCTATATGGTGTCTACTTTGATGACGTCGAATATGATTACATGCAGCATCTCCGCTCTGTGGGGACCGAGGAGGAAGGTGTAGAGAGCTTTCTTATCGAGGCTCCGTCCATGCGTCAAATCAAATCCAAAGCTAAGGGAAAGGGACAGGCATGATATATTATTTAACGACCTTCCACCGGAGGCGCTTCCTTCGAGGCATGAGATGCCCCATCAATTCGAGTCACAGCAAGCTATTCCCGACTCGATTTCCGGTTTCCAGCCTGATATGGACCCACATCTTCGACAAACCTTAGAAGCCCTTGAAGACGATGCTTTTGTGGACGATTCTCTAGAAGATGACTTCTTCGGAAATTTGGTCGCCGGAGGGGAAAGGGGCGAAGAAGAAGTTAATTATGAATTCAAGGAAGATGGAGAGCCGTCAGACACAGAACGTGACCAAGATGGTGACGAGGAAGCTGGGGGTTGGGAGGAAAGATTTGCAAAATTCCAGAAAGAACAGAAGAGAGCCCCTCCAAGTGATTGTGACGAGGAGCTCGACTCCGAGGGCGGCGACACGGTTGGTAACCTTCCAAAGTTGCGTGTCGTTGGGGGTAAGCAGAGACGAAAAGGATCCTCCGTAGCATCGGGGTACAGTATGAGCAGCTCATCGATGTACCGCACAGAGGCACTACTTACGCTGGACGAGCGTTTTGATCAGGTGACTTGCTCTCTCTTTCAGTCAAACTCCCTGACCTTAGTCCGCTAGCTCATGTCGAATGAGTATGGTTCAGACGGGGATAAAGTAGAGGACGAAGCATCGCCTGATCTATCCGACTGCGACGAAGCGCCCGAGCTCATTACGAGTCGCGAGGACTTCGCTGCCATGGTTGATGACTTCGTGGAGAATTACGAACTACTGGGGCGGAAGCTAAAACCTGTTCTTCCTGGAGATTCTGCTGTCGACAAACTCGATACTCTTCGGCGGGCAATAGGTCAGGACGGGGCTGTGAGAATATCGGTAGTGGAAAACGACAGTGACGAGGAAGATGACGAGAAATTGTTTGCATCGTACCATGCTAACGAGAAGGAAAGCCGATGGGATTGCGAAACTATACTTAGTGGGTGACTCCCATGAGTTGGATGGCTTCAACTGATTTCTACAGCGAGTTACACTAATCTCGAGAACCACCCAAAAATCATCCGTGCCAGGACATCTAAACCTGTTCCAAAAATCAAACTTGATCATCGTACCGGTCTTCCCAGTGCAGACACGAACGCTCTGGAGGAACGTCACAAATCAAAGCCCTTCTGCAGAGGATAAGGTAATTCTACAAGGTAATTCCTTCCTTCCAGGCGTCATAGGCTATGTACTCACTGCGGACCCAAGTTCCCAAGCAAACAGTTACCCGACCGCGCGACGAGTCCAAGGAAGACAAAAAGGCTCGGAAGCAAGCCGTCAAGGCTGAGCGCCAGACCAAGCGTGTTGAAAAAAAGCAGACGAGAGAGCGATATAATGCTGAGCTTAAGCACCAGTCTCAAGCACTGTCCCAGAAGACCGAGGACAGCAGGACAAGAAAGTTGTAGGGTAAATCAGGGGCTATATGACTGCATAAAGGTTCTCGGGAGATGCCGATATGGCACAGCGCGTATTACCTAAGTATGGAAGCAGTGATAACCAAGCTGTCAAGCTCCTGATCAACAAGTAAGTGTCTACATGGAGTCTCTGGCACAGAGTGGACCTCCGTCAGCCTCTCGAAGTAGCACGAAAGTGGCCGAGGGCGTTACCAGCCTGACGTCGTTCAATCCGTTCGCTGAGGAGGATGAGAATGACAACTCTTCTTACGCGCTGGTCACCTCTCTCTTCTCTCGTGTAAAGAACAGTTTTACTGCCCCGCTGGCATTGTCATTGCCCGCCCCGACGTCTAATTCCCAGCTGGTTGCCAACGGGACCATACAGAGACGCCCGTCTGCCACCCCACTGCCGAATACACAAGTCAACCCTTCGTCAAGGTCATCCTCCGAGCAACGCCCCACTTCGCTGAAAGTAGTACCCCCAGATCCTGCCCCTCCTCTCATATCTCTCACACCCGTCGTTTTTGAATCTCCTACGTTCGGGCCCGAATTTGACCGACCCCCATCTCGCGGTCCTTTCTATGATGGAACCGATGGGCCGGCATTCGGTACTGCTATTCCTGGATTTCCCATACCAGACGATGCTCGGAGCATACGCACCACAACGTCGTTGAAGAGGTCTGCATCCGTGTCGAAGGTCATTCGAAGAATACGGGGGGAAGGTCTGTCGCACTTGTGGAACTTCTCTATGGCATTAAGGCTAACTCATCGCGTAGGGTTATCGAGGGATTATTGGATGGACGATGGGAATGCTAAAGAATGCTACGACTGCAAGAGTGTCTTCACGACTTGGCGCCGAAAGCACCATTGTCGCATCTGCGGTATGTACTCTGCCACTATGCATGACTGCTCGATGACTCGTAGTAGGCCAGATATTCTGCTCCCGGTGTGCCTCCAACATCATCAAAGGAACCCGCTTTGGCCACGACGGCATGTTACGTGTATGCAACTTATGCCTGGAAAAGCTTGCCACTGTTGATGAGGAAGACGATGATGACCACCGTTCCGTTACGTCGTCGGTATCCCCATTCCCGGCTCACCAACTCGGAACGGATGCATTCACGTTCGGTCTAGGTCACCATCCCCAGTCGCCATTTGCTGCATCACAACTGTTCGGAAGATCTGAAGAGCCATTTAACTTATACTCAATCGCGGAGACGAAGCGTTCACTCTCGGGTTCGGACATATCTGCTTTCGTGACACCTAGGTGCCCTGAGCCCGTTCGAGATAGTACCGCTCCTTTCCGGCGGAGTCTTATCGAAGATGAGAAGGTTCCCGAAGCCGTTGTCTGCCAGCACCAGCAAAGTAGCAACACGCATCCAGACGATACACTACCCGAAGCGCCTGTGGAGTTCCCTATGACTACTCCAATGAACGTGGAACGACCGAGTACAAGCACTATCCAATTTCCAGTTAGCTCTCCAGATCTTTTTGGTACCTCCGATGGCCCTGGGGCTTGTGAAACAGTGAGGTCGAGGTTCAACAGCTTTGGGGATTTCGACGTAGCCACACCGTTTATCCGAAGCAGGGCGCATTCTCGGTTGGATAGCATCACAAATATAGACAGTTGGCGAACCAGGAGGGATTCTACCGCGTAAGCATCTTTTACCGGTTACTCGGATAACTTACTCCTTGGCCGTAGATATGCACATGAACTTAACTTGATTTCGATGTTTCACCTGCGAATAATGCTACGGCAGATGCTTTTGACGGAAGATATACCGAATATCAAGGAATGGGAAGAAACGCTCCTGAAACTTGCTCTTCGAATAGCCCGCGAACTCACCTTCACCTCGCTTCCCTATCGTCAGGGTGAGGACATGGACATCAGGCGCTACGTGAAGATCAAAAAGATACCGGGCGGTGCACCGTCAGATTCAGAATATGTTGACGGGGCTGTCATAACTAAGAACGTGGCCCATAAACAAATGTCGCGGACGCTTCATAACCCTCGCGTCATGCTCGTTACCTTTCCCTTGGAGTTCCATCGCGTCGAAGGACAGTATGTGAATTTCGGACAGGTAATGCGTCAGGAGAAGGAGTACCTTGGAAATCTTACCAGCCGGATTGCTGCACTTCGCCCGCACATCGTTATAGCGGAAAAATCCGTCTCGCGCATTGCGCTCGAGGCGCTTGCCAAGCAAAACATTGCTGTTGCTCGGTCGGTGAAGCCCTCCGCTATCCAGTTCGTAGCAAGGATGACTCAGGGCGACATCTTTTCATCTATGGACAAGTTGGCCCTAGAACCTCGTCTAGGCCATTGCACTCGATTCCGTATCCAAACTTTTGACCACCCGCTCATCCCAGGGAGGCGCAAAACGTACATGCGCTTCGAGGGTTGTAATCACGATATGGGGTGTACCATTGTCCTGAGAGGCGGGGACTCCGAGACGTTGAGGAAGGTAAAGAAAGCTATCCGGTTCCTGACGTTCGTCGTGAGAAACTTGAAGTTGGAAACGCATCTTTGGAAGGATTCCGTCATAACTTTACCGTCTCTCTCACAAGAGGCGGTTCCAGCGACGAATGTCGCGGCAGTCTCTGCAGTTGGAAGCGTCCGGTACTCCTAACGGACATGGCCCAAGTGCACTCGTGCCTTCATCTGTCTCGCTAATTCATTTGGAGACCGCCACTGGCGAAGAGAGGGAAAAAATGGACGACCCCAGTGGCGAAGCTACTGAGGAAGACCTTCCTGATGTAGATGCCGATCGTGTGCGACTATCGAAACGCATCAAGGCATCAGTTGAGCCATACTACAAGACATTCATTTCCGTATCTGCTACATTACGCTTCCCCCCGCCCTACCCAATAAGGCTGATGCAAGAGTTAGATGAGGAGCTCACGCGTGCACAGCGTGCCTGGGAGGATGAGATTGTTCGGCGAGAAGAGAAAGGGAACACTGGACAAACTCAAGGAGAATAATCCTTCCAGGACACCAACACTGGAGACCGCGGTGGACTAACGACACGCAAACTGATGCTAATATTTGTGACGATGTGAAGGCACAGATTGAAGCTTTACCGCTACCTGCGTTGCCCGACACTCCACCTCCGGACCAAGAGAAGTATGACATAGGAGATCCAAAAAGTTATTTCGAACCACAGCCGAATTCAACAGAACACATTTTGCCAGGAGCATACGCCGCTTCTCCTATGCCGTCTATGCCGTCTAGTTTGGAGACTGCGTCATTTGAAGACCACCGCTGATATCGCACTCGAGAGCCAATTGAGCTTGGTCAAGTGGAAACACGATGAACATCGTCGCATCTGGGAGTGGTACCTTCGCAAGAATCGCGACGACCTGAATGTAGAAAAGTATCAATGCATCAGTCTGTGGAAGTTTTCCACTCCAATCGAGGAGTTCGGTTCCCATGGTGCCTGCTCCCCGCCGAGCATGGTTTATATCTCATTCTACGGCGAAAACGACTGCACGCTTGGCCAATTCATCGAAAAGGCTGTCAACGACACGCTGGTACAATTCCTTGACCCTAGAGCCATCTGCACAAGCAAAGGATGTGACCAACCGCTTGCACGACATTGCCAGGTTTTCGTACATAATGAAACCCGGCTTTGCGTTGCCGTCGAGCAGTGGGATGGTCAGATCCGTGGAAGGCACATGTACCCTTCCCCAGATATGATCACCACTTGGAGTGCTTGTCGTGTCTGTGGTTCAGCAACGCCATTCATTCCGATTTCGGCGGAAATGCAGCGGTACTCGTTTGCGAAATTCATGGAACTTCACTTCTATCCTGCCGATGTCAGGCTCGTGCAAGGCGCCGGCTGTCAGCATAACATATACCAACACCACGTTAGATACTTCGCCGTCCGGGGTATGACGGTTCGGTTCCAGGCAGATCCTATCACGTTGCACGAGATCATATATCCTGCCATGCGCATCCGCGTGAGCCCGGAAATACAGCTGGAGCTGAAGAATGCCGATTTTGAGCGCCTCCAGCTGCGGAATGCAACCTGGTATTCGGCACTAATCGATGATCTACAGCTTATTGGCATCGATGCCTGCTACCGATGATGAGGACCACAACGTCAACCTCACAGCTGACATCAATAAACTGATCGCCCGCGCCCTGGCCGAACGGGAGGAGATCGCTCATCTGATCAACAAGGTGTATAACGAGTCACCGCCAACAGACACGCTGGCATTGAATCAAGTCAGAGCGTTCCGTCAAGATCGTATTGTCGCGTGGCAACAGGACTTTGACAAGCTCCCTAAACCCCGGGGCTCTCTGACTCTGGAGAAAAGTACTGGCCGCGTGTCCGCACTCGGTGCTGTGCGGGTGGGATGGGGAAAGCGACCTGACCTAGCAAGTCACATTTCTGAACACCGCGTGCCGTCGATGAGAATTTCAGAGGTGAAGGAAGGTGGATTGGGCAGGCGGAAAGATACAGATACTACAGAGTCGCTTATTTCCTCTGCATCGGACATCTCGGAGCCCGAGCTCGAAACATGTCTGGAGAGCCCTGCTGAAAAGGAGTTGTCCTTGAAATCGGAGGAAGCATCCATTGCACCTCAAGAGTTGGTCCACCAAGCTTCTGCTACTAAATCAGACCCGGATAGTGATTCCACCATTGGAGCGTCGAAAGAGGATGGTACTGTATCCGAACGGAGACGGGTAAGTGACGAAGAGAAAATTGTACTTCTTGTCTCAGTAATTTGTGATCCTCAGGCCAAGCGGAATGGCTTTGGAACTGATCGTCCCCCACGCGTATCAAGACTACCCCGCCGTTCGACTCCGCACCCCAGCGTCGCGGAGCTCGTCGCCAGGTATCAAGACTTCATTCCTGCGCAAGGCGTTGAAGAACTCGCCAAAACTGCCTTGTTACCACCGCCTCCACTTGTCTCGGAGAGCGAGCAGGAAGATAATCCCCGAGTTCCCCAGCGGGTAGTCCGTGGCCAGCACAGACACGACCTTGCCAGGAAACAGTCTGTCTCTGATTTCGAGTCTGGCTACGCAGCAAACGCAGCTCCTCGCTATTTGGGAAATCGACGGCCCTCCAGGCAGGCGCCACATACAATTAAACTTCCGGACGCTTCTCGCCAGACTTCGCCGGACAGACGTGGGTCCAAGAGTATGGAGAGTTCAGGGTCTATGGCATCTCCGCCACTCTCCTCGAAGTTGGCCTCAGGATCTGCTGGAGGAAGGGCACGAGTCAAAACACCTTCTCGCCCCGTAGGTCGGGAGAAACCGTCCACACGCGTTCCTTCTGGTGGTACCGCAAAGTTTACCAACAGAAGGTCGCAACAGCCGGGGGGCTCGAGGGTTTCCACCATTGCGAGGCACTTCGAACGCATAAGTAGGGACAATGAACGTGCCAACCGCAGATATGCAGTCATCCGAGGACGCAAAGCCCGTCCTGTGGCTTCCTCGGAGGCGAAGGTGGATGTACAGCCTATTAAAGATGCCATCAAAGATGATACCGACCTTTCCGATAGCTCTAGTGAGGCAGATGACGAAGGGGGCGACGAAGACGAAGCACGCAAATCATCTGACAAGATAACTACGGAATCCTCTCCTGAACAATCCCAAACACTGCCACAAGTCACAGTCCAAGAGGAGCCTATCCCTGAACCCCAACAGCCAGCTCTTCCACGGTCTTCCACCCCACCTCTACCGCCGCCCTCTATAGTCCCGGAACATTCACGATCTCTACCGCCGTCTCCTTTTCTTCAAGCAGAGCCTTCAGGCTATCTAGCACCGCCGACGCCGCCCACCATCTCTCTAGATGACATCCGTGGTTCTATATACCGACTATTGTCTATTCGTAGTAAGGATTTCGAGTGTGATGATGACACGCTCGATGATCGAGAGCATATTTTCCGTGGCTCGTCGATGGTCGTTCATACTGATGAGCCCACCTCCATCATTGCTTTGTCCTTAAAGTGAGCGTCGTCTCACTCTATCTGCAAGGTGTTTTTGACATACGTTTCCAAAGCTCAATACAATATCGTGAAATGTTGGCCAAATCACGAGCAGAGAAACGAACAGTTAAGGAACCAAAACTTACTGAAGGAGAAGCATTCATGCCAGACGATCACTCCACTACCGACTGTTCCTCAACCTGGGGCGTGGTTAATGTCGATACATTGGACTGCTTGAACCCGACAGACGACCTGAAATCAGCATCTTCAAAGATGTCATGGGTAATTTGTAAGCGTTTCGCCTTTCAAGGGTTCGTACACACTCATCCATGCTACCTGAAACAACAGCATTTGAAAGTGGTGGCTTGACGATAAGCTGTACGATTTTGTACCCGGAACAGTTTGACGCTTTGCGAAAAATGTACGATTGTGACAAAAGCATCATCGAGTCATTAGCAAGATGTGTCAAATGGAACGCTAATGGCGGAAAATCTGGTTCGGCATTTCTAAAGACCCGAGGTTAATCCCTTTCTTTTCCCAGTCGAAGTGTGTAATTATGATCCTTTTTTCACTGGTAGATGATCGATTCATTGCGAAGGAGCTGTCGAGGGCTGAGTTGGCGACCATGGAGTCCTTTGCACCAGGCATATTTTGACTATATGGCATCAGCATTCGCGGCAGATGTACGCTTTGTTGACATAAATCCTAAGCGTACGCTCATTGCATTCTAGCGGCCTACACTTCTTGCCAAAGTTTTTGGTTGTTACAAGCTAACGTTCAAGAAATCAAAAGAGAGAAACAGAGGCTAAAGTTATGCACATGAATCTACTAGTTATGGAGAACCTTTTTTACAACCGCCGTTTTGCGAAGGTAGGGACGACTTCTCGTCTACTCACACTTGGCTTCATCATTTTATCCAGATATATGACCTGAAAGGGTCCACCAGAAACCGTCACGTGCAATCGACTGGTCGGGAAAATGAGGTATTGCTTGATGAGAACCTCGTTGAAAGTATGTCTAGCCTGGTCTGTCTGCTTCGTGTGGCTAATTTTCTGCCAGCCGCTCATCTCTCGCCTTTCTATGTGCGGGAGCACTCGAAACGCATCTTGCGGGGTGCGCTTTACAACGACAGCACCTTCCTGGCGGATATCAACGTCATGGATTACTCGCTGGTAGTTGGTGCAGACAACGACACACATGAACTCGTCGCTGGTATCGTCGGTATGCCCTCAGTTACTTATCGACCGTGCGGATGTCCGTAACCGATAATACTGCAGACTATATCCGGACGTACACATGGGACAAGAAATTGGAAAGCTGGGTGAAAGAATCTACGTTTTTGGGTGGCGGGAAAGGCGAGCCGACGATTGTGACGCCCAAGCAGTACAAGCAACGCTTCCTCAGCGCAATGGAGAGATACTTCCCGATGGTAAATTGGCATCTCCTTTGCTAATTAAGCGTTTGGCTGATGATATTATGCGTCTAGATTCCTGATCGATGGATGAAAGACAGAGACTCGCCTGAAGAAGACTCCAATACCCTCGCAGACTGGTAGAAACTTGCCACTTTTTTTTTCATGACGCATCTCCTATGTTGTTATCGCTTCGTTGCCCATTTTGTATTTTACCTAGCATGTACCTTCCTACTAGTAGCCGAACATAGTGATATTAACTCAAGAGGGGTCTGTGGCGCACACAATTAGTGCTTGAGTTTGCAGAGGGACGCCTAGCTTATCCCACAGCGTCGGTGGTTGCAGACGCTTGGCGCTCACGTCAAGCCCACTACTTCGATCACTTGCACCGCACCGTTTTTACTAGAGACAATGGATGACGATGACGCTGACTATATGCAAGGCAGCGATGATGAGGCACGTCGACCAGCGACTACCTGCGCGCCGCCCCCGTCAACCCTGGGCTGATGGACTTCGATGACAGGACTATGGTTTCGACTACTCCGATAATGACGAGGCAAATGACTCGGGGAGTGCAGATGTCGAGAATATGTACTACACTGCAAAGTGTACGTCCCGTCCTGTCACTCGATTCATTGTATACGGATGGTGATCTTGGGACTTGACATCCGTCTCCTTCAGCGAAGAAGGAGGATGATCCAGAGCAAGCGTTGAAGGAGTTCAAGGTCATAGTGGACCAGGAAACCGAGAAAGGCGACTGGTGCGCTCCTGACCACCATTCGTTTACATTGGGTTCTACGTGTTGCATATATAGGGGGTTCAAAGCACTCAAACAATCAACTAAGCTCCTCTTCCTCCAACTCCATCGACCTGCCGATGCTCTTAAGACATACACGCAACTGTTAACTTACACCTAAGTCTGCTGTGACGCGCAATTACTCCGAGAAAACCATCAATGGGATCCTTGATTACGTGGGAGGAGGAAAGGGTGGGCCCGTTGAAGTCGAGGTGTTGGAAAGGTTCTACCAGGTGACAAATGAGGCCTTGAAGGAGGCGAAAAATGAGGTGGGTCCACGTTGGCTGTCATCTATTAACCGCACAACATGCCTTTTCTTTACAGCGGCTATCAGTGAAGACCAACCTCAAGCTTGCCAAGCTTTGGTTGGACCGGAAAGAATATGGCCGACTCAGCAAGGTTTGTGTGCGCCGGCGACTGTTGTAGATCGTTTCACCGACTGAAAACACAGCGCATACAAGAATTACACGCCACTACGAAGGCTGCCATGGACAACGAGGACCAATCCCAACGTGGTACCCAATTACTCGAGATATACGCGCTCGAGATCCAGATGCATAACGAGATGCGTAATGTCAAAAAACTTAAGGTGTGCTTGACCTCGCGCTTGCGGTGCCTGGTTATCCTCAAAGAGCTTAAACGTAGGAAATATATAACGCCGCCAATAATGTGAGATCTGCGATACCGCACCCTCGAATTATGGGGGTCATCAAGGAATGTGGAGGCAAGATGTGGATGGCCGAACGTCAGTTTCCGGCTACGGGTCTGCCAAGTTACCCGACACTTATGTATGTTACGCAGGTCGATGGAACCGTGCATCGGAAGATTTTTTCGAATCTTTCCGGAATTACGACGAAGCAGGTTCACCGCAGCGTATCCAAGTACTGAAGTACCTTGTACTTGCGAACATGTTGACAGGTTCAGAAGTGAATCCCTTCGATTCCCAGGAGACGAAGCCATACAAGAATGATCCTCAAATCAAGGCAATGACTGATTTAGTGGATGCGTATCAGCGGAGAGAGGTGCATTCGGCAGAGAAGATCTTAAAGGGTATGGGTTGTATTATTGGTCGCGAGGTATACTCACTGTTTACCTTGCAGACAATCGTTCGACGATCATGGACGATGCTTTCATCCGCTCTTACATTGGAGAACTCCTAAAAAGCCTACGAACCCAGTACCTCATAGACCTCATCAAACCTTACACACGACTTGAACTCTCTTTCCTTGCCAAGGTGCGTTGTTACACTCCTTACCAGTAATCCTCAAAGGAGCTCACCGCTGCTCTTGCCAGCAACTCAACGTTGAAATCGCTGATGTTGAGGAGTTGCTCATTGGACTTATTCTTGAAGGTAAGGTGGATGGTCGCATAGACCAAGTTGGCATGCGGTTGGAACTGGATAGGACGTAAGTCTCGTTTCCCTCTCTAAAATTCAGTTGTAACCATCTCTTTGTAGCCAAGCACTGGAGAAGCAACGTTACGCTGCACTACAATCGTGGACAGAAGCACTGGAAGGTGTGCATGCTGCTGCTGTTGCCAAGGTGGCCGGGCGAAGTACAGTTGATCCCTTTATGATGGTCCCCGAAAGATTCACAGAGTTTAGAGAAATTACATTCTAAGTAGCTTGCAGGTATCTTTGAGGGTCGTGAGATCCATTCTCAAGGACCTGTATCCACCGGGAACAAAAACACAGGCTGGTTGTCCAATTGGCCGTGGGCCAAATGAACATGTCAAATCAGCCTTAGACTACGTACCCACCGAAAAATACTCACAGAATTAGTGTAGAGGACGGTCGAAATGTCTCCACTCATGCTGCCAGCCATCTGACGATGGCGTGTCGGCGGGCACCTTCAGCTCTCGAGGGAACAATCCCCTTACGCGCGACTCGATCGCTCTTCTCTCGGCAGAGGGGATGTCTTTCAGTGCCTCCATTTCAGCGGGACTCCTTGTCCTTGGATCCTCCGTTTTATTTGCATCTCTGAACAATATGGGGTCGATTTCCTCCAGTTCCGCCATTGCCTTGCGCATACACTCGAACTTGCGTTCGAGCTCGGCATCTCGTTTCTTGCGGAGATGACGTTGATAGAGCTTCCAAGCACGCTCTATCGTTTCGTGGGCTTGTGCAGAGGGAATAGCGCGCTGGAGAGCATGTCCGACGTTGGGACGCCAGGAGCCCGTCGGTGAGGGTCGGTTCCGCACATTAGGTGGGTAGAGCATTCGGCGAATTACTTCGCGTTTGGCATTGGTTGCATTTGTGGCATCCGGTGCTGTGCTATAGCGAGCAGCTGTCTTGACGATCCGCGACGGCAGCGACGCACGAGACAAGCTCATCGTTGATGGAGGCCAAAACCGCGGTGGCAGTGAGACCCAACTCTTCAAGACGGATTCTCACGGTGACATATATTGGGATTAGGGGTAGTTATTACTATGATAGGTAAATAATTACGTAAACACACGACTTTTCTATCGTGTAGTTGTGCTCACTGCAAGGACTTGGCAACACTGTAGTCTTTTTCAATGTCGTTTGGACTTCTCTGTGGGCGATGTACGCGCTTGTTGGCTAACCAAACCTGCGTAGTCACTCCACTGAGCAACAAGGGGTCCATTAACTTGGAGCTGTCTTCGCGGCATTTCTCGTCCACGCCTGGAGTACTTGCTTCCAGGGTTGCCACAAAGAAACCCAAGCTCACGAAGAAACAACTTGCGCTGATAGCAAAGAAACGTGCAGAAAAACGCGAAAAGAATGCATATGCACAAGAAAAGATGACACTCCCGGACGCCATCGCTGTCCTTCGCGTATGTTCCTGCAACCTCCTTTGGTTCATTGCTAACCAGTTCGACAGGCAGTGGAGGTTGCACGCCCTCATTCGACTTACGAAATAACCATTAGGACTGCCATGTCGCGTGGTGCACCAGTTCCTACTGGCCGGATAAATCTTCCACGGGAGGCGAAACCCAAGAAGGAAGCCCGCATCCTCGTCTTTGCGGAGGGGCGGCAGGCGGAAGAGGCACGGCGCGCTGGTGCTCACACAGTTGGTGGCCTTGAGCTTGTGGAGAGCGTACGTGATATCACTTCATTCTCCGAAACACGGCCTCCAGCCAAACGGTGTAATTAGGTCGCAGCGGGCAAACACAACAATTGCACAACAGTGCTATGCACCACTAGTCTTATCCGCGGCATCACATCGAAACTCGGCCGTGTATTGGGTCCGCGTGGGCTCATGCCATCTGAGCGTCGCGGCACGGTGACAGATGACATTGAGGGATACATCTCAAGGCTGTCCAGCACCACTGAGTGGAGGGGGGATAAGTCGGGTACCATCCGCATGCCCATTGCCAAGGTGTGCTAGTTCTTTCCTCCATTGAGGTATATTCAGAGCGTCACTAATATCTGCTCAATATTGCAAATAGATGCATTTCCCTATCGAGGACGTAGTGAAGAACGTTAAGTTGTTCGTTTCCAACGTGAAGCGTGCAACTGGTAATTTGAAGGACGGTGAGGGTGAAGCCGACGCGAAGGCGGAGAAAGGCAAGTCGAAGAGCAAGAGCATTAAACCAGGTAGGTCTGCTTCACTATGAAACTTATACACAGCCATCCGCCAGCAAACGGGGCAATGCGGTTCAGTCACTTCTTACTGTTTCCACAACTTCGCCGTTGAAGTCTTCTTCCCTTCCGACAATTTCTGTCTGTTTTTATATATAGAATACTGACCGAGAATGCACAGTGAACGCCATCACTCGCATTCTCCTCAGTTCTTCGCAAGGGCCGGGGATACAAATAAGAGATCTTTGATCAACCCGCAGAGGTCAGCAGCACTGGTCTTGGCTGTACTTTCGATGCTAGAAATTTCCTCAATATCATAAACTAAGCAAGGGAAATGGTCTAATCATAGCGTAACAGCCTTAAGATACTTGAGTAGCACTGGAACGCCGTGACGATGCAAACTTGTCGTAATGAAACTAAAAAGTGAGTGAAGAGTAGAAAGGACCGAGTGTACAGTGTCGCAATGCAGACACGAGCAATCGTCAGTAGGGTATGTCCAGGTCTTCAGCAAGCCTTTTCTCAGTAGCCAGCTCCTTCCTGGATGCTTTCCGCTTCTCTTCCCGAATTTTGGCGTCTATTGCCTCATAGCTCCTTCCTTCCGCTTTCCTTTGCTTGTCACGACTCTTCGCCCTCTTCCCTATGTCATCCCCTCGCACTGGACCATCTCCGTGGCCAGATTGCGCCGACTGGAACCGTTCTACGGGCTTATTTTTGGGCGGGTGAGGAAAGAGGTCACCCCAGGATGACTTTCGAGCATCATAAAACGCTTGCTTTCCTTGTGATTTCGGGATCGTGAGGCGCATGATTTTCCCTGCACCCACAAAACCCACACAAATTAATATGTCAGATCCTAATCGTGGAAGCACAGTACGTGATAACGGCAATGATCATGACAGACCTTCTGCTGTGCACGCGTCAATAATGATATGACCGCTCTTCTTCAGTGGAGGGAACACGAGTCGTGGCCATCTGTATGCCTCACGCCTCAATGTCTCTTCAAGGTCCGCCGTCGAAATCTGTGCTCGCACCGGATTCGGTGGTAGGTCCTCATCACCATGAGGAAAACTGGTGGTCGTCGCAGCATCAATGGCATCGGCATCAGCTACATTCGCCTGGCCGGAAACAGGTGCAGCGGTGTTAGGCCCCATAGGAAGAGTGCCTGATTGGACTTGCAACTTCTGATTTTCGGTCTCGACGTCAACCGTCGACGCCGATTGGGCGGTGTGTTGACGTTCATCTGCCCGTTTAAGTTCCCTTAACCTAGCAGTGCGTGCACGTTCCATTGCTTCCTTTCCCACTGCGCCGACTCTCCCCACAGGTTCTGCAACGATGTCTGGCCGCGCACCCCTTTGCACAACAATGTATGAATATCCTATGTCCTCATAGCCCTCTTTCACGTGCTTGGTGCGTCGGAGGAACGAAGGGCTCTGTAAACGCTGCGAAAACCCGCATGTAAGGCGGGAGGCACCAAGCTGATAGAGGGGGCAGGGACGATCGTGCGGACACTGATGGAACAAATTGTTCCCGGATATTGGATATGAGATGATGGAGCTACTCTTCGGGAAGAATAACTTACAGGCGCAACAACGTGCGATCCACGAAAAGACAAATGTTGGGATCGTGGATCCTGCAGATCTTTGCACCCAAGGTCGAGCAAGAGCTGTCTTGCTTCTGCTATATTCTCAAAGCCGGCTTTGGTGTTGAAGTCAACCAGGATCTAAAAAAATAATTGGTATCCGTCATGGTCACAGACCCACAAGAAAAGGAAATAGAACCCTGCAAGCAGGCAGACAGATGCTTGTGCAAAATTCGTCGGACGTACAATGGTATGTGCTCCACTTTCCCACATGTCTTTGACCATTTGCTTCTTGGAGAGCTGTGATGGCTGCGAGGAGAGCATAAACGCTGAAAGGGCAACCGTGTTCTGGCCGTCAGCACGGTTGACACGGTCCGATTCATGAAATGCCTTTCGCCAAGTCACACTTAGTGAACCCGACCCCGCTCCTATATCCAAGTTAGCTCCAGACGGGAATAGGAACCAAAGGCCGAACTTTGAAGTAATCGCTTCCCAATGCCAACGAGACCCTCACGCTTGTCAATACCGACGTAGGAGGTAATGCTTGAATTAGACACAAGGGAACCAGCTTCCTCAAAAGTTGGATCTTTTCGGAAGGCATTCAACGCTGCCCTATTTTCGTAGCACCTTGGTTAGCACTGATCTATACACGTTCCCAGATCCATACCAAAGTCCGCTTCCTGTCCCAGAACCCCAATCGATCACCCTTTGTACATTCCACGTCGGTCCCAGCCTGTGTTTAAGATGATGGAACACTGCGTAGATGGCAGAGTAGTGAAGTGGAAGGATGACAGAGGAAAATGCGGTGGCATCACGCGTAGCATGCCGATAGCTCTGCTTCCGGGATTTGTATTTCACGTCGTAAGCTACATCCCAGCTGCTTCTCGCTCCGATTTCATCTAAGAAGAGGCGCTTAGCATCACTATGGAGCTGCGACTTGTCCGAATCTGTCCCCAAGATGGAACCATGTTAAAGGGTGGTTGGTTGTGGGTGCATACGCGTACCATCAATGAGTGAGACAATGGCTCGCTGCAGCTCCACAGGTAGGATAACAGCCCCAATACCGCTGCTCCCAAATCGAGCTGCGGGTGATTTTCTGTCTTCTCTTCCCTGCACAGACTCGCCCAACACGCTTCGTTCGTCGTCCATGCCATGGTATGCCACATCTCCATGTTCATCCTGAAATGGTTCGAGTTCACGAAGCGTTCTCGAGCTGACGTTGCCTGCAGTTGTCTTCTTGTAACCGGACACCGACAAATCTACACCTTGTAGCAGCGTTTTCAAAGTAGGATCCAACGGCACAGAGGGGTTAGGTTGTGCTGAGCGCAACACCGCTGACGATGACAACGTAGCGACATTTTGGAGTCCCACACGAGATAGTACACGCACGGAGCCTGAATGACTGCAAAACATACCAACTAGACGGCTTCAGTCATGCAGTCTGCATTTGAACCCGAAGTACTACTAGACTTACTGTGGTGATGTTCAACGTCAAGCGATAGAGATTACATAATCCAATTACCGACAACAGCCTACAGGCTACCACTGAGACTCGGCGTTGGTCCACTAAACACAAAGCGGCAATGCCGAACTCTGCACAGTCTTTTGTACACGCAGCAAGCGTAGATGGCGAACGGCCCGCTAAACGAGCCAAAGTGGAGGACAGCCCAGACCAACTTCGATCGATTGGCGGTGGCGAAAATGAACACAAGCCCATTGACGGAAATGCAATACCCGACGCTCCTGTGAATGACGATTTTGAGGACCTCTATGGCACGGGGCCGGGGAACATGAAAAACGAGCCAAGGACGTCAGACCTGTACCTTGACACCGTGCGCTAACCATTCCGGACTTTATGTTTGCGCTTCTTACTGTATTTGCAGATTAACAGAGCCTTGCTCGATTTCGACTTCGAGAAGGTCTGCTCTGTTTCTACGTCGAATATCAATACATATGGTTGCTTGGTGTGCGGAAAGTACTTTCAAGGACGGGGGCGAAACTCGTATGCTTACGCCCACTCTATTCACGACGACCACCACGTATTCATCAACCTTGAAACGGCGAAGGTGCATGACTCTGGCGCAAATAAGTGTCTCACACTAACCTGGTTACTTGTCAGGTCTATGTACTTCCAGATGGTTATCATGTGTCAGACCCCTCCTTGGAGGACATTTCATTCGTACTCAACCCGACCTTCACACCAGCGTCGATATCGGGTTTGTCATCACCTACGCATTTACTCAAACCATCCTACGATCTGAACAACAGACCCTACATTTCGGGCTATATTGGTCTCAATAACATCAAGCGCAACGATCACATGAACGTCATCATACACTCATTACTTCACGTCCCACCGTTACGCGATCACCTCCTTCTGTCTAATTTCAAAGGAAAAGAACCAGAGCTGTTGAAGCGTTTTGCAACACTTGCCAAAAAGATATGGAACCCGCGGCTTTTCAAGAGTCAAGTTAGTCCGCACGAGTTCCTCCAAGAAGTCAACCGTGCTAGTGGAGGGAAGTTTAGGCTGGAAAAACAAGGAGATCCTGTGGAATTTTTGGGGTGGTTGTTGAATCACCTTCACAAAGAAATGGGCGGCTCAAGAAAGAAGAATTCCAGTGAGTTGTGTCACACACTCGATGAGGTTTAACCCCTATAAGCGAAATAGGTAAAATCTATTCGACGTTCCAGGGGGAGCTGCGTATGGAGACACAACAAGTCATAGTTCGCCCGGACGCTAGCGGAAATGAGAAACCGAAATTTGATATTGACAGAGGTCTGAATTCTGAATGTTCTATTCATACAACGGCCTGAAACTCCATATCAGAGATCAAGTCGACAACGTCACCATTTCTCTTCTTAGCTATCGATCTTCCACCGCCACCCCTTTTCCAGGATGCGGTCGAGAAGAATATCATTCCTCAAGTCAGCATCTACTCTGTGCTCGCTAAGTACAACGGTGTTACGACCCAGGTAGGTAGGCTGAACGATCCTCTGTCAGTGGTGCTAACTTCCGACCGTCATCAGGAATCTGCTGGTCAACTGCGCAGGTATAAGTGCCAGCGGCTTCCGCCTTACATCATTCTCCATTATAAACGGTTCACAAACAACGTATTTGTGGAAGAGAAGAACCATACAATTGTCACGTTTCCACTTAGGGGCGTTGATTTCCGCGAATGTAAGTGATGTCGATCTTTCAGGCATGCTCTACTGACGCGCCGCAACCAATGATACCGCCACGTTATGTCGCTACGGTGACAGACCTTGATGCACCACCTTCACATCCACCAACCGTCTACGATCTGATTGCAAACGTTACCCATGAATCCGTTGCGGGCACCACGCGTGATAAAGAGAATACTACCTGGAAAGTTCATCTCCGTGCTGGAGGAGGAGGAGGTGATGGCGAGAAGTGGTTCCAGATTCAAGACCTAATTGTCGAAGAAACGCGAAAAGAAATGATTTTTTTGGGCGAATCAGTGTTGCAGGTTGGAATACAATTTTTCAATATCAAGAACACTAACGGTGACACCTACTTACGCCAGATATGGGAACGCCGTAGTGCGAGCGCCCCCAATACCGATGGCGTGTCGGTGAGAACGAATGGCGATCGTTAGCGGGGGTGTTTTTGCAAGGGAGGAGAGAAGATAACAACCACTTGCCGCGTGTCTATATGGGTTGATGCCCGACGTGTAACATAGATCTGAGGCGTAGTTAGCACCGTTCCACCCGAACCCCCATAATTGTTTATTTGTTGGCTTTTCGTAACGTACATGAGGTAAGTCAAAGACCCGCAGTTCGCAGTGCAAGGCTCAAGCGACCAAAAACTGGAGACACTACTTGGTCACTAGTGACTGTTGAGCTGAAGAGGGAGGTGGAGTTCCACCGACTGCAGACTTGGCAGTACCATCGTTGGGTATTAGTCCCTCCTTACTTATGGGTCAAGAGTCATTAGTGTGACAGGCAGGCCAATTAATAGGAACGTGTGTATTTACTTTTCAACAGCAACTTGATCGAGTACCGGCTTGAAGATGTATATGCCAGTTGCCATACCTGCCAAGTATCGCTCTCAAGCATACAGCGACGTTCTCAAAGGGATAATCTCGCACCCAATAGACCAGCAAAGATGTGTGGTGCATAACGTCGAGACATGGCTGGTCGCGCTGGTTACTCGACTGGCGATCTCTGTGGCAGAGGCAATGTTTAAACTCAGGCGTCCCGAGCAGAGAAGGATTTCAAACTCAGCGGCACTTCTCACCACTAGACTTAACGAAGATCAGCTTCTGACAACTCGCGCAAGATATTGTTACTTGGCAGGGTCATGGGGAACAGTCTCACAGTACCAACACCACCTAAGGTTTCGACGACGAAGTCGTAGCCGGGTCAAGCTAATTGACGGTACCCTCAAGGTTATCATGGACAAAGCATTCATTGCTTACCGGCCACATCACTGCGCAGCAAGGACTTTGGAAGGACTAGAGGCATAGCTATCTAGACGTTCCTGAACTTGCTTTATCACAATACAGTATGCTGTCGATTGTAAGCGCGAAGATTAAGCCCCCTCCCTGACTGTCAAACCGGAGTCCGATTGTGGCAGGTCAATATACAAGATCCACCAGATGATTTTCTCGGCTTAATGAATCGGTGGTGGTTGGCTGAACTGGCTTGGTGTGAACTGGTTCCTACAAAAGTGTCATATTAAGGCGACTTGGACAGCTGGCTGAAATAGGAATAAGAGGCCGTTGCATGAAGAGATGCTGGGTTGCCAATAACGTGTTTCTGATTAATCTTGTGATGATCTCGGACTTTTCACGCTCTCATTGGAACGATCGAACAATGATAGTACGAAAGAGAAGTCATATACAACACGACGAAGGGTGTTTTTGCAACAAGCACAGAACAAAATAAATAAGCTGTTAACAGAAAGTGAATGGGGCATAGATGAGGGAGAAGAGCGAGAAATGATCAGACAACACAGGGGCCAAGTCTGCTATACTATCCACCTCCGGCTTCATTTCTGAGCGCCTCCAGGGTCTGCGCTGCTGCGTCGCCTCGTGCGATATGTTTCTGGGCACCGGTGCCTGTCCCATACTCGCGGCCGTATACTGTATAATGTTAGTGATCGTGACTATAATCTACGATGACTCAACTTTTGCAGACAGAGCTCCACACTGGAGAATGAGGAGAGCCACTCTTGGAGTCTTTCCAGCTAAGGGCGGTGGGCTGGCCGATGGATTGCAAGTCTGAAAGAAAGGTGTCAGCAGTGGTCAACGAACTGCACGTCCCCCGACATACAGTTGTTGAGTGCGACGATTGGGTCTACAACGATGGACTGAGTACCTCGATATCGCGGATATCGAGAATAAGACAAACCTCGAGACATTGGATGTTGTACTGGCTAGCTACATTCCGTTGTCAAAGCCCCTTATAATGAGTTGACGGAGGCCGCATTTTGAAAATACGGGCGACGGCGGCTTGCTTGCGAGGGCAATACCGAACGGAATTAAAGTCGGCGCTTTCGTGATCGCTGCATGGCCCATTAAGTTGGGAGAACGACGGACGAAATTATGTTCTGGAATATAATGCGCACTCTGCACGCAATAGCGATCGGACTGGTTGGCGAGAAGCAGAGACGAGAAACAACCACGAGGACTTCATGTCGCGTATCTCATATTGCATCGCTCCACGCACCGTCATAGGGCGTCGGCCACATCCTTGGTGAGGTCTATGAAACGATCTTCGAACTCCCTTGCGCTCGGAAACCAGGCAAGTAGAGCAACGTTCGTCCGGTATGTGCGTTGCCGATAATCGCCATCGCAGTATAGGGCCGCGCCTGGCTGGTACTGTTGCCAATCTGGGGAACCCTCTGGCAAGCACTACATTTGCCAGGAGATTGAGCGCCCCTAGTGCACTCACCTGACTGCGTACTTGCTTAACTAGGAAACCTTCGCATTTAACACACTCGAAACGACTGTACCTCTCAGAGCAAGTGTATTTCGGACGGACAGACATGCTGCAACGGCGATGATTCGGTGTCAGTTGAATCGGTCAATGAGAACATGCGGAGTACGCATTGAAGCACTCGAAACGAGGTTGGCAGCGGCGGGGTTTATGGAAAGTCAAGCAAATCTCGACCAACTTCCCACATGAACCACGCTGTGTAAGTGCGTGTATCAGTTCGCCCTTTGAAAAATATGAGTGATACCGGAGCATTTGCCAGTAGCGGGAGAGTGTCCGTAGACTCCAGCCCGGTCTTACACAGCCACCCGCGATCAGCCAACTACTATGGCGCTGGCAACTTCCAAGAGACGATAACGGGCAGCCAGGACGTTCGTATGGTCAATGAAGTCGTTAAGGCGTTCACATCGCAGGGCCATGACGCGGATGCCATCGCTTCCCAATTAGCCGACCTGGCTACTCCTCCCCTTCTCATTTGTTCGCTGTCCAGGTAGGCGTTTCCGGACGCTCCTAAATGACTTGGTTGTATTCTGCCCCATTCAGAAGGCTGCGTACCCGGAACGAAATGGCTAGAGCTGTTGGGTAAAAACAGACGTCGTTTTGCCGGCTATCGAGACCTACAACGGGGTCTGTTTGGTCTCACCACGACAGGCATTCAGAAATGAGCTGCAGAAAGTCGCTCCGAGAAGGGTAATCGTCATTCTAGTGTTCTTTCGTCTCTACACCTGACCAAATTATCCGTCGACTTTCTTTGGTGGGGTGGCGGGCGAAGAACGCCTGGGTTCCATGGGTAAACCTTGACATGTGCCAGTGCGGAGTGACTTACAGACTCAAAGATGTAGCTTTTGCGTTGGACAAGAGCGGGAAGTATTCCGAATACCACCGACTAGCGCACAGGGGAAGGGTCCGAGGGCAGTAGCAGATACGTCTCCCTAGATGGGCCATTCAACATTCATGACGCATGTTACGAGGCCAGGACACAAGGACCTCCGGTCATGTTAAGGGTCGATTAATGCGCGTCTAGGCACATCAAAAGCCTGGGATTCTGATTTTCAGCACTACCTAGGGTGCCTGTCAAGTAGGCGCATCGACATCCGCGGGTTTTAACGGACGGTCCCGACGATTCTGCACATTGGCGGGAGGTAAAACTACTGCCGCGTCAAACAGAGCCGTACCAAAGCAAAGCCACTGGAAAATGAGGAGTCTTCCCGTAGTTCTGAAGATACATATCGTGATCAAGCCGTTGTCACTTATTACCCGATGAACTCCGCGACACGCATCCATGATTTCAATTCGCCAACCTGATAATCTGATGGGTGGCCAATCTCTGGATAGAAAAAGAACTTCCTAACTTGTGAATGTTAGTTCCGGGAGTGTCACGTGTCATCACTCAGTGTCGATGCCTTGGCGACTGTCTGGACCTCGGAACTCACGAAAGAAATGCGGTGCTCGAGGACAGGTCTGACCCAGACACGTAGTCTCGATAATTCCGCATCCTCCAATGCCAAGGCGTCCGCCGATATTTGCATGTTGAGCTTGAGTGGCGGATACAGTATTACCATGACTGCCTGTGGCGTTACTTATTGTGCACATTGCGATGTTCTAGGCAAGTAATGTTCCTGGTTTTACCTTGTTCCTGGAGACTCTGATTCCTTCCATTTCTACAACAATTGAGACGTGTAGTCGTCCCACTCTATCTGATCAGCTCAGACAGTTTTTTTCGATGCCGGGCAGTCTCTCTCTGCTTTCAATGCCTTTGCATTCGGTGACGATCGTTCATTTATATGGGACTCACAGGGGCATCTATTGACGCTGGCATGATCTCGCCAAGCTGACAATGTCGCGGGACCTGTCTTTGCCCTGACCACTTTATTGGGACCTTGGAGGCAGTGCGGAAATGCCAGGGCTACCGATCCCTCATATAAGGGACAAGAGCTGAACGAACCATTCTCACTTCATTCCAAACGTTGAAGATGGGTGTGTTCCATATTGCTCGCATTATCGTGCTGGGTGAGTTAATTCCGAGAGCAACAGCCGTGTCTGACACCCTCTGTAGCCCTGTTGGTGGTATTCTCACTCATCGTCATGAGCCTGTCCGGCCATCTCATCTCCCTCACCGAGCAATATTACGCGTTTTACTTTGTATTTTGCGCGCTAGGTATTGCCACGGCCGTGTTGACCATCTTTACTGTCCCAGTCATGTACATTACATCGATGTCGCCAACTCGCAGTTCGATGCTGACATTTTTCTTTCTTTCTTAGGCTCATAGTCGATGTCGTTCGTCGTGGAGCGTTCACGTCGATGATTATTGTTGAGTTGATCTGGTTGTGTAAGATAGATCGGCATTTGGAGGAGATGGTCGCTGACTGATGCGTGTCGCTATGCAGCTATCTTGTGGGTCTTGTGGGTAGCGACAGCCGCGGAAGCGGTTTCCGCTGGCAACATTTCCTTCCCATCAGGATGCGTGTATGAGAACTGTGAGTTCTTTTGATAATCTCTACCGCGTATTGACGTAGCTGACGTTCGGTAACAGATGCTACCCTTAACGGAGCCTGTCGCGAAATCCAAGCTGTTGAGGCTTTCTCTTTCCTCGCCTTCTTTGTTTGTAAGTGCCTTACTCGGTTGACGTTGACCTATCCCGTTGGAGCTAAGACTCGCAGTGTTGGGATACACCATCGTCTTGCTCGTGTTTACTTGCATCGCTGCCTCGCGGGGCAATTCACTCTGGCTGAAATCCGTCAAGGACAGCAGGTTCCTTGCGCCTTCGCCAACAGCACCTCCGCCACCGCAGCCCATGGGCCAGTATCAAGGAACCCCGGCTGGTCAGTACCAGGTACCGGTACAACAACCTCAATACACGGGTGTATCTGGCCAACATCAGTATACTCACTCGCCTGCTTCGTCTCATCCTCAGCAGCCATACTACCCTCAGACGGGTGCTGTCTAAGTTTCCGATGAATGAAGGTGTTGCAGGATTTCTTGCTCTTTTGGGGTTGGAGGTAGCTTTAGTAATATTTATTGGTGCTGTTGTGTTTCCGAGTATTACCTATTCGGGGTAAATCTACTTTGCTATTGTTAGGAAATATTTGACTAGCGGAGTTACGGAAATAGCCGATTGCCGTGTCGAACGATCCATCAGTTGACAGAACTTGAAGCTGCCCCGCCCCAGCCTGCCAGCGTGGTGTTTCAGCTTTCAGGTCCAAACATCAACTCTTTACCAAAACTCTTTTTCCTTTCTTTTTGTCCCCGTCGCCGTCGTTGAGGACGGTGTCTGTACACCCCAGCTCCATTTTACAGCACTTCCCGGCACTATCCGACGTATTTCACAGATCTCACGCTCTCCTTCTGACGTCCATCTTTCTTTGGTTGACAAAATATTGCAAGGTTTGCCCTTTTTTCTTCTCTTGTTCATTTTCAACCTTTGTGACTTCTATCTAGACTTAAAGATTCACAATGGCTCAACCGCAAGGCGATATACAGGAGCGGATCGCAGCAGCGCGTCGTGAAGCTGAGATACTGAAAGAGAAGATACGTGCTAGCCGAGAGGCTTCAGCTGACACAAGCTGTATGTGTTTTGCCGCTCCAATGATTTCAACCATGTCCACACCTGCTCTGCCACAACAGTGCGTACGATGGCTGCAGACATCGACACCCTCCCTCGTATTGTGATGCGGCCTCGGCGCGCATTGAAGGGTCACCTTGCAAAGATTTACGCCATGCATTGGTCAGCGGACCGACGACACCTTGTTTCAGCGTCACAAGACGGAAAACTTATTGTCTGGGACGCCTATACCACTAATAAGGTTCACGCCATCCCACTACGGTCCAGTTGGGTCATGACGTGCGCTTACTCGCCTTCTGGGAATTTCGTCGCTTGCGGTGGTCTCGACAACATTTGCTCTATATACAATCTGAACAGTAGAGACGCTAACGGTGCTAGAGGGGCGCGCGAGCTGAGCGCTCACTCCGGCTATCTCAGCTGTTGCCGGTTCATCAACGACAGGCAAATCGTCACCAGCTCGGGCGACATGACCTGTATGTTGTGGGACATCGAAGCTGGTGTAAGAGTCGTCGAATTTAGCGACCATACTGGCGATGTCATGAGGTGACGTTATTTGCCACATTGTTTATTATTTTTGCATCTGACGGTTCCTTAGTTTGTCTCTGGGACCAAACCAGAACGTATTTGTCTCTGGCGCCTGCGATGCCACTGCGAAATTGTGGGATATTCGCAGCGGTCGGGCTACACAGACCTTCACCGGTCATGAGTCTGACATCAATGCAGTCCAGTAAGTACATCGAAGTATTCGCTCGTGTTTTGTTGGTATTCAACATGTATCAACTAGATTCTTCCCAAACGGTGATGCATTTGCAACCGGCTCTGACGACGCCTCCTGCCGGCTATTTGATATCCGTGCAGACAGGGAGCTAAACAGCTTTACACATGACAACATCCTTTGCGGTATTACTTCAGTTGCCTTCTCAATCTCGGGTCGCATTCTCTTCGGAGGTTATGATGATTGGACATGCAATGTGTGGGATACCTTAAGAGGGGAGCGCGTAGGAGTTTTGACTGGACACGAGAACCGAGTGAGCTGTCTTGGTGTGTCCGCTGATGGCATGGCCCTTTGCACAGGCAGCTGGGACAGCACCCTTAGGGTAAGTGCCAACAACCTGTCATTGCAATTTATTCTTGAGTCCGCTCTTGTAGGTATGGGCATGACCAAAATTTGCCTGATGACACTTGCATTCTTCATCTCTTTCAATGTTTCCGCCCACTATCTGTTCCCATTATCGTTGCCCTATACCTACTCGTGACTGTTATGTTGGTGCACCAACGCAGCGTTCGCCATGCGTCAGTCCCTACAATCCATTGGAAATCCGTTTAGTATTTCTTGCGTGTCAGTACATATATTGTCTCGCTATCGGTCATCTGCTGCTGCCCAGATGTTATTATCCAATTTTTCCCTCCCTTCCGGCCCCGTCGTATATATCCCGTCGTTTTCATTCGATTTGTGAGTGAGTTGAGCGATCAGTGCAAGAGTTGCGGTAAGCTCGAAGGCTTGCAATTTTCTAGCTCAGTACGTAGCTACGTACTCAGGTTTTCTGGCACTCCAGCCACGACAGGATTCGTACGTAATATACGATATCTTATTAAAGCTGTTCGTGCAGGTTATTACAGCCCTATTCTTGCATACAGCGAAGACAAAGTCGTACAGGTTACGACTCGTCTACTTAGACCTGGGAGTTGCAGATGTGGAAACACGGAAATCTTGCGGGTCTGAAGGAGCTGAACAACCTCTGAATTAAACAAGGAGAGGATTAGAAAGAGGAATTTCAGTTGTTCGGATGGGATGGAGTGTAGGAAGAACGCGATCCCCAGCGGTAGTACGAAGGAGACTCAGGCCACTGCTGGTGAAGGAGCAAAATGCGAATGGGTCGCGGACTGACGAGGGTGAAAGCTGGCGACGGACAACCGATCATGCTCGTGTTGATACAAGCAGACCCGCCTCCAATTCCATTCGCTCGCGTCCGTCAATGGTGTCGCCGAGGTGGATGTTAAGGCCATCCTTACAACACCAGTGGACCAGGTACGGGATAAACATGACGATTTGGTGAGTGCCTAAAGTTGGCATCTTATTTCCCTGCGATGGAGGCTGATGGATGTTTATTTCACCTGGATCCAGGGCCCGGAAAAGATTCCCCTCGAAGATTTCGTGACACTGCTAACTTATGACCCCCCATTTGCGGAGCAAGATGACTCGGTTGTGCTCCGGGAGGTATGTGTTCAGCTTCTTCGTTCTCCAACTACAGTTACAATTGACTTTTGTCGATAGTATAAGGCGAAGTCCAACCAATTGAAGCAAGTTACTACCGAGGCGGGGCCCTCTGGGACTACACGCAACGCGTCATGACCATTACCTCTCAGCACGCAATCCACAGCCGCATTAAATAAGTGTCCCTCCCATTAGCGCACCGCCCACGGTGTCGTCCTTGAAAACGAAGGCCAAGTAAATAGAGGTGTACCCGATGCGAAACTCGACGCTGGTGTCCAAGCGGGGTGCCCAATCGGTAAAGGGCACAGTGCCCTCACCGATAGCTCCCAGAGTCCATGGCGGACAGGGAGGTGGTTCCTTCCCATACGAAAGCAGGAGAGTGCAACGATAGTTGATGACTCCGCCTCGACCCCTCTGGTAAGTTGTGTGTAGTACTTCCCGAAGGTATGAGCTCATGAGGAACACGCGCTCACCGTCCCTACCTCAGCCTTAGCAGTCCCACTAGAGAAGACAACACCCCCTGTAAAGCGCACGTGCCTCATTGTGCGTTATCCCCCTCAGTCTTACACAAACCCGACCCGCAGCCACTACATGGTTTCAGTCATCTCTGAAGTCGTTCTTGCGATTATACACTAACTTTAGTAGATCACTAAGATCAGACGGAAACGACTTTCTAGACAATAGCGATACAAAAAGTGGTTCTCTTCAACGCGATTGATAGCTGCAGAGGCTTGGACAGGTTTTCCCCTATGCCGAACTCCCATCCTCGGCATCTTTCGGTTCCGCTAGTAGCGGCAGTTGTATCGGTGGGTGCAGTAGGAATTCCGTCAGCAAATGCTCTTTACCCCTCAAGAGCCCCAACGTCCCAAGGATGCGTGGGACTGCGTATATGAGGCTGTCATACAACGGGGCCGGCATGACCGAGAAGATAGCAAGTAGCTGTTCACATTGCGAGTCGCATACCGATGTATTGGGATCAACATGCGTCTGGAGAGAAGGCCGTTGAGGTACAAGAAGAGGAGTGGGTGGCTGAGGACGCCCGTTACAAGCGAATGGGGAAAAGCGGTTTTTGTACGTTGTTATACTAGTACGTAGCCGTGCCTGGCATGCAGTTGCTGATTTTTTATTTTGGTATGTCTACAGTACATCCGTGAATGAGACTGCGTGCAGAAGCTGAGGGGAAGCGAGGTGAATATGAGCACCCAGACACAATTCTGGATCAATCCAGGCGGATCCTGGAAGGGCAGCAGTTTGCACTTGCAAGAGGTGATATGCCGAGATCGCGGAGCTGGTCCCGTAGCATCTCGATGGAGGGTGCGGAAAGCGCAGAGGAGTCCAGTGAGATTCATATGGCAGAAGACATTGTAACGCGGTGCATAATGCGGACGAGTCAGACCTGGAAGGCAGCGAAGGGGAAGACGAGTCGACACAGACGTTACTGTTACTTGATTTGAGGGCAAGGATGATTCCAAGGTTGCTAACATGCATGAGCAGGAGGACTCCGTGGACGACACGGCGGACAGTATTCCACCCGGTGAAACGGAACAGATGGAGTCGGTGCACGAGCTATCAGCATTGGGCTGTCCCTCAACACCTACGGTTCACCAGAGTCAGCTTCTTCTGCTGGAAAGCGTGTATGGTCCGCGTCTAACGCCACAACACTTGATACACCTCTGAGTGAGGACGTTGCCACTAGCTCGCCTATTGAGGATGTATCTCGACAAACAAGTCCAGGTCCCCCTCTGAAGTGGATAAGAACTCACCATCTAACTAACCCTAGGCTCGACGATGATACCGACAAAGAAAGTGCTATTCTTTTACGCCTCAACAACCTGCTGACTGGAGCGACGGCGAAGGAAGATAGACTGAAAACCGCCGCATAAACCTTTGTCAAGGGATGACATGGCAGACGGTCTGTCTTAGCAGACCCTTTGCGTACCCAATTATCTGAAACCTTGTACGGTTGCACCCGTCGACTGGTTGCCAGACAGCAAGATAAAACCTCCCCTCCTTTTGCGAGGAGTGCTTCTCTACATTCCAGCGACCTAAATGACATTGTTGTGGATGAAATGGGACTTGGGTGAGTCTAGCATTGCGCAGCACTCAAAGTGGCAGGAATGTAATGCACGAAAAACGTTTGGGAAACCCATTCAAACGATCGCGACATCTAAGGACCACATCCTATCGTAAGTTACTCGGCACGACATTCATTTCCGAAACCTGAACCAAATCACATAGATTGTGCTGACGAGCCTACTCCTAAACTAGGAGATGGAATCTAAAGAAATTCTCCCTGGTTTTAAGATTCTCGGCTTTGAAATGTTGAAAGGAGTTGCGCCAAGGGTGGACTAATAAACATCACTTCAACGCGTACGTCACCTCATGCACGTTGGCGAGTTAGGATGCGCCCATATGTAGGCGCAAGATATGGTATTATATGGTTCTTGATGTGCGCACATGATCAAGAACTTCAAATCCCCGAGATGGAACATTCTCCTGATGATTCGTTCATTTCGACGCCTTCTTCTAACTGGAACCCCGCTTCAAAATCTGCTCCAAATTTTGCTAACCTAAAGGAATTTGGACGGTGGTTTTCGAGTATGGCACATTGATTCATCGACTTTGTCCTTGTGACTCACATCTACCTCCGTTAGACCCTTTGAAACGTGCAATTGAGATGGGTACAGTTTTTGACAACGGGAATCTTCAATGAGTATCCAAATTGCACACTGCTACGTCCATATCTCCTCCGTCGCCTGGAAAGAGACTTCGAAAAGGAACCTCCGAGCAAATACGACCACCTTGTTCTTTGCCCTCTCGGGGAATGGCAGCGTTTCCTATACAAGGAATTCATGTTCCGTGCCCAAACTTACGAAGCCTCGCAGTCTGGCGTCTACCAGAGAATTTGCCAACATCCTCGCAAAGTGCGTAATCATCCAGATCTTTTCGAAGTTCAACCAGTCATTACTTCCTTTGCGGTGCCTCGTTCTGCCGTTGAGGGCCATGAGATCAAAGAGCTTCTTGTTCGGCGAAAACTCCTACACAAGCACGAGGAGGAGAAAGTTAATGTTGACCTTTTCGGGTTCCATTTTATCGGTCAGCAAGACACTCCGCTTGTTGCTGCCCTGGAAACCCGACTCCCTAACGCAACCGGCCCCTGCTCCTTGCTACGAAAGATGTCGAAGAGGACACGCGTACCGTCAAAGGCTATCTTGCATACTGTGCTCGTTACTTGCAAGCACAATCGGCCCAAATCGGCCATTTCAATTATTGTGTTGCTCACATACACCCATCTGTAGTGACGAAATGCTCAACATCATGTGGTGATGTCGACGGTCCATTCTACCGCTATTCCACATTGACCTAAAGTCGTTCTACCTAGACACGGTGACGACGCCAAGCGCAATGGTAATAGCTTACGAGCAGCGTGCTCAGGGCCTTGTGGGTGTGATCATGGGATTTGCAATTGTACTGCGCGAGGGACGTTCTTCGCTTTGCGTGTGCAGGTTGTCAAGATGCGTACTCCTAAGCTGCAGAGCTGCAGATCGCATTCCCCGATCTGTCGCTTATCCAACCCGACTGTAGTAAACTTCAAGAACTTAGCTGTCTGCTTCGTCAGGAAAAGATAGGGGGACTCAGGTTCTGAATATATTCTAGAGATATTCCTTATCGTTCACGGATACGCTTATATGGTGCAACCAAGGTTGAAGACAAAGGGTATATCACCGAGTATTTACATTCTGCCATATTTCGTGGGCCGTCCTACGCCAACTATTTTCCAGACTTACAGGAGCTTATCTTTTATGACAGTGACTTCAATCCTCAGATGAGCAGGTGGCGTGAGGATCGGCGAGGTGGAGTAACTAGGTGGTTCATATTTTCTGCCAGAGCCCACCGCGTTAATCCAATCCGTGATGTCCATATCTACGGGTTTATATCTTCGCACACGGTGGAAGAGGCGATACTGATGAAAGCCAACCAACTACGTTCTCTAGGCGAGGTTGTCATCCAGAAAGGAAAACTTGACTGGCGTACATTATTTGAAGACGATGCTGAGCTAACGAGGAGCTAACGAAGGTGCTCGGGCAATTTGAAGATACGGAAGATGCCCATGCAGCAGGCGTAGCAGCGGAAGAAGACGTATCGGAAGGTGTTAATCAAGCGGGCTTCGGTCCAGAGGGTGAAGTTGATGTGCCCGAAACCAGACGAAGTAGATAGCTGGAGATCGTCGAATAGGCAGGCGATATTGATGATAATTACGGTGGGGGTGTACGGCTTCGGATTGCAGGCCCAGGAGCGTGGATGGCATACTCAGCTCTGTTAAGCCACATTCCGTGATACATGCTTTGATATAGACACCAATTCCTAAACGCACCCTGTTCCAGGTCCGAAAACCGTTTTGTCCCCTGGGGTTTTGCAGGATATATAGTATATGTCTCAACGATCGAGCCAACGGCAACCTCTAGTTTGGCTTAGATATATAACAGTAATGACACCATTTTCTGATCAGTAACGCATCCAATGAGCGATACTCCATCGCACGATCTTCGGGTTCGCCGATATCAGTGAGGATGGAAGACGCAGGGCAAGATGTGCCATAAATGCGTGACTTGTCGTACTACTTCATGGAGTATGCGATGTGATGTAGGCGAGAGTTCAAACGTTCAAGCGTGTACCAAGTGGCTTACTTGGGAAAGGTGACAAAGACGTAGAACAGAGCTCTTTCCCGGAAAATGGGCTAATCGCCCAGACTGGCACATCTGAAAGATGGTAGACGGGAGTCTAGTGTAGAAGCCGCGAGCGATTAAATGAAGGTAGATCGTGCATTCCAAGTCGTAAAACGAGCAAGTGTGGCCTGCAGTAAGTAGGTCTGTGACAAATTCGAGCGGAGTATCAAAATCCATTACTCTCTGATGCTCACCGCTGAGGGATACGTCGTCGGAGTTGCAATTTACTACAGTGTCACACTGTGACAATTCGCTTGGTGGGGACTCCCTCTGCAACTCTGTCCCATTTTTCACTCTTTGCACCACTCTGGGAGCATCATCTCATTATTTTATTTTATTTCTGCTCTTCTTTCAGATTTCAACATGACTGTGTACTTTTACTGTATTGATGTGTGGTAATGAGTGAGCTGTTGCCGAAACATTTTCTGCATTTTGCAACTCCGGGTAAATGATATGTAGCATTAGCAGACTTAGGCTCAGCCATACGTTTGTTCCTTCCAACAAGCCTTAATACGGTTCCGCAAGCGGCCAACCTTCTCTTCGTTACATGTCTGAGGATGACAGAGCTGCGAAAACTGCGAGGGCGAAAGCCATGGTACGCGTTCACGAAGTCACTGTAGTGCTGCTCCAGCTCCGAGTCCTGACGTTGCACAACAGCTCAAGAAACGGCAGCAAAAGAAGAGTGTTGGTGGCAATGCTGCTTTAGCTAGTCCCCCGCCGTCAAGGTCTTACACTCCAGCTCCCGCAGAATCTACAGCGCCAGCAGGAGACGGGAAACCCGAGCGTGATATCAGTGACCTGTACGCCCCTTCATATTTTCGCGCATCTGCACGAGTTCAGGCCTGCTATCCTTTCGTAGGTTCAACAATACAGAAGTGGATACCAGTTGGCTCGAGTCGCTGGCTAAAGCCCAAGTCAAAGATTCAAAACCTGAGTCGTTACCTTCGAGTCCACAGCTAACCCCGGCCAAGACCCAGGTACTGCCGGAACGCGCGACTTCTCCGAGCTTCGGCACCCCCTTGTCGAGCCCACGGTTTGCTTTGCGTGACAAGGATAATCTACATCTCGATGTTGCTGAACAGAGGTAACATTACCGCATCTCAGTCACAGACGAATACACACCGAGCATCTTTCAACAGGTTGGGTGATATCCGGTCAGGCAAGTAATACTCGAGACCGAAACTTTCTTTGTCTCATTGTGCGGCAAATTAGAAGATCCAAAGACAGAGAAACTGCTAAAAGACGAGCAGTTGCGATGCAAGGCACTCGAAGCCGAGCTTGCTCAGGCAAAAGAAGCATCTCTCTCCATGACACATAACCTGGACGCCCTCGCGGCAGAGAAGTCACGCCTGGAAGATCTCCAAAAGGCGAGCCTTGCCAAAATTGAACGGCTGACTTCGAAATGCGGCGAGTTAGACACATTATCCCGCACAACATTGAGTAGGGTCCAGTCACTCGAGGAAGGTACGTGCAAAGGAACTTTGTGGGGCTGTTCTGAGTAGCGTGCTCGTGGAGTAGAGTTACAGAAGGCGACTTCCGAACTGAACGAGTCAAGGCGAGCAACTGATGGGTTGAGGAGTCACTCCACGCGCATAGAAGCCGAGCTTGCTGAGGCCCACGGACGCATAAACGACCTGCTCGCGAAGGCTGCTGAAAATTCTCAGCATTGGCAAGAACAGGATCAGAGCCGACAACAGACCGTTGCTTTACTCGTATCTGAGAAGGCGTCTCTGACTTCTTCTCTGCAGCGCATGGAGGCCACTGAGACAGGTGTGATTCAACTCTCACTGTGTATGAACGCAGTTCTAACCGGTAAACAGAGCTTCAAGAGAAGGAGGGTCTTCTTCACTCCGAGCAAGCGAAAACACAAGCCCTTTTAGAGCGGGTGCATGATCTGGAGGTCTCAGCCGCCCAAAAGGGCGACGAACTTGGGCAAGTACTTCAAAAGGAGAAGGAGCTGGCTGAGAAGTGTCATGATCAGGTCTGTGGACTTCCAAATTGGCATATGTATGCGTACTAATGTTCAATAGGAGCGTGAGATTCACTTGCGGAAAGCTGAGCTGGACGAGTTGCAAGCAGCCTGTGACCAACACCAGCAACGCGTTCGGGAGCTTGAGGAACAAATTGAAAATGATGATCGAGCGGACAGGCTGGAGGCTTCCCTGAAGAACACTCAGGATCGGGCTGACGAGTTGGAGTTCCGGCTGAGTAAACTCAAACAGGTCATCGGTGTACCCTCCGAGTCATATTTACGTGTCTAACTGAAACCATCTTCTAGGATCATAACAGCCTCAAAAGCGAAAGGGACGAATTAGAGTCTCAACTCCGTTCAACGACCGAAAGCGAAGCCGGGTGGGAAAAGAAATATTCGTCTCTGGAAGAGGAATTTTCCACAATCCGGGCCTGCCTTGATACTGCAAACAACCGTCGGAGCGAATTAGAGGAAGAACGCGCGTCGCTGCAGTCCCAAGTCGAGTTCAACCAGAATGTCGTAAGGGGACTGCAGCAGAAACTTGCCGAACTTGCCGCCGACGTTTCCTCCAAAGATAGAAGCTTAACAAACCTGCAGGGCGAGCTGCGTGCTGCCGTTCGTCGTGCTGAAGAGTCTGAGAGGACGCAACGGGATCTTCAGGCAGAAGGCACTAGACTCGTGCAATCTTCAGAGGAAATGCGGTCCAAGATCGTGGAGTTGACCGCCGCCAAAGTGGAGCTCTTGGACCAGATAGAGCAACTGGAGCACGACAAGAAGTCTCGCGATACTCTAATCTCAAAACTTGAGATTGCTCTAAACGAAGGGACGGAGCGAGAAGCAGAGGCTGCGATGCTCAAACGCGAATCAGACCACTTGCGGGAGAAGGATGTCACGTCTTTGCAGCAAACTATCGCCGACCTGCAACGCGGGTATGCTGTTCTCGAAGCGGAGCTCCAGACATCGCAGGCTGCGGTACATACACTGGAAACCGAGCGCACGAAGATGCGTCAGGTGGAAATACGCCAAGCTGACCTCAGCAATCGGTTGTCTGCTGAGTCGCGACGCAGGGCTGAGGAGCTTGCTCAACTAGAATCTGAGCTCGTTTCGCAGCGGAACATCGAACAAGAGCAACGCAACCTCATTGATCAGTACAGAAGCGAAATCGAGATTCTTCGTAGCGAGCTTATGGCAAAGGATGAGGAGTTGGAGAGCTTCCAGAAAACCCCCGTGACCGACGACGCTACCCCTTCGTCACTAGATAACGAGATGCTGAGCGCGCTCAAGCAGCAGCATGTCTTGGAGCTCTCTTCTGCTCAATCACAAATACGTGCGTTGGAGACCGCCGTCTTCGAAGCGCAAGACAGGGCGCACCGTCTCCAGCGCCAGATCGGTGTCTTGGAGGATCAACTAGCACAAACCCGGACTTCAAGGGCTACTCCGCGACCCTTTTCCCCCAGCACATCTGTACGACCATCGAGTCGAGCGAGTTCGGGCTTACGGCGCGCATCTTTTGGCAAACAGAGTAGTCTAGTCCCACCCTCGACTCGGTCCGTGTTCGACGTCGGACTATCCCCGGAAACCCGACATAAGCGACAAGTCAGCCTCAGCATGCTGAAAGCGAGGATTGAGAGTGAGACTGCTGCCAACAGCCACACTCCACGGGTGCTTTCTCCCGTGCCGCAGGGCAATGAACATTCCTTATCTTCGGTCCATGAAGAACATCCATGGCGACCGCAATTCATGGATGAATCACACATCTTCTGGTGTCACTCGTGCCGTGGAGACTTGGTCATTCTCTGATACCGCACCCGTTTCGTTTACGTTTACTCCATTATCACCATATTTCCATAGTTGCATTAATTAGGTGTGAATGTTACAAACATCATGGGCGTTGCACGTGGATGCTAAGTAATAGTGAAACAGAAAAAGAACACCGCTTGGTAATTGACTACGATTGTTGACCCTGAGTCGACTTGAGAGACCAAACTTTGTACAGCAAGACCTGGCTACGCCTCAGTCAACGTCAAAGGCGATTTATGTTGGCTTACCTCGGCTTCCTCAGGCTGTAGAGTACCTTTCGTATGTTCTTCTTCCACACCTCTCTCGATACTCTCCAAAATATCATCAATCAGGTCACGATAATCAACGCCAAAGAAACTGGTTAGCTTGGCTGCTCTCCGCCGACGAACTTGAAATTCTGATGTCTCGTGTGGAACGGAATGGAACTCAGAAGCCAGTGAAAGCATGGACGCGCTGCTAGGGAGAGAGTGTCGTCGCTCCGATCTGTGGGAACTCGTGACCGAGTGTCGTTTATTGTCTGCCACACGCTCCATGTCGAAGGATAGGTCTGGCAGCTCGCTATTGATGAAACGATGCAATTCAAGAAGCGATTCGCGATCATCCTGGATCGAAAGGGTCAGACGAATCTCTGACAGCACGCCAAAAGACACCTACCCTGTCAATTATGTCCACTAGCGAATTCAGAGACTGTTCGTAATCTAGATAAACCGAAGATTGGGCAATAGATACTCGGCGGTTTGAAATGGAGGATCTTTGCCTCTTGGGCAGCAAACACGTCACAGACTCGGATAGTGGTGGTCGATGGGAACTCTTTCCTTTGTACGCAGATTGATTAGGGTTGGAGGTATACGTCAACCCAGTAGGGGAGGACGGTTGAGAGTGCGGTAGAGTGGAGGGGCCCTGGCGGGTGTGGAAAAGAGTTTGCGGAGGAGGCGTACCGAATACCTGATAAAATCATTGTATGCGGGGTGCGGTCCAGCGGCGTTATACATACCTTTTCCATCTTCTGCGCACGCCTAACGTTCAGTGCCTTCTCCCTTTGATCAAGCTCTTCCTTTCCGCGATCGAAGTGTTCGTGATGGTCCAATGCACCCCCTTTGCGGCCGCGCAACCATGAATCGTGGAAAGATTCCATTGGTGGCGAACTTGACAATGGCTGTGGTTCAAGTTCAGCCGGAAAACCGAGTACGAGGTCTGGTGGAATTCGTGACCCGAGAAAGCGATGAAGTTTGGCCAACCTATCCCGTTTACGCCGACGCTCGCCTTCCGCTTGTCTGTCTGGATCCAAACTGTCGACAAGGGACGGTGTGGAAGAAAAGTGAGAGATGGTTCGGCGTCCGCTGATCCCATTACCGTCTGCTGTGATAGCCGGAGCTTCATCACCACGTGAGACTTCTTCGTCGTCAGATAAGTCTATGAATGAACTTGAAGAATTTCGCTGAAGTGGCGAATCTCTAAGGCTATGCACCCCACGATGATCGTTTGTTGGAACCGTGCGGGACGTATCATCATCAAAATAGAATGTGAACGAACTAGGTGTCAGTGGAATAGAGTATCTCCGTTCTCCCAGCGACCACGAATCGTCAATTTGCCACGGGGACGAAGGCTCCGTCTTCGCATCACAGGACACGGGACCGTGTGAGACAGATATTGCTTGTCGGTGATTGCGCTGCTTCCCAGCTCCGAGCAAGGAAGTTAATGCTAGCGGCGGCATTTTTAGCCGTCGGGGCTCCTGAAGATCTAACGCAGACATGTCATGGCCTGGTGTCTGGCCGAAGACCTGTGCGAGTTTGCGATTGCGCCGTACGAGGTCAGCGCGTTCATCACGTCCAAGTAAGTTAGTTGTAGGCGGCATTGGAGCCAGGCTTTGAGATGGTGGACGGGGAGATAACGAAAGAGAACGTTTTCCGCCTCGGTTACGCCCGACACGCAAGGACGCCATCTTGAAGGCGGTGGCAAGCTCACGCTTTCTCCGGTGACCGACCGCTGGAGGGGACGGCGGCGCGCATTCAATGGGGGTAAGGGTAGCGGCTGAACCAGGAGACTCTGGCCTTAGAAATCCGTAGGATGGCAATTCGGTTGCAGGGCTTGGAGGCGCAAATATCATGGCCGAAAGAGCAATGGAAGAGGCCGAGGGAGAGTTCGGGGTTTGTTGAAGCGGCGACTCCCCAAAAGGAACAGGACTGGGAGGCGCAAAAGTCATGGTAGCTAGGGAAACTAAGGAAGGATTTCCAGTCGAAGTCCCGTAGATGTCGTTGGAGGGAATGGTAAGGTTGAGTTGTTGTTTGCGGGAAGGTGGATCCTTCTTGCTGTTATCACCGTGTTCGGAACAAGAAATCATGCCGTCCGCGTAAGAGGGAGAATAAAAATCGATGAATGAATGTCGACTCTCATTATCCATATCGCGTCGGCTGCCTTCATGCTGTCTTTCTTTGCCAGATGTCATGGATGAAAGCGGTAAGTTGGGTAATGACGATGCGGGGTATGTACGAGCCGGGTTCGCAGTGACATTAAGCGATGAACATGAAGAAGTAGATGATGATATTGACAGTGAACGGGTTGAGGCCTTATCAGACATTGCAGGATGCGTTAAGGGCAGTGGAGAACCAGTGTATCGTCCAGCTGATCCCGACGACCGCTTGATTTTAGTGGGATAAGGTCGAGTTATTGTAGAAGTGTCTGGGGAACTGGCACCACCCTTGCCATAAGCGGTTGACGTACCCAGCCTGGGAGTCCCTGTCAAGTAGCCTTTTTGCCAACAATAAGTTAAATTGAATTAACCCCTGTTACAGAAAAAAGTGACATACGTCTCATTGCAGGCAGGTTGTCCGCATCCATGGTCTCAGCACGATAGCGCCTGCGGCCAACATCTAGGCTATCCGACTTCTGTTTCAGGCTGCCCGGCGTGGCTGCAGTCGCGAACATGGCTAACGAATCTTTCCCCTTGCTCAGCATCTTCTCTACCTTGTGCAACGCGGGGGAGGCGCGATGACAAGTGGATGACTGCGAGGTGTAAGACTCGGGTGATGATACAACAAGCTCATTTGGTGAAGCCTGAGTAGGCGACTCCGTGGGTACAAACACGTCACCCGGCTTGGGAGTGGATAATCCATCTGGAGCGGTCAATGGGATCATGCTGTCAGATACATCGGATGCTGTACATACCATCTATCACGCTGTCAAACCTGGCAACGACGGGTGTAGGATTAATAAAAGGATTGGGTATGCTTGTCGCAGATGTGGTATTTGATTCGACCGGGGATGCAGAGTCCGGCATAGCGACAAGAAGAGCATCGGGCCAAGAGTCTGATCTGAGCTTGACGCCTCGTCGCCGTCCCGCGCTCTTGGGGCTCACCGTCTCCGGGGTGGTCACCTTCCTACTCGATTGAGAGTTACGCGGGGGTGGGGGAGGGAGACTAAATGGGAACTCGGACGAAGTAGACGCGAGGGAGGGACGCGAGCTTGTCGGTGAGCTGCTGTGACGGGTTAACTCGTCGTACTGGAGCAGGGCCTCGAGGTTTGGGGATATCTGAAGTGAGGAACCGGCCACCACGACAGGAGATGTCTGTGCCATGGATTTATCCAACTTGGTCGATGGGGGTGGGTATACCTGGGTATGGAGACAACGCGTGCTGGCGGCGGCGTCGGTCGTTATAAGGTGCTGTGAGGGAAGAACTTGAACAGGGCGATCGAACGAGGAGCTCAATGAAAACCCGGCTGGCAGTATCGAATTGAAATTTGTCACAAGAGTGGTTCGGCTAAAGTGTTCAACTTCCGGTGCAACTGAGCGAATCAGTGACAAGTCCGTAAACCACCAGCAGTATTATTATGAAACGAGGGGTCGGTTGAGCGTCAGGCTGCGCCACTACACAAGTAGCGGTAAAGATGCGAGAAGAATCCGTCAAACCCAATGATGGCGTTTTATTGTTGACTTTGCCTTCATTCTAATATGTAGTATAAGCTAAACGACTGTCAGTTTGCGAGGCCGGCGTTCTTGCCCGGCTCCCTTGACAACAGACCCGAGGCGTGGCTGTGTGGCAAGCGGACCGGCTTTTTGTCAATCCTCCATTTTGACTGATCCACAATTGAAAGCGACAGCCTCAGGGACAGCAAATACGATAGAATAATGACTAAACTATTACCGTGTATATGACATCGACAGGAAAAAAAAAATGACAGCACAAGATCACAAAGCTGGCGTATGAATCCTCCTCGGCGGCAGTGGTGGCTTCGAATCTGGACCCCGTACCCGTGCTGGCTCTGTGACCTCGGTTACGTGTTCGGGCGAACTCGATGAAACTGGCAACTCGCGATCCGACGCCCCGTCGCTCGCCGAAAATTGCGTAGATGGTAATGAGGGCCGTTCAATCAGATCCTGCGCCCCTGCCACTTGTGGCGCTAGTTTCGCGGAACACACCGTCCTCGGTGGTAATGGGGGTGGCACAGGCTTTGATGGTGGTGTTGGGGTTGAGTCTGGTGACAGTGCAAGAGGCGTAACATCTTGATTACAATCCGCACCTTCGGAACGCGTATCTGTCTGAGATTCCGATCCATCCTGTTGACCAGAAAGCGTAGGACTCTTCCATAGACGATACATACTCTGAATCGTCGTTGCCTTGGGCTTATTCTCCGTAGGATGGGATACAGGCGCAACGTTCCCCAGTGACATGATCTCTCCACGATGGCTAGCATGAATGCCGGGAATGGTCATTGTGCGTGCCTGAGATGGCTGTGTATGTATGGGCGACGGTCCGGGGTGATCATCTCTGAAGTCGTGGTCGTAGAAAGGTTCAGCATTCTTATCTCCCACCGAACGGGACAGGGTTATTCCAGTAGCCTTGTTCGACGTAGATGCCCCGTCAGATGTCTTCGTTAGTGACGAATCCGCAGAACGTGAGCTGACATTGTCCACTGTGCGTGGTGATCCTGTCTGAGGAATGGGGATCGGTGACGAAGCCTTGTATTCCCCATTAGCTTGCCCGTGTTGCTCCCTCCGTGCTGCAACTGCTGCCCGCACCTCTGCATAACTCGGCCTGCTGTGAGTATTATCGGTCCCGCTACGCTGGTCAGCGGGACCAGCATCAGGGACCTCGTCCTGGGTCCCACTCTTGCTGATATCTCTCCTCAACGTTGCCCAGTTAGCTCCCCACTTTCGTATTGTGTCCCTAGCAGTATTACTCAGTGCCTGTTTGTCTGCAGCCTTTGACTTGAGGGTCGACAAAAACGAGCTTGTCGTAGAAACTGCACCAAACGAATGTCGAGGACTTTGAGACGCAGACGCGACACTCGAGTCTGAAAGCACGTTTGTATCATCACCGACGGAGGATGACACAGAGTGAGTGCGAGATGAGCGTGCTTGAGAATGTGCAGACGACGATCGCAGTGGAAATTCCGGGGTTAGGTACCTAGGCACGTCCTCTTCAGTATCCAAAACGTTTGACACGGGTGCAGCGGTAATTCCAGAAGCAGGCACTGTACTGCCCACTGCCGCACCCTGGGCCCTGCTTCTTCTGCCGCGTGGGATGCCAGTATCTTGGCTGTCATTTGCATCGCCGTTATCGATCATCTCTCCCGCACCGAACCAGGACCGTCGCGCGGATGATTTGGGGTTGTTATCGCTGTCCAAAGAACAAGAGGCGGGTGCAGACCGTATACCTGGGGCGCGATCCGGAAGAAGTGTTTCAGAAGCAAGTGCATCAATGGGCTGCGTAAGCTGGGTCATCAGGGATTCCTTTTCCTCGGAAACAGCGGAGGTTGTAGGAATGTCTGTTTTTACTTCTTCTGCCAGAGGGGTCACCGGCTTTTCTGTCCGCGCAGCGTCTGACCATAAGCCACCCCGGTGTTCGTAGGATGTGCTGTCCCAGAAACTGATATCGTCCATGTTTGGCAGCACCACCGAGTCGGCGATCTGGCAGCGTGGCATAAATTTACAAACAATCAACGCTGTCCATAAAAATAACTCACGATTTCTTGGAGTTTGGACTCGATGGTATTGAGAATCATACTCCAGGTGATCTGACGGTCACTCACGATGGGCTCCACGTTGAGCACCATTCGTGGCGGTTTCGTGAACGCATACCACATCCGGCTGCTTGGAGGTCGCTTCACCTTGACAAGAAGGTTCCCCTCGAGCTCGCGCAGTACCACCGCTAGTACTAGCTTGACGGTGTAAGATTTGAACCGTGCTCCAAGGTTGATCACGGCGGTTGCCTCAACAGTGGCACGGATCTCGCCCTTGTAAAAGAGGCCTATTTCGAGCGACGCGTCGCCCTCCTTCGTGAGCTCCTTGAGCATAGGCTTGCTCAGCGTCGGAACCTTGTCTCCGATCGAGAACCGTGTGACTGCAATTTCAGTGAGGAATGCGGGCCGCTTAACCTTGGAAAGCTTCTTCATGAGCCGGTGGATGATGCAAGACTCGAGCATCTGGGTCCTGTAGAAACTAAAGAATATACGTCCGAGGAGTGCATTCAGCCAGCGCATCGGTATAACGTCCGGCTGTTGATCGAGTGTTGCAACGAGGTGGTTCATCTCGAATGGCGAAAATACTGCTTGGAGTGGACTTAGCAATGGCGTACCGGCTGGGTGGTCAGAGGCATGCACGAGTGCCAGATACCAATCTTCCATCTCCACGCACGATCGGACGAAGATAAACCATGGCGAGGTAATGTTGAAGGCTTCCTCCTTGGCAAGTTCTCGACTGGCCCCGTCGCGTTCTTTGGAATGTCTCTTTCTCGTCCCGTTCCCTCCTTCCTTTCCGCTCTCGGCCGCTGCCACTGACACCTCTTCGTCCCTCTCTGCATCCCCACTCCCCATCGCCATCTGTCTTGTGACGCTTGGCATACCCTGTTCAACAAGTGCCTTCGGCTTCGGCCTCAGACAAATCGCGTTCCGTCTGGTAAACAATTCCCCGTCCGCCAGTCCCTCCGGGAATACCAGCACCTCATGGCCACCTAGCTCTATCGCGGCTTCGCACTCCGTCATACCCTCGTCCTCATATAGATAGAGAATCTTTCCCTTGAGTACGACGTACCACATGTCCTTGGGCCGCGAGCGCTTCGGGTCCTTGGACCGTGCATCAAGGTAAGACTTTACGAACGTCATATAAAATCCGTCGAATTCCGATTCTTCGAATGTCCGGCGCACGGTTAGCCAGCCTTTCCGAGTCCTGGGGCGGTCGTTGACCTCGAGAGGTCCAAGTTCGGCAGTCCTCACTCCCCCCTGTAGTTGCCGCAATGGAACCTTCTGCCTCTGTAGAATGGGCAGAGTTGGACTTCTCTAGTGTCGATGCTCGAGCATGCGCTGTTTTGGCATCCTTGGGTGGTTCTTGGACGGGTACCGACGTGTAGATGGTGATGGCGACTGAGTGCGCATAGGACGAGGGGGATGAACGTGAAGCCACCGAGCACGTAGGCATACAGCAACGCTCTAAGCGACATGTGGGATGAGGGGTTCCTGTAAAGAATACCTTCGTATGGGTACCTGCACTGACCACCACACACCGGCCACTAATGGCACTTGCGGAGAAGGTCAAGTCGTACTCCATATAGTAATTTCCCACCCCTCAAAGTCACTCAACCAACGTGTCCCAATAGCACATCTTTATACAAGCGGAACAATGTTAATGTAATGTGAAAGCATCAGGCCACACTGCTCCCTTGTGTATTGCACGGATGAATACAATAGCACGATATAGACATACACGGAACCAAACTCAATTGGCCCGTAGAACTACAAATGCCACCAGGGCCTAGAATGCATAATCATAGAGTCACAAACCATAGATCGAATCCTCTACGTTCATCACCCGTGACGGTGGACACCGAGATCGCGATCGAACTCTTGCACTGGCTGGCCTTGAGTACATCCCTCTTTTGCACTGCTCTGCCGGAGGTGGAACGACTGCGTACCAACGGCCGTTAATGTACTGCCATTCGTCGATCCGCGGAGCGGGGTGCATGCCATCTGTCATCAACGGTGGGTGCACCTTATTAAGTGCAACATGCGTGGGCACGGTGAGACGCATGCCGAAAGATGCATCTTGGCAAGGAACCCAGCAGGATGTCTCTCGGGGCGCGTCTGGACATGGTGTCACGATCACGATAGGAGCAGACGGTTCGAGCGGGCGAATAACAGGAAGTTCAGGCTGAGATAACCTCAAGCACTTTACAATTGGAAGATGACATAAAATACTCACAGGAAGAGATGGTCGCCGGCGGTGACGCCTCCGCCTCTCTGGAGGTGGACTGCCTGGACATGAACGGGATGTAGAATTAGCTGTGCCCGTGACATTTTGTTCTGAAGGGCCCGTTCCCCCCTGATGGTTCGAGCTCGGAAAGTAGTCTCGACACGTGCTCGATATCCTCCTCTACAATATTTCTCAGACTCTCGTACACTGGCAAGATGCTACGTTCGTATAATCCAGTAACACAACCCCACGACAGGTTAGAGGGAGAAACCAGGGACGCTAGGCTCACGTCCACAGACTGCACAGTACGGAGTATGTGTCAGCTTCTGAGAACGTTGAGTGGACACTCACAATCCCATCGCTGTCTTCGTGTGAAGATAGAGAACGCTCCACATGCACAGTCAGCCACTGTGTTCCTTGCCGCGACAGACGGGCGAACATGTCGGTATTCGAGGTAGTTAGACGTACCCGCTAGTGAAGAGGAACGTGGTAGACGGCAGTTTGAAATGCGACATCAGCAGGCACACACGTCGTTCACAAGTGAGACCAACACTGGAGACGCTGAAACCTGAGCCGCTCACAGCTGTCGCGTGAAATTCGCGCGAAATTCAAAAAGAATGCCGAATGCCGGATCGTGGGAATGTACTACCAAATACGAGCTAAAAGGCGGGCAGTGTCGGGGATCATTGATTTATCGACATCCTGGGTGCTCGGAGACACTAAGCTGGACAATGAATCAAATAGTACCCTCATCCCAGGGCGGACATGCCTATCCTTGCTATCGTTCGTTCCTGTGCACAGGGTTGGCTAGCTCTGTCAGACTCACTACAGGGAATCGCGCAAAGGCGACGAATCCAGTGGACACTTGACTATTAGCGTTGGCGTTTCGGCGCTTTACGGTTCATGGTTAAGCAGCATTAGTGTGAACGGGCAGTCATCGCATCAGTTGAGCTTAGAGTAGGCACGCGCACCGCCCACCCGTCTAAGAATATGTAGTGTCACGAATTGACAGAACGATGGAGAACTGCGTGGGGATCCCCCATGACGCCAGCCAATAACATTACCTCGGTCAGGGGGACACCTAGAGACACCTGCAAGATGAATGACATCGACCAGACAGGGACTTTGCGAAACAACTTACCGTGTTTGTGCAAGACTTGATGGAATAGGAACGGGGGTTGATAAGGTTCAGGCATCCGCAAATAATTTGAGTGCAGCGGAGCGCCCGTGGATCTGTAAGCAATAAACTGACGCACAAGGCGTTGGATTACCGGTGGTGCTTTGGAGGTTGAGCGAATGGAGCCTGCCCGGCCTCTGTTCATACGTGTGAGATATGCTACATACTTATCATGGCATGGATCTGGGGGAGCATGCGGTGTGGAGAGTTGAAGGGCATCAGATGACCGGTGCACGCTACATATGATAATCAACACCAAAAGCTCTGTTTCGTGACTCAATGAGTGGTGGCACAGTAGACGGATGACTGTGGTGATACATGAGGTTGATGGTCTGCTTCAAAGACTGAGCCAGCCTCGCAGGGAAGTAGTGACACACAGCCTATGGACATGCTAGCTAGTAGGTTTGTGGGAGGTCTTATCAGAAAAATAACCAGCTCCGTCCGATATCTTCATAAAGCCGAGCGACCCTGCCGGGAAGCAATGGAAATTGGTGTATTATGGGCGCAGCAGCGATGACTGGTCGGTGGAAGTTGGACTGACAAGTTGGTTGGAGCGAGAGCGGAAGCAAAAGTCTGGACTGTGCGTGGGTATGAAATTCGGAGCAAACCATGTACAAAGTTAGACAGTTCCGTGGCCTCGAAACGGCCAAACACGTCAGACCTGACATTTTTCTTGGAGGGTGGACGTGAGATAAATATTGAGCCACGACGTGGTAACCCTGCAAGGGAGACACTCCGCGGCACACGTTCACAAGTGATCAAACTGGGCTGAGCGTATCGATTTGAAAGGGGTACGGTTGGGCAAAGAAGCAAAGCCTCGTTGTTGGAGGTGATTTATCCAAATGGCATTGTTGGTCTGTGGAGGCAGGCCTCGAGGCGTACGATAATCGATATCGATTGAGGAGCTGTCTTGCATTGTCGTCGACGATGGGCCCGACCGTGTCCAAAACCAGCCCCGCCATATATTGGACAGCCACACAAATTGGCCGATTCTGATTGGATGATAGTAAACTTGGCCGGCTTTTCCCGTTATGGTCGTCCAATCGAGGTTCCCCCGCTCAACGCACAGTGACTGCACAACTTGTAGTCAGCCCATTTGTCGGTCTCATCGTCGCCGCCGACGACGACAAGGACACTCATTGACGGTCAAGGTGGGATTGAGGTGGTGGAGGCGAGTACAGCATTCGGCTGTGTTGCCATCACAGCCTAAAAGGCCGATATCGAGACGCCCATAAAACATCTGCCTCGAGGCCATTGGCTACGTACCCGTCTCATTTTCGTATGTCAAGTGTGTTTCCGCGTGTTTTCCTTTTTTTTACTTCATATACATGGTAATCATTCCAATTGCCATTTAACTATCTCTGTTTCCGTTCCTGTCTCGTCTTCTCTTCCGCCCGCCCCCCATGCTCACCGCTTCCTTCCGTCCACCCTCGGGTGGTTGGTATGTCCGTCCTCCTCCACTGCAGCACAGGGGAAGGTCTCGCCAGATCTCTGCTGCTGCCAAGGCCAGAGTGGCTTCCGAAGAAAGGAGAGCCCATCTACTCGAGCAACAGCAACAGCAGCAACCGCAACCCTCCTCCCAACCGGACACAATGGCCAACAGTCTCCTTTTACAATCGGAATCGGTCCCATCCTCAAGCGCTGCGGGTGACGCGTGTTCGCCACCTCATCCCACTGCCATCGAGTCATCTATCACCATTCCCCTCCCCTCTTCCCCCTCGGTTGTATTCGAACGGTCACCATCTCCCATGCCGGATAGTTCAGCCGCCCACTCATCTGACTCGTCTTCCTCGGCTTCTCTTTCCTCCGACCTTTATGACTCTCCACCATCGCCGCCCACCACACTCGAGGACCAGGTTCAGGTAGCTTACGCGTTGGATGACATACGACTCGCCAAGACACTTCTCCTCAAACTCAAAGGCATTGAAGTCACCTCTGACGACGACCCTAGGATAGACGAGGTCCGCGACGAGGACTTCGATGTTTACTTTGTTCCTTCTGGTCCCCTCGCCCTCGAGGAAGCAGATAGGAGAGCCATGGAGGAGACCCAACGCAAACAAAGAGAGTGGGCAGCGAAATCACAGAGATCCATGCGATTAAAGGCGTGCGAGAGAAGGTGGGAGGAAGAGAAACAACGTTTACAGGCGGACAAGCTCGCCGCTATGCGAAGACGAGAGCAACAACTCGCAGCTGCAGAGAACGAGCGGAGACGCGCCGCGCAAAGACAACAACGCTACTCAAGGGTGCGAGTTCCGAACCTCTGCTCTGAATTTTCGTTGACAGTTCGGGGTTTCAGGCTCGTGCAGAGAGATATTCTTACTCGAACCCTACACGAGAGGAAACCCCATTTCAATACAGCTTCATGGTACCCACCAACCCCTCCGGCCCAACCTCCACCCGGCAAGTCATTCGATCTCCTAAAGCGGCAGGTAAACAGGCCGTCACCGATTCGCCGAGACCCACGGTATGTTTCAGGGAGGTCGTCAAGTGTATGAAGGGTAGGCTCTTCCCTCCGGACGCATCTGAGCAAGTCGAGGATGCTCGGTGTATCGCCGGACTGGACTCGTTATCCAATAACACACGACATCGACGCAGACCGTCAGCGCGTACCCAGTTGCTGGATAATCTATTGCAACCTGTGGAGTGGAAAGGCGACCGACGGAAGGCGCAAGCCGCCAGCGCACCTTGCAGACGTGCTGCACATCTTTCGCAGTCCGTCGTTCGCGACTCAGCACCTATACCCTCCCCCCCGTCGTCTGAGTCACTGACGTCGATGTCCTCGCCGTTATCCTCGCGATCGAACTCGTGGTTTTCATTTGGCAGCTGGAGATCCTCGTGCACCGATGTTACTATCCCAGATACGCAGGTAGCCACCCCATCCGAGTGCTCCCTGCCTGTCCTCTTACCCGCTACTCATGAGAATCAGCGGGACTACCATTACCCGCGTTGCTCATTCATTCCTATTTCCCTCGAGGAGAGTCCCCTGACCCTTCCCAGGCCATTACAATCCGAACGTCAGGCGAGCGGGGATAATCGTAACGGTGTTGTTAGCGCAGAGGGGGCAGCGAGCTCATCTGGCCGAATGCGGCAATCCGTTCTTCACCGGGTTGGCTGTTCGGTCGCCGGCTTAGTCGAACATGTTTACGCTGCCTTGTTGACAGTTGGGCCACCGATGTCAGCCAATGACAAGTCTCCACAGCACCCTGCGCGCCAGTCTCGACGGCCGACCGGTTATCGTGCATACTCCGGGGACGTGAAGAGATTCGTGTCCCCGGATCATTCAGCTACAGCAACACCTGTCGAACCTGTCCTCTTTATCCCCCTTGTCAATCTTACACCAAGGTCACCAAGCTGTGGTGGTCTGTCGCAGAATCGGCTATCCACCGCCGATGCCATCATCATCCCGTCGCCACTCCGCCCTCGTACCCCACCTACGATGCTTGCTTATCGCCTCCGGCCTGTCGCAAACCCTACCGTCCTTCGGCTGCGGGCGTTACAGAATTTGATGTGTGCCCGCGGGAAGGAGTGGGAGGGCCGTGCGCGCGAAGGTGGGCTTGGATGTGGCAAGGAACGTATGTTAGGCGTCGCATTCGAGGGTCGCGGACGAAGTGGGCTCGGCTGTGAGGTACGCTTTGCGGTCGCTTGAGCCTGCTCACGATCATGGGCTGCGTTTAGATTTGGATTATCGTTAAGGTATTCTATGTCACCGGTTCCACTTCAACCGGAACGGGCTATAATGGACGTATTTCCTTCTTTAATGCTACTCGTGTCTTTTTTGGTTCCCTTTCTTTCCACTGTTATCCGTTTGTTGTACATGTACCACGTCCCGCATTCCTTTTAGCAGGTCGGTTTAGTGGTAAGCAATTTGTTGTATTCCTATTATGTTTTATCCGCGATACCCACCCCTCGTACATAGCTTCTGAAGTCACATACGCTTTCCCTCGCCAATTTACCTTTGCATTCCATTTTTTTTCGACGTGACCCACTTACATAGACACCTGCAATCGATCGTCCGACCTCAGATTGATCATCTTCGAATGATGAATTGGCGTTAATAAATTGGTATCGTGCAGTAAAAGTACAGTCGTGTGAGAGATAAAGGAACCACAACACGATCGATCACCGACTCAAATCCAAAGCCGACCCTGCGGGCGACCATGCCTGTTGTGACCATTGTGAGGGTGGGATGTTCCGATTTGGACCCACGCTGACAGGTGGTGCTGGTGCGGCTGCCCTGGCGAACATAGGAGGACGACGCGGCTGCTGCATCCGTATTCCAGGCTGGAGGTCCATCGCACGTTGGTGTGGGGGTGCAATCCCTGCTTGGTGTTGCTGTGGTGGTTGCGGGTGTGACAGTTGCTGTTGATGCTGTGGACCTGTATTGGTATCCCACCCTTGCCATGGAGCAGTCTCGCGAGACGATTCCTCAGAGGCCCACGCGCTAAACCGGGACCCTCGCGGCGACATAGATTCACTGCGCCTGCGTGGTACCTCAGAGCGGAGGGCTGCACAGAGTCTTCCGATTTCACCACCCTCACGCTCCATATCTAGTATGATACCCTTTTCCTGGAGGCTGCTCGGGTCAATACCGAGCATCTTGCGGAGCTCTTCGTTCTCCTGTCGCAATCGCGAGATCTCGGTCTCGCGTTCGAGTGCCCAGTCATCCTGGATGATAGGCATAGCAGACTCATCGGAGAGAGATTCGATGAGTGCGTGTAGGTCCAAAGGCTCCGAGTCAGAGGATTCAGGGTCTTCGCCGATCAAAGTACGGTACAGGGAGCGGAGGGCGACTGCGAGGCGTTGGAGGCCACGTGCGGTCTGAGTTTCGCTGGCCAGAGACGTGTACAGGTTTTGGGAGTCGCAAGCAAGGAGTAAAGTTTCGTAGTGGCGTGTCAGGGTTTGTTCGTGGTGTTGCGCCGCCAACTGTGTAAAAGGCAGTGGCATCAGAGCAGGGCACGCCATCGAATAGAAGAAAAAAAGTGTGTACGGACAGCATGGTGACGGAACTTGGACATGACAGTTTCGAGGGTGTTCTCGTGCTCTTTCAGGAGCATGCTGAGCTGCTTGTTTTCGTGCAGGAGGGTCTGGTTTTCGACGACAAGCTGGGCATTGGTGCGCTCGAGCTCGGACTCGAAAAACTCTGTGGGATGACAGGGTAGTGTCCGAGCACAGCTGATGGGATATGGAGAGCATACGTACCCTTGGATATATCTGTGTTAACACGTCTTAGTGCGAAACCCGAGATGGATTGCGCAGCCTGATCCTGCATGCATCATTGTAGCGTGCGTCTGATTGACAGGGTAGAAGACAAACCTTGAGTGCTGCTGCGCGGGCATTGATGGCGCTGGTTAGTTTTTGGTTCTGGTTGATGGAGTCGGCGAGTTCGTGTATGATGAGACAGGCTCGGAGGAGGACGTCGTTGTCCATGATCATCATAGTGGGACCGTGTGAACCCAAGACCCGCCCTCGGCAATCATTTGATGGGACAGGAAGACAAGGGTCAGACCCAACCCAGTACTGGCTCTGTACAACACCCAAGAAATCCCACTCGACGCTCGCTTTTTAATAATCAGAGGAATACATATTAGCATCCTGCTCATTCGTCAAGTTATATTCTGTCGGCGGCTGTCATCCTTTTTTTTGTGTTCTCCACCACGTTTCGGTTCGGCAAAGCGTCTACATTTTTTCAACCCACCGTTAGTTTCAATATTTACAAGCATCCCATCCTTCTCTTCTGCATCCATATAATCCCGTGAATCCATGTCTTCCGCTTCCACTTCGGGTCTCTCTGCTGCAGTCACGCGCATCCTCTCCTTGAGCGGCTTCCCAAAAGAACTCAAGACAAAGGACATCCAAACCGCATTCGCAGAATGGGAAAACATGGGTGGCGGGTTTAAGATCAAGTGGAGGGACGACACCAGTCTTTTAATTGTCTTCCAAGACGCCTCTGTCGGTGAGCACATCTATTCTCGCCACGCAGTTGTATTTATCACCTGCTCATGCACTTTTCATGTCTTCAGCTAAACGTGCCTATCTCCACACGCTTGCCTTCCCTCCATCCATCATGACAACCAATTGTGTTGCCGTCATAAGACCGTATGACGCACCGGACGCTCAGCTCATCATTCAGGCTGTCAACTCTCGCGGTCTGCACAATAGCAACCCTTCCCGCACACATAATATGCGCGCCGCCTCTATCTCCGTCTTTCCAACCCGTAGCGCGAACAATAGCCAGTCCAGTAGCAGCGGTCTTCGGAACGGTACCCAAAACGGCCACGTGCTGAACACGACCATCTCCGAGCATGCACCTAATCGAATGAATGGGCGTGAACCTTCACCAACGCTTCCTTCGCTTCCCTCTCACCCCTCCCTGAATGATCTCATTAATTCTTCCATGCCACCCGAAGATCCCGCTATTCTTCACGCAGAGGGCCCTCCCAAGATCGGTGACCCTGGCAAAAGGATGCTGGGGGCTGCGCTCGGTGTAAGGCACCCTGGCTTGGGTCCGCGTGTCTTCAACGGAGGTGCAACCATGAATGGTGGCTCCGGTGCCAGTTCGAACGGACTGGACAGAGGCGTTCAGAAAGCGATGAGTGGTCTTACCGTAGCCGAGTAGACGTTTCGATGCCATGCAAAGGTCTGGGGTTCCTGGAACCTGCTAATCGGTGCTCTCCCTTTTCTGGCGAGATGCATAATTTTTTGACGTGCCTCTCTGTTGGCTCCATTTTTTTACTAATAGTCAAGTGTTGTATATTTTCCCTGTTCCTCGGGTGATACTTGCTGTAGCACGCCTCATGTCTGTTCTTCGCACACGCCATTCGTTTTCTTACTTGCAATCATTTCGAGCGCACACGGCCACCAACCCTTGTGTTGTCGTAGTGATGCAGCTACGGTTGTGGGACCCTTCACTTGCTGACTTGGTGACATGAAAAATGATGTGAACGCGTCTATCAAAAAAAAGTCTAAGCCACAAAAAGGCGAACATCAACGAAGACGCTCCTTTGTTACAGCCACCGCCTCTGACAGCAGTTAGTAGTATTGGGACATCTAAAGGCACAGGCTTCCGGCTCCAAGGAGGGTGTTTGGAAGAACTCCACGCGATAACGGGGGGATAGGTTACGCTGCATGCGAGATCTGGGCAGACTGCGTCCCTGCAGCCGGCTGCAGGGATCTGTACGTTGTCAATCTCTGCAAGATGACACCTTTTCTACTCCCCGCAGCCTCACGATGTGAATAAGAATGAGGAAAAACGTCAAAAGTCACAAGGCCGTGTACCTCATCGTCATATAGGCGCCGCGTCCCGTCAGTAAGGTTTTCGATGATGGCGCTGCCAACACGAGGCTCAGGTGCATGCTTTCCTAGACACCTTCACTTGGTGGTCAGGACTGTGGTCGCCACATCCAATGAGATCCCATCCTTTGTGACAGGTAATAGTAGGGTGGCGATGTCCGTCCCCAGCCTTCTGACCGCTGATTTACCAGATATATCGCCATCTTGGCGCTGCAGAAGCACACATACTGGATGGTTCCATTCTTGAACCGATTCAAAGGGGTGGCACCCTTCGTAAAAAGCCGGCAACGTGTGTCATGCATACTTATAGATACCACTGGCGGCATGCAACTCTAGTCATTGTTCAATTGCCATTCGGACCGTGACGGGCATTTGATAAATGGAAAGGTCCTGCCGCAGCCCTGATGAATCCCATCACTGATTCTGGAGGGCAATTTCTCCGTCACCTGCCAACGATGGAGGTACACGCATATATATCTACCCCATCATGCGGTGCGTGCTAGTCCCTTCCAATGATATATGTACCACCTTAAGTCTTATTCGCCAATTGACTCATTGGCGTCCCTTTCAACTCCATGATCTTTGCTGCCCAGCCTCTGTCCACCACGGATCCTTCCAGTAAATGGGTATCCCCTTACAGTCAAGGTGAAATACCACATTGCATATATTATGCCGCTGCCAGTCTGAAACGCGTTGACCACCAACAGACACCATGCATGCATACGCCCACTCTCCTGGGAGCTCTTCATCGTCACCAGGAATGTTGTTGTACTCTTATGCTGAAGCAGACATGTCCTCTGAGTCCAACTTCAAATCCTGGTCGTCGTTTTGGTGTCCACCACAGCAGCCGTCAAAGTCTCGAGCTGTGGCTACGGTGAACCCCAAGGAGACCCACTGGACGACATCAGATGTCGCCACGCCCTCGTCTGCGTCATCATATTCCATCCCCACCCCCCTGTCTGCCTTGGGTCACTTTGACGTCGCCGACCCTGTGGCACCAGAAGAACCAGACTTTGACGAATTCGATTATGACGATGACGACGAATATGACGAATGCGTCAATGCTGAGGACGCAATGATGATTCTTGAAGAAGATCCGAATGAATTAACCCATGCTAGCCAACCAGTACAGCAGACCATTAAAACTTCTACGCAGGGCGATCAATCGGAACCTGCAGTATCGTTTACCCACCACCCTCACCACCACAGCGACACCTATTCATCCGTGCGCGTCATTTCCGACCGCAAAATGACCGCGTCAGCGCCCGGTTACCCAACTACCTCGTATCACTCGATCGTTGATGAAGCGTTCCAAAGAGAACAGCTCTCGCATCCCAGCCAAGCGTTTCCAGCCACGCCACATGTGCACCCCCTACAACACATTTATAGCGATCTCGGGACTTCGTCTCTTCCGATCGGGAGCCCATCTGCTATGGCATCACGTCACCAGCCTTTCTGCTATTCTAGCGCAATCACTTGTACAAATATGTCCCATCCAATACCCATCATGCAGCCACAGCCTATCCGCCCTATACCACCTATCCCCCTGGACGAGCTTACGTCCAGCGCGATCGAGAACAGTCCAAAATCTGACTCCTGCTGTGGAGCCTTATCATCCCAGCGCCCGGAGGCGTTTTCGCCACTTCCTTTGTTGTGTCAGCCTGTATCTGACGCTGTCAGATATCAGCTCCAGAACTCGTCACCCAGCGCGTCTTTGGATGATCCTGAATGCTACGATGATGATGATGATGAAGACGCATCAGAAGGGGCGTGTCAAGGTTTATGCCTTCCCCAAGAACAACCGATGTCGCAATCTATCGCGACCTATTCCGCGGAAGGGTTTATGTACTCCCGCGATTGCAGGACTATGGCGATAAGATGGCACTAATCGGTAATTTAATTTTCAGACGAACACACCTCCAACCAGCTTCCGTCGGAGGCTGTACGGCTTTTGGGCTTCTCGAAATACCCTAACCAGGGACTTACCATGCATTTGTACTTGTTCTGCAACACAACATATTATGTACTCTCTCCAGGGCTGCTGCGTGTATGTTTACAAAATAACAGTAATGGTACTCCAATGGTATTCCCCGACAATTTCTACTGTAGAAATGACAAATCGACCCTACATTATCCCTCTAACAGCTTCTAAATAGAAAATTACGTCCATCATTGGATTCTTGCTTCTAAAACAGCCGTGACTGGTTTGCCAGCGAGATTGATAGAGACTCGGAGAAATCAGGCTATACCGTGCCTGCGTGATTTGGTGTGATACTGAATATAATATCCAGCTGTGTACACAAGCATGCGCTGGTCGCACCAGGCGACGGGCGGTGTGCTTGGAAATGAGCTACCCAAGATACCGGGATGAAGACCAGTACAGTAATCTATATGCTGCCACCCGCAGGCGCAGTAGCTTGTGTTCTTGGCTCGCTACGGGACGTAGCTGACATAGTTCGCATGCTATGCCGTTCGCGGAGGGGTGACCTGCACTGCCCGAAGGTAACGAAGTGTGCATCTGTTTGGTCAAACGGACCCTTGCACCTGCGCACGCGACATTCTAAAGTCGAACTACCGCTACTGGCACTTGAAAGAGTAATACTGTGATGGTCGGCGTAAGATGTGAGGGATTTCGGTGTCGATTGAAAACGTTCCATTTCCACGGCCTGCAAAGGTATATTTGCGCTCTGCTGGTTTGTATGGGTCGTAAAGCCATGAATATCACTGCTCATTGTAAATGTTTAGTTGATTGCTAGACGTAAAGATAAGATAAGAACCTGGTGTGGTACCCGAATGGATCGTGTATTTGCCAGTCCTCACTCGGCAGTTCGCGCTTGATCTCAGGCAGAGTACGGAACGGGAAAGTGACAGCGAATTGCCCAGAACGAACGACCGGTGAATCTATAATGTGGCTCATATCCATTGGCGGGGTAGGGAACAGATCATCTAGTGTCTGCACGAAAGATTGATCGGATCCAATCAGTGGCACGCGGTACTCGTAGTTTAATCTGTCTTCGAGTTGTTTCATCATCGTCTTTTGGATATCGTGCTTGATTCGAGTGAGATAATTTTGTTCGGATCCGAGGATATCGCTGGAAAGTCCCCAGAACCTAAAATCGTTGGTTTCAAGTGCGGGCGTCCTGTTCAAATCCGCCGGGAGCGATGGCTTATCTACGGGGTGGACAGAGTCATAATACAGCCGAGAGCGATCTTGCATGTGCTGCCTATAAGTTCCAACGCACTCCTGGATTCCACAAACAGGGCCGAGGCTGTCAGAAAATTCCCCATAGATCGTCTGTCGTTCCGTGCTACAAGGTGATCTCGCATCCGTGAGGAAGGCACCGTTGGTGCTCGTAGAGCATAGCGAAGCTATGTTCCATTCTTGCTGAATGGGTGCCAAGGTAGGAACGTGTCCATCGACTTCGAAATCAGAGTCATGAACTCCGGGTGGATACATGAGATCACTGGCGTCCGATGTCACGGAAAACCTTCCATACTTCTCTTCCTGAGAGACGCCACTGCACGTTGATTGTTCTTGTTGAGTGTTGATCGGCGCGGGAGAAAGTTTCGTACGTCCAAAATTGATAGGGGTATTCTCGCGAGGTCCTGCCTTCGACTTGGTTATTCGACGAGATGTTCGACGTCTAGTATTCGGCAACGCAGTAGGTTTATTATTGCGGTGAGGACGCGAGCGCAGTCTCGAAAAACGAATTCTGTGGTGCTACGCAACAAGAAGTATATTTTAAAAAATTGGAGACCATCATGCAGGGTGCAGTTGAACCTACTGGTGACTGAGAGACAGGGGTTTCTACGCCACTGTTTACCTTTTCTTTCCTCACCACCCGCAAACCACGGCTGTGAAAGTAGTCGTAAATATGGCGCCTGTCGGCATTGTACCGTTCTTGAAGCACTTTTCGAACCGCAAATGAAGGCATTGCAATGTTCCCAGGAACGATGAGCGCCTCCATGTCGCGTACGAGGTCGGGTCCAAGTCGAAGTGCCAGGTTCTCAGGGTTGACTCGCCGCCTTTCATGAACAATACCCGTGGAGGATAGTTTTGCAGGGGAAATGGTGTCGCTCATGGCCGAATCTCCTGCTTGGGTATCACTACAGTAGCGTCGTAGGTTACAGGTGGATGTACAAGAAAACGAACTAGGTGTAGACGGTGGAGGGAAGTCGAACAGGAGTTGTGTTGTCTATCGGGCATGTTGATATGGTTCTCGCATATGTACTAGTACCATCATGGACTAGCCACATGCGGATCCTCACGGCGACCACAACAGATGTACAAAAATGCTCAACCTTAGGACCTTCGCGGGAAAAGCCTTGGCATCCTCGGACGATCGGACCAAATTTCTACAACAAAGTGCTTTAGAAGTACAGGCTTGCCGCAAATACAACTGAGGGCACCTGGGTCAGAATTGCGGCGAAGTTGGGAATGCGTCAACTTACTGTCTCTCTTAATCTTCACTTGCGCCTCCTCCATTTTCTTGAACAGCTCTGCATCGCCTATAACGCGGGCAGCGTCTCTAACCTCACGGCAAGTCTCATCTAACCGTGTGATGACCCTAACGATGGTGCCCTCAGGGACATCTGTCAGTGCCATGATCTGATCAAATGGCTGTGAAGAGATGCTTTAGCAGTTAGTTGCACCATCGAACGGCTACGCACCATGCTCTTCGCCCACTCATACACTACTTCTACCAAGCCTATTTTAAAACCGGATTTGGAATCCTCTGTTGGAACTTGGTAGTGTTCCTGGACACGCAGAACTCTGTTAGCTATAGCTGTGATGGCCTCTAAGCCCTCTGACAGCTTAGGAGGAATGAGCGGTTCGACATCCGTTTTTTCCTGGAAAATAAAACAAGACAAAAGTGCAACGACTTCCTCCGGCTCGTAGTTACCAAGGGTGTTCTCGAGAATGAGCTCGGTGAGAATAAGTTCGTTGGCAGAATTTATCTGCGGTTGTTCATCATCATCAAGTACGGCGGAACCGATCAAAAACTAACATACCTCACACGCCACGCGCCCCTTCAGTTGGACAGTGGAATTTTCATCGATGAAATTGAGCTCTTTAAGCACTGCAATCCTTTGCTCATAGTCAGGGATAAGCTCTAAATTTTGTTCCGAAATCTCGGCCTTCAGTTCGGCAATGCTTTTAGCCAAGATTTTAGCTCTATGCAAGACGAGATACTGCGAAATGAGTTCGGCGCCACCGACGCGGAAGGGGCAACGCACGTGATCTTCGAAGTTCTCACAAAGCACGCAAGATACCTTTCTCGATACCGCGCAAAATTTGATCCCTTTCTCGTAGAGCTTCCTGAAATTCCAGCAGGCGCACACGTCCCCATTGAACCTCCGGAATTGTACCGCTAGACAACCATTCCTGGACTGTAGATTGCAAGAGAGTCACTGTTTCAAGCATGGAGGATTTCTTGCGGTCTTCAATGATTCCTGAAGCGTCTACCTTCGGCTAACCGTTAGAACCGGCTGGCGACGTCGCGGGTTTTGTGAAGTTACCTTGATTATCTTGTTTGTTACCAAGGAAATGCTGCTTATCGGCACCGTCTCGAATCGGTATGTTGCATTTTCCACTGTAAGTGAAAGAGCATTCGAGCACCATCTCGGAGGAACGTCTTCCTTCACATCTGAAGATTGCACTGATGAGCTCCGTTACTGCAGTTATGATTTCCACTCACCGAAGTTCCCGGTTTTGCTTCTTTGATCTACGACGGCCAATACAAAGAACTTCTTGTCTGCAGATCTCTCACGAAGGTCGGGCCTTAATAAAACAGCGATTTTGAATGGGTAAAAAAGCTGGAAAGTCCCGCTGCATTTAGTGTTATAAATTACATTATCATGCGAACGCACTTGATCCCTGATAATTACTACTCTCCCAGGGTTCAGGATGCTCTGGTTAGATGGATGTTTTAAGACCATCTCCAGGAGTCGGTTGTTTTGGGAAGCTACCGCTTGCGAGGAGTCGTAGTAGGTTTCGATGTCTTCCAAGCAGATGCCACACTCGAGTTTAGGGAACGATGAAAGCGTTCGCTCGTGCTTAGATATATGTTAGGTAGTTCACTAACAGGGGGACTTATCTCTCCCACCTCCAAGATTTTTTTCTGATTTTCTGGTAATTGTCGTTGACTCGTATTCTCAGAGAAACTGCGCTTGATCATCTCTTCTACCCGCAAGGTCTCGACTCGCAAGAGATTGAGAATCATATTATATGTTAGCCGGAACTGTGACTGTAACTTTGCTGGCGTTCCACGGATCATGTTGCTCAGGTCTCCTTGCTGTCCATGCACTTTAAAATCACAAAAATTCAGGGAAAGGAACTGCTTACCTCCGGTAACTCATTGCCTGCGACAATAATCACGGTCCCTGTCGAATCAAGTCCGCGCCGACCAGCACGACCAGCCATCTGTGTGCATTCTCCTGGGAGTATTTGACGAAAATTTCGCCCGTCATGCTTTCGGGTGCTGGAGAATACTACGCATTTTGCAGGCATATTGACGCCCTGTCCAGGGCAGCCTTATTAGACCCACCAAGTAGAGATCATGCCACCTCACCATCGCAAACGTCTCGGTGGCGAACAGAACTTTAACAAGTCCCCGAGAAAACAAGAGTTCTACCACCTGTAGGGAATATGAGTGTTGTCGAAACAGGGTAGCGATTATTTACCTCTTTGACAATTGGAAGGAGCCCACCGTGATGCACGCCAATACCACGGGACAAAAAAGAGCGCATCTCAGCTATCTGTGGCAATTTTTTGTCCGAACCTGAAGAACTGAATAAGGCTACGACCCATTCGTGACGCAGAAATCACCTTTCAGTCTGGACAACGCCTTCTCCATCGTGACATGGACTTCACTTTTTTCCGCGGAAGTGCAGAGGTCGGCGTTCGACAATGTATTGGCGTGCTCTCCACATTTCTTTTTTGAAAGTGTGAATACGACGACGGGGAGGAGCCCCTTCTTCTGCAAATGGTTTACTAGATGGACATATAAGTTCTTATCTGCACCAGTATGAATGGTGCGCGAAGGACCTCCAGCCCCGCGACCACGGGCTGCAAGTCCACGTGACGAAGACCCCTGATGATTTCCGCGCCCCCCAGCTGCGCCTCGTTGCCCACGTTGTGCTGCTCCACGCGCGCCGCCTCGCTGTAGGGGGGGGAGTCCAGCCGCTTCCCTCTCTTTGTCTTGTTTCCTCTTGAGTGCTTCAGATGCTTCCTTGTATCTGCAGGCGCTTCATGTCAGCCAAAAATAGATTTTCAAGATTTCAATAAGTACCCTTCAGAAAGCCAGTTACGTCTGGCATCCAGGATCTTGAACATATCCCTGCCTGCATAGATGTAAAACTCCAAAGGTACTGGGCGTTGAAAGGTGGAAATGACATAGATGTCTTTCTTCTTTGTGCGTCTGATGGGCGGTGAGTCACTGTACCAAGTTGCCGGGAAGGATGAGAACAACAGACCCAACCCAATCTGCAAATTCCTTGGTGTTTGGCACAGTTGCCGAAAGCAGTATAATGCTGACATGGTCAGGTAACATTATGATAACTTCTTCCCATACAACGCCTCGCTGCGCGTCAGGCACGGATTAGCGAACAGGATACAGCCAGAAAAGGGTATATTTCACCTCTGCATCGTTGACATAGTGAACCTCATCAAAGATTACGAACTCCACATCTCGGATGAGGTCGGCACCCTTGTAAAGCATGCTACGAAGGATCTCAGTAGTCATAACTAGACAGTTAGCCTCTGGATTTATTTGGACATCTCCGGTGAGAATGCCGACTGAAGAAGTACCGAAAGTCTGCTTGAAGTCACGGAACTTCTGGTTCGATAGAGCTTTGATAGGAGATGTGTATATTGCCCTGAGATCGAGGTGGAAAAAGAGACTTTCCTCATGGACGAAAGCAAATACCTAGTCATATGTTTCTCTGCCAGCGCAATAGCATATTCCGCAACGACTGTCTTTCCAGCGGAAGTGTGAGCAGCAACAAACACTGAGTCGCCCATCTCGAGATGGTAAACTGCTTCCTTTTGAAAGGTATCCAGTTCAAAGGGATACTTGTGAAAGAGGAGCATGAACACGTCGTATGTGCACACCACCACGCAGAAGGACTACCTTGTGCGCCATCACCGGAACAAGCTTGTGGAAGTTGGTCATCGGTTTTCCGACGTCGACCTCATGAGCCCATTCACGCTTCGCTGCTTTGGAACGCTTCACGCGACCTGTTTTTGTTGGTCGGAGAAGGGATCGCTGAAACTGGGTGTAAGCGATATAAGCATGGGGAGTCACGTTCACCTCACATCCGCTGGTAGTAACTCATCCACCTCGGTTGGGCGACCGTTCTGGGATATTCCCGAGTCAATACGTTGTTCGTCGTCTACCAGGAAGCCATCGCCCTAAGAGTGACGGTATCAGACGGTTCTCAAGTAGCAGAAGAGGAAGTACAATCACGAGGTCACCAGCAGCAGCTTTCGGTCGCAGTGATTCCTCCAACGCATCAAGAGTCTCGTCGTCGACTTCGTCGCCGGGGAGTCGTAAGCCCCTAGATAACCCAGGAGCTACGGTTCTCAGTCCTCTCTCGGTTGGTTGCCCAGTCTTTGAGGATAACAACACATCATCTAGGCCACCCGGCTGAAAAGGAATGTAACTTGATTTTCCCCGAACAAAATTTGCGGGAGGCGCGGGGGCTCGGTCCATCGAGCTGGATGTCAGCGCGGTGGCAACACGAGGATTGGGGGCCTGAGTGTATTCAGATCACGGAAAGCATGATAAACCTCGACAACGCACTTCGACATAGCCAGTTACGTGGCCGTCTAATCCAGCACGAACAAATTGCAAGCTCGTTGGTGGGGGAGCAGGAGCGAGCGACAATAGAGAAGGTATATGGACGTCATGTTTCCAATGCCTGCGCCGAGAAAGGTCAATGTCGCACAAACCATCTAAGAAAAGTCATACACTTGGTAAGTGGGAAGCCAATGCTCCGGTAGGATGTCTGGAGGAGAAAGTAGTTTCCGTTCGATCTCATCATGAACTGCCTGAGTGGACGGGACGGTTCCTAGGCCGATATCCTCCAAGATAGCATCTGCGTCATCACGAACAGGATTAAGGAATCTGCTGAATTATATCTCCAAGTTGTTCCATTCTGCGGTCTTTGGCAAGGACCAGCGACTTGCAACTGTACTGTAACGATGTCAGCGCCGATGCCAATGATTACCATTTTCGGATAATTGCCCCTATCTTAGCTACATCTCTACATACTCAACACGCTAGGTGGCTATGATTCGAATACCATTAGCAGCGGGTCTCCTCTATAGCAAATTTATCTAGAACTGAAATAGCTCAGGCTTGATGTTCTTGATGCTTTGTCAACAACACTGCTCCATGGAGAGAAGGTTTGTACCGTACCAATTTGCACAGTCGAGCCAATAGCCCGCCAAGTTGGATGATGGTGCCGACGCCCTCAAGTACCCGCATGTGTGTGAATCCGATTTCCTAACGATAGTTAGCCAACTACTGGTCGTCATTGGGGAGGGTGCTTGCCTTGATGTACTCAAGCTTGGTATACTCAGGCAACCTGAAGTGACGTATTAACCTCTACCACCCTTCCACATGTTTCTGGCTCACTCATCAAATGTTTTCGTTACTCTGAACATCGTCACGACGATGTCAACTGCGCTATACCCCTGTTGCCAAAGTTCGTTTAGCCTTTCCATTGCCGAGTCGATGTCGCCTTTTATACAAGCGCGGATGATAGTTTGGACGATCACAGGGTGGGGCTGATCGCAAACTTTGAACACATTTTCACCTGATAGGAAACCGAAGCCTGAGTGTGTCGACTGTAAATTGTTAATAGCTTGGCGCATGTCGCCCTCGGATGTGAAGACGAGTGCCGTCAAACCATCATCGTTGTATTGGACCTGGGGTCACCGTCGTCAACGAATACGCGGGAAATGTGCCTTTCGGACTCACCTTCTCCATTTCACAAATCTCCAACAACCGTTTCAGTATTTCACTGTCCCGCAGCTTTGAGTAGCGAAGGATGGCGCATCGACTTTGAATGGGCTCGATGATTTTGTTTGACATGTTGCACGCGAGGCAGAATCGCGTGGTGTTCGAGAATATTTCCATAGTGCGGCGAAGAGCTTGTTGAGCACCAGGCGTCATGCTATTGAGAGTGAGGATGGATCGCCGCTCAGTACTAGACACCTCACCTGTCCGCTTCATCCAGTATCACAATTTTGTGCCTTCCCGGTGGGAGGGTCACCTTTTTCTGGGCGAAGGCCTTGATCTTATTCCGTACTACGTCGATACCTCTTTGTGGCATTCATGGATCAGTCGAACTGTACCTCAGTGGAAGTCAACGGACCTCTCGTCTGAGGCATTCAGCTCGAGTACACCCTCTTTGTACGCATCCCCGAGAAGTTGATGTGCAAGACAATGGATGCTCGTTGTTTTGCCAATACCGGGCAACCCCTGCAGGCAGAGTGTCACGAAGACCAGCCTAGGATAACGCGAAAGTTCGACACACGGAGAGGATTATGTGCGGACAGTTTCCCTCCTTAGCTATTACCTTCAAGCGCTCAATCGTTTCCGTGTTGCCCACTACGTCGTCCAAAGTGATTGGCCTGTACTTTTCGACCCTGGAGGACACTCGTTACCTGCTAATGTGTGATGCAGTACGTTGAAGGGATTACCAGGGGAGTTCGTAGGCCACGGCTGTGGTTCCATTGTCTGGAAGCTTTCCCTTGGATGCCATGATATATAACACTTGAGCCCGACGCGAGACGCGTTCACCCAGGACTGACTTCAAGAACCGCGTGACGGCCCCGTGACGGCCCGCGATTCATACTCCCAAATTGTTTGCTGGACATGTCCACCATCCTGCGGTGGACCGTTTCCAAATGGCGCTGCCGTTGTCTCTGCTCGACCTTTCAACCAGGTAAATTCGACATCATCGAAAGAATTCGTTGCCTAACAAAACACCTTAAGGTCGTCGGTCACATTCGAAATCCGTCTCCGACACAGCGGTCCTCCCCAAGCCCAGACTCGACTATAATGCCATCTCTGAATCCATAGTGTATAAATCACATAACGCGTTTAACAGGAAATATCCCTTGCCAGTCGGTGCTCTCCAATCCATCGCGCGCACGCACGCGGAGCAGAAGGAATTATCCAGTCAGCTTAGTATGAAACGTCACTTGCGATCCACCATGGGCGACCGCATTCGTATGATCAAAGATCCAACGGAAAAGCAATTTTTACTAGGGGAGGCTAAGACACTGAAGACGGAAATCACACAACTTGAGGAGAACCTGGCTGTAGCTGAAGAAACGCTCCTGAACCTCGCATTACAACTTCCGAACGATACGCATCCCGATGCCCCCATTGGCCCAGAGGATGCTGCCACTGTCCTATCTACTCACGGCCCTCCCCCAATGCCCGCCAGTGCTGACCGTGACCACACGGAAGCTGGGCGGGCTCTGGCTCTATTTGACTTCGAGTCGGCAGCAATCGTTACAGGATCATCATGGTATTACTTGCAGGGGGAGGCTGCACTGCTTGAAAGTGCTTTGACGAACTATGCTATCTCGATCGCTCTCAAACATGGCTTCAAGTTTGTTACGACACCAGATGTTGTTCGTGAGGATATTGCCTCCCGGTGCGGTTTCCAACCCAGAGACCAGCAATCCGGCAGCTCTGCTTCTCAAACGTACTTCATTGCTGACTCACATCCTGAGCTTGTACTCTCAGGAACCGCGGAAATACCATTGGCTGGCATGTTCGCAAATAAGATATTTCCTGAAAATACCCTGCCAATGAAAGTCGTTGGACTTGGTCGGGCTTTCCGAGCAGAGGCAGGCTCCCGAGGCGCAGATACCCGAGGCCTGTACCGTGTTCATCAGTTCACGAAGGTAGAACTTTTTGCTGTATGCGAAGACGATGACAGCGAGCGTATCATGGAAGAATTTCGACGTGTTCAGACGGAGATATTTGAGGGATTGGGGATACCATTTCGGTAAGGGTGGTTGCGTTGCCGCCAAAGCTCGATCATGACGAGTATTGTGTTCAGCGTCCTAGACATGCCGACCGAGGAACTAGGTGCCAGCGCATTTAGGAAGTATGATATGGAAGCTTGGATGCCTGGTCGTGGACGCTGGGGCGAGATTTCTTCGACGTCGAACTGTACCGACTATCAGGCTCGCCGTTTACATATTCGTTATCGTCGACCTGCTGCACCCCAAGCCTCTGCCAATGGACCTTCCACCCACGGGTCGTCACAGTCAGCGACAGCATTTGCACACACGCTCAACGGCACAGCAGCTGCCATTCCTCGACTTATCTTGGCACTGGTGGAGAATGGTGCAAGGTTTAATGAAGAGGGGAAAGTCGTAGGACTTGACCTGCCAGGTGCACTGAAACCTTTCTGGCTGGCGCCGAGTAGCATTGTACAATGGGTTTAGTCCTTTTTCGATGCGTCTTACGAGACACATTCGATCTGTTGATGGCGGCATGCAACAAGCCGTTTGGAACGCTTGGAACAGGAGGCCTTGGCATGTTCAATATAGCGGAGATCAACAGAGGACCGGTTCGCTGTTGCCAGTCAGCCGAAATTGCCTTTATTCCATTTGCCTCGCGCACAGGAACTGATCAAAATTGTAGTATGCCGAGCAGACGTCCTCTACAAATGGAATGAAGTACCGAACTTGCTCCCACATTATTCTTCTAACGGACCTCCGTGTTCTGTCGAAGATCGCCGACGTTCTGAAATTGAGCCCTGGCCTTCTTCCGCCACTCCACGGAATCACATATTGAGAAACGGAAGGGACGCCAAAAGGCACTGGGTTAAATCAAACGAGCGTCTCTGTGCTGAGTACAGACGTTTTAAAGGATGATTTGTGCACGATTTCTGCGATAGAACATGCCAATGAACTTGCGTGGGAAGCACTGCGCTTTTAGCTTTTATCATGATAGCCATCAGTGATGAGATGCTGTATGTAGTACGTACTTTATAGGGGTGGGCTTGGATCAATCTTGGTGTTTTGTCCTTTTGGGAAGGACTGGCCTCCCCTGAAGTGAGCGAGGATGACCTATAAAGCGCTGGTCGACCGGGTCTTCCTTTCTTTCCCTGGGAACAATGCTTGTGACCCCGGGTTGTTTCATGGACACAAGGTAGGCACTCCTTCTATTTGCTATCCGTGCTCATCACCCATGCATGGTATCCAGTCCGTGTCAACTCGATATTTCTTGCACTCCTGAGGGCGCCCTCCGGAATGTGAGAGTGGAAAGGTGATGCACGCTGGGTAACACCGGAGTCAGTACCCCATCGATTTGCTTGCGACGAGTGTCATCACTGACTCTTTTGCTTAACCAGTTGTGCTTGCCTATGGGAGCTACGGCTCTGTACGTCCCTGCCATCCTTCTCTTTCCCATCCCCGCAACTGACGGCGGCTGTTGCAGCGTCGCTGTGCAATGCCAGTAGCTGGTGCCTGACGAACGAACCGCGGCTTACTGCCGGGACATCGTCCCCCGCAGTCCCAACCCTGTCGTAGGACCACAAGACTGCCAAGCACATAGTCGTTCAAAATTAATTACCCCAGGTCCATCACAAAGTCTCGAGGTTTAGTTACGGCCTTGAGCCTGTATGTTATCTTGTCAATGCATAGCGTACAGTAATCCGTGTGTTGTCTCCATGGTGCTGTGTGATCGGTGACTGCAGCAAGATCTCTGCGACGATAAATGAGAGTTATGGCTTTGATAATTCCCAGGCTAGGCTAATGTGTATGGAGAGTCCTACCACACTACTAAGTCGCAAGTAGGCGTATCGAAACATGAGTTCGTTCTTTCATAAAAGCCAGTCATATCTCCTACCACTATCTCAACTCGGCGCCCTCTTCCGCCTACTCGCCTTCACTGGAAAGACTATCCTAGTGAAAGGGAAGACAGAAGGACAACAAATGCGTGAACAAAAGCAACCACACAATGGAAAACAGGGGCGCGCAAAAAAGAGCGTATACGGGCATGGAAGGGACATGAAGAAGCAAATATAGTAGTATATGTTGTATGGGGACGGCGCTGAAGGGGATAAGTCTGGAAAGCAAGAATGGAATAGACGGCCACCCTTCTCATTCCACAGAGGGAGATCAGGGTAGCTTGAAAGAAAAGAGCGTCCGTGCTATACAGAATGATCAATTCGGATGCGATGGCGATCCCGTTGTACCGTGGAACAGACGAATCGATAGCGGACATCGAACGGAACCGTAGGTTCGACAAGACTTGAGGTGCTGAACCGTCACCGAGAACAAGTAACGCATCGGGCCAGCCGCAAGGGCGGGAGGTGCCCTACAATAACCCCAATTCCACCGCAGAACGACCCACCGGGTCCGCCATCCCAACTGCAAACTTTGACCAACCGCAACCGAGTAACCTCACCACTTCCCTCCGCCCCCAATCTCGGTCGCACCCAGGGCGTGCCCCGCGCAAATCAGAAAGTATGAGCATGTCCATTACCAAATATCACCTTCCCTTCCACGAGTTGCACCACGTTGTTGGCCTACAGTACCAGCAGCATTGGCTTGCAGCTGACGGGTCTGCGAACGAAGCCTAGCAACGATTTAGAGAGTCAAACAACAACAAAGGAAATGGGTGCGGCACCTACATCCTGTCACTGGCACGGTGGTCTTCTTCTTCTTGGACCACCTTTCTTCTGCCAGCGCTCGCCTTCTGACTCGTGCCGGCACTACCGTCCTCGGGAGCGCCGCGCTGAACGCTCCAGTCGAAGACGTAGTCATACTGGAAGCCCTCGCGAACGAAGAGGTCACGGAAGAGCTTGCGGAGGTAGGAATAATCGGGCTTGTCGTCGAACCGAAGTGCACGAGTGTAATTGAGGAATATGCCAAATTCATTAGGGAAGCCGCGGCACAGCAAGTCCGTGGGAGTAGTCATCTTCTTCTCCATGATACGATCGTACTTCTGCTTCTTGGTGGCAGCCTTGAGGCCCTGCCAGGGAAGTGCACCACGGAGGAAATACATGAGCACGTAAGCAAGGGACTCCAGGTCATCCCGGCGGGCCTGTTCGACGCCCAAGTGAGTGTTGATCGAAGTATAGCGGGCGGTCCCTGTGAGGTTCTTGTTCTCCCTATACGGGATGTGCAGATGAGTCTTGGGGTCACGGTACTTCTTTGCAAGACCAAAATCAATAATGTTGACTTGGTTGCCTCGTTTCCCGATCCCCATCAAGAAGTTGTCGGGCTTGATGTCGCGATGGATAAAATTGCGAGAATGAATATACTCGATACGAGAGATCTGGAGATGTGAATTAGATGAGAAAAAGATGAAAATGTGTTTACGAACCAACTGGTCAGCCAGTAACAGCACGGTCTTAAGGCTAAACTTGCGGCTGCAAAAGTTGAAGAGGTCCTCGAGGGACGGACCGAGCAAGTCCAAGACCATCGCGTTGTAGTCACACTCTGTGCCGAACCACCTGACAAACGGAACGCCGACACCGCCGGCCAGAGTCTTGTAAACTTTGGACTCGTACTCCAACTGAGGGTGCTTTGCTTTGACAGACTCGAGCTTGATGGCCACTTCTTCGCCGGAGATGATGTTGATTCCGAGATAGATGTCACCTGGGGAGTGGTTGGGGTGGGCATGCATTCAAGCACACAATGACCCTGCGTACCGAATGAGCCCGAGCCTATCTTCTTGCCGAGCCTGTACTTTCCACCGACACGGAGGTCAAGTCTATGGGTTGGGTTGTCTGTCATGATAGCAATGACTGTACGACGGGGCTGATGATACGGCTGGACAACAGAGTGAGTATGCAGAGCTAGGGCATGCAAGAAAGCTAAAATAACAAGAAGCAGGTGGAAAAGGTGTGTAAAGCAGTGTCTCGATTCGTTAGCAGATTCTCCATTACTTGCTGTGTAGAACCGGCCGGACTGCGGGATGGCGAACTCAGACAAGCGCCACAGCTACCCCAGGGAGTGGAGAGCGGGCCAGAGGATCAAAGGTGGCCTCACGTATCACGCTCGTCTGAGGAGTCAAAAGACAACGTGGTCGCCTTGAGGCGCTCAAGTGGACATGTGGTGCGATGGTTGCAAAAACCGCACGGTTGGACTGAAGTAGACTCACTGAGAGGGGAAGAAAAAAAAAACCGGGTGCTTGTCACGTAGAGAGGAGCTCCCTGGAGGTCAGCTAGGAGTTGGGAGGATGAGCAGCGGTGGAGATGAGTGGGAGAGACCAAGAAGAGGCGAAGAGGAGAGCGCAGAGAGACGACGCAGGACAAGGCTTCGTGGGAACCAGCCAACCAACACAACGGCGGAGCTTAAAATCCACGATAATCTTGCATCATTACTAGTACGACAACATTCCGTATACGCGTCAGCGTAATCAGCAGGATACAGGTGGCATGGCGTGCACACGTGTGCTCATCTTATGTACATAGCTGTCCGCTCCAAGACGTTCGAGTTGTGGACCGGATCCGTGATTATGGAATCGGGTGAATAGACGACGAGTGTCCATGTAAGTGCAACTGCTAACCAACACAGGCTGCGACACAGGCATCCGCTAGATAAATTCCGATGCGCAGTACGGGTCCTTGGGTACACGATCGACCCGGTGTGTGTGTGGCGTACCGTATTTATTGCACCGCCGTGGACTTGTGGGGCCCCTCTTCGAAGGCCTAAAATGTAACCAGTAAGTCTCATATGGGCGACTCGATCGGTAAGTTGGTGAACGTTCGAACGAATTAGGGGCGGTGCGCCCTATCGTGACGAATGTGGTTGTCTCTCGACGTCGTCGATGACGTCGATCCCTTGGTTTGAAAATCGGTACTATATAATCCGTTCATCTCATCCCCAGGTGGCACCTTAGTTCATCTTATTGAACAATGTGGATCGGACACGTAGCTCCAGGTCTGGTGGCCAAGGTGTTCGCACCAGGAGTTCCCCTGTGGCTGCTCACTTTAGCAGGATTCCTTCCAGATACCACCTTCTCCATACTCAACTTGTTCGGCATAGAGCGCTTTCAAGCGCATGAAGAAACTGCACGACGTGGGGGGTGCTTCCCGTATGCTACCGATTATCCCTACAGTCACTCCCTTGTCGGAATAGCAGCCACAGGTCAGTTGCAAAGGAAATCTCTCGACGATGGAATAACCAATACACAGGTGTTGCTTTGACTGCCGCATATATACTGCTGTTGGATCGTAGAGTGAAAGCCAAGGAAGTAGCTGCCGTATTCAGTGTGACCTTCAGCCATTTCTTCCTCGAACTTCCGTCGCACAGACCCGGTACGGGGCGCTGCTGTGGTTCACTCCAAGTGTAGGTTTGACGCATCCATCACTACCACAGGCATCAAGCTTTACCCCCCGGAGCAGAGCGCGCACGGCGTTGGTCTGCTAGATCACGCTGTCGCACATTTTATCGTTGAGAGCGCGATTTTCCTCTGGGCACTGTGGTTCTACACGACCTACGCGCCTCTTGCAACAAAAATAGGCTACAAACGTGCTGGACAGGGATCACGCCTCTGGTTGGTTATCTCTCTTCTCTTATTCCAGCAGGCACAGTTCTGTTTCGGAAGGTTAGCCTACCACCTTTCCTGCTGTTGGGGTACGGTTGACAAAGTTTCGCAGGGTACCCACCGATGAAGTTCGATGGACTCATGCACCGCTTCACCTTTCTCAGATTCTGGTTGACAGTTTGCTAATGAGCAGGCTGGAATCCTGAAGATGGCGTGCACAGATCTCGCAGCAAGTCAGTGGAAGAGCCTCCTTCGTGTTCAAGTGTTTTGCATCCTAGACTGATATGTATGAGTAGCTAGCTGGTGGTGCTACTTCGTGTTTACCAAAATATATTGTCAGCCACATGTGCGAGAACCTAGGGGGACCTATAAAGATGGCACACTCATTTGATGATCAAAAACCACCTCGTCTCCCACTGTACGCGGTTCAGATCTCCGATGGCCCCAACAAGGGCAAGAAAGCAAGGTAATTACGGAGAACAACTGGAAGGAAAAAAGACGAGAACGTGAGATACTTGGCAGTGCCAGATGGCATGGACATGAGAGTCTGGGTGTTGGTTTATGTAATCTTCCTTTGATTTTCACCGATGACGACCCCGGTCGCTCGACGGGTAAATCCAATCAAGCACATAATTATCGTATGTTCGGGCAAGGGAGGCGTCGGGAAATCATCTGTTTCCACACAGCTCGCTCTCAGCCTTCATGCGTCGTCGCCGACCGCACACATAGGTCTTCTCGATGTCGATTTGACAGGTCCTTCGCTACCACGCATGCTCGGTCTTGATGGTCACGGCATCCATCAGAGTAGCGACGGCTGGGTTCCGGTGTATGCAGATGCCCATGGCCAGGGCGTTCCGAGACTGGCATGTATGAGCATTGGATTTCTGTTGAAGAACAGAGGTGATTCCGTCGTATGGAGGGGCCCGAAGAAGAATGCCATGATCAGGCAGTTTTTGAGTGACGTGAGATGGGGGGAACTAGATTATCTCATAATAGACACGCCTCCCGGTACGTGCGGATTCCAGCTGTCCATTTTACGACACTCAATTCAGTATGTAGGTACTTCTGACGAACATCTATCGTTACTAGAACACCTGGCACCGGTACACTCGCGATTATCAGCGGTTATCGTGACTACTCCCCAGGCGGTCGCTCTACTGGATGCGATGAAGTGTCTCTCGTTTACCCGTGCAGTCAATCTACCAGTTTTGGGAATAATCGAGAATATGAGTGGGTACGTCTGCCCATGCTGTGGAGAAGTCAGCAACGTGTTCTCTACCGGAGGGGGAGAAGAGATGGCAAAGCGGGAAGGTTTGCCGTTCCTGGGTAGAATGCCGCTTGACCCCGAGTTAGTCACTCTTCTGGACGCTGCAGAGCCGCCTAACGAAGCCGGCGGAGGACGGGAGCGAAGCAGCGATAAGGCTTTTGAGGTGGTTGAGAAGTATCGGAAGACAACGTCAGCCAAACTCTTCGCTGCCATTGCGCACAAGGTGATGGATACGATCGGTCCGGTGCAGGTGGCACAGGAGACTATGATTGGCGATACAGCAAGTGCACAAGGCACATCATGACTTCCTGTCATGGAACACACGCTGATGTAGCCCTCCAGTTACATACATAATACTGCTACAAGTATTTTGAGATGTATGGATTATATAATCACATTGGCCCACCCGAAATAGGCAACCCGAATATGCGGAGTGGAGTGTGGCAGCCGGCCTCGTTTCAAGCAAAGTTGGCGTGTTGGTTCCATGCACATGCACTGATATTCCAAGATAGTGAGAGGCGTCGACCCACCGCTCACTCCAGAGGGACGCTCCTTTCTTCCCCCGTATACCCCCCTCCTGCAACCATTCGTAACGCCTAATAATATGTCTGTCGACCAGCTATCCGCGTCTTTGGCCTCCGCGTCTGTGTCTAGTAACCCACACCCACCCAGATCACTCGCCTCACATCTCAGCAATGAAACAGCAAAGTATCTCCCTAGAGCATCTCGTAGGCATATTTCTTTTTTTTTTTTTTTTTCTTCTCTTTTTTTTTAGATAACGGACTCACGCATCCCTTTCACAGGAGAGGGTCAACCCCTGCATGCCAGCTCTCCTCCGAGCCTTCTTGCTCGGAGAAAAGACGCGTCGGCGCGCGCAAATGATTTGTTGGACGAGGACCCATTTGCCTCTCTGCATTTGCCAAATTCATCCCTGCGGAGGCGTTCAAGTCGTCTATCGCGATGGCTCGCAGAACTCCCGAATCAATCAGGCCTATCCACGCCTTCCGATATCGACGACCTCTCTCACGTGGATCCCGTTGGCACTCGGTGTAATCCATATCTTGCCTACCCGCATCTCGGCGCCACTACCCATGGTCAGACATGTGAGGACGGTGCAAGTACTCACGACTATATCCTGGTCGATAACGTTGAAGCGCCAACCTATCCAGCTGACCAACCCGTTCGAGTAAAGGTATGCCACTTATGTCCGACTTAATTCCCAACCTCATGCATAATTTCCTTAGGCATCACACGAGCAGGCGCTCTCAGATGCAACAATTCGACACTCAAATGCTGCACCCTCATCCCGTAATTTCCATTTCTCAATACGTCCTGCATCTCCTTCAATGTCGTCGACGACGTCCCGCAATCCTTCCAAGCTATCCATGTTCCACAAATCATCTCGCGCGGGGTCCAGCTCCAAAGCAAGTCTGGCGGGTCAGCATGCCCGAAGTTCGAGTTCCCAAAGCTCACCACCCCATGCAGGTCTTCAGGTGCCTGAAAATTCTGCATGGCGATGGCGGCCGTCTGTTCTTGGTCATTTCCAGTCTGCTTCGGTCCCCGACAACCGTCTTCTGAGTCCTGCCGACGTTACTCTTGATCGTTCACGACCAAGCATGTCATCATCTACAAACACCTTCTCTTCGACCCCTACTGCGACCACCAAGATAGATGCCGACGGTGATTCTCCCATTCCGTCGTCCACGCCCTCCAAGGCTTCGTCTATTTTTGGTTCTATCCGTTCTCGGGCAGATAGATCAAGAACCTCATTTCAACAGCCGTCCAAACCCGACGTTCGGACGTCATCATCACCAAGCGCATGGTCCCAACCTAGATCGTCATTGAACCTTCCTGGCCCTCCTGGCTTGTCCCGCACCATAGCGCGGAAAGCGAGCGTTCTCCGTCTGCCATTTACGAACAAGCCTAAGTCGAGTCCGCATAATGCCGCAAATCAGGCAGTCGTTGAAGAGCAAGGGTCTTCCCAACCGCATGTTTTGTACACGAGTCGGAACAATGGACCCCGTGTGTCCCTGTCCTCGATTAGTAGCCAATCCCGCAGAAAGAAGCTCGTTATTAGCGGAATTGCTCTCAACGACAATGCGCGTTTGGAAGCCGTCCAGAGGTGGTGCGAAGTTAGTAGGACACATTTCTGAGACTTTTTCTATGCGGCGTGCTCATGCTTGATGTATAGTCCTTTGGCGAGATAGACCAGATCACGAGAATGCCTAATGGCGACCTTCATGTCAACTTTCGGAAGGCCGAAGTTGCGGACATGGTGCGTTTCCACGTCAATGAGGGGTACGGCTGCGTTTGACTTTCATTTTCCAGGTGTGCCGTGTGCGCGCACGGGTGCAAATTGCCGGAGTCGGCAGTGTGCATCTGTCTTGGACCTACGGACACAAGAGATCATAATAGCATGACCACACCCCACTTGCATCTTTCTTTGTAGCAGTGAGTAATCCGTTTACTACTTAGCGAGGTAGTTCACGGACTTTTTTTCAAAGTGAAAGGCCGCGAATTCTTTTTTACACTACACACAACCTAATCCGATGCTTATTCGAAGTCTGGTCTCCGAGGACCCTAATTCAGCCTCACGAATGTACAGAGATGATACCATGCCCTCCTTACTTCTTCCATCTTATTCGCGCAGACAGCTGACGGCGATTTTATTTCACTGCATATCGACTAGCACGTATACCCCCTGCACCTACATCTCGATGAATCACGACAATGCTGTTTTTATTGCATTCATCCGTCCATACTATTTCTACCTCCTCGAGGAGTATATGCTTTGTGTCCTGACGATCCTTATGACAAAACTTACGTAGAATCGTAATCCATCCAGCTTGCTGATCACGTGGCAAATACGAATCAAATTCGACAGATCACTGGGATGTGGAATACTTGTAAACTCGTCGAAATTGGACCAGGACCTTTGGAACCGCACCTAACGGTAAGAGGGTAGAACAGGAGACATCTAGTCCTCTAACTTTTGCGCAAGGTTGGAGTGTCATATGTCACATTAACGTGTGGAAGGGGACAAAAGAGTGGCAAGACGAAAGTGGTTGGAATCGATATAGGGTGCACATTATGATAACGAGTACATGAAATTACAGTCATCATTTTTGATGTGTTCGGATTATTCGGTCGGGAAATGAAAAAGAAACTGTTCTGATCTCAGAAGGGTTCGTCTTTGGCAAGCATGGGATTCTTCTACGCGTCTTTCTGAGTGGTGTTGGCACTAATGGCGTGATCAGACGCTCCACTAGACGAGGCAGAGCACCGAAGCTAGCGGCCAGCCGGTGCACGGGACTGGTTATTCCTGTGGTACCCGTCCCTGCGGTGCGGTCGGCGAGAGGGATGGTTGCGAAGTCTTGGTTCCACATTTACCTCGTGGGTGGATGGGATAAGCGGACGTGGGAGGGCCTGTACAGCTGATGGATGAAGTATTTCCTCGTGCCAGCCATAATTGGGGAGCCACAGGTTCGGTCCGAGAGTATTGCCGGGGAATGGCAGCGGCTGTGAGAATGGGTGGAAGAAGACAGGTGGCGACTGCATGGGAGGGTAAGGCCGCCAAGTAACAGAAGGCGAGTTCTCGTTCTCAGGAGTGAAGGAGGTTCCTCCATTCAGGGAATGGGACGTGGGAAATGGCGGGCCCCGATCACCTGGATGCAATCCAGTGGGAGGTAAAGGAGCTGGCACATGATGGTTGGGGTTAGGTGGCATGGCGGCCGTCCCGGGTCGAGTTCCATCTGAGAAGGGGTAGCCAACCACGTGTGGATACAGTGTATAGGGCTGAGAAGCTTGTCACCTCCACTTCGACAGCGGACGTATTTGAACGACTCACTATTGACCCACTTTCGAGCCCATTGGGCGGCGCAGGGCCTAGGGGACTTTGTGTACCCTCCATGCCGGTTCCATGAAGAAATGGCGGTGTCATTTGCGGCGCCACTTGGTATCCTGGGTAATGTGGGATTAAAAGAGGGTGAGAGTATGGTCCAAAACCGGGCATCCATCCTTGAGGGTGGTAGTATGCAAAGGCAGGTACCGGGTGAGCTGTTACCGGTGGAGGTACCAGTGTCACGTTAGTTTGAAATACATCTACGGTCCCCGAAGGTGTGTTATTATCAGTTCCTTGGTGCTGGTTGCGTGTGGGGACTGCTACGGCAGTCAATGCTCGGTGACTGCCTTGCGCTCCCCGCACAGCATGGTTCGCATGATGTTCGTCATTCCCTTCGTGAAGCGGACGGGCATCTTGGACGGCAGCGACCGCAGAGACATCTTTCAAGTCGATAGCTCGCATGTCCTCGGTAACGCTACTCATTTCAGTTTTCCCGTGTGTCAGGTCGTCTTGAGATCCTTCATCGGAACCTGTCGACGGTTCTGAACCTTGAACTTCCGGGCTGAAAATAGACTGCAAAGTCTTCCATCGGTAGGGACGCAAATCCCGTAGTTGCACACGAATCCGTCGCCCGTCTACGATGCGATTGTGCTGCAAACTTGCTTTAATTATTTGTGTCTGTACCTGCCGGAGTGGAATCTACCTCTCGGCTTATGGCTTGAAGAGGTGATTCCGTGTTATCAAACTTGACAAACGCATAGCCAGGTCGATTGTTCACTGTCGATGTTCGGTGGTCAGTGGGAAAGGGTCTCAAAGTCTGAAACCTGACTGACCAGGACGAACCACAGTAACATCCTTGACCCCTCCGTATTTCGAAAATATCGCACGAATCTTACTTTCGACCCAGGGCTTAGGACCAGACATCCGCAGGCCCCCAACAAAGATCGTCGTAGGATCACGGGCAACATTGTCTCCCTTCAGATGATGATGACTGCATCAGTTGCCTGGTGAATTCCCTAGGTGACATGATCGAGAAATCATCGTCAGGTGTTCGAGAACGGCGTCCACCAGCTTCGCTCGGAGCTGGAAATGCTACGAGCTTGGGCGACGATGGAACTTCTTGCCGATTAACGTCATGAGCGTCCCCTGAGTCGCTGAACGATGGATGTGTCGGTGGGAGCACAGTGAAGGTCGCAGAGTACATAATCCTCCGGTTGGAAGCACTAGCATGTGAAGGGTGATTAACGGGACCCTCGGCGATCCCGCCAGCCTGGAAAGGTCCTTGAAATCGGATTCTTCAAAGCTAACCCGCAAGGCGTCGAAAGTTGTTCGCTAGACTGTAATGGAGGTAAGGTTTTGGGTTGAGTGAGGGATGCTGCCCGGGGTCGACACTGCTGTATTCCGCTATCCGGGGTTGTAGGGGCATTTCGTACCCACAACGTCGGCATGAGATCGACTTGGTCAGTGAAGGAATCACGATTCATGGGAGGACCATGGAAAGAGGGAATGAAACGGGAGCATTCAGGGGAGTTCAGGCTATCACGAGCGACTACGTGGCTGCCCCATACTTGCGAGGTATGATTGGAAGGTGAGGTGCTTGAGGTGCTTGACTGCTGCTGGCCGTGCTTCTCCGAATGTGATTGGTGCGCCCACGTTACTGTTAAATGAGGGACACTGCGGAGTGTCTTCGAAGAGCTAGGATATCAGCGCACGACAATGACAATAATCAGTATATGCACCATCCAAGCGCTCACACAATCGTCACGGTGACACCATTTCACTTGCCAACAGCCAGGGTCCATAAGCGCAGAGCGCGGGCTATTGTGTAGATTTAGATATCCACCGCACCGTGAGGTATCCTCCTGGAGTTTGTAGGGCCGGAAGTGCTCGACAGGCCCGAACAGTGTGGCAATCTTCTTTAACGTCTGGCGCAGATGAGCATTGGGTTGTGACTTCTAGAAGGAAGGAAATATGGATTTACTTCTGTATCATAAAGAAGGGGATCCAGAAGAAGGCTGATACCCTCGTACCCGTGATCTGTAAGGGCATCCGAGTTGTACAGGATAGTACGCCTCCTGTAAATCTGGTGAGAATCTAAGTCAGTTCGTATGAACCAAACGACCTTGCGCCGGGTGTTTTGATGAGCTTCATAGCTGTCGGCAATTCTAGCTCTACGAACTCGCCACAGTTAAGCTGATGTGGTACGCCCATAGGAGTCCCGTCTGGGTGCACGTTGCCTTTGTATTGCCGCGGACTCCTGGAGGAGGCGTCAGATGGTAATCAGTGCGAAGAAAGCTGATGTATATATGCGCATATAGGGAAATTGCGTGTTACCTGTAAGAGATGAGGAGGGTACGGAAGGCCCTGGCAGGCTCATATCGCAAGTATCGTCCCATAAACTGGCATGGAGGTAAAGCACGGAGAGTTTGCAAAAGGGTAGCTGCGGTAAAAGGGTCCTTGGAAAGGGATGAGACAATCCACTGCGGGTTTGAAAAGGCAAGATACCTGACACTGAATGAATGCGCAGGTGCCGCCCTTGGAATCATGGACGACTTTAATACCCTGAATCTCGGAGTACTGTGATAAGTGCTCAGCAAGGGACGCCGAAAGTATGGCATGATCGACACCGGAGGGGAGGCTGGCATTGTTAGCCGACGGTCGACGACTGCGGCGCGTCTCTTACCGTCCTATGAAAATGCTAGCGTCGTGGACAACTCTGTCTGGCGGACAGTTGGACTCGGCACTTCCGGCTGTCTGCGACTGGGGAGAAGGAGTGATCGAGTCAGCCGCAGGAGTGGGAGGGTCAAAGCGACTGCCCCATGAGCGAGGGTTGTTTCGTGGTGGCATGGTAAGACGACAAGTCGCAGAGCGGACAGTCGTCCGAGTCTAATCCATCGAGTTACAAGTACTCAATTCCGCGGATAATACCGGTCATCGATCAATCTTCCTGCAAGACACACCCGTCGAAATTACATTTCAATCAAGTTCTCTGAAAGAAAATTAGACCTTGGAAGCACAAATGGAATCACGGTTTACCTCCTACAGTACACTAATATAACAACCTGGCGGGTCGACGAAAACGGCTCGAGGTCGCCATGGGGAACCATAGTCAACCAACTAAGAAATCCAAGTCATCAAGTGCAGCTCCGGCATGATGGGAACAATCTACAGTGCCAACCCCAAGCCATCAATGCAACCTTACCTGGATCAATCTCACATGAACCAACCGAACACTACTACCAATGTTCGATTGGTGCATGAGCAGCCAATTTCACAAGGACACAAAGTACTGTCTGCGAGGATTACAAACTAATATGTGACTGTTCGAGGCGTAGCACAGGCTTCCAAGGCTTTCGTCGAACTGATCCTTCCATGCATCTGATTACATAATACACTGCCACAGTCTGGGATTCGCCTCTGGTTTGTGCTTGGCTTGATCTTCTCCTCTAACGAGCAAACATGTCCGACGATGGTTATGACGGTGGCGGAAGGGATGACTACGACTACGAAGGTCCGAGGTCCGTCCCTTGCACCACATAAAATGTTTTAGAGTCTCATGGACATGTCTTGCCTAGTTTTGCTGATGGTGGATTCGTGCGTCTAGACCCTGTTGCGGGACTCTGCTCGGGTATTCATGTGTCGTATATATAGGACGAAACCTATGACCTTTTGGGGGAGCTGCACGAAGGAGAACACCAGGAGGAACAAGGCGAAGAGGGTACTGGCGAGGTCTCCCATCCAAACGGGGTTAATGGTGAAGACCACGAACAAGAGATGGTAACTGGAGAAGATCAGTCCCAGTATCAACAGCCTGCCCCTGCTGTGGGCCTGCACGGAGAGAGGCAACCCAATAAAGTCCGTGTCACAACGCCATACCTCACAAAATACGAACGTGCACGAATATTGGGGACGCGGGCCCTCCAGATCAGGTGAGTCTACAATGCCATCATTTGTGTCTGTCCCTTGGCCTATTAAGCACTCTTGGAAAGTATGAACGCTCCAGTGCTCGTTCCTTTGGACGGGGAGACGGACGCGCTACAAATTGCCATAAAGGAGCTTTCACAACGAAAAATTCCCCTTATCATCCGTCGATATCTACCCGACGGTTCCTTCGAGGATTGGAGTGTCTCCGAGTTAATCAGTGAGTAGACCTCGAATTCTCGGAATGGCTCTCCCGTACTTTCGGGCATTTGCTTTGCTATACCATTCTGTTTGCCTGGCGGTACAAAAAGTATTGCCTATAATTCAACCTGCGAACAAAGACATTCGCTTTTCACATGTACGAATGAATATGTTTAGCAACTAGTATGTAGTGTACAGTATGGTTGCACAAAATTTACGACTTCACTGCAATTTCTACCCGTTTTTTACGCAGCTGTAGTACTATTTGCTCTAGGTCTCTTTATGTCCATCTCGGTCGACATGGTCCGTGTCCTTGGCCGTCTCTCAGGATGCTTGAAGGGTGATTCCAAAGGGATCCGTAGCGAACCCATCCTCCATTTTGGGAATGGAATTCGTCGCATCAACGAATAGTAGGCATTTGCTTGCTTTGTCATAGGTCTTCGCTACGTCCCGCCTTTTCCTTGGACTAGGAGTCTAGGTCGCAGTAGTGTGAAATAGACTGTCGCCGCTTCGAAGGCGACGATGGTGCACTCAAACCAGGCTTTATAATGATGGATGGAAACGGAATTCCGCCAGAGGGCGAAGCATTCTCCGCCCCCGGCGGCTTCTGCTTGGATTTGCCTGTTGGACGCTCATATCAACGATCGTATCAAGCGACCACGTAAGGTCCTGACCTTTGTTTTTCGCTATTTTAAAATTTCCGTCGTTATCCAATGTCTGTTGTATTTCCCAATCTGATGGTCGGATCCTCCTCCAGTCTTCTGTCACCTTTTCGATCCACTGATCTATCTCGCCCATGATGTGATAATCGATTACATCCGACCACTCGCTCCCTGGGGGTGTTTTATTGACAAAGACGACCTTTCCTTGCCACCTCTTAGCTCGTTTTGGGGAACCGGTTGGACTTGGAGCAGTGGCGTGTACAGCTTTCGCAAATTCCTTCACAAGCTTCTTCAGTCCATGAACTTTGAGGGACGTGCCCATGACGATGAGTAGATCAGGCTTGCGAGCCATATCCTGTGACTGTATCTTCCCGATGTCGTCCCCCATCGGATGGGCCTCATCGTACAATACGATAGCAGGCCGCAGTGATCCAACCTTCAAGGCACGAGCGGACCTAGCGATGCGTGCCTCCGCTTAAGGGACTGTTTTAGATGAGGAAAAAACCATAGGAGACAGAAACTTACAACGCGACGTGCACTCCGGGCAATCCGGAGGTACGCCCTTTTCAAACATGCGTATATGTTCTTCAGTGCAAGGGAGGTCAATAGAGCAGAAAGTACATCGAACGCGGCGAATATCTCCATGGAGTTGGATGTTCCTCACTTCGTCTGCCCACAGCTTTGATTTCCCCTTTATATTTGAGTCGGTCCCTTGGGTCGAGCTGCAGATAAGGCCGGCCTTCTCCTCGAGGCCGTCGATATTCTGAGTGTATGACCGCAGTAACTTGTGTCTGTTGTCCAGGCGTTTGATAAATTCGTGTGTTGGTGCAGGCGAGGCAGAATCGATGGAACGCTTCAGTTGCGAGATGAACGAGTAGAACACAGAAGTGGATGTCTGGTCGCGAAATAGCGACGCGTCAAAGAGATCCCTTCCTTTCATAACCACGTCGGGGTACTGCTCCTTTACTAGAGCATACAGGCCGTCTGAAGAACGAAAATCCTATGTGGAAGGTCAACGGTTGTGTTTGACCACCACTTTCTGGAGTCACCCACGGGTATGCCACACGAACAGGAGATACCGGCTCCAGTGACGACCACGATTTTCTTGCATTTAGCGACTGAGAGTGAAATGTCCGCTAGGGCTCTCCGAGTGCTTGATTCTGCCGCTGGGGCGTTAACGTCGAGTGTGATTGTCATGTCCGACACAGTCTGTGGTGAAATGACAAGGAATGTGGTTGAAAGCGGCCCTCCGAGTTTTCATGACGTTCCTTGCAGACCCACCGCTGGCCAACCAACCGACTTGTTTGGGTGTGTTTGGCACTCCGTGTCGCGTCGCGTTTATCACGTTTTTCTCCCAGTTGGCATCACACCAACACACGGTAATACCACACTAGTAAGTGACGTCGCTCTCGGAGGTGGGCGTACGCTCATAGTACCACAATCCCCCGCTTCTGCAGCTGGACGGTGTGGCCGTACTACCCCTGTCATCGGACGTGGCACACACCATCAACTCAGGGAAGTATGCGTACAGTGCCCAAGACATGATGGAAGTGCCACACTTCATCGAGAATGACACCATGTCCACTGCACCCTGAATACGGGATGGTGCTGGCATATAGGTTGTCTCGTTCGAAGGAATGATACCAGCTCTGCCAAGTCGAATCGGATGGAGTCACCATGTGCTTACAGGACGAAAACCACATACTGCGAGCATGTTGTACGTGGGACGGAACTGGATCACTGACGACAGTTTCGTGAAAGTTCACCACATCTTGGTGTTCCTTGTAGTCAGGCTCATAGCAAGCGACCTCGAACGTGGACGTACAGGTTACATGTTTGGAGAACTACATAAGTGCGTCAAACACACCTGTTCGGAATTCTCTGCATTTGGCCAACCTCGTGCGCCCATAAATCTTCATTCGGAACGTCTTGACTGGTCCAGAATGCCTCCACTACGGAGGGGAAGTCTTGGACACCCGATTCTGAACTGCGACATTCCTCACTTACTGCATTTGAGAAGGTCCCAATGGTTAAAATCTTCGATGAATGTCTTTACGGTGGGAATACCGGTGGGACCGTCGTGCCAACTGGAAGATCTGAAGGCGACAGATCGGAGTCGCATCGCCTGGTCAAATTGTGATACTGGTTATAAGAACTGAACACTGGCCGTCAAAGTCTGCAACCTGCTAGCTTACCCGTTAAATTATTGGGCCAGAGGCCGTGAATAGTCCAACTGCCTCCTGGCAAAAGGTGTCCGTAATCCTCCAGCCCCGTGTAAGTGTCCCAATACTGAGTTTGCAACACTAGGCGGCCCTTCACAACGTTGCAACATGAGTTTGTGAGAACGTTTGTATTCTCACAGGAGTACTGCAAGAGCAATGCCTCGATATCAGGATTTGGCGTCGGAAAGTAGTCTGTCGCTTGAGACCCACACGGTGTGAGCAGAACTGCCACCAGACACCTCTGGCGAAGAGACTAAGAACGATGCCGGCTAACCTGAGGTCATGCAACATGTATTTTATGGGCGTTCTATCAAATATTAGTACATTGGAGTGTAAACTCTGCGGGGGCGCCGCTTTATGGCCAGGATTTTTCCAGGGGATAACCAAACCTAGGTCATCGTCGACCCAGTTCAGCCTGGCCACACAGAAATACTTGCACGTTCACTGATGGATCGATGAACGTTCCCAAAGTTAGATGGGAAATCTCCCTTGCCATGTCCTCCGAGACAAAAATTTTGTAAAATAAGTGCCAGGACCGTGGATTGAACACGGGACCTCCAGAAATCGACCAACTTCAGTCTGTTGCTCTCCCAGCTGAGCTATCCCGGCTTCACAATATGTTCGTCTTCCTGTGGATGGCATCTAACACCATGATATCTACAGATCTCATGCTGCAAACATTGTTACATCTCCAAGTACTTCTTCGCCGCTCCCCTGGGCAGCAGGCAATGTCTTGGTGATGTCTTCCTCGCCCTGTTGGTCCTCTTGCTCGGCACCTTTCGGTTGATCTGCCAGGGACAATGTTATGGGGGCACGAATCTCAGGTGTGGGTCCATTAAAGTCTTTTCCTGTCATGCGAGAAAGTGTTTGCATATCTGCAAATGTACGTCAGCAACGCTTCTGCGAAAAAGTCAAGACGATACCATAGGGCCGGCGATTTTTGAGGCAAAAGTCAATCCTGTTTGGATTCCTCTTGTCCTCTGCCTTGAATTTGTTTTTGCATGCTTTACGATCTCGACCAGGAAGCACGTAGGAAATGAGTTCGTAGTTTTCCCCGAATTGCGATAACGCCTACGGGGCTCTGAGAAAAATGGTAATCGACGCGGAATCTCAGTCTTACATCGTAAAACAGCTCCGTTTCTTCTGCACTCCATCGCGAACCTCGGAAGCGTTTGCCATAGGTCCCCGAGTTGACAAACTTAGAGACGTCAGATTCTTCTACAAGGGTGTAATTTGCTGTTTCCTCTTCTGCATTACGGTCCACGAATAAGGACTCCTCGTCTACGATCGTTTCCCCATTGGGCCCAATGCGAACTTGGACATTATACTGGCTTGTAGAAACATTCTGCGAGTAATCGAAACCGCTCCCAGAGGTATCTTCAGCTGTGGGAACTGAAGTAGCGTCTGTGCACATTCCCGGGGTCGTGTTTCTTGTAGAACCTTCTTCGGAGCGAACCTCCCTAGCACCATTTTCTTGAGCCGTCTCAGCGTCCTCACCACGACCGTACTTCTTCGCCTCCATGATCACCCGCATTCTCGTCCTTTTTTCGCGATTGGACTTTTTCCATACTTGATGATTTTGAACAATTTGGGCAGCTTTGCTACTGACGCGACCTTGGCCCGTGTCTTCGCATAAGGCTGCCATTGTAACTGAGGTCGGATCTAGGTCTTCTCCCGTGTCAGCTTCGGCATCAAAAGCAGGAGTTGTGGGCCGCCGTGTTTTCCGAGGTTTTCTAGACGTGGTTGATCCAGACCTTGATCTTGGTCGCCGTGTGGTTTTCTGAGATGAAGTCTCGTCCTCGACTGAACTGGTGACTACATCGCCTTCTGACACAGGTGGTGGTTGTAACTCAGTCAGTTGCACTCGCGATGGTGCTCTAGACGGTGCAACAATGATCGGAGTACCGGAAGGAACGGTTTGAACATTCGATACATCTGAAGATGGGGTAAATGAGAGTCTAACGGGGACTACCGTGGGCGGCATCGGGGAAAGAGCGGGTGGGGGTGCACTGTCAGGAGCTTCATCAGGTAGCGGAGTAGCCTGTGACAAGCGAGTATCCTGAGACAGTGAAGTTTGCCTATCCGAGGAGGTATCTGCCGTGCGCGCTCGGGCCTTTGTAACGGGCCGGAAGACAGTACCACCCTTTTCTGTAGACAGAGAAGTAAGATTTTTCTAACGAGAAACACAGGACGATCGACTTACGAACGCGCGTGCTCATTTTCAACTACGAAGTCACCACGATAGTTGCAGTCTATCGCTGGTCTGACAAGATCAAATCCATCATATCCTAAGTAGTGTGACAAACAAAATCACACAAACCCTATGAACCGATCCACTCAGATCTTGAAGCTGCCTGTCGGGGATACGCCTGACTGGGAGACCAGAGCATTTGCAGGGGCCGAGTTGAAGGCTGTCGACGAAAGGTAATGAAATTCTGTTCTCCGTGTCTTCTGCGTTCTCAGGTTTAGCCAGTTTTGTAATATTACAGTCTTTGAAGCAATGTCAGATCTGCCTAACGTCTCTCGTCGTTCTGTCGGGAATGCTCACTCTGGTTTGCTGCAGCAAGGGAAAAATGGCTGCGATCGTCGTTCCCAAAGTTCTCGACTCGTTCAAGAGGAGGAAAGCAGCCCGATGTCGTGCCGCCGCCGCACACAATGTATAACCGTGGAAGATGCACTCTCGAAATTGGTCCCCATATATTCACAGACACGACGGTCTTCGAGGTTCACTACCACCCAGTCGCCGTGCTTGTCGCACCGTCGACTACCTTTGTGTATCAGTCGGTGCCATCAGGCTCGTGGCAATTGAGGCCCCAATCCAGCCAGGCAAACGAAACAATTTTGACTGCGTTGCCGAACTCTACCCCCCTGTTGGCTTCTCTGCCATCGACGCTCCACGTTACGCAAGCCCTCGTTGCACAAGTTAACCAGGCAGCTGCTTCTAATCCGACCCTTGCAAATCTCCTCCAATTGGCCGTCGCCGGGAAAGCATCGCCAGATCAGCTCAAGACACTTGGTCTACTCATTCAATCCCTTGCAAGCTCTCCCTCCGCGGCAGTCGACGCCACCCAACCATCCATCGATTTTACTCAGTCAAAAGCGCGTGCCGACTCCGGAACTCCAGCCTTGCCGACAACGTCGCAATATCAACTACAACCCCCCACCAGGGATTTCGATCTCGTATTGGAGTTTAGAGAAAATCTAATCGATCGTTGGACTTTTCCTCGAGGACCTTCGAAATGTGAATTTGTCTCTTTACCCGGAATATCAGGCTCGTTCGGGGACATCATCCTCACCACTGCTGTCCCATTTACTTTCCCGAACGCTCAGAGTGTTGAAGGTGTCCCGGAGGTCGAGACTACCCCGAAGCAGGTCGTGAGCTTCCGGTTTAAATCGGCCAGCTCGGCTGTATGGGACACAATCTCACGTTGGGCGGGACCCAATGCAGAAGAGAACTGCAAAGTCCTTAGCGAAATCGTAGGTAGTTTATCCACCCCTTGTTATAATGATACTCAGTCGCGTGTTCCATGCAGAAACCGCAAGACAGGGCGTTTCTGGCGCACCGACTTCCGGAGGGTTCACAGCTTTCTCAAGTCCAAAACGCGAGTTCATGACTCTGGATACGACATTACGTTGCTTACCTCCAATCAGGCTGCAGTACCTTCATATTCCATGAAGCTCATCAAACCTGCAACAGAAAGCAGTAAAAACAGGAGAAAGACGACTCGCAAGAAGCGTGGCGGATGGCAACGCTCCAGGTTCTCTCACTGCAAAACGGAAGCGACTCACTCAAAACAAAAACCAACTTGAGCCTCCACGGATTGTTTGTCTTTCGTGTGGTCAGAGCGAAGTACCACTCATCCAAGGAGGGCGTAAGTACGTTAGCTGGTGTCGTTGTTCGTCTGAACGCAACGAATTTACAGGCTACTGTCGGCCGTGTGTCAATGATGGTCGGGTTTCCAAGCCAGCAAAACCTGTCGCTGCTAGTGATCTTCCGAACACTGAAGAAGCGGACCAGGATTTACAACAACCTGCCTCGCAACCTGCAACGGCTGCTACAAAGATCCCGCTTGCTGATAACAATAAAAATGCCATTGATGATCTGAATATATAAATAGAGTTGATGGTATCGTGTATGATGTACGATTATGACGCAAGTTAAAGGTATACTAATGAATGCATGGGATGAAACTTAGAAGCATGGGGAAGTTACGTGCAGAGCCCAACAAGCCAACCTAGCCACCACGAGACGACAGCAGCCTGCAAGAAGACGATGCAAAGTTCGATGATAACAGCAACCCACTGGATGACAATTGCAACCCAAAAGAGTGGTAGAATCGCCCACCGAACCCCATGGTTATCAATCCAGAGTAGCCTGTAATGCCATGTGGAGGTAATTGCGGCGCGTGCTTGGAGGAAAGCAATCAAGATAATAAAAGCAAACAGCCCCAAGAAAGAGAACCAGTGGCGTACAGATCGACGAGGAAAGGACTCCACTGGGTAACGCTTGGGCTCTCCAGTGAATTCATTCCGGTACCAAGGGATGATAAGAAAGTCTTGGATATCTTCCATGATAGTCTTTCCATAGTTTCTCCAGAAAGGTGTAATTGTATCCAGGACGAACGTTAACACGTCCATGCCGAACTCCCAGATCTGTTGGTACTGGTCTTGGTACTTTTCTACCAGGGCGACAACATGGGATAACTCGAATTCAGGGTTAGTAGTCAGGCATACATTACACAAAGACATGTTCACTAACCTCTGGATAGACGACTGAGGTGTGCGAAACTGCCTCGTTGTACTCCCTTTTAACGGTCGCGTGAATCGATCTGACCTCCGCAAGTATCTTGTTAACATCATCAGCCTTCTCGTTCAGAGGTTGTTGCGCCCGCTGGATTGCCTGAAGCTTTTCCATCAACAGCGTGATGGGCTTGTCTAAGATGTCGGGAATAGCAAGGGCATCTTCACCCGTTGTGGATAGAAACAGCCTGATAATCTCACGCTGACGTGTGACACGATCGTGGACATCCTCAACAGCCTGCCAACCTCGATATTTACGGGTTCCGCCGGTTACCGAGGAAGGGTCATGGCCAATGGCATCGAGGAGCTCTGGAGGGAGACTACGGTACGAAATTCCGAGGGTAGGCAGTGCATTTGAACAAAGAATCTCGTATTCGCGGATATCGGCTGCTACCCTCTGCAGCCTATGACGGAGCCTATGATTGTGACCCTTCAACTCCTCAAGTATCCTGGAATGTCACCATCGTTAATCATGCATCACAAGGATGAACACAAGCCTCACCTCCATCTAAGGCCATACTCCGCCTCTAGTTTGCCTTCGTCGTTCTCTGAGGCCGGCTTGAAGGGCATACAATTACCAAGCGGTAACGATATACTGCGATATGAAGGCTTGGGAGGGGCATCGCCAGAGAGGGTCGAGTCTCCCTTATCCACAATTGCACTCTTCGAGGGTAATGCCTCAGGATTGACAGTGTCGTTCTGTATATGACCTTCGATTTCGGCTCTCGACGCGACAGGCGATGGCGGATCAGAGGGTCCCCCTCTATCGTTCATCCCTGGTGATGGTGGCCGGGATGGTTGGACTCTGCGAAGTAGAAAACGGGGCTCGCGCTTCTGCCTAGGGTTTAATCGAGATGCATCAAGAGAAGAATCATTTTGATCCTCAGATTGAGAGCCATGGGCTGAAGAAGACCCCTCTTCAGGGAAGCGGCGAACGGCGTCGCGGAAGCCGAAATGGCTGCTCGCGGGAGAGAGGCTTCCTGGTGGTGTGACAGCGCTATATGGGAAGGGATTAACACGGGCACTTGCGCCTTCGATAAATGTGGGTAAGGACCGTCGCCAGCCCTTGACCCTTGCATGTCCATGACCTTGAGAGTCGTCGATAGAGTCGCGAGAGTTTGCCACGAGCGGACTAAACGATATATGACTCTCTGGTAAGCGAGCCTTGCTGGCAGGAAGTACTGGGGGAGGCGTCTGACGAAGCCGTGATTGAGATAGGTGACTTTGCAATGTGAGGTGAGAGATACGAGGGAACGACGGGGATGACACCGTTGAGCCAACAATAGGAGAAGGGTGTCCGTGGCCTGCGCCCTTCTTGAACCTTGCATACTCTTCCATAAGGAGAGCTGACACGCGCCATCTTACATGGTCATTCCCCCGATTATCTAACAGATGCTTCAGCCACGTCAAAGGCTCAGCACCATCTAACCAGGCCCGCATATCAAGCTGTGGAAGCAAAATACCAGCGCACCACCTCGGCCAAGTTGATAGTGAGTCCGTTGGCAATTGAACTGAACACCACATTATACTGGCGACCAAGCTGCTCTTTCACAATAACTGCTTTCCGAACTGTCGTTGCAGATGCCTCTGCTCTGATTCTGGCAATCCTGTCTGTCAAAAAGTCCTTGTTGGTGAGCTTTTTCCTCCATAATTATCCATAACGACAAACCTATGAAGAGTGCTTCTTGCTTTTCAATGAATGCTCGATTTGCGGGTGGTACCTTCTCCTTTCCCTTACGCCTACCCTTGTGTATTGGCCATAGCTTGTCCAACTTTTCATCTTCAGACTGTGAACCAGCCCAGTCAAGAGTAGCCCCTCCGTTAGAGGATAGAGGGACAGGATGGAGAGGGACCGACTTCGTAAGTGGACTAAAGTCTACGGCCGATTGCAGCGGAGTAACCAGTAGATGATCGGATGTGGACTGTTCCATTGGTGTTGTCGAAGAGCTGGACGGACGGGCAGTGAAGGAATCAACAACGTTGGTCAATTGTGATGTGTCGTCGTCTGAGGGCCTAGCCTGATATGACCTGCGATCTCTGCGTCGCGACTGCAACTGCAGAGCTCTCTGTACATCTTGTAAAATCTTGGGATCTGTTGGGCAAACGTTGGTCAGTGCACGCGGGTCAAGACTCGTTCGCTTACCTTCCTGCGCTGTAAATACGGGGATGAATACTCGTGAATGACAAGTAATCTAGTAGTCAACGCACACAGGTCGTACTCATCCGAGAAGGCGCCGGGCTGGAAGTCGGGCATCAGTGACTCTTCCATTAAACCCGACCATCGAGGACCCTGGCTGGCACGCTTTGACCTCCTGCGTGATCCGTAACGCACGGAAGGTTTCTTCACGGTGTTTCGTTCGTGTTCATTGGACTCCAAGCCAAACGATTGAGCACGTCGCCTGGACTCATTCAAACCCACCGGGTCAAGCACATCCAACCTTGAAAATGAAATAGGTTCCTGCAAAGAAGACGGGAAGGATGACCCAGAAGACCCTCCATGAGACCGAGATGTGAGGAACCTGTCCGGAAGCCGAATGCGGGGTGATCGAGCGGGAGGGTCTTCCATGCGCAATGTGCAGCTGGCTACTGGATCTATGGAGGAACCTTTGTCTCCCATCTAGCCAAGCTGAAAACGACCTAGTTAGTGTCAGACTCTATGCCCTGGTTCGCTGGAGCACAGGCAGAGAAGTGTGGTCAAGGTGGCACCCAAATTAGGCAGCTCCTAATGCAATGCCGCGTGATTACATAATGAAGTAGGCATAACTGACTTGCCCCTGAGCGGTGTTGTTGGGGATCCTTGTCCTTCTTTTCCACCGTCCACCGCTATGCCACGAAAAGGAAGCACTGGTTAAACACATTTAGAGAATCCAAATATAATCGATAATCCTTGTCTGCCCTTCCTTTCTGAGCCAGCATATGCCAGTCTCACTGTTGGAGTCCAACCTTCGTGCCAGGCATGTGAATGCCTTCATGATACATGTGGTGCGTAAATGTTATACATATGACCGCGCAGGGGTTGTTTCACCCCTTGTGACACGGTCTTCACGGGAATGGTCAGCTCATCTTCAAATTTTGGACGTGTTGTGCTTCTGGGATTGGCACTGAGTTTGCTACATGATGTTGTCTGGCTGAACCACTCACTGTAGCTGCATATGAAGCACCACCTCACACTTCTTTCTGATGAATTTCTGGGTCGGTTACCCTGCTCAGGCTGGTTGTTTATGAGCTGATATGTAGTTGTTCGGAGTAACTTCGCCAACTTTTTCTACCTGACCAGAACTAGTACTTCGTCCAACTCACGTGTACTCACTTCGGTCGCACCTCGGCTATCGAAGTTGGGTCGAATTGCCCCGTTATTTCACCTCGCGACAAACACTATTATCTTCACCTACTGATCTTTGGAATTTCCAAAGTGCAAGATGTCGTTATGCCCAGACTGCATTAAGGGTAAGTGACCGCACCTAATACCTGAGATAGCCGAGCGAGACTGGGCGCTAATCGTCCTGCCAGGCGTTCGCCACGGGGGGACACCAGAAGGTTTGTTCGTTCATAAAGCTGCAACTATCAGGGTGTCTGACGTGACACATTACTGCCAATCCAGGTGAAATTGAGTTCATAGGAGGTGTGAGACGCTACGTTAGCACACCTTCTGGTGAATACAACAAGGAGAAGGCTGTCCTCTTTCTCCCGTCCATCTTCGGTATTGACCTCATCAACGCTCAGGTAGGATCAAGCACCTCATCCATTGGGATATTTAGAAAGTGTAGGTGCTCACTGCGGATAGCTCCTCGTGGATGACTTTGCCAGAAATGGATTCAAGGTGAGGGTCCAGCCGTGGTTTTCCTTCCACAAAGCCCGATCACATAATAAAGCCACGAGACCATCGCGATTGATTACCTTAATGGTGATCCGCTCCCTGGCGACGCCCTCACTGTACGTATTGTACTCAATGAAGATGACTTAGTGTCCCTGACTATCTTGCAGGGTGGCAAATATGATATTCCTGCCTGGTTCGCTAGACACGGGAACGACCAGACCCGGCCCAACATCGACAAGGTCGTTGCTGCGCTCAGGGAACAGGGTGTGAAGGACTTTGGTTCTACTGGTTACTGCTTCGGTGGTGGGTGCTTTATTTACTGGGACGAACGAAAACCGATCTCAGTGTGACTGTTATGAAGCGCAACAGCTCGGTACGGCTTCGACATCGCATTCGAGAACATTTCCAAGGTCACTGTCGTCTCTCACCCTTCGCTTCTCAAAGTTCCCGAGGATCTTGAGGTAACTTTGTTCAATCTCAAATCCCTTGCACGAATCTGACGTTCTGTCTTCTTACGTGCAGAAATACAAGAAGCTGTCCAAAGCCCCCCTCCTGATCAACTCCTGCACGTTTGACACACAGTTCCTCAAGGAATCCCAGGCGGAAGCGGATATGATCCTTGGCGAGGGTGCGCAATTTACGGAAACCTACCGCCGCGAGTACTTCGAGGGATGTGCGCATGGGTTTGCTATCCGTGGTGATGTATCCAAGCCGGAGGTCAAGGCGGGTAAGGAGGGCTCCTTCAAGGCTGCTGTACTATTCTTCAAAAATCATTTGTGAACGACGGACTTCATGGTCGGTCCAAGAGTTCTCCGGATTGTATAGAGCAATGTTTTCTGTATTTTGAAATGTAAGCACGACCGTCCTGTTGTTCTTAAGAGGGTTCTTGCCCTTTAGCTCGTCCATGACGCTTCTCGGGGCGGCAAGGTATCTCACCACTCTTGCGCGCACGGTGAACGTTGTCAAGGAAGACGAGGAATGCGTCGCTGGAGCATGCCAGTCTGTCGAGCTTTGCTACCCATTCCATCTTCTCCTCGTCTGTGAGCGGGGCCCGCGTGGTCTCGAATTGACCTTCCCATTGCAACTTCTCATCCTCATCAAGGACTTCACCGCTCACGAACAAGTCGATCGCGTTCGCTTTCTCAGCACGCTTCACATCTTTTCTATACGGAAGTGCCAGTACACGAGGGTGGTGCTGGAGCCTGCAAGCCGGGTGCAGTGAACTCGAGACTGCTGACCAGTGCCGAGGCCAATGATTACGCCGTCTTTGGCATACCCGACACAGTTGGATTGGATGTATTTGAAGGCAAGGGTGGCAACAAGTATATATCAGCGTTGGTCCTACGCGGCAGATGAGAGTATTAGCATCCTTGTTTTGGGTTACGATGTTCTCGAACAACTTGGCGTCGGTCTTAATATCGTTTCTGCGCTGCTCGAGACTCACGCAATACACCTGACGTCTTTCTAATTCGGGTGGCGCATAATTGGGGTTCACCTTGGAAATGTACTCAGTACTTCTCGGCTTTCTTCTTTCTCAGCACGTCGAGGGCATCGGGCGTGTAGCCTGGGGCCATCTCACCATCCAAAACCTCCCTTGAGACGATACGAGCAGTTGCGAGGTCGCACGTTGTAGAAGCGCTATGAAGTCTCTAAACGACGACATGCGATTGGCACCTCTCGCACGAACGTATGCACAAGCTAGTAGTGTGAGGGTTTCCCTCAGATCATCGACACCATACATCCGCTTCTCTACCTCATCAAGCGCAACACCGACTGCTGCACCCGCAGGAGAGACGTGCTTGAAGGAAGCGGCGGGGGGAGCTTAAGTGCCTCTTGAAGTTCCTTGACGAGAGCATATAAATTGAGGGCATCCAAGAGGTTAACATATCCAGGGGGGCCACAGAGCACTAGCCAAGTTCGTCAATATGACGGGCCATGCAACCACGCTAAAGTCGCGCTTACCCTTGAACGGAATCCTCTTCGTAACGAAGGCCTGGGCAGGCTTTTGGTGGGGATTTGCGCCGTATTACAGGGGCATTCTTTGGACTGGACCGCTGTCGCCCGAAGACACATAATGTTTTCTGAAACAGCCGCTGATCGTGTCGTCATATTTCGCTGTCATTTCGAAAGCTTTGAGCGCCAGGCGGCTGCGAAGAGATTCACTGACATCGCCCTGGCCACTTCTGTAGACTGCTAAGAACTTGACGTAATCTTTCGGATCAGAGAGGAGGGAGACTCGTTCGTGGTTCCTGGCAGCCGCACGAAGTAACACCTCCAATATCAGTCTCTTCTACTGCGTCCGCTAGCGGTTTCTTGCTCAACAGGTGTCAGATGGGCAACAGGCGATGATGATGATGCAATGGCATCAGTAAAACATTTTGATTAAATATGAACTAACGCTATTCGTGCATGTTGTGTTCAGGACTGCAGCCTGCCAACTACCAAGTTGTTTCATGAACCCGTCGAGTTTCAGGAGTGGGTTCACTGCAGAACCATATCAATTGCATCGCAGTGGTGAGAGAAAGGAAAGTAGTACGACTCACCTTCCGGAACAGAACCGCGCTGTTGAAGTAAGAGAAAGAGACATCCAATCAGAGGCGTGGACCTCTTTCCGGAATGTTTACAGCCTACTTTCCTTGCGAAGGTCCGTACGTTGCATTGAACAGCGGTACCCTGAGGAAAAGCGAGACATCGATGTCAGTCTACGACAGTATAATCCTGCAGACTCTGCTCGCGGGGTGACTGGTGAAGCCTGAAGCCATCTCTATCACCCACTGATCGACTCAATGTGAACTACGTAGCACCGAAATAGAGTGATGACCGCAGACCTTGCTATACGGGACTTTAAAACCTCCTGACATTTACAACTCGCAAAGGCATAGATTGTTACTTACTCGCCAGCCAAAGGCTGGCCAGGTTCTGGAGTCACCGTACTTCGGAGCACAGTCAAAACCTAAGGGACGGGGGACTAGTACCTTGGTTTTCGGCGGGAGAGTGCGATCACAAAGCTCTATCAGCCAAATTCTCAAGCAGTGATATAACGTAGTGCGATACCATCCAATAGTCGCAAGATGCCATGGCTACCTGGGCAAAGGTCGCACACGCCTTTGCGCCCTTCTTTTCGTTATGAGACGGCTAAGCATAACAGCGGTAAATGCTGATAACGAGTACCTTCCGACTGGAAGTGAGCGAGGGAACTTATCATGGAAATGGACCAACCATGTAACGACGTAAGATAAATGTGCATTTCGCACGTCTACCGCAGCTGCACGACCAACCGGGATGCCTTTACTTATATTTGAGGTGGCTTCGCCTTCGTGACCAGCTGGCATGTGTCATCGTCATTATCCTTGTCCACATACGTGGGCGACTCACAGAATATCTGCTCAATGAAGACAGGCTGGACACCGACAGTGTCACCACCCGCGTATTCAGCCATTGCGTCAACATCAGCCCAAAACCATTTGCCTTCAACAGGCTGGTTATCAGGTGTGAAAGCGTTACGCTTATGCGAAGTCCTCAGCATCCCCTGCACCTCAACCTCATCTTTCTCACTGCGATCGTAATTACCCACAAAGTCGCTGGATATGAAACCCCGGTCTACCAGCACGATGGACCCCTCCGACCGAAGTAACGGAGTGACTACGTGGTAACCATGCACACCATCTCGAACACGAGGCCCAAGTAGCATTGTATGGTCGTGGTCCCATGTTCCTCGAAGCAGCACCCTGCGGTAACTAAATTCTGGAATGACAGAGACGCTTTCCAGTTTTCGAGCAAGTTCAGAAACAATTCACTCATGAAGTCGTTAACGCACTTTATTCTCTTTGGAAGAAGGATAGGGTCACGCTGAAGCTTCTCTTCCAACTCGTCAATAAGGTTGATTTTCCATTGTAAACGCTGCAATTGCCAAGTTCCCAGTGCAAACGTGAAGAAGGGGATGAAGCCCAAGAGAAGGATAGTTGGACTGTACCAGGAGTCCTTCCGTGCAGTATAGGTGGTCGGACTCTTGACCACGTCAGTATGTACCAATTGACGGGCACCTGCAAAACGCTGTCCAGTCCTCAGCAGAGGTCTACTCTGAAGCGATGCTGTCCTGAACAACGAGAGCATCGCAAAGAGGTGAGTTTCCCACGCACTGAGTGCTCTCCACAATCAATTCATCGCGGCTGCAGTCCGCTCCGCCACGGTTTCTCTCAATCTCGGATACCACCACTTTCTCTCCCGGGAGTCATGTAGGCGTAGTTCGATAGATAACCACCAGTACACTGGCTGACCCTGGTTATTCAGGTCCACGAGACGTCGTCCCAATGGCTTCGACATGGATTCGGAAGAGGTTCACTACCCCACCCGTCCTGTGGACAAGGACAAGGCAGAACAGGAACTAGTCATCAATATCAAGAAGGCCACTAGTTCTGACGAGTCAGCTCCGAAGCAGAAACACGTCCGAAGTGCGTTCTCGTAACCTCATCTCCCTTCGGCTCCTTACACCTACACCTTGAACGTTTGGCAGAATGCATCGTTTACACTTGGGATTATCACAGCTCTATCTCGTTCTGGAGTGGACTCCGCGTACAGCCTATATTATCTGACGAGGTGCAGACTTTCAAGGCACTCATAACTGTCCATAAAGTTCTCCAAGAAGGACATCCAGTCGTGCGTTGCTCTCTGCAGCCATCGAGGTATCGTCGCTGAGGTTCAACATGCAGACCATCAAAGAAGCACACGGTCAAACAGGTTGGCTCGAGACCTGTGCACGTTCCGTCAGTACCGATGGCCAGCGAGGTCTGTGTTTATAAGTCGTCTGATGCAATACAAATCTTATCGTTCCTGCTAGGCTATGGGTCCTTAATAAGGACCTACGTACAATACATTCTAGCCAAACTTCGATTCCACAGAATCCGGCCAGAGTTCAATGGGTTGTTTGAATACGAGGAGTATATCTCTTTGAAAGGAATCCACGATCCAAACGAAGGGTGCGGACAGTAGTCTGATGATGCTGATCATAAAAACTAACGTCTCACAGATATGAGACCATCACTGATCTCATGGGTTTGCAGGATCAGATCGAGTCCTTCGAGCGGATGGTCTTCTCGCACTTCAGGCATTCCGCTAATAATGAATGTCGCATATCATCTCTGGTGCCATTGGTCAAGGAGAGTTGGGGGATATACAGGTTTATCACTAGTATGCTGCGCGCTTTGTACAGGCGTAAGTGCTTGAAGGGACGTCCAAAAATGAACGGAACACTGACTGTACACAGGAACAAATGATCACGAAGCCCTTGAACCACTCCACCAACGGTTTAACGCACAGCACTACAATTTGCGCAAGTTTTACTACGAGTGCTCTAACCTCAAGTTCTTGACTAGTCTTATCAACGTACCGAAGCTTGGTCAAGTACGCGTCTAGAATGGCTATTTTTTCGTCATTTACGGACCTCTGTTTCCAGGAACCACCTAATCTGTTCGACAGTGGCAATCCCCCAGATCTACCAGCTAGGCCGAAGACTGCTGCATCCCCGACTGTACCCCCAGCAGCACCCTCCCCTGATGCTGCCGCCGTCAGTGAACAGGCTCGATTGCTAAAGGAATACGAAGATCAACAAGCTGCCCTGCGAGCTCAACGCGAAGCCGAGGAACGACAGAGGCAGGAGCTTGAAGCACAACAACAACGCGAGTTTGAGCAGCGGCAACACGAGCAACAGGAGAGAGAACGCCTAGCGCAGGAACAACTTCTGCAACAGCAGATGATGCAAATGAATAACCAAGCTGCTCAACAAGTGGCCGACTACCAGCGAGAGTTATTAGCCATGAGGGGACAGTATGAGAGGGATCAACTACTCTTGGAGCAATATGATCGTGTAGGTGATTTTACATTCGCATACCATCTGACTGGCCGACTCTGCCTCTGCAGCGTGTAAAAGCACTTGAAAATGAGCTTGGCGGCGTCACAGCCAATATCAATGCGCAGATGGCTTCGAAGGATGACCTCATCAAACAGCTGCAAGACCAAGTAACTCTATGGCGGAATAAGTACGAAGCCTTGGCGAAGTTATACAGCCAGCTGAGGACGGAACATCTGGACATGCTCACGAAATTCAAACAAATGCAGCTGAAGGCCAATTCTGCACAGGAGGCTGTTGATCGCATGGAGCGCATGGAGCGGGATTTGAAGGCGAAGAATTTAGAGCTTGCTGACATGATCCGTGAACGTGACAAGGCTCGCTTCGATATTGATCGCCAGAAAGCCTCCCATAAAGACGAGTTGGATCGCTTGCGGCGCGAGATTAATTTTGCCAATGAGCGCGCGGATGACACAATGCGTTCGAAGAGCTCAGAAGTATCAAGCGTGTTGACCAAGTACAATCGCCAAATCAACGAATTGGAGGACTCATTGAGGGTTGGTTGCTCCACATATGCGGCTGTTGTCCTCATGCTCATGTTTGTTCGCAGGCTAAACAAATGCAAATGGACGACTTACTGGAGAAAGTGAACAATGCCCAACTTGATATGGAACGCCTGCGTGAAGAGAAGGATCAGGAGATCATGATCCTCCAAGAGGGCATGGACAGCACCATCCAACAGCTGTCGGAGGCACAACAGGTAGGGTCAATACAAAGAGGTTTGGGTTCATGATTAATCCCTCCATAGAACCAAGGCATTAGCGAGGAGGCTACCAATGCTCAAATTGACACGCTTATCCTTGATAATCGCAAGAAGTTAAACCAGATCATTGGTTAGTGCATAGGTTTGGCGCTCGAGTTTTTGGAGCTGATCTAGATCGACTTCAGATTCAATTTTGCAAGCATGCGTGCAGAAAGTGGATGATGCAAGTTACGAACTCGAATCTCCAACGCAGGCCGGAAACATCAACTCAACACCGGAGTATACCTTGTCCATGATAGAAAAGGCGATCGGTACCGCCACAGACTTTGCCACTGTCTTCAATCTCCACCTCTCTGGGGACGTTGGCGGGGATTACGTTGACGTTATTAAGGGTGCCAATGACTTCGCTCAAGTCTTGTCCGACGTCCTTGTGAATACCAAAGGAATCACCCGCCTTGCCAATGATGACGATGCGTCTGACAAAATCATTGCCGTTGCCAAAACTGCCGGAGACGTTGGCCTCAGGTTCTTCCTCAACTTACAATCCTACAAACTCGATCTCCTCAAACCTGCTCAACGGAAAGAAGTGTCAATGCGCAACAACAGCGAGACTAGGAACGCTCTTACGCGTCTCTCTGAGGTTGTTGATGTCATGGTGCCTAAAGGAGCCAAGGCACTTGGAAAGGCTAATGGTGATATTGGAGATATCGTGGAACAGGAAATGTTGAATGCGGCCCAAGCTATCGAGTCTGCCACCCAACGACTACAGGAGCTTATGTCCCGCCCACGTGACTCTTCGCGGTTCAGTGCGGTCGATCTCCAGGTACACGACTCTATCTTGTCGGCAGCAATGGCTATTACGAATGCCATTGCCCGACTGATCCAGGCTGCAACGGAGTCTCAGCAGGAGATTGTCGCACAAGGGAAAGGATCGAGTTCGGTCCAACAGTTCTACAAGCGGAACAACAGATGGACAGAAGGTCTCATTTCGGCTGCTAAATCCGTCGCTTTTGCCACCAATTTACTCATCGAGAGCGCTGACGGTGTGCTCTCTGGTACGCACTCGCTCGAGCAGCTCATCGTTGCCTCAAACGAAGTCGCTGCAGCGACTGCCCAACTAGTAGCTGCATCCCGAGTCAAAGCAAACCTCATGTCGAAGACGCAGGAACGACTAGAGCTCGCAGCTAAGGCTGTCACAGAAGCGTGCAAGGCGCTTGTGAGGCAAGTCAAGGCTATCTCCGCGAAACAAGCGGCCGAGGAAGACGTCGATTACAAGAATATGGCCGTGCTCGAGTTCAAGAGACGGGAAATGGAGCAGCAAGTTGAGATCTTGAGACTCGAAAAAGACCTTGGTGCTGCTAGACATCGCTTGGGCGCTATGAGACGCGCTGGGTACCACACTGATGAGACAGACTGAAACTAGGGATTTACCCTCTTCGCTTTGGATTTATTACATTCGTTGCTTTCTTTCTGGATAAATAGTAATCTACATGTAAGTTTTTATTTCAGCATTCAAATGGAAATTACATGGCGACGCAATGCTTCTGCCAGTGGTTGAAATTCCTGATTCCGGTATTTCATTATACGTACCAGTCTACAGATTGACAATGAGGTGCTCATGTGTCCGCGAAAAAAGGCCAGGATTCCAGATCAGAGGGTTACAAGGGAATTGAAGATGCAGTGGAAATAACAAAACACACTAGTCATACGACTGGGATGTAAGCTAGTAAAACAACCATCGAATGAACAACAGTAGAAAGGCGACAACTTAGAGACGCGGAGTAAGGTAAGTGGAGGGAGGCTATAGTAGTAAATAATGAAACCAATAAAGATCTTATAAAGAGCGTGGGTCCGCAGATGGCATGTGATTTATAGAGCATAGACCACAAAGTCATCCTCGCATCCCTCGTCCGTGGAGAGATCCAATGATTCTTTCCCGCCCTCAAGGTCAAGGAAGCTATTGTCCATAAAGGGCGATTCGTCTGCAATATCCAAGAAGGATGGTTTGCGAATCATCGATTTCTGGGGCGAGTCTCCATGAATGATAGGGAGTACGCAAGTTCTGCGAGGTGGCGGAGCTAAAGAGATAAAAGGTACATCGCTCGCCTGCTTGTTCGAAACGCTTATAGCGTTGGAGGGCATGCCATATGGCGGCTCGGCCGTGTGTGGACGCCTGGGCAAACGGGGAGGCGGGAGAGGTAACCCTCCGGAGGATACGTTTAACGATCCTGGAAAGGAGGGAGTTTTCTGCGTTGTTGACGACCGAACGCTTAATTGCGGCACCGACAGACTCTGTGAGGCACGAACATTGGAGCGAGTAAATGTCAGCGGCACAGCACTAAACCCTTCCTTCACATATGAAGGTTCGGGAGACGGAGTTAAGACGGATGACAGTACGCGTTGCCGATTCCGTATCACCCCTCCGTACTTGCTGTCGAACTCGCTTTGTACCTTGGCTTCAACAGCGAACATCTCAGCTGGAGACATGATCTGCTGCCCGTAGTCTGTTGCTTGTGTCGTTGGTGTTCCACTCGGCAGTACCTCAGAGTCCGCGTCATTTAATAAAACGGAATGAAGAGATATGGACCCATGATTAAGCTCCATCTCCGAGGGTAAACTAAATATGGAACGCAGATCATCCTCGGTAGTTGCTGTCGATGGCCTCCGTTGACTGGACCCTGAGAACAAGCGTTTCCTGACACTAACGGGAGGGCTACTTGAGATACCTCGCCGTGAGTCGGGCGATCCCGGAGTAGGTGTCGACGCCGCAGGTGTACAAGAACTAGAGTGACGAAGCGGAGGAAGCGCTGGGCGATGCGCGCGCTGAGACTGATGGAACGAGCGTTGTTTCGTTGATTCCTTGTTCGGGGTTTTTACATCATTCGAAGAAGCAGGAGAGAAAAGCCAGGGGCCCATCATGCACCTTTGCAAAGTGGAGTGAGAGGCAGACTTCTTCAAGGAATGTGCGGAGGAAGACGACAGTGGAGAGGCGGCCGTTGGGGACTGCACAAATATGTCCGAAGGCGGAGCATTCGAGATATCCCGCTGTGTTGGTCTTATAGAAGCCACTGGTCCCTGGTCAACCATCGGTCGTTCCCTCAGGGTCCGATATCGAGGGTCAAGGGATTCCTCATCGTTCTCATCAGGTGTCGAGGAGGCAGAGGAAGCAAATGATATACTAGACGATGACCCAGATCCAGACGGAGATGGATGAGGGTCTTCCTCCTCGTGCTCGGGGCCCCATTTACTTGACCTGGGAACAGCAGGAAGGGCATGGGGTGGAGGAGCACACGGTGGTTCCGTTGCTAGTCGCAAAGCAGACACTTTACGATTGAGAGCAGGTGGACGGGGTAACACTGGCACTGATTCACACTCCGGTGGCGTGACGACGTTGCGCAGCGTCTGAGGAAGACTTGGAGAACTGTGGGACGTTGATTCCGCGTGATCTCTCGGACGCGAAGGCGGGAGGGTACCAGAAATATCCCTCTCTGTCAACGTGGCAGCAGACTCGCACCCAACCAAACTGAGACCATAGATACAAACCCGACGGTTGTCAAGGGACTCCTCAGATGGATAAGGGTGGTGGCCTTTTCGATCAAGGCGCGTCCTTTGAGATGTCTAGTTAGGAGCAAAGATAAAGATGGACTAATAAATACCTGATCTGAGCCTTCTCGCTGTCAAGAAACGGGAAACTTGGCGAATCAGGGGACGACAAATCACTGGGGCGACGGGAACACGAGGAAGAGGAAGCCAAAGAAGTACGTGCAGGCTCGAGTGCGGCATTTTCCTTTCGGATGACGTCTGCGGTAACGGAACTTGATGAAAGAGAGACTCCATTGCTATCGGTGATACTACCAGGTACTGATATTGCATTCACAGCGAACGGGTCTGGGTCGGAGAGGGTTAGGACAGAAGGGGGGTTTAATGAAGGACGGCCTTTGGGAGCATCGGAGGGGGGCTGGAGTTTCATGGAATCATTACCTGAACGAACGGTAGAAGAGACAGATTTGGAGTGAGGTCTCTTTGAAAACCTTGGAGGATTATGGTGGCCTGACGGGCAGATAGAAAGCTGGTCCTGATTAGGAGGGGGCCGACGTAATTTTCTGGGCTTCCTGCCCATGACTGCAGTCAACGTATTGAACTTGAAGGAAGCGGGAGATTTTGCGCCATCACAAATTTTCTCTGTGACAGGACAAGGAATATCTTTTGGAGGCTTCGAAGTGGAATAAACGTGCTTCGTAAACCATTGTCGGGCAGATGACATGAGGGTGCTGGGAAGACATTGAATTAGAGTGAGAAGGCAGCGACACCGAAGCTACCACACTCACCCACTGGGTGTAGGGATCGGTGAGTAGTCAAACGACAGTTAGTGTAAATGACATGTACTGCAGCAGCGCTGATACGCGGTGCTGGTATGGAGTCGAACGACACGGGAAAAGAAATTTAATGGGAGGAGGGTCCCATGCAAAAGGAACGCGTGATAAGTTTTAGACGGAACAGGGTTCCCCCAGTGGCGGTATATTTTTCCACCGCAGACCGACAGCCGTCTTGACATAAAAAGTCGCTACCATATAGCGTAGCTTATTAGTGTTTATTACTCGCGAGCCCTTTCGCACGCTTGCGATCGGGTGAGACACTCTACATATGTATTCAGAATGACTGGGATTTCCCGATGGCGCCCGCTGCCAGTTGTCAATTTTGCAGGGCGCAGCAGTAGACGTGGCAGGAGAAGCCCCGAAGTCGTGATTTGTCCGCAAATCGCCATAGAAAGCCAATGAGGGACACCGCATCCGTCCTTACGGCCCCGCACAGTCAACACGACTTACTCTTGAGGGACACTAACAGTCAGACATGTGGCAGTCAACGTGTCCGACGACTTCCACTTTACGTCGGACGTCGCTACGTTGACCCGTTAGGATCAGGGGACCTCCACAAGGACGTAGACCTGTCAATCTAAAGCGCTTATCTTACTACTTATCACCAATATATATATAACTCTCTCCTTGTGTACAGACATCATCATCCCCGTTCTCGTGTGAGTCGTTGTCAACAGGCTATCCATAATTTGGGGTCCATCTTCACTCTCGAGGCAAAACAAGGCACACGTACATGAATACAAAACTTCATGTAGCCGCTTACCTCCCTGTCAGCGAGGGTTCATCCCCGATCACCGCATGTAGCTCCTCGGAGTCCCTTGTCAAAAATCCACATGGGGCTCCTCAGGGCTCTCCACAACTGGCTTAGCAACGTTGATCACCTGTTAAATTGAGCTCGGTCACGAATTTGCACGCCGTCAACTATGTGAAGCGCGCCTATCAATTCCAAATCGCACTTCTGGTGCTCACTTGACGTGCTGACAACTCCGCCGAGAGCAAGATCGATCGATGAAGCAGCGCGATGTCCAATACACCAGGGGCACTTGCATCTTTTCAAGGCAAGGCATATTACACATTCACTACTCACCATCCTCGTGTCTCACTTCCACTGCCAAGCCCATGTCGAGAATTAAACAAAACCAATCATTGCATCACAGCCAAGATTCAACCTATCTCTGCCCACACATCCACAGAATCCCGTTCGTGTATTGCCTGAGCAGCTCGAGGCATCGTTGACATCCTCGACCTCTCTTCCCCCTGTTCTCCTTGGGCATCGAACAGTATCGAATCCTGCACAAGCGGCCTACCAAGCTCTGCGTCTTCATCTTCATCCTCTAGGTCCAAGTCAAGTTCGGTATACCCGGCTCTTCGCACTGCCGTAATGTCGATGGGCTTCGGCCGCGAGAATATAGATTGGCCAGATCTGTATGCAAATTCGTCAGTACGTTGTCACGTGCAAACGCAGTCACTGCAACGCACTGTCTCATCACAGAAGCCAGACGACCAAATTGCAGCACGTTACGCGCTATTAGCAACAATGTATCCAGCAACTCCTCTTCTTTGCTTGTCGCTCCGCAACCGGCAAACGCCAAGACCAGCAGTGTTGTGGCACAAAATACAGTCAGGATTAAATCGAATACATTGAAGGGCGATCTCCAGAATTGCTGCAACGGAGTTCCTAGATCCAAGCAACTTGGACGGTTTAATAAGGAGACTTACCCTTCCGAAGGCAACAAAGCGCACGCTAACTTCGAGTATCATAGAAGTATTGATAATCACTTCCAACACGTAAAAGGGGAGACCTGGACATCCATCGTGGAGGCTAAGTACAACTGTGGTAACCGAAAGGGCAGCCATGATGAGGTAGAGAAAGATGTACGTCCGTGAGTGAACGAATCGATTGGCAATTCCCCGCGCCATTTCACGACGGGTGAGCGCATACATTGAACGTGCAGATCTATCGAGGTTCGAATGCAACGTCGTATGTCAGTGTCAACTTGGAAATCACGAGCTGGCCAAAGGACAACTGACATGGGGTGTGAGAATTCATCAGTGCCACTGTTGAGAGGTTCTGTGTCCCCCAGGTCGTTTGTGTCTGGTGGCTCTGGCATGGTAGTGGTCGACGAGGACACGGTCGACGGTGGCGGTGGTCATGACCAAACCACACGCGGCTTGCGCCCTTCGTCAACCGCAGGCACAGCGTGTGACCAAACAAGGACAAACATTATGTTGACTCGATTAGTAATCACTTGAGTCAGTATTCGGTCGCAGTGCGTCGACCACTGGTTGTCCGTTATCATCACCCACTCAGACCCTTTTTCATCTACCACGCAACTGAATTCAAGTCAAGATGGGTGGTGGAGACCTGAACATGAAAAAATCTTGGCACCCGCTCCTGCTTAAGAATCAGGAGCGGGTCTGGCTCGAGGAGAAGAAAGCTGTACGCATTCATCATTTTCTCTACTCCACACATTGGTTTTAACACTTTGTATATGTGTTTAGCTCGAAGAGAAGAAGAAGCTCGACCAGCTTCGCAAGGAGAAGGAGGAAGAACGGCAATTGCAGGAACTCCAGCGTCTCCAGGAGGAACAAACTGGTAAAAAGAGGACGGAAAAGCTAGAATGGATGTACGCTACTCCTGCCACTGGAACTAGCACAAATGCAAACGATTTGGAGGATTATCTTCTCGGTAAAAAGCGAGTGGATAAGCTATTGATCGGGGATGAGAATGCAAAGGTGTGTTTGGTGCAAAAGTATCATATTTTCGCCGAGACTAACATATTGGTGGGTTCAGCTTGGTGCTGCACACAAGAATTTCATTGCTACGCAGAATGCAAATACCCCTCGTGATGTTGCTGCCAAGGTCCGCGAGGATCCTCTCCTTGCCATCAAGCAACAAGAGCAGGCTGCTTATCAGGCACTGATGTCAAATCCTCTCCGTCTTCGTGAGTTACAGGAGCGCAATGGCATTAAGCCCAAGAAAGACAGACAGGAGAGGAAAAAGGATAGAAAAGAAAAGAAAGAGCGGAAAGAAAAAGAGAGCAGGAGAGGCCGAGAGCCGGGTGGCAGAGACAGGTCCCCATCCCGGCGTTCAGGAGATGACCATCGGAAACATTCGTCTGGTCGTTACGACTCTGATTATCCACGATCTCCTAGCCCATATAGTCGTCGCTCGCGATCGCCAGTGCGATCTTACCGAGATGACCGACGACACGATCGCAATGAATACCGTTCCAGGAGGAGCCGGAGTCATTCTTCTGATTCGTATCGTAGACACCGGGACGATAGAAGCCGAGAGCGCCACGTTGCCGACAGGGTCCGTCGTTGGCCACGGTCCGACGATTCCGACGACAACCGCCACGACCACCCCACAGACGATGATCGCCGACGACAATATGGGGATAGCTACAAACGTCGGAGGAGTCCTAGCCCCGCAAACGACCACGGCTATGCCAAACGCACTCGTGTCACACCTCCTGTTTCGCGTCCCTCGGAAGCAGTTTCGAAGACACCGGTTAATGACGGCCAGGACCGGGCTGCTCGCTTGGCTGCCATGCAATCGGACGCTACAACGGTGGAGGCCCAACGGCAAAAGCGATTGTTGGCTCTGTTGGAGAAGGAGAAAGCTGAACTCGAAGCTGAAAAACTTGCACGCGAGAAATCTAGGGGCATGGGTAGCTTCCTGAGCCAAGAGCAGAAGAGAGTATTCGGGGGTGCAGGAGGCTTGGAGGACCGTATCAAGAGAGGGCGTCATGGTTTGGTGGCAGACGGAGAATGAAGCAGACCTAGTGCGTTCTTTGATCTCCACGGTTTACTTTCCATTCTCTTTCATGTACTATAATGTCTTGACGGTATTACCAGTGTAACAGCGTGTAAACTATTGATACGTCCACATCAGAAGCAAGGTTCTTCGTCGAGCTGGTTCTGAGAATGGCAGTTTCCTTTGGGAGAACGGTGACTCCCGCCAATTTGTATACCACAACATTAACGGATTGTGTTTCACTGAGTGGCGTTCTGGGTATATTTTAGGTCCCCTGTGAGACTGGTGCAGGCAACGGCTACTAGACATCGGAGTCGGCGGCGTAGTCGGTCCCATCGGAAATAATTCGGCCGATGCTTTCACCTGTAACGCATTTACACATTGCATTATATCGATCTCGTCACTGATATTACTCTCTTCGTTAGGCAGCAGATAACAATGCAAATCTTGGAAGGGCATCAAGCAGTGAGTTACTTTCTGGTATTCGTTCATCAACTTATGAGTTCACCTGTCGAAGAGATAGAATTATTGCATACCAGAGTGATTGACGGTACCTCCTTGGAACTTACATGATCATGGAGCGCTGATTTTGCTGACAAGTCGACCCCCACGTAAAACATGGAGAAGCATATGCACCCTGCCGTGGGGACGCGCAGGTCCGCAGCACGCTGGCTGCCTATGTGTAGTTACCGGAAGGTCACAGTCAGCCGTCGACAGATATAAGAGCATTCTATCGTTTGCCATGGTTTTTCGTGTGCTCATCTTCCATCTCTCATGAGCCAAGACCACCAAGAAAGCACGTCTGCGCAGACCAGAAGTAAGCAGGAGGACGTCGAAAAGGTCCTACCTTCTTCGTCGTCAAATGGAACAGCAGAAAGACCTTACAGCATATATACTCCCGCCGAAAGGTGGTTTATTGTGGCAACGGCTTCTGTTGCCGCTCTTTTCAGGTAAGGTTGCCGAATATCTTGGCTCCCACTGGGAAGTACTAACGACTTCGTGAGTCCTCTGGCTGCTATGGTATACATGCCTGCCATCCCAGTCATAGCCACAGACTTCCATAAATCGGTCGAACTCATCAACTTGACCGTCACCGTTTACATGGTTTTCCAGGGCGTTTGTAAGTACATCGTCATCCGTTTGGTAGTGAATACATCTCTATTATACGCATTCCAGCTCCCGTGTTTTGGGGGACCTTGGCGGATTATGTGGGCAGGCGACCGATTTTCCTATCCTGCATCCTGGTCTTGATCGCTGCCTGCATTGGGCTTGCCTTGGTCCCGACCTCGGATTACTGGCTACTTATGGTGCTGCGTTGTGTCCAGGCCGCAGGCTCAGCCAGCACTGTCGCGCTAGGTAGATCTTTTGCACCCGAAAACCGACATTAGATTTGCTCAACTCGAAACCGGGTAGGCGCTGGGGTTATAGGGGATATTGCCACGCCCGCAGAGCGCGGAAGCTTCTTTGGCCTCTTCTCTGTAGGGCCGCTAGTAAGTGAATGTTTGAGGCTCTAGACATCGTGTTAATGTTGACCATCGCGGACGCTGCAAGTTTGGCCCCACTTTTGGACCGGTAATTGGAGGTGTTCTTACACAGACCCTTGGATGGAGGTGGGCGGTGTAGATCATCGTTTGATCTAATTTTACTGGACTTATGGAATGCAGATGGATTTTTTGGTTCCTAGCAATCGCTGCTGCACTTTGCTTTGTAGTCCTGTTGGCGTATGTACCATATATCCAATACTTGTGTTACCTCACCAATTTTTTACAGGCTTTTCCCAGAAACCCTGCGACAGCTTGTTGGCGACGGGAGCGTTTTGCCGTCTAGACTTTATCGGCCCCTCGTTCCATTTGTGGGCCATGGTAGGCAAGGCGTTACCATAGAACGCCCTCCGCGTGTCCCTCTTGTGAATCCGCTGCGTATTTTGACCTATCCAGACATCCTGGTTCTTCTGCTCTTCAACGCCACACAGTATGCGGTGTTCTATGCGATCACCGCCACGATATCAACTATATTCGAGTCAACCTACTCCTACTTGAGCGAAACTGAAATCGGCTTATGTTTCCTGGCTTCAGGTTTTGGAACCATCACGGGAGCATTTGTCATTGGGAAGATTATGGATAGAGATTACAGGGGGATCAAGGAGAAACTCGTTCGTGAACGCGGAATCGCTATGGGCACCTGTGAAGGAGACTTCCCGATTGAAAAAGCGAGATTGAGGACCACACCCATTCAACTCTCAATCTGCGTCGCATGTTGCGCCGGCTATGGGTGGTCTTTGCAGCAGAAGGTTAACATTGCAGTGCCGCTGGTACTGCAATTTGTATGTAGGTCATTATCTCTTGGTCCGAGGTATTCGATGTATTTATTTCTGCCAGTTTGCTTTGCAGTAACGGCCATAATGAACACCACCCAAACACTTCTTGTAGACTTACTGCCGGCCCAGGGTTCGTCGGTGACAGCCTGTGTGCGTTTCGTCGCCTGGTACCGTTATTCTCCCTTGATCCCTGAAATCCTTTCACCGACAGAACAACCTAGTGCGATGCGCATTTGGAGCGGCGTGCGTGTCGGTTATAGACTTGATATTGAACGGCGTAGGCGCGGGATGGACCTACACGATCCTCGCATTGATCAGTCTTTCCACGAGCCCCATGATTTGGTTGATAGTCTGGCTGGGTCCACGCTCTCGGGCCAAGCGCCGCACGCGGAACAGTTAGGATGGCAGCGACGATGTGATACTCTACATATCCCTTACGCACGATGTCGAAACGAACCGCTTTTGCAATGACGAACCGTGCATGCCGTGTTGTGCGGCCACACAACCGACATCAGTCTCATCTCCACCGGATGGTTGACTGACCATATCCGAAACGTGGCCGAGACCCCTGATTATCTGAAGCGTTCTGACAGTCAATATTGTAATTTTTGGATGAAGTACATTTATTCCGAAAAATTTGCAGTGGCTGTAAGCACAGCCACCTGCAAATTTTTCGGAATAAATGCACTTATCACAAGTCCGCACGAACTCTAACCGTGTGGGTCCTAATAGGATTGGAGTTACTAGGGCTGTGCATTAGCTAACATGCATTTTAGTTCCATCCCCTTTTGCGTGGGGCTGAGGACTAGATTATGTAATATGTATGTGGCGCACACTCAAGGCGATCATAAGTATTTGTCCTCGACGCCCATCCTGTGTGGTATGGATCGCACCAATATCCCAGCACCCCCTAGCGATCCTCGTCCTCGCACCTGAAGAATCAAAGCACACACGACGTGTCGGATTTTCGGACAAGTAACACTTGAAGCTTGTCTGATGGCCTGACCTGAGTGGCATTGCAAGTGGATCCGAGCATGCATCACTAGTGCACAAAGTTTCGATCCATCCAGGAGAGCCAGTCCGCATTTGGCTCAGAGCATATGTCCGCATATAGACGTCGTCACTGGCCTTGGGCTTTTCAAACGTTCAACTTACATCTCAAAGCAGAAGAAAACAACGCAAACCATGCACTGGGTGCTGAGTTCCTTTCCGGCGAGTCGTTCGCCCACTTTGTGAATCCACACGGTCCAGGATGCCCAAGTTTCACACTGTCAAAGCGGGCGTTTTCTTGTAACGTACACGATCACAAAGAGCTGGCTTCGCTGGTAAGTCGACCCCCACGTAAAAACATAGACTCGCTATAGCCTCGTATGGGTCCTCACATTCGTGTCATGCAGGGGCGGGGGTCCATGCGCCTCGGGTGGCATGCGGGGGCTGCTCCATCGTGTCTACGTGGTCGTCATCGCCGGTAGGACCACCGGGTGTCCTCGATTTTGATTTTCCCTTGACTTTGCTTTGCTTTGGCTTTGTGGAGGCTTTCCAATATCATTATGTAAAGCCGTACCCACCCATCCTGCCGAGCACAGTGCCGTTTAATCGTTGGAAAGTCACTAACTTATCGGCCGTCTGATGGGTTGATTTCGGAATGCCCTGAAAGTCTGCTGTCGTTACTTGCCTTCAGTTTCTCATGAGCCAAGACCATCAAAAGTGCACGGCTTCGCCAACCAGCGACAAGCATGACGTCGAAAAGGTCGTGCCTTCTCCATCGTCAGATGGAACACAAGAAAGACCTTACAGCATCTACACTCCCGCCGAAAGGTGGTTCATCGTAGTAATAGCCTCCGTTGCCGCTCTCTTCAGGTGAGTTACTCAGGTCTCTTAGCCACAACGAGACACTGACGAATTCATGAGTCCTTTGGCTGCTATGACATACATGCCCGCCATCCCGGTTATAGCTGCGGATTTCCATAAATCAGTCGAACTCATCAACTTGACTGTCACTGTTTATATGGTTTTCCAGGGTATTTGTAAGTATATCACTATCCTCTCTTGTAATAAATACGTATGCCTCGTGTCGTAGCTCCGGTATTTTGGGGAACTCTGGCGGATTATGTGGGCAGGCGACCGATTTTTCTATCTTGCATGCTGGTCTTAGCTGTCGCCTGCATTGGTCTTGCCTCGGTCCCAACCTCGGATTACTGGCTACTTTTGGTGCTGCGTTGCGTCCAAGCTGCAGGCTCAGCCAGTACTATTGCGCTAGGTAGATTTTACATCTGCAACCGATATTAAAACTCAACGGCATAGGCGCTGGCGTTGTAGGGGACATTGCCACTCGCGCAGAGCGCGGTGGCTTCTTCGGCCTCTTCTTTATAGGACCACTAGTAAGTGAACGTTTGTGACCTCATTTTGTCAATGGTGACTAATCTGGGCTCTGAAAGTTGGGTCCCACTTTTGGTCCGGTAATTGGAGGTGCTCTCACTCCAACCCTTGGATGGAGGTGAGTGGCAGATTAACGTTTGTCCCGAATTCATTTCACTTCGACAATGCAGATGGATCTTTTGGATTTTTGTCATTGCTTCTGCACTTTGCTTTATCGCCCTATCGGCGTACGTGCTATCCAATATCGGTCGCTCCATTACAACGTCAACTTCTTTATAGGTTCTTCCCAGACACTTTGCGACAGTTGGTTGGTGATGGTAGCGTTTTGCCATCTAGATTTTATCGACCTCTCGTTCCACTTGTGGGCCATGGTAGGCGAGGCATGACGACAGAGCGGCCTCCGCGTGTCCCCTTCGTAAATCCGCTGCGTATTTTGACGTATCCTGATGTCCTAGCTCTCCTGCTCTTCAATGCTGTTCAGTATGCGCTATTCTATGCGATCATCGCCACTATATCATCTATTTTCCAGTCAACCTACTCCTTCCTTAACGAAACCGAAATCGGCTTGTGTTTCTTGGCTTCGGGTTTTGGAACCACCATCGGAGGATATGTCATCGGGAAAATATTGGATAGGGATTGCAGGCTGCTGAAGGAGAAACTCGCCCTTGAACGTATGATTACGACGGACACGCCAGGATTGCGAGAAGCGGTCACCCACGAAGAAAACTTCCCAATTGAAAAGGCGAGATTAAAGACCATACCCATTCAACTCTTGATTTGCGTCACATGTTGCGCGGGCTATGGATGGTGCTTGCATCAGAAGGTTAACATTGCAGTGCCACTGGTACTGCAATTTGTATGTACGTAATCGTCTCCTGGCTCTTGAGTATTCGATGTAGTTCTGAGACGTGTTTTCGCCAGTTTGCTTTTCAGTGACGGCTATATTGAACACCATTCAAACACTTCTCGTGGACTTGCTACCTGCCCATGGTTCGTCGGTGACAGCGTGTGTGCGTTGCATGCTTTAGTGTCATTATTCCTTTCAGACCCCTGAAATCCCTTCGCCCACAGGACAACTTAGTGCGATGCACATTTGGTGCAGTATGCGTTTCAGTCATAGACTTGATGTTGAACGATGTAGGTGTAGGATGGACCTACACGATCCTTGCATTGATCAGTCTTTGTACGAGCCCGATGATTTGGTTGATAGTCCGACTCGGTCCGCGTTCTCGGGCCAAACGCCGCGCGCGAAACAGCTAGAGCCTGGGATACCATGTGCACGATTTTACAACGAACTGTTTTTGGAATTACAAGCCACAGATATACTCATACTGTACCGCCTGACAATCTGAAACATCGATCCTGCTATATTCGAACACCTGGGAGAGCTACAAAGTTCACAGCAGTCAACAAATCGGAGAGGGACACCCACGTCTGCTACGAACAACACGTAGCGATCTAGTCCCCAATTACCATTCCTCAAAGGGCGTCTTTGTACTCTTCCCGCACGATATCAATTCTATCCTCACTGGATGGTGTGCTAACGAAGTCCAAATGCATGAAGTCCTCGATCATATAACGCGTTCTGCCGCAACGGATGAAATCAGCGCAGAGGAAATGGATAAGTCGGATCTGCACTATCGGCAAGTATATGGTCGAATTGTGCACGAGCTGTTCAACTCACCGGCAGATAGCAGTCCGAGTTTCCACGGCGGCTTGGAAGCGCTGGATCAGGAGGACATTAACATAATTAACCATGGGGTTCGCTGCCAGGATGGGCAGGAGTGAACTAGGAGAAAAGGAGTGAAGGATGAGAGAGGGCGAATGACCGGAGACGGCCACTGTAAGATACAGCCCGGATAGGATTTGAGTGGGTGTGCCTTCAAATATTCCGGGGTTAGTTCGGAGAACATTCCTCATCCCGCAATATCCAACTAATGAGAGACAGACAATATTATCGACGACAGTAAACTCGACTGACCCCAAACAAGTACGGAGGTCATCCGAATCAATTTGATCATTGACCTGAAGACTGACCAGGAGAGACGTAGGATACGATTGAAGGCTCCAAATTTGCAATAGGAGAAGCATGCATCCCAATGCACCAGAAGTTCGAGTCAAAATTTTCACAAGTAACCGAAAAGAGAGCAAAATTGGAAAAGCCAGGTAACATGAATGAAAAAAAGACACTAGGATGAAGGAGCCCCGGCGTCGTCAGGTAGATGGTAGACCTGCGGTCGGAAGTGCTGTGATCCTGAGCACCACTGAAGAGGAATCCATGCTGATTGGAATGGTCGCCACGACGAGGCTTGTGGCGACAGCGAGTTGAAGGAAGGAGCGGACAGGGGCATTCGACGGACGAGTTGTCCTCGCGAGGTCTCGAACAGGTTTGTCAACCTCTCTCCATGGACCCTACGGTGCATACAAAGTATTTATGGCCAGCTCGAAGACAAATGCCGCTTGACGATGTGGGTAGAACACCACCTATAGGCTGCAGAGGAATGGGCTCACTCTGTGTCGATAAGATTATCGACAGTGACTTTCGTAGAGGGGAAAGCAGAAAGCATGAGACCAACGATTTTTGGGCTGGCTGGCCGAGATACTAGTAGCAGTGGAAAGTCTCAGGAGGGAACGGTGGGCGATTGAGAGGCACAGGGATAGGCTGGGTAACGCCAGTTGGGATAGACATATATAAACAACGTCGAATGGGCAGGAACACCTGTTGGTAGAGAGAATATACTATAGAACAAAATACGACGAGTATATGTGCAAGTTTGAGAGTTAAGAGGGAAGTTAAACCTCAAACTGCTCTCTCACTAAAAGTTAGACAATCCATGATTCACGTGATCACTATGAATTCGAATCCGCAGAATGTTCCTGCAAGACCTGTGACAGGGTGCCTGGACATTTGCCACCTCCGTTTCGATGTCAGGGATACATACTCATACTAGTGTATCAAAGCAGAAAAAAAACAGCGCAAACCCTGCAAATGCAACGAGCAATGGATTCCTTTCTGGATTGTCGTTCACCCACTTCATGAATTCATACGGTCAAGAACGCCATGTTTTCGCACCGTCAAGGTGACGGCGTTTCCTTGTAACGTACATGGTTGCAAAGAGCTGACTTTGCTGACAAGTCGACCACCACGTAAAACCATTGATTTATCATAGCCTCATGTGAGTCCTCACATTAGTGCCATGCAGAGGCGGAAGTTCACACCCTTCGGAAAACGTGCAAAGGCTGCTTCATCGTGGTCTACGTGTTCATCACCGCTGGTAGGGCACTGGGCATCCGGATGTCTTCGATTTTCTCTCGACTTTGCTTTGCTCTGGCTTTGTGGAGGCTTTCCATTATCATTATGTAAAGCCGTACCCACCCATCCTGCCGGGCACGGTGCCGTGTAATCGTTGGAACGTCACTAACTTATCGGCCGTCTGATGGGTCGATTTTGGAACGCCCTGAAAGTCTACTGTCACTATCTTGCCTTCAGTTTCTCATGAACCAAGACCATCAAGAGTGCACGGTTCCGCCAACCAACGACAAGCATGACGTCGAAAAGGCCGTACCTTCTCCGCCGTCAAATAGAGCACAAGAAAGACCTTACAGCATCTACACTCCCGCCGAAAGGTGGTTCATCGTGGTAATGGCCTCCGTTGCCGCTCTCTTCAGGTGAGTTACCCAGGCCTCTTAGCCACAACGAGACACTGACGATCCCATGAGTCCTTTGGCTGCTATGACATACATGCCCGCCATCCCGGTTATAGCTGCGGATTTCCATAAATCAGTCGAGCTCATCAACTTGACCGTCACTGTTTATATGGTTTTCCAGGGTATTTGTAAGTATATCACTATCCTTTATGCTAGCGAATACATATGCACCACGCTGCAGCTCCGGTATTTTGGGGAACTCTGGCGGATTATGTGGGCAGGCGACCGATTTTCCTATCTTGCATGCTGGTCTTAACCGTTGCCTGTATTGGGCTTGCTTCGACTCCAACTTCGGATTACTGGCTACTTTTGGTGCTACGTTGCGTCCAAGCTGCAGGCTCAGCCAGTACTGTCGCGCTAGGTAGATTTTGCATCTGCAGCCAATATTAGATCTACTCAACTCAAACCGGGATAGGCGCTGGGGTTATAGGAGATATTGCCACTCGCGCAGAGCGCGGTAGCTTCTTCGGCCTCTTCTCTGTAGGACCGCTAGTGAGTAGACATTTTGAGGTTTTGGACATTTCGGATGATGACCAATCCGGGTTCTGCAAGTTCGGTCCCACTTTTGGTCCGGTAATTGGAGGTGTTCTCACACAGACCCTTGGATGGAGGTGAGTGGCAGACCAACGTTTGTCCCGAATTCACTTCACTTCGACAATGCAGATGGATCTTTTGGATCCTTGCCATCGCTTCTGCACTTTGCTTTGTCGCCCTGTTGGTGTACGTACTATTCAATATTGGTCGCCCTGTCACAACATCAATTTCTTTACAGGTTCTTCCCAGAGACTTTGCGACAACTGGTTGGGGACGGTAGCGTTTTGCCATCTAGATTTTATCGACCTCTGGTTCCACTTGTGGGCCATGGTAGGCAAGGCATGACGACAGAGCGACCCCTGCGTGTTCCCTTTGTAAATCCGCTGCGTATTTTGACATATCCGGATGTCCTAGCTCTCCTGCTCTTCAATGCCGTTCAGTATGCCGTGTTCTATGCGATCATCGCCACTATATCAACTATATTCCAATCCACCTACTCCTTCCTCAATGAAACTGAAACTGGCTTATGTTTCTTGGCTTCCGGTCTTGGAACCATCATCGGAGGATATGTCATCGGGAAAATAATGGACAGGGATTACAGGCTGTTGAAGGAGAAACTCGCCTGTGAACACAGGATTACCTCGGACACGCCAGGATCCCGGGAAGCTATCGTCTATGAAGAAAACTTCCCGATTGAAAAGGCGAGATTGAAGACCATACCTATCCAACTCTTAATCTGCATTGCATGTTGTGCTGGCTATGGGTGGTGCTTGCATCAGAAGGTTAACATTGCAGTGTCACTGGTACTGCAGTTCATATGTACGTTATCATTTTCTGGCTCTGGGGCATTCAATGTAGTTCTGAGACTCATTTTCGCCAGTTTGCTTCTCAGTGATGGCTATATTGAACACCACCCAAACACTTCTTGTCGACTTGCTGCCTACCCAGGGTTCGTCGGTGACAGCCTGTGTGCGTTTTGTGCTTTAGTTTCGTTCTTTTCAGACCCCTAAAATCCTTTCACCCACAGAACAACTTAGTGCGATGCGCGCTTGGGGCAGCATGCGTATCGGTCATAGACTTGATGTTGAATGGTGTAGGTGTAGGATGGACCTACACGATCCTCGCACTGATTAGTCTTTCTACGAGCCCGATGATTTGGTTGATACTCTGGCTCGGTCCGCGTTCTCGAGCCAAGCGCCGTGTACGAAACAACTAGAGCCTAGGATACCATGTGCACGATTTTACAACGAACTGTTTTTGGAATTACAAGCCACATATGTACTATACGCCTGACAATCTGAATCATTGACCCTGCCATGTTCAAACACCTTGATGAGCTACGAAGCTAACCACAATTAACAAAACGAGGGATGAGACTCGTGCCTGCTACGAAAAATACGTCGCGATCTGGTCCCCGATTACCATTAGTTCCTTACTCCCCTCGAAGAGCATTTTTGTACTCTCCGAGACTTCTTCCCGCACGATATCAATTCCATCCTCACTAGGAGGTGCGCTAATGAAGTCCGAGTGCCTGAGACCCTCGATTATCTGAAGCGTCCTATCGCCACGGATGAAATCATCGCGGAGGAAACGGACAAGCCGGTTCTGCACCGCTGGCGAGTATATGGTCGAACTGCGCACGAGCTGTTCAAGCCGCCGGCAGATAGCAGTCCGAGTTTCCACGGCGGCTTGGAAGCGCTCGATCAGGAGGATATTAGCGTAGTTAACCATGGGGCTGGTCTTAGCTTTTCCTCTCGCATCGACAGAAGTGCATACGATGTGACCAGAAGATGAGGGCTCTGAGGATGGGGACAATGAAGCAGAAGCCAAGTTCTCGCCATGGTCTGTTGCTCGAGTCGCAGTTCCGCACGTAACCTCTTTCATCAGCCGCGCCAGTTGCGCTCTGCTGGAGAGTGACCCGCGCTTTTGCTTGCGTGGAGCGCGATGTTTACTGACCATCTCAACCGTATCTTCATTTGAGGACAGATTTTATAACCTGACTCCATATACCAGATAAACACAATAGGTGGCTCACCAGGAGAACAGCGCTAAAACTCTCGCCCAGCTTGAGCCCCGCGTGGTGGACGAACAAGTTAGTTAAGAAGCTGCGTGTGGATCAACTGGGGATGCATAGAGGAATTTCTGTGGCGCGTACCTGGATGGCGAATTATGTACTGCGGTAAATGTACTTACAGCGTACCGGTCTTCCCGTCCGATGCCAAATATTTATGGTCAAGACTTGGTCAAGACTGCAAACCGCCTTCCTGCCGAGTCTACTACAGCGCTTGGACCACAGTACTTGGCTTCAACTCATAGGTAGTGTACTAGCCAAGTTGGTACCGTTGGCAAGAACGCCACTGACAAGGTCACGTGGGGATATACAACGAATGCGTCTTACAGTGATCATTCTTATTGCCAAGAGTACTATACGACAAGTATGATACGGAGTGGAAATCATAAAGGGACATAGTACAAGGACACCATTCCAGAACGTTTTTCTTACATATGCGAAGCCGATCAACTAATTACAGAGTAATGGTCAAGCCAGCCACTGCTGAATCGCTCTCAGTGTTGCGGGACATGCAGGATCCCAAGGAAAGGCAAGCCAATCGTGGATAACGTCCCCCGCTTCATAGTACGTGACATTGTCTGCACCCATATCAGCGACCATCTTGTTCCTTAGAGTGCGTATCTGATCAAGGAGTCTTTCTGCACCGCCTGCGGTGATGAACGTACGTGGGAAGCCTTTGAATCGAGCTTGGGCGGACGGATGCAGGGACGCAGGGGAAATGTAGCGGTTGCAGGAGGCCATCTCGGGACCATGAGGACCGAGGAAGGCTCGTCTGCAATAGGACGCAAAAGTACCCTCGACCAGATCGTCGATAACGTCCATAGTATTGGTGAGGGAAGATGAGCCAGGGATATCATGCGAACCACTCAAATCTGCCCAGGGCGAGAGGAGTAACAGACTGCCCGGTGGTCTTGGCAACGACACCTCGGTGGATGAACTGTTTTCAACAAGGTATCGAACGAGCGCCAAAGCCAAATTCCCGCCTGCAGAATCTCCAACGACAATGATATCAAGCGGGCTGTAGCCTACAACATTCACGAGGTAATTGTACCCCGCAAGTGCATCCAGAAGCGCAGTAGGGAACGGATGACGATCAGGCGATGGATACGCAGATGAAAGTCGATACTCGACCGCCAGAAGACGTGGGATATTGGGGTCAACTTCCATTAGGGTGCGGGGTATGTTGGTAAGAATGCCGGTGTCTGGATGGGCGCATTCGACGGTATATCCTCCTCCGTGGAAATATATAAACACCTTTTCACCAGGCTGCACGAATGAATTGGGCACATGGGAGATGCCCTTCTTTCCAAGCCAGTATCCCGGGATACGAATTGGCTCGACATTGGAGAGCGTGCTCCAGGCTTTGAGTTCAGCTGTAATAAGATGGGGTACTCCGTCGATCCAAACACCTTCTCCATTTTTTGCAGGAGTTATGGCACGATGGTCAGGAAGACCGCCCAAACCATCCACTCTGTGCAACCAGAGGCACACCTGCTTAGTGAGAGGGATAGCAACGCTAGTGGATCAACAACACTTACAGAGCAGAAGTGGTAATTGAGTGCCGAGTGTATGCAACCGAGATTGCGTACCTCCACGACCATGCATGTCGTGGTCGCGCTGACGGGAAAGCATATGTTACCGCCCACACTGGCAGTCGCACGAGAAAAGTTATGGGAATCTCATATGCAAGATAGATTGCTTTCCATGGCTGTCTGGAGTATTTGCCATGGTCTGCCATGCTTGATTCTCTTGACGAGGTCCGGTGAGTTCGTGCACGGGCCCAGTATACGAATCTTATACACTCAGCAAATCTCACCGAGAAAATCGGAACATGTGGGCAGTCTCGGATACATTACGGCAAATCTGATCAGGAATATAGTATTAGGCAGAATTGGATGTTGCATGTGACAACCTAGGCCAATCAGACAAACACACGTCAGTGAAACGAAACGGGTTGGTTCATGGCCTGAAATGACATAGCAGAAATGTCAAGTGGAAGTGATCGGTACCTACACGAAACTAACGAAGCGGTCCCTTCCCCGGATCTCGTGAGATCACGTTCGAGTCCAGGGCCGGGGTCCTGAAAGAGGTGAACTAAGCCGCCGGAGGTGAATTATTATCGTAGTCCATGTTCCAAGGGGGTCCTTAGTGTACGAGAGTATGAGTAATTTTACCTCACATCTATTAGGACTCAAACCTGAATACATAACACAGAGTATGGGCACCACATTAAGCAGACGAGGTGTTGCGATACCAGTACATCATTCTTGAGGCTTGAGGATTGTTTTATGACCCAGCCCAATATGGTCACTGAGCGAGCCATTGCTGAATGGCTTTCAGCGTTGCAGGACATGCGGGATCCCAAGGAAACGCAAGGCAATCGTGAATAGCATCCGTCGCCTCGTAATAAGTCACTTTGTCTGCTCCCATATCGATGGCCATCCTGTTCCTCAGAGTGCGTATCTGGTCGAGCAGCCTCTCTGCATCGCCAGCAGTGATGAGCGTCCGTGGAAAGCCTTTGAATCGAGCTTGAACGGAGGGATGCATGCATGCAGGGGAGATGTAGCGATTGCAGGAGGCCATTCCAAGACCATAAGGTCCGAGAAAAGCTTGTTTGCAATAGGATACGAAAGAACCCTCACCTCCATCGTCGAGGAAGTCCATAGTGTTAGTGAGGAAAGAGGAGCCAGGGGTGTCATGCGAATTACTCAAATCCGTCCAGGGTGAGAAGAGTAAGAGACCGCCAGGTGGTCCTGGCAAGGACACCTCAGTAGCGGACACGCTTTCAGTAAGATATCGTACAAGTGCCAAGGCCAGATTCCCGCCTGCAGAATCGCCGGCTGCAATGATATCGTGTGGGCTGTAGCCTACGACATTCACGAGGTAATTGTACCCTGCAAGTGCGTCCAGAAGAGCGGTAGGGAACGGATGACGATCAAGTAATGGATGAGTAGATGAAAGCCGGTACTCGACCGCCAGAGCACGTGGGATACGGGGATCCAGTTCGATCAGCGCGCGGGGTATGTTGGCTGTGCCACCGTCTGGATGGGCACATTCGACGGTATATCCTCCTCCGTGGAAAAATATAAACACCTTTTTACCAGGCTGTACTGGTGAATCGGGTATATGGGAGATACCTTTCTTTCCAAGCCAGTATCCTGGGATACGAATGGGCTCAACGTTGGAGAGCGTGGTCCAGACTTTGAGTTCAGCTGTAATGAGGTGGGGTACTCCGTCGATCCAAACACCTTCTCCATTTTTTGCAGGAGTTATTGCACGATGGTTGGGGACAGGTCCAAAGCCGCCCACGCTGTGCAACCAACGATGCAGCAGTTTAGCAGGGGAGATGGCGACGCAAAATGGGCTATAACACTTACAGAGCAGCGGTGGCAGTTACACGTCGAAGGAGTGCAACCGCAATTGCATGTCTCCACGACCATGTTGGTCGTGGCCGGGCGGAAGGGAAAATATATGTTACCGCCCACACAGGCAGTCGCACAAACAAGGTCACAGGGACCTGAAAGGCTAGGTAGAGCGCTTTCCATGGCTGTTTGGAGTACTGATACGCCATAGCCCGTCTCAGTGTTTGCAGAGTACTTTTGTGGTGCTTGCACGATTCTATCACGGTGTTTATAACCCAACAAATTCTTCCATTGCAGAACTCGAATTTCCAAGCCCGTGACACGACGGGATTGCAAGGAAGTCTACTGTATATCTAAGTCCATTATAATTCAAAACCTAAAACCGCCAGCCAAGTCCATGACGTGCTTAGGATCCACCTGCTGTTGCAAACTACGCAATTTCGGAAGGTTGTCTCCGTACATCATCTCCGCCGGCGTATCGAATATGGCATAGTTGGGGTATCGTGGTGCTAGAGGTTCGCCCACTAGATTCTGGAGAGTCGAGGCACTCTCCCGTACCGCAGCATGCATAGCAGAGTCGGACGTTTGGTTGGCCCACGAGTAGTAAATTTTAAGAGGGGTGAAGCCGTTGGCGCGTGTCGGAGGGAACGCGGACGGGGTAGAGGAATGCTTGTATAGAGAGGGAAGGAATGGTTCTACAACATAGGACACGAATTCAGCGCCGAGGGTCGAGCTTGCACCCCAGAACTACAAACCCAGGTACGTGAATTCATAATGCTAGGATTAGACACTGTACTCACAGTGGTCTCGTTCACTACAGCATTAAGGAATGGAACGGAGTAGTTTAGGACTGATATGGTGTTGAAAATCGCGCTGTGCGATGCCGGTCAGGAGAGTTCTCTGGGTTTGCATTTATCTTACCGGCTGCCGTAGGTGGCGTTGGCCATTGACGTTTTGATAAGTGCAGGGAACGACATAGTCGAAACGTTCTTGACAAGAGAGGGGATAGCTAGAAATTCGTCAAAAACACCCGAGGGCGGGGTGGGCGCGTCATAGAACACTAGCGCCGATGGGCCCAACTGTGGGCTGGTAAGCAGGGGGTAGACCAGGTTATGCACAAAGTACAGTACCGAGTTTCGACTGAGGAAGTAGTCATATGTGATCATAAGAGATGCTTTCGGATCAGTCGTCTTTGACGCGAAGTCAACGATTGCCTGATTAAGGAGCCCGATATTGTCGGCGGAGTAGGTGATGAAACCACCCTGCAGAAGCCTGAGAAATGCTTGGTTCGCGGGTTCACTCCGGGAAGACTCACCCAAACCTGTCCCTGCGAAAACGTCTGCAAAGTGAACCTTGTTACGATGCCCTACAGGAGAGTGAGTGGCAAACATAAAGATTATAAGGAAAATGCACACAAAGTTGTTGAACCCACCCTACAAATTACCGTCAGAGCCCTTCTAGATACCGTACGTAGCTCGTAGACGTACCCTCAGCCCGAAGAAAAGGTCTTGGTCCTGCGCCGTTACGTTTTTGACAGTACCGTTAGGCATTACAAGCTCATAAGCCTGCACGGTGTCAACAGTCAAACCGTACTGATTTGTGAGGTACGAATATCCTACAATCGGTTCTAAGTACGAAGTTATTAATGGCCCAAACTCGATCGTACATACCTCCGCCAAGTGATAAACCAGCAACACCAACTCCTGGACCTCTCGCGCCTACGACATTGACACCGAGAGGATCAAGAGCAGCATAGACAGTGTCCCACGTCAAACCCGCGCCGATGGTCGCTGTCTGCGATTCCGGGTCATAGACCACGTCCGAAAAGCGCGACAACGCAATTTGAACGCCAGTGGTAGATGAAAAGCCGGGGTTTGTGGTGTGGCCACCACCTTTGACCTGCATAACTTTGGCGTCAGAACAGGACGCGAACGAGAGAAGGGGAAACAGACTGCAAAAGGTGTTCGCAGCGTAGATATCACATTAAGCTACGGACGTGTCACTTTAGTAGGACAGAGCCGATTTAGAGCCTACCGCTTTCCCCAGATCCTCAGCCGTTCCGGGCTCGAAAGAGCAAGTCGCATTTTGCGAGCTGGACGAAGCCCAGTGGGTCACGTCGCGTGGATATGGCAAGGTACCTGCATGATGTCAGAGTCGGATAGAATATTTCGCTGAATGGCACGAACCAGGATAGAAGACTCCGGAAGAGGTCGAAACTGAAGCCGCAATTTGTTGACACGCGTCAGCGGCCGAGGTGGGGTCCGCGAGCGCGGCGGAGAGCACGGCCCAGGGGAGGAGCACAAAGACACTGCGAAAAGCGGTCATCCAGATGTAAACGGTGAAACGAGAGAAGCGGGAGGGGACAAACTTTTTACACTCTAGCCTCCGGTTGACTTAAATACCGCAGTAAGTGAGCAGCCGAGTTACCACCGAGCAAGCTGGTACCTGTATGACATGGAAGCAGATTTGGAGTCTGTGCCAGATAACTCGGCTATAATCACGTGCAGCGGACACTGCTCTACTATTAACCACTGCAAGTCCTGGCCTGAGGAGTGGTCTGGCATACCCGTCGATGGCTCTTCGCTGGAATGGGTTCAGGTCACTCCTTCTGTCCTCCCGGCCCGCCACGGTGAACTTCGTGCCAAAGGTCCCCCGCGCATCCGTCAGGACCGAGTCGATACTATCACCACCCTCCTCCCATCCTTTCCGTCCCCCTAACGCCCACGCTTGGATTTGGCGCTCCAGACTATGGCTCTTTCCAGTCGCAGGAGGGATTTTTCTGTACCTGTCTCCAAGTCCACAACCACATCTGTCCACTCTCTTTGCGTCGCCAACCCTCATACCTTGTCCAGACACCCAGAAACGTGTCAGGGACTTCGCGAACGAGGACCTGATTGGATCACCTGCAGAACCCCACCTCTCAGTCATCTCCCGAATACTGAGTCTACTTCAGGACTATGTCTTGGATCCTGTGATGACTGCAAAGCGTTTCTTACAGCTGTTCTTTCTCTTCCTACCGGTCATTGCCACGATGCCAATGTTGCTGGTTGGTAATCCAGAAAGGGGATTGCAAGGAGACCGTTGGGGTGCCGTCTGGTGGTACGGATTGTTGGTCTCCAAAATGCAGGTAGCGGGTCCCACTTTTATAAAGGTGAATATCACGCATTTCTGCCACGATCTACTCTAAGTTTGCATCTCTAGCTTGCCCAATGGGCTGCGACCCGTCCTGACCTCTTTCCTACTTTACTCTGTGACAAACTTGGAGAATTGCATTCCAAGGGGAGACCTCATCCATTAGAATTTACAATATACGGCTTGGAAAAGGTCTTCCAGAGGCCATTTAGCGAAATTTTCGAAGAGTTCGACCAGAATCCCATCGGTACCGGTGCAATAGCGCAGGTGTGCCTTTTATCGTCTTTCGCTAGCGCTGTCCACTGAAGGCACATGAGGTTTACAAAGCTACCCTTCGGCCAGACGTTATACCACCGTCGTATCTCGGTCCAAAACGCTCGCCAAAAATGGCTGGTTCGTTGAATCCTGTCATGTTAGACCAACCGCTACCGTCAGTACCAACCGCCGCAGTCGCCGTAAAGGTTCTCCATCCAAGTGTCGCCAAACTAATCGCGCGTGACCTCTCGATCATGTCGTTTTTCGCCCATGTCATCACTCTCCTCCCCGGCATGCGCTGGATTTCCTTACCTGAGGAGGTCGCTGTCTTCGGTGATATGATGCGTCAACAACTATGTCTCCGTCGCGAAGCGGGAAACTTGGTTACGTTCGAGCAAAACTTTGCGCCGCGCACTCTTCCTGTCACCTTTCCAAGGCCCCTCGAGGAATTTTCTACCTCTGAGTTACTTGTAGAGGAATATGAACGAGCTCTGCCATTAGAACTGTTCTTGAAGAACGGTGCTGGGCCATTCGACAAACAACTGGCTACCATCGGTCTCGATGCTTTTCTGGTAGGCAAAGCATCATGAACCTGATATTCTTTCTTAAAAGACCTATACAGAACATGCTCTTGCTTGATAACTTTGTCCACGCAGATCTTCACCCAGGAAATATCATGGTCAAGTTCACGCGGTCGCTTACAAGTTATGATCTCCTACGTAGTCTTTTCGACAATTTCTTTAACAAAAGAGACGGGACCGCGTCCACGCTCCATCATCAGTCAGAATCCGATCAGATTGTCTCCCAACTGCAAGAACTTCGAGGCAAACCTGTAGAGTGGCGAAAGGAACTGCAGAGGGTCTGCGACGGCGGATACATCCCTGAAATTGTCTTCATTGATACCGGTTTGGTGACCACTCTCAATGCCCAGAACCGTCGGAATTTTTTGGATCTTTTCCGTGCCGTGGCCGAATTTGATGGCTATCGCGCCGGACAGCTCATGGTCGAACGATGCCGCACTCCTGATCTCGTCGTAGATGCCGAGACATTCGCGCTCAGGATGCAACATATCGTGCTCGGCGTGAAGCGCAAGACTTTTTCGCTTGGTCAAATCAGAATTTCGGATATCTTGACCGAGGTTTTGAAGGCTGTCCGGCAACACCATGTGAAAATGGAGGGAGATTTTATCAACACAGTGATATCTATCTTGCTGCTGGAGGGTATAGGGCGACAACTTGACCCGACATTGGACTTATTCAAGAGCGCCTTACCAATTCTAAGACAACTCGGAAGGCAAATGACATTGGAAGAATCTATTGCCCACCTGCCGTCCGACAACCTCGGGGCTTTCCTGAAGGTCAGTTAATAAACACATGTGATCTGTTGTGGTATACAAAGTGAAATTTACAGGTCTGGGTATGGGTTGAAGCCAGACAGTTGGCTTCGGCCGCATTTGTCGATGTGGACGACATGGTGAAGTACGGCTGGTACGTGATCAGCTCTGCTACTGAAGGAGCATGACTCTGATCGGAGACGTGAACAGGCTCACTCCTAGCGTATGAACGTTGATGACGATCAATGAGGATTGGACCAAAAGGTAGATGTGCGGTAGAATTTCGCAATACATATATTATGGACACCCATGTAGCATAGTTACAGTGAGACCTAACCACCATTCACTTATAATATACCAATCCAACGGCCGATGGGCTGTTGCGTCGGTTCCCGCAATGTAGTTTGCCACGATATAACTTTGTTCCGATACCACCCTCGAGGACTCTTGAAGTTTTCCCTCGATTGTCCCCTGTTCAACTAATGCCTTCCGCACTGTTGACGACTGATCTGCAAGACCTCACTCTTATATCGAGGGGAAAAGTGCGCGATGTTTACCACACTTCCTCAGAAGATCTCTTGCTCTTCGTCGCAACCGATAGAATATCAGTATTCGACGTTATCTTGAAGGATGTGGGTGGTTTCGATCGCTGGCTGTCGTTATCCTTACGACGCTCATATAGGGTATTCCCGACAAAGGGAAGACATTAACGAGAATATCGCTATTCTGGTTTGAGAAACTGAAGGGTATCGTTCCAAACCATCTCGTGACGGCCGATATAGACGAGATGCCCGAGGAAGTGAGGAAATACAAGGATCAACTCGATGGCCGCTCCATGCTTGTGAAGAAGGCTAAAGTCATACCCATCGAGTTTATAGTTCGGGGGTACCTCACCGGTGAGGTTCCATGATTCTTGGATTCGACTGCTCGTGACTTTTTTGAGACTCCCAGGATCCGCATGGGCGGAGTACAAGAAAACTGGAACTATGCACGGAATGCCTCTTCCAGAGGGAATGGTCGAGTCCCAGCGGCTACCCCAACCACTGGTAACCCCGTCGACGAAAGCGGAACAAGGCGCTCACGACGAGAACATCTCTCCGGATAGGGGTGCGTACTTTGTGATACCTTACCACGCAGTATTACGATTCACGTTATCTAGCTGGACAACTTATCGGTTCGAAGGTTTACACCCGCGTTGCAGACATAGCCCTTAAGTTATATTCGACTGCGGCTGAATACGCATATTCCCATGGACTTATCCTCGCGGATACCAAGTTTGAATTTGGGTTGATTCCGTCGACCGCGGATACCTCGGAGGATGAAGTCATCCTTGTCGACGAGGTTCTCACTCCGGATTCGTCGCGTTATTGGCCTCTCGATCAATACGTTCCAGGGAAGCCTCAACCCAGCTTCGACAAACAATATGTGAGGGATTGGCTAGTCTCTGTAGGGTATCGCAAGGGCCTGGAGAGTGGGCCTGGAGGTAGCGGCGAAGGCTGGGGTATCGACGAGGCCGTCATTCAGGGGACTCAAAGAAGGTATTCAGAGGCTGAGGAAATGCTGAAAAACGAGAGTCCCGAAGCCTGAGCCCCTCGGGATGCTGAGTATTTACTGTGTATTTATGTGAGACATCTGATACGCCGCGTCCCGCAGGAGTCCTGCTGTTAGATTTTACGAGGTCAGTCCAGGCTAGAATTGGTTTGCGGGTTCAACGGCAGCTCCCAAGGCTGGGATATAAGTTCTCATACGAGGAGGGCGACGTCGGCTTTCCCTTGATCGAGGTATGACCGTTTTAAGATGGTTTAAAGGAGGCCACCCATAGCAACAAGGAGGTCAGGACGTTTGCGACTTCTGCAAAAAAAACCCTAACACAGTATCCATCCGTGCCTTTCCTTTTGGGATATGTGAGGATTCACTCCGCATTGATACCGCCCCGTGGCGTAGGAGTGCTAGACTTCCTTCGAAGTGGGAGGGCTGAATACCGATGGTTCGGTTGGCTGCCTGAGTAGATCAGTATTCCAGGGGCCCTTACCAGATTAAGGAACATGACATCACTATTATAACTGCCGCTGGTTGCATTGTCAGCCAATTCCAGTCCCAGTTCCAATTGGATTAGCCTACGTAGCCTGCGATTACACACAGCAGTTGCTCGCCTTATCGATCCAGCAATGAGTAGCATCTTTCTCCCCTATCTCCAAAGTATCGAGCCAGACGCGCAATTCACCTTCGATTTACCCCTCGTCAAATCATCCACAGGAAAAAGGTACTATGCTAAGGTTGGAAGCCCGGGGGAGAAGGACCAATATGTGGGAGAAGCAGAATCGCTCCGCGCCATCTACGAAGCTGCGCCTGGGCTGGCGCCAAGGTTATTGGCTAGCGGCACTACGGGAGACGATGCACCATCGGGACCTGGAAATCCATTCTTCCTCTCTGAGTACATGGACATTGGCAGTCTGACCGTCCAAACGGCAGAGTTGCTGGGCGAAAGACTTGCGAAGGAATTGCACGCTTTCAAGAGTCCCAAAGGATTCGGGTTTGCCGTTCCAACATATTGTGGAGCCACCAGACAAGACAACGGATGGTTTGGCACTTGGGAAGAGTGTTTCAGCGCAATGATCAAGAATCTTCTACAGAAGCTTCCGAGTGAAAGAAGATATGCCGAATTGTCGCATAAGGGAGAGGAGGTACGGACGAGGTATGTCGGTCGGTATGCTTGGTGGAACGACGGTTTATGTACTTGAAATGCAGAGTCATACCGTGGCTCCTCCAACCGTTAGTGATTGAACCTAGTTCTGCTACACGGTGATCTTTGGGTAAGTTCTCCGTCCTTCCATTCATAACTAATCCAATCCCTGCGTAGTCTGGTAACACAGGGACCTAACAGGAAAACGGGTCAACCGGTCATTTTTGATCCGTCGTCCTACTACGGACACAACGAAGCTGAGTGAGTAATTTCCGTGGATAGCGATCACGAATCTCCTTTAAGCCTTGTGCAGTCTAGCGATTGCTCGTATATTTGGAGGAATACCAGGCAGCTTCTTCGTTGCATACCACAAGCACATGCCCAAGACCGAGCCTGTCCAGCAATACAACCTCCGTGGAGATCTTTACGAGCTTTATCACTACTTGAACCACACGGCACTGTTTGGAGTGAGTGTTCATCTCCATAAAAGAAAGGAAGGTGTATACCTACTGATACGAACTCATCGCAGGGTGGATATGCCGGTAGTGCTCTTCAGAAAATGAATAAGTTGTTGAGGGCCTGTCCACTTGTATAGACATTGTGATTAGTCATCCACGTGCGCAAAGACACATCAACATATCTTACATGGCTTACTAGCTGAGCTGGACGACGCGCTCGTCGTTGCTCTCGAACCACCGTCTTCCTCAGCGAAGTTCGTCAAACCAAACCCAAGTTCAGCTTAGGCCCTGCACATTGGTCGCTCATAGCTATCGAGACGTCTAATTCCTCGTTTGTCTCGACAACCACACGCTGCTAGGCTTCCATCATGAGCCAAGGTATCTACAGACGTTAGTTTGCCAGAGAATTGTATCTCAATTATCATTCGAGATATGGATGCCTCTCAAACACAAACACAGTTCACGTACGGAGATCCCGACTATGGCATGGACGAGGAGGAAGAAGGGTATGAGGAAATTACGCAGGAGGATTGTTGGACCGTGATTTCCAGCTTTTTCGAACAGAAGGGTCTTGTGCGACAACAGTTAGACTCTTTTGACGAATTCGTGCAGAACACGATGCAGGAATTGGTGGACGAGAACGCGGATCTCATACTGGATCAGGCAGACCAGCATACGGGTCATGAAGCAGATATGACACGACGTTATGAAATCAAATTTGGGCAAATCTACCTCTCGCGGCCCACTGTCACTGAAGCGGATGGTTCCGTAGTTCCAGTCTTCCCCCAAGAAGCACGTCTGAGGAACTTGACGTATTCTGCGCCGTTATACATAGAGATGAAGAAGAGGGTGCTTGTTGGACGAGAGGATCCAAATGGTGTTCCTGGAGACATTCTGTGGGAGCCAGAACATGATGAGAGTGCGGATGACACGACAAAAGTTTGGATTGGCAAGGTAAGCCCGTGTAACGATGGTAGTGCGACTTACATATAACAGCATTGCTACTCAGGTACCCATCATGCTCCGCTCAACCTTCTGTATCCTCAGAGGGTTGCAAGACCAAGATTTGTATGATCTGAACGAGTGCCCGTACGACTCTGGGGGTTACTTCATTATTAACGGGTCGGAGAAGGTGCTCATCGCTCAAGAGCGCATGGCTACAAATCATGTATATGTGTTCGCAAAAGCGCAGCCATCTCCTATAAGTTTCCTGGCTGAGATCCGGAGTGCTGTAGAAAAAGGCGGGAAGACCATTAGCCAGTTTCAGGTCAAATTATTCAACCGCAACCAGGAGCGAACTGTGAGTATGCATAGCCTTTGGTGCCGACATGCTCTCACAACTCTGTAGTTGGGGAACGTCATTAAAGCGACCATTCCTTACATCCGTGTAGACATCCCTATCTGGGTAGTCTTTCGCGCGTTGGGTGTCATCTCAGACCGTGACATTCTCGAACACATTTGTTATGACATGCAAGACTCTCAAATGCTAGAGATGCTCAAACCCTGTATAGATGAAGGCTTTGTCATCCAAGATCGCGAGGTCGCCTTGGACTTCATTGGTAACCGTGGAACGACTACTGGTCTTTCTCGTGAACGACGTATACGGTATGCCCAGGAGATTCTGCAGAAGGAAATGCTTCCACACGTTTCTATGGCGGAGGGTTCGGAGTCCAAGAAGGCCTACTTTTTCGGGTACATGATCCATCGGTTACTCCTTGCAGCTCTAGAAAGGAGAGAACTCGACGACCGTGACCACTTTGGGAAGAAACGTCTCGATCTCGCTGGGCCATTGCTTGCAAATCTGTTCCGCATGTTGTTCAAGAAGCTTACTAGGGATGTATACCGGTATCTGCAAAAAGTACGTCGATTGTGGCCGCTGTTTTTACATTCACATACTCATGTAATTCGCAGTGTGTTGAGACTCACAAGGAATTCAACCTGTCGCTAGCCGTGAAGCACCAGACAATCACTAATGGTCTGAAGTACTCGCTGGCAACTGGAAATTGGGGAGATCAGAAAAAATCGATGTCAGCAAAGGCCGGTGTGTCCCAGGTGTTGAACCGGTATACATATGCGTCGACGTTATCTCATCTCCGGCGGTGTAACACGCCGTTGGGGCGTGAGGGAAAGATCGCAAAGCCCCGTCAACTGCACAATACGCACTGGGGAATGGTGTGTCCCGCTGAAACTCCAGAAGGGCAAGCTTGTGGGCTCGTTAAAAATCTGGCGCTTATGGCATGCATCTCCGTCGGTTCCTATTCAGCTCCCGTTATCGAATTCTTAGAAGAGTGGGGTTTGGAGTCTCTTGAGGAAAACGCGCATTCTGCTACTCCTTGCACGAAAGTGTTCGTAAACGGCGTCTGGATGGGTGTACATCGGGACCCTGCCAACCTCGTTAAAACGATAAAGAAACTCCGTCGGAAGGACGATATCAGTCCCGAAGTTTCCGTGGTTCGCGATATTCGCGAACGAGAGCTTCGACTTTATACCGACGCCGGTCGTGTATGTCGGCCGCTCTTTATTGTTGAAAACCAGCAACTCGTTCTACAGAAGAAACATATCAAGTGGCTCGGCCAAGGTTACCGGGATGATGATGGCGAGGAGTTCAAATGGGAGCAGTTGATCAAGACTGGCATTGTGGAGCTATTGGACGCGGAAGAAGAGGAGACTGTTATGATATCCATGACGCCAGAAGATCTCGAAAATTCCAGATTGCAATCTGCCGGTATCAACCCTTACGAAAACGATGGCGACTATGACCCCACTGCGCGGCTGAAAGCAAAGACGTCTGCGCATACATGGACGCATTGTGAAATTCATCCCAGTATGATTCTGGGTGTTTGTGCTAGTATCATACCTTTCCCCGATCACAATCAGGTGGGTTTGATCATCCGTATCACTGTACGGGTTTTCTCATCCTCTTCCAGTCTCCTCGTAATACTTACCAGTCCGCCATGGGTAAACAAGCCATGGGCATCTACCTAACCAACTTTTTGGTCCGTATGGATACCATGGCGAATATTTTGTATTACCCTCAGAAACCCCTTGCTACCACGCGCTCGATGGAATACTTGAAGTTCCGCGAGCTCCCCGCTGGTCAGAACGCCATCGTTGCCATCATGTGCTATAGCGGGTACAATCAAGAGGATTCCGTTATTATGAACCAGAGCTCTATCGACCGTGGCTTATTCCGAAGTATCTACTACCGGAGTTACATGGACTTAGAGAAGAAGAGTGGCATCCAGCAGCTGGAGGAATTCGAAAAGCCTACTCGCGAGACGACCCTGCGAATGAAGCACGGTACCTACGATAAGCTGGAGGACGATGGTTTGATTGCTCCTGGTATCCGTGCTCTGGGAGAAGATATCATCATTGGCAAAACAGCACCAATACCTCCGGATAGTGAGGAGCTCGGACAGCGTACACGGACGCATACTCGACGTGATGTGTCAACACCTCTCAAGAGTACAGAAAGCGGAATCGTCGACCAGGTGCTGATCACCACGAACTCTGAGGGACAGAAGTTTGTGAAAGTCCGAGTTCGTTCCACTCGTATACCTCAAATCGGCGACAAATTCGCTTCTCGTCATGGTCAGAAAGGTACTATTGGAATCACCTATCGCCAGGACGACATGCCTTTCACAGCTGAGGGCATCACTCCTGACTTGATCATTAACCCTCACGCCATCCCATCACGTATGACCATTGGGCATTTGGTTGAGTGTCTTCTCTCAAAAGTTGCCACCCTTCTTGGCAACGAGGGTGACGCCACACCTTTCACTGAGCTTACAGTCGAATCCGTTTCGACATTTTTGCGTCAGAAAGGATATCAATCCCGTGGACTAGAGGTAATGTATCATGGCCATACGGGCAAGAAGCTCCAAGCGCAAATCTATCTCGGGCCGACGTATTACCAACGCCTAAAACACATGGTGGACGACAAGATCCACTCTCGCGCCCGAGGTCCTGTGCAGATTTTGACCAGACAACCTGTGGAGGGGCGTAGTCGTGATGGTGGTCTCCGTTTCGGAGAAATGGAGCGCGATTGTATGATTTCGCATGGTGTTGCTGGCTTCTTGAAGGAACGGCTGTTCGACGCTAGCGATGCCTACCGTCTGCATGTTTGCGATATGTGGGTTTCACTGTCCCTATCTCGAGGTTCTACTGACAAGCAATGACAGCTGCGGCCTGACTGCAATAGCCAATCTTGTAAGCGCTACCCAACATCAAATCGTCCGATCATACGTACTGAGCATGCTTGTTCAGAAAAAGCAAACCTTTGAGTGTCGTGCATGCAAGAACAAAACGGCTTGTTCGCAATTGTACATCCCTTATGCTGCCAAACTCTTGTTCCAAGTAAGGTTGTTTTCTTGTGTTATGGAACCAGATTTTCTTATATCACCCCAGGAATTACAAAGCATGAACATCGCCGCACGACTTTACACGACGTCGACTGGGCGCGTCAGAGATTCTAATAGCTAAGGCGGTCCTTCGTCTCTGTACTTTGTGCTCCTTCCGTCGAGATTTATTTGCATTATCATTTGTAGTTCGTTCCCGGATAATAATTTGTTTCTTTTAGTATCCCGACAGTCTCTGGAAAGTCCAGGATACTGGTCCAGCATGAAACGCCAAGGAACAGAATGTTATTACTTCTATCTGCCCTCCTGAGTGATACTTGATTTGCTTTCTAATGGACTGGATTCTTGGTACCAGAGGAATGTGGTCAGCTTACTCCCTACAGCTTATCAATAGGGTTCCTCAAAGATGCCGCCGCCGACGCCTACGCCTACGCCTACAGCGCGACTACCATAACTTAGCTGTAGGCGTCGGCGCCAACTTTGAGCGGCCCTAATGGGACTGGACGGACCGCAGCGTCAGGTTTCAAATTCCAAACCTAACACCTATCTCCTGATCGCTGTACCTCCCTGCGAAGTCTCTTGCTAGTGCGAGCGCAGCATGATCGTAAGGACTCCGGGGACTGGTACGTTGGTGATGGGCACCGGATTGGAAGCAATTACTATTTTCCCGAACCTCGACGGTCTTATACCATGTTCCATACCAGCCGTCGAAAGTAAAGGCGTATTCTACATGTACTAATAGATATGAGAAAGAGACCAATGAGTGCAGAAAGGAGCGTCCGTGGGTAGTCTAATCATTCCTGTTTCTCGACCTTCCCCCCATGAGACCCTCCCGCTCGTCAGTCGAACCCTCAAGCTCTTCAACCGACTTCCGCTCGCCACCTCGGCGTTTCTTAGTGGCATCACTTTCATCGTCGCTGCCGGCGTCCTCATCGCCAATCTCGAAGACGACATGGTTTTCCGCAAGTGGATCCGGTTCCCTTCGGTTGTTTACAAGAGTAATCTCGTCGTCCTCTCGTGCAGCGGTTCTGTCCTGAAGGGCTTCAAGGTCGTAATCTTCCGCATCCTCGTCCTCTTGTGCGATCTCGTCTGACATCGCAAGCGTAACGGAAAAAGATAAGGAAGACCTTAACAACAGAGAGGACAAATACTTATCTGCGGTTATTTTCCGTAGGCCGCCAGAGGTAGGCGATCGACCAGAAAGCGACGAAAAATAGAAGGGCAAGGTAACCGTCAAGGAGCCACCATCTCGCACGCCATGATTTTGCCGCGTAATCTGAGCAAGCTGAGCCAGTGATTCCTTCATTACACAGTAACTCACCTTCCGCTAGTCGGTCCGAGAACGAGTATGATGACACGACGAAAAATATTGCAATCACAACCACGGCACCAAGCAAGATATAATACAACCGTTGAAACATTTTGAGCTTGTATCGTTGCTTACGAGCGGCCAACTGGTTCATGGTGCCTGGAACGGCGGTCAGCTTGGTTTTACACAGTGCCTAAGATTTAAGTACCAGTCAGAGAGTGCAAAATCCACATAAGGAAGCCACTAAGCGTGAAGGCCAATGGGATAACAAATAGCAGGAGAACCAATGCCGACGTCGACTCGAGTGAGAGCTCGACGATCCCGACAGCATATAGTACTGCTATGGCGTTAGAAGGCATAGATAGTGCAGATATTGACAAACCTCCGAAGACAAAGTGAGCCGCAGCTAGAGTCTGGCATTTTATCATTGTTCTACCCAATGTTTCCCTGACCACGCTGAGGCCAAGTGAAACCACGAGCAACATGAAGAATGAAAGCGCATTCCGGCCGGCATCCAGAATGGCAACTAAAAAGAATTTTAGTTCAAAACATTATGTATCGTGAAAACTCTATTCCAACCAACGAAGAGAAAGACGATCGAAGCAGTATTCTTGCCGTGCGCATTGAGGTACCGATAATATACTGTTTCCCATTTTTCCATCAAAAGAAGTGCAAGAGCTCGTCTATGAGAAGCTCACCCCAGTTCGCAGCCATCTCAACGATCATGAAAGCCACGAGACCGGACAGATAATACTGTACACGGTTGAGCTGACGAGGTCACCCACAACAGTGAAGTACGTACTTGGATGGGTAGTAGCTCAGTCATATGTCTGTAACATAGCCAAGCCCAAGCACACCCCAGCAGTGCATATGCAAAGAACATGGAAAGGTAAAACTGTATTACGAACCGATTAGATGGATATGCGGGTTTACAAAGAACACCTACGTTAACTTTGGGATAGTCTGCGGCAGGGAGTTGGCCGTCAAATGTATTTTGGAAGAGAACGACACCACTGTAAGTGGGATGGGACGGCGTATCACTAGAAACTTGGCGAGTAGTAGGTGGAATGATCGTAACAGGCACAATGGCTGGAGAGATGTCATGACAGGGCGTCGTCATATTGGAAGTCACACGTACCCACACAATAATAGCCAGTCTTGCGAACTTGATATTGGATTGGGCCAGTATACGTCAGCGTGCCAGCAGGGCTCGGATTGAGAGTCTCGCTTTCCTGGCGAGCGATGGGGTGAGTCTGAATTGAAGCAATTCCGCCTCTTTTGTCTTGTTGTTTGTGTGAAGACACCACTTGATCCAGCGTAACACTTGCAGTCCAGAAACTTGTCTGATTCATTGGGGTGCCATCGTCCGAGCTGTAGATGAATTTGCCAATATCTTGGTACAGGCACAGCCCAGAGGTTACAGCGTCCGTAGTGCATACGTAGGTCTTCTGCTAATTCGAGAGAACCGTCAGGTGTTGTCAAGGCCGCTGGAGGAATAGCTCACGGGAAGAGAATCGTCCGACTCAGAAGTGACCGCACCCAGATACTTGACGTCTTTCCACTCGTATATAGCCATAGCTACCTGGCCATAGGATGTTCGTGGGTCGAAGGTGACTGTCAAGCAGAGATGAAACGTTTGCTCCCGCCTCAAGGGTGCAATAACTGCGCACCATTGATGTAGGTATTTGAGTCCCCCCACATCCCAGAACATACCTGCCTGGAGTAATCGGAGTCGGCGAATGTAACTTCATAACCCGCGACCGCCGAAGCCGCGCTGAGCAGTGCCAATAGCGCCAGCCGACCGTGGCTGGAATATTGACGCATGGCAGAAAGCGGTTGTTGTGGTTTGTCGTGCAACGGCTTCTGCGACGTTTGTGTCACGTGGTCACACACGTCACACAAACGGGAATGCTAGTTTAAATTAGCCCCGGGTCCGACTGCAACTACATAGCTTACGACAAGCCGACCAGTCATGGACGAGGACGTCTTCGACAGCGTAACATGGGAATCAGCCTCAGCGCCGTATGATGTTGACTATGCTGTGAAACAAGCAGGACCCGGGTTCAGACAGAGCACGGCGGGAGCTGAAGAGCCGCACAGTCCTCACGACCCAAAGTGGGAGGGATATCTTATCACTATCGTTAAGGACCCTGTCAAGGAATTAGCAGAGACCAAGGACGCATACGTTTCATATCTGGTTGTGGCAAAGGCACGTCCTATGACCTCATTGTCCTGTTGCCGCGCTGATCCATGTGGCTAGACCAACCTTCCCATATTCTCGTCTCAGAGTCCCTCGGCTCGTCGACGGTTCCAGGACTTTGTATTTCTCAGAGACCACCTTGTCAAAGACTTCCCAGCATGTGTGGTACCTGCGCTCCCCGACAAGCATCGGTTGGGTGCGGCCTATGTAAATCACCCCAACACAGGCTAATCCTTCCTCAGAATATATAACTGGCGATAGGTTCAGCCCTGAGTTTATGGAACGTCGCAGACTAGAGTAGGCATATATTCACTGCCATGGTGCGCTCCCTGACTTCCGCAGACTCCACCGGTTCTTGGAGCGCATAGCTCGGCACCCTACGCTGCAACGCAGCACGCTCTTGCGTGCCTTTTTGGAGTCCACGGAATGGGTAAGGCGTAGCTTAGTTGTTGGTTTGTCACTCACGTTGTCCTCGAGCATGTCTACATGCACCAACACCTCGCACACCCCCCTGGACCTGAACCAACACCAGGACTCCTTGACAACATATCGGACACGCTCTTGAACGCTTTCGCACGTGTCCGTAAACCAGACGAGCGTTTCTTGGAGATGCGTGAAAGCGTCGATAAGTTCGAAGAGGGTCTGGTCCTCTCTGAGCGACTCTGGAACCGTATCCGCGGGAGAACGAACGGTAAGCCGGTGCCATGACGTGGGACTCAACGCTGAACGAGACTGGTCATTTTGCACTTCATGAAGATCTCATGACTGACTACCACGATCTTGCCGTTGCCGCTCAGGGTCTGGGTTTCTTGGAGTCGGGAATCACGGATCCCTTGAATCACTTTTCAAATACGTTGCTCGAGTTCTCAGCCCTGCTGCGCCATAAGGTCGGTCGCTCGGTCATAAATAACTCCCTTAGTGACCCCTCGGAATTTTACAGACCCAAACGTCGACCGATCCATTTCTTGTTCACCTGCACTCTCTCCTTATCTACTCCCATGCAAATCGTGCCGTACTGAAGCTTCGTGATCAGAAGCAGCTTGACTTTGAGGAGTTGTCAGATTACCTATCAGGCGTTACCCTCGAGCGCGACCGTTTATCCGCTATCATATCAGGGCATGCGGGGAGCAGCGGTCTTGGACTTAGCGCGTATCTGAAAGACAAAGTTGATGCGATCAGAGGAGCAGACGATGACCGCAGCCGGGTAGAAAAGATGCGCAAGCTGGACATCAAGATCAAAGAAGTAAGGATGGCTCTCCGACTTGTGGGTTTCAATTTGACAATTTGCGCGTAGCTCCAAGATGCAGTCACCACGGCGCATGAGACGTCTGATGCTTTCAGCGATGAGACGTTGCGGGAACAGAGGATTTTCCAGAATACAAAAGAAGCTGAAATGAAGGAAATGCTCAGTAATCTTGCGGACGGAGAGATCGAGTTCTACCAATCGGTAAGTCATCAGCGACTTTGGACTCAACAAAACTAGATAACGTCGGCAGGCTATGGAGGAATGGGACCGAATCATACCCATCATTCAGCGTATACGGGTGGATATTTAGCCCCGACTGCGACTTGCTGGGCGCAAGTTTGTAGTACGGCAATCGTACAGGTCGTGTATTGCTAGGACTGTAAATTCCAGTTTCTGCGGGTAGCACATTCGCTCTCCACTAAGTTATCTCCTTTCCCTTTCCTTTTGGATCAGAGGACACAACTTTCTGAAATTTCTCCCCTGATTCTTGCACCGCCAAAGAAAGCTAGGTGGCCGTGAGAATGAGTGTTAAGTCAAGGTGAGTTGGCCTACACTGATAATTCCAGTATCGACTGCGCGCAACAGGTGGAGCTGGGAATCCTCTGATGCCCCTGATGTGGTGTGCTGCTGGTCCGCGAGAACCCAAGGCGGAGGATTCTGGATTCTGAGTTTGCGACTGGACCACAATACGATGGACGAGCAACAGACCTTGTCCCGACTCACAGATGGAACCTTCTCGTCGTTAAGTTCCATTACTATGGCAAACGAATAATCTTCTAAAAGTGCGAAGGCACATTAAAGACACCGTCGGGGTAGCAAACGGTAAAGGAAGAAGAATCTGACCATGGTGCTCGAGTAATCCCAGCTGGGATTCGATCATTGTTAGTTTGATGAGGAATGACCGGAAGTATTGGCTAAGCGTGGCAGGTGTCATTGCATCCTGGACGCTACAGGATTTCAGGAATCTGGCACCAATGGCGTAGACAGTGGAGCACCTTACCTGGTGTCTTTATCGTATGATTCAACTTGGATCATGTTCTTCACGGAGAAAATAAAGCGTTCTACAGCGACATGATCCCTGTCCTTCATAACGACCACGACTTTGTCCACGTTCCCCTAAAACATGGCAGGATCTGTTTCCACGGGAGTGGTGTGGGCATACCAGAACAAGCTCGTCTGCAACAGCTTTGACAGCGCCTGATATATACTCATTCAAGGCAGGGTGTCGGGACTGGTAAACGGGCGTGTCGTATTTTTTCCGTCTCACGAATAGGTCTGGGGGATATATCTGGCGAACATATAGGATGGTGTGTATAGCTACCTCGACTGAAGACAATTTCAGCAACAGGAAGACAGGGAGCTCCATGAACCACTCACTGAATTCTGCAATCGCCTTCAGAGTTTCTGCACCCTAGTCTCAATAGCTTGTTTACAGAACAAGATCGAATGATGCACGCACGATTGAAGGTCAAGGTGTCTGTCATGGTATGAGACCATTAAACCCCTGAACTCCGTTTCCTCCGCGATATGCCTGATCACGTGATAAAATCAGTTTCAACTCGAAGCCACCCGTGCAATGCTGATTTGGGGGCATGTTTGAGACGCGCAGTTTAACGTCGACGGGAGTCGACACGACGTCGATCAAACAAGCGGTCTGTTCCTTGGCAGAAGTGTTAGAAACGAGCTCTACGAGTTCGCCCGTAACCAGGAACCAAATATGGCCATGTCGGCTTTGCGCCCGTGGAGCAGCTCCTCTTCGTGACCAGCCGTTCTAATTTATTCATCTTGCTCTTCGTCAACAACCCTTCACGAATGTCTCCACAGTACGCTTTTGTGACCCTTCTCACCTCAGATTCATATCTGCCGGGTGCACTCACCCTCGCTTATGCTTTGAAGGACGCACACCGGAACCTCCCACCTGATCAACAGCTACAATACGACATCGTCTGTATCGTAACTCCGGAGACCGTCGATGTCAGCACACCCAAGCTCCTCAGAAAAGTTTTTGACGTGGTCATTGGCGTCGAAGTCCTTACCAACCCTGACGACCAAAAGCTTGATTTACTTGGTGAGTGCGTCCCTTCCATATCATATCCACGTGTTTATCTTTCGCCGCGGCCGTTGAATACATCTGTGACATTCGCCCGGGCCACGTCGCATCTTAACGCACCATTTCCTCCATCCTTTCCTGTTTCCTAGCTCGAGTGTTCTAGACTGACGTTTTCCTCTCACAGGTCGCCCTGATTTGGATACAGTTCTCACCAAGTTACACGTATTGCGCCTTACGCAGTACTCCAAAGTCACATTCCTCGACGCAGACGTTCTTCCGGTCCGCCCCTTGTCTCATCTCTTCAAAATAGAGCACGAGTTCGCCGCGGCCCCTGATGTTGGTTGGCCCGATATATTCAACTCCGGTGTAATGGTTCTTTCTCCTGGCGAGGACAAGTTCAACCAAGTCTACGATCTCCTTAATACTCGAGGTAGTTGGGACGGTGGTGATCAAGGCATCCTCAACGAATGGAGGGGTGATGACTGGCATAGACTCCGTTTTACGTACAATACGACTCCAACAGCTTCTTATACGTCAGTCACTTGCCTCGCTATTTTATGATATCCTGACACGGTCGCTCTAGCTACGCCCCCGCTTATGAACGGTTTGGTTCTCAGATATCAGCCATCCACTTCATCGGTCCAAACAAGCCCTGGCATGCTATTCCGTTTCGTGCTCCTGGCTCCTCTGCGCAAACATCCACCAACATGAAAGAACAGCAATCTTCGGCGTATCCACCGCCACGCGCATACGACTATGGCTCTCTTGTAGATCGCTGGTTTAACGTATACGACTCCCACTGTCGTTCGCGGTGTGAGCTGCCTAACCAGGCTTTAGATATACCTCGGTATACTTCTATATGGAATCAACAGAGCAATGAAAGTTCCCAGGTTGGAGAATCGACGGGGCTCATTCTTGGTCTCGAGGAGCTCCGCCGCGTGGCAGTCGGGGGCATGGGATCACTAAGCGCCTGTTCATACGGTCGAACCAACGACGAGGGAGAGTATAGGATTATGCCTCTTGAAGGGCGCTTTCATCTGATGCGCCCTCTGACGCGGGTTGAACATGAGCAACCGGTACAAACGTCACTCACAGTCTCTTCGTCTGACTCAGTCGGAACGGAAGCTCTCACTGGATTTTTCCCACCCGAGGATGAGCCAGCAACTCCTGCTCGTCAGGTTGCGTTACTCTCTGCCTTGTCTTCTGAAATGACGTGCTTACCTACACCTGGTCCAAACGAGCTCCCGGCCGCCCCTCATGTGCGACTATTGTCCCTTCCACCCACTCCCCTTCACTACGACCCTGCTTCTTCTCGCCAACCTTCCGTCATTGCTGCTGATTCGCCGCAACCACAGGTTGGAATGTTACCCACTCCTTTATCATCTCCCCCCTTGCAGTGGAATCCAGCTGTCCTATCTCCCAATAATCTGACTCCATCGGCTCCTCAAACGACCACCTACTTCTCTAATTTCTGGGGTCATTACCGTGCTGGTTCCGGCAGTCTGACCCCGCTACCAGTTATGTTTCCTGTTGCTGGTGACGCGTCAGCAAGCAATCTAGGCGTTGTGCAATCCAAAATTGCACCCAGTCGCACTGAACCACTAGAAGAACCCGCTGCAGCTGACAAACAACACCTCTTACTTCGTCAAGGCTCGTATTGCAATGACATAAGCGAAGAGAGATCACCAGCTCCTGATCCGACCAAGGTAAAGCGTGTCTTCGCGTGGGAGGAGCGAGAATTTGCTCCTAGACGGGTTTTCCCTGAAGACAAGGCCCCGCTCTCCAATACCCTTTCTCCCCTCCACCTTTCTGCCACCACTGCCACCCAATACACTCCGAACAGAGGAGTTATTCCTCAGTCTGCCAAACCGTCCCCTTTGGGGGATATCTTTTATAAAGAGAATGCATGGGACTATATGCCTCATAGTCGGAAATTTCCTCTTAAAGCTCGTCCTGGATCTAAATCCTCGGTTCCAACTTCAAGGTTGAAGTCCCACCAACTATTGGAAGCAGAGAGCCAAGATGGAGACGTTGAGGATGAATGTGATGCGGAGTCAGCAAATGAGGAGCAACTGCCGGGAGAGTGTATGGTAATGCATAATGTTGGAGGCGTGTGGTATCGATCTATCGGAGTGCAGACTTATCCTAGGGCGGGCGTACGAGTTGCAGTGGACCCCTTGAGGATGACGTCACGGTCTCGCGAGGTGAGCAATAGCTCCCAGCGACCTGGCTTCCTTGCTACTGGGTCTAATATGTTCTCCTCTCTCCTGGTGGAAGACGTTCCCGAACCTAACGTACACCGGCCCTTTGCATCGTCCCGGATCATGATATCGCAGGGCGTCTCTGCGACCCCAGGCGACGCTGGTCCAATCCCAAGTTCAACACCATTAGACACACCTACCCGCTTGCCCCCCATCAGCAAACACAGAACGGGTGGCCTCTCAGCTTCACCCAGATTGCACGTTAGCGATGTATTCACTTCTCCGTTGCCTCACAGAGCACGACCTGTTACCCCAACCCGAAAGGGGTCCCGCATTTGGGAATTTGCTCGTGATGTTGAAGCAGTCAAGCGGGCATCTGAAGCGGCCATATCCAGGCTTTCGGGTGTCCAACACGGCGAGTAGTGGGTGAATTCTCGATCTATGTGTAGATCCTACTACTTTTGGTAACGTTACCGCCCACACTTGCTTCGGCGGCAAGCATTTATCTTGTCTCTTCATGTTCTACTTGTACGCTCCTTCCACCAGTTATATATGAGGAAACCAGCAAATAGTAGTACTGTTTTCCCAAAAAAGCGATACATCCCAAACAACCATAAGCCCATGACGTCGACAGCCAAGGTGCGGAGCAAGGACAGATGACGTCGGTCCCCCCGGGTGCATACATATATAAACATGTACTGGGGGGAACGGAAACATAGAACGCTGAATTGTGATACACTTACAACCATGACTGATCGTACAAGAACTGAAGAACCTGTACATGGTGTCGAGGGAAGCGAGTGAGCTGACCCCACCAACACTTGCCTCATCCAATTGCTTACGATTGTTTTCTCTAGGTGCGCAGAGCGCGAGACCACCGCTGCAGGAGCCCAGGCAATGGCACCGAACCCTGCGGTCGCACATGAAGTAAGGGGGAACGTAATTCAGGCAAGGGAAGCTGCCGAAAAAGCTGCCCAAGCCGCACAGGTAAGTAATTGCATCACATTTGCCGAAATAGGGTATGGGTGAATTGTTGTTTGTCTATAGGGAATGGGCCCCGAGGTCACTGGCGACCCTGTTTCTGGTGTTGATGTCTTACAGCGCGAAGTCGAGCATAAGACGAATGCTGCTGTTGCACAAGGACAGCAGGATATCGGGACAGCCAAGAATGTTGGTAGCCAATATGCTGACCAGGCCAAGACCACGGCGAGCAACATCGTCGATTCTGCCAAGGTTAGTCCGCTCCCCCTGGCGTGCGATGCGGGTGGCAACTGAACACCTGCAGAATGCCCTACATGGAACTTCGGAAGAGAAGCCACGTTCAATGGGATCTTCGACGGGGATTTCTGCGCCAGGACCTACCTCTCCGAGCTGGGGGACCGGCGATGCTCTCACATCACTGCAAGAAAAGGCGTCTTCTGCAGTAGGGGCAAGCCAACAGTATCTAGCTAGCGCACAAGCAACGGTCCAGCCACACATCGACAGAGTGCGAGAGGTTGCACAAACGTATCTGGGCGTGGGCACAGAGTCGATTACATCGGGTGTGGCGGCTCCGCCCGTTGAGACGTCTGAGCGTCCAAGAACGAACCTACGTTCCGACACAGCACAGGGGGTACCTGGTGCATTCCCCGGCGATTCTGGACTACCAGTAACTACGACAAATGTGAATGAGTCAAAACCCTAGGGCTGAACGAGTTTAGGTATTGATAATTGAAGTATGTTGCTGGGATCTGAGTGCAAGATACCCCCGTAGCTATGTCCATACACAGGAAAGAGATAACTTACTATCGATGATCAACAACCCTATTTTGACCCCACTCGAGAGGTCTTCCGTCTGGTTTGGGTGATATGGAAAAGAAACGCCAAACACGTTCTAGGCAGGTGTGTCACAAGGAGTTCGCCAGAAGCCGTTAGCAGGTGTCTGACTCCGAATTGCAAGTCTGATGGAACTTCAGGATCAGCCGAGACGTCATGGCATGTGAAATGGAGTCCCTCTTTGTAGGGGAATATAACTGCCTTCGACATAATGCTGTGCGACTAGATAAGTATAATAACTGGGTAGATGTCACGAATCGAGGTTACCCCGTCCTCTGATACTACCATCGCCTTTCATCATGGTGAGCACTTACGGAATTCTAAATTCTTAAACGACTCATTGACGTTACCGATTCCAGGATACATTCATCAATCTCGCGAAGCAAGGTTACCAGACGTACTCGGAATCCCAATCTCAATCCCAATCCCAATCTAGGCCTCAGTGTTAGTGTTCTACACTGTCTTTACGAGATCGCGCAGATCGTGACAGAGACAATGATGTAGCCGACTTCCGTAGAACGGGCGGCGAGGAATACAACAGTCCTCACCACCGTAGAGCTGAGAGCGATAGACCCGAATGTAGGTTCCGCCCACTGTCCGCACATCACTTGATCGTCATAATCACCACATCAATTTCGATCTAGTCGACGACGACGAAGTCGTCCGGCATGCTAGTAGCCACAGTGGCTCTGACGACTCCGGCATGTTCTCATCTGCGTTGAACCATGTCAGGGGGCGCCGAGTATGTCGCCGAATTCTTCTTGTTAACCACTGTTTTCATCGTTGTACCCAGGACGAACACGAGGAGCCCGTAGACGAGGAGAGGGTTCAGGAAGCCCACGATAGGGCCTACAATCAAGGGTCCGCTAGCAATATGAGTGCTAGCTCGATGGGCAGCGCGGCTGCTTTGCAGGTAGGATAAGTCCACCGCCACTTGTCGGGGCCTTGAAAGACGCTCGTACTGACGTGATGATAGGCACTTAAATCATTCACTTCCGGCGGAGGGAGTGGTGGAGGCAGCCAGAGCCAGTTGATCAGCTTAGCGATGGGTGAAGCAAGCAAGCTTTTTGATAGTAGTGGGGGTGCGAGCTCTGGTAGCAAGCAAGACGCGGTCAACGGCGCAGCAATGACTGTCATGAAGCTCCTTGTTCAATCCAAATTCAGCGGTGGTACTGTTGGCGGTGGAAACAGCGGTGGACTAGGAAGCTTAATGGGTGTTGTAAGTCGTTTGAGTGTTGTACTCTGCAGGTCACTGACGGCTAGCAGGCAAGCAAATTTATGTGAAAACAGCGCTGCGCCTCGTTGATATAATCATACGTATATGTTCGCCATCAAGTTCGAAATTACCTTGTGATATTAGAAATGTATGCAACTGGTGATAAGGAATCAGGACGAAATTCTGCGAACAGAATCATTAAAATTATCCAGGCCAATTGAAAGAAGAGATACTCGAAAGGTGGACAGCTTCACTGTGTGAGAGAACAAGCACACAACAGTATTTCTAGTGTGTGATCCCGAGGATATTCGCTGACAATAAGATATTTAGCGTCGCATTGTTTCGGATTACAAGCATTCGGTTCAGGGGTATTATTATACAATGTAGCAATGTAAAAACACTTGACACTAGGAGTAAGAGCCGCGCAAATAATACATAGCAATAATGATATCGAACGAGTAAACCGGCGCCAGCCTAGAGGAGAGGGTTAAAATACCTTCCAGAACGCTCCGGATTTCACTTACAAACACTTCCACTTATATGAAAACGTGTCATGCCGTTGCCCCAACTTTGCTGGTTCGAGGGAGGTAAGTGCTCCTTTCGAATAGGAATTGTTCGTTGGCCAACAACATCGAAGTCGAACCAAAAATATCGTCATCCGGGAAGGGAGTGTTAGACACAAGGTGAGCTATCGCAGAGTCGCCTAGCTGAGGGTCGGGTAGGGTGGTATCAACGTTCGAACTGAACAGGTGGGCCCAGTCAATGACAGGTGACAAGGTTGGGATCGACGAGTCTGGGGAACAGGAAATGCTCGGAGAATTGGAAGGTAGAGGCATGTCCTCATGGTTGGACAGGTCCAACAGATGGCTGTCGACCAGTGACGGTAGATCACTTTCATGTGTGACACCACCAACCTGAAAGTCGGATAACGTATCAGACATCCCTATAGCCGATGACGACGAGTCTAGGTCGCGGTCATAAGATGACTTCAATTATCAGCTAAGATAAAAGAAAACTTACTATCAGGTATTTGCAGGCTATTGTCGCCTTGCGTAGGAATGTAATAATTTTGGTACAGTTCCACTTCCCAAGGAAGGGACCGGTCTAGTTCAGTAGAGACGGGAGGAGGGAATTCAAACAGGTTCGTAAAGTGGGCGTTAAACCATTCATCGATATCGGACGTCTCCGACGTTGCCCTTGGTAATGGGTCGGAAACAGCGTGGATTCGGGGTCCAGTGCTCGGCCCAAGGAAGTCCTTAGGAAGACCCTGAACATCAACTTCAGATAGCCATCGCTTGCGAGTGGTATCCGCGCAGTAGTTCATATCCTGTCGTTTCGGCGCTTTCACATCACGCAACGAGTAAGAAGCGTCATTGGGGTCCTTAGAAGTAACATGAAGAGGCATTGGCGGTGAAATGACGGGGTGTTCCCTGGAACTAAACGAACTGGTCATCAGCACTACATATGATGAACCAAATGCAGGAAGATACCGTAAACGTTTCCTAGGTCTATCGCCTCGTAAGGACATGTCCATTTGGTTTTCACACATCACACGTCGCTTCTTGCCAGCCACGGGAGGTGGTCCTACTTCTTCTTCATCCTCGCTGCTATCGCCCTCAGTTAAGGATGGCATTGGAGACGATGTCAGTGAGCGAACGTCAACGTATAAGCCGCCTTCGTTTACACTCTCAGCGCTACTATGCATGTGCCTGTTCATTCGGGATCCTTCGTACGTCTTGTCAGAGGGCGATTCGCGAACGATTCCAAAGTCTTCGTGTTTACTCTTGGTGAGCGTAGAGGGATAGAGTTCCTCTGCTGCGACCTTCATTTCCATGAAAGCTCTGGTGAGCTCGTCTCCAACTGGACGGTCAGGGTCATCTTGGACCATAACCCGGAATGCTGCGTCAACCGCATCCGCGCGACAACCGTGAAAACGTTCTCGACAAATTGATGTCCACCCCATCCGTTTCCTAGCGTTGGTGAACCAAGAGTTAACCGAATTCAGGGAACAGCCGGAAGCCAGAGCGAGGGATTGTTTTACATCGTGAGGTGGGTAGGGATTATGGATATGCTGAAGTAGCCAGCGGTACGCAGGACCAATAAATGCAGGGGATGCAGTGTTCGTGTCGACATAGGAATTTTTCGGTAGTGCGGAATCCGCTTTGCTGGTGGACGTGGCGAGGGTGAGAGTGGAAGATGACAAGTGAAGACATTGCGTAGAGGATAATATCTCGTCGATATCGGCCTGCAACTTCGACGAAAGGACCTCATCTTTACGCTCAACATCCAAGAAACACCTTGCGATGGTAGCGACCTTAGAAACAACAGCATCACCGATGGCTACAGTGACCGTACTAGCTCCTGAACTCGAGGCTTCAGTCAAATCTGCCACTAAGGCCGACCATTGCGCCTCCCACGAAGCTAAAGAGCATTCTCCTGCAAGAACCGACGACAGCAGACCGCCCTCAGCGTGGTCGAGTCGCGAAAGTAGATCGCTGTCCATGGTAGATGTTAGTGTGAAACGGGACTTGAGTGAATGGTGTGGCGATATGAGCTTGCGAAAGGACAATGCGGACCTTGAAAATCGGAACCAAAGATGTCAAAATGTCACCACACACCGGATTTGTAACTTTGTTATAAACCATACTTAAACCTGCGGTATGCCTTTGTCAAGCTACCAGACGAGTACTGTGAGCTCGGGTGAAACCACCATGTCTACGCCTCAAAGTCCCGAGGAACTTCTTGCCTCTCTCGGCTCCATGTCGAAGCGAATACTAGTCTGCACGAAAAGCAGTCTTGATACATTACCTGTCACAGCCAATCGCAACCCGAATGTGCTGCTAGAACCTATACGCGTTGCAAAGCCTCCTCCAATTTTCGCGCGTCTATTGGAGGCTGGTGCTCCTCAACATCTTGCCCAAGAAATGCACACGATCTATCTCGACCGCGCGAAAAAGTTCAGGACGCGTTTCACAGCTTTGATCTCCCGTCTCCGACAAGATCTTTCTCGGCTACCCACTGATGACATCGACACATTTGACGACCAACTCACTCCTCTGTTTCTCGGAATGTACACAAAAGCCCTGCAGGACTGGGCGCGCGAAGGTGTTGATATGTTTCGCAGGCGGCGACTTCCTGACCACAAGAGACCGTTCAATCGAATATTTAACCATGTGAGTGTCACAATTTGTACCATGAGCTCGGTCTGAACCCATCTCAGGATTATGTGCCCCTTCTGGAGCACTTTTTCGACGAGAATCCCTTCCCGACTCATGCAGATAAGGCTTTCTTAGCCAGGAAGTCTGGTATGAGCTATCAGCAAATTCATGTGTGGGTAAGCGTCGTTCTGGCAGGCGTGCGTAGGGAACGTGTCTGATTATCCTTCAGTTTCAAAATCGAAGAAGCCGATATCGGAAAGTGGGCAAGGTTCTCCGCAAAAGAACAATGTCCGAAGGCACCGCCCTATCTCCCAACAGCCCTGCAGTCCGTATGGATAATTGGGTAACCAAACCTGGCGAGGCGACCGTCGACGAAAATTGCAGTGACAAGGTACGTGTGGTCTTCTACGATTATCTTCATTTTGAACTGATTGTTGTAAGGAGGCGAAGCAGTCCGATCCACTTGATCAACCGCGCGACCAATGTCCTGTGATTAGCTGTTCGACACAGGCTGAAATCGAATTTAACCCGAGTTGGTGGCCTCGTCGCCCTTCTTTGGTGAACCCCAGGCAATCTTTCATTGATATGGAAGGTCTGGTGGAAAAGTTTTCTCAGTTGTCAGTCCGGGACCGCACAGGTGGGCGGGGTAAAAAGCACCAGGCTGGCTTGTGTTATTCACCTGCTGCTACTTCATCCGTTACTGTTGTGCCAACACCTGCGCCGCTTCCTGCTCTTATTCGAAGAGGGGATGTATCGTTACCACCCTTACCTCCACTTATCGTCCCACGTACCAGCGCTTCTCGGTCTACTCGTCTGCGAGCCTTCAATTCCCATCAATTACCTAATCTATTGGCTCCCTCGGTTGTCTCTGACTTTCCCGAGTCGCCGCACAAAAAACGGAAAGTTATCTCAGAAGATTCATTCCTTGGCGCAACTTCATTCGTATGTGAACGGCTGTCCATGGCCGAATGTGACGTCGCTTCTTCAAGAGTGCCTCAGGTCACCCCACACTCAATTCCGACCTTGTCCACAAATACTACTCCGAGACACGTACTCCAAACGAATGGTAGTCTTCCTTGGGTATTTCCAATCGGGCGGCGAGGTCTTTCGAAATACGCTACACCACCTTGGGGCTTTCTGCCTGCGTTAACTGTTTGAACATCACTATTTTCTACTCTTTCACACCAGGTGAAAAAGTTTTCACCCAGGCAGCGTTTCTTGCCCTACTAAACCCTCGTGGACTCCATTTGTATTGCATGCATAGTTATCGTTATTGTTATATCTACGTGGTTTGTGGGCTATATTATGTCATACCTAGGGACTTACCTTCTGCAGCAATTTCACGTCATTACAACAATCATTCCAGTCTTCCTAGGAAGTGTCTTCTCAGTACTGTAATATATAATTAACTTGCAATGTTTGCTCTGTAAAGGTTAAAGGTCGTTCGGCATAGAACTGGTGTGAATATCTGTATTTTATAGTAGGTTTGCTTTTGATATGTTATTGTTGGCTGCTGGATTGTGTTTGAGTTTTCGTTGAACCGAGACGTGACATGGAGGGTAGGCCAGGAAGGTGGAAACAGGAGAGTGAGGGCAAGTGGGATGGGGAGCAGGTGATGTGGATCCTGAAGGGACATGTAGTGGGCAGTTGAAGTACTCCAAATGCTGTGCTAGATCCTGGTTGGTGGAAGATCACAGTTCTTCTGTCAAGAGCTGCTGTTGTGGGACAGGGTGGTGCAGCAAGAGACATGGGTGACTGGCAGGGCCACAACCAACACTATCCTGGGAAGGGCCAGAGAAGTCACAGTGATGGGGGCAAGTGGGGTGTGAGAGGTGGGATGCTGTGATTCATTGATGGAAACAGGAGGGGGAGGACCCCTGAATGGAGGAAAGGCATGGCTAACAGGCACAGGAGGCAGGGGCAAATGAAGGCTATCATTATTTCCTGGACCTCTAGAGTCAGACCTAAGTAAGGGGCAGGTGGAAGTTGACTGAGGGAGGAGTGGAGGGCCACTCAAGCTGGGTGGAAGTGTAGATGGGTTAGCATAGGCATTCAGGTGAATGTCTTGCAGACCAGGGGCAGCAGGAAGCTGACCACCAGTTGCTTGGGCATTCTTTAGCAACTGTAGTCACTATGAAATGACATGACACACCTCAGAGATGTACAGGTTGATTCAGATGGCATGTGAGTATGTGTCCAGTGCAGAGTCTGGGATACTAATTAGTAGAGGCCACCACCAGTCAACTTGATAGATGATCCTGCTTCAACTCATGGTCAGGAATTGGATAGCAAATGTTACATGGTAAATATGGCCAATTGATTTGGGTGGTTCTTGAGTATGCATCGAGCATACCATGGCAAGCTAGAATGCAATTTCAAATGCATGATGGTCAGTGAATTTGTTCACATAGAAGGAATTGAATGTATTGTAGGAGTCATGAGGCTTGATGTCTCTGGTGTTGATGTTGTAGGCAGCATAAATGGGGATGAGATGGGTCACATGATATATTGCATTGATGTGAATGATGGTGATGTGTGGGACATTGCATGCATTGTAACTTGGGCAGATGATCCACATCCCTGTAGCTACATCTGGGCCATCTCCCATGCAGTTGAACCAATGTATGACAGCACATGGATACAAAGTGCCTTGATACTTGAACAAAAAAAAGCACAGAACACAGGCAATGTCCAGTCCACACATACCCTCTGCCTCTGGATCAGTTACAACAAAGACACAGTCAAAGCAGGGTCCTTTGTTCCTCCACATGGGGCAGGAATGAATGTACTCATGGTGCTGTGAGTCAAAGTGTGGTTCAGTGGTGAAAACCAACCAAAACCAACACAAAAGACAAAAAGAGTGAGTGGTGGTGTGCCTATGCAGTACCTAGATGGTAGAACCTGTTCTTTGGGAGGGTTTTTGTGAGCTACAACACTCAAAGACAAGTGCTGAGGGATGGGGGTGCTCCTGACAAAGAGGGAGCAAGAATGCAATAGAAAGTGATAGGGTAGACTGCTGTCAGCCTACAGAAGGATGGATGATGACTTAATTTGATGCTCTGAGCTGCACTGAGCTCAGGGAGGACTTGGAGCAAGGTATATTGATGATAGACAAGGATAAGTGAAGTAGATGATAGTTAGACCCTTAATAAAGTCTCAACTATTGAAGCTGCTGAATGAATTACTGAGTGATGATAAAATGCAAGCAAGAGGGGCTCTCTGATGTCTTCTTCTTTTTTTGCTATCTAAGTACAGTGATTTATATACAGTACAGGGGTGTTGCCCATGGAAAACAAGGTGCAAACACTTGGTAAGTGATTGGTAACTGATGAATGTAAGTGATGGGTAATCATCTTGGAAAGCATTGGTAAGCATTGGTAAGGATTAGCAAGCCAAAAGGTGAAGGATCAGTAAGCAAGGTCAAAAGATTGGTAAGTATTGGCAATAGGTGAGTCAAAGACAGTCAAAACATCAAAGTATGAGTCAAGTAATGTCAGGAACTGGGAAGGTGCACTGGAATTGCATTAGGGGGAGGCTGTGCATGTCACATCTCAAAGAGATCACTTCTAGGCCAAGGTGGGGTGACAGAGAGGCAGCACTGATCTGATGCTGATATAGTACATCCAAAAGTGGACAGGGTGAGTCAGATGTCAACAGGGGTCAAGCTTTGGGGGTCTGTGGGGTGACAGGAGCATAGGGGATTGCAACTTTCCCCCCCAAACCATCCTCTCAGTGAAGCAAATAAAAACTTCATGAATGAGGCTCTGTTGGAAGAGAGGATGAAGGGGGAGTCTCTTCTGCTGTATCTTGCAACAAGGAGGCAAGATGTGCATCATACTCATCATGGATGCAATCAGGGAGAGTGGAGAACAGTAGATTATATTGCAGCTGTTGCAATCTTGGAAGAATGACAGACAAGACTGGTATGAAGACACTGCAGGGAGCAGGGAGGAAGGATCCATATGCTTCTTGGACTGGAGAGACTGAAATGACCACATAAGACCTTTCCAAGTGAATGACAGACCTGAGGTGACCAAAGAATGTCCTCCTAGAGGTCATACTGACAAAAAGAACATGCTGTCCAAGCTGGATGGGCTGAGAGGGTGCAGACAAGGGTGGGATGTACCAGGATGCTTCAGGATGGAAGCTGGTAGGAACTCCTGGTAGATATATGTAGCCATGGTCCCTAGCAAAGGGGACAAGTGAAATGATTGACATGGAGGTGGCCATATCAGAAGAATTAGCAAAATGAGCATCTTTTGGAGGGAGTGCTGTAGAAATGTGTGGAGTGCACAAATCCTTTCCAATTTTGGAAGGTAGGATTGCATGGCTGAGCACTACAAGCGAGTGTGGGAATGGTCTTGGTATCTGCAGAGACAGCAGAGATATGTCAAAAACTGGAATGCCATACACAGGTGCTTAAGAATTTTAACCAGTGCTTAACTTGCTCCATTTCTTTTTCTTTGGCACTGATGACTTGTTCTTGTGCAAGGGATGACTGCTGACATTTCTGGCTGTCCTTCTTCACATGAGGGCTATGGTCTTCATCTCCATTCATCAGCTGTATCCATGTCCACCTCACCAAACACCTTTGGTGTGTGACAGCACATGCCATAGAGGCCACATAGATCACTTGGTACAAAAAAGTGGAACATGCAGAGTTGTAGACACACATGCTACCATCATAGGGTGGGCACTTGTTGAGGGGGATGTCATCCAGATCATCAGTGGGAAAGAGTTGCAAGTAGAGGAAGTGGCACAGAATGTTGGGAAGCTGTGGCAGGCAGAGCTCAGCTGCTAGGGTGCCTATGGTCCTTGTGCACTTATGTTCTAAGATATTTAAACTAGTTAGCATCCAAGTATGTACAGAGTGGAAGGTTGAGACATATGATGAGTATGAGCCAATGATACATGGGCCTTGACCAACCTGGGAGCATCAATGGCATTGCCCAGTTCCTCCTCATAACTCCCTGCTTGTTCTTCAATTTTGTCAGCCATGTCATGGCTTTCCCCAACTTGGTTGCATGGATCATCAGCATTGTTGGAACATTGACCTGAACACCTGTCAGAAAGGGGTGAATCATAGGATTAATACTCATACCTAGAGCCCTGAGTGCATGTGATAGCAATGGTTCATTTAACATACCATGTTCTTTAAAGTCAGTGTGTGCAGTGATGAGCTTGTTGAGCCTCTGGTTGATCAAAAGCATCCATCTGAGAGCTTGAAAGCAGTTAGTGTGCCAATAAGGCCATTTGATGGCTTTAATATGTTTGGACTCTGTAATTGAAGAGCAGAGGCCATTAGGTGCACCAAACTGACAGATAAGGTGGTAGTAATGCTTCATAGCATGTTGCCAGCACAGTGAGAAGGTATCAACTACCCCAGCATTCCAGAAGACTTCACAATAAAGGTGGAAGCACCTGAGTGCATTGTCAATTTCAACAAATGTCTATTGAGTGATAATGTTCTGACAAATGAGGTAACAAAATTCCAGAAAGGCTTGAAAAGTGAAGATGACATATTGTGGAACATAACCTTCAATTGCTGCAATGTAAACCTGTGAAGGACTGGTCAATAATCACACAAAGGAAATATGGATGAGTGCACCTTCATAAGGCCCTTGGAATTGTCACTGGTCCACTGTTTGAAGTGTTGACCTTGAGGGAAATGCCACAGCCCAGTATATGGGGCAACAGCTGCGATCCTGAAAGACCATGAAGTAGATATGAATATTAGTTGAAGTCATGTACTGCTGGTCAATCTCATCCAAGACTTTTTCTGCCTGTGTCTTTCCATGAATGTGGATCAGGTAGTGCTTGACCCAATCCACCAGGTGGTCCTTGAACCCACCTTTGATAAGCTGGTGGAGGATATCTGGTGAAAGCATGCCATAGATGTCTGCACATGGAAAATTGTTTGTAAACAGCTGTCTTTGATTAGAAAATGAAAGAAAACATGGGGTTACACTTACCACTATGTCACCAACAATCCCATATGTGTCCCACAGTTTATGAAAGTCAAATTCTTCAATCACAGTGTCAGCATGCTCACGATGATGACAGAGCACATCATCATCCAGACTCTCCCAGTGTGCAAGGCACTTCAGGCACCAATTCTGTATGATACAAGACAACAGAACTTGTTCCTTGTAGTCAGCTATATAAGCCACTAGTGCATATATGATGCACTGATAGTATTTGTTTCCACATAATATTATTTCTGGGACACTCATGGTGGGTCAAAGCAAACAAAGAATGTGTGTTATCAAGGAGTGGAAAAGCTGCCTTTTGAAATTTTGGAAAGCAGAGGATCTGGCATGTTCTCTAGTGGCTAAATGGTATGTTAGCAGTGATACAAACTCATAGAACATGGGATCTTACTCTTTGGCATTGCCAGGAACCCAATGAGGACTACCACACTACAGTGAGCATGATGAACAGTGTTGCAAACATTTCTGATGGAGAGATACAAGGGGTAATAGTTGGTCTGGCCAGTTGCTACTGATACCGTTGTGTTGTCATTACTGAGAATGATGGGAATTAGTGTCACCCCAGCTGTTGTTGGATCCTCACTAATGATTCTGTCCTAGGAGTGTGAAGTTAGCATCAATTTCAAGCTGCAGTGGGCATGACTTACTGCCTTGTTCCACTCCCAGGCTCCTGACATGAAATCCTCCCAGTGCCTTTGATTGTTTGTAGAATTATACTCCCAGTATGGTATGTAGTTGATTTGACCTATTAAGTCAGCATGAGCAAGGACATTGTGGATGACTTTATGTGGATCTTGATACCATACATCATAACTGTTGAGCATCCAAGGAGCTGTATTGCTGTCTTGTCCATCTTGTCCATTGTTGGTGTACTGCACCACAAAACTCTCCCACTTGACCTTGCTGACAGATGTGCTGTTGATGATGTGATAAAGGTCATTCTGGTTAGCAAATAGCAGTTCCCCATGTAAGGCAAGTAATGATGTGGCCCAGATTTCAAGCAGCATGTTGATTTTTTTGGCAGGCATTTCAGCCTGCCTAAAGAGAAAATCCACAAGCTTAAATTCCAGCCAGTTTCAGAAAGGGGACCAGTCATCAGAAGACCTCTCTGCAGACAGTGGTGGTGGTGCATCATCCAATGGATATTGACTGCTGGCATCGCATTTTCATGCTATGGATGAGGTATTAGTTGAAGTAGTTATTGTAGTGTATACACAAATTACTGTTTAGACCTGGATGAAAATGGTGATAAGTCCTACCCACAGGACCAATGAACTCCAACCCTAGACTCTCACATTCCTGGCCTGATGAGTCAGAGTCATCACCATTGCCATCGACATCACTGAGTTCTTGATGGCTGGGAGTTGGAATGTCATACTCAGTTGCTGGAGGGAACATGTCTGTGTCATGGTCTGTTCCATTGTAGTCTTGTCCCAAATGGTCAGGTGACCCTGTGCTGATGGTGAAACTTGGGGGAATGCAGCCTAAACTAGGATGATGCATGCACATGTGTTGAGTAAGACCTGAGAGATTTCTAAACCAATGGTTGCACCCCAGTTTGGCACAAGGGTGTCCTAGCACATTAAATGTCAGTCATGCAGGCATTTTCAATGTAAGGAAACACATTAGGACAGTGTGGGTGAATTAGCTTGAGGTAAGCGGGACTTTGTACAGAAAACTAGGTACATTGTTTGTGAGATCTTTTTTGCATAAAGAAGCGAAGTTTAAACTCACCTTGCTCTGTCTCCATCTCTCTCCTTGCATCACAGGTACTATGTTGGCTGATGATTCTTCTAGAAGTCATTGTCTGTGAAGAGAAAAGGCTAATCTACACCCAGGACAAATAGTTCTTGACATGCAGGTTAAATGATGTACTTCAAGCCAGAAGAAAGCTGATGACTTGTGTGCAAAGGACTTGAGTAATGCCTGCACCACTGCAGTTCAACAGGGCTGCACCCAGATCTCAGAGATGGAGGTGACCATGGAGGTAGAGCAGGCAATGCAAGATGCTGTCAAAGCAAGGCCTGTGAAGCTGAAACCAAAACCAAAGGGCAGGAATGATTTGGAGACCAGGTGGAAGAGTAAGAGAGCAGCTGGACTTTACCCGACTCTGGAAGTTGATACTCCATTGGCACCCTACATCATAAATGACAAGGGCCTTTTGGATGCTTTGGGAATGGTAATCAAGAGCATTGCAGATGGAGTAGTCAGTGTTCATATACCTGGCCCAAAGTGAGCTCCAATGCATCCATTCTGCCTGACAAGCCAACTCACCTTTCCCCTTTTTGAAAATCCACCACAGAATGGGGAACAAAGCAACCATGTCTTGCACAGGCTGTTGCACCAATGCCAGTGGACTGGAGATTGGACTTGTTGATATTGGCAGCATTGATTGCCCTGTGATTGCTGCAGGTGGATCTCTAACAGTATGGCAGGTCTTTTATATTCCTGGGCCTTCAAGCCTCCAATTACTTACCTCCTTGTTATCCAAAGACTGCTGGAGATGAGTCTGATAGGGTGCCTCAGAAACCATGTAGCCTTTTCCATCTGATAATGACACATCCAGCTCTGGCTTGTTCATTTTCATATGCTGTGCAGTGAAGTTGCCATCCATCACATATTGCCTCATCACAGTGTCACTGAAGGGGGTTAGAAATGGAATGCCTATGGATTAAAGCCCCTTACCTGCTGCAGCAAGTTCTCCAATCTGGAGGTAAATTAATACCTGGTTGTGGGCAAGCAGGGCAAAAGAGTGCAAGTCCTCCCTGCCCAGGATCTTGCTCAGAATCATGACCAAACCCAAACCATTTCCTATGTTTCAAATCCCTCCACAGTCAGGACACCCACATCAGCTCTCGGTACTGGTCCTGAATGGAGAGGAAAGTATTAATGCAAGCCACTCAATGGGGAATAGCACTCAACTGGTACCCTGTCAGGAAAAGCATTATTGGTGAACCTCTTCAGCTTCTGATAGAAACTCATAGCCAAGGTCTTGCACTCCAAAGCATCAATAAGAAAGTGATTGAGGACATCAAAGGTGAAAGCAGTTCTGGGCTTTGTTATGCTGGCTGGAAAGAGTCTTTCCCTGAGTAAATGAAGGTGCCAGTCTGTGGAATCAGATCCTGTTATGCTTCCAGCAGGGGTCCTTCTTTTTTTGGCTTCTCTCGGTCACGTGCATCACATGCCTCATCGCATCCCTAATAACCATTGCCATCCTAGGGGCTTGAATGCTCCAGGGAACGTTCGGATCTCCAGCTGTCAAGGTATTTCCAATACCTGTCGAGACTGCATTGCCATTGTGATCCAGTATTCCACTGCCCCCTCTGATGGACGACTTGTTAATTTCCCTTCTTTTGGTTCTTCTCTGACTTGTTTATGTTGCTCATATGTTGTACTATAGTTCCAGTGTCAGGCTCCTCGCTGCACACTGATTGCGCCAGCCAGTATAGCCTTCGTTGCTTCCCTACCCCAATCTTTGACACTGTATGACTCCTATTTATTTGACTGATTGTCTTGTTGACTGCTGTGGATACGCATTGCAATGTGTCGGTCATGACTGGTACGGTACTTGTACTTAGGAGTATATAATCCTATGTACTTCATCCTGTATCTGCAGTTTTTCAATAGCTTGCAACTGAGCTTCATCCCTTTACTCTGATCTCTGATCTCTCTCTCTGTGCAAACAACCTTAGGGACTCACCAGCAGACAGAACCTCTGTTGGATCACTGTAATAACTCAGCCATAGGGGTTACGACAAGTTCAGCCTGTAGACTCCCACCTCGCATGCTTCGTGCCTATTCCATTTGAAGAAGTCACCGTGCTCGGGCATAACAAAATTGAAAAACTCTACACAGCTTTCGGGACTCATCGACCTCTTTGTGAAAGTCTACTCATCCCTGGTTTCTGAACTTCAACAAACCAACTTTCTGCTCTCTGAAGGCTTGTTGGTCTCCCTCAGTGTAAAGACTAACCTGCCTTTCCTGCTCCTCAACCCGTTAAACAAAATGGTAACAAAAATTGAGAAGCACCCCACAACCCTTAATCAAATCCACCACTCTACAGGCAGCCACTAGGCTTTAATAGATCGCCTCCCTAGAGCCTGTGCTCATGTCTCCCTACGTGTAAAGTCACTCACACAATGTCACAAATAAATACTATGCTGACAGGTTTCTTTTGAGAAATAAATCCTCCCTCAGCCTTCGTTGTCACTATTCGTTAAAGTGTCTAACCCACAGAGATCGAGACTGCCAGTTCCTCCTTGCAATAAACCTCTTGGGTTTGGAAGGAATCCTCCTCTACCACCCATTCCTTTAGGAAGACTAGGCCCCTCAGTTACCGCTACAAACCCCTGCTTATCTTATCTATCTCGGTTTAGGGATTCAGAAGTCGTGCTTAGTTCAGAAGAAGAAGACGATCAGAAGTCCGATACTTCTCTTGGATCAGTCCTCAAAGAAGAACAAGAAGCATGCAAGTCACCCAATATGTCCATGACACTCGGTCATGGAGAATCAGCTCCTGAAATGCCTACAAGGACCATTTCTGAAGAGGAGCTGAGACAGAGGTTGGAAGATCAAAGACTCGCTATGGCAGAAGAAATTTGCAAGGCAATGCTTGCTGGTAATAGTGACCCATTTCCAACAGGAATGCCTATGGACTTGGCACTACGTGAATGGTATGCCAGGAACTTCGGAAAGGTAATTCCCCCAGAGGTCCCCTTGGCAAGGACCAGTAAGGGTAAGGCCCCAGCCAATCCTGACGATGCATATGATTGCTGCCTACCCAATGGAGGAAGGGAGTTCAATGTCGGGCATCCTGGAGAATACGATGGAAGCCACAATGGGCTTCAGACCTGGATCATGCAGGTCGAAGGATACTTGAACCTGAACAAGCATGTGTACAACATGGAATTGCTCAAGATTTCGTTTGCCCTCACATACATGATGAAAGGCACTGCTGTTTCATTCACTGAAAACTATCAAAATGAAAACAAGCTTCTTGACAGAACCATCTACTACACTGACTCATTCCAATGATTTGTTGAATGTCTTAAAGCTACTTTTGAATCTGGTGATCAAACTGCATTGGCAATACTCCACCTTTCTGACATCTCACAAGGCAAATGAGAACTTGAAGCATATATTGCTGAGTTTACAGGGCTTGTTAACAAGGCTCAACTTAAAGAAGAGTCGCATGAAGCAGGGATCTTCTTCAGAAAAGGATTAAACAAAGAATACTGTGATTGGGTTCTCAATTCCAGATGCACCCCTACCATGGTCATTGAGTGGATACAATGCATGGGAGAAGCTTGAACCGCAATCGCAACGAAGCATATCCTAGAAGGGAAGGAATCTTGGTATGAAAGAAAGTTCATTCATTACTGCGGAGGTTCCTGAGATCCTGATGCGATGGATGTTGACAAACGCAAGCAGAATGTAAGATGTTCTGGTTCAGAAATTAAGTGCTTCAATTGTGGAGCTGAAGGTCACTACAAGCATGACTGCAAATCCAAGAGCAAACCACTACTGCAAATCTGCGTGGTCCTTAAGGACAATGGGAGTAGGATCGCCTATATTGGTGATCACAAAGCAACCATGGAGGAGCGAAAGCAGTTTGGGTTAAAGGATTTTTAGAAAGGACTGACAAATTTCCTGCCTCAGTCAGTCCTGCAGCTGTGTTGTCTGCTAAATGTACTTCTATAGATGATGAATCTGCCATGCGATCCTGTTTGCTGATTGGAAGAGTATATTTGCTGGACTACAGTGCAGGAGTAATCGCCTGTATCGACTCAGGAGCTGAAGTCTCCTTGATATTGGAACAAATTGTCCAGAAGCTTGGAATTACGACCTACCATGTCAAAAGCAAGTTCAAGACAACCTCATTCACCGGAAAAGATGTGGAGTGGGTCACCCGAAAGGTAACCCTGAAGATGATCATCAAAAACCGAGTGATACGAGTTAAATGTTACACATTGGACCTCTGGTTGGAAAGGAGCACATCCTGCTTGGGATGCCTTTCTTAAAAGAGTTTAAACCACATATGAACTTGGAAACCGGTTGGATCTCTTGCTGGGATGATGGGTATGTTCCAACTTCTGAATCTGAAGCTTACATAAAACAGGTAGTCCCTTGGTACGAGGGACAGGTGACTGAACCTCCAAAAGGAGGTTTGGGAAAGGAAGAAACAGGTCAAGTACCTGTTGCTGTTGTTATGCCCGGGCGCGGTGACTTCTTCAAATGGAATAGGCACGAAGCGTGCGAGGTGGGAGTCTATGGGCTGAACTTGTCATAACCCCTATGGCTGAGTTATCATGATGGTCCGACAGAGGTTCTGTCTGCTGGTGAGTCCCTAAGGTTGTTCGCATGGAGAAAGAGCAAGGACAAAGCGAAGGGATGAAGCTCAGTTGCAAGCTATTGAAAAACTGCAGATACAGGACGAAGTACGTAGGATTATATACCCCTAAGTACGAGCACCATACCAGTCACGACAGATGTGTATCCGCAGTAATCAACAAGTTCATCAATGAAATATAAAAGAGTCATACAGTGTCAATGATGGGGATAGACAAGGAAACAAAGGCTATACCAGCTGTGCGATCAACACACAGTGAACAGCCAGACACTGGAGCTATAGTACAACAAGTAAGCAATATGAACGAGTCAGAGACGAACCATCGGAACAAGAAGTGAACAAGTCATCCATCAGAGAGGGCAGTGGAATACCGGATCACAGTAGCAACATGGTCTCGACAGGTATTGGAAATACCTTGACAGCTGGAGACCCAAGCGTTCCCCAGAGCATTCGAGCCCCTAGGATGGCGATGGTTATTAGAGATGTGACGAGGCATGTGACACACATGACCACCAGAAGCTGAAAAAGGAAGGACCCCTGACAGGAATGCAACATCACCCCCCCTCTAAGGTCCTCAGACCCTTGAGGATGGGCCAGAAATTGCATTGGGCGGGCGAGTGGATAGGGGTCAGCAAGTAGTATAGACATGGGAACACGTCCAAGCGGCGATGGAGTTGGTGGTTCTTCGAGGGCCAGAGTATAGCGGGATCCATGTCCATTACGGCACGACCAATGTCCCAAGTAATGACACTGGTAGCAGGCATGTTGATAGAGGACATGGTCGGGTGGAACAGGGGACTGTCCTCTGAGGTAAAACTGAAGTTGATCAGAAGGGACAGGGATGAAGGGAGCTGGAGGGATAGGGTCAGCAGAGTGGACCGTGTTATGGTAGTTTTTGTGCATTCCGGCCCACGACACATCCTGCAACAACACCTCCCAAGAGGAGTTATGAGTTCCAGTTCCCAACCAAGCACCAACCTCTTTAAAAAGCTCTCTGGAGTCAATGAACCCTAACTCCACTGCATGCCAATGCTTCTCCTTCTCCTGATCCGTTAGGTCTTCTTTTAACTTGATCCTGGAAACCGATGGTTCCTCTTGTTTCGGGACAATCCAATCAAGGATTCGAGAAGCAGGTGGTGCCAAGAACTCTCCTATCTGTTGTTGTCGTAATTGATGATAGGCTCCACTGGTCACAGCTTCAGTAAGATCCGAGGAGGCCTTCTCCAGCATGTTGACCATGATTACTTCGGACAATGGGGTGGTTCTGTTCAATTTCTGAACATGGATCTTCGAGACGAGTCCGTTGATCACGTCTGACGCTCTGTAGATTTGAGACAACAACCCAAAATACTCAACCTGTTCTGGTGAGCACCCATTAATGTTGTCCCCATCGTTGAAGATGTC